CACCTCCTCCCCATCCCGCCCCAGGGAGTGTCGGGCAAGAAGTTCACCCTCCTGACCGACCAGGGATTGGACAAAACCGGAGATCAGGGCAGCCTGGGGGTCCTGTTTTGCAGTGTCTTCCCTCTGCACGATGGCAAGTTGTCGTCAGCCTTGTCGATGAACATGGATCTCTCCGGGGGCAGTGCCGACGCGACCCGTCTCGCCTGCAAGAACGCGGCCGACGACGAGATCCACCTGCCGGCGTCCACCCACACGTCGCATCACCCGTACGATCGGACCCGGCCCTTTTCGTATCTTCAGTACGATCTGGAGGATCTGGTGGAGCACCAATTTGTCGCGGTCATCGACAAGGCCAACGCACCCACCAAGGGCTGGGTGTTGGCGGAGTTCTCCGACAGCTCGGATTCCATGATCCGGGCTCGCATGGGCCTGGGCGGTCTGCTCAGCGCTGGGTTGAAAGTGCGCCTGCCCGCCAGTCGTCCCATGCTCACCGAGTTGAAGATCCCCGCCCTCCACTCGAGTCTGCTGGACTACAGGCTCCGGGTCGTGCGGCGCACCGACGGGAATCGGCAAGAACTCTTTGCGCCCCTCCTGCGGCAGTCGATTCCCGACCCGCATGAGTCCAAGTTCTTCGTCAATGTGAAGGACGTCAACGTGAACCTGCACGGTGTGGCACCCTTCATGCCACCCCCGCTGCGCGACCAAGCGACCCTCGGCGGGGTGTCGTTCCAGCTGTGGACCGATCCCACCAGCGAGTCCACCGTGGATCTTTACTTGACGGTGGACATCGCCAGCAGCCTCGGCGAGCTGGTGATGCGGTACCGGACGGTGTTCGCCGCCTTCCCGATCCTCGTCGTTGCCTTGGTCCTCCGCAAGCAGTTCCAAGTCTACGACGACACGGGGTTCTTCATCACCTTTGGCGAGGGTCTCGACCGAGCCCTCCGTTCGTCCTTGCCCATCCTGTTTCTCGCCATGTCCTTGCTAGCCTCTTCTCTGGCGACGCCGACCGTTCTACCGCCGAGTGATGACCCATACAATTGGAAAATCAACGCCACCGAGGCGCCGGTTGATTTTACCAAGAACGACCTCCTGTTGGGCTCGCAAGATGCCTTTTTCTGGTTTTTGGTGCCCATCTTCGGCCTGATCAGTGTGGGGGTGTGCGTGATTGTCAACTATCTTGCTATGGGTCTGCTGTTCATTATGTCCTCGATTTACGGGTACTTGAACAGCCAGTCGGGCTACATCAAGCGCGACGATAAAGAGTAAGTGGAATACGAAATGCTTGTAGGGTTCCCTCTAATGATGTCTTAGGAACACCCTTAGCTTTTCTACAGCCACCCCGAGACGCCGACTCATCACCACCGCCGTCCTCCTGATGCTGGTATCAACGGTCATCCCGTATCAGTTTGCCTATCTGGTGGCATGTATCGTGCAGCTAGCCACGTGTGTGCGGGCGCAGTGGCATGCCAAAGAAACGGTTAGTCTTGCATCTATCTTCGGGTCCGAACATGACTAACAACGCGCAGAGGTCTACATCATCCTACAATTTCACCAACTACACGCACTCGATCTTCATCCTGATGCTGTGGATCCTACCCATCAACATCCTGGTCCTTCTGGTCTGGGCTCATAACCTAGTCGTGCACTGGTTTATGCCGTTCTCCTCGCACCATAACGTTATGTCTGTAATGCCATTCATCCTTCTTGTTGAAGCCATGACGACGGGAACCATGATTCCCAGAGTCACCTCTCGGTATGTTCACTCTTTACCAGTGATATTGAATGCACCGCTGACATGACCAGGCTAAAACACATCACCTCAATCATCCTCTTCTCCATCGCGATCTACTCCGCCGTCTACGGCGTCTCCTACGCCTATCTACTGCACTACCTCACCAATATCCTTTCGGCGTGGCTAGTAGGGATCTACCTCTTCAGCAGCGGGTTCTCCATCCGACGAATATGGCGAGCCCTCGAGGAAGACGACACCGTCTGCGAACCCGGAAGCATGAAGAAAAAGCCCTAATTTATCATTTTTACCGCCTCATTTTACACGATTTCATTCCCAGCAAACCCCAACTATTTTCCTCAAACTTATTATTCCCTTTATTGCATTTCAGGTCTGCTGGCCACACTTACGGAGTTTAAGCTAGTTCATTGCTTATTGAGCGGTGTTTCTGGTTTTACATCTTTTGTTTTCTTTCTTACCTCACCGGCCGGTACTCGGTTTGTACATCATCTTTTCTTTTTACTTCTTTCTTCTGCCTTTTCTTTCTTCATATCTATTGATCGATCGATCGATCGGATGGAGGCTCCATGTTATGATAGGGTGCTTGCTGGGTTACAGCTGAGACAGGCCGTTTGAGGGCTAGGGTTGCTTTACATGTCTTGTATATAGGTGGATCTGGATATAGATAGATTTGTGGATCGCAGCGTGTTACTTTATGATAGAGGAGTTGGGATATATAATACTACTTATTTGACTATTAACGTGCGGAGTACAAGTGTAGTATCATAAGAACTTTCTAGAATGATAATACATACATATACAATCCCAAGCATACAGATGCAATAAAATCATACAATATAAAAGATGAAGAGAGAGAGAGAAGAGAGATCACCACCCAACAGGCCCAACCCCAACCATCCTCTCCCTCCTCAATTTCTCAACCTCCCTCTCCCTCCTCTCAACGACCCTCTCCCTCCTCTCCCTCGCAACCCTCTCCCCCCTAACCCTCCCCTTCCCCCCAAACTTCAACTTCGTAATCAAATCCGCCGCCTGGCCCCTCGTCAAATCCGAGCTCTGCATCTTCCCCTCCCTTATCCTCGCCTTATTCAAGTATGCGATTTGGGCGGCGCTCGCCCGGCCGCGCCGCCACCCTTGCTGAGACGAGATGTATCGCTCTGTGAAGTGCGCTGAGGCGAACGTGTCTGCTGCGTGCACGGCGGAGGAGAGACTGGTGGTGGTGGTGAGGAGGCGCGGGCGGGTGTAGGTTGGGGTTAGGGTTGTGGGGGAGGTGTATTTTTGGACGTGGTGGAGGGTGTATGTTTCTTGCTGTTCTTTTGCGTCTTTTTGGTGGGATGGGGGGGAGGAGGAGGAGCGGGTGATTGTGAGCCAGCCTGAGTCGTCGGAGAGGATGTATTTTTCTTCGTTGGGGGTGGTGGTGTTACTGGCGACGCGTACCCAGGCGTATCTGCTTAGCGAGCGGATGTGTTTCTCGGATTTGAGATCGTGGATGAGGTCGTAGATGGTGTCGTATTTCGTGAAGGAGAGGGTGATTTCGTTGTTGTCGGAGTCTGTGGCCTTGGTGTCTTCTGATGGGATGTCTTCGGGTGGTTGCGTGGTTGGTTGTTGTTGTTGGGTCGGTCGTGCGGTTAGCTCTGTTGCCGTCGCGGCGTTGATGATCTCGTCTGGGTGCAGGCCGAACAGCGTCGGTGTGGACACGACGCCCGCGTCGACGGTGCCGACCATGTCGATGATATGGCAGTCTTTTTTCCCCGGGTGGAGACGCAGACCGCGGCCGATCATCTGGACGAGGAGGTTCTGCGAGCGGGTGGGTCGCGCGAGGAGCACGCAGTCGATGTTAGGGATGTCGGTTCCCTCCGTGAAGAGCCCGCAGTTGAGCAAGACGGGGAACTCGCCCGCTTTGAAAGCAGCCAGCTCCGCGTCGCGCTGCTTCTGCGGCGTGTCGCCCGTGATGTAGCGGGCGTCGATGCCGTGCGCGCGGAACGTGTCTGTCAGCGAGCGGGTGTGCTCGACGTTCACGCAGAAGACGAGTGTCGAGTGGCGGTCGGCGGCGTTGGCGAGCCATGCCCGCACGGTGATCGTGTTTGTCGTGTCGGTGTTGACTGCGCGCGCGAGCGACTCAAGTTGAAAGTCTCCGCGGCTGTCGCTTTTAACTCCCGAGAGCTTCGCGTTTGATTGTACCGTTGTGAAGACTGCGTTCGCGAGCCACTTGTCGTTGATCATGTCCATGTAGTCCTTGTGGTAGACGATGTGGTCGATGGCTGCGCCGAGGCGCAGGCCGTCTGCGCGGGCGAAGGTGGCGGATACGCCGACGAGGACGGGCGAGTCGGGTGTGGGTTCCTTGAGTCCGAAGTGGTCGAGGACGGCGCGGTAGGTCGGCGCGACGATGTGGTGCGCTTCGTCGACGAGGATGAGTTTGAAGCGCGCGGGGTCGAACTTGGCGAGTCGGTCCTGGCTGAGGAGGCTTCTTATCGATGCGATTGTGATGTCTGCTGTGCCTGTGCTTTTCGAGTTGCTCATCTCGATGCTGACGGTTCGGTCTGGGTACGCCGCGCGACAGTGTGCGGCGGCTTGGTCGACGAGTTCTCGGCGATGCGCGAGGATTAGGGTTCTGTTGCCGGTTTCATTGCGTGGGGGGATTCGTCCGATTAGCTGCGTGAAGATTACCTGGGAGGGAGAGAAAGAGGGTTAGTTGGAGGTGCCGTGTTGTATGTTCGGTGGCTTCGTACAAACCGTTTTACCGGCTCCTGTCGCGAGCGAAATCCCCAGGCGCTTGTGGCCTTGCTTGATGTAGTCCAGGACGGACTGAATGCATTCTTCCTGGTAGTCGCGCAGGACTATACCAGGGCGTGAAGGTTGTTGCGGTACTGGTCCGGGGGACAGGGTCGCGTTGCAACGCCATTGTTGCCGTAGATTAGGTCGCCATGCGAATGTCGACGGCCTCCAAAGACGCAGGACGGGAATCAAGCCCGACATTCCACGACGAAGAGCCATCCAGATCCATGAGTTGAAAGTATGTTAAGATGCGGAGTAGTTCAGTTGACGATGGAGAGAGGACGGTAAAGGTACAATGCAAACACTGCAAACACCTTATCAGATCAGAAATCTCGATCAATCCAATTCTTTCCCATGACGAATACGCATCGCCGATATCAAAAAATGTTCTCGAGCTGATCAACTGAACAAGTGATGTTCCCACCGTTCGTCCAGAGTCCATGTCTTTGGTGCGACGCCCCGGACATCCAACTTGACGATGAGCAGCTCGAGCTCCTACGAGCCGGACGACAACGACGCATCGGACTCCGACATTGAAACCCGCGCGCATGTCCCTCCTTCGTCCCCTCCAGCTCGCAATCGCCCAGTCTCCCCATCGCATGAGGCAAATGACCCATCCTCCGCGAAAATAAACCTCCGCGCGAAGAGGGGCACCCGCGACGAGGTCCTCAATGACCTCTACACATCCTTAGGGCAGGAATCCGTGGACGCATACCACAGTCTGCTGGAAGATGCGATCGGCGATCTTGTGCCATCTAGGAACCCCGCGGACGAGAACTACAATGCCACGCAGAATGGGGTCGTGATCTGGACGCCGCAGGAGAAGCAGGTGTTCTACAATTGGCTCCACCGGAAGGGGAGGAATGGCGTTGCGGAGATCGCCAGCGCCATTGGCTCCAAGTCGGAGCTGGAGGTCCAGGAATTCCTCAGACTGCTGCACAGGGGGCTGGAGCGACAGCATCTGCGGGACCGGCACACGCGGACAATCATCCTGGGCGACGTCCCGGCCGCAGCGGACGTAGGGAGAAAGTGCTGTTCCGCATTAGACCAATACGCCGAGCTACTAGCTCTCGAAGAACAGCAAGCAGACGACGACGTCGGGAGAGCGCGAAACCACGACTTGTGGATCATAGACCGAGACAACGCGCAAGAAGTAGACGACGAGGTCCAAGACGCGGAGAAGGCCGACACGCAGCTCGACTCCGACTCCAGCGTATACCACACCGCAGGGCTATTCAACCTGAGCACATGGATCCGTCTCTCCGAGCGCTTCTTCATGAACCCCGGCGGCGCACGCATGGACGATAACTGGGTCAACGTGGGGTTCGCGGGCGAATCCCCCTCCATGACAGCGGACGGTTTTGCGGATTTCTACACGCTGGCCGTGAGCGTCACGCGCCGTCTCGTCCACTCTACGCTGTTCTTTGCCATGTCGCGGCTCAGGAATATGAGGGAGACGGGCAATGCGAAGGCGAAAGTCGTACGCTCCCGTGATGTCCACACTGCCCTGGATGTACTGGGCATGAAGCGTGACCGAGTCGATCAGTGGGTGGGACTAGCACGGAGATGCAATCTCACTGTCGAAGACGTCCGCAATCGACGAGGCTGGAAGCCTGTCCTTATGGACTTGGACGACGTAGAAGATATTCTCTCGGGTCGAGCCCCTTACGACGCGGAGTCGCGCGAGCGAAGCATTTCGAACAAACGCCCCGACGCAAAGGACGAGCCTGAAGACGACGACAACAGCGAAGACGAATTTTCCCACTCCTCCCGAGAATCATCCATCCTTTCCTCCCCCGCTGAGTCTCTCCCCGACAACGAAGACCAAACCCCCATCGACCCCGAAGACTCCCACGCCGAACAACTCGACCAAGAAGCCAGCCGTCTCGAAGAATCCCACCTGTGGGAGATCCTCGGCCAACCCCAGCCTAGCCTCCAGTCCGAAATCCACCCCACCACACCCAGGGCAAAGAAGCGACCCGTCGGCGAACGCAAGACACAAGACGACCTTGCCAACTGGCGAGATAGGACTTTGTACCGCAGCGACTGGGAGGAACATGGTCATGATACTGTTAGCATTTATGAGGAGATCGAGGAGAATCGACGCAAGAGACGACGACTGCGTCAGGCCTCTTCCCAGTCGGATTACTCCAGCGACAGCGAGGATATCCATCCCGCAACAGCAGACAGCGCCATCTCACACGGTGAAGACGCCGACGATGACAACCAAACTTACGCCCAAATGGAAGTCGACGACAACAACAACAACAACAACAACAACAACAACAAACCCCCTCCCCCAACACCCCTCCCAAAACAAGAACCCAACCAATCCCAGCCCATCACATCCGAAAAAGCCCAACATCCTCAATCACCCGAGCCCGAGCCAGAGCCCGAGCCCGAGCCCAAAAACGAACACACGTCCAGCTCAGAAGACGACGACCTACCCAGCGCCCGCAAGAGGAGATCATCCTTGGGAGATATAGATGATGATGATGAAGAGGATGAAAAAGCTGATAAGGCTTTGTTTTCTCGTCCTATGAGTCCTTTGGGCTGGGAGGATGAATGATTGAGTTTACGTGATGGATTGTATTGTATGTATATATGTGTGTACTATATGTAGTAGTCTAGGCCAGTTGATGATTATGCGGGTATTCGTCTACTTACTCATCTACTTACTGTTCTTATATCTTATGAAATTAACTATTATGAAGGGAAAGACTCAGAAACACTTGTATTGTAAATATCAACTACTGGGTTTCCACTCATCTAGTTAATAAACGGCAGACATTCCAACTCGAATATGAAATACTAAAAGTACTAAACCTAGAAGATAGAGTAATGACAATTGCAGACCATAATATAACTAAACTAACTCTAAACTCCCAAAACAATTTACGCCTTTTCCTAGCTGAGTAAAATCTGCAAATCACCTAAGGAAAGGAATAGGAAAAAGAAAACAACAACAGATAATCACATCCATCAGCTCTTCCATGCCCACCAGTAGTGTTCACTCCCTACCCTTCCTCCTGTCACTGCTTGCCCCTATCAGATGAACGAGAAAAATGTCTCGCACCTGATCAATCCACCGAGCATAATGTACAATACATATGGATATTATAAGAATGAACTGAGCTGAACTGTAATGAACCCTCGCGACCCGCCCTCCTAGCCTACCTACCCAATCTGGTCATGAATTTCATATTTTTTTGACACTTTTTGCTCTTTTATTATTTGTTTGTTCTTTCGATGGTTGAAGATCGCCGGTCGAAATCTCCTTACAACTCCAGCGTCTTGTAGTCGGCGCCTCCCTCGGCGCTGGGCGGCTGCACACCGGCGCGGCCTTCGGCAGGCTGGAAGTTAACACGGCTGCCCATGGCGGCGTTCGCGGCGTCGGCGATCATGTTGTTCGCCTCCTCGCCGGGACCCTTGAGGCTGGCAGCCTGCAGGGTTTCCTGGACGTCCTTGACGCGCTTCTTGAACGCCACGCGGTCCAGGAAGAGTTGCTGGCGCGCGAGTTCGAGCTCCCGGCGCTCGGCTTCGATGATCTCTTCCATCTCGTTGAACTGCTGCAGCTTGATCTCGAATTTCTGGAGCGTGACGTTGACGGCCGCTCCGACCAAGCGGGTCATCTCGCGCTCTTCGTGCGAGGCCAGGGCGCCCGCGCGAGCGGCTGACGCGGCCAGGGCCACGGTAGGGAGAGACGGCTTGCCCTCTTTGTCGGTTCTGGGGACCTCTGCCACTTCGGTGGCGCCATCGTCACGGGTGGTGGTGTCGACGTCCATGGAGTCCTCCGTCTTCACGGTCGACCCCTCCTTCTCCTTGCCCTTGTCCTGGGGCTTGTCCGCGGCAGGGCCCTTCTCGAGCTGCTTGCGCAGCTCCTTCCGGATCTCGTCGACGGAGCGGCCCGCAGCCGCGGCCGCAACGGCCGGCTCGGCCATCTGCGCCAGGAAAGCGACCACAGACAGGACGGGGTTCTCCGCCTGGCTGATGGGGTCCCGTCCAGACGATGCGCGCATCTCGGGGCCGTCCTCGACATACTTGTCTTCGATCTCGAGCTGCAGGAACTTCATCACACATTCCTCCTTGGTCCGGGTGCCCACGTGGCTGGCAATTTGATCCCAGTTGTCGTCAAAGTTCTCCAGGCCTTCTAGGAGCAGCACCAGCTCCCCATCCGACCACGGAGCATCCTTATCGGCGGTGATAGTGTGCGCGCTGTCCTCCAGCTTGACGAAGTCGGAGGCACTGTGGCTGGAGGGCATCCTGCCTTGCAGGAAGCAGTTCGGGCAAAGATCGTACTTCGAGTCCGGAGCACTGGGGTTGACGTTGGCCGGGGCCGATTTGGCGTAGTGGAATCGCAGGCGGGTGCAGTCGATCCCGCAGGAGAAACAGTGGGACTTCTTTCGAGGGTCTTTCTCTTCCAGGGTCTTCGACGCCGACTCCCCGTTGCCGTTGGCGGCCGCACCGTCTCCATTCGTTTGGTTCTCCTTCTCCTCTGTGGCGGGGGTGATCTCCTTGCCCTTGTCATCGTAGATATTGCGGCGGATTTCGAGGTTGAGATCGGCCTTGGGTGCGGGTGTGGCGGACGCTGCCCGGTCGGTCGCGGAAAGAGGCTTTCCAGGTTTGACGAAGTGGTTGGGGCCCGGCTGGAAGGGCTGCAGGCCGCGCGGAGTGTCGGCCACGACGCGGAAGTGCCCGGTAAAAGGGGGACCGATGTTGGAGGGACGAGTTTGAGGATCCACCTTGAACAAGTCAGCATGAGAACGGCCCAGCTTTCCCATCGGAAGAACTCACTTGGTAGTTAATTAGACCCCACTGCTCCAGGAAGGAGTGGACACGCATGATAGCGCAGACATCACCGGCGAGGTTGCGACGGCAAGCGGTGACGGTCAGGTACTCGATGGGGTTCAATCGGTATGTGTTGATCATGAAATCACGGTAGTCTTTGTAGACGGCGGGGGTCTTGCTTCGATTCCGGCCGTTGAAGAACTCTGCGAGAGCCTTTCTCTCGATGGGGTGGATGGCGTGCATGTCAAACCAGGTGGAGTAGCTGGGGAGGATGATGGCATGGGTTTGCGACACGAGATGATCGCGTGCCGACGATTCGACGGATGTCTTCTGTGCGGGCTGTTCCTCCGCAGCGCCCTCTGCACCGGCCTGTCCGGGGGTTTCGGCGCCGTCTTCGCCTTCTTTCTTCGCCTCCGTCTCCGTACCGCCCATCTCCTCATCTTCCGCGTCCCCCTCCGCATTCTGCGGCTTGGGGGAAGCCGGGGCATCTAGCGGATTATCAGTGCCCGTAGCAGACTCATTATGTTTCGCAGGAGACTCTTGGCGCGATTGCGATTCTGGTCATGATGATTGCGGATGTTGGCATATCCCGGATCCTCTTAGGGGAAGGGGAGGGTGTAAGGGAAGAAAAAACCTACCGGAGGCGTTCACCACATCGCCGGGGGCATCCTGACCGGTCGTCATATTGTGCAGGTCATCGGCAGCGCCGCTGGAGATCGCAGGGCTGTCTTCCATCTTGAGAGGGTGGTGATGGGGAAGGGAGGTGTGGGGATATCGATCGAGATCGCAAGCGACGGGGAACCAACAAGGGTCTTTTGTCCGGCCTCAGCAGACGGGGAAGAACGATAACCAGGCCGCAGGTACTCTGGATCGACAATCAAATACAAGAAAGAGTTCCAAAAGAGAGAAAGAAGGTAAAAGCAGTGGAGAAGAGGAAGGCAAGACCACCCGACGGGGGAGAGAAGGATGGAGATGAGATGAGTGAGGATGGAAATCAGACGCTGAGCTCAACTCGCTCCAGTCGCGACACGGAAAACTCGCGCCAAGACTTGTAACTGCACTAGTCTTGTTTGGGACTAGATCGCCACATACAGTCTCTCTCCATATACAACAAACAGTTGCTGGAATTGAGAAGTTACAGAAAACATTTAGAAGATTCACATTCAACTACAGGGTCATCTATTCATTCGTTCATACTATATAAGATGATTCATAATATTTTATAGTTATTCTTGACATTCGAAACTGATCCTTGGATTGACCATAATAACCCACCACTCAACGATTACCGTTGGACAGTGGCCGTGGCTTCAGCGCGCTCCTTGATCGACTTGGCCACAGATGGCCGGGCATGGAGTCGATCCAGCCAGGCCTTGAGATGAGGGTAATCCTTGTCCAAATCAATCGCATCGCCGGTCAACTTGGGCACGAATCCATACCACGGCACAAAGGCGGCATCAACAAAGCTATACTTGTTCCCGACAAGCCACTCGCGATCCTTCAGAACGCTGTTAAGCACGCCCGACACACGACGGATTTCGTTCAAGTAGCGGTCCTGGGCACTCTGGATCTTCTCGGGGTGGTAGACCGAGAACCAGACGAACTGGCCGAAGTAGGGACCCTGGCCGGACATCTGGAAGTGCAGCCACTGCTTGGCCTGGTAGTACTCGGGCGTGCCGGACGCAAAGCTGATGGTGTGGTCCTTGTCGTAGGTCTCGACCAGGTACTCGACGATGGCGCCGGACTCCCACAGGGTGATGCCCGTGTTGGGGTCCTCGATCGCGGGGACCCGCCCGTTGGGGTTGATGGAGATGAAGGGCTCCTGCTTGACTTCCGAGAAGGGGATGTACTTGGTTTCGTAGGGGAGTTGGAGGTCCTCTAGGACGGTGACCACCTTCCAGGGGTTGGGGCCGGAGGCGTGGCTGTAGAGGGTGATGGGCTTGAGAGACATGATGTAGTTTTGTTGGTAGTGTTTTTAGAGGGTAGAGAGACAGGATTGTAGGATAGAAGTGGAATTGGATGGGAGGAGCGAGGGACAGACAGATCCATAAACATCTTATATAGTCTGTCTGCTCCTCCTCCATCTCTTTCCATCGGTTGCTTCAGTCGGCATCGTCGGCATCTGATAATCCCGCGATCTAGCATGATGACAAATGGGCGCTGGCCACTCTGTGTCTATCAAGCCTTATCAAGCTCTATCATTGGTCTAACTCTCAAATGGAGTGCGGAATTTTCCTCCACTTCTCCGTCCGCGGTGGATCGAGGGGATTCAGCGTCTGACAGAGCATTGATATTATGGCTGCCAAATTAAGTCTATCAAACGAATGCCTGTCTACCCCCTTACTAATATGCTGCTTACCAATCGCGTGGTTGGTTGATTGGGATTGTTCTGGTCTAGCTGTTGGACCCTAGTTCCTGCAGAGCTCAAGCAATTCGTCTGTCCACTACCTTAGGTTCCAGCTGGTTCCCTCAGAGGCACAGCCTTTGCATTTGTCAGTTCAACCAGAGTGGCAGCGATATGATATCCTATTGCCCGCGGGTGGACTCATGATCTGAGTGGGGGGATCTGCAGAAGATTGAAAGGATCAAAAGATCCAAAAAAACATCCGGCGATCAAGCCGGCTAGGTCTATTATCAACAGATTGAATGCAGAAAGTGGCCTCTCAACTCATATGACGATTTTTTTTTTATCCCGGTATCGATCGGTTACGCTCGGTCCTCCGACTCATAACGAGGCCGCCACGATGGGATCGAACCACCTCGACATGAGGCAACACCGTTGAACATGCAGACATTTCACCATATCCGACAGACCCTTCTAGAGTCAGCTGAATTGCATTCCGATTCTCAAATGTCTCGGTGTTGACACACTCCGATCAGGGTTTTCTCGATCTATATAAAGTGCGTCGGATTAAATGACGTCATACCGACATCTCGGAGTACGGAGCTCGGAGTAGAGCATGGATCGGAGTAGAGAGGATCGCCTCTCTTTGCTTTCTTCTCTTTTCAGGTTCATTGCTTGACACGGTTCGTGTACATGGTCCACCTGCCTGAGAAACGGAAACCTAGGCAGCAGGCAAATGAGTCACGGCCTGACCCTCCTACCAATGGATCCAATCTACAGAATTACCCAATACGGACTCCGATCACGCACCAGAAACTGACCGGTACACCGTGCGGACGGCCACGAGTCAGAAATAGATCCTAGTCTGAAGACGATCGCAGCTAGAGTAAAGTCTGACTCAAAAGAGGCATAGCGCTCGTGTCAAGGCGCGCCCTTGACATGTAGACTTTGACAGACTCCGGAAGTGGGTCAACACGAGCGCCATGATGTCTTTACTTCGCTCCAGGCGTGACCACACAACGTAGGGCTGGTTGACCACCTGGTGGTTCAAGCTGTGTAAGATTGTTGATCTAGAACAGCGCCCTGTGGGTATTTGCTTTTCTTGGCTATTCATGGACACGTATTCCGAGGGTCTTTTGATTAAATTGTTAGGGTTAGTTTTTGGCCCTTGTCGATCTATGACGGGATCTATGTGATTTACTCCGAGCGATCGGAGTAGAAGTATAATTTTCAAGCAAGCATGGCCTGGCCAGTTCAATGGTTTAATAGATAGAAAAATATATATATAAAGGCCCATTGTGTCGCTGTTGAAAGAACCATTCCAACTCACTCCAACTCCATCCAATCCAACAGACTTGACCTCATCTCTGAGATAATAACCTCCTCCAATCTACACAACACAATATCAACCCTCCAAACACCAACAAACCACAGTTCAATCCTCCATCCAAACAAACAAACCACCCACCAAACCAACCACCATGTCCTCCTCCTTCTCCAACACCAACATGGACACCAACATGAACTCCAACTCCAACCCCACCTCCTGCGGCGCCTCAGACGCCAGCTCCATCTTCTCCTTCAAAGGCCCCAACAGCGACCTCAAGTCCAAGTCCAAGAAGCACTGGTTCTCGCGCAGCAGCAGCAGCAGCAGCGTCAGCAGCAAGAGCAAGGGCAATTCGTCGCTGTCCGCGCCGTCCACGATGCGCTCTACCGAGAAGGAGGCGCTGCATAATGAGGCTATTGCTACTTATATGAGTTATCGGTAGATGGTTGCTTTGGCGGATTTCTATTGTGATGGGTTGGGTGCGTTATACTGGTTGTGAATCTTTTTTTGTGTGTGTGTGCTTTTTTGAAGGGTTTATATGAGTTTTAATGTGGAGTTTGGTTGCTTTGATGGATGTGGGTTTGATTGTACTTAGATTGTTTAACTCGCTATAAGTAATGGTTTATTCAAGATATACTGTGCTCAGAATACTGATTGATAGCTTCACCTAATCAAATTCAACACCATTATGCTAAGCCCTATGAAACGAACAGCTATATATACACCACATAAGTCATCAAAAGATAAGAATGAGAATAAAAAAACTACAACCCCCCCAACAACTCCGCCATCGAAATCGGCTTCCGCACCGCATTCGAAAACCCATCATGATACGTAACCCACACCTTGCGCCCCGCCTTCAGCGCCTCCTCCTGCGCGGGGTCCCTCCCAGACTCATCCGGCTGCGGCGTCGGCTCGCGCACGATGCGGCCGAAGAAGTCCCGCTTGACGCCCGGGGCGTCGCGGAGGGCCTTCTTCTTTGCCGTCGGCCCCTCCTCACCGGGGTAGCCAGGCTTCTTGCCCGTTGTGGCGGCGCTGATGGCTTCGGTTTGTTTGCGGGCTGTTTCTTTGCGGTATTCTTGGTCGAGGACTTGGCGGACGGCGTAGCGGACGGGTGCGGATGCGCTGCTCGTCTGGGAGGAGGTGTTCATTTTGGAGAATGTTATGAGGGAGTCGAGGGGTCTGGGGTGTCATCATTGGTTAGTATATGTTATTCTCATGTGAGAGGAAGGTTGGGCAACGTACGGTTCCATGCGATAGGCCCATCCCCCGTGGGTGCCGCCTTCTCCTTCCACACGCACCCGCTCAAAGGTTACGCCTAGCCCGGCCATGACGCGGACTGCCGATTGCACGAGAGCTCGCTCGCTCTCCTTGCGGACGCTCGCTACGCTGCGCTGGTCTCCGTTTCCACGCACAACGACCGGCTTGACGTCCGGTGACAGCATGCGGACGACGTTCGGGATGAGGTCCGTGACCAGGCTGTCGGTGGAGCGGAAGAGTCTCGTCAAGGGCGCGGAGAAAGAAGACTGGAAGCCTGTGATGGTGGCGCTGTTCTGCTTCTGGGCCTCATAGGCGGCATATTCAGCCCTGGGCCCGTAGAACGGGTGTTCCTCTTCTTCTTCATCGGGCTTCAAGCTACGCTTTCCTTTCGACGACGAGAAGAGATGGTGAAATGCTACTACCGACTGGCTGAGATACCCGCTTAGCTCCCACTCCTGCGTGCCGAAGACTTTGGAGGAGATGGTGTCGTGGAAGTGGAGCCAGTCGTAGGCGGTGTTGGGTTTGGTGAGGAAGGTGTCGTCTTGGAAGGAATGGAGAGGGTACGTGGCGAAACAATCGGTGGCACACCGGTCGTGGTCCCCGCTGGCATCGACCATCTCCCGCAGCTTGCTGATGCCGTGCCGTTTCTTGAGATCAGCAACACCGACAGTAACCCGGCTGGTCCTATCATACGGGTCTTCAAAAGAGTCAGAGCCAACCGGGGGTGGAGGAAAACCAGCCCCTTCCATAAAGACTCGGTCGACAATGTCGCGCACACCTCCGCGGTTCAATCCCTTGAACGAACCGCCTCCGGCGTCGTCGTTGAGCACTTTCTGCTCCAGCCAGTTCCTGGTCAACTTCAAGGCGTTCTCGGATCGTAACTTATGCGCCACCCACTCTGCCGCGACGAGCACGGTGCGAATATCGCCCTCGGCCGTTCCGGTATTTTTGACATTGGCTTGTTTCCGTCGCGTGAGGCCCCAGGATGCTTCGCAGAGTCTCCGCACGCCATCATTGTCCGCCGGAATGCCTTCTTTCGTGAATATGTATTTCATGCGGGTGACGACGTTCTCCAACGGAGCTTGGCGAACGTGGATGATCTCGGCCACAGAGGACTGCCGCAGGGGTCGTAAACTGGCGTGGTACAGGTCATTGCACACCAGAATGAGTGGACGAAGGAATCGAAAGTTATCACCCTTCCTTTTCTTGCCGCCCGCATTCTGCTCAGACGAGCGCGTCGAGTTCTTCTGATCGAGGTATACCAGATCAATCAACGCTTTCATGAACCCACCTTCTCCGCCACCCCCAGATCCGGTGACCACACCGTCTACCTCATCCACGACAACGCACACCGGCCGTCCAATCTTCCTCACTTTCTGCCCGTCCACGTCGACATTCATCCCCTTCACGTTCTCAGTGCCAAGCGCATCCCGAATTCTCCCCTTCACGACATCTCTGCTCCGGTCATCACTGGCGTTGATCTCCAGCGCCTCATAGCCGGCCTGACGGGCACATACATGTGCCAATGTAGTCTTTCCCAGGCCCGGGGGCCCACACAGCAACAGCACTTTTCTGTGAGGACGCTCCTCCTCATCGTTGCCAAACGGCGTTTTCTTCGGCTTCGACCGTGCAAGGTTCGGATACACAATCGGATCCCACCCCTTCAGCCAGCGCAAGATCGACCGGTGCGTACGCTCATCTCCGATCAGCTCTGTGAATTTGCGAGCCCGGTACTTCTCAGTCCACATCGACGACGCGTATTTCTTGCTCTTTCCATTCGCCGTGTGAGGTTCAATGGACGGCTGCACCGTAGGGCGAGGCAGCGCCTTGGCCGCTTTGGATTGCTCGGCTTCTATGGCGGCCTCGTCTAAGAGCTTGTGAATGTCGATACCGTAGTAACTCTTTTGGGCTCGACCAGGGGCGGTAGTAGAGCGGCCGGCAGCAAGACTCTGATAAGGAACCGGCGCCGCAGCTTTCTTCATCCTGACATTGTGAGTCTTCCCAGCGCAGGTTTTGATCTGAATTGACAACGGTACTCGACGAGTTGGGATTGAAGACGTGAAGGTCGAAATCTCGGCGGTAGGCGCAACTGGTTCCTCTGGGAGATGTGCTAGCTCCGTCTGAGCAGGTTGGGAGGCCTGGGCCTGGGTGTCTGGCTGTTCAGTCGACGACTGACCCATCAAATCCTCCTGCGTATCAAATTCGCTTCGGAAGTGAGCATCCCGAAACGCATCCATAGCATCATCGTCATCATCCTCGTCATCATCCTCATCCAAGAACCCCCCCATAATCTTCTGCTTCTTCGGCTCCGCCGCTTGCGACTGCGACTGTTCATCATTCTTCCTCTTCTGCGCATCAGGCGACGACGGCGCCGCACTCGAGGGAAACGCAACGGGGGAGGAAATGAACGGCATTTTGGCGGTTGCGGTTGCGGTCGGGGGTGAAGACGGGAAAGAAGCTACACAGCCTTCCTTTAACTGAGAAGGCTTGTATGATCTTGTTGGAGTCTCTGCTTGAACCATCAGCCATCCAGACTTATTACCTGCCAGCGCAACAGCTCTAGTAAATACCAGGTCTCACGTCCTCGTCACTCCGAAACACATCCGACAAATTCCACGCCCGATGCTGAATAACGACTTTATTGCGCGTATTCTCCAATCGCTGGAGATCGAGCGCCTCGAGCTCGTCCGAGAAGGATTCCGACGGCGGTTCGACCGGTAGAATGTCGCTGGGGGGCACGTCGGAGTGAAGGTGAATGGCAGGATCAAAAGACGAGGGGAATGGTGGTGGTGATGTCGCCATGTAGGCTTAAGCTGGCATTTTTGGTTGTCCGTGTTTGGTATAATTTATTCAGTATTCGAATTCGGGCATTAGGAAGAATGGTGCATCGTAGGTATGGCGAATAAAGTGATTGCCCACTTCCTATCAGTTGGTCGCTGTGGACGATGCGATTACCTTGGACTGATTATTGAACGCGTGTGGACGCGCCCTGGACGCGCTAGTCCCGATTGATTCGTTGATTAGACTGTCCAGTGTCCACACTTCCGCTTTGCTGCTCTTATTCCCCGCATGGACGGAGTACTCCGGAGGATTACAGTGTATCACGGAGGATATTGAGTAGGTCGAGACTGGGTCTTTGTAAGTAGAGTTATCTGTTGTTTTGAGTTATGGTTGGAAGACTACGTGGTTGTCTCAGCCTGGTGCGAAGGCGTGGTGCATGTATTTGGTGAGCACCCTAGTATGCAGCAGCACTTCTCTAGAAGATTGACATTGAGCAAAATGGTTGCTACCCACAATCCTACAATTGATGTATCAGGAAGTAAAATAAAAAACAAAGTCTAAGTCCAATGTCCTAGCGCTGGTAGTGTATGGTATACTGTATATTTCACCTCAACTTCGCAAAATCACCTCAAGCAGAAAAAAGAACCCCATCATGATACAAGAAAAAAAAAAAAAAAAAAAAACGAAAAAGAGAAACAAATAAAACTTAAGCCTGCGACTTAAGCTTCTCAGTCATCTCAGGGACCTTCTCGAAGAGGTCACCGACCAGACCGACATCAGCGACCTGGAAGATAGGAGCATCGGGGTCCTTGTTGATGGCAGCAATGACCTTGCTGTCCTTCATACCAGCCAAATGCTGGATGGCACCCGAGATACCGGCGCATAGGTAAAGCTGGGGAGCGACGTTCTTGCCGGTCTGGCCGACCTGCAGACTGTTGTCGGCGAAGCCGCTGTCGACGGCGGCACGGGAAGCACCGATGGCGGCGCCCAGGGAGTCGGCGAGGGGCACGATGACACGGTCGAACTCCTCCTTCGACTTCAGACCACGGCCGCCGGAGACGACGCGGGACGCAACGCCCAGGTCGGGGCGCTCAGACTTGGCGAGCTCCTCGGACACCCACTCGGTCTGGGCGGGGGCCTTGGGGTCGCTGCCCTCGACGATCTCGGCAGAGCCACCCTCGGTCTCGGTGCCCTGGAAGGCGGTGCCTCGCACGGTGATGACCTTGATGGAGTCCGACGATTGGACGGTCAGGATGGCGTTTCCGGCGTAGATGGGGCGGACGAAAGCTGCCCAACTGTCAGTATGTGTTTTGACTCATTGCCACTGCTCCCTCCGCTATCGGATTTCAAGTTCAATACGTACTGTCTTCACTCTCAATTCCGGTGATATCAGAAACCTGCTGCACGTCGAGGAGAGCCGCAACGCGGGGCAGAAGGCTCTTTCCGAAGGCAGAGTGGGCGCCAACGACGTGGGTGAATTCGCCCTTCTTGACGTTCTCAACCAGAAGAGGGGCGTAGTTCTCCGGCAGACCCTAAATTCCCAGAACCTTATCAGCAATCCACTCCCACATGAATCAAACAGTCGCAATCTCATCGTAAAGGTCTGCTCACCTTCTCATAAGCATCATTATCCACAGCCATCACCTTATCCAGACCCTTAATCTTAGCAGCCTCCACAGCAGAGGTACCCTTCACACCGCTACCAGCGAGGAAGGCAGTGACGGGTCCACCGAGCTTCTGCGCCGCAGCGATAGCGGAGAGCGACGAGTTCTGCAGTTTGCCATCACGCTGTTCGAGGAGGGCCAGGGTCGAGAGGAGGCGGGCGTAAGCAGAGGCCGTGGGCTGGTTGAATGCCCGCGAAGGGTTGAGTTGCGAGCGCGCGGCCCGGAGAACCGATTGTCTTGCGAGAGGAATCATGGTGGTATAGTTTCGTAACGAATTATGAGGACCTGCTCAAAGCGCTGAGTACAAACAGGGAAGGGGGAGGGGAACGGCGGAGGAAGAACTGGCCGAGGTTGTGACGAGATGCGTTTCTGGCGGGCGGTGGCTATCGTCGGCCCGTCAAGCACCGCCGATCCTCGGACACATTCGGCTAACTGTTACGATCATTCCCTTCCACCTTGTACTTAACTTCCGATGCCCTTTTCCTTAGTACGAGTCTACAGCTAGGGCGGATTTTCCATACATAGGACTAGAATGATCAACTAGCATAACTTTTTTTCTGTCTTAAAAAAGCGGGTATTGGAAAACAAGCCCTATATCTCTAAGTACATGATGAAACTCAAAAAAAATCGAGACATGTGACAATATCGGTACGCCGCCGCAGAACCCAGAGTTGCTATGGATAAAACACATTACATTAAAAAAACGCCGGAGGCACATTTCTTATGAGGTGGACTTTCTCTTTTTCTTCGTAGACCCGGCCTCTGCTTTGGCTGGGGTGGCGGCGGCTTTGCGACCGGACTCCTCACCGTCCTGCAGGGCCTTGGCCTTCTGCTTCTGGAGCTTCTCCTTCCGTGCGCTCAACGAGGCGGCTTCGTCGTCGTCGACGGCCTTGGGCTTCTTCGACTTCTTGCCACCCTCCGAGATCTTCTCTCCCTCTCCGGCTTCGATCTGCTTGCGCTTCTTGTCGTTCTTGGCGCCCTCAATGGCCTTGTCGTCATCGGCGGTCTTCTCCACCACATCGCCCTCTTCCACCCAGAGCTCACTGGCGAGCCAGATCGGCATGGCCATGGTGTTCGCGCCCTTGACGTGGAGCGCCTTGATGTTCTTCCAGCCCTTCGTGATGAACTTGTCCGTCAAGCCCTTCACAACGGCTTCGACGTTCTCGGACAGTTGCTGGGGAGTGAAGTTAGAGGAGCCGACGCGGATGGCAGCAGTAGTGGCCGGGGCAAGCTGCACGGCGGCCGAGTTCAGCGCCTTCTCAATCTCCTTGGCAACGATCGCGGGCGACGCGAAAGCGCTGTCCTCCGCATTGGGCTTAGACCTCTGCTTCGGGTCCTTCTTCACCTTCTTGCCGTCCACCTTCTCGATCTCGGCGATGCGAACGGGGATCGGGCGCTTGCTCGACTTGTAGAAAATCTTGCCAAGAGTCTTGACCAGACGCATGATTATCCGGTCATCGGCCAGGAAAACATCATGCTCGGAGAACAGCTGTCGCCGGCTCTCAAAGCTCTGGTAGCGAGACTTCAATTTCGAGAAACCGATCACCTTGTCGATGCGGGAGGTCAGATGCTGAGGGAAAGATTCGTCGGCAACGATGTTCTTGACGGCGCGCTGCGGGTCCGCCGTGATCAGGCAGACGCTGAGGGAGGGAGAGGCGTTGAGAGAGTGAGGAATGGTGATTTTCCCCGGCTTCAGGCGGTTCTTGTCGACAACGTGCTTTTTCGTGGTGAGGACGAGCCAAACCGCTTCGTTGTTGAGGGGGATATCCTCGGCGTCAGAATCATCATCGTTGTCGCCAATGAGGGTCTTCTTGGTCGCCGTCTTTTCCTTGTCCACCTGCTGCGTCTTGATGTGTCGCAAAAGCGCAGACGAGGCTCTGGAGACCTGAAGATCGAAAATAATCGTTAGCTCAGCAAATAGAATTGGGTGGGTTCCTCTGGCGATTGCAGGGGCGAGAACATACCTGGTTCTGATCAAGCTGGTAAGGAGATCCAGTTGTCACCTTGGTGGTGACTGCACTTGAAGACACCATCTTTGCAATTATATGTTGATCCTAGCAAATTTGGACTCTCGCAGGTTCTGCGATAACGATTTTCAAAAAAATTCACGGGAAGGCGGTGGACGAATTTCTCCGGTCTTGGCATCGAGTTATGTGCTGAGTCATCATGTCCCCTCGTGTGCTCAACTCCAGAGTATATCCAGCATTCCAGCCCCTCCACACATTCCAGATAGACTTGTCAGTTAATTGATCTGATTGATACCCATGTTCCATTCTATTAGTATATTAAACTCTAGTTCGAACAGGTGAGATACTCATTGTGAAGTCGCCAAATAGGTGTCGCGAGGACTGCTTGTTCTTGGTGATGTGATGGTTGCCGCGGGAAAGTGCCTGGACGATGATGAGAAAGTGAAGAGAATGGGCAACCAGGCAATTTGACTGGTCACTGTCTATGTGACATTTCAGTCCATAACATGATAGAGCACTATGTCACTATAACCCCCGCCCTCGCTATCTTAATCAGTTCATCTTGCCTACAGCAATGAGATGGTTCAGCCAGTGCTGCCAAACGGTAGAGATAAATATATTTAGACCTTTACTACTCGGGGGAGTGCCAAAGCGAAGGGTCAAAGAGCCTACAATACCACAACAACAGAGCAGCGAAATTCATCTCGAATCTCAATAGATTCATTCCAAACGATCTATCAACAGACACCAGTTCGTCGAAACTTTAAAACGGCAGACCGATAAACAAAGGAAGTCGCATAAAATGACAAGTCCACAACTCCACGACTACCTCAAGGCAGTGTACAGTGTACACGTCAATCGCTGATATGGGAAATGAGCTACTCGGTACTAGTAGCATTAGTGTCTTGCTGTTGACTCGGAAGTTGGAACGCGCGTGGAAATAAGTCCCTAGTGGCATTGTCCACAGTCCACTTCCAGTCAGACCCAGTAGCTACAAGGCTGAGCGCTCATCAGCCGTGAGATAATTACTCCGTTGGCAGTCTCCGTTTGTGGAATTCATAGCGAGCGAGTTATCAGTCATCACTATGATTGTGTACGGAGTAGTAAACACTGACCCAGGAACAATGAAAGTCCCGAGGTTACATCTCCGGAGCCAAACCGTGTAACTACCTCATAACTATTGAGTTATTGACTATTGAAAGACACGCGGGGACATGCCACCAGTTAATCTCGCGGTTCCAAGGAACATGGCAGAAATTGTGTTACAGAAGTGACCATCTCGGGCGAAGCAATTTCAGGGGTGGGGTTGTTGGATTAACCTGGAAGGCATATGGCATGAACTTTGTTTACGGACTAGGGAATATAGCCGGTGAATGTTTTTCTTTGAATTAAGTTCAGGAAATACATAGTACGCTGGTGTGTATACGTACTCCTGTAAGTTATAAGTTATCAATTATGATCTTAGGACTCCGTAGTTTTGAGACATCGCCGTCCCAGTGGAGATAGTTACTCCTTGGTGAGAGATCCCGATGTCCCGTTGATAACTAAAGTAACCCCTGATCCCCCAAGAAATCCGATCAGTCGACCTGGACCACCAGGAGCTGGGCGACTGATGATCTCCCAAAGCCGCCAGAAATATCACTGTGGGCGATGGAAGTTGCGAGAAACCGCCCCCAAATCCATTCTATTCTAATAATATCCACGAGAGGCCGAGCCAGGTCTCTTGTCTCTTGAAGGCGAAGGCGATCCGATCACGTGGGTATGAGAGCGATCCTCCCGAGCACTGATCGCACCGTGTATTCGTTGTGTGGAATAACTGGAGGGATCCAACGCTCCGATCTTCATTGAAGCGAGTTGGTTGGCAACCCAGGAGACAGCACTCTCTGGAACGAGACTGCAATTTATAGATAGTTCAAATCAGGGATGACATGTGTAGATGATGTCACGCACAAGGGTTCGGATCCACGAAACCAGCAGGAAGATCTGATTAGAAATCTCCAATACTCCGTGGTTACATGTCAAGTATCGACACACACCATGATTCAATGATTGATTCAATGATTCGATCCCCACGGAGTAAGTAGGTGGTCACGAGTTGGGGTCGACCACGTTTGTTTCGCAGTCGAACAGGGCAGAAGGTGGTCTCGTAAAACTTCCTACCTGTAGGTACTCGTTACAGGGTGCTTTGATTCTGCAAGGCACCTGCATATACGATCCTCTCGGAGATCAAATTTTTGATTTTACAAATCTACGGTGATGCGTGCGGCCCAATTCCAATGACAGAGAGATGATGATGTGTTCCGCGCTTCCGACTGAAGCTGAGGAGCGGTCAGTTGGAGGGTGCCAGCACAGCAGAGCCTGGTCTAGTAAGATGCCGATCGCTGGGTACTGATTTTGACTTCTCCATAACCACTACCACACCGTTTAGTCTAGTCAACACGACGGCGATCAGAAGGGTTCAGATGGTTTCTCTCCGTCTGTAGTTAATAGTTATTGACTGCCCATCATCTGATGCCCTGACATGGAGGCCATCAAAGTGGCCTGTTAGGCTGTTAAGCGGTTGGCCCCTGGAATAGAAGGCTAGAAGGCTGAAGCCAGAGGATCATCGTCTTGTAAGTTGGGATGGACATGATAAACGGGAGAGACGCTCCGCAACGGCCCTTGTTTAGCCTTTCAGAAACGCTTGTTTGTTTTTAGGTGCCAAATCGCACCAGGCCAGTCTCCCCTATTTGGCGGGACGTGTTTGGTCCAGCGCAGATCACTCCATCTCTGCCGCGGGTGGTGGGCAGCCGTATGCTGTACACTTACCGTACGTATCTCCGCGGTAATCAACAATCCTCGAGGTTGGGTTCGAACGGCTGGGGAGATGCATAATGATTCAGAGTGTAAAGGATTGAATCATGGTTGGTTCATTGATTTGATTATCTTACTTTGCATTTTTCCTTTTTTTTTTTTTTTTTTAATTCTGTTCCGGTGGGTGTTTTGGAACCCCTTCGACACCCCCTGCCGAGGACCGGCAAGGATAAAAGGAAAAGGATCCAAGACGTGGAAAGAGAGTATACAATTGTGTCGTTGGATCCGTGGAAGGACGTGGCCTGAAATTTGGGTCCAGCCAGACCGGAACCACCAGTCAGAATACAACCAGAGAAAATGTTTTTTCTTTTCCTATTAATCTTTCTATTAATACAAAGTACGAGTCTCATCCACCAAACATAGGACAGTCTAGGGACCACCGAAGGCAACTAAATGATCGGACATGAGACAATCCCTGGAGGTCATACTTTTTGTGGCCATCGTCGGGGCAAGCGAAGAGGTGACTGTCCAGACTGATTGGTGTGCCTGATTGAGGGAGTAAAATGTGCTGACTCCACTGTCACCCCCACATCTCACAGTCTGGTTGGTGTAAACTCAGCCGAAAAGTGCCATTTTAGGCAAACGCCAAACCCGGTACGGTTAGTCCCGGCGGGCTTCAGGAACAGAAATGATGATTTAGTAGATGCGAGTGGCCAAACAGAGGCGAGAAACGCCCGATACTCCGGTTTTCCCCTCTGGAACAAGAGACCAGAAGGATTGTGAACGGGTGGTAGTCAGAGGGATAACGGCGCTAAATCCATATTAACCATACTTATAATAATTATAATCATGATCAGAATAATAATAATAGAGTCAAGACGGTCCAGACCTCTCCCACCCCAGAAGCAAGCCCAGAAGAAAAGCACTGCCTGACCACGAATCTCTCCGAGGTTATTGCCGATATATGCCCTTGGGCCGGTAGACACGTCGTTTGGTCCCTCACGAACTATGGTTTCTGCACCGCATTTCCAGAGGCATTTTCTCGTTCCCCCTCTTCGGTTCCATTCTTACTCTTATTCTCACGAACGCCTCGTTTATGTCCAGGATTGGTACCGAAGAGGCAATATCAGCCGTGGCACCATGTCAGAATGTCGGGATATACTCACCCCCGGCGGACCAAGCCTGACCCAAACCTGACAAAGGAGGGAGTCAAGTCGGGTATTAACTCCAAAGTTACCAGGTACGAAGTACTAATTGACAGACCTTGGATGTGGTTGGAGGAGATGGGAGATTTCCATGCAGGTACAGCACTAGGGGGTATATGGGATACTGAGAATACGGTAAGAAATCTTTCATGTTAATCAAAATCACCCATGTCTGGTCTCCAGGTGTGGATCCTTGATATTAATCTTTTTATTTATTTATTTTTACACTGAGTATTTTTATTCCTTCGATTACTTTTATTCTAGCATTTATTTATTTTTCTATTATTTATTCTATTTTTTTATTTGATTAATATTTTAATTCTTCTGACTATTGCCTGGTTGAATCGGTGGCTGTTCCAATGTCCATCGTAGTGCCACCATTGATCGTTGGTCTTGTTGGCATCGAGCCCCTGGAAGACCCTGGACGCCCCCCCCGTGTCCCTCTTTTAGTCGTTTTTTTTCTGCTCGCTCTCGCCCCCCCTGGGCCCATCCATTTTCCCTGTACATTGAACTAGTAGTTAGTCCGACTCAATCTCATTTCGTTCCTTTTCATCTCCCCTTCCCTCCCATCATCCCTCCACATTTTCTCCTCTTCTCTCTCTCTCTCCCTTCTTCTCCCCCCCCCCAGAGTGTTTTCACCTTTGCTTCTTGCCAGTTCTTTGAGATTCCTATCCGAACTGAGAGACCTGTTTCTCTCTCGTACACTCTTTTGGGAACCTCTGTTATCGAATCTAGCTCCTTGCTCACACACTCTACTTCACGTTCAATTCCGAAGCGATTCGTTCGATCCCTGTACAGTCATATCAAAAGCGCGCGACTGGCTTGCCCTGACGTTGATGTATGTATAAGCATTGTTCCCCTTCTGGTCGTTGGTCCGTTCCTCGTGGTAGTCTTGCATCCCATAAAACATCATGAATGCGCCCTGCACCCTGCTCCCCCAGTCCTTGGCCGTGCGCATATCTCCATGCTGGCCGGCCGAGGTGGGGACTGAGGCGATGAGAGCAGGTGTCAGGTGTCAGGGGTTATCAGGACCAACTGATAAGAGACATTGTGCCCAGTGGAATGGATGACTCGAGACTCCCGTGGCATGTGCGCTAATCAACCCCCCGGCATATATAGATCGGATCAGTCCATATACATCACCATCTCCAGGAACATATCTACTACATACCAACACAATGAAGTTCAACTCAGTTGCTCTGACCCTGGCGACGGCGGGCTCTCTCGTCGCTGCCCAGCACCACCACCAGCACCGTCACCACCACAAGCGTACCGTCGATGTGGTCCCCGGTGACACCGTTGTCGAGTACAAGCTCGGCGATGAGATGATCACTGCCGAGGAGGCTTGCCAGGGTATCGCCGATGGCACCCTGATCTGGGCCGGTGCCGCCCCCAAGGTCGATGAGTGCAAGAGCATCCTGGCCGGCCCGACCTCGACCGCCACTCCGACGCCCACTGTCGCCCCCGGCGAGTTTGCTGAGGAACCCACCACCACCGCCCCCGCCAGCACCAGCAGCACCACCACCAAGGCGGCTCCCTCGACCACCAGCTCGGCCTCTCCTCCCCCGGCCTCCTCCAGCGGCTCCTCCAGCGGCGGCAAGGGCATGGACAAGGAGTTCCCCGATGGCGAGATCGACTGCGGTGAATTCCCGTCCGATTACGGTGCCGTGCCCCTGGAATACCTGGGCCTGGGCGGCTGGTCCGGTATCCAGTACGTGTCCCTGGCCGATGAGCTGATCAGCGACATCGTCACCGCCGTCACCGGCGACACCTGCCACTCCGGCGCCATGTGCTCCTATGCCTGCCCCGCTGGGTACCAGAAGTCCCAGTGGCCCACCACCCAGGGCGCCACGGGCCAGTCCGTCGGTGGCCTGGAGTGCCGCAACGGCAAGCTCTACCTCACCAACACCGAGCTGTCCAGCAAGCTCTGCATCGAGGGTGTGGGCGGTGTCAGCGTTGAGAACAACCTGAGCGATAACGTCTCCGTTTGCCGTACTGACTACCCCGGTACCGAGGCCGAGACCATTCCTATGAGCCTGGGCCACAACGACCTGCAGCCCCTGACCTGCCCCGACGGCGACAAGTACTTCAAGTGGAAGGGCAAGACCACCTCGGCCCAGTACTACGTCAACCCCCGCGGCACCAAGCCCGAGAAGGGCTGCCAGTGGGGTGACGGCAGCGAGCCCATCGGCAACTGGGCCCCCGTCAACCTCGGTGTTGGCTCCAACAACGGCAAATGGCTCTCCATCTTCCAGAACAGCCCCACCACCAACGAGAAGCTCGACTTCAACATCAAGATCAAGGGTGACAACCTCAGCGGATCGTGCAAGTATGAGGATGGCAAGTTCATCTCCGAGACGGGCAGCAACGACTCCGGCTGCACTGTATGTTTCCCTTTCTCTTTCTCACTTCACTTTGACTCTGGCTAATTCTTCTTTCTTCAATAGGTCCAAGCCTTGTCCGGCGACGCCACCTACGTCTTTTACTAAACGTTCGGGTCGGCTCGCAATTGACAAAGCCACATGGGTGCAACTGCAACCCGGTAGCCCCTTCCCCTTCCACGCCGCGTCCCACTCCCTATTTTCATGATTCCACCGGCGAGTGTGTTTGCTTTTCTTCTGTGTATCTTAAGTATATTTTGTCCCACGTGGTTTTGAAAACATTCCGGTTCACGTCACATTTTTTCCGTGACGTCCCCCACAGTCTCCATCCTGTCTGGGGTTTGGGGGCGGTGGGGGACGCCTGTGGTTAGATTTACTTTCTCTACCCTCCTGCGAAGTAAACTGATTTCTTGTCACCTTGACTTTTCTTTTATTATTTCTTCTAGTAAGATAGTTTTATAAATAATGTTGTTATATATTGAGATCGCGACGGTGTCTGTAGGTAGGGCGTGTATGTAAATATGGGGTCTTTGAACAACATATATATCTATGTATATATCCCGCATCTCCAAAACACAACCCCAACCACAACCAACGCAACCCCATCAGCCAAACGGGTCTTCAACATTCAACACAAGTCATATCTCCGTCCAAACCCAACTCCACGCCCTACAGACGAGACGAAAAATAAAGAAAGCATAATCCCTGGCATTGCATTTCCTCGGGGTCCCTCACCGTACTTTAAAAAACATTATCTACTTACTTACCAAGTAGTAAGGTAGGTAGGCACTTGGTGCTTAAGTAGGTACATATGTAAGTCCGGCCCCTCGTCTCCGGTTGGAATGTCCTGCAGATGTCGTGTCGTGTTGCGTCGTGAATGTGGGGTTTAGCCCCTGGCAGGCACAATATATACCTCTCCCCGTCTCTCTCTCCCTCTCTACATATATATCGGTACTAGGTCGATGGGTTGTTGTGCTTTGGGCAATACATATATATATATATTAGTTGAGTAGGTAGCTGATTGAAACTGAGCCTTTCTGTTCGATTTTACACCACACTATAGTACAGCAAGAAAAGAACCACGCACGGACTAGACTAAACCCCGTGCTGGCAGTGGTCCTCTGGAATGTGCACTTAAGTGGGGTTGGGAGAGAAAGAAACAAGGAGATCGGTGCGTCGGTCGGTGGGGGGTTCAATAGTCAATTAGTTACTACTTATGTTGACTAGTCGTTAGTAGTACATACTACCTTGTGTGATGGTTATATTGGAATTACTGACTTGGGTAGGGTAGCGAGTATGAAGGCTGGCGCGCTTGCATTAGTTATTTGGTCGCGTACGTTGGTTACATCTTACGTGGTTACGTTTACGTGGTTGCGGGAGGCGTCGCGTCGGGACATAAAATTTATGCTGGACATAACTAGGTGGGTAGGTGGGTAGATAAGGTAGGGAGTCCGTACACTCCGTAGTTCATGGGCTAGGATCGAAGTAGGGACTGTAGGGTGTGTCCGCAATGAAGGGTGCCAATGCTAGGCTGGGAGAAGATTAAGGAGAATCCTGGCCAATTCCTAGGTATTTGGACAGGAGGGTTCGATGTTGGTGATAAGTCCGCTTATTTGTAGCTAGTAACGGAGTACTCCGGGGGTACAGGTATGGACTTATATACCATTTACCAGGTAGTCCATGGTATAGTCGGTAGTACCTGGTACTACTGTAGTAGGTATCAAGTCGCGACAACATGCATAGTGTCCAATCAAAGGGCAGAGAATCCTGCGTCAGGCTGCTAAGGCACATGCCTTTCCCCTTCGAGACGGTGATCACATGATCAGGCGCAAGTCACGGGATGCGAACCAGAAAACGCGAGGCACATGACTGGGGGACGCGGGGAGACGCGCCCTGTCGACACGGCCTTTGTAGGAGGAAAGTCAATGGAAGGGCCTGTTTTTCGGGTGCAAATGTAGTCAAAATTATATGTTGAATTGCCTCTAAATCTCCAAAATGCTGAGGAATACACAGTCTAAGAAGTTCGTAAGTAAACTGCGCGAGGTTAGTGGTGGAGCTTGGTGAACCTCGCCGGCGCCTATCGAACGCGTCTCGGGCTGTAAGCGTGCATTTCCGCGCTGGACGAGACCCTCCGCTCCGGTACGCATTCCACCACACACCCAATCCTCTCACCCTTTTTCGTTTTTTTCCCTTGACCTTTTTTTTTTACCCTTTCGTGATTACTTCTCATTCCTTTTTTTTTTCTTTTTCTTTCCTTTTCGTCCATAGACCAATTCTGTGCCTCCCCCAACCTCCTGGTCCTCGCCTTTTGGGGGGTAGTTGTGTTCAAGGCTCATTCCTTTTCGTCTTTCACTTGCCTCGATTCGTCTGCTCGCTTTCCTTGTTTTACCTGGTCTATAGAAATAGACTGACCCTTCCTCTGTCGGGTCCTCGACGCGAATCCCTTCTCGTCCTACCCCCCACCGCTTCAATTGGAGAGTGTTGTCCCGTCTAGGTTTGTTCACGGTACCGTTAGGACGTGTTGGTGCTGTTGAATAGACTATCCTGTCACCATGGAGTCTTCTCCCCCAAGGAGCAGTTTCACTGCTTCCGTGGCAGGTGTGAAGCGTCCAGCGTCTCTGTTGCCCGCGTTTGAGCCATTGAGCTCGTCGCCCTCTCTGCCTCGTCCCCAGAAGCGTGTAGCACGCGAGGACAATGGCCTCGCCTCGATGTACCCTACGCCGGTCCCGACCTCGTCCACCCATATTATGTCCTCCTCTCCGCCTCGCATGGCCCTGTCTCGAAACGCGTCACGACGAGCCGTCGTCTCCTCCAACTCGGAACGGTCTCCGCTGTCCGCTGTGCCAACATTGATGCTCTCGGAGAATGGTGACCCCCTCCTGATGGGTAGATCGAGTGTCTCGTGCCAGCATCAACTAGCCGCCAACCGTATGATTTCTCGAATCCACGTCAAGGCCACGTATAAACCGGCCCCGAACCCCTTCGACCGTGATAGGGTGGAGATACTGTGCATGGGATGGAATGGGATTAAGTTGCATTGCCAGGGGAAAACCTATGATTTGGCCAAGGGGAAGACGTTCACGTCGGATATAAAAGATGCCGATATCATGATTGATGTTCATGACGCGCGGGTGTTGGTCCAATGGCCACGCGGGGATAAGAAAGATTATGTCTCGACGGAGGAGGAAAGCACCCCGACACGCCACGGGCAATCCCGTCGGAGTCTCCAGGATAGTCCTGCTGTTGAGCGTCCGCGGTTGGCTTCTCCCGTGTCTCCGTCTCCCGCAACCAAGTCTCTTGTCCCTCCCTCTTCGCCTCTGTTTACCCCGACCCGTTCTCGCAATTCGGTGGTCGTGTACGAGGATGAGGCGTCCCCGATCCGCCGCAACACCTCTCGGGATGTGTTGCCGTCTGAGGATTTCCAAGACCCGGCCTCCGATGAAGCGGACCTCTTGCAGAGTTCGCAGTCCAGTGACCTGAGTGAGCTGAGTAAGAATGACGACTTCTCTGATCATGACGAGGAAAATGATCCCATTATTCATTCGTTTGGGCCGTTCGGGGAGAACCTCCTGCCACGCCTGGCATCGTTTACTGCGGATGACTCGCCGCTTCAGCCTACCCGTCCGCGCAACCAGCTTGCTGCCCAGCACGACTCGTCCACCAAGTCCCCCAAGCAGCCGTCGAAGCCAGCTGAGGAGATCCACCAAGCGCCTGCCAAGCTCGATCTGTCTGACGAAAGCGTGGGACGAGTGCAGAACCACGCCGTCAACCAGCTGGCCTTCTCCCGTCTCTCGTCGACTCCCTTCTCGACTATTCTCAACAACCTTCCTCCTAGCTTTTGGAGGAAGGAAGGTGGCTCCAAGGATGTGCCCACCAGGGACCAGGTTCTCGCCATCATCGACACCGCCAAGTGTATTGGGAAGGTTGCCCGTGAAGGCAAGGACGCTGCCGGGAAGCCCCTCGAAAGCGAGTACTACTACGTCGCTGATTTCGACGACGACGAGATGCGGCGCGAAGCTGTTGTGAATGACCTTCGGAAGCCCGGACTCCGCAATTGTAGAAAGCAGCATAAGGTACGAAGCTCGCCACTGACCAGCTTGGACCAATCACTAACCGACCCTAGCAATACTTCTGGCGTAAGCCGAAATAGATGTCGACCAGATATTGCGCAAGACAGATGATAGTACTTGCCTACCCACCTTCTGGTCGTGACGATCGAACCAAAGGTGGTTACCGTTCTTAGTACATAGTTGTGTTGCTTCTTTTCTTGCTGTTTGTGACTTTCATTGATTATTCGCATAGCGTGGCGTGGGCATACCCTGTTTTATTTCATGTTGCAGTATGAAGGTGTATGATGAATGGTGGTCCAGTTCGTGATGATTATTTCATCGACTTGTTACTAGGTGGTCTGACTGTTTTGTTTGCCACCCATGTGTGATGTCTGCGGTGTTTCCCCAGGGTGTTTGCCTGGGCGAGTGTGTGTGTACCTCTTGTTGTCTCGCATGTTGCCTCCAATGGTCTGACCCCTCCAATGGCCTTCTCCCTCGGGGTGGGCATCGATACTATCCCCATGTTTATATTGTTGTATTTTCCCCTTTGTGTTTGCCCAGTGGATTTCTGGTATCTGTATTCCCTCTATTTTGGAACGATCATGGACTGTATGTTATCTGTTTCCAAGAAACAAAAAAAAAAAGGAAAAAAGCATTAGTGTTTAGAATTATTCCAGTCCAGTCGGTTTCTTTCCAGTTATGCTTCAAGGTACTGGTATCTGATATTGGATCGGACCATGGTTGATCCGAGAGGTGTCACTGTTCGTTCACATGTAACCATTTGTCCCACGCATATATCATAATGATGTTAGCGATGGGATGATTTCCAACCAAGGGATGTCAGATATCACCACGGGGCCAGACAACACCAACGTGTGTCTTTCTGCATTGCCTCTTGAAAACGATATAACATGAGTTATAAGAGCACCAAGCTCGCCCACCTACTACTTCCTACTACTTAACAACACCATCTAGCCATTGATCGCATAACCTACTTACCCACCTACCTACCTATAAAACTACACACTCCACGCATCACTATAACCAGCGACGGACACTCGAGAAAATGCCCCTCCCAAACCCATCCCACGAAGCGGAAACGCTGGACCCAGAGCCCAACCCAATCAAGCTCTCTCCCACCGCATCCAGCCCAACAGAAACCTACCCCGAGATCTCCTCCAGCATGACACACGAGCATCATATCCCGCAGAGACCGTGGAAACCGAGGGATCGTGCTCATGAGCGTCGCCAGAGCTGGAGTCAGCAGGATCGCAAGCATGATCTGCAGTCGCGGCTGTTGGAGGTGAAGAAGGGGGATGAGAGTGGGTTTACGGAGATTGAGCGTGGTGGGGTGGAGGAGTAGTGGTCATCATCGGTCTTCGGTCAGTGGTTATTGATTGTTTGGATGATATGGTTTCTTTCTGTCTTTCTTTCGTCCGTTATTATATTTTGGATGTTGTAATTGGTTTGGTTTTTGTTGGTTGGGGGTTCCAGATTGAAGTTTGTTTGGTCTTGTGGTAATTGGTGGTTCGTGTGTTTGCTGGGTTCTCTGTGTAATGGTATCGTGTGTTGGCTGAGGGTCGTCTTGAGAATGTACTGTCAGTATGTCTGCAAAGTCAGTGGTGTACTGTGAGGCAAGAACAAATTGAAGATGATGTTATGAAGTGTCCTATACCTCTGTAGTCCACATTGATGTGACGAGGTTCCGCCTAAAGTTGCCCACCCGCAGGGACCGCCTTCGGCTCCCACTCTTCGCCGCCGCAAGTCGCTCTGCTCTCCGTCACGGCTTTTCTCCAGCCAGACCCGCCTCACTTCTTAACCCTCCTCCGAAATCGCCGACTTTCGAGACGAGAGCGCGTCACTTTCCCTTTCATTAATCTCCACCAATGTGGCGTTCAAGTCACTTGTGCGCTTTCCTTTCCGACTCTCTGGAAAGACCCCACGACAGTTGAAAATACAGCGAACGGGCTTAAGAGAATGGAACGTCAACGGAAGCGTACGATCCCTGGATCCACACAGTTCATGAACCTCACTCTGTGCGTGCAATTATCGCTAACATTACATGCTTATAGGAGAGCTCCGCGATCTCAACGAGAGAGCCTGGAATGGCGAAAGTGGTAAATACCGTCCCAATACACCCACCCAATACGTCTTCAACTACCCCTCTCCTCCCCGTCAGGATCTGCTTCTCTAATCGCTAGACAATCACGCAATAGATGTCTTCCCCGTCAGCAAGTCTCTCGATTCCGCGCTGAAGAAAAACACCGCCTTCATCAAACGTCTCCGCACGGGCATCAACGCCGCCGCCCAGCAGACCTTCCTGTCCGACATCCGCACGCTCTCGCTCCACAAGTACCTCTCCGAGATCATCTCCGCCTGCTTCGAAGGCCTCTGCAAGCTAAAGTCGCCCGGCGAAATCGCCACCGGGGTCGAAATCGCGAGCGCCCTGCACCAGCGATTCGGAGCCGCGGAGTTCACGCGACAGATCGGATGGCTTCTGGGTCGCGGCCTCAGCACGCCGGACAAGGGGCAGTTGAAGGCGCTGAGTCCTGAGGTGCGCGAGCGCGAGGAGAAGGAGCGCTTGTCTCGTCACCGGATTTTGCTCCGCGTGGTGACGGAGTTGTGGCTGGTGGGGGTTTTGCGGACGCTGGATGATATTGAACGGCCGGAGGACGTGGGCACGAAGGGGAAGGAGGGGCTGGTGGGGATTGGCGGGAAGGCTTCTGAAGTGCCCTCCAAGGCTAAGGTCACCCCTGCGGCGCGAGATGGCGATAAGGAGGCTGAGCCGTTTCCTTTGGAAGTCTTGAAGGATCTTTTAGGCCACGACCGCGACCACACCAACCTGCCGCTTGCCGTCCTGTTCGTCAAGAGCTTCAGCTGGGATATTCTAGGGACCAAACCGGTGGATGAAGGTCGGAAGACGGTTGAAGCGGATGGTACCACGACTGCTACTGCGCCCGCGGAGATTCCGGCGACGAACGGCGGAGACAATGGAGATGCGACTGAGGACGACCCGCCACTTGTTCCAGAGAAGGCCCAGTCCCGCTTCCGAAGCATCCTGAACCGATATCTGGAGGACGTCAAGGCGCACGTTGTACGCGATCAACGGGCGTTGATCAACCAGAGTCGTCGCAATGCGGAGGCCTACGTCAAGAGTGGCGAGATCTTCGAGGATCGCCAGGCGAACTTCGAGAAGCAGACCAAGACGCTGGAGAAGCTGGTGGCAAACACTCAGGTCTTGTGCGAGGCGCTCGGTGCGGAAATGCCGGCTTTGGCCGAGCAGGAGACAACCGACGCCAACTCCAGCGGGGGGATAGGGCTTGTGAAGACTGCTGAATACCTGCGCGGCCAAGGCGACGGTGCGGGGATCTGGGAAGATGAAGAAGAGCGACGCTTCTACGAGAACTTGATGGACCTTAAGGGAAAAGTGCCGGCTGTTTTGCTCGAGGATGGGAAGAAGAAAAAGAACGAGTCAGAGGAGACGGCCAAGAAAGACGGTACACCGGAGGGGGTCGAGAAGTCCGAACCAGCCTCCCAACCTTCAGCCTCTGAGGAGAAGGCGTCCGCAGATGCAGACGACCAGTCTATGGCCATCGCAAGCAAAACCGTCGGTGCGCAGGTCGACGCTCTCCTGGCAAAACTCCCCGATCTGCAGACAAAGGACCACGTCGATCAGCTGGCGCTGGACTTCTGCTTCGTGAACTCAAAGGCCTCGCGAAACAGGCTTGTCAAGGCTGTATCCGACGTCCCCAAGGGCCGCATCGATCTTCTGCCGCTATACTCCCGCCTAGTGGCAACCCTGGGCCAGTACCTACCCGACATCCCGCAGGGAATAACGACATACCTCGACGAAGAGTTCCGCAGTCTCCAGCGCCGAAAGTCCAAGGAGTTCCTGGGCCAAGTCCGCATGAGCAACGTCCGCTACCTAGCGGAATTGACCAAATTCGGCGTTGTCCCGGAGCACATCATCTTCCACTGCTTCAAAGTCTCGCTGGATGACTTCTCGCGCATGAACATCGAGATCATCGGTCATTTGCTGGAGAACTGCGGTCGGTACTTGTTCCGCAACCCGGAGACTTCCCCGAGAATGGCTTCGTTCCTAGAGACACTCACACGGAAGAAGACGGTCCAGCATCTCGGTCAGCAGGAGCGGATGATTATCGAGAACGCGGTGTACTATGTTGATCCGCCGCCGCGGCCTGCTATTCAGCAGAAGGAGCGCACGCCTATGGAGTCTTTTATTCGTCGGCTTGTGTATCTGGATATGAATAAGCGGAATTATACGAAGATTCTGAAGTCGATCCGCAAGCTTCATTGGGAAGAACAAGAGGTAAGCAAGTGTTCTGATGGAGGCCCACGTTTCGATGCTAACTCGTTGCCACAGGTGGTTGATATCCTGGAGCGTGTGTTTTCGAAACCGGTCAAGGTCAAATACGGCAATATCCACCTCCTCGCGATTCTCGTCAGCGCTCTGTACAGGTACCACCAGGATTTCGTGATTGGGATCGTGGACAACATTCTCGAGCGTATCACGCTTGGGCTTGAGCAGAACGAGTTCAAGTTCAACCAGAAGCGCATCGCCGAAGTCAAGTACCTTGGAGAGCTGTACAATTACAAGATGATCGACTCGCCGGTCATCTTCGACACGCTGTATCGGATCGTCACGTTTGGCTATGGTGAGTTGGTCTTGTCGCTGTCTCTCTCGGTCATTTGTTAACGGTTGTTGTAGAAGGTGGAACCCCGATTCCAGGGAGGATTCAACCGCTCGACCTGCCCGATGACTTCTTTCGTATCCGTCTGGTTTGCACTCTCCTGGATACCTGCGGACACTGCTTTGACCGTGGATCCGCCAAGAAGAAACTGGACTTTTTCTTGACGTTCTTCCAGGTAGGATGTTCATTCCACATTTTATATACTAGGGCAACAGCTGATTTTCCTGCAGTACTACATGTGCACGAAAGACCCACTGCCCATGGACGTTGATTTCCTCGTGCAAGACACCTACTCGGTCACACGGCCTCAATGGAAACTAGTGACCGACCTAGAAGAAGCCACTAAGATCTTCGGCGAAGCAGTAGCCCAGAACTACAAGACGCAGGATACCGAGAGAGCGGCCGAGCCAGAGGAGGACGACGCCGACAGCAGCTCATCAGACGAGGGTCTCGAAGAAGACGTGATCCCCGAAGCCGAAGACGACCAAGAGTCGAGCGACGAAGGCGAGGCCGACGTGAGTTTCCAACCAAACCCTCATATCTCCTGTGCTTGTGCTAACGCAAGCAATCCATCCAGGCATCCGGACCCAATGAACAAAACGAAGACAGCGACTTCGAAGAAGAAATCTTCGTCACCCGCCAAGAAGAGGAACGCGACCCCCAAGTCGAAGCCGAGTTCGACCGCGAGTTCGAAAAGATGATGTCCGAGAGCATCGACTCGCGCAAGTTCGAGCGCAAAGCCGTCTTTGACATTCCCCTGCCCATGAAGCGATCTGCGCGCGAAGGCGCGGGGGCTGAGAACGCGCCGCTGGAGCCGTCGGCGCCCCCGCCGAGCAGCCACCACCGGCACAGGCGCCGGCGCCGGCGCAGCACAATACGATGGCGTTTTCGCTGATGACGAAGAAGGGGAATAAGCAGCAGGTTTGTCCATCCATTCATTTTCTCCCAAGAACCTTCTCAAGAGAATGAATGATATGATATGATACTAACGTTAAAACAAGACCCGCAAAATCGACATGCCATCCGACTCCAGCTTCGCCATCGCGATGAGAACGCAGCAGCAAGCCGACCGCGAAGAACAGCAACGCATCAAGAGTCTAGTCCTGAACTACGAGATGTCCAACGAGCCCGAGACCGCCGAGTCAGCCTCTGATACCAAGCGCCCGGCTGTCACCAATAACAGCAACAAGGCTGATAAGTCCAGCGGGGGCCGCACGTCTTTCCGATCTCGCAAGCTTCAACTCAGTGATGTCAATTGGTAAACGGATGACACCGTGGACGCAATAACAAACCACGCACGCATCATCCACTCGGAATTTCAACGGAGGTGTATGTATCTGTTTCAACACCATGGCATATATCATGCATATATGCTCGTATGTATGCCTCGGGAGATGAACCTTGATCGCGCTTTCAATCACCCAATCGATCAGGCCAGGACAGGACAAGATTCAATCGCACTTCTTCTGCGGCGACTCAACTCAACTCAACTCAGCTTACATTGCAGAGTGAATCGCCCACGGGGTGGAAGGATAGATACATCGCAGCGACTGGCTCCATCAGCCATTTATCATCCATCCCTCACAACATGAGTCATCCGTCGCTCTCGCTTTTGTTGATTGCCTCTGTCCGCATCGGACTTACTGGTCACGGCTCCCGACTTCTTCTTACCTACCCATACACGTGCCTACTCCAGAACGACAACAACAAGGCATTCGAATACATACTCGAGTTGACACCAGCTATCTAGCTAGGTCGTACCACTGAGAGAGAGAAAGAAAGAGAGAGAAAGAGGCAGTCGATGGACAAGCTCACTCATTGAAACAGGGCCCAGTCGGATGGTGGAATCTCAAGGAAAAAAGAATACTGATATCTATCTAATACTGCCTTGTACGATAGGTATAGGTAGAAGTGAGATTTCTTTCCAACCCGGGTCTTTGTTCAATTCAGCAAAGCAGCTTGTGAACGGACGGGTCACCATAGTAGACAGACAGACCTATTGTTTCTCTTTTTCTTTTCTATTAGCTAGATTGATCAAATCCTCTTCTTTTCCTGAAAAAAAAAAAAAAAAAAAAAAAAAAAATTCAAGAAATAAATAAATGCCAATAATGCGATCTACATTTGATTTATCTTGTTCCACTTCTGCCTCTTTTCTCTCTTCCTACTAGTTGGCGTACAAGTATCAGCTCGACGGAAACATACTATGCTAGACAAAAGAACTGATCTATTTCTATCTTCTCCAGAATGCCACGACCTACAAGTACACTAAGTTACATGATAGTGGAGAAGCGAGGGAAAGGCAAAAGGCAAACAGGTGTGCAGGTGTACAAGGGCAAAGTGGGAATGAAATGGATGCTGCTAGAAACAAACAAAAGAATAAGTAAGAAAAGACAATGAAATGAAGGAGATATGGAGAGAAAAAGCCAGGACGATCAATAGGGTCTTGGAGACAGTGGAAATGACATGAAAGACCTCAAGACCTCAAGCATAGGGGCAAGAAAAAAAGATGGAGGGTATATAATTCCACTATACAAAGAGCGCGACTGACCTTTCGAGTCCCGACTTATATCAAATCAAACAAGGTTTATCTCATTGATCATACAACACGCAGCAGTGATGAATTATCGTCCCCTATAATTTTACCCGTCCACAGACTGTCCTTTTTTCTTTTTCGCTTCTTAGATTATGCCGACGAATGTGGGCTAGGTTTCTCTATTTCTCCGGCGGGTTGTCGTTCTTGCTCTCGGTGTCGTGCCAGGCCTTGGGCATCAGATCGTCGCTCTCGGCCAGCTCGCCCTGCACAGCGGCGTCGGTCTTCACCTGGGAGAGGACCTCGCGGGCCTGGGTGCGCTTCTCTTCGGGTGCAGAGGCAGCCTCGATCTCGTTTGCGGTTATGGGCGCTTCAATGGCGGCTGCGGAGGCGGATGCGGCAGGGGCTTCGGCTTCGGTTTCAGCTTCGGCTTGGGCCTGGGGAGCTTCGTCGTCGTCTTCGAGCTCGGCGCCGTACACGTCAGGGTGCGCCCGGAAGCAGTCTTGCATGCCCCTGTAGTCAATTTACGTCAGCCATCAGTCTCACACTCCACTATGCCTCCATTCTTCCAGAAACACCACCCCGAACAGAGTGACAGGGAGGTACGAACTTGAACTTGTCAATGCACTCAATTCCCTTGGGGTCCTCCTGCGAGTAGACAAAGCAGCTGAAGGCCGCCTTGAACTCCTCTCCACACGGGCCGTGCGCCATGCCACCGAGGCAGGGGCAGTCCCAGTTGATCTCGCCGGTCTCGGGGTTGAAGGCGGCTTCTTGGCCGGCCTCCTCCTCGAGCTCCTCGGCGGACTTCACGGCATTGCTGCCATCGGCGGGCGCGCGGGCGGGCTTCTGCTGTTGTCTTTCTTCGCGGATGCGAGGCGTGATGGAGTCGAGGGTTGGGGGGGAGGAGGGCTCGGAATCGGCCTGGGGTTGACGGTGGAAGGAGACTGTCTTTGTTAGTTTCTCTTTATATATATCTTTTTGTGCGTGCGTGTGTTTCTTTTATGTCATCCTGATTCCCCCATGATGGGATAGAAAAGGCACGGGTCTCCCGGACGAATTTTCACATACACGACGGCTGATCCGCAAACACACTGCTCGTGTTATAGTAGTATACAGCGCCAACAGCCAACCCCAACCGGACAGCGGTATTCTTCCAACTCCTCGACTTGGTCTCGGCGGGACCGGTGCTTATCAATCGCTTGGTGGCCGGGCCACGAACTGCGACAGTCGGAGCGCGGAGGAGCGCTCTGGACGCGGGACGGAACATGACGGGGGATGGGGGGAGGGGGGTGGAGAGAGAAAGACGATAAGAAGGAAGAAAGAAGGACCAGATAAAGAGAGTGAGGGAGGTGAAGCCCGGGGATCAGAGCGACAATTGGCGGCACGGATGGAAAGACAAGATTAAGATGATGGACGAGGCGGGCCCGATCCGGGAGAGAAAGGAATATGTCGTGGCCTGAGGTGTCTCTACCCGTTCGTCACGTTTTTTACCGCGGTTGAGACAGCCGGTTTCTACGTCATGCATCATTCATTGACAGAACACTTCCGTCCTTCCTCTCACTTGTATCTACTCGTCGATCTTATTTGACTTAATGCATACGATACAATCATCTTCAAGATAGTAGGAGGGACCAGAATTATGGCCATTTTTCGATAGAAACATCTTCATGGCTACCCCGATGGACGGTTCCGATAGATCAGTCCCACCGGTCGAGGCGTTCCCCAGATAAAATGCCAACATCGAAGTCAGGGAGCAGCAGCCAGCTCAATGATGGAATTCCATCAGATTCCATCCCATCATGAAGTCTCACCCGCAATAGGGCTGGTCTAGGAATAAACCTACTAGCCCGTTGGCTCGAAAATGAGGATCAACATCTATACAGCGGTGGCCAGATTGTGGAACACGTTGATAACACGATAGCTAGCCATATAATCAGCGACAGGCAAGCATGAGGACCAAACGGCTGAGCCTACAGTTGTGCATGCCCTTGTCGGCACCTCCCCGGTCACAGCCAGTATATGGCGATGAAGATTGGGATTGGAGCGTGAAGAAAGCGTATACTTTGGACCTGGATATGCACTATATCTGCTCCGTATGGCGGGCAATCACACAATCCGCCGAGAACACCTAGGATGGCTACAATATGGATGGAAACAGTCTACTTGGCAGCAACATACGGCTCACTTCGGCAGCAGTTGAGGACCTATAATGCCGTGAAGATGGATGGAATGGGCATCATACAGTCTATCTGCTTAGATAGCCGCAGAAGAATGCATGTCTGAAATAGACTCATTGATAGTTCATGGTAGATCCTATATCTTACCCCAGTTACCGTAAACTATCAAAAACCGGACTTGTAATCCATAGAAATTTCCAGAATAGATCCAAGTAGCTGTCAGTCATTATTAATATATTAATATTAGCATGGAAACATTCAACATCAAAATTTAAAAAAAGATAGTATGCAAGTCCGACAAAGCAAGATAAGATCACGGGTTCCGCTCGCTAAGCCCTTCCGAAGATCCTGACATCACATCCCTTCCATCTCCAAGTCCAACCCCATATCTATAATCAATCAGATCAGCCAAGAGCCCCTACACTCTTTTATTCCACCAACCCCCAAGTCTTGCCAACAAGACAGAAGGCTATAATGGAGTGGGATCCCACCCAATTCTTCCGCACGGACGACGAGCCCCCACCGTTTGCTCTGCTCGTGCTGAACCAGCCAATCAACGAGAATGCCTTTGGGGTGTTGGCTGGACGTGGTATGTTTATTCCTATCTGTTAGATCGGCAGGGTTGATTGTGTTATATTGTGCATATAATAAATATATGATATTATATATGTACCTGCTGTAAGTCACATGCTAACTAACTAAACAATAGCACGGGCCATCGTCTGCGCCGACGGTGGCGCAAACCATTTCTATGAGATGATGAGGGGGTATCATAGAGAGGATAGTGATGTATGTACATCTTTTACTCTATACATATACATACACACATCAACAATCAACACACACCGCATCATACACAACATGCCAAACCAATGCTATAAAGCTATAATACCAATGAAACTAACAATGAACAGCTCCCAACCCTCATAATCGGCGACCTAGACTCCATCAAACCGCACGTGCGATCCCACTACGAAAAGCATGGGGTGTCTATCGTCCACGACGCAGATCAGTACTCGACGGATTTCACCAAGGCTTTGAAATATTTGCGCTCGCACGAGGGTGACTTTTTGCCTTCTCGGTCGTCCTCATCACCATCATCAGAGAAAGCAGCAGCAGCAACAACAGCAGAAGAAGAACCCTCCCTATCAATTCTCATTATGGGCGGGCTAGGCGGCCGTGTCGACCAAGCTTTCTCCCAAATCCACCATCTCTATCTTATGACGCAGGAGGAGCAGCAGCAGCAGCAGCAGCAGCAGCAACAACAACAACAACAACAACAACAACAACAACAACAACAACAACAACAACAACAACAACAACAACAACAACAACAACAACAACAACAACAACAACAACAACAACAACAACAACAACAACAACAACAACAACAACAACAACAACAACAACAACAACAACAACAACAACAACAACAACAACAACAACAATCTACAAACCAAAAAGACGCCAACCCCCCAACAGCAAGCCCAAGACCAAGAAAAAGAAACAACCTCTACCTCATCTCCTCAGAAAGCATAACCTTCATCCTGCAACCCGGCCAAAACAAGATCCTCACCCCCCGAACCAACCGACCCCATCTCACCCCCCAAGAAGACAAACCCGCCCCAGAAAACGCAAGAGAAGACCATCTATTAGAAGAAAACATCGGCATCATCCCCCTCTCGGGCCCAGCAAGGATTACAACGCACGGCCTGCAATGGGACGTGACAGACTGGAAGACCGAGATAGGCGGGCAGCTGAGCACGAGTAACCACGTGCGGGCTGATGAGGTGGAGATCACTGTGGAGGGGGCGGTGGTTTTGGTGACGGTTGAGTTGGCGGGGAGGTTTAAGCGGGGGGTTAGATGATTCTTTTCTGGCTTTTGGGGGTTCTTTTGGATTGACTTCTTGGGATGGTTTGGGTGGGTTGGGTTGCATGCATACTTACTTGCCCTACTTGTGAGTAGGTTATGGGTTAGTGTTTACTATGTTTGTTTATAGAAGATAGACCTACTAGCTAGATGATAGATAGATAGAAAGACATCTATAGAGGCAGTCTACAACTACCTTACTATACTTAGCTCGAGTCAATATATCTACCACCTACAAGCAATATCAATCAATCCAAGTTATAGTATACTGATACTTATACTTATAACTCAACTACCTAACTAAAAATAACATCAACCAACACGCCATCAACCAAGATAGAATAAAGACCAAAAAAAACAAGGATATCACGTTGACTGTACCGTCTCATCGCCAACACCGTGACCTTCCAACACTAATGAATAGGATAGAATAGACAGACTCCAACAGTTGAATCAATCAAATCAGTCAAACCAAACAAGCCCATTTCCCATTCCCATTTCCATATACCATACCATCCATCAGCCATCCATCATTCACACTCCTTGGATTCCACACTTTGGTGGAATCCCACAATCATATCATCCCAATGATATATACATAAGCAACAATCAACCACGACGCAAAATCTCCTCATAAAGCGTCCCCACAATCCCAATCACAGCACCAGCCACCGTCCCGCGCCACTGACCCGGAACAGCCATATCGACCTTATGCATCGTCGCAAAGACAAAAGTCCCAAAGAAGTCAAATTCACGCCGATAAACAAAGTAAGACACGAGAGCCTTAACCAGATTAAAGCTCAGCGGATCAAAGCTGCTCGCGCCTCCCCCCCCTTTCCCACGGGAGGCGCTATTCAAGCGGAAATTGAAAAAGTAAGCCGCGAGCAGCGGCAGCACCAGCGACGTGAGCAGCCACAGCGAGATGGGCGCCCAGAAGACGCCGTCGACGAGGACGAACAGGTCGGGGACCTTGATGGGGTAGGGCGGGGTGTGGAGGGCCCGCACGGCGGGGATGGTGGTTAGATAGCGTAGTGGGAGAAGCTCGTAGATGAGGCTGGCTGCTTCGAGGAGGAGGGCGATGACTTGGATGGCTTTGGCGCTGCTGAGGGTTGCGCGGAGGGCGCTGGAGCGCTCTTCGACGCCGGAGCCGGTCCAGGCTTCGCTGATGGAGCGGCGGATTTCGGCGGATTGGCGGTCGATGGCGTCTGTGACGATTGCGGGGGAAGGGGGGAGGGGGGCTGCACGGTGACGAGGTCGCGGGCTGGGGTGCGCGATAGGGATGGGGAGTCGGAGTCGTCACTATCAATATTTAGAACCATACAGGAAAGACTTGGGGAAGCATAGGTAGAGAGGAATAATGAAACATACGTCGGAACCGACTCCTCTTTCAAACGCGTCGTCCGTCGACGCGTGACGCCAACGCCATCCGACGAAGGCGTGACCTCCTGCTTAAGATCCCTCTTCGCAGGCGAAGACACGCCGCGCGAGCGCGTCGCGAGACGGCTATAGTAGTTCGCGAGGCGCTTGTCGGTAGCGAAGATGGAGCGATTAGCCTGGAGATGCTGGTCGAGGGCGAGGACGAGTTCCGGTTTGTTGTAGTCTTCGTGGTTGCTACGTGAATCAGCGTGGGCTTGCGATAAACATGCGATGATTGGCGTGGGGGGGGGGTAAGAACTTACCGGAGGTCGGTGATTTCGGCGAGTTCAGCGAGCTGTGGCTTGCGCAGCTTTTGTAGATATGGGACGGCTGCTGACATGGTGGTTGGAATTGTAGTTGTGGTTGTAGTTGTAGTTATGGCGTTGGTTGATGGTGATGGTGTTGATGATGATGATGATGATGATGACGATGCGCGCGGGAGATCCACCGAGGAACCATGCGATGACTGGGACAGCAAGGGGATTAAATGGGGTAGTAGGTGGGTATCAATCCGATCGATCAATACCAAGTAGTATATAAGACTCAAGAAACAACTCAATCAAACAACAAGGATAGCAGATAGTGGTAGCAAAATGCAAAGAAGGAATACCAACCCAGTTATAAACAAGCAGGTAAGTAAGTAAGTAAACAGAGTGAAAAGAAGAACCCAACTCGACCGGGGGAAGCAAAGATATTAGGTCAATTCACCCATTGTACCTGCTGTATTGTATTATAAACAATACACCTCATGATAAAGGATGATCAGACGGTAATAATACCATTCCAGCCAATCACATCGGATAAATACCAAGGCGGACCCGCATTGGGCTTTGTTTACATGTTCGCCCCGTCTCAATAAAGAACTCAAACACTCGATCGCTTCGTTGTTGTTGTTGATCATTTCTTAGCGTGGTGGGTTGGTGGGATTTGCTGTCAGGGACTAACTGCCTTGCCTTGCCTTGCCCCTCTTGGGTGGTACCTTGTACCTACCTCAGTAGAGAGGTGGTTGTGACGTTTTTGACATGGAGTTAGGTATGAGTTCCTCAGTAAGACACGCTAAGTCTAACATATAATACATTGGCATGATTATCCTAGTCTAAGATCTATGTAAGCCGTACAAATCTCCCAAACGTTGTATACAAAGGGTCCATTATCACCTGAAACCCTGAAAGAAAACAGAAAGAAAGGAGAAGGGAGAAAGATCGTGTCCAGATCCAAATAAAAAAACCAAGTCATGCCACAACCCCACCGGAACGCCTGTCCTCGTCTATCTACACTGTCGCATCTCTGTCAGCCCCAGGGAAGGAGGAAGGCTATAGAGGGGTCGTCTCCCCGCGCTCTGATAGCTGTCCAGCTGCTTCAACAGATACTGATACAAGACCAGCATCGTTCCGCTCTGGATACTCGTCCACACGCCTCGAGGCCCCACCCCGCGAAACCACCCGGCGACCCCCTCCGTCTGGTAGATCATCTTCAGACCAGTGAAGAACGACGAGGTATCCAGACGGGGCGTGCCGGGCGGCGGCACCGACGTCGACGGCGACGAGTGGGAGATGTACCGTGAGTGTGCCCGCAGACTCGACGAGGTAGTAGATGTGGAGTGGTGTTGGTGTTGTCGGGGAGTGTCCTTGGTGGAGGCGGGTTCGCAAGGCGGTTTGGCCGGGCCGGGCGCTGTGGTTTCGGGGTTCTTCTGCGTCTGCACGCGCGTCTTGACCACGTCCATCGGGCAGGTGATCACGCCTGCCATCCCGCCGGCTGTTGCTGCCGTCAAGATCTCGAGTCCGAGGCCGATGTCCCGCGAGCCCATCCAGTCGATCGCCATCTGGTGTTCCCGTTCGTAAAAGGCGAATTGCAGCGCGGAGAAGGGCAGGTCGCGGAAGATGGTCGCCTTGTATCCGTAGAAGAGCGCCGAGAAGCCTTCTTGCCGGATGATCGTGCGGAGGGCGTCGGTCGTCCCGCGGTAGTTGTAGCCGGATTGTGGGAAGTGGGGGTTGTTGAAGCGGCCTTGCAGCTGTAACCGGGTCTTCAGGACCTCGGACGGCACGTACACCACAGAGGCAGCCAGATCGGCGAAGAAGCCTCCAGACAGATACGCCAAATCCGGCGTAATCCCTGCATCGATCATCTTTCTCTTCGTAAACTCATACATCCCAAAGAATATAACCGTCCCGGGGAACGACCCCCACAGCGCAGGCGTCACACCACCATACAGTCCACGCATCAGCCCTTCCTGTCGATAGATCGTCGCATACGACGAAGTCATGGAGTGGTATTTCGGCGGAAACGTCGGGTCGCCCTGCTGCCGCGTCTTGACCGTATCGAGCGAATGCATAAGCATATCTCCACATGTTCCACCCGTACCTCCTGCAAGCATGGCCTATCCAGCACACAAATTAGCATAGGAAAAGAAACAACCACCTCGAACACTGTATGAAGGGAGACATACATGAAGATAAGGCGGCCTCGGCTCCTCCTCCTCATTATACGCCGGTGCAGTCTGCACCCGACTGCTCATCGAGCCCGCCGTCTGGAAAGCATGGTCGCCGGCGGATGCCGCAGCTTGCGACTGGGAGGTCGAGGGCGAGGGCGCCGCACGGGCGTCTGAATCCGAAGCCGAGTTCTCTGTCGTTGTGAACAGGCCAAACACGCGCGATGTCAAGCTCATTGCAAAGAAAAATCAAGAAACACCGCAATCCACCAGATCGTGGTGCGGACCAGACCACGGGGATGCGGCGGGCGGAGGTAGGTTCGAAATGGGGGGAGACGGAGAACGGGGCGCCACCCGATGAGGAAGAGAAAAGAAAAGAATGAGAGGGAATTTCTTTCCCAGGCTAAGTAGGTATGAAACGATGGATAAATCAACTATACAGATTCCAACGAGGGATGGGAGGTGGGCAAAGGAAACATTGCACCTCAAATAAAGACTCAGATTAGTTTTTGTTTTTTTCTTTTATTTTCAGGCTGAAAGGTGAGATGGGAAGTCCGTCCCGATGAGATATTTTTCTGTCCGATCGGTTGCCTGTTTTCTCCGCCGCCCGAACACCGAGTTTTGGCCTCAGGCGTGGAGCTGCTGAATAATCGGTGGCCACGGATCCCTTGGTTATCTACGGAGTACCCCGTATGACGCCACTCAAAACTAGAATAGGACATAAAAGCATCATTCGTATTATAACCACATTCGGAATCCACACATGCCGCGCTATAGAAACAATTCGCATCTGAAGCAGTTTGCGCCCTGGTCACGGTACCCGCGACACTACATCTTCGACCCATCCCTCCACCATGTACACATTCTTCCCCACCCCGTTCATACGGCTGCCACGATCCCACTGCAATGCTGGAATCGACGGCACGTTGGTTGATTAGCGCTAGCCAAGTGCGAGTAGGCCCGGCCATGCAGACCCTCCAAGACGGTCCGACCAAAAGCAATCCACTGCACTCGTAGGCTCGGTCCGGCGATTTGCCTCCCCACACCTGTCTCGCTTCTTTCGCTGTTTATTGAGGCTTCTTGCCGGCCGAGGTCAAGCGGCTCGTGTCGGTCGCTTCGTAGCCGCGGCGCACCACGCCCTTGAAAGTCTCCCAGCCCTGACGGACAGCCGGCGGGGTGCTCTGGTGCGAGACCGAGGCATCGACGCGGGCGGTGAAATAACGGACGGCCTGCTGGACGAAGGAGCTCTGGGAGTAGCGGGCGCGGAAGAAGGCCAGGTAGATGGCCAAGAGGAGGAAGCTGCCCTTGGAGAAGGTCAGGATCGAGACCGCCAGGCGGAACAAGAGCGCAATCTCGAGTCCCGCGACCAAGTCCATGCTAGCATCGTAGTACTGCTTCACGAATCGGCCGATGGTGTCGGCCAGGGGCGACTGCCTCGCGGCCGGTCGAGAGCTCGGGGACGAAGGCGAGGTCGGACCGGCGCCCGCAGCGGGGGCTGCAGGGTGGGAATCAGGTGGGCCCGCGAATAAGTCGCGACGTGGAAGATGGAGTAGACACTGAAGGGCAGGAGTGCCAAGGGGATCTGCCGCGAATACAGCCAGACCAACGCCATCCCTAGCGTTCTGTTAGCCCACCACTCTCGACATCCAGTAACGCGAGATTCTAGTGCCACTCACCGAGGTATTGGACATTTTCGTCGCTAGCAAGCTTCAACACGATGCTGGGGACGCTGCCCTGGAGACGGCCCCGAGCAATGTGTCCCTTGTATACCACAATCCCGTAGGTCACCGCAGCCGACAGAAACGCCAGGCGATAGGTGAACTGGGCGGCGGAGGAATAGTAGTTGAAGGTCGCATAGGACAGGGTGTATCGGAAGACGGAGATGAGCAGGGTCACATGTCTACGCTCGTTAGTCAACGTCCGGCTTCAGGCTCCAGGCCTGAATCTGGATGACGCGGAAAGGGAAGACAGGCCAGTCGGGAGAAAGGCGGTCATAAAGGGATGTGCTGGCGGCGAGTTGGCCGAACCATGTGGGGGGAAACTTACCCAGCAAACCAGGCGAATCTGTTCGGGCGGATCCTTTGGTCAGTTTACAGTTCACAGTTCACGGACGCTGGCGAGGCGAAGAGAATCTCCAGCAGGAAAGGACAGATCACATACTGCAGGGTCTGGGCCAGAGCCTTCAACCTTTCGCCCAAGGGCAAAGTAGAGGGAGGAGGAGGAGCCATGAGAGACGATTCCAGCGAGTTCCGTAACCTCGGATAGTGTTGTCGACAGGTAGAGAGGGGGGAGTGGAGGAGTGAAGGAGCTCAGGAAGGGAGAGCTACGGTAAAGAGAGAGAGATAAGAGACAAGACCAGAAAACAGGGGAGCCGAGAAGAGCTTAGAGAAGGTGATGAATTAGGCGGTGGAAATGAACGGGGCAGTCCACTTTTATTTGATTTTCTTCTATTTTTTGCTGTCTCTCTGTTTCTCGGTTTGGGAAGGGGGCTGGGCGGGGAGAAGCACAGAGAGAGTTAAGTGTCGGATGGCAAGAGAAGCTTAGACGGGGGAGAGAGAATACCACAGTAGGTACTACTGGTATTGTAGTGCCGAGTCGCTTCCGGTGACGTCTCGACTCACCTGAGAACATCACAATGTCCAGGGTCGTCTCCACTCTGGACAATCGGGGTTCCTGGTTCGATCTGTTTGGATCTTGCCTTTCTATGTGAGGATCTTGTTTGGTTTCTGTTTTACTTCTTTTTTTCTTGATTTTCTCACATTTTCTTTTCCGTGCATCTTAATATACCCTTACGACGATCGTCCACTCCGTACTAACCATCAACACGTCGACCAAATTTTTTTTTTTTACAGAATTCGGTAGAACAAATTTTGAATTGACTAACACAGCTTGCGGAGAGAAAAATAAAGAAATAAGAAAAAAGGAAAGTCACATCCTGAAAAGATAGTCGGCGGGTGGGCGAGTTCACTAAAATAAGAAAAAAAAAAAAAAAGACAAAACAGGTGCACAGAAGATAACGGACACAGGTCAAGAGAAAATACTCGGGTAAGGGTAATAGGTCACAATGGGGAATAGGAAACCAGCGGAACAAAGGTATAGCGTAGGCAAAAGTACATAACAAGAAGTGAAAGGTGGACATGAGGCAAGAACATGGAAACCCCCCCAGCACGGCGTCCGGTCGCAGGCCGTCCCCCCCGTGCCTCCTCTTGCAGATCAAGGTCCAGACCGCACAGACAGGCAAAGCGCGTCACCTGTCCGGTGGTAGCCCCCGTGTTCCAGCACATCTCCTAGTCACGCCCCCAAGGGAATATTAGTCCGGTGGAAAAGGGGAGGAAAGAAACAGAGAGAACATCCGTTTTATTTTCTTCGGCCCACCCAGAGCGGAAACAAGCAAAATTAAAGAGAAAAAGAACAGCCAAGACAGCGTCATTACTAGAAGCAGGGACGAGAAGAAAGAAGAGAGCGAGGGAGCGTAGGGCGAAGGAACAAATAAGCACAAGAAGAAGAGGAAGAAATGGAGGATGAGAGAAAGAGCGCGCGGTCAATCGACGGTCGTGGAGTCAAACGTAGAACCCGTCCTCCCACCCACGTCGGGACAGAAGCACCGGGGTTCCAGTCAGGAGGACATCCGCTTAACGGAGCGAGAAGCCCTTTCTCTTGCCCTTCTCTTCGATCGGCCGACCGCTTTCGAGACGGGCCTTCTTCTCGTCCAGCTCCATCCGCTGCCGCTCCAGCTGATCCTTCATCTCGCGATGCCGGGCGTAGAGTTCGTCTTCGCTCTGTTTCAGCTTGCTCTCCTTCTCGGCCACCTTCTGCTGGAAGACCATCTTCATCTCGGTCTCCATCTTGGCCAGCTTCTGCTCGTGCAGGGCACGCTCTTCCTCCTGCTTGACCGCCGGGTTGACCTCCTTGAACACGCTGGGGTCCTGGGCGACACCCATAAGGGTGAGCTTGTCGGAGCGGTAGTTCTCGTAGAGGGAGTTGTTGGTGTGCTCCTTGAGCTCCTCCATGTGGGTGCGGATCAGCATCTGGCGCAGCTTGACGAAGTCGCAGTGCTCCTCGTTGTCGACCTCGATCACGCCCCAGGGGTAGCTACGGCCGCGGACTTTACGGCCGTCGGCCGTGGCGACCTCCGAGTTGGCGCCAACGACGGCGAAGGGGACCTTGGACATGATCTCCTGGTTCTCGGCGATGGTCTCCTCGTCGTCCAGCTCGTAGCGAGGACCCTCGAAGATCTGGATGGAGTGGTGCTGGATATCGGCAAGGATCTGGAAACAATCAATGTCAGTCGGGTCTTACAAGATGGATAGTGCCGTAGGTACATACTCGTTGCTTGAAGAGAGCAATCTCCTCGTCGGTCAGGGTATCGGCCTTGGCCACGACGGGAATCAGGTTGACCTTGGTGTGCAGGCGACGCATGACCTCGATGTCCAGAGGCTTCAGGGAATGGCCGGTGGGCTGGATGAAATAGACACAGGCGTGGATGCGGTTGTCCACGATGTTGGTCCGGTTGACCTTGTTCTCGGCCTCCAGGTAGGCATCGTATCGCTGCTCGATGTTCTCGACAATCGGACGCCACGAGTCGTCGTTGTTCACGAAGTCGCCGAAGCCGGGGGTGTCGACGACGGTCAAGCGCAGACGAACGCCGTTCTCCTCGATATCGGCGCTGATGGACTGGATGGCCACGGTCTTGGGGATGATGTCGTGGCTGGGGCCGGTGGGCTCCTTGGGGGGGTAGAGGGAGGTGTTGAACAGGGTGTTGACCAGAGTCGACTTGCCCAGACCGGATTCACCTAGTAGAGTCAACTTGAGAGCTCTGGGGAGTAGGGGTTTGGGTGGACTCACCAACAACCATGACGTTAAAGTTGAAGCCCTTGCGGACACTCTTGCGGTGCCATTGGTTGGGCAGGTTGGCGAAACCGACGTAGCCGGTCAACTTGCGGCGCACGACGTTCTTCATATCGGTAGCGGCCTGGGCGACGGCCTTGGGGTCCTTGGAGCTGACCGTCTGGGCGTTTCCGGAGCCCATGGGGTTGCTGCGTTCAACGAAGGGGGAGCCGACGGGGCTGGTGGCCGGGGATTCGGCAGCCGACACCGGGGTGTCAATGGCAGGCGGAGGCGAAGCTGGAAAACCCACGGATGTGTCAGTGACGGGATCGGGACTCTTTCCACGAGACGCATGGACGGAAGACGCATAAATGGATGATTCGGAGATGGACGAGGAGATCTTGATCTCCACGGGATTCTCGAGAGGGGCAAGAGGGGGGACATTGCTGTCATCGAGCAAGTGGATACCCGCACCCTGATGGGGGGACTGGGCCATGATTGGGATGGGAACGCGCGAGAATCGGAGAGAGTTTAAATGGGGACAGAGTGGGGAGAGATTGAGGATGGAAGCGAAAAGACGATGGATCGATTGAGATAGAGGAGCGAGATGGGACGGACTTACCCATTGCAGGTGTTATGGGTGGTGGAAGCGAGCGTGGAGGTAGCGAACGTCGAAGAGAAAGTTCCCCTGAACGGGCAGCAGCGACCTGGTTAGCGGAAGGCGGGCGGAAGAGGAAGGTACGGAGAAGGAGTTGACGGGTCACGGCATGGACGATGATCACGGAAGGGAAAGAGTGACGGGTGAAGATAGAAGATAGAAGGAGGAAGGTGGAATATGGGATATGGAATCTGGAAAGGTACCTGGAGATGGTGGGTTTGGAAGGTGTGGAATTGAATGGACCACGAATCTCCAACACCACTAAGCAGTGAAGAGCGGAGCAGAGATCTATTCTAGGTAGGAAGAGCGACAGGGGAAATGACCAATAACGAGGGATTGGATTGATCCAAAGATATAATATAAATAATCAGATAGAAGGGAAAAATAGAAGGAGAAGAAAAAAAAATAAATCCAAAAATAAAGAGGAGGTTGAACGAGAGGACAGGACAAGAGAACAGGGGAAGAGGACGGGAGAGTGAGAAGGAGAGAAAGAGAGAGAGAGAGACTGCGGAGTGCTGGGGCGGAAGAAAGGGGGCCGCAGACCTTACTGCCTCGACTATAGGATGCTGCAGCCTTCTTAGACCTGGCCATCCAGCGCATCGATCGGTCCATGGAACTGATCCATACCTCCCTCTATAGGTACGGATACTCTTTCTTTCCATGTACCACCCGATTCCTTTGAACGCCTTTCCTGCAGACATGTCCAACATGGAATCATTCATTCCTTCCTAGTGTGAATATAAATTCAATCTTTTGATTTATTTGTTTGTTTATTTATATATTTATCTTTACTTGTTTATTTATTTTTATTATCAAAAAAAAAAAACAAGATATAACATCAAAATGTTCCATCAATAACCCTAACAGTCAATAACGAGGATAAGAAGTCAACCGTAGACCATAGACCATAGACCAATTGACAGTATCCAATCCAATAAAGCCAGCCCTGCTGTTAGTACTAAATTGCCCAACCTCTCCAACAGACACCAACAAGAGCTGTCAGGGTCTATGACTCCCTGACTCTATGACAATTACCTAGGTACCTAGGTAGGTACCTGACTGGTGTTTCATGATTACAGCCAGCCTCAAATACCAGGCATCTCCATTTTTTGAAAGAAACATGATACCAAATAACTACGACGGAATAATCTAGAAGATATGTTTTCAATTCATAGATTTACATATATTCTCTTTTATTTTCTTCTTTTCCCCCCCAAATCAATATAGCACTGTGTCAAGCAAGTCAGGGGTAAATAGAAAACCCAACTAGAAAAATCTCGGCGACGAAAGACCCCGCCCCCGACCAATCAAACCGCCCCGGTGGCGGCCCGCAGCAAAATCACACCATGGATCCGAGTGCAGAGTCCTCCAGTTCCTGATCGAACCCAGATCAACATCTCGATCAGGGTCAGGTCAGGTCAGGTCAAGCTCTGGATGACGTAAATTATGAATAAACACCAAGTCTATTTATTCATCAGCATCACTCCACCAACCAATAATTCATTCAATATAGAGATGGATATTGTTACAGAGTGTAGTACCCGTGTCGAATATCAAGTGCCATACTGCAAGGGACTACCGAAACAGGGATCCAGATGAAAGAAGACCCTTGAAACATTCCCAGCTCGTTGTGCATCCTGTCCTAGCTTGGGATGCAGTCCTTGTGCAATTTCCTCACCGTTATATAGGGTTTATACTTTGCATAACTAACTACTCTGTATAACATCTAATCAATACTGACCACTGGCGTGTCGAACACTGACTCTGGTCGTCTTGCCACGTATCAACCTCGATTATTAGCTGAAATCACAAAGAGATCCATACCCTTCCACAAGGCAGTACACACTCACGGAGTACGTAAAGAAAGAACCCCATCACCGATAACCCCCAAGTCAGACGAAGCTTCTCGAAGATCCCTTTGACAGGTGCGGCTGGCTAATGATCTGCGGTGCATGCATGCTTCGTACCTAGTACGGAGTACCTACCGACATAATTGAGTGTCTATCCGTCTGTCTCCCAGACTATTGACGCCGACATGCTTTCTAATATGTCGGGCTTGGCGGGGATAGTGTTTGACGGTTGGTTGGGTTGATGTGATGAATCACCTCGTGCTCTGGGATGGTTCTGGGGAGGGTTGGATGAATATAAGTTGTGGATCATCCATAGCGGTGTACTCTGTACTGCATGTACTGTCAATTTACTGGCTTTGATTCTGCTTGTTCGGTAGGCCAGGTGATGCGAATGCGGGTATCATCCAGAGTGTATACATATAGCCCTAATAGACACTACGCAATAATTACACTCATACCAGTCTTCAACTGAAGTATACGTCAACCCAGTCTCCCACAATTTTAAAAAGCAAATACACTTCATTCTTCACTCAACAATAAAACTATCAAATCCAATAAATCAAACCGATCTAGATCTCCAACGCCCAAGCTAAATAATTACCTAAATCTCAACGACTGACCAAGATACCGAATCAACATTCGATAGGGCTTGCTATGACTGATATCTCAACACCAAAGTTCTCATTCTAACACAAGATCTGCCTTGTACCAGAAGATCCCACCTCTCCGAATGATCTTCCCTTGGTGTAAACACCAAGGAAACCAACCCCTCTTCATCACGTTAGCCTTCGCAAGCAACCCTAATCACAACCACGACGGCGTCACCTTCCCCTCTCCCCATCCAGGCCCATCCACCCCACCCCCCATTCCCCCCATCTTGTCCACACCACCACTCCCCTCCCCAGAATATCCCCTACCCCCTTCCCCTTCCCCCTCCACAGCAGCAAGAGCAGCAGCACCACACCGTCCAACCCTACACCCCTCACACAACCAACTCTCATGCGGCACATCACTCCTCCTCCCCGCCCTCCCCCCAGTCCAACTCCCTAAACCCGGTCCCACCAACTCCCCAACCCCACACCACCTCTTCAACCGATACGCCACCCTCTCCGCATACGACGCATCTAGCACCGGCCTCGCCAACCGATGACAGGCCCTACAGCGCTGGTGGTACACGCGCGCATTGTACTCGCCCCCAGGGTACATGCGGATCGTGACAGCGACTTTCTTGCTCGTCCAGCCGCGCGCGCCGCACAGCCGGTTGGGGCAGACGAAGCGGCCCATGGTGTGCGTGTCGTATTCGTGGGTGCTGCCCGCGGGGGAGTCGGTGGTGTGGAAGGTGAGGGTTAGGTTGGCGTCTAGGAGGCGCTGGCTGACGGCTTCGTGGAGGGAGGGGTGCATTGAGTAGCTGGTGTTGTTGTTGTTGTTGTTGTTTGGTTTGGGCTGCGGCTTGGGGTGTGTGTTGGGGTTGGGGTTGGGGGGTGGCATTTGAGAACTAAACACGCATAGGCACAGGCATAGGCACAGGCTTATACATACTATGTATTTCATGGTTGCAGGGGTGGAGGGGGTATTTGATATGTAGGTTTTATCCTGGTGAAGGGTGGATTGATTGATAAAGAAGGTTCCCTCCCGATGGGGCGGGGTGGATGCTAGTACGCAACCGTGTCGCAATTCCGCGGTATACTCGTGGCGAAGTGAGATCTGACGTTGTGATGTCGTGGCCAGCTGTATACAATAAGAACTCTAAGGTTTCTGCACACGCCATGTTGTTGCCGGTCTGTCGGGGAGGGAGTAGCAATGTGGGGTACGCCTTATATCCGGTGGCTACATGACGGATGATATACAATTTGGGACTGCTTTTATAGAGTCTGTGCACGGACTTGTTCTTGTAGACTAGTCAGCCTATCAATAATGGTAATAAATTTTTATTTACCTATATCTTTGAGTTTGATATATGCTTGAACAAGTCTTGATTGGATATCCTACTTATGGATTCTCTCTCGACCTACTCCCCAGCAACCATCCATCCATATGGTTATACTCCACCACCTCCCAAGTACCTACCACCATCCAACCCACCCAAAAAAAAAGACTCACAAACAATAATAAACACTATAACACTTGCCCCACTTCTCCGACCCCGTAAACAACAACCTCTCATTATCCCGATAGCACGCAAAATTCCTATACCCATTCGACCCACTCCCAGAGTACGAATAAGCCGCATGAGCACCCCCCTCAATCTTCGACGTAAAAGTCACGCCGGAGCCGAACGTGCCCGACACAGTCGCGCCCTCCCACCCGACGAGACTGCCGTCGTTGACGGTCGCGTAGTTGCCGCTGGACGGCGACGCCCCGTTCTGCGAGTCCTCGCTGGCGGAGTAGTAGAACATGCCGCTTTTGCTGTAGGCGGCGCCGGTGGTGACGCAGTTGGAGAGGTAGATTGTTTCGGAGGCGCGCTTGGTGAGGTCTGGGGGGGCGGCGAGGGCGCTGCTGGTGAGGGCTAGGGCGAGGAGGGTGGTGAGGGTGGTTTTGAGGGACATTTTGATTGTGTTGGGGTTGTGTTTTTTGATGATGTGTTTGGGTCTGGTTTCTGAGGTGGGTTTGTCTGGCTTTTATGTGCCCGTTTTCTAGTGACTATCAGTCTCAAGCTCAGTATCACAGCATACTACTAAAAAGAGAGTGGGATAGTCTTGTTCAGCCAAGCTGGAGATCCAGGAAAGCTTTGCCGACGTGAGTCGACCCTATTCATGGAGAATCTATCCCCCCTGAGATGCATACCATGGCTGCGTCCATTATAGCTAGTCAAGTATTAACCATTGGGTACAGCCATCAGTCTATACCATGGACGGCAGAAGCATCCGGTGTTGCAGCAGTGCTTATCCTTGTATAGACATTAATATCGACTACTGCGCTTCCTGGGGATAGTGACAGTGATCTGTGGATGCAGTAGCAACTGTGAGTTTACCTATAGATAGCCCCTGGCAGGTAGTGATAGCAATATGTGGATGCAGTAGCAAACTGAAAATGCTACCTATAGATAGCCCCAGCTAGATGAAGACGGGGTTCTATGGACTCATGTGTCGGCATAAGTTTCCTACTCGGAATACTGTAGATTAAGTGCTTGTATACTTGCAGACAAATTGGATCTACCGAGGAACGAATGTATCAAGGAATGAACCATCAACAAAGTCAGTACGACTCGCCATCATCAAAGATTGCAACTACGAGGAGAAGATCATCTAGACCTGGAGATTCAAGCAGAACCGTTATTGATGTCAACTAGATAGCAAGAAATACCAACCTCGGCTCAGCCAACATTGTTGTTCAGGGTTGGACGTCGGCTCTAATGACCCGATCGATCGACCATGCGGAGAAGTACACCATCGGCCCTATGGTAACCTTAATTTGTTTTCACCAGATGTAGGTTGGTTGATTCATGAGAAAAAGCAAACAGAAACAGGTAGATAGAGTAGATGGGAAGGTTACATTGACTTTAGGTATCGAGGTGAGGTGGTGAGACATGCAGAGCTTATGCAGTCAGCTACGACGAGGTCTTACTTTAACCATAATATACCTGTTTAGATGGTTGTTTCTCTCTCTGCTTACGGCAGGATGAGACATCATGGTGGCTTTAGGTTCGTCTGGTGACCTGGGCTGGGCTTGACTTTGGTCATGCAGGTTTGTTTGTTGGTATCATGGGTAGGTCGGTGTCCATTCAATAGTCTCTCGATAGTATGAATCATGATCATATTTAGTGATATGGTGCGTCAGATTGGTATCAAAAGCGTCTTAGCCTAGAAACGGAAATATGAAATGAGACGAACTCTTTCAAGCTCTACACTCAGGAACCAGGAAATGAAATGACATTATAATACATGTTCCTTTCTTATCAGAGACCGCATACCAATCCACGCCCCGATCGTTGATAGAACCATACTGTCATGCAGATTTGAAACCTATCTATCAACATTATCCAGACTTGGTCTTCTTCTTCGGTCGCGACTCCGCCTCAGACATATCTACATCGTCGTCGCCTCCACCCGAGGCATCCTCCATTTCGGCATCGCTTCCGCTGCTTTCGTGCGCAGAATCGTATTCTTCCGCGACGTCGGAGTCCGAGTCGGCCTGGAAGTCTTCGTCGATGGATTCTTCATCCTCGTCGGCTGAGCCGCGGTCGGCGCGGACGCCTTCGTCATCGCTTGATCCCATGGCGTCGTTGTCGAGGGCGGCTGCGATGAGCGATGTAGCCTGGTGAAGTGTTAGTTTATTCATACTGATGTATTCATTGGACCGAGGCGGGATGATGCCATGGTGACTGTAGGTGATAAGGTATGGCTTACGTCTTCCGACATTTCGTTCTTGAAGCGAATGCTCTTTGCCTTGAAGAACTCCTCGAGGGGTTGTTGTTCCTCGCTGTCCAGCTGTCAGTATTGATAGTCATTGTCTAGAGGTGGAGACGGTATCATACCGGTTGATGTTGCTGAATTGGTGTTCTCCCATGCCGGCCTTCAAGCTGACTGTAATGTCGAATGTTCGGCTGGCTGACACGGCACCGCCGACTCGCGACATGGTGATGACGGCAATGTTCTCGAGTTGAATGTACGTCGCCGGCTTGGGAACGAAGATCAAACTCTTGTCCAGGAAGTACAGCAGACCTTCGTTGGCCTTGATCGAGCATTTGACTCCGCTGTGTCCGTGGTGGCTGCGGATTGTCAGCGATTGGTACCTCATTTGAGAGCATTCTGCGGATTACTAACCTGACAAAGTCCTTGGATGGCATGATAACCTTCTTCCCTGACAGGCCACGGAAGACCTTGGTGACAACCTGGTGGATGGGCTCCTCGTAGCGAGACTCCAACTTGTCCTTGTAGCGGCTCTCCAGCAAATCACTGGAAGATATTAGTACACAATCGCCGCCCTGTTAGATGAAATGCACTCACTCAGTCATGTTCAGCTCCAGGCTGATCTCATCGTCCAGTTTCAATTGCATAACCAGGAACGGATACCGGGTCTGGCCTTGTCGCAGCGGCGGGTCAAGACCCAAGACGATAAGAGTGTGAGTGTCGTCATTCTTCGGAAGCAGGAAGAACTTCTTGATGGAGGCGTATTGGATTTTATAGTCGTAGGTCTTACCCCGTAACCGGAAGGAGGCCTCGTACATGTCGATATCGAATCGTCCTCTGATTCCGCGTTAGCGATTCCCACACACACTCCGTGCGCTAGAGCAGAGGGAGAGAACATACCTGGGCGTGAGATGCAGAACATCCAAAAAGGTAGCAAAGGTATCGCCCGCCACATCACCAATCTCCGCCTTATCCATAAGAGTCTCGTAGAAGAGGTTGGCCGCGTTTTGCTCTTCCACTTCGTCCTCTTCTCCTTCTCCTTCCCCTTCTCCTTCTCCGTCCTCTTCTGCGCCCTCCTCCTTTTTAACGCTCTTGTCTGTCTTGACTGCAGTTCCGGGGATGTAGAATCGCATCTCGACCAGCTCATCGGGCCCAGCCGCAGCCTTCTGTCCACGGTTCTTTGTGCTACCAGCAGGCTGCTTGCTGGCCTCGTCGCCATCGGCATTCAAGGCGAATTCCACCGCGACCTCGTTTTTCCCGGCAAGGTTCGTGTTCGAGATTTCGGAGTACGGGATTTCGAAGGCAGGGCGGTTCTGCACGTTGAACGCCAGCTCGGCCTTGGTGAACTCTGCCTTGCCCCAGTTCCAGCCTCGGAGCGCTCGTTCCCTGGTTTCCACATTGATACCGTACCAGTTCTTGAAAGTTTTGCTCAACCGTTCCAGGTCCTAGATCGAAGTTGAAGCGTCAGAAAAGCCCATTCCAATGTTTTCTGTAAAATTCAGTACACGGAGGACATACCTCCTGATCGAAACCATCGAGCTGGATCACACCCGAGGTGCGCGATAGAATTTTCAGTTCAAACCCCTTCGCGGCTCTGGTCCACTGGGCGGCGCCGATTTCGCTGCTGTCCAGGGTAAAAGTATCACCTCCACCGGAAGGCTTCCATCCTAAACCACTTTCCGCAAGCTTGCACTTTCCCGGTTGCTTCGAGAGGTCGAGGTAGATGTTGTCAAAGCTCTCCCTGGTGAAGCTGTTAGCAGGATAGACACAGCGACAGGAACAGACGGATCATACATGTTGGAGATGCTCTCGGAGGTTGTCGCTAGGGAGATTGATGATTTTTTATTAGATAGGTGCGAATTGGGCGACCGGAAAGGGTGATGGTAAAAAGAAGGATACCCAAGATTGCTTGAGCAATAGAAGATTGAAAGCTGGGTGGTTAAGCTTCTGGTCGAACAAACTTCTTTGAGAAGTTCGCGTTGCGCGGTCCCTGTCGATACGCGGTGCGGCAGGCAAAGTTACTTGCTCGGGCGGCGCCACTTTCCTGCTGGATCGGGACTAGCGTTTTGCCTCAGGCCAGATCCTACTCTAGATATTTGAAGTATCTCAACATACAAATCACAATAGCACTGAGAATGGGTTTATGATATTGTGTTAGAGAATACGAAGTCTACTAGTACATCGTAGTCACTGGGATTGTACAGTAGTGAGGTGGTAGTGCCTATGAGTCTTTAACAGTAGCTAGTCTACCGGAATATATATCCTCAGTTATTGGGGATTATCACTTGATGTGTCTACAATACAAGATCTATTTTTTATAAGCAACATTGTATTGAGACGAGACTGCTAACTATTTTGAACTTTTCAGTTTATACAGCCAGAACTGTGTTCTAATGTATAGAGGACTTCCAAGGACTAGTACGAGGTCATATCTTGTATAAAGTCCTCACTGGCTCGTCAGTGCCCAAGGTACACATTTATTCAATACCACAGCTACAATAACTGTATGGTAGCTAGTGACTACGGAGCATATTGACTATGATTTGAAATATTTTGACATGCTCCTATCATGCAATTAAACCCTCCAAGGATATAAGTACTAGTATATAGACCACTCATTATCTAAAAAGGCGTTCAGTGACCATGGTCACCGTTGGTCTATCCATTCGATTTAGTCTCAGCCATTGTACCAAAATACCGAATCGGCACTCGGTTAGGGTTGATATGACTGGTATCCCAGCATTTAGTATTGCACAATCATGTCGAAGACCAGACAGTCCGTTATCATGCCCGGAGAAGACACAATGAAGGAGTGTATACATCCACAGAGGAATGACCAGCCCTTGATATATGCAGAGTACCAAATAGTCTCTTTGCCCTTACCTACCTAATATCGCTACTGATATTGACCATGTCCATACAAAGAGCGTAGATAAAATGTGGACTACGGAAGTGTAATGCCCAAATAGCCGAACCTCAGTACACCCCAGCCAAGTTTGCCTTATGCCAGGAGTGCCTCAAAGGAAATGATACACCACCAAAGGCAGGACCACCTGCTAGGGCTGTGGATGAGAGGTGCGCTTTGAGATTTTGTATCCATGGGAACAGAAGTAGCAGAAGTTAGGGTCTGACCTGTAAAAGCCTGGTCATCAGGGAATAGCCATGGTCAGTATACGAGTTAATTAAATCTGTTTATGCAGTATGCGTTGAGGTGGATGGCCTGCATGGATGTGCTTCTTGCATGTACACCAGACACGCTTCATCGAGGGTCATGGAAGCTCTGAGGTGTGGCTTGTTTGATACTTGCATATGTCGATCCTGTTATAGATCTTATTAGTCTGCCTGCTGAATTGTTTCGGTAGTTTATTATGATGGTATCTCTTCCACCACTAGATCAACATGGCAAGACTCGAATCCTTGAATGGCAATCAATAACCCTATTTTAGTCTGACCATTATTCTAGTCACCTTGATCAGGCGATCTCCATGATCAGCACAGGCATGCTTCAGTCCACACAGGAACAAAAAGTCCTAGACAAGCTATTAGGTAGGAAAAATCCCAGTGTTTCTAGAGTAGCAAAGTACATATGCACGTCCAAGCCAGCTATATATAAGCTGATACATGCTGGTGCGTCGACCCAAAGCCCATACACGGCTGGAACGACTAGCGCATCCGAATACGTCATTTTGATGGCTGGAGCAGCTTCGAGTGGGGGAGAATGGGTTGATAAGAATCCCCGACTAAGAATAACCCACGCACTGCAAGGTGGATGTGCAGGTGGACATGATTATTGCAGCTCTCAAACTCTCCAATTCCCAGTATTATTCATTCTTATATGTGGTTAATATTAATGGTAATATGATTTTCAGCCACTGGTTTGCATGTGGAGGTTGATTGGTATGCAACGGGAGTCTGGGAGTGGTCGGCGGTAGCTGTGATTGCGATCCGCTTGGCGGGTCATCCTGTGTAAGGTACTGTGTATTATATTACCGGATCAAAGTAAGCCCCGGCAACCCCTCAAACGGTTCACTTCGCGTGACGGGCCAGCCCGTGGGTCGACCGGGTTAAAGTGGAGGGATTGTAAGGGAACAACAAATAAACATGAATACCTAGACAGGACACTAGTAAAACTGGTAAACAAAACTAGTACTAGTACCGGTACTAGTCTCCCCTGGGCGTTGCTAATAATGGTCACTGCCTGAGTCTCCCTCTCTAGTCTGGTCTCCCTCTCCGAGAAAACCAAGACTCTGCTTCTGCTCATCTTTGGTCGTGAACAAAACACGCCCCTGCCATGTCACTCTTTCGGTCCATCCAACTTTTGCCAGTCATTCGTTGACATTTTTTGTCTTGCTGTTGGGCTCTTGGTCAGTGAACACAAGAGTACCGTTCATTCTTTTTTTCCTTATCTTTATTTCAACCTTCTTTTTTTCCATTTTATTCGGCTCATTTTTCTGATCCATTTCATTGTGGACGTCCCGCCCGTCTCAACATTCCTTTTCGTGACGACTCCTTTTTTACGGTCTTTGTGCCTTTCGTGTTGGTGGCACCTGGGTCTTTTTTTACTTTTTTCTATTGGTTTTATTTTTAAAAAATAACGACCCCCTCGTTCGTTCAGTTATTGGTGTCTGATTCGATCTGATTTCACCTCCCCCCTTTTCCCCCAATCCAATATCCATACCCTCGAATTTTGCTTCCGACGACCTCGAAATCGCTGTACCGTTGGCCTTGGGCCTGTCGTCGCGAACCCTAAACAATGAGGGCCTCCTCACTGTTTGGGCCGGCGGCGGCTGGTTTATGGACCGCCTTGATTGGGCTAGCTGCCTCAGAGGTGTCGTTTGATTCCGTCTCCGAACCGAAGCTGGATCTCGCGCCGCTGGGTCAGATCGCCCTGACAGGAGACTTCGCCGCCGTCTCCCTCTACAACTACGAAGATCAGACCGAGTCCGATTCGTCCAAAAACGGCTCCCAGTCCATCCTCATACCCCTCCCGAATGGAGGCCTCACGTCAATATCCTCCTCGGACGGGGAAATCCGTGCCGTCTGCTCGTTCACCCAGAAAGATGGAACCGATAGGGGCCTGTTCGTTGCCGGAAACTTCACGAAACTGGGCGGCGTGAAGGCGCAGGGCGCGGCGCTGTTGGATCCCAAATCGAAGAAAGTGACCGCCTTGCCAGGATTGCGGGGTTCAGTGTCTGCACTGCTGTGCGATCAGGAAACTGACAGCGTTTACGCGGGCGGCAATTTGAAGTACAAAGACACGTCGAATGTGGTGGCGTGGACCGGCAGTGACGGGTGGAAAAGTCTCCCGTTTGATGGACTGAATGGACCGGTCACCTCGATCTTGAAGAACTCCGACGGCCACATCGTCTTTGGAGGCTCGTTCGACGGCGTGGGCAATGCGACATCGTCCAAAAAGCACCAGCAGATCGTCAACCTCGACAGCGCCAAAGTTACGTCCGATGCGGAATCCCCCCAGGGTGGGTTCAGCGACCCTCGCAACATCATCTGCCAGGCAGGTGGAGGTGACGGCGAGGGAAAGACGTGGCTACTGAACGACAACTCCCCCGGATTCTGGCGCGGGGACATGGGCTTCCAGTACACCCCCACCAAGATCCGGCTGTACAATACCCATTTCGAAGGAAGAGGCACCAAAACCTTTATGCTCCGCGCGCTCCCCGATAATGGGATTATGAACCTCACCTACACCGATCCGAACACGAACAAGAAGGCCTTCTGCGACCAGACCTGTGAGCTTTCGCATGACGACAGTGAGGAATATAGAGATTTCGAATTCGTCAATTCCATCGCCATGCAGGGGTTCATGTTGGAGATCAAGGATTGGTACGGACCCGGTGCCGGCCTGAACGGCATCCAGCTCTTCTCGAAAGATATCCTTGCATACGCTGTGAACGACTTCAACGAACCGTCCTGCGGGGGCATCGAGAACCAGTCCAAATCGACGAAGAAGGGCTCGTGGTCCGCATCGAGCACGGATCAGTCGTCCTCGGGCTTTTTGACCGCCAAAGTCTCTGATGCCTCTGCGTCTGATACCGAGGTCGTCCTCCAGCCCGATGTCAAGCAGCCTGGAGAGTATGCCATCCTCCTGTACACCCCCGGATGCCAGCAGGACGGCACCTGCGACTCGCGCGGGGCCGTCAACGTCAAAGCTACGCCGACGAGCGATGCGGCGGATCCGATCGAAACGGAGATCTACCAGACGAACCTATTCGACAAGTACGATACCATCTACACCGGTCACGTGGATGCCAGCGAGGATGGGTTCCGTCCCCGGGTCGTTTTGACGCCCAAGGGCGGTCAGGGCGATCAGACCGTGGTTGCATCGAAGGTCAAGTTCCAACTGATCAAGGCCTCCAAAGGGTTGAGTGGCGAGTTGAACGGTATCTACGAGTTCGACCCGGCCTCGAAAGAGCTCGACACCGATTTCACCAAGTCGGCGACCAACCGCATCGGCTTAGAGCTGGATGGCAAAGCCTCCATCGAGGCGCTGGAAAGCCATGATAACGTGATCTTTGCGGGTGGTGATTTCTCCAGCGCCGACCTGAGCAACATTCTCTTCTACGAACCAGACGGGAACGCTACGGCGCTGCCCAGGAAGGGACTGAACTCCGAGGTGTCTTCCATGTCCGTCGTGGACAAGGTCCTGTATGTGGGAGGCAACTTCACCGATACGGCGGCCGGTGGCGACGAAGGTCTCAACCACATCGCGGCGTTTTCGCTCGATGACAACAAGTGGTCCGCGCTGGGCGGCGGTGTCAATGGGCCTGTCAGCCAGGTGGTCTCGCTGTCGCTGAATGTGTCCTCCAAGATCGACGACACCGAACCCCTGGTCGGCATTAGCGGTGACTTCGACAAGTTGCTTTCGTTCGACAAGAACCCCTCGACCAATGCTTCTGGCTTCGCCATCTGGGTTCCCTCCGAGAAGAACTGGCTGCAGAATATCGGTGACAGCGAGATGACCTTCGGCGGGCACCTGTCGGCTTTCATCAAGGCAGGCAATCTGAGCATCATCGCCGGTAACGTTGGATCCGGCGGTCTTGGTGCTGCTGGCGCTGTGGCTTTGCACGATGACGACAAGCTCAGCCTGGAGCCACTGCTCACCCCCAAGAAGGCCAGTGGCCAGACCTACGCCGGTGTTTACGACAAGTCCGATGGTCGCAACCTCACGATCCTGGGTGGTCGCTTCACTGCCAACGGCAGTGACGGCTCTACGGTGGAGAACATTGCTGTGCTCGATGGCAAGCACGACACCATCACGGGCCTGGGAGGCGGCATCGATACCAATTCCACCTTTATGGCCCTCACCGTGTGGGAGAACACCCTCTACGCCGGCGGTAATGTTACCGGGGCTCTGGGGAAGACACCGCTCAACGGGTTCATCGTGTACGACTTGGAGAACAAGACTTTCCCGGAGGCGCAGCCACCCATGTTCATGGGCCAAGATGTATCCGTCAATTCCATCGCCGCCCGCCCCGGTTCGCAGGACATCTACTTCGGTGGACATTTCGACAAAGCCGGAGCTCTGCCCTGTCCGGGCGTCTGTTACTTTGACAAGACTGAAGACTCGTGGAACCGACCGGGTGTGTCCCTCGAGGGGTCTGTCCTGGCTCTGAAATGGGTCAACAAGGATACCTTGATGGCCGTTGGAGACCTGCAGGTCGATCAAAAAGACACGGTGGTCGCCACCTACACGGTCAAGGGACAGAAGTGGAAAGCGTTCGACGGAGCCTCCAAGTCCGACATTCCCGGAACCGTCACTGCGTTTTCGCCCGCCAGTGCCGATGTGAACAAGTTCTGGCTCGCCGGAGAGAAGGACGATGGGACGAGTTTCCTCGTCAACTACGACGGCACTAAATTTGAGTCCGCTGGGGACGACATCTTTGACAAGGGAACGACTATCCGGGGACTCGAGATCATTCCTCTGAAAGCGGGCCATGAAAAGGCCGACCTGCTCCGGAACGATCAGACCCTCCTGGTCACTGGCCAGCTTATGATCCCCGACTTCGGACATGCGTCGGCCGCTCTGTACGACGGGAGCTCGGTGACGCCTTTCATTCTGTCGTCTAAGTCCGATGGAAAGCCGGGCAGTATGTCTCAGGTGTTCTACGAGAACAAGAACCCTTACACTAGTGAAGGTGAGTCCATTCTTTTTCTACCCAGGTTATGGAGTTGTACTGACGAACGTAGGAAAACATCGTTCGAACGGAATTGTTGTGCTGGTCTCGTTCTGCTGTGCGCTCGGCTGCGTATTCCTCATTGTCATTGCTGGCATCATCTTCAATAAGATCCAGCGCCGCCGCCAAGGTTACATGGCGGCGCCACAAACGGTGGGAACGGACCGGCCGTCGAACATGCAGCGGTTGCCTCCAGAGTACCTTTTCAACTCGTTGAAACAAGCCAACCCAGGCACGCCCGCGATATGAACACTCGACCTTGACATTCTCCCCCGAAAAGAAACAAAAAAAAAGCAATCTTGACATCACTCCGCTTGATCTTTGTTTGACATCTCAGAACGGCGTTCTTGGGACACAACCTGATTTATACCCTTAGCTTAATCTTTTTCTTTTTTTGCTCTTGCACTGATTTGATTTACCATTCTATTCTCCGCCTTTGATATCCCAGGAGGTTATATTTTCGTGAAGCTTCTTTTTATTTGATTCTACTTATTGCCTTCTTGCATTTGGCGATTATACCCGTCATCTGATCCCCCTTTTTTTTCATCTCACGATTTGGCTAGGATATTTTCTTGTCTATAACACCCTTGTCGAAATCCTGTCATTTTCTTCCCGAACTCTTTGTGTTGAAAGTTAAGTTTTGTACCATAGTCTCCCAGTTGGGACGACTCCGTGTGTCTATATTCAGCTCAGGTGCCTTGCTTGAGAGAAAGGTTCTGCTGAGGTGTGTGGACATGTACATAGTCCGTGCGAGATCGCGGTAATGAACAATAACGCAGGTTGAATTGTATTTGCTTGTATGTAGGCGAGTATTTAAGAGATGGGGGGAATCTATCTCATAGGATGGTGAGTCGGGGGCAGTGCTTTGATTACGGCAGAATGATGTCTGTCGACTGGCCTCCTTGTCTGTGGGGGATCCCTGTCGCTGTGAAGTCATGGTGCATTGTCGGTTGTTGAGCCGTGATGTTATTTGGTGTTGGATGGGGCGTGGTAGACTGCGGAGGAGGCTATGTAGTCGTAGATTAGGTACCATCGTGAGTCATGTATAGACTTACTGGTGGGGATAGAAGTGTACCTCCTCCATACTACTGATATATGGACTAAATTAGAATTCAACAGCTACAAGACCATAACTATTAATCTATCCACCTACTGAATTATATGTACTATATTATGGTAGTGTTCCCCGCAGATCGAACACCCCGGAGGAACGATAGTCCACTCTAATGCCTAGACCCTCTAACCAATACTCCCCCAATACCCCAAGAGGTACACTATACATACAATACTGTAAGCAATCAACCCCGGGGATTCTCCTCTCCGTTCCCCGCTTCTTCTTCCCTCTCAAATGTCCCTGGACTTTCTTTCCAATCTCGTTGTTATTATTGAATCTCACCAGAATTACCTGTTTCATTCGACCTTTTTTTATCCATCATCTATACTTTCCTTTCCCTCACCCTCTACCTCCTGGTATCTTCGACACCTACACCCCCCCAGCTAAACTCACACCCCAGATCTTACTGGGTCGATCTTGGTCCCCATCAAGATTATTGGCCCACTTTCCCCCGTTTTTTCTTTTCGAATGCTGCGATTCATCCGACCTCGTTACTACCCGGGATGCGATCTCGCACAGGCTGGTATGTACTTTTATACTTGATATGGGTTCTACTCAATATGAATATGGAAATCAATAACTATTGAGATGTCGCGACTCCATGTCGCGTGATGGAATGGCCGTCCTGGCAACTGTCGCAGAGACGCTAACTGCAGTCTGTCTTCTCCAGCTTGACGTGTCGTACTCGGAAGCTGAAATGTACGTGCCATTCCCCTCCACCTTCGACGAATATCTACACACACCCGCGCTTTCTCTTTCTCTTCGTCTACTTTATCCTCTTTCGACCAAGGTTGACGGTTGACCGATAGGCGATGAGCAAAAACCTGAATGCTCGCAGTGTCGCAAAGGTGCCCGGGAATGCCGTCCGAGCGAAGGGATCATCTTCCGCCATCAGCAGAATGCGTCCATGAATAAGAACCTGGAGGATTGCTCCAGTGGCCGCGGGAGTTTGAAGGGGTTTTATTCGTATAAGAATACTTTTGCTAAGGATGTTGTTTGGTTGGATGTTCCGAAACATGGTATTTCCTTCTTTACCTCTTTTTTTTTTCCCCTCTCCGCCGCGGACTAACCTGACATCTAACCCCGTTAGTCGTCTTCGTTGATAATTCCGATCCGTATGCAGAGGAACTGGAAGCGGCCCTCGGAGAGTCCGAGGCCGCCATCCTGGCCGCAAAATCACAGACTCGCGAGTGGAGTGCCCAGCGGAGTACACCGGCCGATAGCGAGACTCCCGGTTTAGAAGCCCTGTCCACGGCGGCCGCCCACGATCGCCTTCCATATCCCTCCCTGAACATAGACCAACCATGTATGCCCACGCCCGACAGCACCACGACCTACAATCATGTCCCCGCCTCTTCGGTTTCGTCCGGTCCTTCTCCCCATCAAGCGCGCAGTGTGTTGCCGCCCCAAACATCTCCCCCCCTCTCGGTTGCCTCGAACCACAATAATAATATCAACTTCCTGCTCAACCCCTCCCAGTCTCTGTCGCCGCCCACCGACCCTCACATCCGTAATACGCCGGACCGACGAAACTCGTCCATGACCGCGAGGTCCGTCGCGTCACGGGGCACCAGTGCCGCGGAGATCAAATCCGAGGCGTCCGTGGAGACCGACCACGAATCCGCCTTTTTATTGCGACACTTTTCCGAGTCTCCAGGACTGTGGTAAGCATTGCCGCTTTAGCGCGCATGGTAGATTGCTGACTGGTAGCGTAGGATGGACCTCTTCGATCTCGGGACGTATTTTGCGTCTTATGTCCCCGTGAAGGCGCTTCGAAATCCTCTCCTAAAGTATGCGGCGTGTGCATATGCTGCTAAACAGCTGGGCCGTGTCAAGGGAGCAAAGTCTCCGGCGGGTGGAGTCTGTTCCAAGCAAGCGTCGATGGAAACCTGGCCCAGCACGACCAAGGTAGACTGGACGTGGTATGGCGCCAAGTATTATGAAAAGGCCATCCAGCTCTTGATGAAAGAGTTGCAACCCGACAAGGGACCTCCACCGCTCAGTACGCCCGAGGCGTTCGGTCAGTGGCAAGCCGCCGAGCTCTGCGAAGACGCCAACAATCCCCGTAAGCGGCGGCGACGTTTCTCCGAGAGTCGACTCTCAAATGGGGTCCACTCGGACGAGATCCTGGCCGCTACGGCCATTCTGTCCGTGTATGAATTCCTCGACGCCACGGGGCCCGCATGGAGCCGCCATTTGAGCGGCGTGAAGTCCTTGCTAGATGTCGCGGAAGTCGGCATGATGCCTCTGGAGCAGCGAACGCCTGTGGGCGACAACCCCTTCCAGACACCCAAGAAGGTCGCGCTGTCCAAAGCACGGAAGGCGACGTTTTGGAACTTTGCCCGACAGGATTACCTGGCAGCCTGTGAGTGCCCGCACGATACGATATGAAACCGTCCACTGTTAACCAGCCCAGTTATCAACGAGAGCCAAACGCGGCTCAACACCGACGACCTCGTTCTGTGGACCGAAGCCGGCCTCCAGATCGACAGCGCGGGCTTCGTATGCTCTGCCAATCCGAGCGCACCCGGGTACCACGAAAGCGAGGAGCCCATGAAAGAGGACCTCATCGGGAACGGCCTCATCTGGATACTTTCCAAGATAGTCAACTTCATCAACGCCGGCAGCCAAGTGCACTTCAACCAGAGCTCCGTCGACACGGGGCCCTTGGGCCTTACCCCACAGGTCCTGCTGGAACGGTGGTACCGTCTAGAAGCGGAGCTGGACGTCTGGCACAGCGGGTTACCAGACACATTCCGCCCCTGCGCTCGCATCGAGCCCTCAGGCAACGACGCAGCCAGCGGACTGATGGAAATCTGGTACAGCCTCCCTGTCTGCTCATCCGCCATGCAGCATTTCCACATGGCGCGCATCCTCCTCCTCATCAACAAGCCGCACGAGTCGACCAGCGGCCGCAGCACCATCACCAACAGACTCAACTCCTACCGCTCCATCGAGAACGACATCCGGTTCCACAGCCGTGAGATCGTCGGCATCTCGATGGCGCGGCCGCACGGCTCGGTGAGGATTAATAGTCTGCAGCCGTTGTTCGTCAGCGGACAGTGTCTCACGGAAGCGCCGGAACGGCGGATGGTCGTGCGGTTGCTGCATGGGATTGAGACTGATCTGGGTTGGGCGACGGGGTATCGTGTGAATCAGTTGCTGCGGGAGTGGGGGTGGGCTGAGGAGTCTCGTGACGAGGGCGTTCCGTGATTGCGACATGGCCCTGGCCTTCTCAACGATTCTAGTCGACATTCTCAGTTAGGCTTTTCAGTCTGACCTCAGTCTGACCTCAGTCTGACCTTCTCAGTCCGACCCCGGATCTCAACGGGGACCCTGCGCCTCCAGTACCTGTGGCTTCGAGCTCTGCGAGTGTCTCTTGACGAAGACGCCGAGCTGATCAGGGCTATGCTATGTCTTCGATTCAAGACATGCGCCTCTGCCTAGTCTGGAGACGAATCTCACCCTCGCCTGCATGCGGGTGGCAATCGGACACGGCCTCCCACACCAGCGACGATGACCGTGTACCTATCCCATCCCATCTCAAGATGGACGATTTGCAACTACATGTAAGAATGCGGAAGTGGAAGTGGAAGTTTGAAAACCTGTACGTTCAGTGATACCACATGCTTTATTTTGTTCCGTTTGGCTTGATTTTTCGGATTGACGCAGCACGAAACGAGGACGAATAATCCTCTAATCCTCCGCTCTTTTTATCTTTCTCTTTTGTATTCCGCACATATGTCGAGACGAGTGTACGTATGTTAATAGTAATTAGCGAGATAGCATTTCACAGCGTGGAGAGGACGTTAATGTATGTATGTATCAACAGCCGTTAAGGCTGGAGAAGTGAGCAAGAATGTCAGAACCTAAAGGTGAAGAAAACAGTGCCGAAAACAAGATGAAGGCGATCTTCCCTTTAAGAGAACTACCCAGTAAAAAGGGAAAGTTGTCTTCGGCAGAGTTGCCTGTCTATAAGCCATGGATACTATAGTCATAGTGCAGTGGAGTGGAGTGTGTAGTGGACAGTGGATATTCGGATTCGGAATTAGGTAGGTAGTAGGTAATAGGTGACTGCCAGGTTTTGCGATATTTTCCCTCTTTTACACGTGAATGAGATGAAATCATCGCGAGTCCACTCACACTGATGAAAGTGTGCCGGGCTTAATCGTAGTTCTCCACTCCACTCCTCCCTACCTTAGATACAGAGGTAGTCAGTCAGTCAGTAATTCACCCTCCTTTCTTTCATTTACTAACTAGTGCGAAGGTAGGTACTAGGTAATGAAAATTGGCTTCGGCAGGCTGAGCTTCAGTTACTTCACACCCAATTCTTCACCCAACCTACAAGGTAGGTTAGACTTAGGTCCACTACTAGACAAGGTGGATCGATCCGCTGATCAGCGCGACGGAAGGTAACCCGACCCGGGTATTGTTTCCTGTTGTTCGAACTGTGGTTTAGTTACTTAATTAGTTAGGTAGATCAGTTATGGTATTTTCTTCAGAAGTAGGTATTCCTATTCCTAGTCTACTTGTTTAGTAGGTAAAGAAGGTAGGGAGGGAGGAGGGAGGTCGAATCCACTTCCAACTTATCCCTCGGATTGATATACTCCGTACATTCTAACGTCATCGTGCGTTGTGTTTAGAATTTACATACCTTCCTTCAAGTACAATGTATAGTATGCCAGTATGCTTTGCTCGAGCAGTATATATGGATGCTGATAATAACTTTGTCAAGGATACCCTTTGTATTCTCATTTACCTTATTTATTTTGATGTTTCCTTATGATTGAGTTCAAGCGCGTCGTGCGGGTCCAAACTACGAAGTAGTCCTAACTATCCCGATCGTCTCGGTTTACCTAGGAGTAGGTCTTTCTAGTCTACTCATGAGACTGGAGGCTGCTGCTAGTTTACTACTCACTTTCTCCTTTTGGTGTATTGTCAACGATGCGTTGTCGTGTACTACCCTACTACTTACACCCTTCCCCAACTGGAAGTTGAAGGGAAAGTATCCCGATTGAGATGATCCGGATATCGGATATAGTCGATGCAGGGTTAGGAACAGTTGATAGGGATGGTAACGGCGGATGTAGATCTTGGTCATTACCGTATATTAGTATTATTGACTGGTTGACTGCTGGCTATTGTGTCTTTTGTAGTTGTATGGAGGAGTAGGGGATGGGTGCTTTGTGGTTGTGTCCTTGACGAGAGTCTTTGTATAGATAGGGACTGTTGGATTCTATGTAGACTGGATGTGATGATGTTGGTTTCAGCTACCTACCTAATTGTTGACGCACGTTGCCTATCTCCTTGAGGTAAAGAGTTATAACTGTGGTGAATGCCATTCGGCCTTGTATGGTGTATGTAGATGTATGACCTTATAGACGTATAATTGCCAATATCCAACCCTTGGTATATACTACCTCTTCAGCCTCTTCGACATCCTCCGGGTCGTCCTCGTCTGCGACGCTTTAACCACAGCGCCAACATCCTCCTCACCTTCGTCCTTCGGTTCAGTCTTCACCACATCCTCCAGCTCACTCTTCACCCCATCCTCAGGTGCCTCCCTCTTCACAGCAACAGCAGTAGTGACCTTCGTCTCAACCTTCACCTGACTACCATCCGTAGGTTCCTCCTTCACATCCACGTCGACCTTCACAGCCGACTTCTTAGACGTAGCCAAGCGATCTGAAAACGACTTCAAGTCCGCCGTGAATAACACGCTGTGCGCCCACCCGGCGTCTTTGCCCCACAGCTTGCGGAAGTGGTTGCCCACTGCATCGTATGTCGCCTTCGTCAGGGACTTGTGGGATCCTTTGCCGAATTTGTAGTCTCGTTGGGCGATTTGCCACACTGTATCTTAGTTAGTGAACCTCTCGCAATTATAGAGAGGGGGAAGGACAGACCATGCGTGTCAACCGGAACAGACTCCCCCCACCCCAACCCCATCAAACAAACACAATCCGCAACCTTAGGCCCAACCCCCTGCAACTCCAGTAACCCCTCATGCGCCCTGCGATACCCCTCCCTCCCCGCATCCTCCATCTCCCCCCCATCACCACCATCAGCAGGACTCTCCCCGAAAGCAGGAAACTCCGGGTTCGCCAGCGAACCCAACCACCCCTTCTCCCGCTTCTCCGCAACGATAACCGCAGTCTGGTAGATATACTTCGCGCGATACCCGAAACCCAGCTCGCGCAAGCGGCCTTCAACATCCGCCCCCGTCAGCGCCTCAGGACCCGGAAAGTCATGGTAGGCGCGGCCGCCAACGCTAGCGACGAACGGCCCGTAGTGCACGCACAGCTTCTCGACCATCTGCGAGATGCGCGCGATGTTGTTGTTGCTGCTGCAGATGAAGGAGACGAGCGCTTCCCAGGCGTCCTGGCGCAGGATGCGGATGCCTGTGAACTGGGGCGCCTTTTTGCGGAAGTTGGGGTCGGAGGAGGACCATTGCGCGTAGAGGGTTGTGAGGTTCGAGGAGAGGTTGAAGTAGTGGGTTAGGAGGGAGGGCGTGTCGTCGGGTTTGGGGTTGGATGGGGCCGGCGGGGGTGAGGTGAGGTAGGTGCGGTAGTAGAGGTTTGTGGGGTCTTGTTTGAGGGAGAGGAGGCGGCCGTGGAGAACGCAGCGCCATTCATCGCTGTCGGGGACGTTGTGCCATCTGTTTGGTGTTAGTATTTGTTATCGTGATTGGAGTTGATGTGGTGGTAGCGGTGGATGGGTGGTTTACCGGAAGGATTGGCCGCATCTCAAGGTAGTGTTAATGCAGAGCTCGCTCAGGCTTACCGGCAGCTTGCGCCACTCTGAGAATGCCCCAGCTGTCATGATATCTCTTTGATTGAGGTTGAATGTAGAGAAGTAAACTCGTCGCAAACCAAAAAAAGGATATTCTGCCGGACTCCGTCCCAGACAAGAAAGCGGTCGATACTCCCTCCGCATGGCAAGCGCGCTAACCGCTTCGACACTAGACGCCAGCGGCTGCTTCGCCGATCGCCTCAACTGCGAGTTTTCCCTGAGTGAAGCTCGCTCTGTTCCAGATTCCTCTCCGCGATCCCATTTTCTAACTGTTTTTCCATCTTACTTGAGACTTGCTGCTGTCCTTTGGTTTCATACACTGCTTACTTGAGGAGTGTTGTACCGCAGTTTGCTTTGGACACTTGGCGAAGGGGAACAGCGCGTCCGGACAGATTATTCCATCAGGATGAACGGGGATACGTACTCTTCCAGAGGTGAGTCTGACATGGTCGAGTACGGAGCTCACCAGGGGGCTAATAAGCCGGTCGCAGACTCTGGTCGCCCTAGGGACTACTACGTAAGTTTCAGACCATGTTCAATGCCGCATCTCGTCAACTCAGCTAATCCGTCCGATGCGCAGCGCGACGAACGCCGTGAACGCGGTGGTGACAGAGGCGAGAGAGGCGGACGCGGAGAGAGAAGACGCTCGCGGTCGCCCCACTACGGCCGAAGCTCCCGACGCGAGTACGAGGCCGACTCGTATTCGTCCAGCCGCGACTACCGCGCCAGAGAACGAGAGGACCGCTACTCCAGCCGGAGAGACGATCGGGAATGGGACCGGGACCGTGGTGCCGACCGCCGGCGCAGGGACGATGATCGGCCGCCCCGACGGGAGCGTGATAGAGATCTCTTCGAGGAGCGACCGCGACGGGAGAGGGAGCGAGGAGACCGCGACCGTGAGGGTGACCGTGACCGTGAGAACCGGAGGGAGCGCAGAAGGAGTGCCACACCTCCCCCGCGCAAGAGGGAGGCCACGCCCGACCTGACGAATGTGGCCTCGGTGCTGGATCGGAAACGTCGTCTGACGCAATGGGATATCAAGCCTCCTGGGTATGAGAACGTGACGGCGGAGCAGGCTAAGCTTTCAGGTGAGTACGCTGTGCGCTCGCGTGGGGAGAATGGCTTGGCTAACAGTTGCTATTAGGGATGTTCCCTCTTCCTGGCGCGCCTCGCCAGCAACCTATGGATCCCAGCCGCCTGCAGGCTTTCATGAACCAACCCGAAGGCGGATCGGCCGAGAACACCACGCTCAAGCCGTCCAACTCGCGCCAGGCGAAGCGTCTGTTTGTCTACAACGTTCCCCCGACTGCTACCGGCGAGACTATCTTGTCGTTCTTCAATGTCCAGCTCAACGGCCTCAATGTCATCCAGAGCGTGGACCCCTGCATTTCCGCGCAAGTGTCCGACGACCGGAGCTACGCTTTGCTGGAGTTCAAGACGCCGAGCGATGCCACCGTTGCCCTCGCGTTTGATGGGATCCAGATGGAGGAACACCAGACTATGGGCGAAAAAGGCGCGCAGGGACTTGAGGTCCGCCGACCCAAGGACTACATCCTCCCTAGCGCGCCGGAACAGGAGTACCAGGAGGGCGTGCTGCTCAACGAGGTTCCCGACTCGCCCAACAAGATCTGCGTGTCCAACATCCCGCATTACATCCCGGAGGAGCCCGTGACGATGCTGCTCAAGTCGTTTGGCGAGCTCAAATCGTTCGTGTTGGTCAAGGATAGCACCACGGAGGAGTCACGAGTACGTATCTAGTCTGGGGATTGGCTTAGTTCACAACTAACACAGACAGGGCATTGCGTTCTGCGAGTACGCCGACCCCGCCGCTACGAGCATCGCCGTGGAAGGACTCAACGGAATGGAGCTGGGCGATAGACACCTGAAGGTGGTGCGTGCCAGCATCGGCATGACGCAGGCCGCGGGTCTAGATATGGGCGTCAATGCCATGTCGATGTTTGCCAAGACGACGTCGCAGGATCTGGAAACCAGCCGCGTGCTGCAGCTGCTGAACATGGTGACACCGGAGGAGTTGATGGACCCTGATGACTACGATGGTATTTCCTTCTTCTTCCCTAGATCATTTTATATGGAGTGACTAACTATATTAGAAATCTGCGACGACGTCCGCGAGGAGTGCTCCAAGTACGGCCAGATTGTCGATCTCAAGGTGCCACGCCCGTCCGGCGGAAGCCGACAGTCTCCCGGCGTCGGCAAGATCTTTGTCAAGTTCGACACGGTGGAATCCACAACAGCAGCGTTGAAGGCGCTGGCTGGGAGAAAATTCTCCGACCGAACCGTGGTGACGACGTACTACAGCGAAGTAAGTTTCTATCTACCTTATCATGTTAAAACGATACTAACAGACACAGGAAAACTTCGACGTGAGCGCCTGGTAATGTCAAAAGGAAACGGAAAAGCGAAAACAAACAGTATGATAAGGGCTGAAAAGAATGAACGTATTCTGTCGTATTAATTGCTATGGTCGATCCGATTCCGATTCCACTTCCTGTTTTTCTTTATTTCTTTTCTTCCCTTGCGCGCCTAATTTGACCAGCTAGCTGGATATGACAGCGGCCATAACACAGACCGACAGACCGACAGACCGACAGCAGTGACGAAGTAGGCTGACTGGATATCCAGCGGGTCGCTGGCCAGGCTTGGCTTTTTTATGATGTACCATAGCGGGAGATGATAACATTGGACTATTTGCTGGGTACCTAACTCTACCTACAGTAAGTTTGTAGATTGGCCTAGTCACCTAGGTACGTAGATCCGGGATTTACATCTGATAACCAGAGCATAACCAGTAAATCAAGTAAACAGTAGGCGATCTACCTCGGAGATAGTAGATAGATATCCACCCCGCAGATGAAGAAGCAGATCTACCCTCGGCGTGGCGAGTAGGCACATAACTACTTACTAGGTAGAATGCCGACGCGGGGCAAGACCGAAGATCATAGTTTGTATATTAAGTACCCACCTTTCAGATGGACATACGTGAATACGTAGATAGATCAGTGAGGAGTGAGTGGGCAGATATCTGTGCGAACTGCATGGTAGCGAGACGATCTTGGGCTTGCAGTATGATATTCGGAGTAGGTAGATACTCTCACATGGGATTTGGCTGTTATAGTAGGTAGGTTGGTAGGTAGGTAAGCGAGTATACTGCAGGTATGAGTGTCATAGCGAAGGAGCAGGAGCAGGATCAAACACGCACGCACGGACGAGTAGGTACGTACATCCCTTGTCAGCTAGTATAGGAATAAGGTATCGTCTGCGAAGCGAAGCACAGAAGCGAACCCAACACCGGATACAATCCTGGTTCCAGCTCCGGGCTATCCTCGTGATATACATCTCCCAGTCTACTCTACTCTACCCTATCCAACTAACCGACGGATAGATCACTGAAGAACTATTACTATCGCAACCACCAACACTACTGCAAGAGAAAGTGTAGGGCTACTAGTCTGCAACCGAACCGAACTGAACTGAAACAACACGACAACAGCCAAAATCCCAATAGCCGAGTCCAGCCGGGAAGATCGACGACTCCTGCTCCAGATGCCGAGCCGGGGAGAGCAGGAGGAGGGATCATTCGGATGAATGGCTCTAGACTATAGAGTGATGCTGAAGAGAATAAAGTCTAACAGTTCCTTGAAATGCCGTTGATGGTGGGTGAATGACGCAGAGGTGCATATTCTGAGGATAGGATGGGATTGATTGTATGGTAGAGTATACCTTGTATGGATCCATGTACGGATATGAAGTGTGGAGGAAGTGTGGGGGAGGAGGGGCGAGGATGAACCGCGGTACATGTATCTATCTTAGCATGGGTAAGTACCTGGTTGGTTGGTAGGCCATTATTCAGACGTTGGAGTCTAGCGACGACTGGGTATCTTTTACATGCCGAGAGACATGTGTTGCTCGGTAGATGGATGTATGTATCACGCACATATTTAGCTGCGTACTTAGAGGTAGGTAGGTAGGGATAGAGCAGGGTTGAAATTTACTGACGATTTATATAATTTATCATTGATTGATTTATACAATTAATTGATCTATGATTGTATGGCATCACTTTTGACTGTGTCCTGAGTACCGATAACTACGAGAGACCAGTCAACCAGTGATGAATATTGATCAACAGGGTTCGTCCGAACCGAACCAAGCCGAAACCACTAACAGTGGAGGAAGACAATCAGGAGGAGACCCGAAGAACCTACCTGCTCGGAGTAGATACTAGATTCGCCATCTGACTCCGTGTACCTAGGGTACAGAACATATCGATCAACATCCGTTCCCATGGAACCAAACCACAAGCAAGTCACTTGGTCAACCTAGGTAGAATGCACACCATCCAAGCGAAGGCAAGGCGAAACCCAAAATGCGGGGAAAGACACACATCGGGTCCGGGGTAGATAATAATAATACCATCCCACGATCTAACTCATTTATTACTGGTTCGTAATATCTACAACCGTGGCTGCGCCAACGACTCTAAAGTGTATTATGTATGTATGTATATAGTATCTACACGTGCGTGCTTACCGAACCTAGGACCGGAACCTAGGCAAGTGCAAAACATGGCACGCCAATAATAAATTACACAGTAATAAGTAAAAATAAATTGGAAAAAATATCAAAAAAGAAACCCGTCCATTTCCTATCAGGGATTCCCGACTCCTGCCACCCTGGGGATTTAAGTTACATGTGTAGTTGGCTTGTCGGAGGAGTTCCTTTTTCGACATCCTACAGTTAACGTGGTATATCTGCTAGATCGGCGCACCGGCTGACGCCGACGGGGAAACAGAGCAGGAGGATCCATTCACACATGTTTGCTTCTTTGTCTGTAAGACGGACGATGGGCTGGACTGGACTGGACTTGATTTGAAAATTTCTATTTCACTGCCTAGACATTCCAAGGATCGTCTGTGTCTGTGCAGTCAGTCGGGAAACAATAGTCTCGCTTAGGCTGTGTTCATCCGTCCATCCCCCCATATTCTGATCTAGGTTTTGACTTGGACGATCAGAGGGGGGGGGAGAGAGGAGCCGATTCGGTTCGGTTGATGATTTTCTAGTATTCTTTTTGATATTTCCTGGTTGAACATTTGTCATTCGTGTCAATCATCCAGGCCTGGAATTCAATCGGCATTGTAAAATCCAAAACTCCATTCCATCCGTAGGCGAATGTCGTTGGCTTAACACGAACCTAGGCCCTAGGCGCAGCCGGACCTAGTATGCTAGTAGTATATTCAGCCGTTGGGCTAGCCGATGGTGGGCATCTCTACTGTATTGTACGTATTGTACTGTATGGTGCTGTATTATGTTGTATTGCATTGTATGTATGTATGGTGTATCATGTAAAGTAGTCGTGGTCAAACAGGGGTATAGTAGAGTCGTGCATCGTCAGAATGCATAATACGCTGGCGCCAAATGTGAATATACAACTTCCGTTCCTTTTTTTTGTAATTCCTGCAAAAAGTGTAGTGGATCACGCCCCCCGGTAGGTCGTGCCGCGGGCGAACGTGGATTCTGGATCCCATTCGCGTTCGGGTCCACCCCGTGGGGATGTCGGGGGCCGTGGCCCTGAGAAGCTCATTGATGGACGCACGTAGCGCGCGTCGCGGCCATGCGAGCCGGCCCCGGGCACCGGGCTCAGGGTGCCGGCTGTGAAGGCGGGACTGGGGGTGCGTAAGACGGCGGAGTCGGGGCTCTTCATGGAGTTGAGCATCTCGTAGGTCCGCGGGTCGGTCGGCTGGCGTTTGCGCGCGTCGACCGAGACAAACTCGTTGCGTTGGCTGCGCCTGGAGCGGAAGAGGTCGATCCAGCCGGTGAACATGGATGGGCGCGCTAAGAGGATGAAGTTCCAGAGGCCGACTAGCGACAGCAGGATGAGAACGGCCAGCAGGGTGGCCTCGTTGGGACCTAGATTGGTGAACTCGTGGGCGCAGGCCGCGCTGTCGCCTTTCTTTTCGATCAGGCACAGGAGCCACGGCATCGCCTCGACCGTGTTTTCCGGCGTCACCTCGAGCTGGCGGTCCATGGTCATGAAGATGACGGCGAAGAAGATCACGTTGCCGATGATAATGAGAATTAGAGCCGCGCCGCGCCACTGTAGCTGCAGCACGCGCCGGATACGGCGGTAGGCGTGGCGGGCGGACACGGTGCGGACGCTGGCCGAGTATGACGGCAGCGCGGAGCTGTTGGTCGTGGAGCTTTGGTCGAAGACAGACTTGACGTAGATGCGGATGCAGTAGCCCATGGTGACCATCTGCACCACCAGCGCCGCCGCGGCAAATGCCATCATCGGTGCCCAGTAGTCTTGCACACTGTGCTTGATGTTGACGTGGCAGGTGCCCCCGAATCGATACGACACGCCCGTAAAGACCATCATCACGGCGAGCCCGATGGCGGGGATGCCCCAACCGCAGATCAAGGCTCCGTACATGAATTTCTTGCCGATAATCACCTCCCAGCAGACCTGAAGATGGAACGCCACGGTGCGGATGAAACCTAGATCCTGTCAGTATCAAAGTATATATCCATATATAAAATTAATGGAGATGGTTCGTACTCCACATGATGACCATCCACCCCCCGAAGAGAAGAAACGCCCCTGTAAATGCACAGGAGATGTCGGAATACATATCATTCGGGGTGATTGGATTGTAGCATTGATTCGGTTTGATCCCAAGAGGGATGATGAACGCAATCTAGTCTCGTCAGTACCTCACAGTAGCCCCCTTCCCCAATCCTCGGTGCAAGACTCACCTCCATAAAGGCTATCCCGAGCGTAATGCATATGCTCAGATAATGTCGATGTGTCACCTTCACGGGAAGTACGACATATGAGAGGAGTATAAAAATACAGAGAGGCAGAGTGGCCACGGCCAGCCAGGAAGCGATCTGCGACTTGGGCTCGATGTCTGCGCGCAACTCCTGTCAGACATGGGACTTCCCCAGAACCGTCAAAGTTGACATACCTTCACCGTATCGCCATTCGGCCATGGGGCATGGTAGACAGCAAGACGCCTCTATGCCCATGAGGGGGATCTTTTTGCAATAACGCCCCTCGATAACTGAACATTCGACACTCCCCGGTTAGCCTATTTCCCCACCGACAGGAACTAGTCGATCATGGGTCACATACATCCACCCTCGGAGGGGAAGAGGGATTCTTGGAGGAATGGGGGCGGACAGACCCCGTTGAAGGTCTGGTTCCCCATACTACGGTCCTCGAAGGAATTCATCGTTCTGTCAAAGCGTACTGGGAGGATGATGACGCTTGCGATGTCGGTCGGAAGAAGATCATAGTATGGAGATCCAGCTGGTCAACGACGAGAGGGTGTACCACCTGTGCGCGAGACTCGCGACCACAAGTGAATGAGGAAGACGAAACCGGGGGAGGGGGGTTGGTGGGGATACACAATCACATATAGACGAGTCTAGGAGGGGGGCAAAAAGAAAGGGAAAGAAAAGGAAAGACGGGGGATGATGTGAAACATGGGGGAGAAACATTCAGATATACTAGGGAAGTCGATTTCTAGAGTGGATTGGAGTCAATGATGTACAGAACTAGAGCCGTTGGTAGTACCGAACCCAGGGTACTTTTCCTTTCGGACCACGAGCGAAGTGAACACCAGACGATTGGACTCGGTTCATCAGAGAGGCATCCACAGCCGTCGCGCGAGATGAGCTTGGCAGGAGGACCGAGAGAGGGGAGAAATGAATTGTAACTTCTCATTGGGTTGGATATCCATGGATCAGGATGGATCAAGGTCATTGCTGAATAGATTACTGAATAGATTACCGAGATCTCCCATTAACTACAGGTAATACGGTATTACCGGTCTGTAAGGATACGGTACGTCGGAGCTAGAACGGTGAGCAGACTTGGTTATGGAGTAGTTATGGAGTAACCGACAGGACCAGGAATCGCATCCTGGTTTGTGTTATTCATTTATTTTATTTATTCATTTTACTTATTCTATTATATTTTTTTTTTGGCTTAATTGATCTATTATGTTATATTTTATTATTTTATGTTATTATTATTTGACTTTTTACTCCCCACTTCTCCTCTTCCACTCATCCCCCCCTGGTACCTGCGCCGGTTTGACTTTCTCTCCTCCTCGGATGTCACGTTGGCTCAGACATTCTTTTCTTGGTTCGGGTTGCACGCGATAAAGGTCAATGGAGACTCCGCTTGTTTGAATTTCCTGATATTCGTGGACTCCGTTGACTCCTACAGTCCCAAATGATGTCTCACAATGGATTCAGATCTACATCGTGGGTGCTCCACCAACATTGACCAAGTCTATCTACCCCTCGGAGTCGCATTGACATCCCCACCTTTACTATCGATTGGATATCGCCCTAGTCTGGACTCTGGTGACCGGGGAAAGCACGGGGTTGGTCTGCTGCAAAACCAACAGACTAACAGGATGTGGTCTGTTACTAACTCCCCCCTCTTTCAACCGATGCGGTACCCTCAGCTGCAAATCGCCACTAGTCCTTACTCTTTAGTTGTTTCGTCCTATGGAGAGTAAGTCAAGCCCGGCCTCCAGGAGTCTCCCCCCAGTCTCCACCGCACATGAACACGAGTCTCTCCTCGGGTGGATCCCAGAGCCGCAAGAAACATGTTTGGTCCGCTGAGGTTACAAAGGATTATCCTCGTTGGGTCACGGAAGGACGCGATGGGATGGTTCCTATTGCTTGTCCGTGTCAATCAGGTTGATCCGAACAGCGACGGAGTACGGTCTATGCTGTGAGGGTAAGTCCAGAGGGCTGAAGCCCGCGCATCCTTGTCAGCCAGCCAAGATGCCGGGTTTTCCTCTCTCTCCTGAGTCTGGATGCTGGTGTGTTCTTAAATCACGCACCCGGATCTGCGTCTGGTTCGATTTTTTCCTGTTCTGTTCCTTTTCCACTTGCAGGAGAGTGTCGCGTGGAAAATACCGTTCACGTCGCTCTGTGGACGCGACTTAGGGCTCGGCTCTGATCGAAGTATTCGGCTAGGCATGCCCTGTCCCTGCTCCGGACGGGGTACACGCATGGTGGTTGACTTGGCACAAATTATGACAAGGCTGCCTCCTCGCCGGAGAATATTATGCGGGCGTTATCACCCCTTAATGTTCCAGACGCGTTGAACAATGCCATTAATAATATAGCCTAAACCGGGGCACATTTCCCTTCTTGACTGGGATTCCGAAAAGCATAAAACCCGGTGCCGCTGTGGAAAGTTCTATGGCAAGGTATACATTCCTTCCCCTTCTTCCATTTCGATCGCGGGCGTTTTCCGTACTCAGTTGGAAGCCGTAGTAGTCGGTAGAGGAGAGAATCATGCTGGTTGCCACCCACGGATGCAGGATTTCGCTATCCTGCAGGCACATAAAAGCAACGCGTTGAAGCAATCCAAGCAAATGGCGAGAGCCTGCGGATATCCACACGATCAGCCAATGCTGACTCGGTCTTACACGACATTTGGAATTCAGCTGCAAGGTACCCGGCCGCCGTCATCAAATTCGCCATCGGGATTGGGCATCAAGATCGACGAATCGCCCATCGAGGATCCAGTCCACTATTGAAAATAAACTGCCCTCCGGTTATAATAGCTGCCCACTACTCTGTTCATTCTCACCACAAAGGCCTGGCCCCCGGAAATTTGGCGGATTTGGCTGGTCTTGCCTGTAAATACTAAATAGTTTCCGCCAATGCGCAGTAGGGGTTCCACTACGATTTGCCATCTACGGTGCCATCCTTGTCTGGAAAATATGATTTTCTCCACGCATTCTGGCCTCGCGGCCAAAGCTCTTCGACGGAGGACGCCACCCAGCCATGGGGAGGAGCATCGGACAATTAAGGGACAGACGCAAACTTTCGCCTAGCATTCCCAAATGGCTTGCTTCGGAACGTCCACCATCGTTCCAATCCTGGCAAGCAATCGTGTGCTCTGGATGGTCGAATATGACCGGTGCTGCGGTTGTCAATCACACGAGGTACAGGGACCAATAGGGACCTGCACGCACGGGTTGACAGTGATCCGCGCACGATCTGGTGTCGCCCAGGGATTCTAGGTGGTTTCTCTTGGTTGTCTTGCGAATCTTGTCATCCGTCCGGCCCGTATCCCCATTACCTCGTGCGACTCTCGGTCTTTTCTCTTATCGTCTTCGTATGTGATATATATTCTATTCTCTATTTTTATTCTGATGCCTATGTTTTCGCCTCCCGTCACGGACATTCCCGTTCCCGGGGCCTGATTCGGTGAGAATATCCTGCGGGAGTGTCTCGGGCGGCCGAATCACGGCTCGTTATTGGAGTCGCCCGTGTTCGAGGCTGTGGCCCTGATGGATATTCCGGGCGGGATTGGCTTCCTCTAGCCACCGACCTATCCACCAGAATTGTCTCGTCCTGTCCTACGTCCCTATGACAGGTGCCAGACGTAGTATGCCTGCTTCGGCCTCATGCGGTGGTCGTCATCCATCTGATCGGGAAATTGTCACGAGTCAATTGGGAGTCGATCTGTCATAATCGACGAGCGCGCCTTATGTCACTGGGCGGACCCCAGCTGGAAGATCGACATTAGCTTCCCCTCAGCGAATCCACCTAGCTGAAGAGAAGACCAGATTACATTACCCCCGCCAGTCACTAGACATGAATCCAGGTGGAGATGGAATTCCTGCAAGATTAAGGAGTACATGCGCGGACGTACTCCGTACAAGTCAACACACTGCATGCTGCGGAGTTTGTCGGTCTTGCCGCTGCACCTCCTCAACATCAAAACCATCATACACGGGGAGCACGCTCAGAACAATCCAATTGTTCCTGCATGCACAATGACTTTTACAGCGGCGGATATGCATATTTTCTGCGCCGGTGCCGGTGCTTTTCCAGACAGGGACCTGCACGGGACAGTTCCTGCGCTGCGTTTTGGGAATTCCTTCAGATTCAACATTCTAATTGAGCCAAAGGCAAGGCAAGGCAAAGAAAAGAGCGGTGTGATCGTCTTGCCTGACAGAACTTGGGAGATTACGTCTGTTGCAGGCCTCTTCACCCTGAATCTGCTGTGGATATGCCCTGGCGGTGGGTAGGCAGACCCTTTCGCATCTCTCTGCTTTACCAACGGTATGGAAAGAGATGAATACAACTCAACGTGGGTCCCTGCCGTGCGATCGCGGTCCTGGGCTGTCTACGCGAAACTCCATCAGACTGGCTGGGCGGGAAATTTTCAAGTACGGCAAACAAGTGGCCGTGCTTCGGGTATTACATCCCCGTGGTCGCACATAGCACCCCGTTGTGTGGGTGTTTTACTACACGGCACCTGTCGTGTCGTCGTGCTCCAGGTCTTCGGACAAAGTTGTCCGGTACTTGGGACGAGTACATCTGGCCCGGACTTTGGGGCTACGGGCACGGACGACTCTGCATGCTTCATTGTACAACTCGATTCAAAATGCCGGGTATGCAGAGCTTTAAACCGCCGGCACAATTCTGCACCGTAGGACCACCAAGATTGGCGAGAAGATATGATTTGAAGAATGATTCGATTGTCACTAGATACCAACTGCAACAACAGCATTCCCCCACAAGCAAAATTGATAACCAAAGTACTGCAGGTTTGGTAATGGTCCTAATCCACACAAGTCAGCAGACTGCTATCACATGCATGGTTGAAATAAACAGTGGCAAGAGGATTGATATCAGAAGTCCGTTTAGATCATCGGAATAGACCATAAAGATCTATCCCTGACATAAGAGGTACCAGAAAAAGTGTGGTGTGTTTCATCATAAAAGCAGAACAGCACGAAGCTGGGGGGAGGTACTAACCTGTAAATCAAGCTGTATGAACGGCTGTCGTTAGCCAGAAGAAATTCTTCAATCATAGAGCATCATTAAGCTCGTGAAGCTGATTGCGAACTGTCGGATTCCCACACATATACACAGAAGAAGAAGGTCTAACAAGGAAAACAAAATCCGCCGCAAATAAAGAGCGGAAGAAAAGCCGAGCAGCGGGACAAGACCTTAAGCGAACCGGAGCTTACCACGTGACCCACACAGAGGATCAAATCCACTGCTGACATAATATCACCCGTGCTCCACAGTCGAACGTCCACACAATATCGTCGAATTTTTTTTCGAGCTTCACTTCCGCTGTTCGACAACCACCGCCGCCGACCCTTTCCTCGTGGATAATCTCGCCAACAACACATCAAAATGGGTCGTCTTCACTCCAAGGGAAAGGGCATTTCGTCCTCCGCGCTCCCCTACTCGCGCTCTGCTCCTAGCTGGTTGAAGACCACGCCTGACCAGGTTGTCGACACCGTAAGTTTGATCCATGTCACATCGAAGGAAGAGAGACGAGATGCTAATATACTGCATAGATCTGCAAGCTCGCCAAGAAGGGGTATGTCGCTGTTATTCTGGATGCATTGAACGGGCATCAACGGGGATGATTGAAGATTGTGTTTGAATACTGACCTGTCCAAGTGCCACCCCCTCTCAGATCGGTGTTGTCCTCCGTGACTCCCACGGAGTTGCCCAGGTCAAGACCGTCACCGGCAACAAGATCCTCCGTATCCTCAAGTCCAGCGGTATGGCACCACCATAATCACCACCATCACCACAATCCGATGCGATGAGCGCGAGGGCGAGACGGGAAAATGCGATTCGGTTGCGGTTGGTTGGTATCCTGTCTGATACAGCGATCCAAGACGGTTGGGACAGGCTTCCTTTGGTAATAGAAGGACCTGCACCTACACCATCTCTTCGGTAACAGAAGAGATGTAAATCGTCTTGGATTGACTGGACGGACTACTGAATCGCGCTTTTCCGTCTCGACTTCGTCGCTCATCCATCGATACGATGTATACTTTTGTATATCATCTTGCATGCATGTTGGAGGTTGGGTTGGAGTGAGACTGCAGGCAGATCTCATTTCGCCCTCCCTCCACATGTATACATATTATACCCATAATATGCCTCTGCTTGGTCCAACAACAGGCTGACAGAGTGATTTACAGGCCTTGCCCCGAGCTTCCTGAGGATCTGTACTTCCTGATCAAGAAGGTTAGTCTTTCAATCTTGAAAAACACAACAAAAGCAGTTTCTAACGAAGAACAAAAAGGCCGTCGCCGTCCGCAAGCACCTCGAGCGCAACCGCAAGGACATCGACTCCAAGTTCCGCCTGATTCTCATCGAGTCCCGTATCCACCGTCTGTCCCGCTACTACAAGACCGTCGGTGTCCTGCCCCCCACCTGGCGCTACGAGTCCGCCACCGCCAGCACCCTGGTCGCTTAAGCGTCTCGTCTCGGGTTCCATCTGGTTGTTGTTGGCAGATCTGCGATGTTTTCTGTCGGCTAGGATTGCCACCCACTCCATGCATGACTCCGGTCCGAAAGGGCCTGGATCGTCCTGTTTGGTTCCTTTCGTTAGATGTGTTATCTAGTGGGGGGGATGTGTGGGTCTGGTCGTGGATTTCTGGTAGATCTAAAAATGAATCATGGCATAATCATAATTTTCCTTGCTGGGTTAGCTGTAGCCGTTGTAGTACTGTATCTATCGTATCCTTTGATTACAGTTAGTACTTCTGATCAGGTGCATGCTGTATCTCAACGCATGAAGATTCAAGGTGCCCTCCACGTACAAACATCTGGACAGTAACCCATGAGCCTTCTCAATCAGTATCAAATGATCTATTATTTTTCTGCACGCTGCTAGTCTCCAACTTGAGGCCGGAGAATACTAGCCTTGCTATCACTGTGGGCAATCTCGGCCCGAGAAATCTAGCCGGACAAGGGATCAGATCCACTGGATGTTATGGTTGCTCTGGACCTCATTGTACCCTGTAGAGTAAGGGCGTATGTATATTGACTGTCCTTTAATTAAGTCTTTGGGTGGCATCGGGCTTGCTATATCCTCTCCCGCTCATCTACAAGACAGCCGTATAGCCGTAGATGCGAGATATATTCTTACAATATCGCCTATCGATGACCATGTACGCATGAATTCCAGCACATTCGTCAAAGAAATGGCGATCTACCGGGTAATGGTCATCTAGAGCTATCCTAGCATAAACGAGAGCTCGGACCGAGAATCTATACAGACCATCCCGTTCACCGTTTCGCGGTGACCATATCTTGCGACACATCTTTTCCTCCCCAAGTTACTCCTTCTACAGTGACACGCCCCCCTACGGAGACAACTTCAGAAATGTTGCTTTCAAGAGCTCCCAGATACCGTGTCTTCCACGCCGTCCGACAGCGACCCTTGCATGGACTTTCCTACGCGAGCAGAAGCTCCCGACTAGCTTCGACGGCGGCAAAATCTCCAGAAAAACCCAATGGCTCCGGCTTCAACGCGAAAAAGATCCCATACATCACTGGCGGCACTAGCGTAGCCATCTTGGGCCTGTTGTGGACGGGACAGAGCGATAGTGATGCTTCCGAAGACCTGCGAGACAAGGAGGCTCTCTCGACTGTTCCACTGACAAAGCTCCTTTCCGGCTGGATGTGAGTGCAACCCTTTCCTTTCCCTAGTAGGCAGAATCAAAAGCACTGGGCAAACAGCTAACAAAACTTACACACAGCTCATTCGCATTCTGCTCGTCCGCAACATGGGTCGACATGAGCGAATCACTATACACCATCTTATCCAACATCCCCCTAATCTCAACTATAACCAATGCAGTCGTCATGAGAACCTTCTTCAATCAATTTCTCGGAGGCGAGACCGTCACCGAATGCATCCCAAAGATAGAGACCCTACGCGCGAACCAAATTGGCACTCTCCTCGGCTACAACATCGAAGCCGAGCTAGACGGCTCCAGCAAAGACGCAGGCCTGATCCGCGCGCAGACCGAGCACGTCCTCTCCTCCATATCAGCCCAGGGGCGCCTAGCCCGGCGGTTCTGGCCCAACCCTGACGCCACAGGCGGCGACAACCGCTGCTGGGTCCGCATCAAGATCACGGGGCTGCTGCCCAACCCGGGTGCGCTCTACCGCGGCTCGAACGCGATCCTAGCGGCGCGCGAGGCGAGAGGTCTGGACGCCGACGTCCCGTATCCGGGGCTGCCGCACGACGGGGACTGGGACGCGGCGTTGGCGGGGGAGGGTGTTACGGACGCTGATCGAGCCGAGCTGGTCGAGTTGCGTCGGACGTTGGAGATGATCGCGACGAGGGCGCGCGAGAATAATGTGCGCGTTGTCATCGACGCCGAGCAGTCGTGGTACCAGCCTGTTATTGATAGCTTGACTGATGAGCTGATGCAGAAGTATAATAGTAATAGCTTGGTGGACGGCGGCGGGCCGGCTACCTGCGTTGCTTCGTTCCAGGCTTACCTCCGTCGGTATCCGCAGCTGCTGGAGCAGCAGATTGCGCGCGCTGAGGAGAAGGGGTATAAGTTGCTTTTCAAGCAGGTTCGCGGCGCTTATATGGTTACGGAGGCTGCGCGGTGGGAGAGGGAGGGTCGTGAGGGCGATGGCCCCGTGTGGTCGACTAAGGAGGAGACTGATGCGAGCTATAACTATGGGCTTGAGAAGACCGTTGCTACGGTGACTGAGCAGGTGCGTCGCGATGGTCGGTCTAGGATCTCGGTCGTCTTTGCTACGCATAATTCTATTAGCGTCGATCTTGGGATCAGGCTCCTGGAGAAGTATGGGCTAGCTGTGCGCCGGGAGGGCGGCGATCGACTTTTCGTCTCGGGCGAGGTGGCGGGGAGTATTGCTTTCGCGCAGTTATATGGTAAGACTATGTATATGCCCTCTTTTTTTATCGAGATTGTAGGGCTCACTCACTTCTCAGGAATGAAAGACGATCTCACTAACCGGATTACTGGGTCCATTACGACTGAGGGTGCATTCCCTCTGGTCGTCAAGGTAGATAGACACCTTTACATTCTATCATGACGCTATACTAACATTATTTGATAGTCAATGAGCTACGGAGACTTAAAGGAATGTCTACCATTCCTAGCTCGACGAGCCACCGAGAACAAGGCTGTGTTGGAGGGACGAGGCGGCGCAGCTGCTGAGAGGGTGCGACTGGGTCGTGAGATTCGTCGACGGGTTCTGCCTTTCAGCGATTAGATATGTGTGTTGTTAAACATGGGTATGTTTGATATGGTTGGTGGTGTGTTGTGTACATATCACTTCGGGCTTTAGAGTGATACAATCTTGCCCTAATCAGTAGTGACTGCTAAGACCTGCTCGGGCCCACGCACCTGGTTGTTTCACCGCATGTGTCATTGATTATCGCTATTGAGGCCGCACAAGTCAGATCCAGGTTGACAACTAAGGAGAGAGGTTCCAGTGATTGAACATTTTTACACAGCTGTCATGGGATATAATCATATGGAACATCCTATAAATGTAGCTACTTGTCCATAGAGAAAGAACACACGACCTTTCTTCCCCTTCATTCTCTCCCTACAGCGGTCTTCTCCGCGTCGATATATACCCAGTGCTTACGAGCAGCACTTGAGAGATATGAAACAATCTCGCCTTCTTGCTACTGGGGGATTTGATCCTACTCGTTACAATCTTGTCCCTGCAATATCCCAGGCCCGTCTCCTCCTACAAGCCTCACCGGATCTCCAGAACTCTCTCTCAGAAATTCAGGCACCATCTGCAAACATCTCCCCAGCTGTAGGGGCTTTTGCGACGCCAATCCTTCACTAGCGCCGTGTCATCTCTTCCGACACAGATACAGACAATGTTCTCGAGAAGATAGACGAAAGTGTTGTTAACGCCAGTCTGGTGGACTTCTTAATGGTTCTAGCCCGCTATTTCACACAGTTCAACTATTCTTGCAACACAACTAGGATGTGCCTTATTGCTCGTTCCACTATGCGTGGCACCTCGGTAGCATATACAGCTATCGCTGATGGTCAGATAGAGCACTGTGTCTCCCTTGAGGTTGTAGCTCTATTAGAGTGCAAGAAAAGAGGACGGGCGTTCCATACAACAGCAGTTGAAGTCCAGGAGACTTCACAAGCGATTGCATGGATTATAAAGTACTCTGATATGAGTCTCCGGTGAGCATTCTACTCATACAAATCAAAGATAGTAGCTATTGGCCTCTAGCTAATAGAAGGCCAAGGTGCACCGTAACCTCACAAGATGGGTACGAAATATATCTCACTTTTCCAGAGTTTGATCAATACTGTTTAAGATACATTCAGAATGGTTGACTCGACAGAGCCCGCCACATGATCATGATTAATGAGGAAATATGGGTCATGGAAGATTGAGAAATATCACGATATGGAAAGACTTGCTTCATTACTTTTGGCAATTTGCCTGCGTTCTGTAATGGCGTGATAGATAGATAGCTAGTTACTTGTTCAGATGTTTTTGTACGGTTGTACCGGACGATCTACATGAGTTCTATAGTGTTGAATTATAGGAATTTATTAAGTCTACTATTCCACCAATAGCGCCTAGAGGCTATAACTGAGAAGGACCACATGGATATTCTATATAAAAACCTCAGCGACTTGTAGATGAGATAAGTACTCTGCCCTCACTCAGTTTTTTATTCAAATTAAAATTTACTCTCACTTGGCTTTTAATAGTGTTATTAATATATTCCTGACTATTATAAGTATCTTTGGCTAAGATTAAGAATAATATCCAATAGAAGTAGACTCGCGCGTTTTTATCCTTGTTTAACCGAGATCCCACCCTTTATCCTCTACACAGTCTCCATACAGATTCTTTGGCAATCGACCACACACCCTCGGTTGAAAGAAACATCAGCAGATAAGAGAAAAGTATACTTGCGGAGTTTCGTCCGTTCCCCACAAGATGTATCTGCGGGGTATCGACTGAAACTACACCGGGCCGAGTAGATGCGGATATCGGACAAAACAATATCACTCTCGGACCGGAAGTGGAAACTGAAGCATACCATCCGTGAGATGAAATATATACTCACTGAGTAGACCTTGAGAGCTTCGCACTAAATACGTATAACCACATATATATCATTTTGACAGTGACAATGCTAACCACTCAGTACCCAGAACCAGCCAACGCCGATGGGGTACGTATCTTCAGAGCTATCGTTGACAGTCTATATACTAACGCAATATCAGCTCTCATACGCACCCGGCTCAGAAGAGCGACGGCTCTTGAAAGCCGCCCTCGCAGGAATGGAAAGCACCGTCGCCCAAGTCCCCAGCATCATCAACGGCGAGCGCCTCTACACCGGCCACAAGAGCCGGCAAGTCAACCCCTGGAACCCACACGGGGCTCCACTGGCCGAATACCACCAAGTCGATCCGTCGACCGTCCAAACCCGCGCAATTCCCGGCGCCCTGGACGCGCGAAAGAGATGGGCCAACATGCCATTCAAGCACCGCGCAGCCGTCTACAAACGCGCCGCCCACCTCGTCGAGTCCCCCAAGTACCGCTGGAAGCTAATGGCCGCGACCATGATCGGACAAGGCAAGACCTGCGGCCAAGCCGAAGGCGACTGCATCACCGAGGTACTCGACACGCTCAACTTCCACGTTTACTTCTGTGCCCAGCTCTACCAGCAGCAGCCGCCAAAGCAATTCAACTCGTCTACAAGCCATCTCGACTACCGGCCCCTGGAGGGCTTCCTGCTCGCAATATCGCCCTTCAACTTCACCGCGCTAGGCGCCCACATCGCCTTCACACCCGCCCTCCTCGGCAACGTCGTCCTGTGGAAGCCATCCCCCATGGCCGTCCTCTCCAACTACATCCTCTACCAGATCATGGAGGAAGCGGGCCTCCCCAGCGGCGTCATCCAGTTCCTGCCCGTCGCGGACCCCACCCACGTCGTCAAGCCCGCCTTCTCCAGCCGCGACTTCGCCGGCCTCCACTACACGGGCTCGTCAACGGTGCTGCGGACCCTCGCCGCCCAGATCGGCGCCGGAACCCCCTCATACCGCACCTTTCCGCGCATCGTCGGCGAAAGCGGCGGCAAGAACTTTCACCTTGTGCACCGCTCCTGCCGAGACGACGTTGACTGGATCGCATCCACGGCCGTGCGATCCGCCTTCGAGTTCCAGGGCCAAAAGTGCAGCGCGCTGTCGCGGTTGTTTGTGCCGCGGTCGATGTGGGAGGCGCCGGCTGGCGGCGGCAGCAGCAGCGATCTGTGCAGCGCGCTGATCCGCGAGGCAGAGAAAATGACCCACGGCGACGACGTCAAGCAGCTGCATCATGCGCTGGGTCCGCTCGTGTCGCAGGCGTCGTTCGACCGGTTTAGGGAGTTTGTGCGGCGTGCGCAGCTCGATGGCCATCGGCTAGTGTATGGGGGGCTGGTGGCGGACGACGGCGCGAAGGGGTTCTTCGTGCAGCCGGCGATTTTCGAAACGAGCAATGACCCCACGGAGAAGGAGAGGGTTTTGGAGTCGGAGCTCATGAATCGCGAGTTATTCGGTCCTCTGTTTGCGGTGTATGTTTATGAGGATGGGACGGCGACGGGCTTCGAGGATGTTTGCGACCTGATTGATCGGACGACGGAGTATGGGCTGGCGGGGTCGGTCTTTGCGCGGGATAGGGAGGCTGTGCGGATTGCGGACGAGAAGTTGAGAGACTCGGTGGGCAATTTCTGCATAAATGATAAGAGCACAGGGGCTGTTATTGGGGCGCATCCGTTTGGGGGCGCCCGGTCGAGTGGCACGAATGATAAGGCGAATTCGACGAATGTGTTGCTGCGGTTTTCGAGTATTCGCTGTGTGAAGGACTCGTTTGTCAGTGGCGGGGAGACCCTGGGGGTGTGCCATGTTCCAGAGTGATCTATAACAATGAGATAATAGGGTATATAATATACTGAGAATATACTGAGTTCTGTTTATGGAATTGTTTAATAGCTACCCAGGTAGTGTACGGTCGTTATATTGTTGGTCAGGTGATTTCTCTTGCCCTCACCAGTCTCTCTACAGCTGCTTCAACATCGGCCACATATTCTTACTGGAAAGCAGCCTCAAGTTCTCATTTACCAAGAAACAGGAAGAGATGAGAGAAGTATACTTGTGGAGGTCTGTCTGTTTTCCGCAAGAGATACCTACCTGGGTTACTGACTGAAACTTGCTCCGGCCCGAGCAGCTGTAACTTGTGGGTAATCGACATACGATCTCACTCTCGGTCCGGTGGGAATCAAAGCATCCTGAGCGGGGTGATATAGTGATCAACGAGATATATAGAAGCCAACGGCTGCCATAATTCACAGCCATCACTCGGATTACAAGTTCATATCTATAAACATGGGAATCAACATCGCCATCATCGGCTGCGGTAAGCCTACCACATCCATCATCACCAACGAAACCACTAACATAGAACGTTGAACAAACAGGAACTTTGGGAACGGCCCTCGCAGCCGGAATCCTCAATCCACGCAGTCCCTCTCCCCTCCCCATCGACCAGCTCACTGCAACAGTCGGGACAGAGTCCTCAAAACGTCGCGTACAAGACGCCCTCTCGCCGCACGCCGCAAAAGTGCAAGTCCTCACCCAAGAAGACAACGCACGCGCCGTGCACCAAGCTGACGTCGTCCTCATCGCCGTCAAGCCCTTCAAACGAGCGGGTGTCTTCGCCGCTCCAGGCTTCAAAGACGCCCTACGCGGGAAACTCCTCCTCAGCATCATGGCGGGTATCACGACGACGGAGCTGAGCCGGCTCGCCCACCACAGCGAAGCAGCCGCCGAGCAGTCCGCCTTTCAAGCGGTGCGCGCCATGCCCAATATGGCGGCGAGGATCCGCGAGGCGGTCACGCTGTATGCTGCGACAGATGGTATCACGCGGAAGAATCTGGAGTTTGCGTCGTGGGTTTATGGCCAGGTGGGCGAGGCGCATTGCATTCCCGAGGGTTCGTTTGATATTTGTGCGGTTTTGGTGGGGTGTGCGGGTTCGTTGCTGCTGTTGGCGATTGATGGGTTGCTGGATGCGGCTGTTGCGGAGGGGGTGAGGAGGCCCGAGGTGCAGGATTTGGTGGTTAATAGTGCGATTGGGATGATGAAGTTGGTCCCCGTTGGGGGTGATCATCCTAGTGTCTTGCGTGAGAAGATCGCTTCCCCTGGAGGATGCTCGATCCGGGCTCTGTTGGAGCTGGAACGGCTGGGGGTGAGGTCGGCGTTTACGACGGCGATTATGGCTGCGGCGGAGAAGTCGAAGAAGATGTCGTCGTCTTGATTTAGTTTAGACTGCATGGTGAATATTTCATGGGCTGATTACTTGTAAAGATATCTTGCTAGTGCTCGGAGTGACATTTGATTTTGTATGGAACGGTCTTATAAAGGGCTGTACCCCGTCTTTCTCTGGTATACTCTTGCGATATCTCATCCATATCTTCATATCAAAATGGCACTCGCTCAACCCGTTCATCTCGCCCTCCTAGGATGCGGTAGGTAAAGTACTGTCAATCATTCTTTGGTTGGCAAGACAACTGATGAATCTCAGGCCACATCGGCACCGCCCTCCTCCAAGCCCTCATCCCATCCATATCCCACTCCCAGAGCCCAATCTCCAAGATCACCGTCTCTCTCAACCGACCAGAATCCCAAGCACACCTCCACAACCAATTCTGCAGCAACAACACCACAAGCCCCATTACCTTCCTCCTCCGTCAGAACACCACAGCCGTCCAGCATGCAGACGCCGTCCTCTTCGCCTTCCCACCATCGCAACTCCCCGCCGTTCTTAAATCACCGCACATGAAAGAAGCCCTCCACCACAAACCCATCATCAGCATCCTCGCCAGAACCCCCCTCACCACCATCCACTCTCTAATCCATGATCCCCAAAACGCAGCCCCAACCCCCAAACTCCAGATCGTCCGCGCCATGCCCACCATTAGCGCAAGAGCCCACGAGTCTGCGACCCTCATCGCAGACCCCCCGGAAGGCCACCCGACCCCGGAACAAGCCACCAACCTCGCAACGCAGATATTTGCCACCGTCGGCAAAGTCTTCCGCGTCCCGGACGCTTCCTTCGACGCCGCGACAGGTGTCAGTGCGTTTTCGAACGCCCTCGTCACCGTCGCGGTCCGGGAGATTTCCCGAGCGGCCATCGCCGAAGGCGTGTCCCCGGAGCATGCGGTGGCAGTGAGCGCCCAGTGTATTCGTGGGGTGGGGACGCTGTTGCGGGAGGGGGCTACCCCGGAGGAGTTGCGGCATTCGCTGTCTGCCCCGGGAAGTATTACTGGGTTGGCGGTGGAGGGTCTGGTGGATGGTCGGTTCGAGGCGCTGTTGGAGCCTTTGTTGGCTGCGGCGGTGAAGCGGGCTCGAGAGTATTCTACATGATTATAAACTCTTGTTTTTTTTTCTTTTTGATTTTGGGCTATTCGTGCTTATTTGATCTTGATGTTAAAGTGAGTTAGCAACTAGTCGTATAGAACGCACGCTGGCTTCAGCAGCTTGTGTTGACACATTTGGAAAGAGTACAAGAAGGAAACTTATTGGAATTTGGGTGTATCTATGATGGTTAACCTGGCACTGATCTCGGCCCGAGTGGTGTACATGGAGCACATCGGATCAACCACCCGTAGCCTACTTACCCTGTACCTCCCAACCCTAACCCAATCACCTCGGAATCACTCTAGCAGATCAAAAACAATACAGAGTAAACAACTAAATCTTCGACCTCGCCGCAACCCCACTCCCCACCCACGTCTTACGAAGCCCCACCGACTCGCTCCCCCAAACTGGATCCAACCTCGGCTTCGGCACCGCCCACACGGTCTCAAACTCCCCCCCAGCAGCCAGAAAGTCCCAATCACCCCCGCAATACGCCCCCATCATGGTGAACCCATCCAGTCGGACCTCTCCGAGCGCCGCCCGGGGGTCCTCCGCCTCAATGCCATGCCCCGTCCCCGGCGACAGTAGGGCGAAGTCAGCGGCTGGGCGCGTGTGGTGCGTCTTGTGCGCCACCCCCGCGGGGATGACGAACACGTCGCCCGCTTCGGCGTCTAGCTCGACACCGCCGGCTTCGTGGGCGGTGCCCTCCGTATTAGCTTCCATGTCGGGCGAGGTGTCCGCGACGCCGAAGCGGATGCGCGCTGTGCCGGAGAGGACGGCCATGCATTCGTGCGCTTGTGAGTGGTAGTGTGAGACTTGTGTGTGGCTGTAGCGGAAGATCCAGTGGACGGACCATTTGTTGCTGGTGAAGAGCGCCCATGTGTCGGCTGGGGAGCATTGCTTTGTGATGGGGTGTCGGGGAAGGACGTTCTTGTAGTGGAGGAGGGGGCGGGGGAGTTCGGGATGAGGTCTGTTGGGGGGAGGTGGTATTGGTGGATTTCAATCATGATTGTTGTTATTGCTGGCGTCGTAGATTTGGTCTATGTGTGATAGGTATGAATGTATTTGATGTCTGTATGGTTATTGGAGTGTTGATATACTTCTGTGTATAGAGTCGGTGGAATATCCCGATGATGACGAACGGATCGGGGTTCTTATCCGCGCTGGCTCGGGGTGGAGTCCGGATGTCATGCGGGGTTCCGATCTCCGTTATCAGTCTTACATCAGACAGTTACAGGGTCTAGCAGTATCTAACGGTCTACCTGTCTGACCTTGCAAGACAGAGGGAAGACCGACTTGAACCACATACGAAGTGCTATTATTTTATCTTGGGCTACAGCACAGAAGGACTTACTACTCACAAGGAATGATAATGATACAGATCAGGAATACTTTAGTTCAAAGTGAGATTCAAGCTGTTAATTATCTAGCCACGCCTATACACAACGCGCACCATCAACCAAAATCTCCACCCCACTAATGATCGAGCTCGCCGGCTCAGCCAAAAACAAAGCAACGTTAGCGACATCCGACGGCTCCACCAAACGACCGATCGGGATCGCCTCACACTTGGCTTTGATGATCTCCGCCGGAACAGGCCCATCGCCAATCCCAGCAAACTTGTTCAGCAGCGGCGTGTTTCCTGAAGTCGGACAGATCGTGTTGAAGCGCAGCTGGTCCCGGGCGAACTCCAGCGCCATGGACTTGGTCGCCGAGGAGACCCCCGCCTTGGTGGCGTTGTACCAGGTCTGGGTCGCCCCGGGTCGGATGGCATTCTCACTAGAGATGACCACCGTTGAGCCGGGGCCATTCTTCTTCATCTCGGGAACGAGGACCCTGGACGCTAGATAAATGCTGCGGACGTTGACGTTGAAGAGACGATCGAACTCCTCCACCGTCACGTCGAGACCGGATTTATTAGGGTACGACCATCCAGCATTGTGTACAACAATCGAGGGCGCGTTTCCGAATCGTGCGATGGACGTCGAGAGCTAAAAACCATGGGAAATGGCATTGGGTTAGCAAGAACTTGGTAATAGTATTGCTGGATTGGTGATTCCCTACCGCCTTTTTCCAGCTCTCTTCCTCGGCCACGTTGGCCTTGATCTGGTAGGCTTGATGCTCAGGGTACCCGTCGACCGGGCCGTCAACAGCCTGCAAATCCATGCCCAGCACGACTGCCCCCTCTCGTACAAAGGTCTCCAGGATCCCGCGTCCGAACCCTTGCGTCGAGCCGGAGATGAGGGCAATCTTTCCTTCGAGACGACCTGGCATTTTGGGGGACTGATATAATTGACAGAACCGGAGAAAATAAGAATGAATTGGAGATTTGTCTTGCAATATCTAGGATACCCAACCCAAAGTTTCCGAGACTACATCCTTATATCTGTCCATCGGACGTGTGAGCGAGAGAATGGAGGAGATATAGTAGATCGGCCCGAGATCCAGGCGGGGAAATCGGATGGCGAGTCCGGGATGGAGATAAGGATACGCTTATCGTCTTAGCACACGTGCCCTTATCTAACTATCGCCTGGGCTTCTCTCGGCCCGTGCATCATTCTCGCCAACAATCAATCAGTCAACCAGAACAGAACGATCAATGGCGCCATCCACTGCCACCCCTACCGACTTGCATCGGGCACCCATGTGAGTCGTCATATAGTATTGTGATTGGACAATCTTTACATATCCTAAGATCTGCGCTGATGTGACGTTCCAGTGCCTGTCTGCCCTGCCGCAAAGCAAAAGTCCGCTGTCTGCTTTCACAACGACGCGACCGATGCGATCGATGTATCGCTAACGATGCCGACTGTCTATTTACGCAGACAAAGAGGACCAAAGTGCGCTCGCAGCCGTACCCTCAGCGCGCCAGGCGCAGCGCCCACGACCGACGATCGGTCGGAGAAAGCTCTACTGAGACCCTGACGACGCCGTCACGACGAGTCTGGAATGATACCCATCGGCCGGCGACCAGCCCAAGAGCCAGTCCGGTCACTGGGATTGTATCTGGGAGCCATTCGGTCGCTTATGACGATCAGCCGCGGTCGCAGCCCAACCAGCCAACTATAACCAATGAAGTGCGCGCAAGGATCATCGCGGCGTTGGCCACTCTCAAGGGCAAAAAGGGAGCGCCGTTTAGCTTCGTGACATCGGGAGACAGTCCCTCGTTTGGTGCGAGCCAGGGCTCCCAATCGGCGGAACAGCCCCAGGCGACTCCCGTCTCACTGAAGCTGTCCTGGCTCCTGCGTCCTTTGTACACGGGTGCTCTTCGCGAAGACGGTGAGGACCGGCGACTTCCGGGGTGGGTGAAGATGCCCACCTATCTCTCATCCATGACGTTGGGTCAAACCATCACGGATCCGGTGGAAGGGGGCATGGTGAACTCCCAGGCGTCCAGGACTCTGTTCGATCACTTCATGGTGCAGATGAACGCCAAGTGGGAATACATTCTCGACCCTCATGTCGACAGTCACGATAACGTCCAGCGACGGAGCTCCTTGCTGTTTACTTCCATCCTGTTCTGCTCCTCCAAGTTCGCCAACTACGTAGACGGACATCTGGTCGCGGGGACAGACCCTTACTTGCAGGGTCGGCTTTGTAGCTTGGCCCGCAACCTCGTCATCCGGAACCTGGCGCAGGGTGACAGATCTATCGAGACGATGCAAGCGCTTTACTTGCTGGTCTGCTGGAAGGATCCCGACGATGACGTCTCCTACCTCCACAGTGGCTATGCGTTCGGCGTTCTCCGCGACGTGGACTTGGAATCGGGCGACGGCGACGCACGGCAGGTCGCGAGACGAAGGAGGACATGGCTGGCGTTGTTCCGCCAAGACAGACAACAGAGCCTGTTCTTTGTGCGAAGGGCTCCACTCAGCCACGGAGACGAAGCGGTTTCTTTCCTCGCAGACCCTGAAACCTGGTTGAAGATGCCGTACGCTCTGCCCTGTGACTTTCTAGCCTGTTGTAGTGCAGACTCGAGGCGCATCCAGTCCCGTCTGCGGACGTTAGTTCAGAAGGCCTCGCCTGCCATGCTTCCATGTCTCTTAGATCTTATGGATGCGGAACTGAGCACATGGCGATCAAAGTGGAAGAACCACCTCCAGCGAAGGGACGGATGGCACGGGGACAATGCGCGACCCATGGACCTCCAACTGGGACATCCGGGAGCAGACCATGTCGCCACGCTGGTCGATCTGTGGGAGCACAGTATCCGGCTCAACGTCGCCTCTGCCATCCTTCGACAGGCCCTCCTGGCCTCGGTGACCTCGTCCCTGCACACCAGCCACCGCCAACCGGCCACAAGCGCAGTGGACCTTGATCTGTCGACGATCCAACAAGGGCTGTCCCCAAATCTCCCCGGTCTCTCCAGCAGCGTCACCGGCGCCTTCGAGACTCTACGCAACCTGATCAACTTTCCTCCCGACGACCTCCGCCGAGCTCCCGATGCCGTACTCCTCCTGGCGCCCAACGCAGCCCTCTTCCTCTGTCTGCTCCTGTGCCTCCCCCCAACCGGCATCCTCGGCCCAGCCTTCCAAAAAACGGCAGTCAGCCTCATCCGAGACACAGCCCAACATATCCAGCAATGCGTGCGATGCCCGCAGGATACCGTCACCTTACACGCCGCATACCTGGACTCCCTCGTGGAGCTCCTCGACCCATCCGCCGCACAGCACGCCGCGGAGCAGCAAGATCCCAGACTACAGCCTACATGCGACCCATCACAGCTGCAGCATGTCGACGACTCGACCTTGCAAGCTGCCCAGGTTCTAGCTGATGGCATTGGCGGCCACGACTATAGCGTGCCTCAAACTGACCCGTTGCTCCGGTTTTCGGCCGATCCCAGCCAGACGCTGCATATGCAGGGCCTGGCGAACTTGCTAGACGGAGATCTCTTCTGGGATTTGCTCCCTGGGGCAGAAGACGCACCGATTGGTCTGTAGTCTACGTAATTGGCGCTGCGATATTTTCTTGCGGTGCCTTCTTACGCTAATCTCCTCCTACGACTCTCGCTATCCTGCTTCGATGGCAGACTGAAGAAATCTCTGCTGCATATCCTATCTTGGCATGCAATGAATACACAACGGCTTACAGCAGCCTAGGAATTGTCGGCACACGAGAACACCCCCGACACTGTCCCTTCGTCGTATGATTCCTGGATCACGAGAATCGTCGCATAAGTTCCTCCCACGATGATCAGAAGTCCCGTGAGGATCATGAAACACGCGACAACCAGCGCCACGGTCTGCTTCCACCCTTTCTGATACGACCGGAAAGCCTTGGGCAGCCACTGTCTGGGTGAAACCAACTCCTCCACGCCGCCCGCATGCGCAATGCCCTCATCCTCCCGGCGCGGGTTCTCCGCCAGAAAGTAGAGAATCATAGAACCGGGCAGCAGGTTCGTAAAGACAGGGTTCACGAGCGCGCCCACCAGGCTCAGAAAATTGTCGAAAAACGGCACCACTCCCACAACGACGAACCCAAACACCACCGTCACCAGCATCGACCCGGCCCAGACGGACCAGTGCGTGAAAGTACTCGACTGGAGGTGTCGCGTGCCGCGCAGGATCCGAACAAACCAGTACTTCGCCGCGATGTGGCTCCACAGCACGGCCGTCACCAGCAGGCCCGGGAACGCCACCCCGTACGATATCTTCTTGATCAGAGGGCCCGCGGATCCCAGCGCCGGACTCGCGAGGTATTGGCCAACCTTGCCATAGATGATAGACGAGATGGCGAGATTGGTGACGATGATAAACGACTGCCCGCACACCAGCGACCGCGTGAACAGCTCAGGCTTCTCCATCTCCGCCGCCACAGAAAAGAACGTCCCCGACGCGCCCAGCGCAAACAACTGGCTCGACACGGCCGCCATCGCCTGCGGAAAGGTCGCCCTCGGCCAGACCCGAATATCAAGGTCGATGGGGCCAGCACTCGCCGGCGGTGCCGCCGCGGGGCGCTCCCCGCCCGCAAGACACCCGATGGCAGCGATCCAAATGGCAACGACAATCCCCGCGACGCCAACCCAGCTTATCCACGCGACCTTCTCCAGCGAGCGGAACGCCGTGCCGACAACAAACGCCCCGGCACAAGCAACCGCCACAAAGACCATCGAGCAAGCGCCGTGGTCCGACAGCGCGTTCAGCGCCACCGACGTCGTCAGCATGCCCGCGCCGGCCACCAGCGCCAGATAAACGTAGTACAAGACGCCGACGAGCTCGCGGGCGGTCGTCCCGAAGAGCAGCTCTGCCGCGTCGCCGATGCTGTGCATGTGCGGGTAGTAGCGCCGTGCGTTGCCGCACAGGTACCCGGCGCTGGTTGTGATGGCTGCTAGCACGAGGAAGCACAGCACGCCTGGGACGAAGCCCAGCGTGTGGAAGGTGGACGGCAGGCTCAGTGCGCCGAGCCCGATCTGGAACTTCGCGATCAGGATCCCTGCTCCTTGCCAGGTGACGCTGCGGAAGTTGATGTCGCTGTCGCCTTGGGCGTGGCCGAAGAGGTCGGGTGCTTCTTCGACGGTGCCTTTCTTGTGGGCTTGTCCTAGGTCGTGGTCATCGTCGGAGTCGATGTCATGCTTGGTTGTCTTGTCTTTCTGAGCCGCGTCTCGCTTCATCGAGTACATGGTGGATAGTTGGTAATTACTAGTAAACAGACAAGGCTGAAACGGGCGTATCAACTATCCAGAAGACGAGGTACGTATGTAATGTCAAATGGCGTAGTAAGAACAGAACCAAAAGTAATCGAAGCAAAGGCAACAAAAATGAATTGTGGATACTTCCCATCCACATGCATACTTAAGTACTATATAAGGAAACCCCCAAAATCCGGGGAAACGCCATGACCACCACAATGACACACGTCTGTTCGTTATCAGCGCGCTTCCTCCCCGCCCACTTGTCTCCAGTTCTAACGAAAGGGGAGTGAGGGGCGGGGATGAGGGTTCCATAGTGGCAATGGTAGACATTTCTCGGCCCGAGCAGAACGCGAACTATCGCGCGAGTGTCCAATAGAGACTACAATTCGCTAGATAAGGAGCGTATTAGCTAGCTAGTCGTCGCTATCTTGTAGTTACTGGGTAACGGCGCCAAGTGTGGGGAAGATAGATAGGTAAGTTAGTCGATAGTGTGCGAGGGAGGTTGTGGGTGGTTGCTGTAGACGGTGGGTGGATCCACGGTCCTTTGCCGGACCGAGTGTCTGTTGTGTTGAGATAGTGAATTCTAGTCCTCGTTCTAAACTTTATCATATAGGTGGCCAGGTGTGTTATCTTGTGTAGTGTGGGCAGGGTGTCACTCGCCTTATGTTGTGGCATCTACTCTTTTGGCTTGTAGAAAGGTGGGGAGGTTGCTTCAAATATTGCAGATATCTAGCATTCCAAACATGTATGTCTCTATGTAGTTTAATCTGGGCATATATACTGTAAAACACAAACAGGTAGTAATCTACCGGACCACCCGCACCTCCTTCGCAACAGCATTACAGAGCTCAACATCGACCCCCGCCCCGGTCAGCACATGAATCCACAAGCGCTGCGTATCGCTCAACCGGTCATTCTCCGACTTGACCTCCGCAAACATCACCTGCGCGGTGTCCACCCGCCAGAGGAACAGATCGGGGATTCCGCCTCCGCGCTGCTGGTACTCCTGCGCCATGACCTTGCAGACCGCCGCCAGCGCCTCGCCGCGGAAGCAGCGCGCGATCTCGACGAGGTCGTCGAGCTCAAAGGACCAGTCGAGCCCGATGGCACAAGGCTGGCTGGGCGCGTGCGCAGCATGCACGGCACGGATGAGGCGCTCGGCCGCGCCGTTGGTTATTTCGACCAGCCGGTGGTTGATCTCGGAGGCGCGGGTGGGGTAGAAGGCGTCCGTGTGCAGGTCTAGCGGGCAGGTTTGGAAGGGCGTTTGGAACACGTTGGGGACGTAGGTGAAGAGGATGTCGTAAAAGAGGTAACTGAACTTTGATTTTCATGACGGGTTAGGAAGGATGTAGGGGGCGAACGAGGAAGGTGCGATGCTTACGAGTGTTCGGACAATTCCTCCTTCGGAGTGGTATCCCTTCCAGTCCTGGTCTTGGTACCAACCTAGACACATCTCTTCAACTCTGCATTCACTGTTGTCTTCTCGCTCGTTGAGCCAAACAGTTGGACGACCCCGTCTGGATGTAACCTCGTTGGTGGCTGCGGCTCCGGAGAGATCCTCCCGCTCAATGCGAATACCCTCGACCGTCCGTTCTACCGGCTTGGAGAGCATGACATGTCCAAAGTCGTGTTGCTCGCGCTTCACTACCTTGAGGGCTCGTTCGAGCTTTGTGATCCGTTTCTGCAGGTCATAGTGGTATATGAGGTGGCAGTATGGGTCTTCGAGGCCGGTTTCGCATGTCTGCAGAGCAATGCGTCTCCAATGCTTTCGTTGATTGTCCTCGCTGCGTCCGTCGAATGCGCTCAGAGCCCACATGTAGTGTTCCTCCAGGAGCGCCTTGCGTTGATACCATGCTCCGCGCCGCGAGGGGTGAAACAAGCGCTGACCCAAAAGCTCGCAAAGAAGCCTGTACTCCTCCTTGTAGTCCTTGAACCGTCCCAACGGAAGGAGGCCTTTGTGGATGATCCGTGTGTACACCCACGCCGGAGAAAAGCGGCGCAGGTACGCGCCTTCTCCGTACTCATAGATGTTCTCTTCTTTGCGTTGTTCCTGCTCGAGGAGCGCCTTCCATCGGGGATACACATCGTAGGCTATGTCTCGAATTTGTTCTAACAGTTCGGTAGTGGGGGCCCCATTGAATTCGAGCATGTTGTCGATACGGTACTGTGTCCGTAGTGCCGACTCAAACTCGAGCAGAATTTCCCGTGAGGGAAAGATCGAGCTCTCGCGGCAGACTACATACTCGGGAAAGTTCCTCCGAGCGATCTTCGCCAGGATGATAGTGGTGAGTGACTTTTCGGTCCACTCCGTTGACCTATAAAAGACCAGATGCACCCGTTCAAAAAGAGCGCGAGGACCTGCCGCAAGCCTTATACAATCCCCAGTGTAATCGAGAATCCTTTGGACGAAATGACTAACCCTATTAGTGGCAGTTGCATTTGTCGTCCAGTCCAGCCCCGTTTGTTCTTGGCTTCCGCGACGCAGAGCAGCCAACAGCTCTTTTTTGCTCTTCCCTTGGACTTTTGCATCTTTTGCAAAAGCTTTCAACTCTTCGAGCAATAGCAAGGACGACGCTGCCTCCAAGGTATCAATGTCGGATGTTTCGTCTGCAAATCGGAACTCGCCGCGTAGCTCCTCTAAGCCGTGCGAAGACATTAAACTGGCCCCATTCTCACTGGGCCCATTCTCACTAGGCGAATTCGTCGAAGGGAGTCCGTGCCACAATCGGAGATCGTCAACAGCGCGAGACATGTCTGTGATATCGGAATAATATCCCAAGCGGTTGACACGATGCCATGCAGACGTCTTGCGGAGAAAGAGTCGCACATATCTAACTTATCAGCGAGCCCGCTTATCGCTGGGGGATTACACCTTGGGAGGCCTACAGATACTGGGCCTCATACGAGAGGTCTCTCCATTGCCTGAACACCTCCATTTCAGGCTCGCTGAATAGATGGGCCTCTTCGTCCAGCACCGTCTCCAGCGCCAAATTGAATGCGTCAACATATATCGAACTTCTTCCCTTTCTCCAGCCCCCGTTTTGCAGTCTTCCATGCAAGTCGGGTTCTGAACCATCCTCTTGCTGCTGAGAAGACTCATATTCCTCTATTGCCTCAGTATCTGTCTTTATAGCGGGGAGGGAAGACTCCAGCTCTGTCTGACTATTAGACGGGGCATCGGCCGTCTCCAATTGCACATCGAGCTGATATATATCCGGCATATCCATTCCCGGGCTTTCGATATTATTCAATTCCTTTCCCTCAGTAGGAGTATTGTCTTTTCGATGGGAGGGGCGTTCCTGATCTTCATCCGTGGCGACTTTCCTGCGCTTGACAGAGGGACGCTGGGTGTCCCAGTAGTCCAGCAGGGACATGCTGCAGCTAAGACATTCATGGATAAATATACAAATCCAGCAGCAGCATCCAGCAGAGTCAGACTTCTGGGAGTAGGCAGCAGCGTCAATCAGGCAGATCTCGAGACGACCAGAAACTCACGCTCTCACGTGTTGAGGCGACACGAAGTCAGCTGATCTAGATTAGTCACGAAGTCATACTTTCCTAACTGGGAAAGAGGCGTCAAACCAGTGCTCTATTGTCGCGGAATTCATATACTTCGCTGGCATTGACATGCTCTTATCATATAAGTTTTTGAACACCCTCGCCACAGTCTGCAACTGATCACTGCACGAAAAGTGGCGACACTCCAGGCCGAATCCGGAAAGGGAGACCTCAACACGGTTGAGTCAATACAGTTGCAAGTACCTTAAAGCGCTCGAACAGGATCTCCTCTGTCAGTGAAGATCACAGGTGAATTCAATTATTAGCCTGATTGAGTCTGGGTCAAACCAATCACAAAACATGGTCAATGTCAGTAAGAAATGACCCTTAATTTCTCAAATTCTATACAATCGATCGGTCCCCACAAGAGTGGAGCTGGAGGAGCTCTTCTCCCGCGGCGAAGAGCAAAGCTCCGCCGCCCGACATTCCTATCAATAGGACTGGTCCTCTCCCTCGCCACCTCTCCCTTTCACCTCACGCGAATATATATCGGTCTCATCAGTCATTGCTCTCTAGTCTCCGATCCCAAACCCCACCAAAGACGCTCCGTCCTCCCACCTTCCTCCCACGACCGCCGCAGCAGCAAATCTATCGGCGCCTCCAATCGACAAGACATCTATCCCCTCGATCCCAGCCGACAGAGACACGGCAAATACTTTCGCAATGGGCACCGCATCCACCCCTAATAGTGCCGCTGCGAACACCCCCACTGCCGAACCTAGCGGCTCCGCACCGACGAACACGAATCAGGTCCGTCCAGGCGGTGCCCCAGCGCGGGTGTACATGAACGAGAAGATCGTGCCATACTTGCTAGAGGGGATGAAGGGCATTGCAAAGGAGCAGTACGTATTCTTTGCGTTAATTCCGGGGGAAGAGGCGGGGTTGGTCAACATGAACATACGAACCAGCCCGGGGAGAGTTATTCTCTTCCCTTTCCTTCCTCGTTGACTATATATTTGATGTCGTCTGAAGCTAACAATCTATCTCAATCTAGACCTGCGAACCCCCTCCGTGCCCTTGGCGAATTCCTCATCCAGAAGAGCAACGACGTCGAAGGTCGCCCGCCGTCATCCGCAGACCAGTAACAGACGCACATCAACGCGCCGGAAAACGAAGCAAAAATTATCAAGAAAATCAACAAACGCTCTAGGAGAATCAGGATCTTACACCGTGCTTGAGGCTTGAGAGGCGCACCAACTCCTCCGCTACCCTTCTTTCTCTTTGCAGTCTGGTCCTGGCCCCATCTGGACATACGATTCAACCATCTATGTTGCCGGTGGAGACGGAGAATACTAGACGAGACGGGCTACCACTGTTTCTGATATCATGCGCGTGCAATCTATCTCGGGGAAAGAGCTACCGAGGAATATGCGCGCACTTTCCGTACAAAGCGAGTAGGACGCGCCTTCCTTGGAACCACGCGGGATTAGGTAGTTGGCTCGCGCTCGCTCGCTCTTTCTCCGTGCATGACACATGAATGACGGAATCTCAACCTTGATGAATAGAATAATTTGGCCGACTTTGGCTTGTACTTAGATACTTTCTATCTATAACTTACTAGATGCGTGCTCTTTCTCAAAATCAAGAGTTGGTTGGATCGGGTACTTTATTTCAGGTAGCATTTACTTTCCATAATCTAATATATACATATATTTAATGAAAATAATCGCAAAGAAACTCGATCAGATCAATCCCAAAATCACAATCCATTCATCAATCCAGGATCTAGCATCGACTCATCTAGACCTATCCATCCCAGTCACAACCACAACACAAGAATAACTGCTACTTGCTAGGAATATCTCACCCAATAAATAAACAACCATACAACAAGGCGAACTCCGAACGCCACTACTCTGATGGATTCAATATACAATATACACCCAAGTATCCCACCTATCTTCTTACACTACTCTCTCTATGTAAATATATATATATATATAGAGAGAGAGAGAGAGAGAGAGAATAGAAACCCACCCCATTCGCAGCCCTCCCCCAAACAAGCAACCCCATAGATAGGTGCGAGCGCCAGCTCTGGCCGCATCCAATTCATCCATGCAGAGCCAATAGATGGAAGATTGGTCATGTTCGTTCAAAGAATTACTGTTACACTGCATTACAGAATCCATGGATGGACTTATTTACTACCCGGCTCTTTTTCTCCCCACCCAATAGATAAATGATTATGCGAATGCAAAGATACGAAAGGAGGTACTTTAGGCAAACATGTTGAACAAATTTCTATTAAACTGGGGGAAAGTGAGTGAGTGATAGGATATAATCTGCTTGTGTTAGTACCTACTGAGCTAATACATAAAGTTGCCGGAGTCAACGGCTTATGATCTGTTATGATAACAAGACAAAGTCAAGGCGATGGTAACTCCATCTAGACATTTGACCAGTGGCAATTTCACCACTGTAGCACACCTGTCAAGGTAAGTATCTCTTTGGAGGGTACTCACCTTTTATTCATGTGCGGAATGCTGCAAGCCAAGACTGGGACAGGCAAGGGGGACCGGACTGGACTGGACTGCCTTGGAAGAAAGAAAAAAAAAGGACAAACCTGCTGGGAACATGGCTGGCTGCTGGGAATTACGGTGAAATTCGGTCTTTGTCGTCAGTCGACATTTAAAGGCACATTGGCGATCCTACAAGCACGCAAACAACGCTATGGTGGAAACTGGCGGCTGTGACCGGATTCCGTGCAGGCTGCCTGTTTTCTTTGTTTCTTTTTTTTTTTTTTTGTTTTTCAAAATATGGCGTGGAAATGGGTGCAAGGTGAAAAGCCTCAAGGCAGATTAAGTGTTTCTGGCCGAATACAATCGAGTCGTTACATAGAAAAGGTTGAAAATAGACGCAAACAAGGCGAACAGCTGACTAGCGAGATAACGTCCAAGATTTCCGGAGAAGCTGAAATGTAGAAGTGCTGATCCATCTGACTGACAATCCGAGGAATTACAATGTTAATGTGAATCTCTTCTTCTCTCCCTGCCGCCAATTTTTCCGGAGATTCGAGCGAATCAACAAAACGCAAATATCACGAGGGACGGAAGCGCGACAGTGAGGTTTTTTTTTTTTGTTTTTCTTTTCTGTGGTCCGTCCTGAAACAGTTGAAGAGGTGAATTGAATAGTCGCAACAGCCGAGAAACGTTCCGAGTACGCCGAGATGACAAGTAAAGTCGCAGAGTACTTTTCCTTCTGAGAAGACAACACAACCGATTGGCCACTGTGTGGTGTCAGGCTCGATCCATGGTCGAATGGGATGTTGTGAAGCCATTCAGTTGACATCGATGACGAAAGAAAAGAAACATCCCTGAAGAAGAGGCCCGAGGGAAGTAAGAGGGGGGGAGGAAGAGGAAAAGGAAAAGGACAGGGAAGACGAACGATGAAAAGGTTACGTGACATGACCTAGATTCGAGGTCGGACGTTCATGTCATGTCGCGCTTACCTTATCTGTATCGGTCTTCACGGGGCTCGAAAGAGCGAGGAGGGTAGGGCTCACGGCTCGGGGGAGCACCGCCGCCACTACCACCACCACCACCACCGCCGCCGCCGCCGCCGTAGCTGGGAGGGTTAGCATCACGGTCATAATAGCCTCGACGTTCAAAACGATCATCGCGGCGATCATCGCGGCTGTACCGGTCTTCACGACTGTAGCGGTCTTCACGACTGGATGCGTACCGGTCGACACCGCCACGATATCCACCGCTGTAGTCATCACCCCGGCGATCGTAATCGCGGTAGTCACGGCCGCTGCCGCCGCCGCTGCCGCTGCCGCCTCCGTAGCCACGGCGGTCGCTGTACGAGTCGTAGCGACCATATCGGTAGTCGTCGCCGCCACGGCGCCAGTTGCCGCCATGGGACGGGCCACGGCGATCGTCGTAGCGATCACCGCGGCGACCGCCACCAGGAGGACCACGGAACTCTGCCAATGCAATGGTTAGCGAATTCGTTGCAAGCCGACTGAATTGTTGATGACCACTTACCGCGCTTGGGAGGACCGAAGTACTTTCCAGGAGTCGGAGTACGGGGACGGCTACGGCGAGCCTTCTCGATGCTCAGAGTTCGGCCTTCGATGACCTCGCCCTGCAGTCCTTCCTTGGCAGCATCGGCCTGATCGGAAGTCACCATCTTGACGAAGCCGAAGCCACGAGACTCCTTTGTGTGAGGGTCCACCATGATGGAGCAGTTCTCGACATCGCCGTACTTCTCGAACAGACGCATGATGTCGGACTCGGTCAGACGCGGGTTGATGCCAGTGACGAAGAGGTTGGATCCAGTATTGGTGGCGCCTTCCTCGTCGTCGTCCAGCTGCTTGCGCGGATCAATGAGGGGCCTGAACGACGAACCAAGAAATCCATGTTAGTTGAACTGTCGACCTAAGAATTGGAGATGGAACGCATCTGTACCGGGCATTTGGCGGACGATCATCCGTGGGGACATACCGGTCCTCCATACGGGTATTGGGGGAACGGCTGCGGGCGCGGTCGGCACGGGGCTCATCACGAGGAGACGCGCTGCGGTCACGGGGGTAGCGAGGCTCGTCTAATCCGACAGGGAAAAAGAGCAGGTTAGCGGTGCCGCTGTATTTTCCAAGCGATCGGCAGGACGGGTTCCGATCTGTTTGAGAACGCGCGAAACATACCGTCGTAACGACCGTTCTCCTGATCGTAGTCGGCCATTATGGAAATGAGATGGATAGAAGGTAGGGACTGGTGAATAGTTTTAGAACCGAATCAAGTAGACACGTAGACGCGTGCGCGATGCACCTTTGAAGGTCAAAAGACGAAGACGTAGCTGAAAATTCAACCACCGGGACCCGAAGGGAAAGTTGAAAAAGGATAGCTGGAAGACCCGAGGCGAGAGATCCAAGATCCGATGGAAAAGAAGAAGAAAAGAGGAGGAAAAGAGAAGAGAAGGGGGAAGGGAAGGGATGAGGATGAAGGATGGATGGAAGGGGGAGAGAGAAAGAGAGGATGATGAAAGAAGGGGGAAAGAAAAGAGAGCAGAAGCTGAGCGTGACCAGTTCGTTCCAGCAAAGAAATTCCAGACCCGACGCGGCTCTTTGGTTGGGATTTGCCGCCAAGCCTTACAACAGATCTATCACTACTAATTCTTTGGAATAGAATTATATCTAATTGATGATCAAAAGATAAATAAAATAGTGGAATAATTTCTCTCAAGTGCCATTACCTTCAAACCACTACGAACAATACTAGAGTCGCCAGTCAAACGATGCTTCGCAAAGCAAACAAACGCCAGTTCCTTCAGGCTCCAACACACTAACAATCACAACAAGAATAAGACGGCCACAAAACAAACCAATTGCAACGTAAATAAACCCATGAAAAAAGAAAGAAAGAAAAACGACAGACTAGAAACTTGCAAGGATGATCAATAACAAATCAAAGCATTTCTCACAGTCCACGCAATCGCCTCCGACTACGCGTCCGAGTGTTCTGCGCAGCCGGCTGAGACTCCAATCCATCCATACCATCGGTCGCTCCCTCACGAGAATTTCCCTGTCCTTCGAGTTCGTCGTCCACTAGGTCTTTGAGTTCGTCCTCGTCCAGCTCGCTGAGCTCCTCGCTCATCCCGCGCATGACATCGCGACCGGTCCAGCGTTCCTCGTGAATGGTCGTGCCGATGGGATCAAACGGTTGCATATACCACTGGATCCCTCCTTGGGCCAGCGGGTGTTGCTGATCGCCTTTGAAGCTGGGTGGAGGCGTCAATGGCCCGTTCGGAGCGTCAACAGGGGGATTGCTGGGCAATAGGCTGGGGTCTGTGGATTTCTCCGGCTCGCCATTGGTGGCCGGCTCGGGGAGTGATGGTTGCACGGCTGTCGACACGACCTCGGGTGCCAGCTCCTCTGTTTCCTGCGTGACAGGGGGCGTCTCCGTCCCCAAATCGGCAGGTGGTCGGTTCTGAGGCTCTGCCGGGGGTTCGGTATTTTGCGTCTCCTCCGCGTCGACCATAGGGGTGTCCTGTGGTTCTTGTTCAGAGGGCTCCGGAACGTGGGCTGTATCCGAGGGCTCCTCTTTGGCGGCCTGGTCGGTGTTGTTTTCAACTTCCTCGACCCTGCCCTCCATGTCACCCGTATGTTCGGAAGTTTCGGGCTTAGGAAGTTCGTCTTCGTCCATCGGTTCGCCAACCTCGGACCCCCGTCGGGAGAGGACGCTGTTCTCAAACATGACATCCAGATCCTTCAACTCCTGCTCAAACGGCCGGCGGTGCAGCTCGCTTTCTTTCTTGATCGCATCCTCGAGCGCAGGCTGGATGGATTTGATGATCCGCTTGGCCAACTTTCTCTTTTCCCGTTGCTCTAGGCTGAGTTCCGGGGCGCGACCGGCGATTTGCATCTGGAGTTCAGCCGTGTCGCCAGCCGGTTGGACGCCAATCTCAGACGTAAAAACGCTGGCTAACTCGGACGAAAAGGTGGAAATTGAAGTGTAGTAGCGCTCCTCCAGCTTTGCGCGTATACTCGTCAATCCTTGCCGGAAGATGCCTTTGCTATCGAGTCTGGAACGGTGTTAGTCTGCGGGGTTCAAATCAAAAAGACAGGGATTGACGCTTACACTTGAGCTTTGTCGAAGATGGGCCAGAGGAGAGGGAAGATGGGGAAGTAGACCGTGTCCACAACGTTTCGAAGGATCTCCGCATCCTTCAACTTCTCCCTCTCACGCTTCTTTACCTCGTCACAGAGCATCCTCAACCGATCGAGGTCTCTATACAGTCGCTCGCCAAACTCGATGCGCCGCTGGAGCCGTTTGCCACCGCCCACGCCCATAGCAACGTAATCTCTTCGGGTCATTTCCATAGACGAAAAGGTCTCTAGCTGCAGTTGCAGCCGTTTGAGGAGTGCAGCCCCGCGTCTGGCCTCCCGTTTCAGAGTCCAGTATTTGCAGGCGTCTTCGGCATACTGTTTCCTTTGACGGACCCCAAACCGCTGGAGCGAGGCGATGATGGAATTGAGAACGACCTGGGGGATCACGGGGGCGCCTGACTGGAGTTTCCAGACAGTCCTAGGAGGGATCCGCTTTCGCTTGTTACCACCGACGGTGAGAGTGAGGCGCGGAGTGAGGGTTCTATGGCCATCGTCGCCATGATCACATCCGAGGGAAGTAGACGGCTCCAATGCGAGAGCAGTGGCCTGGCTATCTCCCCATCGTCGGCCTTGCATGGTGCTGCGGTAGTACTCGACAGCGTCGGCCGTCGCAGCATCTGTCCCATGCTCTCGGCGCCACTCGGGAGGGACGTGCTTGTCACAAAACGCCTTTAATAGATGAGAATCCATGATCCCGGGGGATCCATGGCCGGTCTTCATCTTAAGATAGAGCTGGGCCCTGCGAGCACAGGTAACATGGAAGGCGACGAAGCAGTTCTTATTGCTGCACTGAATGGACGCGCCCATTCTCTGCCGACAGATGTAGCAAAGCAGCTTCCAACGACTCCGGGGCACCTTCTCGATGTCGGTGATGGGCTCCATCAAGGACGGATTACCGATAGAAACCTCCGGAATCCAGATGGCGCAAAGCAGATGGGACCATTTCGACGATGTGGTTTGCTTAAAGGCGCCTTCGGTATTAGGACAGAAGATGCAGTTGACCGACCCCCGCCCAATGAGCTGGCATTTGCGACAGAGCCACTGTCCCTCGGGGATAAAAGGAACACCGTAACATTCTTGATGCACGGCTAGATCACAGCCGTCGCAGAACACAATGGCATTAGAATTCTCGCAGTCGCCATCGTCGCAGATCGCACACTTGCTGTCCTGATCCTCCCCGGGTCCCGCTGTTTCTCCGTTGACCGCCGCGGCCGAGCTCGAGCGAGGACGCTGGGTCTGCGGGGGTTTAGGGTTCGGCTTCGGTATTCGTTTTTCGAGCGTGTGCCATTCCTTTTCAATCTTTGTCATAGTAATTTCAAAGACCGCCGGCTTGATAGGCTCCAGCTGGTCGTTTCTCCGCTTCATATTGTATTCCTCCAGCCACTTGGCGTCTTGTTCGTCCATGTCGTATTCCACCCTGCCAACCGTGGGGTTAACTTCACCCTCAATCGTAACAGGGTTGACGGCGTCAAGATCATCCTCTTGCGCCCCCTCAGTCATGCGTATCATCTGGCGTTCATGGCGCAGGAAAAGATCGCTTTCCTGGTAGCCCACACTAGCCATCGTACGATCGACATAATTCTGGCCCACGCCGGGCTGGTCGTAGAAGTCAAAGGGATCTCGCATGCGGAAGGAGGGTTTGGGAAGAGTCAATTTCTCACGAGGGTTGGGGCCTGGAGGCGGGACAGCCTTTGGCTGGGGCGAAATGCCCAAAGCGTTGAGGATAGCTTCAGGGCGACGGGGAGGACGTCCGGGGCGACGCTTTATTGGGGTCGGCGATGTACCATTGGCGTGAGCACGGATAAGCTCCGCTAGTGGATCCTTCTCGCCTTTCGGATCCAACCCGTTCGGAGACAAGATATTGGCAATTGGTCCTGCTGGAGCCGGGCCATCTACCTCCTCTGAGTTGAAAACGACAAACCTGGCCTCTATATCGAGATCCGGATGGAATTCCTCCCATCCTCTCTCCTCTCGAGGTTTGTACCCATCCCCTTGCTGCAACGCGAGAGCGGCGGAGGTCGAGGAGCCGAAACGACCGCGATTCTGGCTCTTGTCTCTCCTCAGACGCGCAGACGGGGGTGTCGTCGGCGCAGGGGGCGGTGGTCGCGGGGGCAGTTGAACAGGACGGGGTTCAGACTCCGGCGCCTGGTGAGCTCGAGCTCCCAATGATTGACGGCGGATGGGTGTAGGTTTTGCTGGAGATGTTGGCTTTGCTGGCTTTGCCGCCTTCGCCGACTTCGCCGTCTTTGCTGATTTCACCGGGCTTGCCGACTTTGCTTTCTTGGGCGTCTCCTTCACGTCCAGCTCGATGTATCTACCTCCTCCGCCCGGACCACCGGGGACGTACTTTCGCTTCTTGAGTGGAGGGCCTTCGCTGGATGTAGGGTCTGAGCTGCGAGAGGATTTGATGGACGCTTTGGATTGGTTTCGGGACGACCTTCCCGGAGAGGAGTACTTTGGCGAAGAATACGGCGCCATCTTCAAAGACGTTTAGAGAGGATAAAGAGGGGGTGGGTGGTGATAAGAAGGTCGTGATTGTCTGGTGTGCCTGCTCAGCCGCACGTTTTCGATCGAAGAGGTGGAAGAAACGCCGAATAGCAGTTAGAAACGAGATGAGACCATGAGTAAAGATCAATCATGACGTGTCGCAAGAGTGACCGCCATCAACGAACAGAGAAGAGAAGGCAGCCGTCGAAGAGGAGGCAGGGTGTGGGTGGAACGCGAAGGCGAGAACGGGAGTTGTCCGTTATCTCAGTCAGTTCAGGTCAGTGTTCGGCGCTAGCCGCCCTGGGCCAAGGCGGAGAGGCTCCACCACCAAGGCGGAGAGAGCTTGCCGGTACAACAAGCAGTCAGGACGAACTGTTGTCTTTCTGCTTCTATTTGTTTATTTCTTTTCACTGCGCATCCATCTTCTCTGGACTATGAGCGGTATGGGCGAAGACCGGTATGTTTCGTTCTTCCTCTTTTATCCCTCCTATCCCTGATTCGGGAGTCTCTTACTGACACAGGCTTGATTTAGTTGGCGCGGAGGTCGCCAGTATGACCAAAATCGCCACCATGGACAACAGAAACACTCGCTGAATCGCACAATGAGCGCGCACAGCAACGCTCGCGGTGGACAGGGCTACAACAATGCTAGCAATAACTGGGGCGACTCGCGCGACCTCTCCGCAGGACCGTCCCCCGATCAACACGTGCCCGTCAGCGGTTTCAACGCCGCAGAGTCGAAGACAGCTCTCAAGAAAAGTACGTCGCGTCGCCAAGTGTAGAATAATAGGGTCATTGTACTGACGGGTGTGGTTTTCTTGTTATCCACAGATCCAGGAGGTCAGTACTCATCGCCCGCTTTTCAGACAGCTCGCCCGCATCCCAGACAGCCAGACACGCGCCTCGCCGACCAAAACGCTAATCCGTTCGCTCCAGGACCGAGACCTTTCTTCTACAAGCTTGGTAAAGACGCAGGAAACCGCCCCAGTGGACCTTGGGGCTCAAAACGTAGGACTCTCCGTCAACTCTCCGCGCCTCATCTCTACCTTTCACTGACCGCCAATTCTCCATACAGCCAACACGATGGCCAACGGCAAGGACTTCTTCCTCGAACTCCGCAAACAAATCACCACCCTACAGCAGGGCGGCAACGCCGCTGGCGGGTGAGGTCGCATAGCTGTTGCGGGGGATAGAGTGAACGAGACTGCTGCAGAGGGCGAGATTCGACTGACGCCTCGACATCACTCTGAAGTGGCGTTTCACGTGTGATGTGGTGGCGGGAGCGAAGGGTCTCCTCCGATCGCTGGACGACTGGATGACACGACTAGGCTTTGGATTTACGTCGACTGGATAGGGTACACGTACACGTACACAGTTCAGTGCAGACAGCTTATCGAGATAAGACAGAGGAGAATTGATAGGTGCGGCACAGCACAGCGTTTAAGGGAAGATGGCGTTCTGTCGTTGTATTGTACTGCTTTCTGCGTGGTTTGGGCCTGTACCTACATATGATCAAGAAAATCACGAAATTATTCATAATGTTTACTGGGCTTTCACTGTATGTTAAGGTACTATACAAATATGGTCAACCCTCGCATGCTTGAGGGATGGGCTGTAGACATCAAATATACCTAGAATACATGGATATAAAGCTACATAATGTACATTCTATGTCACCGCACACACTGGCAGACCTACTACACCTTCTGCCATCCAGGCGGGCCCAACACCCCACCATCCTCAGCCTGCGGATCCAGCGACCACTTCCTCAAAACGCGACAACTAAGATCCGAGCGCCAGCCCCGTTCAAACATCTCAATGCCCGCCCACGCAATCATAGCCGCATTATCCGTACACAAGTACGGCGGCGGCGCCACAACCTCAACATGTCCGAACCCGCGGACATCAAGGAACGAGCGGAAGACTGTCATAAGGAACCGATTAGCGGCGACTCCGCCGCTGATCACTAGCGTCTTGACCTGCTCGCCGCAGGGGTTCATCCGGCGCAGCGACTCGAGCGCGATGACGGTGCGGGACGCGAGATGCTCGAAGCTAACGCGCATTGTCTCGCGCGCGAGGAAGGCCCGCTCCTCGTGGGACAATTCCTGCCCCGTCTGCTCCGCCTTTTGGGCGACGATGCGTTTCACTTTGCTGGCGATGGAGGAGAAGCTGAATTCCAGGTCGCGCGTGTTGGCGAACGGCGGAGTCAGGTACCAGCCGTACTGTGTGGGGCGTCTGGCTATTTCCTCGGTGCGGGTCGTCGGAGGTCGGTAGTCGGCGTAGTCTGTGCTGCCGTTGGGGAAGGCGAATTGTTCTAGCGCTTTGCCGTACATGGTGCTTTTGGACGCTTGTATTGTTTCTTTTGGGAGGATTTCTCGCGCGGATTTATCCAGACATTCGCCGATTGCGATGTCAGTGCTGGACGCCATGACCGTGTGGTCTGTCACAGAAGACGAGTTCACGAGCATCGAGTGGCCGCCGGAGACTAGGATCGATAGGAAAGGAAACTCGGGAGTGATAGGCGACGACGGTGACGAAATCGCGTTGTCGCTACCAGCATCCCGACTCAACGAAGACACCAACCGGGGCGTCAACAGATGCGCCTGCATATGATGGACTCCGAGAAACGGGATCTGCCATGCCACCGAGAGTGCTTTCCCCGTATCCAAGCCGACAAAAAGATTAGAACGCATGCCCGGCCCTCTTGTAGAGGCTATGAAATCCGGCTTGCGGCGCATTCGCGAATCATCCGACAATGCAACCGCATTATGAGGGGTCGCATTTTCCGGCGCAAACGGCAAGTATGGGAGGGCTTTCTTCACCAGCTTTGCCATGTTCTCCTGGTGTGAATAGAGTGCTAGGATTGGGTGGATGCCCTGGTACTCCCGGGTGTCTGCCGTTACATTCTCGAGGAAATGGATTGTTGTCGGTTGGGAGGAGAGTTCGGTGTTTTTTTCAACGATTGCGACGGAGGTATCATCGCTGGTAGGGTTCATCCATCGATCGAGTCAGCAAGTTGAAGTTGTAACGGGGACTGGTTGGTCCACTGTGGCGCGACTCACCAAGATGTCTCGATCGCGAGGGTGAGAAGCCCGCGATTCTGGGGACGCGTGCCCCATCTTGTAGCTGCACGTACGCCTTTGCGCAGAGCTACTGTCGTCACTCGTGATTTCAGCATTGGCAGGAAGATGGGGACGATCGAGGGCGTTTCAGGTCGGCGCGGCGGCCGATCAGCCGCGGAAGAGATGGATCTCGCACGGGCCACTCCGCTAATGGCCGATATCGTCCTACTATCTACAATGGCGTATTCCGTAGATTTGAAAATGCCGTGTTTACAGTCGACACACTTGACACAGGCTGGTATTGCACATATAAATATAACGAGTGGCATTGGAAAACTCCATACTAAAAATCGCATCATGTCATCACATCATAAACATAATAAGTATCCTATACACGAGATCCTCCATTCCTTCCATGGGTTCCATGCATTCAGCGACCTTCCAATCCGACCTTTATCAGCTAAGTTATCCTCCAATATATCTGCAGAGAAAATTGAGCTGAGCTGTTGGCTCAGAGTCGGAGCCGGGCACGGACGCAGAAGAACAAGACGTAGCGAGGGTCCAGACTCCGATCCTCCGTCCTGGCGGTCCCACAGGCCCATCTGTAGCTGCGGTGATTCGTTGAGTAGCTACTCAGCTACTCCAGCGTTTCAATCTCGAACAATCCATCGTCGCTCCTCGCGTGATAACTTGGTGTATGTGCCGTAGTATTCGTCGGGATTCACAATGGGCGTCACACAGTGCACGGTCGGAGTGTTCTGGAACTGGATGCGCTTGTCTGGGTTCCCGTGTGCAGGGCGTTTCTTGAGAATGCTTTTGGTAGAGCACGAGTTGGTATAGTTGTAGGACGGCACTTGCAAGGACGGGAACCGCTTTGCGCTGGGGCTGGCAGCAGGTGGAGACAGAGGGGTGCGAGGAAGTGGTCCGGGAGACTTGAGAGACAATGTGGGCCGCGAACAGCCCTGTGCAGCAGAGATACTCAGAGATAGCTGTGGTCGAAACATTGTGGCGATAGTCTGTGGATGAAGTCGAAGAATGACGGGTGTAATATAGTTTGAGGAAGGTGGACGAGGTAAACAATAAACAACGGAGGAGTTGTAAGAACTGGCGGTAAACACTTCGGTCAACGAAGTATTCCTGCAGGTCGGCGTGTAGATGATACTATTATTGACGTAGATGCAGATCCAAAAATAAACAGCAAGCGAAACGAACTACTAAGCTATCGTCTGGACCAGCCAAACGAAAAACCCTAGAAAGATGAAAATAGACTGAAACACCAACTGTCCCAGGAAAGAGAAACAGATCCCAATGTCTGAGGAAAATTGGGCGGCTATATAGTCGCCAGCAGCTCGAGCAGGGAGAGGGAGGAGTGTATGAGGGGGAACGGGCGAGCAGGACGAAGAGTTGGTGGGTGGCACGGCCAATGATCGCCAGCCATGCCTCCTAAGCGCCAACAATCTGCACGAGTTGGCACAGAGACACCCCTCTGTCACACTTAGTCGAGAAGTCTCTGGATAGAGTGGACGAATGATAATTCATCTTCAAGGGTTCTCGGTGAGTAAACTCCACCACTTCTGGGATCTGACTCGAGACCAGCCACCGGTGGTGCGATACGTCAAACTGACTAGACCGGGATAGAGCAGTCGAGGGATCTGGCAAACTTTCTTTATAGCAATGGAAGAAATCAATGAGACGACATTGCCTGAATTAATAGATGATTGCGGGACAGTATTATGGCTGCTTTCGACAGCCTATGCTATAGTTGATGTGTATTTCTGCTTATAGTGCTATGACTTGCATCCATTTTGCCCTGAACAATACAGAAAGAAGTTAGTACTCTTGAACCCTAAAATTTGCCATCACTCTGTAACACATTGACTCTGGGAGAGGGTATATCATGTACCAATGACTGAATAACTGTCCATATTGAAGACGATCTGCAAGCGGGGTCAGACTCATTGTGATGGTGCACTGATATGTCGTGATAGCCTTCATCACATCACATCCTGATGTGTAGATTGTGTACCAGAAAGGAAAAGAGCAAAGACTTAGTCTGTTCATCGGTAAAAGATCAGCATTGTCGATCCGACTATTTCAGACTAAACAGAGTGATTGTTCCATATGTCAGGACTAGAAGAAATGCGTGAATGTATCATGCCTGTTTCCAATCATTAACAGGATGAGAAACCTCCCAACAGAAATTACAGAGAAAGATCAAGCTAAGAGAGGACTGTGTGACGAAGTTGCAAAATAGACCAAACAGGTACTAGTGCACATGACTGATCTATAAACATGCCAACATATAGACCAGATGATTTTGTTCCTTGTCTGGTTCTGGACAGGGCTGGCGAAATAACAGCATGACAGGCCAGATACTGATTGATTAAACCAATCTGAACGATGTCCAGAGTACTCCGTCGGACAAAGCATTTTTTTGTTCCACAGTGTTCCCTGCTCAAGGAGTGGCCAGTGACCACGGAAGCCACGGCAGCCCACCTCAACACCCAACAGGTCTGTCAGCATCACGCAAATACTATCATTGCTGCATCGCCGTCAACATTCTCTATCTTCATGACTATGCGTGTTCTGGTTCATTGGACAGCGTTTGTTTTTGCCTAACATCATCAAGCACCTTCGCCCCTTTGTATACTCCTAGCTCAAGCCAGTGACGTCAAGATTCCCAGACTCGGTCTCTAGACCATAGACTCTCTGGCCTTGAACGAAAGACTATCTTCCTGCCCTCTTATTATATCTATAGTCATCTGAAATGGGTCTCTGGCGGAACCTCGTGGAACCTGGCGGTTAGTTGACCACGGCGATTCCTGTCATAACACCGTCCATCTGACGAACATGGCGTTTCCCCCTCAGCGATTGTGGCAGTTTTCACAGCTGGCACGCTGATCAACCGGAACAAGAGGGTCCATATATTTAGAATACCATGCGTCGAGTCACAGCTGCTCAGGGACGAACGCGAAGAGCAGAAGTCGGATGACAAGCGTCCTACGATCCAGACACGAGTCCTCGCACACTTCCCTTTCCTGCTGGAAATATGGTACTGGTTACTGACGTATTGGGTACTGTACCTGTTCCGCATGGGAGTTTACTGATGGTGATTCGGAGACACATCGAGCATTGCTGACGATGGAACTTGCCATAGATCTACCAAGGACTCCGAGCCGTCTCCGCGAGACTGATCGCCGGAAATAAACCCATCTTTGACATCGCTGAGCGCCATGCGCACCAGATTCTCGCCCTGGAACATACATTGCACGTAGACGTGGAGCTATCCGTCCAACGATTCGTTTTGGAACGCACACCTTGGTTGATGCCCTTGCTGGCCCGCGTATACTACTCACACATTGTGATCGGAGTGCTGTTCCTCGTATACAGTTACACGCTCTACCCCCGCGACAAGTACCAAAGCATCAGGCGTGCTCTTGCCCTAGAGAATATCATCGCCTTTACGCTCCTCACCCTGTGGCGCTGTGCACCCCCGCGTCTGCTCCCGGAGGAAGACGGCTTCATCGATATTCTTCACAGCAGCAGGAGCGGGTCCGCGTGGACACAAAACAAGTTCCAGCTGACCATCGCGGCGATGCCGTCGCTTCACTTCGGGAACTCGGTGCTGATCGCGCTGTGTCTGTGGAGGTTCAGTCCGCACTGGTACATCCGGGCTGTGGCGCCGATGTGGCCCGTCATGATGGGGTTGACTATCATTGCGACTGCGAACCACTTCCTTCTTGACGCTTTGGTTGGGGCTGGAGTCACGCTGACGGCGTACCGGTTCAATGCGGCGATGCTGTATCTGCTGCCGGTGGAGCGCGTGCTCTTTTGGCTGCTTCGCATTGAGAAGCCAGTATATCAAGGATGAATTATGGATAATGGGTCGTGATGCTTCTTTCACTCTTTTCTGTCTTTTTCATGCATTGGTGAGGGCTGCAGAAGCTAGGTCGCTGCCCTAGATACAAATGCTATTCATATCCGGAGTAACTCCGAGGGTATACTAGTAGATCTATATGGAGAATCACTAGGGGGTAGTAAGCCAAGCTGTTACCGAGATAAAACACAATACAGATATCAAGGCTCTCTATAGCAACCAACCACTTCATCCACCCCAGATAATAAGCATTAAACTCCTGGATCCCATCACGACAGACAGCACCAACCTCTCGGCCCCCAAATCCAGAACACTGTTCTCCACCATACTTCATATCGAAATCAGCCGCACATGCCAAACACGTTCTAGACTAAACGACTAAACCGACAATCCCCAATTTCTCGTACGTAAGCATGCACAGTACACTGCACAGACAACTAGCTAGCTCCTTTTCCCAGATGAACCTCACAAACCAATAGTTATAGGTAGTAAACTCTTCCCCAGCAAATGATATATCCCAATTGAGGAAGAGAACTCGGATGGACATACTCCATAACACCTAGGTGTATACCACCCATAGTACCGTCGATCAAACAAGGAGCACATGATTCCTAGTTAGTAAACGGCTACTGTGTCCTTATTCCAATCCTAATCTAATTCTAATCCTCAGCTCATTTTATCCTGACTCCGCACGATGCGGAGATACCTTAGTAAGCGCGAGGATCATCATGGAAGATTTCGGGGAGAGAAGAGTGGGGAAGGGAGCGGGGGTGGAAAAATGAAGGTTGTTCAGGTGACTGTTTTAACCTGCCTAGTACTTACTACAATGGGCTAGACTTGATGTTGTCATAATAAGGTGATGGGATAGTGTCTTTTGTTTGGGAGGGATGGTATCCGGGGGATCCCGATGGGGGCGAGGTACTTGTCTTACCTGTTTAGACTGTGTACAGATGGGGAGTTTGTATATGTACATGTCATGTCTATGTGGATGTCCGTTTTGTAATGGAGGTATAAAATATACTTGAGTGGTTGAAAATAGAAATCTAGTCGCCTCATCTATGTATAGATAGATAGTATATTCCTAGCCGGTAACGACTATATTACCCGCTGAGGACAGGGTTGCCACCACCACTTCTCTTTCTCTCTCTATCTCTAAATTATCTACATACCTGTCTGTCCGTATATTTAACCAAAATATAGAATATAGCCGTGTTATAATGATTCAAACCACTCGAGAATACAAATCCAGACATCCGAGGCAAAATAAGATACACACATTTTCGTGCGTTCTCCAATTCCAGGACCCGCCCTGGCGTCCCCCCCTTCCCAGCCTCCCCTCCTTTCTCCCCACACCGAAGACGGAGGCGCCCGTTCGCCATCCATCCAGCCCCGTCCACCACATCGGGCCGAACTTTGGGGAGCCAAAGAGGTGGCAGCATGTATTATCTGCCCTTTCCTTTTTTATGGTCAAGTGGGTAAAAAAGTGGTTTTCCTTTCTGGTTGTCATGTGAAGACCCTCGCCCGTTTCATGTGCTGGGCTGTATGACAGTTTGACTGCCGAATACTTACCTCTAATTTACCACCTCTCTCAGGTAGGTTCTAGGCATGATTAAGTACCGGTGGGAGATAAGCTGTAACTGAGGAAGGGGATAGATGATGATGCGCCCCTACCGCGATCACCCATATAATAAAGTACCTATATATTATACTCTCCTCCCATCCTGCCGGTAAGCTACTCGACTAGGCTAGGCCAGTCACCTGGACCGACTTGGTTCTCGAAACGCCCTGCGCCCAGGGGTCAAGTCCGAACCAGCGATTTGTATTGGAACGTTTTCTTACCCTCTTCCCGGAAGGTTACCGTGGGTGGCGCACCCAGTTGGGTGTCGACCGTGGTGGGAATCAGGAGGCGGATTCGAATTTTGGTTTGGGTTTCGGGTAAGGAACGATCTTTCTTCGGTCGCTCCGTGGATGACTGATGGAATCGATTATATGCATGTATAATTGTATATTGATGATGTTCTTCTGAGGAGGGGCGCAGGATGCACCGGAGATCGGGGGTGGATAAAGTACAGAGTCAGAAGTATAGGTAATGAAAAATACGGAACAGATAGAGAATTAAAAGGAAGTCCGATCAAACAAACAAACATTGTTCTCATCGGGTAAATTCAGTTTTTGGTTCTGATTCCAGGGCGGTGAGTGTCCTTTTTCGTTTTTTCTTTTCTTTTCTTTTCTTTTTTTTTTTTTTTACTTTTCCCCTCGTGGCCAATATAGGAGAATCAATGGAAAGATAGAAATCAAATAGAAAAAAAGAAAAATACAGAAAAAGAGAGAAAACTTTGATTTACTCTCAGCTGAGGCAAATTGTAAAATTCTTCATAACTCTTAACTATTATTATCTGATACTGTTAGTCTCGGAAAGGATAATATAATACCTAATAATCACTAGTCATAAAAATCATAATCAAAATAAAAATGGAATAAATAAAAGGACCACTTTTTCTTTCACCCCGAGCAGATCACCGATCTAACAGACTAGAAACAAGTACACAATAAGGCTCACCTTGGATTTTCTTTCTCCTGCATTTTTCTTTCTCCCAATTTTTCCTTTCGACTTTCTTAATTCCTTACTCCACACAAACCTTTTCTTGTCGGATCCTCTCCCCTTCATAATATCAATCCCTTCCCTCCCGTCGCGCGTCCTTGGTCTTGGAGACTTGGTTACCACTCCCTCGAAAAATTAATTGGATTAGACGCTCACTTCCCGTGGTTCATTCTGAAGAAAAGGGAATAGAAGAAGAAGAAGAAGGGTAAAAGAAGAGAAAGGAATTGAAAAATAAAACATAAATCCTTGCATGCCACAATGACCGTAAAGGATGCGGTGAAAGAGTCCTTGATTGGCACCTCCGATGAGTCGCATCAGGCCAGGACCAATTTCCTACGACATGCGCGCAAAGATGAGACCTCCGGGGAATACTTCATGACCGAGGACGACTTCGTCGATGCGATTGCTCCGAAGCACGAGGACTATGTGAGTCGAATCCCTTCATCCCTACCCCATGAGTCACACATGGCAGTTCCTCATCCACCCCGAGACCACCTCTTGGTGAAACGTGGCTAACGGATCGGTCGCGTTCAATAGCATAAAATCAAGCGAGAACACTACGGCATTCTGTTCAATGTCGCCGACAAGCGGAGAGCTGGGAAGCTGAACTTGGCCGATTGGGCCACCTTCGAGAACCTCCTGTCCAAGCCCGATGCCGAATATGAGATCGCCTTCCGACTGTTCGATACCGATGGGACCGGGACCGTGAAGTGGGATACGTTCCACAGCCTGTACAGCCAGATCAAGACCCAGGACAGCATACCCTTCGACTGGAACTCGAACTGGGCCTCCCTGTACAGCGGACAGAGCAAGAGCCGGCATGACATGACATACCCTCAGTTTTCCCAGATGCTGCGGGGTTTGCAGGGTGAGCGGATCCGCCAGGCGTTCCACATGTTTGACAAGGATGGCGACGGATACATCGAACCGCAGGACTTCCAGCGCATCATCCTCGAGACCTCGAAGCACAAGCTGTCGGACTACGTCTTGGATCAGCTCCCGTCCCTGTGCAACATCTCGGCCGGTAGCAAAATCTCCTATTCGACCGTTCGGGCTTTCCAGAATGTCATGCGCGAGATGGACTTGATTGACTTGATCGTGCGCGAGGCGACCCTGAAGAGCGGCGACGGGAAAATCACGCGCGCCGATTTCTTGAACGAGGCCGCCCGGGCCACCCGCTTCTCGCTCTTTACCCCCATGGAGGCCGATATCCTCTTCCACTTCGCGGGCCTGGATGCTCCCTCGGGTCGTCTGGCCCAGAAGGACTTCGCCAAGGTGATCGACGCCTCGTGGCGCATGCCACTGGCAACTGCTGGGCAGGCTGTCGCGGCGGCGTCGGGTACCGCGCACAAAGCCGCGGACAAGACCAAATCCATTCTGTACAGCGTTCTCGAGTCCGTCCACCACTTTGGCCTGGGCAGTATCGCGGGTGCCTTTGGCGCATTCATGGTTTACCCCATTGATCTGGTGAAGACGCGCATGCAAAACCAACGGTCCACCCGCGTCGGAGAGCGGCTGTACAACAACTCGCTGGATTGCGCAAAGAAGGTCATTCGGAATGAGGGTTTCACCGGCCTGTACTCCGGTGTCGTCCCGCAGCTGATTGGCGTTGCTCCGGAGAAGGCCATCAAGCTCACGGTGAACGACCTGGTCCGAACCCACTACACCAACAAGGATACTGGCAAGATCTGGTACGGCCACGAGATCTTGGCTGGTGGTGCCGCCGGAGGTTGTCAAGTGGTAAGTTGTCGTGCCTCTTAACGCACTCAATGCATGTAACTCACGACATTCACTAGGTCTTTACCAACCCCCTCGAAATCGTGAAGATCCGCCTGCAGGTTCAGGGTGAGATCGCGAAAACCGTGGACGGTGCTCCCCGCCGGTCCGCGCTCTGGATTGTGAAGAACTTGGGATTGATGGGCTTGTACAAGGGTGCCAGCGCCTGCTTGCTCCGTGATGGTAAGAGCTTGTTCCATGAAACCTTACCTGCCAATGGACTGTTCTAACCTTCCAATGATAGTCCCCTTCTCCGCCATCTACTTCCCCACCTACTCGCATCTGAAAACGGACTTCTTCGGCGAGACGCAGACCAAGAAACTGGGCGTGGTGCAGCTCCTGACGGCAGGTGCCATCGCCGGTATGCCCGCCGCCTACCTCACGACGCCCTGCGATGTCATCAAGACCCGCCTGCAAGTCGAAGCCCGCAAGGGCGAAGTCGGCTACACGGGCCTGCGTCACTGCGCGTCCTCCATCCTGAAGGAGGAGGGCTTCAAGGCCTTCTTCAAGGGCGGACCCGCGCGTATCATCCGCTCCTCCCCGCAATTCGGCTTCACCCTCGCCTCGTACGAGCTGCTGATGAACTGGCTCCCGATGCCCGGGTCGACCGCCGAACCCGGCCCCAGCGGCCACATTGAGCCCGGTGTCGGCCTCCAGAGCGCCACCGCGCCCCTCCCCTACCTCCGATCCCGAAACGCCCTCAAGCTGATCCTTGACCTCGACGAGAACATTGGTCGTGTGCGCATCCCGACCGCTGATAAGTGGCCGAAGTTTATGCCCTCTTCGAAACAATAAATAAGCATGTTGTTTTTCTTTTGTACTAAATAGCGATGAATTTACCGTTTCATTTGTTTCTTCTTCTTTATCCTTTTTCTTCTTCACTTGTCTTTTCTTTTGCCTTTGAATTGGAAATACCTTTGCCGTTTTGACTCGAGTCATTCCTCTGCGGTTTCCGAAAAACCACCCCCTCTGGGATATATTTCCTTCCTCCCTGACCTACTTACTGCTATTTCTCTCTCTCTGCACATGCACACTGTAACAAAAGATAGACACGAGGAGTTCCGACTCTTTCCCGCACGTTATGTTTTTCTAGAACCCTTCTGCCTTAATTTCTTCTCTTCTTTCTCTCGCGCATACTAGTTATACTATCGTGGGATGGAGTCAAGATTATTGGATCTTTTCATATGTGCCTGTCTTGGGGATGAGGGGTTCGCTACTAAAATTAGACTCATACATGTGTATAGATAGGTATAAGATTTGCTTGGCTAGGTTTTTTTTTTTTGTATTTTCTTGGTTGTTTTTGTTGGAATGATATATGTATGGGGTTACTACATAGAAAGCAACTTAATGAGGGTTTATTTATTGTCTGGATGTCTGTCTATCATAGGCGTGTAAGTTGTTTTGTACAGAGTAAGTCGGCTTTAATGTACATGTATTCTTTTTCATTCCATTCCCTTTCTTCCTTTCCCCTTTCCTCTGTTGCCTTTGGGTCTATCCATGTAGCTCGCGGGTGGAGTCTCAGCCCTGCTCGTAACAGCGTACAAGCTAAGCAAGGCGTCCAGCTCGACAAGCCCCCACGCCCGGATCAAAGCTAGAAACGCCTATCTCGGCGAGGCGACTGCGTCTATCTGTCTCGGCTAGCAACAGCCACGCCTCATTCCCTCTGTGTGCTCTGGCACGTTATATTGCTCGACAGTCATCAGGTATATAGAGGTCGTAGATATAGCGATAGTAGGTGACAGGAAATCAATGGCTTAGAAAAAATGCGCCTTTCGCTTCGAAGCATTCTCTGTCGATGGCTCGTCGCTCGTCTTGGGCGGTTCGGCTGCGGGGGCGGGCTCTTTCGCGGCGGCGGCGTTTTTCTGGTGCCATAGGGATTCCTCGGCTTCAATTTCTTGGAGGACTGCAGGACGAGAAAAAGAGAGCGTCAGTAAAAACATACTCAAGACCTACTGGGCCAAAAACGGAAGGAGAACAAACCTTCATCCCACTCCCTCTCCTTCGCCTCATTCCCCGTCCCCAACAACTTCTCCACATCCACCTTCTCCCCATTCTTAACGCGCTCAATGACCTCGCGGAGCAGAGTGATCTTCGCGTCTGTTGACCGCGTAAACGCCGCGTAGTCGTTCTTGAGCGCAATCATCCGGATAGCCTGCGATCCGATCAGGGTGAACATGATGATGTAGAAGCTGGCGGGATTCCATTCTTTGGATTTGGGCGATGACGAGTCAGAGCGGGACTTGCGGTTGCGGATGAATTTGGGGACGAGGGAGTTCCAGAGGGAGGGCTGGGCGATCTTGGGGAGGGAGTCGGAGGTGCCGTATTGTCGGGTGGTAGTGTGTGGTTGTTGGGGTTGGAGTCGTCGGTGTTGATGTTGGAGGCATTGCCGTGGGGAGATGTGGGATTGGAAGGTGGGGAGGGTGCGGCGGCTGGAGAGCCGTGTGGCGGCGTTTATTGTGAAAGAGGCCATGGCCGGGGGTTGGTGAGTTATTGTGGTGAGATCATGGATTGAATGGCGATGGATGGTGGATATTGAAGCAGTTCTCGTTCTCTCTCCATTAATGCGATAGACCCGCCGATTAGAACTAGTCTGTATCCGGCTTAGTGCAGTCTGACTGTCATGTGACGAGACAAGACTGGACAGTTATTGCGCTAGCCCCTATTGAGGTTAGCGTATGTATGTTGTCGTGACAACGGGTCGGCTTGGCGAGTTTGGCTGGGCTGGACTGACAGCCATGCGAAGCAACGAACAAGCTGCTGCTCACCCATACCATACTGTCGTTTGCGAATGGCCAAGGGTGCTGCTACATCCTCATTTTACTAACTACGACATCTCCGCCCCCGCCCCAATGGCGGTCACCACCCTACTCCCAGATTCCTCCGTGGAATCGGTGAAGCTGGCCGTTCGCTCGACAACAACATGCTCCGCTGCCACCGTGTTGACGCTGCAGACGCTCTTTCGAGGCCCCGCCAAAACATCACCAGGGACCAGCATTACCACAGTAAGACAGACTACCAGCAAGACACTAAACAGTTCGACTTCGACAACACGAACGAAGACCTCCCGAACGACGTCGAAAACGAAGGAAGCCGCGATCACCGCCCTGACCGAGACAGATGCGGCCCGCCTGTCGCACCAGGAAAAGCTCGTGCTGGCCACGGAGGTTTTTAACACGACACTCAAGACCCTCTCGGATGAACTGCGAGTGCAGAGTTCGAAGTCCACGGCGCCTCGCGTGCGGCCCGCGCAACCGCCCTCCCCGAATGCCGACCCCGCATCTTCGAGAAAATTGAAGAGGTCACAGTCGACAACACCGGAGGTACAAGATGGGGAGAGTGGGCTGGCTGGTGTGGCAGAATGCGCGACGCTTGCGTTGGCGTGTTTGCGGACGTTGAAGAGTGGACAAGCGGACCAGGAAAAGGGGGCCCCCAATGTGCAGTTGGAGCAGGGCGCGTGTGTGCTTGCTGGGAGGTTCCTCTCACTAGGATTGAACGATATGGCGTATAAGGAGCTGAGGGGTCTGAAGAGGAGGATCCAACAGTATCTGGATAGCAGGGCTACGGCCCGCAAGAAGAGGACGGATGATGTGAAGGAGGAGGATACCGCCAAGGAGCGCATGTCGGACTTGCTCACGTTCACCAACGTCGATAAAGCTGGGCCTCTTATTGGGACAGTTGTGTCCTTCCAGTCGAATGCCTTGCGTCTGATTGCCTCGGAGAAGAAACTCTCGACCACCCAGAAATTGCTGCCTGTACTGCAGCTTTCCAACCACGGCAGTCCTGCGGCAGCCATTCTCATGGCTATGGAAGCGGGTGCTCTCGCCAAAGACAAAGCTGCCCTGCAACTTCAGTTACTGTCCAACACTTTGCTGTCTTTGTGCTCCGCATCTCAATCGTCGACAAGTACGAGTTCGACAAAACCAATTACGTCACTTACCCTTCAGTTGCTGTCTCTCGAAACCCGCTGTTCGTCCTGGAAGCTTTCGGGCCATAAGTGCGATGAGGTGAAGGAAATGTGGGACCCCCTGGCGCGCTACCTTGCCAGCTATGCCCATCACAGCAAGGGTATTGAGAAATCAGAGTTTGCGTCCGTCTACACGACTATCGTTCGACTTCAGAATGCGGTCTCCAACACGCCAAAACACTTCACTGATACTCCCAAGGATAATCTCTGTGTTGCGAGGATCGCCACCGTTCTAGGTCAGCTTGCCCAGGAGGCTGGTTGCCTCAAGGAGGCTCTGAAGCTCTTCACTGAATCTCTGGGCCCGCTGTCCACCGGGCAGAGCATCGGTCTGGCTACCGTGCACTGCAAAATTTCGCTACTTCATTTCCATGCTCTCAAAACTTCGAAAACGTACGATCAGGAAACCGTGGCGAAATCACTGTCCAAAGCTACTGCAGCACTGGGCTTGCAGTTGAAAGGCAACACTAGCGACTTGGACGAACTGCTTGTGGCCACCACGAAACTGAAGAAGCTAGCAATGGCTTGGTTTGGCGAGGCGATAGCCGGAAAACACGAGGCGAAACTGCAGGATAGCCCCATCGCCTCTCGCATTTACGACTATCTCCCCGGCTTCCTTAAATTCTTACGACGCTATCTCGGTCGTCTACCATCGGTGGACGAGGAGCCTAAGGAGTATGAATCGTTCGCAAAACGAGTGAGCGGCTCGAGGAATATCGTACTCGCTGCCGTGGACTCGATCGTCGCGGTTGGCAAGGTGTCGGTCATGTCGCAGCAACCTTCCTGGGAACACATGCTTCCAGCCCTCACCGACTGCCAACGGCTTCTCGTGGCCGTGAACCTGTGCGAAGACGAGCAAATCGAACATAGCGTTGTTGAGCAGATTGGCATGGGATTTGTCAAGTTATCCAACGTCTTTTGGTCGCGATATATCAAAGAAAAGGAAAAAGGAAAAGGCTACCGGGAGCTTGTGCCCCTGCTGAAGCAATCCGCCAATCTATTGTCTGACTGCTCGACATCCCAACGAAGCTCGGGGTTTGCAGCGCTCAAGTTCGAACGGCTTGCTCATGCATATCTGGAAGGGAATATGGTTTTGGAAGCAGGACAAGCGTTTTCCCAGTCAATCCAAGAACATATCGCGACTGGAGCTCTGGATCAGGCGATTGAAGAGACAGCGGGAAGCTTCCCACTACGATCCGGTCAAGATCCAACAAGCAGCGGCTTCATGCTTGGCCGTGTTCTTTCGACGTTCTTGAGAATGAGCTTACGGAGCAAGACGTCAAAGCTACAGAATGTATTTGATGACGAGAGCCTGGACTCCTTGCAAAGGGGACATATCTTGGAGTGGCAGCTGGGAATCCTGATGGACCTTCATAGCCACGGTGGCGAAGTTCATCGTTCTAAGCTTACCTCTCTTTTGACCACCACTGTCGACATATACTCGCCTGATGAACATCCAATCCGTCGTCTGCGAGTGATTCTGAGTGCGCTTCGATTCTCACTGGAGCACCCGCACTCATTGGAACCCTCATTGCTACAGGAGCTTGCGTTGGAAGCATCCGAGCACCAGGCCTTTGACGAAGAATATGGCGATGACTCTGACTTGGGCTGTTACGCGACTTATCTCGAAAACTCGCTTTGCCTCACTTCGGGGCTTCGTCGAGGTGATCTGGGGCCTGAACAACTCCAGAACATTATATCGTCCTGGAAACGTATGATGCAGCACTGTAGTGATCGCAGTTCGCTGGATCTGTATGTCGGTGATGTGGACTACTGCCTCCTACAAATGAAGGCGGTGGTTGATTATACCGAGATTCACGGCCTGTGGAAACTCCAATTATCCGCGCTGGAGCTGGTGCTGCGCATCACCGAACTTCAAGAAACGAAGGATTTCTCCGAAGGAATTATCATTCTGTCACGCCTTGTGCTTCAGTACTGCCGACTAGGATATTGCCAACGGGCGTCCGGTCTCCTTTCACGCGCAGAGAAATGTATCGCCAGCAATGACGTTTCGTGTCTTGCAATCTTGTCTTACAAACTGGCCCAAGTTTGCTATCTCCTCGAGACTGGGGATATCACCAAGGCAGCCGATATCCTAGCAGCAGCGCAAGGTCTGTACGAAAAGAACCAGGGAAACCAGGATCTCAGCAACTGCTCCGTGCTGTCCAAAGTAGCTTGGGAAAGGCTTGTCGCTGATGCAGCCTTTTTGAGCTCCCAACTGGCTTTTGCTCAAGGAATGATCAAAGACGCCCTATTTCTTGCCAAGTTGTCTGTGAGACTAAACTGCCGAATTTGGGCCAAGGTCGAAAAGATTGCCCAAAGAAAGCAGGAACGGATTGCGTCGACAAACGACAGCCCAGAACTCGAGGTTGTCGTAGAGGGCATGGCAAAGCTCGATGTCACCCAAAAGACTTCAACAAGTTCAGAGTCCTACTCTCAAGGTGCACCGTTTTGGCCTCACATTGGCTCCCACAACATCGCCCTGATGAACCTTGCAAGCCTCTCTGCGCACCATGGGCTGTTCCAGGATGCCATATATTACGGGGAGCAGGCACTGAAGATCAACCAGACTCTGAACGCAAATGTCCGTCTGATCGCTTCCCAAGCACAACTCGGTTCTCACTGGATATTCGGTGGGCATGTCAAAGAGGGCCAGGAGCTCCTGACTGCTGCAGAGGGTCTTTCCAGGCAGCTCGAAAGTAGTGTCGAGTTGGTCTCTCTGCAGATGGGCCTTGCTTCCCTCCACAGGGCTCAGGGTAATCACGTTGACGAATTGAGTGCCCTGCAGGAGGCTGACAAAGTCATGAATGAGTTCGTCATGTCCGAGACGTCGGGGCCCGGCGTTTCCGACCTATCAGACAAATTGGATAAGATGCGCATCCAGGAACCTACCAGACGGACAAGATCCACCACGACGACAACGAGGCCCACTACAAGAAGGACTCGCGGCACCACCCAATCAGCGAAAACGGCACTTGTTGTGTCTTCAACCACCCCAAGCACGGAATCAGAATCCCTCTTGCATCTCAAAAGTGACATCCTCCGACAGCAGGCGGCTTGCTCGCGTTCACTTCGGGATTTCGAAAGGGCATCCTGTTTGTTGAACGACGCGCGGAAGCTTGCTTCGTCGAGGGATACACAGATCTCGCTCAACATTGGAGAAAGTGAGCATCTGTTAGCCGATGCTATACGCCATTTTGCTTCGCACTCCGTGTATTGCGTTCTTCCAGAATCGACAATCTCCTTGCCGTCGTTAGAGTCCCCCAAGCCTGGGAAGTCGAGCCAAGCTGCTTCCTCGACTAAGGAAGCTTCCACTCGCAGGACAAGGGCGCCGACGAAAGGATCGCGCTCAAGGACACAGAAGGCGACCGAGGACTTTTCGGTCATGCTTTCTAAAGCTGGTGACTGTCTCAACAACGTTTTTCCTACAGCTACAGCTTTGGGTTCTACTCTCGACAGCCATGCGGCTTCCCGTTTGATGAGCCGTATTTCTATGCTGTTCCATACTACGGCCGCGGATTGCACGCTGCCCTGGTCGCAATCTCCGGCAAACGTGAATGGTAAGACCCTAGTGTCCTTTCAGATGGAGATAAGGTATCTAACTTCATTAGAACTTGGCCGCATTGGGGCATTTGCTCGCGAGCACGTCGCTATCGATATTGACAAGAAGCTGACCGACCACTGCGATCCCCTGAATTGGCCAACGTGCGTATCATCAGCAAGTGATGCCGACTCTCTGTGTGCCGACCTCACCAAGGAATATATCGATATTCTCCCCGAGAACTGGAACGTTTTGTCGCTTTCCCTGAGTGCAGACCGCACTGAGTTCGTTGTTTCGCGGTTGCACCAAGGCCGCACCCCGTTTCTCTTGCGCCTTCCGCTGAAGCGGGGAAATTCGGATGACGATGAAGAGCAATTCACCTTCGAAGACGGGAGACAGGAGATGCAGGAGCTCATACAGTTGGCGAACGAAAGCGCGCACGCTGCCAAAGCTCAAATCGACCGCCAGTCAAAGAAGCAGTGGTGGAAGAACCGGGAACAACTCGACCGTCGCATGGAGAATCTGCTACAGAACATCGAAACCGTGTGGTTTGGAGGCTTCCGAGGAATCTTCTCGCCCGTGCCGCATGACATAGCCCCTCTGGCACGGTTCGCCGATTCTTTCCAGATTGTTCTCGACAAACACCTCCCTTCTCGCCAAAAGGGGGGGCGAGCGAGCAGTCCGCGACTGACGCTGCATCCTAATGTGCTAGAGCTTTTCATCGGCGTCAAGGATCTGGAAGACCACGAAGATCCCGAGGATACCCTGATGGATCTTCTTTACTTTGTGGTCGACATCCTGCAGTTCCAGGGCGAGCGCAACGCATATGACGAGATCGATTTCGACATGATGGTTGTTGAGACGCTGGATGCTCTCAGGGGGTACCACGAAGCTGTCCAGAACGAGGACGGAAAGCAAGCGCCCAACCACACCGTCCTGGTTCTAGATAAAGCACTGCATATGTTCCCATGGGAGTCCTTGCCCTGCCTGCAGGGGTTCCCAGTCTGCCGCGTTCCGTCACTGGAGTGTCTCCGGGACCGAGTCCTCCAATTCCGGAACGAACGCACCAAGAACGCAGGCCAGGGTCTCCGTCTCAACCGCAACAAGGGGACCTACATCCTCAACCCCACGGGCGATCTCCAGACCACTCAGGGGCTCTTCGAAAAAGATTTGTCGCGACTAGACGCCTGGACCGGCGTCGTCAACCGCCCACCCACAGAAGAGGAATTCAAAGACGGCCTCGAGTCAAAGGACCTGTTCCTCTACTTCGGCCACGGCAGCGGCGCGCAGTACATCAGAGGACGAACCGTCAAGCGCCTCGACCGGTGCGCCGTAACCTTCCTCATGGGCTGCAGCAGCGGAGCCCTAACAGAAGCGGGCGAGTACGAGCCGTACGGGACGCCCATGAACTATCTGCATGCGGGGAGCGCCTCGTTAGTCGCTACCCTTTGGGACGTCACGGACAAGGACATCGACCGGTTTGCCAAGTCGACTTTCGAGCATTGGGGTTTGCTGGGCTCTGATGCGGAGCGGCACTCTGCGGCGCGAGAGGTGGCGTTGGATGAGGCTGTGTCGAGATCTCGGTCTGCTTGTGTGTTGAAGTATTTGAATGGTGCGGCGCCGGTGATCTATGGGATTCCGGCTGTGTTCTTGGAGTGATGTTCATTATTGATTGTTGATTTGTTGATTGTTGGTTGATTGTTGAGGATGGCGTTTGGATTTGGAAGATGGATGCATAGAGGCGTATTGGTTGCTTTGATATGGGATGATTGCATGGATTTGTGTGTGGTGTTACTTTGCTTGCTCAACCTGGGGAGTAGTCTTTACATTTAGAATATTCTACTTGAATTGATAGAGCTGTTTACTATCACTGCTATTTAGCAAGTATCAGCGGAGCAATCTGTCACCGTAATAAGTTGTACGCATGAAGGGAATGAGGAAGCCTTGTGGCAATTAATATTCCAAGATCTTGTTAGACCTCCAAGTATCTATTCCATATCCTCTCGAATGGTATATTGGTATAACTTATTAAAAGCTTTGAAATAGTAACTGTTGGTTGACGATGACATAAGAAATAATGATATAGATGTCCAGTGAGTCCAAGGATTAGAGATACGTGCAGTCCTCGAAGCGACTATGCCCAGTTTAAACTGGGTTGAAACTATGTCGAAACAGGCTTGCTATAGAGTTTTAAGCCAGACTTTGGCCACACGAATCAGGAGGTGTGAACCTATCAAGCTTGATACATATTCACTACTATCTTCCTTTCACTACAAGATTCCTATATATTTGAATCCTATCACAAACCAAGCACAACATCAGTCCAAACCCTGTAACGGGGCAAGTAGACAGGGTGCCTGTCATACTCCTGGTGGTGGTCTCGCCCATGTCTCATTGTCATTTGTTGAGCATGCTGATGCATTCTGGTACTGGAATGTGACACCAATGCAGGCTTACGGGCCACACAAGGGTTGTGGCATGCATATAGACCTCGGGTATCTATTTATACTCAACCCTTGCTTGAGGGCTGTCGAGGTGCCTCCTTGCAGGCGAATACTGTATTCGTAGATTGATTGATACTGGGCGTTGTTTTTGGGAAAGATCAATATTGTAGTCATCTTTAAAGAGAATTGGATTTGCGAGAATATCTACCTAGGTATACTGATATAAATCTCTTGCGCGAGATCTTCACGTCGTGATTGTATCACCCAAGAACTGCACTTTCAGCCACATGAATAAAGATGAAATTGCTGAAGCCAGTTCCAATTCTCCGGCTGACGGGGGTGTGGGTGCTTGTTCGTATTTCCTTTTTTTTCTTTCTTTCTTTCTCTCTTCTCCTAGTGTAGACATGCTAATCATATCTTGAATATCACACATAGGATAAGTCCCTCTCCGACGACATGGACCCGTTCGTCAAGCTCGTACGCAGGACCTAAACCCCATTAGAAGATATACACATGAACATATACACGTATCTATGAGAGCAAACACTAAAAATCCCCAGCAATCCCTAAATTGGATCCTCCGCCAAGCCCTAAAACACATAACCATCACCTTCACAATCACCGAGTCGGCAACAACAACAACCCCAGCGACAGAAGACATCCAACCATCCTCCCTCCAAGTGGATATCGTGCACACAGCCACCGGAGGAATCACCGGCACCACGGAGAAGCGCACCCTCGACTGGAAGCCGCACGTTCACCACGACTACGTTTATAAAACGCTTACCGTCCGGAGCCGCCTGGTTCGTGGCGAGGTGGACAGCGATGGGCGGGTCCGGCCGGTTGTGCAACTACACGGTGCGTACCGTGATGAAAGACGGGTGTATGAGTTTCTTAGGGGTAAGGTCTCCGCGGACGGCAAGGAGGGTGAAGGGTTCCTGATTGAGGAGCCGGGGTGTGTTCTTCTCGAGGATGGTCCAGCCTTGGGCTGCTGGGTGCATACTGTTTCGTGCAGTGAGGCGTCGGGGTGGATGGTGGAGCAGGTGAGTGTATTGATTTGGCTTCCTTGCTCGATTGTTGGGCTGTGTATGAAGTAACTGAGGCTTACTATCCGGGTGAATTCGCTAGATATGGGGATTTGAGATGATCGACGGGAAACGCTACCACACGCGTCGAGGTGTGGTCGCTGATCAACATGGCAATTTTGCTTTAGCGAGGGCCGTTTGTAGGTGGCAGGGTCCAGTGGGCGCTACTGGTGAATGAGAATCCGACGGCAACGTGGCTTGAGAAGGGGCGGATAGGTACCGTAGATGATATATATAATTAGGCGATACCGTGGGGGCAGAGAGATATTATACATGCATGGGGAAATGTTCAACAATGGCGGGGAAGAGTGCAACTTCCTCAAGTTCAGCAGTATTCCCGAGCTTCTATAGCTGCAAACGCACCGGCGGCATTCTATCCCGGCCCATGGCCAGTGCCAGAAGAGTGGCTAGGGCAGATATCGCCACCACTAGCATATACACGTCTCTTAGTCCAAGAAGATACGCACCCGACACGTGTGCCAGCGCCTGTGATCCGGAATCCCCGCCGACTAGAAGACCCGCGGCGAGAATCTGGTCCGAGCTCAGCTCGATACCCGGCATGGAGGTGAATTGCTGCTTGACCCGGCTCAGGAAGATCGCCTGCCCGACCTGCATGAAGATGGATGCTCCCAGGCACTTGGAGAAAAGCGTCGTGGCAGTCATGGTCGGCATGTCAGCGGGTGCAACAATCGCCTGGTTGTAGATGATGGGGACTTGTAGACAGGTGCCGATTCCCAACCCGGCCAGAATCTGGTACGGGATCCAGAATCGAGACTGGGCGGCAAGATCTAAGGTGTATAGCAGTCCGGCACCGACGCAGATTAGGATGCCACCCACCACCATGAACGGGGCAGGGTAGCCGGTGACGCCGAGAAGGATGGCCCCGAAGACTGCAACCACCCCGGCGGATATGACAAGCGGTAGGGTACGGATCCCTGATTCGGCGGCTGAGACGCCTTCCACCGCCTGGAAGTAGATCGGAATGTAGTAGAGGAGGGTGAAGAAGGCGCCAGCGGCCAGAAAGATAAAGGCTAAACTGATGCTCAAGGTCTTCTGGAGGAAGAAACCCCGGGGCACCATGGCTCGGTCATCTTGGTAGACCTCGTTGGCGAGAAATAGACCCGCCAGTAGGAGGAACCCGACCAGACATCCGATCACGTCTGGATGATCCCAGGACTGGCCGACGCCCCATTCTAGGGCTAGTAGGAAGCAGAGAAGCGACCCTGTGAGGAGGACCACCCCGGCGGGGTCGAGTTGTAGAAGTGCTTCTTTCCACGGGACCCTCGGGGGCGCCGCAAAGGACGGCGTGCGGAAGGCAAAGAGGACTAGAAGAAAGGTCCACCCTCCCACCGGGAGATTTATCCAAAAGCACCACCGCCAGGAGAGGTGGCTGGTGAACGCGCCGCCAACGACGGGTCCCACGAAGCTCGCCAGTAGAAAGGCAAGCCCGATGATGCCAATCAAAATCGGCCGTTTTCTGGGCGAAAAACAAACCCCAATCATAGTGAAGATACCTGAACCGATGCCGGAGCCGCCCACACCGGCGATAGCTCTCCCAACGATCAACGTGGGCGAGTTCTGGGAGACCGCGCATATCAGGCAGCCGACCTCAAACAAACCCAGGCTGACCAGATACACGAGCTTGAGGGGAAGGTATGCGTAGACTTTGCCCCACGGGGCTTGAGTGACGGCACTGCCCAGGAGGAACGAGGAGCCGTACCATCCTACCTCTGCAGTGGATTTGAAGTCATGCGTAATTTGAGGAACGGCGGTCGAGATGATGGTGGTGTCCAGAGAGACTAGGAACATGGTCACCGCCAGGGATAGCGTGATGATGTGCAGACGCAGACCACTCAGATACTCCTCCTCGGATGGAGGCCCGGGCGAAGGACTGTCTGGCGTAATGTCTGTACATGTTATGCTTTCGAACTTGCTCTCCGACTGGGATGTTAGGATGGCAGTTCGGCTTGAGCTTGGCATATCTTCGAGGTGCATCATTACACTGGGCAATTGGCTAGCCTCTCAATGTTGACCAAGACGAAGATGGGTATGGTTGAACGGCCTCAGATGATCGTCCTGTAGGCAAAGCGAATAAACCATATATACGAGGGAACACAAATGAGCAAGGAGGAGAGAGGAAGTTTGCACATGTTTCATCCAATCTGGAGGAAGATCTGCATTCTTCCACCCCTCTCCTGAGATAGAAAGTCATCAAGGGCGGGGCCGTAAGCAATACGAGTGACCAAGTGACCAGATATGCTGGCGGTACAAGCATTGCCGCACCATTTCCGGTACACGACCTTGCAGCACAGTTGAAAGGGGTATGTCAATGAAAGTACCCATCAGACAGTTACTGTGCTGCTACAGACCCCGTTTCTGCACCTCCCACGCCCTATGATGCCCACCAGGATGCTAATCGAGGAAGGCTCATGTTGATACCCACCGCCCTTGACCTCATCCAGACAATGGCGTGAGGTCAAAATGGATCGCAAGGAAGTGTTCGGAGATGAGGACCCACAGATTAGGAACCCCTTGCGTCGGCCAGCCCAAGCCTAGAATCTCCAACAGCGAACAGAAATAAAAAGCAAGAATGAAAGCGAGGGCATGGTAAGTAGTAAGGGATGTTTGCTAAACCTTGATAAACACAGCTTGTAAGCACTATTTGGTCAGTAGTTGCCTTACGATACACACTAGATTGAATGGTTACCAATTTGGATCCCACTGAACATGCTTGCAGCTGCATGAGACCTGCAGCATTGGTTGTATTATGACTCTACATCTTTAAACTCGTCTGAAACTGTAAGATTCCGAGAACAAGTTTTCCGGTGTGGATCATAGACCAGAGCTGCTCCTGTGGAGAAAGAACGGATCAGATTTCATGTATGTATTCAGCCACCCATACCCATGCATTGCGCTGGCGGTTTTGCTTTTTTGGCCGTCAGTGGAAAAAAAATGATCTCATGCTGAAGTGGCCGGGGTGTAACAGCTGAAAACAGTTCGCCATACCTCCAACCTCTCAGTCAACGGACATACGATACTCTTGCAAGATGCCACACCCTTCTGATGTCGAAGTGGAAGTTGAGGCTTCCAACGCTGCTCAACTGGCTGGCGCCTACGCCTTCCGCCAGGTACGCGATGGCGATCACTGGTATGGCGAGATGAAATCCAACGCCACCATCACATCCGAATATGTGTTCCTAGCCCAGGCCGTGGGAATAGACCTGGAGCCAGACCAAGAAGACCTCACCAAGTATCTGCTCTCAGAGCAGAATTCGGACGGATCCTGGAGCCTGGCGTTCGATTATCCCGGTGATGTCTCCACAACCACCGAGGCGTATTTCGCCCTGGCACTGCTTGGTGTGGATAAACAGAGTCCAGCGATGTGCGCCGGTCGCGACTTCGTTTTGCAGAAAGGAGGGATTGAAAAGGTGCGCGTGTTTACTCGCATGTTTCTGGCGGTTTTTGGGCTGTTCCCCTGGGCGGCCGTGCCAGAGCTGCCTGCAGAGTTGATCCTCCTACCCTCGTCCGCGCCTCTCAGCATATATAGGCTCGCGAGCTGGGCCCGGGGGACCGTGATACCGATGTTGGTCATCCGACACCACTGTCCAATATACGCGCTTCCGAATGGAAGGTCTGAAAGCAATAATTACTTGGACGAACTCTGGGTCAACCCCGACGACAAGATGGTCCCATACGCACCATCGCTGTCGACGTTACTGTGGCGCAGAGACATGACCGGTCTGGGATTCACGGTAGTCGATTACGTTTTGAAAGCCCTGAACGGCTTGCGATGGAGTCCCACTAGAAAAACCGCCCTCCAGACATGTGTCAGCTGGATCCTGGAGCGCCAGGAGCCTGAAGGCGACATGGGTGGCATATTTCCCCCGCTGCACGCTGCAATGTTTGCCCTCACGCTAGAAGGGTACGGCCTCGACTCTAGCCCTGTGCGCCGGGGAATTCACGCGCTCCAGAACACCTACGCCTGGAGAGACGGTAGTGGATTAAGAATGCAGGGCTGTATCTCGCCAGTCTGGGACACCATCCTGATGACTATTGGTCTAATCGACTCTGGCCTGCCACATCAAAGCTCTCATACGACAAAATCAATGCAATTCCTCAAAGCAAGACAGCAGCTGGGACCGGAGGGCGACTGGCGGGTCTATAACCCGAAACTCGCACCTGGCGGATTCAGCTTCGAATACTTCAATTCGTGGTATCCAGATATTGATGACACCGCGGCAGCAGTTGTAGCCATGGTGAAGCAAGATCCTGCCTTGTCAGACATGACCCCAATCCTCTCTGCCGTCCAGTGGATTCTGGGAATGCAAAACAGTGACGGCGGCTGGGGCGCATTTGACCTCAACAACAACTACTTGTTTCTGAACAAGATCCCATTCAGTGATATGGAAAGCTTCTGCGACCCTTCCACTGCCGACGTCACCGGCCGTGTGCTTGAATGTTTCGGATTATTGATTCAAAAGGCCTCTGCGCGATCCGGCACTGACAAACAGCCTGTTCCCATGGAGCTCAGCACCAGAATGGAGATCGCCACGAAGCGAGCCGTCAAGTTTCTTTCGAACGAACAAGAACTAGAGGGTCCCTGGTTCGGTCGCTGGGGGTCAAACTACATCTATGGTACCAGCACTGTCCTCTGTGCTTTGGTATACCATGTGGGGGATTGGGATTCGGATGAGTCTGGTACTGTGGACCGCAAGAAACACAGCAGCCGGGAAGTAAACATCCGCGCTGCCTTAAAATGGCTTCAATGGGCGCAGAACTCAGACGGTGGCTGGGGAGAGAGACTGGAGACGTATCGGGACCCCAGTCTAGCTGCGCAGGGCCCATCGACCGCATCACAGACTGCTTGGGCGCTGATGGGCCTCCTTGCTTATCTGCCAGCTACGGATCCCTCCATTCGACGAGGTATCCAGTATCTTGCGCGAACGCAGATCAAAGACGGCGATCGTTCGGGGTCTTGGAACGAACGCCATTATACAGGAACGGGGTTCCCCAACCACTTTTACCTGTGTTATACCCTTTACTCGCAATATTTCCCCATGATGGCCTTGGGGCGGTACTCGAGTCTGTGCGGTTTGCGCCCGCTTCAAGGCTCACGTCTATGAAAGACGATCAGCGAGCTGCGTAAATAAAGGAAAGTGGGAAGATGGTAGCCTAAGTTACCTGTTTTAACCCAAACAGGGTTTACTAAAAAAACAAATCAACAAATATATTGTCGCAATAAGATTACTCACGGAGCGCAAAAGTGATGATACCTTTCAGAGTAAACGGGCAACGCTCGGCAATGACGGAGACGCGGAGTCCCGTTAAAAACGGCCCCTCATTCCCCTCATTCCCCTCATCGCCAACCTGCCGTATTATTTTATAATACAGAAGGATCCTCCCTCCGCCCGAATCGTCTCCTTTCCCTTTTCTCTTCTTCTCCCCACACATTCGTCTCCCATTCACCATCTTAATATCTAATACAGCGACACTATGTCCGTCACAACGAAAGCCACAATCGCCTCTTTCGGCGGCAAATTGCTGAAACTCAGCCATGCCGCCAAATCCACCAAGTGCGAGATGAACTTCAACCTCTACCTGCCGCCGCAGGCCGCGACGCAGAAGGTCCCTGTGTTGATCTATCTGTCTGGATTGACTTGTACAGCCGACAACTGCTCCGAGAAGGGATTCTTCCAGCACGGTGCGAGCAAAAAGGGAATCGCAGTGCTGTACCCGGACACCAGCCCCAGTATGCGCCCATGACATCTACCTCGCGACAATTGCACGCGGACCCATACTAATGCGAGACTTCACCTTTAGGAGGACTGGAAGTTCCGGGGGAGAATGATGCGTGGGACTTTGGTACCGGCGCCGGCTTCTATGTCAATGCTACCAAGGCACCGTACGACAACGGATACAACATGTACAGCTATGTAACCGAGGAGTTGCCTCAAACTGTCTTTGCTGCTTTCTCGCAGCTGGATTCGAGCCGGGTTAGCATCACTGGCCACAGTATGGGTGGCCACGGTGCTCTTACTTTGGTATGTGTGACACACGGATATATAGGCCTTTTGGTCAGGTTCATGTTCGAAGAGGGATTGGACTAACCGCCCGTGAACAGTTCCTCCGTAACCCCGGCAAGTACAAGTCGGTGTCCGCCTTTGCGCCCATCTCCAACCCCATCAACTGCCCCTGGGGCCAGAAGGCATTCTCCGGATACCTGGGCGATGACCAGCAGAAGTGGAAGGAGCACGATGCGACCGAGCTCATCAAGCAGTGGAAGGGCCCGCTGGATGTACTCATCGATGTGGTATGTTCTCTTCTCACTGTTCCCATATCAGGGATTGAACTGACACAACTAGGGAACTGGCGACAACTTCTACAAGCAGGGCCAGCTTCTCCCCGAGAACCTGGAGAAGGCCGCCAAGGAGGCCGGCGTCGAGGGCGTCAAGGTCCGCTACCAGCCCGATTACGACCACAGTTACTTCACGATGGCGACCTTCTCGGATGACCACGTCGAGCATGCCGCCAAGTACCTTCTCCAATAGTGTGTTTCCGACCTTTCTTCTTCCTATCTCTTCTGAATGCTGTTTCCTGTAACCTGCCTATATTGATGTCGTGTCTCTATCAAGAGTCGAAATATTATATAACCCCTGCGAATCGCTTGTTGTGCGCATGTGTACTTTCTGTTGGCTTTTTCTGATAGTGGTTAAGCGATTGGCAGGCCAAATCAATGATATGAGGAATGAATATATACAAGGATCCTTAAGGGAGAAAATGTGAATGTGTAGGTAGACGAGACATTCCCCGTAGTCAGCATAGATACTAGCTCCAGGATAGTCTGCTAATGCGATTAATCCGACGTTTTCAAAAAGTATGCCCTCTCGACCGGAATATTTGAACAAAAGGTGCCAGTTCAGCCATTGTGTCACAGTGATTCGTGACGCGCTTTGTCTTGGGTGTCCCAAACAAGGACGCGCGAACAGGCTCATCTTGAACAAGACTGTCGGCATACGACGTCATGGAATATGCATAGCGACAGCCCATTAAGACAGCGGAACAGGGCAGGGGAAAAAGAGGCGTTCAGATATAAGATTCTGATTCGAGACAAGCCAAACCGCTGTTTGGTTTGCGATAGTACTTGCTGGTTCGGGTTTGTTTGCCACCGCTATGATCTGGTTTGGTTGCACGGAGGCGCGTCCAGGTAGTCTCGTGGGGTGTTTCTGAAGTCATGTTCTTCTTTATTTTTGAGATGCAAGTTTTGTCTGGGATACCTGATTTGCTACGCCACCTCCCCTGTCTAGAATCAGGACGAGGAGTCTGCACTCTCAATTTCCAGGAGAAACGATCCACTCCACCCCAGTGGCCTATGTAATCGACCCGCAGCGATCGAGAGATTGTTGTTGTTCAATCAGCCCTTTGGGCAGGATGTGACGTCAACATGCTGTTAACCGTTATGACACCCATGGCTTGGCAGCTGATGATGACACCAGGAAGTTAGTATTCGTTGCAGTCTTTGCCTTTCCTTTTACTTTCTTGTCCAGGACTATATATAGTGTATACTGACCGGAGGCAATCAATCTATTCCTGTGAAGAATGCCGCTCACGCGGTCTGTGATGAACCTTTTCTTATCCATATAAAAAACACGTTAGTTGCAATCACCTCAGCATACCAAGTACATTACGTAGAAGAGCCACAGTCATGGCCACGACGACCAAATCGGAACACCATCGCGACCTGATCCTCGTTTCCAACCGGCTGCCGCTGTCCGTGTCCAAAGAAAATGGAACCTACAAGACCAGTCTGTCCAGCGGGGGCTTGGTCACTGCGCTCTCGGGGCTCTCCAAATCTATGAATTTCCGGTGGATCGGCTGGCCTGGAATTAGCATTAAGGATGAGGAGGAGCAGAAGCAGGCGTCGCAGTCGCTGGCCGAAAACGGTGCCATGGGGATCTTCCTCGATGCGCAGTTGGCTCATGATCATTATAATGGGTTCTCGAGTATGTCTCCATTTGAGCATAAGGGACTGAATGGAAATTGAATAGATGAATGAATACATGCTGACAGGCCACAGACTCCATCCTTTGGCCAATAATGCACTACCAAACCGGGATAAACTTCAACGAAGAAGCCTGGACAGCCTACCAGCGCGTCAACGAGATCTTCGCCGACACAGTCGCCGCCGAAGCGAAATCCAACGACTTGATCTGGATCCACGACTACCACCTGCTACTGCTGCCGTCGCTGCTGCGCGAGCGTCTCGAGAAGCAGGGCAAACGCTGCGCGATCGGGTTCAGTCTGCACACGCCGTTCCCGGCGGAGGACTTCTGGAGGGGTCTTCCTGTGCACGCGGACTTGCTGCGCGGCGTGCTGGCGAGCGATGTGGTTGGGTTTCATACTTGCGAGTATCGGAGGAATTTTGTGGATGGGTGTGCGAGGAGCTTGTACGTTGTTTAAACCCTATTTTTCTATCTATCTGTTCTATGGCAAGTCTTGGCCCATCTGACAAGTTTTATCACAGAGACGCCACAGTAAAGGGTGAAGACCACGTCACATACGCCGGCCACGACACCTACGTGGGAACATTCATCGTGGGCATTGATCCGCAAAAATTCAGCGACTCGCGACTCGATCCATGCGTGCAGAAGCGGATCAAGACCCTTGAAGAAGAGTACAAGGGCAAGACGATCATCGTCGGGGTGGACAGGCTGGACCACACGAAAGGACTGGTGCAGAAGCTGGAAGGGTACGGGGGCTTCCTGAAGCAGCACCCTGAGCTAAGCAACAAGGTCACCCTGATCCAGGTGGCTATTCCGAGTCGCGAGGATGTCAAGGAGTATCAGGATCTTGCGGACGAGGTGAATACTCTTGTGGGGAGGATTGATGGGACTTATGGTGGGTTCTCTAGTGGTATTTTCTGGTGAGCAATGCACATGCTAATTGATTCAATAGCAACCCCCGACGGCACACCACTTGTCTACATGCACCGCTCCGTCTCATTCACAGAATTGACAGCTCTGTACTGCATTGCGGATATCTGCCTGCTGACCTCGCACCGGGACGGCATGAACCTCGTGGCGTCGGAGTACGTCGCATGCCAGGAAGACCGACACGGCGTGCTGGTCTTGTCGGAGCTGGCGGGGGCTGCGTCCTTCATGAAGACCGGGGGCATCATTTTCCATCCGTCGCGGGTGCGGGAGATGTCGGACGCGATCTATCAGGCCGTTACGATGGATGCAGAAGAGCGGGAGAGAAGACACAAGCAGTTGATTGAGTTTGTCACCACGCATACGAGGTGAGCTTCGTCCTGTCTTCCAGTCCTGTTTTGGTCCTGGCGGAGAGAAAGGTATAGCTGACTCGATACAGTGCGAAGTGGGGAGAGAGCTTCATCTGTGCTCTCGAGGAGCATGGACAGTGTTAAAACCACGTTCAAATAATTTATTGCATGGAGTTCGGTATCAAGCGCGTTTTCATAGCAGCCTCGTTAACAATCTGCATATCGGAAATCTATATTATTTTCACCATTGGCATAGGTATCATATCCAGTAGAATCCATAACACATAACATCCCAGACCATCTTCTATCTCCCCCTTTTATCCCATCCAAAGAACTAATAATCCTCCGAATCATCACTGAACCCACCATCGGCGAAATCCGCCGCCTCAGCCAGGTCCAAGTCCTCCATCTCCTCGTCCTCCTCATCGTCCTCGAAATCACCGTCTTCATCCGCGCCCATCTCATCGAACATCTCCTGGAACAGCTTCCTCATCGACTCCTCATGCCCATCCTTCAGCGCCATGCGCTCCAACAGCGCCTCCTTCGGCTTCCACATCGCATACCCCGCAATCTCCTCATCATCCTCCTCATCCTCACCATCCTTCTCCTCAATCGAAAGCGTATCAAAGAACGCATCCGACAACGTATTCGAAAAGTACGCCATCAACAGCGTCCCAACGCCCATAACATACTCCGCGGACAGCGACACAGCGCTCTCATCACGATCCAGCCTCCTCGCCAGCGCAACCGCATCGCCCGCCTTAAGCAAATCCACAAAGTCCTCCTGCGGCAGCGGCGCCTCGCCCGCACCGAATTGCACCAGCGCAAGTGTCTCGTCCCAATCCACGGTATGGCGCTCACAAAGCAGCGCAAGCAGCAAGCTCCAAGGACACTCATTCAGCAGCGCACCACCATTGCCCCACTCACCAGCCAACACACGCGCAAACGTCTCGCGCTCACCCTGCAGACGCGCCCAGAACGCCGTCCAGAACGCCCCATGCCACGGGTCCGCCGTGCTCGCGCTGGGATGCGCCCGCGCATCGGCCTTCACCTCCTCGGGCAGGAAGCGCTCGTACCGCGTGAACGTCCACATGTTGTACAGGGCGTCGAGCTCCTCGCCGAGCTTGGCCTTGGTCGCGAGGTCGAACGACAGCGTCGCGGTGGAGAGGTGCGCCGCTTCGAAGTCGCTGGCTTGGGAGGTGGCGGAGGCTTGGGCGGAGGCATCGCTGGTTCCGGTGGCTTTTTGCTCCCGCGCGAGGTCAACGAGCGTCTCGCAGGCGTCTTTGTAGCTGTAGAGGGCTTCGCGGGCGGGCTCGGAGGGGTTGAAGTGCGGGTTGGCTGTTAGGGAGTCGACGAAGCTGATTCTTTCTTTGATTTGTTTGGTGTTGGCGGTTGGGAGCGGGGTGAAGCCGTGGGGGGCGGCGAGGTAGCGGAGGGGGTCCATTTTATTGGGTTGGAAGTTATTCCTGTCTTTTCTCTCTTGATAACTTTTCTGGTCTGTCTTCTTTTGAAATATATAGATGAAGAACGGATGATAAAGAGAAGTAGTGAGGAAGGAGGGGTATGTCTACTCTGCCCAAAAAAGTTGAAGAAGTAATTTTTATCAGTGGAGTGAGGAAATCTCTTCCCGAAAAAACCGTCTAATCAGAGCGGACTGTATTAATTGGTGTTCTAATTAACACGGCAGGGTCGAATAAGGAGGCGTTGATCGTCATTTAGCGTGTTGGGTGTGGTGATCCGTTCTTGGCGGTGTTTTCATATTTATACTCTATGGGCTGCACATAGTCCATAGACATGGCAGAAGTGGGTATATTCACTAGGTTACTTATGAATCTATCTAGATTGCTAGGATGTCGTAGTCAATTATGATCTCGATATTAAACCTCGTGGGATATTGTTGCCTATTTACACCTATCATGGCAAGCCCTGCGTTGGCCCAAACGCCTTCTGCACCGATCCGTACCTATACCAGTTAGCCATTATCCACCGCAGTCTCGGAGAAAACTTACCCCTGCGTGCACTGACTCCCCAGCGCCATACTCCCACTCCGCATGTAGCAGATCTTAGCAGCCCGGCACTCAGCGGTCGTACACTCCGGGCTCTTCACACTCGACTTGCCCTGCAGTGTGTTATGCAGAGAGACCAGCTCCCCGTCCTTCTCCATCGCCTCCGTCACGCGGTGCCAGAACGTCGCGTTCAGCGGGGCGTCCGCGTCCCATTTCGCGTGCGCCCCGTACGTATCCCGCGTGGAGTACTCGAAGCGGAACACCGGCCCCGTGTCCGACAGGGACGAAAAGTCGGACACGTTGCTGAAGAAGGTGTACGCCTCGTAGATCTCGAAGTTGCCCGTGTCGACCTCGTACATGCGGAACCCGCTGTTCAGGTTTTCCAGCGGCGTGATGCTGGGCCCGATCCACCCGGTGGTGAGCGCCGTGTCGGCCGTCTGCGAGGTGCCGTTGTTGGCGTAGTAGACCATAAACTGGTCTTCGTGGCTGTGGCCGAAGAAGACGTTCGCGATGACGTGTGGCGAGTAGCGGTCGATGATCTGGTAGAAGAGGTCGGAGGGACTGGCGTGGAGGCTTGTACCGTCCCAGCCGCTTAGAACGTGGCCGATGATCCATACGCGCTCTCCGTTGTCTTCTGCTTGTTGGAGCTCGTCGATCATCCAGGCGAAGACGCCCGAGTGGTCTGGCTCGGCTGTGTTGATCAAATTGAGGTAGTTGTTTTTGTACCAGAAGTCTGTCCTTTGTCAGTTTTGATCCCCCGGCAGCTTTGGGGGTTGCGGAGCTCACCTGTGTTCCATGAAATAATGCGTAGTCCTTGCGGGGTTTTGGTGGAGTATCCTCCGTAGTGCGTGCGGGCTTCGTCGGCGGCTTCCCCGTTCAGCCATCCTTCATACTGCCACAGTCCAGCAACATGGTCGTAGTGCCAGCTCTGTTGCTCACCCAGTGGTCCCGGCATCTTATGTGGAGAATCTATATTCTCGGGGCTTGTGTCGTGATTGCCTAGCGCGGCAAACACCGGCCCCGAGATGTACGATTTCATCATCCTGAAGATACTGGTCTCGGTATACTGGACATATTCGCGATCGACCTGGCCGATGGGGCTGTCGTGCGACACCATATCTCCTGTGTATATCGAAAAGCCAAACCCCTCCTTACTCTTCCGTGTGCCCGTCAAAGGGCCGATTGCTTCCAGCGCAGCCAGCCCAAGATCATACGGCGTATCGCACAGAAATTCCCCGTAGGGCGAAGCAGGGAGGAGAACCTTATTCGGCGAAACCTCATTGTGCAAATTGGTGCGGCAGCACATGCCCGATTCCGATGAGCAGTCTGCCTCGGAGCCCACAGAATACCGCGGATCCAGGTGGATGTCGGATAGATGCAGCACCTTGACACGCTTGCCGCTAGCCGACGGAATGCGCGGATTCGCGGGTTTGGGTTTCGGGAACAGCTTGGTTGCGTCCAGCGGACTGGTCGAGGGTCGAGCACAGAAGGTTTTGTTCAAAGTATGACAGATGTAGTTACCATCTAGGCTGCTCACATCGGCAAGGGACAGCACCTGGGTCCAGACGGCCCCAAACGCTGCTGGGGCATAATCTTCCTCGCATTTGTCCTTGGATTCAAAATTCAACTCCGTGCACAGCGAGATCATGGCATTTGGGACCAGCAGTGGCGCGTACCAAGCGGCAGGCTGCGCGGCCGCCAGAGCTTCTCTGCATGTCCCGCAACTATTTGCTGCGGCGTCTTCATGGATGATACGGGTCACATTAGCTTTCACATCTTTGATCAATGCTTGCTGTTCCTGGTCTGTCAGATTGGCACGTGGTTCTGGGAACACGACAGGATTATGGTTCTTCGTCGGTATTGCATCAGGGTCTGTCAGGCTGAATGGGTATGTCTTGTGGAGCACGGGGTCGTCAATGATGGGCTGAGGCTCCTGGGTTGGCCGTGTAGGCAAGACATAGTAGGAGCTGGTCGTCGTTTAGTAACTCCGATCCAGTCATAACAACGTTGGGGGCGCTTACGAAAAAATGGAGGTAGGAAACCCCGGGGGCGCAACGAACGAGGCCTCTCCCGGTCCCGGAAAAGGTGAAGCTATTGTGGAATTGGCAGCCACCAGACTCAGGCCGCCAAGAAGCAATTGTGCCTTCATAATGCGGGGTCCTGGGGCACCCATGGTTTCCCGTCCCAGACTGACAGATTGTTGTAAAGCTCGACAGCTGAGAAATAAAAACTATCAAGTAGGGATTTTAGCAGTCCCCAGGTCTTAGTCAAACATGTGCTAGTGCCAACATGACAGATGAGGTGATTTCCCTCTGTTTTTGGATTTAATCTTGCTAGGGACGCAGTTATTTATTCCTCCAGGAACAAACAGCCGTCCCCTCAACGAGAAACTCTGGTTGTTGACGGGACGGGTTTCCCAACCCTAAAGGGGTTTAGTGATGCGGATACTAACGCCCTGCACGTGGGCGGATCCATTGGGAGAACCAGTGCCTGAGGATATCCCGCTCGTCCTTCCATGTTTTATATTGGGAGGTTATAATGGTTACATTCATAATGGTACTTATTGTTATTGAATGCCATGATGAAGAGCCAGGGGGGTTCTGGTTTGATTAAGCTCAAGTACTAAACTGGAAACAGCCATGACAACGTGCTTCTCAACCAAGTATCTCCCCAATCGTACTTCAAAACTCCCCCTTAATATTGATCACCAGATACCGTGTCCTGATAGGCTGGCCAAGACCTGATTCCAGTATTATCGGATCAAAGTTCCACCAACATACTAATGGCAGAGAGAGGAGTGGTAAGGCCTAAGCAGTGCCCTTTTCCTGGCCTCCCTTGGTCTTCTTAGAAGGAGTCCCGGGGGTGCCATTGTCCTTTCCATACTTGCGTTTGCTGGGGGTGCTTGGCTTGGGAGAGGTAGCGGCATCGCCATTGGCAGCACCGTCCTGCTCCTCGACCTGCTTCCTGAGCTTGTCAATCTGCTGCTGGACAGCACGCACGGAGCATTCTGCTGGAATGTTAGCGTGGGCATTTTTGCACCGACTGTGGCAAGGTGTACCCGGTCCCATGTATTCGGACAGCTCTTTGTAGTCCAGCTTCAGCTTGTGGTCTTTGATCTGGCTCAAAACTCCCAGGAAGAGCTGTCAGGGGGTAGTTAGCGATGGATGAACGCGCTTTGGAGTATGCGACGTTTGAATACCAACGACTGGCCGGTGGCCTCACTGTTGGCTGACGATAGTAGATGGCTGGGTTATTGGTACATACCTTGGCGTTACTGTCTCCGTTCCAAGTCATGCGCATGATGATGGTGTGTGGCGTTAAGATGGATGGAAATGAAGAAGTTTGGCAATACTGAGATGGGGTTTAGTATGTGGGTGGGCTATCTTAGAGGTACCAGGTGATGAGAATGTGAGGTGTAATGGTTCCAAATGGTGAGAAACTTCTGTTCAAAAGGTAAACAAAGATGTTATGAAGTCTCGGCGATATCGTGGAGTCTCGGCGTGCATGGTAATGATCTTCTCCAATATCCAATGCCCATTTCCCTCTCTGTGTAGCTGGCACTTTAGTTCAAAGTTGAATGTTTAGCATAAGGGTTTGTGAAAGGATGATCAACCCATTCCTCTAACAAGCACAATCGTTCCTCACTGAAAAATGACAAGCAATCCATTTGATGATCACTTTCGAAGGACAATCTTGCAGATTATGATTGAGATGCATATGGCCGACAGATACCTCATCTGGAGATATTGACCAGAAGATGCTATGCTCACTGTAAGTAGATTTCCCGTAAACAATTGTTTGTCTGAAATCTAACCTTAATACATTGTTCCTAGGAAGAACATAATTTGTGAGAAGTATTCTCTCAGTCCTCTCTCAGTTCTCCTTTCACTAGACGAATTCCAACAGTTTGATACAACATGATAACTGTCAACACCATGCGTCGCTTCGGTAATTTTCTTTAGACATATGAAGTCGACAGGGTGTTCCATTTGGAAGAAAGTATGGTGACTTTTTTTTCGAAAAAGGATGGTAAATCTCCGGACAGAGTGGAATCACGCCTTGGATTCCCAACGTATCGCCGTTATTGGAGATAGCGAGATGGAAGACACCTTGGTGGTTAAACTGAGATTGACACACCAGGAAAGCAATAGATGTGGGAAAATACACCATGAATCAATGTACCAAGGTTGGCATATATCCGCCTGTCCCTCTCTTATATGGGCGATAATGTCAAGCTGGGCATTCTATTGATGGCTGTTCCCTGCTACATGCCTCCAAGTGTAAATCACTGACATTATCAAATACAAAGGTCACCTACATCCAGATACACCGTGGTTGATTGTGTGATACTACATGTATTCTATTATAATTCGATCCTGTTCCCAGCTAAGAGACAATCCGGACGTTGCTGGAGTGAGTTTCGATAGGGATGCAAAACTCAACTGAACCATCTTATAATTTGAGCACTAAGGTGTTCTATACTAGGTGCTGCTGGGACTGAATCGGTGTCATGGAATATGATTTCTCTCCTGTGTTTGAGGCTAAGAGGCCAAGGACTATGAAAATTGACGTCCAGGCTTTATATAATCGTCTGGATGATCTTTTAATCGTGGTGGACACTTTAGTAATGGTCAATGTCGCATTGAGTCATTTTGCAAGTCAAGTTCATGGACTTTTTCATGTGTCGTAGAAAGAATTGGTCTAGCCTAGATAAGATGTTGAAATCAGAGAAGAATAAGGTTATTCGCGTCAGAGAACCCATAAAATACAAATTGACCTGGCAATCGAGAGGATTGGTGGAGTCATCAGTTACCCACTTGTGAATTGAGGAATCAAGGTAGTACTGTGCCTTGACCTTTTCTCTTCTCATCCATCAAGACGTTCTCATTGACAAGCATATCGAGTCTTATGTACCCACCAGGAAGTCTGGTCGCCCAACTGAGGGGCTCAATCTAGGGTCGACGAGGGGACAAAAGCCATCCGGCACCTGAGACAAGTGGATAGCTGCATACGTTCAATGATTTAGTGGTCTGACCCTCTAGAGATGTAAACCATGCAAGATTGAGACGATCCATGGTCGAGAATGAGATGTCGATCCAACGAAAAGCGGGGACGCTGCAGGGCTGCCGTTGCAATGGACACTGTCGTTGGCTCCTGGTGACGGCATCAGTGTTTCAAGCCGGATCGAGGCGGAAGCGATGGGTGGGTAAGACTCAAGGGGACGGATAGAGCAGGGGAATAGGCAATGCTGTGTCCGTTGGTAAAATAATTGAATCCTAGGTACAGGTGGATGCAGGTACAGGTTCTCACTATGTCGGCGCCAGTGATATTGTGTAGGGCCCAGTATCTGTTCTACTTATCCCACGATCGACGATAAAGGATTTGGCGGCTATTTGATATACAGAAAAAAATTCAATTAGTACACTAGCAGGAGTTCTAGCCAGCCTCATGGCATTCTGCAGACTCGAATGAATCTGGGTCGACTGCAGGAGTGGTGGACTCTTGTGCGGGTGGTGAGTGGTGATCTCACGAGTCCCGCACCGACGCATGACGTAGCAGACCAACTACCCACTTCAACACCATCCGTCATCATCGGGCTCCGGCCATTCCGTGCTTCAAATATACCTCTGTTCGCCTATGCTTTTCTTTCGCCGGCTTATAATTCCGGTCTTTCTCTCTTCCTTCTTCTTAATTCCTATCGTTGGTGATCTATCCTCTTGACAGCAACAGCTCCTGGTTTACCACCCCTTGTTACCCCACGACACACAAGTCTATCGTTACAGCAAACCCGCTGAATAATTCACCATGGGTATGAGAGGAATTCAGCTCGGCCTGCGGCTGTGGCAGGTATGTTCCATCCGCGATCATGAATCCCTGCGAAACCACATATCGCGAAATAATGGGGTGAGGGGTGTTCGAGGACTAATACGGTGCAGTTCATTTGGACCTTGCTCGTCATGGCCCTCATTGGTAACATGCTGAACGAATCCTTTGCTGGAGACCCCGCGACGGTCAACTACTGCATGTTCGTGTCGGCGTGGTCGATGTTCACACTACTCTACCTGGTCCCGGCGTCGTTCAATCTTGACTGGGCCTTGTCGCCTTTCCTCATGGTCGCTCTGGATTTGCTCAACGCGCTCTTCTTCTTGACTGCGGGTATTGCTCTGGCATCGCGGCTGGAGGCTCACAGCTGCAGCAACGAAGTAAGTCCTTTCTTACTATTTATACTCTTGACGTCCGAGGCGGGCAGGAAAGAGAGCGGATCGTCTTTAGATCTCTTGACCCACACAGACCCACTTGCTAATGATTGTCGATCATATAGGAATACACCCTCCACAACGAGATCACCAATGGCTCCTACAGCCGTCAGAAGCGCTGCCGTGAGGCCCAGGCTTCTACTGCATTCTTGTGGTTCGCATGGGCTGGATATACTGCCTCCTTCATCATGTCGTTCCTCATGGCCCGTCGGTCCAACACCAGCATGCGCGGCCGCACTGGTCCTGCCCGCGGCAGCGTTGGCCGCCCCAGCATGGCCCAGGTGTAAATTTGGTATCGTCCGGAACATCGTGAGTTTGGTACTGCAGCTTTGAAAGGGGACCAATTGAACTAATACAACTCATAAGGCTCAGTATATCGCTCATTTCCTGCACAAAGATTCTGAGAACAGGAATGCAGAATGCACCTAGTGGATAGCGTTGCAAGAAGAGTTACGATACCAAGTCTAATTAATCGTGTTCGGCGTCACGGTTGGGGATCATCTGCACTCCCCTCCTTAATATTTACGCCTTTTGTTTGGGATTTATGCAAGTATAATAGCCAACCCTCTCGGTGGCTTATTTCGTCTTATTGGATAATTAATAATCTTGATGTGGGAGTTTAGGAGGTAGCCCGGTTTGGGCGTCAAAATATACATGGGATGATGGTGTCGAAAGAATTCGACAGGGAAGGGATGGGTGGTCAATGGATGAGTTGTGATCTGTGTATTTCTTTTTCTTTTGCTCTATCACGTTGAATATTTTGTAATATTGGGTAAATCGAGGTTGTTCGTGATCTATTTTGTTCTATGATCTGTCATATCGAAAAGCCTGAATATATTTGCCTGAGGTATTGATTAAGTGCAACTAAGAATTAGTTATGCATGCATAACGGAAATCTTATGTAGCTAAAATTCACTACTTCCTAAGAATTGTGGGAGACCGGTAAAGCGATCAAAAGATGAATGATATGGGTGATTATCAAGGACTGCGAATAGTTGCAGGATTATTGAAACAAGAAGAGCCGAGATAACCATTTATGGGAGAAAACACCACAAGTCAGCTGACATGCTGGTCGATTGCATGTTTCACAATTGCCCAAGCATAAATAGTGCTGTCCCTGGTCACTGACCTGTCTGTCCGACGCGGGTCCGAATCTTCTTCTCCTATACAACTTTTTGGATCCCAGCCTCCCTTCTTCACCGGGTCGTCAATCCTCACGTTTTATATGATGGTTGCTTCCAAATGTCGTCCCAAATCATTCGTTACCGTAGGAAGGGTAATTAATCCAAATCTCTACAGAAAACCCCGTTGAACTAAAACCAAGAACTCCGTTCGATAATGAGCAGCAGTGTGCTACAACCAATATAAGGTGGGCTCTGATTCCAATGACAGAAATTATATACACTAATATTGTATGGAGCAGCATAAATAGCATTAACAAAACTTTGAAATGGATATATGTACCAACACTCTACGCTATATACGGCTCACCGGTGTATGCCTCACAAGTCTCATTTGAAATCAGCCATTTGAGGCCTCACCGTCACCATCCACGTCTTGCGGACTGCCTCGTTTGCCTTTCCAAAATATCTTCCAGAGCGGAAACTATGCCAATATTAGCTCCAATATGACTGAGACCAACGATCGACTATCTTACCTCCAGTTCAGATTGGCCTTGACGACATTGACAACTCCGAGGATGTACTCCTGGACTTCATAGTCGACTTCCTCGCCCCAGCTCGGTAGTTCTGCTAGAGCAAGGTACCAATCACGATAGCGAGAGACAAGCATGTTACCGACGTGGTTGAACGCCTTCTGTGCCGGCATGCCAGAGCTCCGGCATGTGGCTACCATGTTATGGGCGACACCCTCTTTCTGCGATTTTGTCAGTATTGAAGCCATAACCTCATTATGGTATGGTGCTCAAGACATACCTCTTCCTTGCAGTACGAGAGGATATCGTTTTGCCTGTGATCCGTGAGAAGTTGTTCATCTGGTGGAGGGGCTGAAGTACTGACAGCAACACCAGATCAATTCCGATCCGTTCAATTTCCTTGATACTCCTCGCCTCGAATACACAGTCTGGAAGGTTTAATTTGTGGGCATACCTAGGGAAATTATCAGCAGTTTTCATCCATTCAGATTATTTCTCAACATACTCCACTAGAGCAAAGAGAGGCGAGACTCCGGCAGACTGCCTTCTCAAGGCAAGCATCTCTTCCAGCGAAGGGGACCTTCCGGTGGAACAGGCACGGACTTGTTCAATGCTTCCATTGCAGTAGTCGGTCATTGTCTTTGCGAATCTGCGTCGGACCCCTGCTCTTGATTAGCCCGCATTCAAGAAGACTTCTGGTAGAAGTGGGATCAACGCCTACCTGCAGGAGAAGATGCTGCCATGCGGTCCCATACTGAGTTATGCACCCGGACGAGGGGATCCTCTTCATAGTGTGACTGCCCCTTGTCCTCCGCCATCCCTGCTAGTAATCTGTCCACCAACTCTTGGGCACGCACCGGGTCATCTTTCAGGCCCCCGTTGTCAAATTCTTCGGCATATTGTTAGCAAAGGCGTATGCACTCGGTCAGATTATACATACGATCATCAAATGGGAAAACCTGCATAGAGAAGTCAACGTAAGCACACCAAAACTTTAACCATCACGTTGCAACAGCGACACATACCCAGTTACCCCAGTCAATCACTGTTCGGAGCTCTTCTGGCGATGCGTGGGGGACTGCAATGGAGCAGAAATAGGCAAAGTCTGTCTTCCCCAAGACCCTTTCGGTTCTTTCGTCAAAAGAGCACACACTAATGAGAAGAAAGTCAATTATGTCCTGCGACAGCTATGGTCTGGTGTACAGAAGCTTACTTGCAGATCCATGCCTCACATTCCCGTCTCATAATATCATAATGTGGGTTGACTTTCGGAGCTCCAGACAGAAAGAGCACAAACATGTCTGGAAGGCGCACAGGAATAGAGGTATTTTGGCGTCCCAGTCTGGTACGAGGCCGGACCATCGGCTGAACAAGTTGAGTGACTGCCATGATTGAGTGATGTGTGTAAATTGGAAAGGCACTGGTGGTCTTTGAACAAAACTTGAGTGGTTAAGAACAGAGCAAAGCTTGGTTTGAAAGACTTGTGTCTGATGATGCCTCAAACTTCGAACGAATAAAAACGACCTTTTATAATATTTCTACCACTGCTCAGCCCCCGGCCTATCCTTGGGTCTTGGTGTGCAACGACATCGTCATCCATATCTAGATACATCTCGGTCGTCTTCGGTGATACAGCGTGACCCACGACAATACCGGATTGATAAACTAGATCAATCCTTTTGTCTTGGTATTTCTAGCGGCTGAAGCAAATATCGGGCAATTCGAAGAACGCCACAGCATTGATCATCGTTAGGTCGGACAATTTCCAGCATAATATGCACCGGATGAGCACACGAGGTTTGCATATCTCCCCATTGTCACATTGCGTCATGTCGGCTGTGGCGCAGGAGCTGAATCTTGTGAACTATTGATAATCGTTCGGTTCAATGGGGAAGGTGACTACGAAAATCCCGTATCCTGAGCCACGCGGACGCCCCATATATGCGGATGTCAAGTGGGGCCGAAAATGACCAGTATGTGCTGCCTTGAGATCCTAGCGTGAGATCTAGGGCGTCCCGAGATCTCGTTTCAGCTCGCATAACTAGTACTCATCGCTTGGATTTCCCGGCTGGTCTCTCCTAGGAGGGAAAAGTGGACGCGCTTAGCGCAGTGATGTGAGACTGATCCACGCCTGCAAGCCGAAGATCGATTCCAACCCCACCTTCGCATCAGTAAATATCGAAGGAATCGCTCTCCAGTTTCCCAAGTGAAAGATCTACGGGTCTGTGCAAACCCTCGCTAGCTTGCTGTGATGATGTATCGATCTACCGCATATGTGCCAACCTCTCCCGAACACCCCCGCAGCCATTGGTCATTTGTTCAAAATAATATATGCCTTTGGTAGCATGTGGCGCGGAAAGTTTGAACTGTAGCCTCGGAAAACCGGCAGTGCATCCGTACAGGGTCATTGTTCAGCTGATGCCATCCGATTTGAGAAATCAAAGTGGGCTGAAAATGAGGTCAGGGCAAAGAACTGCAAATCCCGGGCAAAAAGGATGCCTGATAATCTGCTAAATGGATTGGGGGGGCCAAGTCCCTCGTATCGCCGAGAGATGGCATGCCTTGTTTTTTTGAGTCAGACGTATATAATGGGAGTCATGGCCACAGGTGGCCTTATTCGAGCATGTACAAAGTTCCTTGGAAAACGACAGTCCCGTGGTCATTTCACCTACATCAGTCTTACTACGGCGTTTGAAATATGGAGGCTGTTCCGTACCATCCACAAACAGGGGAGAAGATCACTGCCTGGGGGTACTCGTTTACCTGGAGTGATGACCACCTCCCGAGGAAGGAAACTGAGCCATTGCGTCAGCAACATGATACGCTGGGAGCTGAGGCGCTGAAGAGGCTCCAAACCATACAAGCATCCCTGATGGAAGACAGCAAGGCCAAGGGAGTCCCCCCTTCGCCTGTTGATCTCTACGCCCTTCTTCGGGATCACCGCCAGAACGATGACATCCTCTCCCAGTTCTGGGAGGAGACGCATACGGTTCCTGACTGGGTGGACTGGGAGCAGCTTGCGCGTGCGCAGAAGTTCTTCTACCGATATGCCATAGCAAACATTGTTGGGTTCGCGCTACAAGGATTTGTCGCGGAAAACTCGGTAAGGATTCCTCCCTGGTCTGGTCTCGAAATAGCACTAACCCTGTACCAGGCCTCGCCTGGCGTTGTCGAGGTACTCGTGCGGACCGGCGGCTTCTCGACAAGGGCCCTTCTAGGACGCTTGTTGGAGACATTCCAATGGCTGATTCAGGTCACGAAGGATCTAGCGGCGATTCAGCCCGGAGGCGAAGGCCATGTCGCAACGATCCGTGTGAGGCTGCTCCACTCTTCGGTTCGCCAACGGATTCTCAAGCTGTGTCAGACCCGGCCGAATTACTTCGACACAGAGCAGTTTGGCATTCCAGTCAATACGCTAGATTCGGTCCATTCTATTAGCACGTTCAGCTGCAATCAGCTGTGGCTTCAACTTCCCAAGTTCGGCATCCAACCCTCCGAGCAGGAATGCGAGGACTACGTTGCTCTCTTTCGATATCTGGGCTATGTGATTGGCACACCCACTTCCTACTTTGAAACCTCTGCGCAGGCGAAGCTCGTGATGGAGAGTCTCCTCGTGCATGAGCTGCGCACGACGGAAACGTCCCGCGTGGTGCTCTACAATTTCATGGAGTGTGTGGGGAACCTGCCCCATCCATTCCATGTGTCCAAGCAGTTCATCGAGGCAGGCAGCCGGTGGATCAACGGTGACGAGCACTGTGACTCACTCAACCTGGGCAAACCATGGGTGCTCTACTACCTCGTGTTCCTGGGCCACTGCATCCTGGTTACGGGGCTTGCATGGGCGCAGCGCATAATCCCGGGAGTTGACGAAGCGATGATCAAGGTAAGGGATCCTTGACCCTGCATATGCCAGCAACGGCAATAACTAATTGGCGGCAGTTCTTCCGGTGGGCCATGTATCAAGGTGTGGTGATGCGCAAATCACGCACGCGCTTCAATTTCCAATACGTCCCGCAGATGGGCAAATGCACGGGACGAGAGAAACACACTGCCGACGGGGGCGATCTCGCGGGGCATAAGCCGTTATCACTCCGGTGGCCTGACTTTTCTGTCGTCACCAACATGGGATATTTCGAGATGGTGCTGCTATTCGTGACGATTGGTACGGGGGTTTCCCTAGCCTGGGGGCTGTGTGGAGCGTTGATAGCCTTGAAGACAAGGCTGGCGGCCTAACCATGCCGAACAACCACAACGGTTTTTGAACCGGCGGGGCAGGAATGACGAGTTTCAGCTAGCATGTACACCAATCAAGTATACCCCATTGTCACTTTTGCCACCCAGTAGTCTAGTCCCTCGATGAGGCTCCTCCTCGCCAAGAACCCTACTGATCGCCTAAAAACTGTCAAACAGCCGTTCGTTGATCATATGCAGGTCGCTAAAACAGTCACAACCCGGTATTGACCCTTAACCCTTCACCCTTGTCCCTCAGCCCTTGTGCCTCGCGACTAGGAGAACATTAGCATCGCGCCTAGATTTCCATTTACGACGCACCTGAATTTCCAATAAGAAACGGTTACCTACATCTACAGTCACACCGGCAGTTACGCCGATCCCGACCCGTCGATATCACACAATAGTATACGATAGTATACGATAGCTAGGATATTGCAGTATAGCAAGGATAAGACAGGCTAGCGACCCTCCACCAACCACTATCAATCGCGAATTCTAGCCCATCACGCATATCGTCGATTGTCACTAGGCAGCCTTAGGCGACCGCCCGTATTGTACATGGGCAGGATATCACACCCGGTTGATCCTCCCATCACGGGCTAACTAAGTGGTTAAGCGAGGTTTTTGGCCGGATAGTTTGCTACTATCTGCCTTCCTGCCTATATACTAACCTTGATCGGGATAAAGGCTGGCACATTCTACCTAGTTTATGGACGATGTTGTTTAGAACTGTTATCTCGTGGGTGGGTGCGGGGTACGTCACACGCAGGGGAGACAGGCTTCCTGATTTACCATGCTTTAGTTGTATCTGCTAGTTTTTATATAAAGTTAACTAGTTGATTACTTAGTCATTGATAAAGTCCTCCAAATAATGCCATTTATTTGAACAACCAGCCCATAAATAAATTCCCGTAACCTTCTTTCCAGGATGACTACAGTAAGGCAAGTGAGTAAGTATCAGGCCGCAGCAAGGCGGAGTCACCTGAGTGAGAATGAGGCTGCTTACATGCCTGAGGGTGAGTAAGTATGAGTAATTGTGTATTTGTATGTGTGTGTGGAGACACTTATATGATACGATATATGTGATTTCAGGGTTTCATCATTATGCATGCATTGTTGGTTGGATAATAAATTGTTTGTTGGATTTTAAATATAGGTACGTATTAGATGATGGGCTGCTGGGGGTGGGTGTCAGCCTTGTTGATAGGGGTGTTACCTATCTAGGTAGTAGGAGTGATGGCCCAGGCCTGGATTGTTTGTGGCTGGTGTAGAGGTGCTGATGCTGGGTGGTGTGAGTCAGGGGGTATAGTTATGTATTGTTGGGGGTTATGGGGTGGGTGGTTTTGTTTGAAATGCTCTTGGGGTGGGAAGTAGGGTATATGCTCGCGTATATTGTGCTGGTTAGTTGAGAGGACTGGTATCAGCTATGTGTATCGTAAGATTAGGAATCAAGAGAATGTGTAGCCTTTCATAGGAGGATTGTTCCAGTCATTGAGCTTTAATTCTGGTATGTATGTACTCTCAGAAGAAAGGACAAATTGCTATAGTCACCTCATCATGATGATAGCTACCTGGATAGAATATATGGGCTCTAGGTTAGAAAACCCCGGTCCTTTTGGCCCTTACCTGCGGGTACTGGTCCTATTCATCGTCCATTCTTTGAACCTGGCTACGCCGGATCGAAGTCTACGCCGCATAGTGTAGACCTCCAGTGGCACCTGAAGTGAAATACCAAGTAAACCTGTCGGTGGCTCCTTGCGACACCTCGACCCTCGACATCTATCCCGTCAATGACACGGACTTGCCAAATCGTTCATTGTCCCTGAACATTGGTATTGACCATCGCTGTACTCCGGTTGGACTTGGCTAATGGAAGCCTTACAACAGACGTAGCGAGCTACAAACAGCTCGGAAGCGTGTCTGGCTGTCCTGCATTACGATGCTACGCCGGTACCTTGAAGCTGAACCCAGGGTCGCGATGCGAGAAATCAACCCCGGAAACACATATCACGGCACCAAGATGGATCGCAGGTTTCTCAATACAAGCTCGTCAACGAGACGTCAAAATTGTCTTGATTGTAGAATCTGCCCTTGAATATAAGTCGAAACTCTCGAGTTTCTCCGTTCAATCGGGGTGGCGGGCCGGATCTTGGCAAGGAGCAAGCAGCAGGTCAAAACCAGGGCTGCGTTTCCCTAGACGATATCCTGCAACACATAGCGGAGGTATTCAGACTTTATCATTTTCAGCTGAAGGGCGATCGAAAAGCAGCGGTCCGCTGGTGGTCAGAGTATCGAGTGGCCCAATGGGTCTTGCCGCAACTCATCGTTGCCGACTTCGGGGTATGAGTCGAATATTCTCCATCGGAGACTGTAAGTCTGTCCCTCCAAGTAATTCGATCTCAGCTGGCAGATGATTCAGCTTGCCATACACATAGTCCAAAGGTTTGCATATTCCGGATGCAAGAACATCCCAGGACCCAGTGAGATTCACAATCGAGCTGACACGTGTCTAGGCAGGCCAGGGGATGAACGTATCCATGATGGATGCGTCCAATCTCATGGAAACTCGCATACTCCGTCTGGGGCCTGACGCCGTCCACAAGTCTAGATGGGTCAAATGAGATCCTGAGAACATATCATACGGAACGATTCTCCAACGTCCAGCAATTGATAGACTTTGATCAATACTGCTACAGCGTGATCCAGGCCGTCCAAAAAGAGAAAGGGCAGGCGGAGACGCTGAAAATATATTCTCCAATGACCTCGTCGAGGTCTATCGCCGGCTAAAGAGTTTCATCTGCGGCTACGGGGTGAGTATCCCGAGAGCAGCGTGTGCGGTATAGGGGCATTTCCACTGACGGCTGGGATCACAGTTCTGTTGTCCTCTGGCCCGGACGGAGACTGCTTAACGTCCAACTCAAGAGATATACAGATGAAGGTCGCTGTAATCTGCATGATGATACCATTGATCGACAGCTCCCGTTGTGTCTGGTTTTCCTTTGCGAATAATGTTGCTCCAGGTCTTCCCTCAAACAGCCGTTTCAAGATCCTCCTTTTTGCATCGACCAATCTCTTAGATCCCGACAGACAATCTGCGCACGCTCTGCGTCATGTTGCCTCGACGATCCTACCGAAATTGCCATACTCCACTATCCAGCAGGCAGTGGTATAGCCAGCGTTCCATGGGGGTTTGGATGGTAGTCTGTTCCCCATGCAATAAAGGAGCTCTATGAGATGCGATTCTATATTGGGACTGAAATCGATGATGTGTATGTGAGATACGGAGTGAATGCGAATCAAGGAGTCTGAGCTGTCGTCAGGCCCGATGAATACATTGGAAAGGTTGGGAGACTGGAGGAGATTGAAGGTGTAGAGGAGTATAGTCAGTGTATAGTCAGTGTCACGCGTGGATAAGCTTTTATTATATAGTTGGCCAGTCGGTCGCCAAGACTTGCGAGAAAATTGACACCTTGGACTCGATCGTTCTCTTTCTCGGAATAGGGCCTTTTCTTTCAATTGTTAGCATTATCAAAAACGATACCATCGATTGCACCCCGACTTAACCCCTATATCGTCCACTTCATCTGGTGAGCGGGGCCAATAAATGCGGGCGAATGAATAAGACCAGCGATTCCCCCGAATCATTAATTTCTCCCGCTCTCCTCATCGACCTCCGTCCACCCTCCGAACCCCTCAAAACAACCACTTGTCATAACTCACCCACCCCCTCTCAATCCACACAATGGCGATCCAGTGAGACCACCGGATGATTTCCGTGTGTTGTATGGAGCTGACAGTCCCCCTTTCAGATACTTGATTCTACTCTCCCGTCAGGGTAAAGTGGTGCGTTCTCGTGGCCCACCCGGCTTTGGACCCGCCCGCAAGCTCGCTTGAGACTGACTGGACACAAATTTTATCACAGCGTCTGGCCAAATGGTTCACCACTCTCTCTCCGAAGGAGAAGGCCAAGATTGTCAAGGATGTGACGCAGCTGGTTCTGTCCCGTCGCACCCGCATGTGCAACTTCCTCGAGTACAAAGGTACTAGCCTTCTCTTTGCATACCTTCAGCCCTCCCACGGCTTGTCACTAACAGTCTGACTTGATTCTTCCAGATAGCAAAGTCGTCTACCGTCGCTATGCCTCCCTCTTCTTCATCGCCGGGTGCGAATCCAACGACAACGAGCTGATCAACCTCGAAATCGTCCACCGATACGTCGAGCAGATGGACAAGTACTACGGCAACGTGTGCGAGCTGGACATCATCTTCAACTTCCAAAAGGCATACTTTATTCTGGATGAGCTATTGTTAGCGGGCGAGATGCAGGAGAGCAGCAAGAAGAATGTGCTTCGGTGCATCAGTCAGCAGGATAGCTTGGAAGACATGGAGGTGAGTTGATATTTCTTTACACTGCACGAGGGTACTACGATCCGGAAGATACACGGCATTACCTTCTTTGATGCCGCGTGGTCTTTTACGTCCGGTAGCCTTCAGCTGTACATGTGCCTGCCTTCCCCCCCGTTGGTCTTGTTCTTGGGCCCCCCCTGGATGACTGCACGCCCCACGATGACCCCTGCTTCTGCGCTGGACCTCACTCCTAATCCCTGGGCCGACACGATGACTCTCCTACCCGACCGTGGCTAACGATAACCCCACAGGTTGAGGAAGATGTGGTTACGAAGATCATGTAGGGTGTATTTCTACAGACCAGACGTGGCCAAGTGATTCTCCGGGTTTCCTTTGATCTTTAATATATTTATTGGGCATATTCGCTTTGTTGGTTGGACATGATTGAGGCGTTGGACGTACATAGGCGTTGATTCCCACCAGTCGACACCAGAGAGACTAATAATAACTTGTTGATTTGAACAAACCACGCGAAACAAAGAATTGGGCCGGATTGAATGACGTGGAGGGATGGAACCAAGGATGGAAGAGGAATGAATTGGATGCCCAGACTTCTCGTGAGGGAACTGCGTCATTTCACTGGTCCATTCCCACCCCACGTGACGGCCTCTCCGCCGGCCTCGTCCATCTCATGATGTCCCTCTCTCCCCCCGTGTCCACCCTCGATTCCCTCGATTCCCCGTCGTGTTCTACTTTCCATCACCTTTTTTTATCGGTTTATCGATGCCCATCGGCTGTGCCATGGCCTGGTTTCCCCTGACTCTTCCCTGTTAACCTTGACTGTCCCTTCATCACGTCACTCACCCAATCACCGCACCCTGACCGCCCACCCGCTGCTTATCGCCGATCGGCTACGTTGCAATCGACCACGAATCCAGCTTATCTTCCAGGATTAAAGCACTCCCCTTGCCTAGTTGTCGCGCGGAAGATATCTGTTTGACAATTAATCATTTCTCCGACCGTTGAATCGCTTCGTTGGAACCGGTATTTCTGGACCACGCGGGATCGCACTATTACGCAAGATGAAGGTCCGTTTGCGTCGCGCAAGACAGCGATGCCAGAATCCCCTCGACTATGTGCTTACCACTTTGAATATTACAGTTTCTTCCTTTGCCAGAGATCGAGGACGTGACGAGTTCGCTCAACTTCGACACCGCCGATTGTCACATCCTAGGGGGCTGCGACCTCTACACCACCAAGGCCGCTCGAGCCGATCGGAAACTGTACAAGAACATCGAACAATCACTCGAATCCCAATATGAATCGGTGCTGCGTCTGTCGGCATCGCTATCCCCGCCAAATGCGACCGACGCCGCCGCGTCGCTGAATTTATCACGTGCCAGTCCGTTCGGGCCCCTGAGTGAACACTCGAGTCGTCGGACATTTGCCTATCTGATCGCGACACTGAACGCGAGTCACCCGGATTACGACTTTTCCCACGTCTTGCGCCCGACGGACTTTCATCGCGAGCGAAATTTGAAGCGCGTGATGAACACGGTCGACACGACCCTATTCAACCTGCGACCGCGGGAAGCGATCGACGTGACCCCCCCGTCGCCCGGCACGATATCCGGTTCCTACAATGCAGAAGCGTCATCCACATGGGGACCAAGGATGTGGAGGATCATCGACGAGCAAATGTCGCTGAAAGAGTGTTCGATCTACTCCTACTCGCCGGACGAGGACCCGTCAGACGCGGACGATGGCGCGATCTGGAGTCTCCACTACTTCTTCTTCAACCGTCTACGAAAGCGCGTCAGCTACCTCTATCTCCGTGCCATCCCCATCCTAAGTCACACGCCGAGCGAAGGCCTCGCGACTCCCACGACGAAGCGGACGTTCGACGACGGATATCTCACGCCCGCCGACACGGGATCCAGCAAACGCGCCCGGTACTGGCTGGGAGACCAAGCCGAGCTCGAGCCGGAGACCGAAAGCGAAGAAGAGGACAACACGAGGCCAACGAGGCCGGTGGTTGACGAGTATGATAACTACATGCTCAGCGACGAGGAGTTCCGGTCCCGGTCCGGCAGCAAGGCAACTGTGCGCGCCATGAGCGAGGAAATTGCCGACTCAATGGACCTGTAACCAAGATCTTTTGATATCCCTTGTTTTGATTCATGTTTATACTTATTTCTGTTTCTTTTCTCTGCTTCTGCTCCGCTGTTGGCATTGCTTTGGGATTTCCTCCGTTCATGGCGTTTTTTGACATGCATTCAACCTGCATCGGCAAGGTCGGGGAGTTTCGGATCCCGGCACCGGGGAGAACAGGCACCTTCCCCCATATTAATATCAATATCAGGACGAGACGGGAACTTTGGGCCTGGATTTGACGATGATGACGATTGAGCGCTCCATACCCCTGCGAAATGGCGCGCTATAGTTACTGCGAGGAGACGTTGACGTTGTCCTTGTTCTGTTCTGTTCTTGCTTGTAACTTACTTTCCATGACAGTATTGAACATTATTCTTCCTTTTTTTCATTCTGGTTTATCTTAATACATCGTTATGGTCTTGCTGTCCCTCATGAGACCAAGTACAGCTAGGAGTCTGCTATTTTACATGGCACCGCGTCTCCTCCGGTCGTTTCTTTCAACAGCGTAGCTCTATCTGCCAAGGTTCGCAAGAGAACACATCGGATAGATTATTCTATTAATGAAAGCCGACACCCATGACGAGGCCAAGGCGCAGACCGAGGTTGAAGGGAGTAGCGGGACGCGTCTCCGTCAAGGAGACTATAGTCATTGTTTATTGAGTGTGTAATTTGGAGTTTTTAGTTGTATATTTTGTTTATTGAAGCATGGCTGAATGCTTTCACTTTCCATAAGGGTTAATAAGTATGTGATAAGAGATATATATAGTACATTGTATAATGCGGGGTGGATTGGACAGGGTCGGGACTTCCGGTCTGTCCTGCGTTGGGAAATTCGGTAGATTTCAACCATATTATCCTTCTTTTTAGTGAAGATATATTGATAAACAGGAGGTCTAAAGCTGAAGTATCATGTCAGTGTCGTTAGATCTCCTTCTGGCCTGGTGATATCACGCTGGTGATTCACGCCTCAGGCACCACTGCGATACGGGCAGGTGGTCCGTGCACGGGCGCAACAACTGGCCTGATAATGCTGCTGATCCATTCCACCTCCTCCTTCCTTCTGCCTTCCCACCCACCGACGCTCTCGTCTTTCCTGTCACACCACAATCGCGTGCTGATATTCAACATGGCTGACGAAGAAGAGCGCGTCAAGGCTGAGAAGCTGGCCGCCGCCAAAAAACGGGTACATCCATCCACCCCCCACGGAGCATAGCTAGCTGGATAGCACGCGCATACTAACCCATGACAACAGGTAGCGCAGCTTCAGAAGAAGAAGAAGGGCGGGAAGAAAGCTGGAGCTGCTTCTACCAGCGAAGCTCCGAAAGAAGCAGCCGAATCTACCGACCAGACCACCCCCGCTACGGAAGTCTCCACGCCTGCGGAGGAGGACAAGGACAAAGCGGATAGCAAGGCGGACGAGGCTGCGCCCAGCTCCGATCCCGCACCTCAAGATGACAGCCAACAATCACAGCCCGCGCCGCAGGCGGAGGAATCTCCTGTTGAACCGATGCCCGATGCTCCGACCGACGTGCCGACCTCCCCCTCTCCCGGCGCCGACCCCCAGCCCGCCTCCAAGTTAGAAGCTCCGTCGGGAGGCGCCCACGGCCGCCAGCCGTCACTGTCGATCCAGTCGAAGATGCGGTCGTCGTCGTTCCGGAAGAATTCGGTGTCGCAGGGTAGCAACAATAACAACTTGGCGCAGTCGCCGTCGACGACGATTAAGTCGCCCTCGCTGCCGCCGCTGTCTGCGGACGGGGACTCGGTGCACGAGGTGTATAAGAAGCAAGCGTCGCGTATCGAAGATCTTGAGAAGGATAATAAGCGGTTAGAGAAGGAATTGGAGGAAGCGTCGGGGCGGTGGCGCAAGACGGAGGAACAGCTTGAGGATCTGCGCGAGGCTAGCGTGGATGTCGCGGAGCTGAAGGATAAGCTGGCGAAGGCGGAACAGAAGGCTGGAGATGTAGAGGAGCTGGTAAGTGCTACGTACCCTTGTGTGCTACGTGTTTGAATCGGTCTAATGGAAATGTTATAGAAAGCAGAGATCGCGTCCCTTCAACGACAGAACTCCCACTTGCAGACCCGAACACACCGGAACAACGCGAGCGTGTCGTCCCCTGCGGCTTCCGAGTCGCCCCCGGCGGAGCTGACACAGCAGCTGGAGTCGAAGTCGGCCACCATCGAGGCTATGGAGCTGGAGATCTCGAACCTGCGCGCACAGCTGAGCTCTAGCAGCGCCCACGAGAGCCAGATCGCCGCGCTGGAGGAGAAACTGTCGGCCAGCGAGGCAGCGCTAGAGCGATCACAACGCGAGCTATCCGATACCAAGGCTGCGTTGACGCGGGCGTCCGAAAAAGCCGTCAAAGAAGGCGTCGACAAGACATCGACAGAGACGCTCATCAAGAGCCTCCAGCGCGAAGTCGAAGAACTAAAGAACGACAAGACCGAGTCCGAGAAGAAGCTCGACACGCTCGAAAAGAAACAACAAGCAATGACCAACCTACACAAGGAGACGGAGGCTCGCCACCAAGCGCGCCTGCGCGAAAGCGAAAAGACCGAAAAGGAGGCCGCCATGCAGCGCAAGCGGCTCGCCAGCGTCGAAAACGACAACCTCCGCCTCAAAGACGAGCTCGAGACCCTACGGAAGCGACACTCAGGAGCCTCCGGTGGCGGGGGCGCCGACGACGACGCCATCGACGAGCTCGAAGACGAAGAGCGCTCCCGCCTCCACCGCCGCATCCGCAGCCTCGAAGGCGAAGTCTTCGACCTCCGCCGCGGCGTCTGGCAAGAGAAACGCGAGGAACTGGCCGCCGCAGGCGGCGAGTACCCAGCGGAAGGCGCCCCCGACTATTCAGCATCATCCTCCAACGCCAACGCCAACGCCTTCGACGACGTCGACCTCATCGGCGGCAGCGGCGCCGAACACGCCCGCCGGCGCAGCATGGCCCAACAACAACGACACTCCTCCTTCTCCACCGTCCTCTCCAGCGGCCTCGCCGCCTTCACCGGCAGCAGCGGCGGGCCCACCAACCGCACCCGCACCCCCTCCCACCCACAACAACATCACGGCCACGGCCACGCCCCAGGCAGCCTCGAGCTCCTATCCGAAGAGAACTTCGACGACGAGTTCGACGAGGACGAGTTTGCGCGCGCGCAGGCCGAAGAAGAGGGCCGGAAGCGCGTGGCGTGGGTGCGCGAGATTAAGACCAAGCTGCGCGATTGGCAGGGGTGGAGGCTGGATTTGGTGGATAGTAGGGCAGGGGCTGAGGGGGCGGGGGTGGGCATGGGGGAGATGTTTGAGGTTTAACTTTGTCTCTTTCATTCTTGATCCCTTGTGAAATGAGATGGTTGATTAGATTAGACGAGATGAGATGAGATGAGATAATTTCCTCGCCCGTTTTTCTACTTCGTTTTCTACTGGAACTGGTATGAGGTGGTAGGTGGGAGGTATTGTGTATTCTATATATATATCCGGTCTAGGGAGACCTTTGATATTCACATTGAAGAGCTTCCAATAGTCGTCCTACTATAGACACTAAGTATGAAGTACATAACCACCAATAGTAATATATATGTAGTAAACATAGTAAAGAATACCCATAAAAATCAATTGTACAAAATATAAGTAAGTACCTGGTATGTAAACAGTAAACACCGAACAGACAAGCGAGCTAGCTAACCTACAGACCAAACAAAACCAACAAAGACAAGCGTTGTCAACTCAACCCTGAGGGTTAAGAGCAAATAAACTATCAGATAAGAACGAAAGAACTACTCCTCACTCTGATGAATCCTCCCATTCAACACCCCCTCACTAACACCACGCCTCTTCCTCCTAATCAACTCAACAAGCCACCCCGAAATCTGATACAGCCAGCCGCCAGTGACAACCACGCCAGACACGGTATTAACCAGTCTGATCAACAGCGAGAGAAAGCTCCCCCGCTCCTCACTGATGAGCAGCAGGATCGGCTCGATGTTATACTTGAAGAAGATGCCCGGGATGAAGAACGGGCTCTCGGGCAGCGGGGTCGCCTGGCTGGTTGCCGCGTACTGGTTCGTGAAGACGAGGTTGCGGGAGGAGCGGTGCGTGTCGGGCGAGGGGGCGGGATGGTGCTGAAGGTTGTGTCGACTGCGCGCGAGCCCTTGGAGTAGATTGTCGGCACGATGGAGAGGAAGTATTGGTATTTGTAGTAGTGGGATTCGGTGGAGGCAATGGTTTTGTCGAGCGGGTTGGCGATTGTTGGGTAGTGCGGGCCGAAAGAGAGTTCGTTGATGATGTGCGTGAAGTTGAATGCTGTTTTATCTTGACGTTAGCGGTGGTCTTGTTGACTTTGTGGTCTGGATATGATAGTGGGATAGAACGGTATGGAGGAAGTGAGGGAAAAGGGACATACTAGAATGATCCAAATGGCCCTGAAAGTCCCTATACCCATGTCCCCTCGCCGTAATTTGGAATTCCCCCTGCACCTTATTCCCCTCAAGACTGCCATAAATCCGGCACGAGTCCACCATATCCCCCCTCCGCAGCTTCGGACTCTTGGGAAACTTGCGGCGCGGATTATGCCTTACCTCACCGAGCACATGGCCCACATGAGTATCCGTCTCCTGCTCAAGCCGCCGCGCCTCGTCCTCCTGATTCAGCGTCTGGTACTCGTGGCTCCCGTCGGACAGCTCCTGGTTGCGCTTCTCCATCCACAGCTGCCAGGAGGTGGGCTCGCGCTTGAGCATCTCGCCGGCTAGGATGCGGTCGCCGGAGGCGTCTTGGATGTTGACGTGGATGGTGTCGCAGGGCATTTTGATGACGGTGTCGAAGTTGAGCTGCAGGTCGTGCGAGACGCCCTTTTCGACGCTGAAGTGGTGCGTCTCCGTGCCTTTTAGCCAGGTGCGGAATTCGGTCAGGGAGAAGAGCGTGCACACGGCGAGGATGAGGACGGTCCATTGGCCGCCGCGCCGGGTTGGGGTCGTGTAGGTTGCTTTGGTTTTGGCTGTGGTGTTTTTTGTTAATTTTCTTGCTTTTGCTTTATCTTTCTTTCTCTATATTCCTCTCTTTTAATAATTGAATGAATGTGTACGTACGAAAGGCATCGAATGTCTTCAGCCCGCCCTGCAACCCGGGCTTTTCCCCGAACGCATCCTCGTCCAGGTGATGTTTGGAATACCCATTCATTATGAGTTAGGGGTGCAGACGATTCACGACATGAATGAGAAAGACAAAAGACCACAGTTCCCTAATTGGCAGCTAAGAGGGAAGAAACGAGGGCGTCAGCTTGGGGGCGAAGGAGGTCGAGCGTCGGCGAGGCGGAGAGGCGCGCAAAGGCCAAGTAAGCCCGTTTGGGGCTCGCGTTATCGGGCCGCTTATCGGATGTGTTTGTTTAGTTTTCGACACTTTGGTTTCCTTTCTATACTGCGTACTAGGTTCCTTCTAGTCATGGTCATTATTTCAATTCTACCCTCTCTTCTAACTCAGTAACCCTGCAAACCACCATCCTCAAGAATGATAACGAAGGTCAAAAGAAAACAACACCGCTCCTCCAAAGTATATGCATCAAGGTCAAGCTCATATAACATCATCCACACCGTCATCGCCCACCACCGCTCATCAGACGGCATGGATATAGTGAGAAATAAATATACAGCGACTGCATCAAGGCCTCCAGTAGTTCATGGACCCCCGGATGCACATACAGTCTGATGGTCGTAAACGAAGGACATGAATGCAAAAGTCAACGAATCAACAAATCCCCGGTCATAACAATGCCACACGAGAGGCTGCAAGAACAGAAGACAAAGAAAAGACAAAAGAACAAAGAAACAAAGAAAACAGAACAGACCAAACAAACACATCAAGCAAAAGACGAGATGCTCAATTAGGGTATAATATCAACTCTCGTCTATCTCTCGTGTGCTCAATTTCCATCATGAGACCACGAGAAAGAAACAAAACAAAAGAAACAGAAAAAAAAAAAAACAAATGGAACAAGAAAAAAACCCCTCCGGTCTATGCAACAAAAGACACAACCGAATATTATTACATACGTGCAACAAAAAAGAATAGGGGAAAAAGATTACTGACGGAACCTGTCACATCATTTGGTCCTCTGAGTGACCAGTTAGTGACCTGTCCGCGGTCCTAAAGTTGCGCTGGTACTTACCAAGCTGGTGGCTGCCGCCGCCGTGGCGAGATCCGGCTTCCCACTGATGCTCCTCGCGGACACGCGAGGGAGTCCCGAGGCGGACCCCGGTGCAGTGGTGGTGTTCGTGCCTCGCCTGGCGGGCGTCGACGGTGGTAGCCCGCTCACCGTGGAGTGCCGCTTTCCAGTCTGGTGCCTGATAGGAGAGGTTCCCGACACATCGCGGCTGCGGATGAAGGAGCCACTCTTGAGGCCCGTTCCTGGTGGCTCAGGCAGAGGGCGGCTGGACGGCACCCGCCGGTTGGGCGAGTTGCTCATGGTGTAGGTCTTGGGCCGAGGCGGCAGTTTGACGCCTGTGATGAATTCGTGTTTCAGGGCATCGTGTGGCGTCAGGCGACGCGCAGGGTCCCACCGGAGACAGCGGGTCAGGAAATCCAGGAACGCGTCGTCGTCACACTTGAGAACTTGTCGTAGATCCTTGGAGCTGGGCCGTCGCCGCCGTCCCTTGGACGAGACCGTGATTCTGGGCTTGCCCATTGAGTCAAAGAAGAGCTTCTTGCGGGTGCTCTTCTCGATCAAATGCTTTTCCGGAGGACCGAACACCTCCATAATGCAAGCAAGCTGCTCCTGTTCGTTCTCTCCTGGGAAGATGGGATACCCAGTGAAGAGTTCCGCCAAGATGCAGCCGACACTCCACATGTCAATGGGCATCCCGTATGACATGCCCAGGATGACTTCGGGAGACCGGTAGAACCGACTCTGAATGTACGTGTAGACCTTCTCGTTCTCGAAGCAACTGGAACCAAAGTCGATGACCCTGATGGCAGAGCTCATGGGGTGTACAAGAAGGATATTCTCCGGCTTCAAGTCACAGTGGATGACCTTCTTGTGATGCAGAAGCACCAGTGTGCTGAGAATCTGTTTGGTGAACCGACGGATGAGCTTGACATTGAAGCCCTTGAAGTCGTGCGCCTTGGTGAATTCGTAGAGATTGATCCCCAGGAGCTCCGTGGAGATACAGAGATGCCCTCGGAAGTAGAAACTCTGCGTGAAGTTGACAACACTATGGCGGCGGTGGGGATCCCACTCCTTCAGCTTTTGAAGCAGGTTGACCTCAATCAAAGCTTGCTGGTGGAATCTCTTCTTGTTCCGAATTATCTTAATTGCCACCAAACCCCCGGTCTTGTGGTCGATACAGCGCACCACCTGGCCGAAGCTGCCCTTACCCAGAACATCGATAACTTGGTAGCGATAGGCGAGATGGTCGCCGATCACAATGTTGTAGTCGCCACGATCATCGTCATAACCAAAGTTGGCCGCCTGGGCATTCAAATCGCCGACGTGCTTCTTCGCATTTTTGGTCCCGCAAAAGTATATGTCCTTGAAATCGATGATCTCCCCGCGCTCAAAGATGTTCAGGCCAGCCATCCGGAGTGCCTGTGCCGGACTGACACGGTCTTTGGGGCTAGCCTTGCGGCGCAGGTCATCCAGCTCCCTGGCTGCAATCTCAGTGTCCTTCCGCCTACTCCCGAGTCGACGCATCTCCTCATCACCAGCCAAAATGTCAGGATCAATCTTGGGTTCAGGAGCAGAAGTTGGTGGTGCCGGGGTATTCGACTTCGCATTGCTGATGATTTTGTGTACCGGCGACAGGATCGACGCGCCCGGGCGATAGGCGACGTCACTGCCACCGGATTCGTTGGAGCGACTGGGTTCCAGTCCGAGACTGTTTTCACTGCCGACGCTGGGGTTTCTAAAGGAGGAGTTGGCTGTGCTCGATATAGAAGATTGCCGGCGGGACTTGAGATAGCCGGGTTTCAAAGTGGGGCTCGTATCCTTGACCGTGGTCAGATTGTTCCAGGTGGCTGAAGCTGGGAGCTTCGGGGGCGGCATGTGGTCATATTTGGTCGGATCCGTGTTGTTTTCTTGTTGTTCCTTGGAGTTGCTACGCTTGTTCAACGTGATCTTGTGGCGGAAGGACGAGCCAGAGACACTGTTGTTATCGGCATCTGATGGGGTTGATAATTGGCTGATCGTGTCAGCGCTCGAGATCGCAGAAGACTGAGTTTGCGGACGAGGCCCATTGGGCTTATATATCGGACCCGACTTGGGCGAGTGTTCACCGCTCGGCTTTTGGCGTATATAGCTATAATCACTGTTGTTTTTGGGTAGTGAATAGGCTAGGTAGGGTGACAGGGTCCGCGCCCCTCCGGTCGTGTGGTCAAACGACGCAAGCGCACTCGAGCTGCTGGCCGTCCTTAAGGACGGCCCCGAGGAGCTGACAATAAAATGAGACGTGCTGCTTCTGGCTTGGGTTTGCGGGACGCTGTAATCCTCATCGTGCACGGAGAAGAAATTCGCTTTGGAGGCCGTCAACGGGGTCGTCGGGGTCTTCGACATGATCTGACCAGATGGCGTGTGCGGCTTGGGTACTTCTTCCCGCTCCCGCAACGCTTCAATCTTAGATGTCATCGGCGTTCCCAGGGGAAGGAGGTTCAAGGGCGGCAGCTTCAGCGGCTGCAAGCTCCGTTTCCCATACTGAACGGACTGCCTCGGCTTCGCTTCTGGGGTTTTCATGGAGCTCTCATCCGAGGCGTCGGGCCTCAGGTACTTGGCGTTGTTGACCGCCAGATTGTGGTCAACATCAGGATCCAACTTGGACTTCAACAGTACATCCAATGGTAAACTGGATTTGCGCACCGGTTGGTCTGTCGGGGTCGGTTGGTCGCCATCGCCTCGGGGGGATTCGTAAGCCTTGGGGATGGCAGGCACGGGAGGTACATCCTCATTGGCAGTAGCTGTCTGCTCCACACGGGGTTTCGGAGTCGGGAGCCGAGAGGACGATTGGATTTGCGAGAGTCTGGCTTGGAGTGACCCGGACGAGTTCCGCGCGGAGTTGTAGCTCGTGTTTGAGGACACGGACAGACCCGAGCTGTAGGATTTCCGGTTCGGGTCGGGGGTCGTGCGGTTCGACGAGGGGGTCACACTTTTGCGGGGAATCTGGGATGGCGATGGAGCACTGGAGCGGGGTCGTATGGGTAGCGGATCGGCGTCGGTCGGAGGGGTATAGGGCATGGAATCAGCCGGAGCCGCGATGGACATCCGCCTCATCCGCCGGGCGTCGGTGGGACTGATCGTTCGTGCCCCAAGACCGGTTGCGTGCGGGGGCATGACCGACACTCGTTTCGACGACGAGGTGGGCGTGACCGCCCGAGGCGCCCCCGGTTTGGCCGGGGTCCGGACTGCATTGGTGGAGGATGGTCGAGAATGATCGACCGCAGGTCCCGGCGCAATCACGGGGTCGCGCGGGTCTCGCAATTGGGGCTGGAAGGACTTGGCCTTCATGTTCCGCACACTGGCTGGAACGCGGCTTCGCTCGTCTCGATCCGACTCGGGAAGCTGCGGTCGAGGCTGCAGAAAATTCGCCGGGTCGGTGCGGGTCTCGACGCTCGTCTTTCGGGACGATATACTCAGTCGCCTGGCAGCCGCAGGTGTCGGAAGGGGCCCTGTCCCGAGGGACTTGCGCGGGGCTCTGGTCCCGGTCAGGCCCGTCCCAAGTGTATGGACCAGGCTCTGTCGACGGCCCCGAGCAGCGGGGCCTTCCGTCGCCGCACTGCCCTGTGTCGAATCCGCCGAGGGCCCTTGGCCGGTGAAGCCCTTCCCGCGCACCGAATTACTCCTCGTTCGTCCCAGGCCAGTATTCTCGTTGGTCGGATTGGACCAGTGAGCGGCCCCGGTCCCCGGCATGGGGAAATGGTTGAGACTTGGTTCCTGCATGATACTATTGTGAAAGTCATCGAAACTGACGGGGGCCAGAAAGTCCGTGCTCTCAGGGGGGGTGTTGTTGTCCGTTTTGGCCAGGTTGCTCATGCTCGTCGAACGAAGACTGCTTTGGGTCGAATCGATAGAAGAATTGCCGGAGTGAAAAAACGAACCGGATTGATTACTAGGAGTTCCACATGCGTTAGAATTCGTATAGGAGGCGGTGAATCCATGAAAGAAGAAAAAGGGGGGGTGAGGTAAGGTGGAAATTGGCAATCGGTACCTCCGGCGAGACGGGTCCTGAGGCCGCGGGCCCTGGGGAGCCTTTTGATCTCGAATGGATAATCTTCTTTTACCCATGATTCCAATGCGAGTGCCGGATGAACTTTTGGCGGAGTGGGAGGACGTGTCGGAAAGCAAGGTGGTCGTAGAAGCATGTTTCTGCAATCGTCGCCGTGCGGAGCCTTCTATAAACCAGGCAAATTTGTTAATCTCCCGGATACGGGTCCCAATTTGCAGTGCATGAATCGGATGCTTACCTCCTGGGCTTGATTCTTCATTCCGGGATGGACTGGCCGGCCTGGACCGCGGGTTACGCGACTGGGCCATCCCCGAGGGTTGTTGGGAGGGTAACTTTTCCGGCATGCCCGATTTCCGACGGGTTTAGCACGGAACGGGAGAGATGGATGGTTAGAGAGTGAAAAAAAATGATAGAAGCAAAATCAATCCGAATCGCAAATGTTGTCAAAAGTCAAGGACGTCTCAGTGTATTAACAGGAGACAGCCTTGACCAACACCGTCGCACGACCCATGAATCGTCGTTACCGGTCCATTGCGGGGGATCCCAACCACAATCCGATATTCCAGGTCGTCGTCGAGAAACCTGGGAAAGGATTCTTGTAACCAGCGATGCTCTGGGTGTGTGTTGGGACTGACCGAACCGTCTGGAGAGGGGAGGGGTGGAGGAGGATGTTTATCACTCCGACGGGTGTTGTTGATGGTGCAAAAGAGGAAGAATCACTGGTGGTTGGCCTGGGGCAGCAGTTGCTGGGCTTGGCAGGGAAGGATGGGAGTGGATGCCTGAGGAACGGCCGGCCATACAATCAATGCGGAGATGCGGCAAGAACAACCACCACGATGAGGGAGAGGATTAACACAAGATCGGGTGGCTGAATGAAAATCACAGTCAATAGATCAAAAGAAAATGAAAGAGAAAGCGAAAACGAAAAATAGCACGATCGAAAGAGAGTGGAGTCCGACGAAATTAGTCAACCATATCTTTCAACAACTGACTAGTTAGTAGTTACTAGTGAGAGAGGGAGAACGATGTCAATCTTCCCCTGCTCCTTTTCTGATGGTCAGTTTCACTCTAACGGTTAGTCTGCTTTTTAGTCCCTGGTTTTCAGGCCATTAAGGGGACATTCTGCAAATGCTGCAAACATGGCCGGATTGGGATCAGATCCTGTCATTTTGGGTGTAATCACCTTACCAGACTTTCATCCATCATCCACGGTGTATGACCCCCAGCGGTGTATTGGGTATACCATACATAATACACCCTAGAACTCGGCTCTCCGCCTTCCAACGCATGTGCTTTTCGCCGGTCTGCCAACTACCGAAGGTCGCTTCTCTTCCCCTCTCCTTCACCTCCAGATCTTTCCCATCGACGCCTGGAAATGCCGTCGGTTTATCATCGATCTGGTGTGACTTCCATATTAGTCTGGTATCATGGATGAATATACCCCCGACGCTATCGTCAATCGGAACGAACCGGTTCCCGTGATCTCTGCGGGGAAGACCAAAGATGACGCAAAACCCCCCAAGTCCAAACGCAGCTCGCATACCAGGTCGGGGTCGCGGTCGCTGCAGGACAGGCTATTCACAAAGTATGTTCTCCTGCCGCTGTCTTACTTGAATGAAACGGAATGGACTGAACTGATTGGTTCAAGAATCCTAGAACAAGTCGTCCCCCCGGATGGAGCGGCTGGGTCGATCTCCGTCGAAGACAGACTGAACGCTGCAGACGCCAAGCGGCCTGCGTTCAGTCTCCCAGTAATGGGAAATAACTTTCGTCGATTCAACGCTAGGTAGGCTGGAGCGATAACGCGCCCACGGTTGAGAGACGGCATCGCTGATACCATGCAGAATTGGCGTCGTTTTCCACTTCCAAAACCAAGTCGAGCGCGTGCTGAACTGGAAGCACCCTTCCCACACATTCTCCTTCCTATTCGCCTACTCGTTGATATGTCTCGAACCACATCTGCTCGTGGTGCTCCCCATGATGGTCTTTTTACTGTTCGTCATGGTTCCCGCCTTCCTCGCTCGCCATCCTCCACCGCCGGCACCGTCGACGTCGAGCATCATGCCCTACTATTCCTTCCAGGGCCCCGCGCTGGCTCCCGCGAAAACCATCACACCGGCGTCCGAGACGTCCAAGGACTTCTTCCGGAACATGCGCGATCTGCAGAACAGTATGGCCGATTTCTCGGATGTGCATGATTCGCTGGTGTCGGTGTTTGCGCCGTTGACGAATTTCTCCAACGAGCGACTGTCGTCGGCCGTTTTCCTCATGGTGCTGTTTGCCACGATCGTGCTGTTTGCCGTGTCCGACCTAATGCCGTGGCGGGTTATCGCGCTCATCGGCGGCAACGTGGCCATCCTGTCCAAGCACCCGAGCCTTCAGGATCTCCTCGGGACCATTGCGTCGGATTTAACAAGCGAACGCTCCGACCGGGACCGGGCATTCCTTAGTGCCCATAAGGAGGCTCTAGAGGCCGCAGGTCTCTCGCTGGACTCTTTGCCGTCCGATCCGTCCGCCGCGATGTCGCTACTGGGATCCTTGGCCGACATCACGCTGGACACGTATCCGGAGGAGCGCGAGGTCGAGATCTTCGAGATCCAGTGGCGCTCCCTGGCGCCCTTCTCCGAGACGCCCTGGGAACATTTCGTCTTCAGTTCTCTGCCGTACGACCCGCTCTCACCATACCGTTTCGCCGGAGACCGGCCCAAGGGCTGCCGCTTCTTCGAAGACGTCCGACCGCCCCACGGGTGGGCCTGGAAGAGCAAAAAGTGGGAACTGGATCTAGACTGCCGGGAATGGGTCGTCGAACGGATGATCACCGGAGTCGGCTTTGAAGTTTCCGGCAGCAGTCCAGACGAGGGATCCTCGCCCGGCGACGAAATCGGCGGCTGGGTCTGGGATCTGCCGTCGGATGAGTCCCACCGGGAGGACACCGTCGTCGCAAAGGCGCTGGGCCACGAAACCTTCGACGCCGATTCCAAGCCCAGCTCCGACGACACCAAGGCGAAGCGCAAGGGGAAGGGCAGGGTCTCTCGCGATTTCGAGGAAAGGGGAGGAGCCGCGGCGCTCCAGATGGGCGAATGGCGTCGACGACGATGGGTCCGCATTGTACATAGAGTTAGCGTGCCCTCCGAAGCTAGCTAGCAGATTGGATATGACATTATTTTCAACATTTTCACTGCACCTGAAGACTTGCAACGCATTATAATTCTATACTTTATACGTAAGGAGAGGATCTAAACTTCCTCTGGACTTTTGAATCGGCTATTCTTATTTACAGCCTGGAAGGTTTTTGTTGATAGCGCTTGGCTGTGCCATGTTAAGTATCACTAAGCGCCGGGGACATGTAACTATTGGGCGATAGCCTGCAGGGGATTACTTATGTTTACAAATACATCCTCCATGAAACACTAAATATCTAAGGCGGCTAAGAATGCGCGTATATAGACGTCTCGGTGTCTTCTCGAACGAGACTATACCCAGCATCAAGATAACCGCGAAGTGGTTAAGTCTCGTCTCGAATCGATATAATGTCCTTCTACTATACTGTTCATACCTGACGAGCTTCCACACAAGCATATGCATACCTATATATACTACCTAACATAACACAATGTCCCAAGAACCACACAACCAAGTCCCCCCAACCTCACCACTCACAGTCACCAACCCCCTCCCCAACTCAGCCTACACAATCGGCTGGATCTGCGCCATCCACGTTGAATACGTAGCCGCACGAGCCTTCCTCGATGAAAAACACGGCCTCCCTACACATGTCGCCCCCAACAACAGCAGCGTCTACACGCTGGGCCGAATCGGCCCCCACAACGTTGCCATCGGGGTGTTAGCCGCAGGGGAGTACGGGATCGCGTCGGCGGCGAATGTCGCGCGCGACATGCTGAACAGCTTTCCGAATGTGCGGCTCGGGTTGATGGTGGGGATTGGTGGGGCGTGCCGAGTGAGAGGCATGATGTGCGGCTGGGGGATGTTGTTGTTAGTGTTCCTTGTGAGGGGGTGGGTGGGGTGTTGCAGTATGACTACGGGAAAGCGGAGCAACGCGAGGACGGTTGGACGACGAGGTTCTTGAATTTGCCGCCGGTTGTTCTGCGCGGTGCTGTGATGGACCTTGCGGCGCGGTATGAGGAGGAGGGTAATGGGTTGGAGGATGCTGTTGATGATGTTTTGGGGAGGATGCCGAGGCTGAGGAAGGGGTTTCAGCGTCCGGGGAGGGGCAGTGATAGGCTTTATCGGAGTGGGTTTGTACATCCTTCGGATGGTGGTGGGTTAGGCTGTGCGGAGGCTTGTGTTGAGGATCCGTCAAATCTTGTATGGAGGCCTGAAAGGGATGAAGAGGGTGAGAATCTGGAGATACACTACGGGATGATAGCCTCTGCAGACCGGCCGATGAGGGACGCTCGTGTGCGGGACAAGCTTGCCGCAGAGAATGATATTCTTTGCTTTGATGCATCGACTGGGGGGCTTATGAATTACTTTCCATGTCTGGTTATCCGCGGTATATGCGACTATTCGGATTCGCATGAGAGTTCGGAATGGGAGGGGTTTGCGGCGATGGCGGCTGCGGCATATGGGAAGGATCTTCTCTGTCGAATTCCAGCAAGTCGAGTTGAGGCTGAGAAGAAGCTCGCTGATATCCTCTCCGGTCAGTACAAGGTCACTGTCTGTGGAATTGCAGTCACTGATTTAGGCAGGTGTGCACGAAAACGTTGGAAGAATCCTCGACAGACAACACGATCAAGACCGTGAGACAATCTTGAAGTGGCTCGCTCCAACCGAAGGCCTTGAGTTTTCTTTCAAGCAGAACGAATATGTAAATCTTCGGACGCACAGGACTGGTGAATGGTTTCTAAAGACGCCGGAGTTTCAGACATGGATGAGAAATGACTACCAGACCTTATTTTGTCCTGGTATCCCCGGGGCTGGGAAGACACTGATGACATCTATTGTCGTCGACCATCTGGAGAAACACTACGACAACGCCAATATTGCGTACGTCTACTGCAGCTTTGGATCACAGGATCAAACACCAGAGGGCCTTCTCGGCAGTATCGTGAAGCAGTTGGTTCGGAAACAGTCCTCAATTCCTGATATTGTCAAGGATCTATACGGTCGACATAAAGATAGGAATTCACGGCCTGGGCTTAAGGCTCTTTTAGAGACTATAAACTCTATCATCCCTTCCGATTCAAGGACATTCATCATCGTCGATGCGTTAGACGAATGTCAAAACCACAACCGGTGCCGAGACAGCTTTCTGTCGGCAATATTTGCTGCTCAAGCCAGGACAAGGCTGAACTTCTTCGCAACGTCAAGGCCTCAGGGGGTGGAGGCTGGATTTCGCGAGAGCATCGTGCGAGAAATTGTCTCTACGGAGCGTGACCTGACAATATACCTAGACAACAGGATATCGTCATGGGAAAAAGTACACGGAACAGACTTAGACAGTCTTCGGACCACGATCAAAACGGAAATTATCAAGGCAGCTGACGGAATGTGAGTTGGGTGTCTACATTAACATCTACATATCGCTAAATGCCAGTTATAGATTTCTACTCGCTGTCCTCGATATGAATGCACTTTACAGCCTGGAAACAAAAGGAGAGATCCGAGACGCTTTGAGGAACGCTTACAGAAGAGGAAACAGACTACACGAAGCTTACGGGCAAACGATGGAAAGAATCCAAAGTCAGGGAGAAAGCCCGAAACGACTCGCCATGAGGACTCTGGCATGGGTCCTTCATGCCAGACGTCTACTATCCGCGGCAGAACTCCGGTACGCTCTCGCTTTGAATGCAGAGCTAACGGAGGGCGAGTTTGCGAGTTACCTTCCCAATATCAGAAGGGTTCTATCTCTGTGCGCCGGGCTAGTGAGGCTCGACGAGACGAGCAAGACTATCAACTTCGTCCACAAGTCGACGCGAGAATACTTCGAGGCCACCAGGGGGACTTGGCTCCAAAATGCGGAACTCACGATCTCGAGGGTCTGCGCTGCCTATCTCTCATTTGGCGCCTTCAGGAGCGGGTGCTGCCAGACAGACGACGACTTTGAAGAGAGACTGCGGACACACCCGTTCTATACCTATGCAGCAACCTACTGGGGCCATCATGCTTCCGAGTCTGCGACGTTATGCCCGGAAGTTATAAACTTCCTCGAGTGCGAGACGGCAGTCCAAGCATCGACCCAGGCACTCCTGGCTATTAAGTGTTACCCACGGAGTCCCCAGTACAGCCAGGAATTCCCGAGAGAGATGACTGGCCTTCATTTGGCGGCGTACTTCGGGGTTGAGGGAGCGGTCAAACATTTCCTCCAAAAAGGAATTGCGGTCGATGCGAAGGACACTGACGGCCATACGCCGCTGTCGTATGCTGCGAGGAACGGGCACGTATCCGTCGTCCAGATTCTGCTCGCATCAGAGAAGGCGAAACCAGATATGGAAGACAGAAGTGGCTAGCGGGCACACGACCTCTATCAGCTTACTAGCTTTGTTGTCCAGTCGCGCCAGGATGTGTAGTTAGAGATATATTTTGAAGCCTGAGAATGTCCCGGCACCTAGTTGTTTTCGTGAAACAATATATAGATGATTGTGTATGACCGGCCTTGAAATGTACAAACCTAGATCAAGATAGAAAAAAATAAAAAGAACATAAAAATAAAAGTGCTTAAACAATATACTAGTTCATCTAATACCCAATACCAGGAGTATTTCGATATCGATAGAGGAGATGGAAATTGACACATTCTGTCGTTCTGCAGGATGCGGTCGTGGACGGAGACGGAAGTTTAGCGCCCCAGCCTCCCCGCCATCAAGCAAGGTACCCTGGAGTATCATTCAACGTCATGTCTCTCTCTTGACATGCCTCAATCTGCCATCCCAATTGGCAAATTCAAGTGTCCTCATGTTCTTGGACCAGCAAAATGACTCTCTCACCTCTTGCTCTCCGATATGGGTACGTTTACAATAAAGAATAATCGCAATTGATCACATATGACCGTGCTAATTGTTGTAGGACTCGGCCCACGCACGGCCGTCCCCATGTGCCATGCCGTACTTTGCCACTATCCCTGCCATCATCATCTCACTGCTAGTGGTCAGACATCTGCTGGGTCGCATTTCGATGATAGCTCGTCCAACATGGATGAAGCCGTTTGTTTTGGAGCAGCCTCTGTGCCCTGAATTGCCGGTAGAGCAGACCAAACAGCGGATGGGCTGGGTGATCATCCTCTTCGCCATCGCTGTTGTGGGCGTCGCGGCAGAGGTGGCTAAGCTGGTTCCATCAAGTACAGATTTTGCAGGCTATGCGCTTCTTGTATCTTGGGTACGTGCCATTTTCTTACACCGGAGTACATTCTAATCAATCATAGGCTTTGGCTGCGCTTCTTGTGATAGTTGAAAGACCAAGGTCTTGTCCGACATCCCTACTGGCGTATTTTCTGGGGGTCTTCATAGTTGAGGTTGCATATTTACTGAATTACCATGCCTATGCTACGACAAGGCTTGGTGCGTATTACACTTCCGCGGGCACCGCCTTAGCAGCCTGCGGAATCATCCTAATAATGCCTATGCGGGCACCCTCGCTTGCATGTCTGGATATTGGCGTTGTCGGACATACACCATCGAGCGACTACAGAAGCCCCGAAGACAACCTGCGTCTGTGGCAATTCCTAACGGTATCGTGGATGTCGCCTCTGATGTCACTGGGCAAGAAGAGACAGCTGCACGAAGAGGACATTTGGTCCCTCGGGTTCGAGTTTCAGCATCGGCGACTGCACGATTACTTTCGGATTCTGAAAGGCTCCGTTATCAGCCGGTTACTTCAGGCAAATGGGCTCGATGTTATGATAACTGCTTCAATCGCAATCGTGCAGATGCTATGCGGTATGGCTTTCGGTCTTGTGATTGGGACTGTTGCTGACTTACCCTAGGGTTTTCGACGCCTGTGCTGTTACAGCAACTGTTGAAGTCCATGGAAAATACGGCTTTACCGAAACGTATTGCTCTGACTTATGCCGTGCTGTGGATGGTGATCCGTTTGGTAGCAGCGCAGGCCCAGGTTCTCTTCCTGTGGTATTCGAGACGATGCTACGAACGGAGTAGGGGGGAGATGGTCATGATGATTTATGAAAAGGCGTTATCTAGAAAGAATGTGTTTGATCAACAGACCTTGGAGAAGAGAGAGGAAGAGGAAGATCCTGACCAAGAGGCTCAAGCTTCCGAAGAGGAACAGTCCAATGACCAACAGAGAAAGATATGTGGGTTATTTCCCGTACGGCAAAAGGAGAAAAAGAAGAAGCCAAAGACAGCCGCATCCATGGGAAAAATATTCAACTTGCTTCGTGGGGACGCTTATGAGGTAGCACAGCGGTTCTGGGAAGTGGATAGTTTGATCGACAAACCACTGGGGCTCGTTATAGCTACCGTGCTTGTCTGGAAGCTGCTTGGGCCTTCATGCTTTCTTGGGATTCTTGCGATCCTGGTAGCCCAGGTCTTGAATGCAGTCATCACGCGGACGTTGCTCCGATGGGAACGCATCCGAAGACTAGCCACTGATAACAGGCTCCAGATATCCTCGCAATTCATCGAAGCCCTTCGGCACCTTCGTTGGTATGGGTGGCAAAACCACTGGCTTCGTCAAGTGATGGAAGCCCGGCAGACTGAGTTGAATTTGCGTATCATGACCAGCTTGTGGGGCGTGTTGATTCGGTTCGTCAATGCATTTGCGAGCGGTCTCTTCCCTGTTCTGGCGTTATATGCGTATACGCTACTGGCGGGCAATCCACTGCGGATCGATATCATCTTCCCTGCGCTGCAGCTGTTCACCATGCTGGAAACACGTCTCAGGGACATTCCAGGGCTGATAACTGTCCTTATCAACGCGTCTATTGCCATGGAAAGAATTGAGGACTTCATGACAGAACCGGACAAAGAGACAACGGCACCTGTAGCGGATCGAAGAGCCCCACTTACGTTGGATTCGTGCTCATTTGCCTGGCCTGGCACGTCCTCTCCTGTCCTCTCTGATATCAGCCTACATATATCAGAAGGCCTCACAGTCATATGTGGCAAGGTGGGCGTCGGAAAAACGGCGCTGTTACAGGCCTTATTGGGTGAGCTTGACAGACTCGTCGGGTTCTCAGATATACCAAACGAGATGATAGGCTATTGTGCCCAGACTCCGTGGCTACAAAGCATGAGCATCCGCGACAACATTCTGTTTTCCGCTGCATACGACGAGCAGCGCTACAAAAGTGTCCTCGACGCTTGCGCTCTGCTCCCGGACATGGCAAATTTCAAACACGGTGACCTATCGTTTGTTGGGGAAAACGGGATTGGTCTCTCGGGTGGCCAGAAAGCGCGTGTGGCTTTGGCGAGAGCCGTCTATAGTAGTGCGAGGATTATGTTTCTCGACGATCCCTTGTCTGCGCTGGACCATAATACTGCAGAGGACGTTGTTCGCAAATGCTTGTGTGGGCCGCTGATGAAAGGTCGGATCGTCGTGCTTGTGACACATCGTACCCATCTTGTTGGACATGTCGCGGATCAGATCATCCATATACGGGATGGTCGAGCTACTACAGAGCATCGACAGACTCATGTTCTGGAAGATGGAGAGTCCACCGAATTCCCACGGAGCGGAGTCGTAGACGTTGCGCCTGAAGCTGGGACCGAGTCTCAGGACGACGCTGCCGTGCCGGAGAAATTCATTGAAGAAGAAACCCGAGCAGAATGGGGCGTTCAAGCCAAGGTGTACTGGACCTACATAAAAGCCGGAAAGTACAAATGGTGGATTAGCCTTGTTATCATTCTCACGATATACCGTCTCGCCTCGATCGGCCAGTCCTGGTTCTTGAAGGAGTGGGGAGAAGCTTACAATGAGCTTCTCTTGCTCGTGGGATCCCTCGCCTCCAGAGGAAAGACACTGGCAACCAACTGGATGAGCCTACCGATCTTACCGTCAGGACTTAGTTGGCCGCCGTCCAACCCTATGGACGGCTTCCCTCCGCCGATGGAGAATGTCAAGCCATGGCTGTGGGCGTTCTTTGCTATCACCACCTTCCAATCCTTCATGCTGCTCATCGGGCAACTCATGATGCTCGTTATTGTGTACTGTGCTGGGAAATCCCTGTTCCAGCAGGTAATGGTGCAAGTCAGCCACGCGACATTCCGATTTTTCGACACGACTCCAATTGGGCGTTTGATGAATCGGCTCACATCTGATATTGGGGTAGTGGACGGGAATATCAGCCAACAGTTCCAGGTCATCGCCTTCCAAGCGATCACATGGATATCCTCAATTGTTGTGATCGCATCAGTCACGCCTTACTTCCTGGCATTTTCTCTCGTTTTGACAGCCGCGTTCATCCTGACCTTCCTCCGCTTCCTGCCCACGTCACAGAGCCTGCGTCGACTGGAAATGGTCTCGCTCAGCCCACTGATTTCCAACTTCGGCGAGCTTCTCCACGGCCTGACAACCGTGCGGGCATTCCACGCAGAAGAGCGATTCCAGAACCGCATAATCGCCGTAGTCGACAGATTCCAAGGCATGGACCACTTCTACTGGTCGCTACAAAGCTGGCTAATGTACCGCTTCGAAAGCCTCTCAGCGCTTTCCACCTTCTGCCTGACCGTTCTCGCACTGTACACGCGCGTATCGCCCGGCCTCGCAGCCTTCGTCCTAATAGCGGCCAGCAACTTCGTCGAAGCGACCCACGGCCTCTGCAAAGAGTACGGCCAGCTGCAAATGGACTTTGTATCCGTCGAACGAGTCGACGAGCTCCTTCACGTCGAGCAAGAAGACCCCGGCACCATCGACCCCCCCGCCTCATGGCCCAAGTTCGGCCGGGAGATCGTGTTTGAAAACGCCACGATCCGCTACGCGCCGCACCTCGACCCCTCCCTCACCGACATCAGCCTCCGCATCCCCGGGGGTTCCACAACTGCCGTAATCGGACGCACAGGAAGCGGAAAATCCACGCTCGCAGTATCCCTCCTTAGCGTCATCCGCCCAGAGTCCGGACGAATCCTCATCGACGGGCTCGACATCAGCCAAGTGGACACGCAAGCCCTCCGCAAACGGGTGACGTTCGTCGCGCAAGACCCAGTCCTCTTCCCAGGCAGCATCAGATTAAATCTGGACCCAACGGGCGAGTTCTCCGACGCAGAGTGCGCGGACGTCCTGGGCCGTATCTGCGGTCGACACGGGTGGACGCTCGAGACGCACGTCGCCGCTGGAGGCCGCAATCTCAGCCAGGGCGAACGGCAGCTGATCGGCCTGGCGCGGGCTGTCTTGCGACGCAGCTCGATTGTCATCTTGGATGAGGCGACGGCGTCGATTGACCACGAGAGCTCGTTGGAGATTCAGCAGGTGCTGCGCGAGGAAATGCGGGAGTCGACGGTTATTACGATTGCGCATCGGTTGGAGGCGATTAAGGATGCGGATTATTATGTGGTGTTGGATGGGGGGAGGGTTTCGAGGCAGGGTTTTGTTGGTGATATGACTGAGTAATAAAGTGTGGTGTGAGCACCTAATGGTATTGCTGTTCAGATTGGATTATTTTTCTACGGATGTATAGGAACGCTTTTCGTAGCTCCCGCCTACCCCAGACCATATCAGCGAGAATGCACCTATAAATGTATGAAAATCTCGAATAAGAATAGATTAGACCCAAGGTGCAAAGATGGATATATACAACTTTTATCCCAGATCAAACAAACGACCCAACGCCGCGCGCCACAATGCAAACCAACAACAACTCACGCCTGACCAGCCTCAAACTTGCGAATCCGCCGCTTGATATCCCCCACCGTCTGCTGCATCGGATTCAACTTCCTATCCCTCGCCATAGCAGCATAATCATCCCCATGCTTCTTCACCAACTGCTCAATCCACTCTCCCTCGCGCGTACTCGTATGGCGCGGCTTCTTGCCCAACACAGCAGAGTCCTCCTTCGCAGCCTGAATCTCCAGCTGTCTAACGACAGCGCTCGCGTCCTTGCCCTGCGCCGCCTGTCCGACAGCAGCAATATCGACATCAACGGCCAAGTCGTTGAGCGGGTCGTTGAGCGGGTTCGTGCGCTTGTGCTTGCGGCCCGCGATCTCCACCTCGTCGTCGTTGATAACGCGCAGGATTCTGCCTGTCTCGGGGTCGCGCTCGACTCGCGTTTCGCCGACCTTCAGGTTCTTGGTGTTGGACTCGACGCTGCCTTTGATGTGCAGGTTGTTCTCGGGGGCGTCGGCGAAGCCGGTTTCCGTGGTGATTCGTTGGGAGCCGCCGGCGGGGGCGTTCAGACGGTGCATGAGGCCGAGGCGGCGGTAGTTTTGGGTGAGAGTGAGGTCGCGGTCCCTTGATTCTTGTTAGATGAGGTTATTTAGTTGAAGTGGAGTGGTGGTGGGCGTACCAGTTCTCGGCGATGATCGCATTGCCCAAGACATTGACCTTCTTCTTGCCGCTCTTCAAGCGACCATTGCGCTTGGCGGTGGCCTTGGGTCGAGACGACCGGAGCTTCTTGGCTTGACGGATATTGGTCATGGTGTGGGGATATAATATGTGGTGGATTGGAGATGAGGTTGAAGGTTTTTGCAGCGGGAAAAAAAAATACGAATGGATCTTATCGATTGCGGAGGCGCTAACCCAAATAGGGCATGTTTGGGTCGACTCCAGGAACTGGCTTGGCGTGTTTGTCTGGCCCCTGTCACTGATAAACATCATCCAACTATCTCAGCTATCTCACCTATCTCTTTGTATCTTCCATCTCCACCTCCTATCATTGTACCTGTCAGTATGGCCTGGAACTCTCTTCTACCCGGGCGCAGAATTGGGCTGGCGCTGCTATGCGGCGTCATTGCCTTTGCTGTTCTGGGCGCAGCGTACGATGCTGTCGCGGTGGGGGAGCTGTCCGTGGGTGAGATCGAAGATGAATTGCAGGTATTCAATTCTTCCCTATCTATGGTGATAAGTTTGGACTAACGAAGATAGAACTGCCCCCTCGTCGAAGCGCTCAACGAGCATAAACGCGCCACCGCCCCCCAAACAACCAGCCTCAGCTCCAAGATCTTCGCGGTCCTGTTCCCAGGCAGCCCAGCCGTGAATGCCCTCCTGGCAACCGTTTACATCTCAGGCCCTCCCAGTATACACCTCCCACAACGTCATCCATAAAAGACAACGTATTGACCAGAACAGACTTCCTCCTGGCCCTCTGCCCCCCCAACATCGACCCCTCGTCCCTGTCCGTCATGGTCGCCTTCGCAGTGGGTGGCCTCCTCGGCGACACGCTGTTCCACCTCCTCCCGGAGATCTTCCTAGGCGAGGACTCCCCCGAGCACGTCAGCTTCGTGATGGTCGAGCCAAACCGCAACCTCCTGCTCGGCCTCGGCATCATGGTCGGATTCTTCACCTTCGTCGCAATGGACAAGACGCTCCGCATCGCCACCGGCGGGGAAGGACACTCCCACTCCCATGGCCCAGAGCCAACCCCCACCACCTCAACAGAGACAGAGGGCACCTCCACGAGCCTTGACGCACCCACCAAGGACCTCAAAAAGCGCAAGCAGCCCCAACCCACCACCCCTCCAACCACATCATCCACCGACACCACCACACCCGCCAAAGAAATCAACCCCAGCGTCAAACTAGGCGGCTACCTCAACCTCATCGCCGACTTCACCCACAACATCACCGACGGCCTCGCCATGTCCTCCTCCTTCTACGCCTCGCCCACAATCGGCGCAACCACCACCGTCGCAGTCTTCTTCCACGAGATCCCCCACGAAGTAGGCGACTTCGCGCTCCTGGTTCAATCCGGCTTCTCCAAACGCCAAGCCATGGGCGCGCAGTTCGTCACCGCCGTGGGCGCGTTCCTCGGCACGCTCATCGGCATTGCCGTTCAGGAACTCGGTGGGAACAGCCACACCGCCACGGACGGAGGAAACGCAGTCGGACTCCTCGGCACAAGCCTCTCCTGGGGCGATATGCTTCTCCCCTTTACGGCGGGTACGTTCCTCTACGTGGGAACAGTGTCGGTCATCCCGGAGCTGCTGGAGACGGGGAAGGACAAGGGCGTCGAGATCCGGAAGACGATTGTGCAGTTTTTGGCGGTTGCGTTGGGCGCGGGGATTATGTTGTGGTACGTTTCTCTTTCTTTCTTTCTTCCTTCCTTGCTTTATCTCTTTCGTTCTTGTTTCTTGTTCCTTATGCAGCTTGCTAACGTTGAGATAGGATCTCCTGGGACTGAGACCCCACTCACTGTCACTGTTTACCCCCGCGAGATACAGACTGCGTCCTGGCACAGTATACTACCTAGTACCTAGCTAGGTAGATAGTCAGTCAACTAGCCAGTCAATCAGCCATACACAAACGAAACAACACTCCGGACTCAACAACCCCCACCCCCCCAACAAAACAACCAAGAAAGACACGTTCACACGACAGATATACTCATATCTAATAATCTACAAACATATAGACCACCTACTAGTATTCATGTTGTAAAGATATTTGTATTTATTTCTGGCCCGTAACCTAGAACTAGATCTAGATCTAGCTCAGTCAGGCCTAACCAAGATACATGTGATAGGTGGATAGATAAATAGTAGATAAATAGATAGTGAAAATCAATGACGCAACCGAGAACGCCCCTGCCAGACAACACACAAAACGCATGATAAGTGTTGAAAGAAGTGTAGGACAGAAGAGAAAAAAGAAATGAGATTAGGGATGTGGAAATTACTCGTCACATGTAGTGTTGAATCTATTCGTTGTAGTGGTAGACCTAGTTATCATGTTAGTAAAACTTTGACAAACCACACGTAGGAAGAGTTGAGAAACATACGAAATAATCAGGCAACCCGTGCACAGTATACCCCAACCGCTGCGACATCCGCGCGAACCCCTCCGTCTCCACAAGATGATAGAACGGAAAAGGCGGGAACATGGCGCCGTCGCGGTGGACGTCGGCCTTGACCATGAGAGCGGTACCGCCCACGCCGTCGAGGTCGACGACACGACGGGGGTTAGGGGAGGAGAGGTCCGCCATGTAGGCCATGAGCGAGCGGTAGGTCGGGAGCTCAGCGTATCCTTCCAGCAGGATTTCCTCCGGGTCCATGGTGTCGGCTAGTTCCTGCGCGGTGGGGCTATCGATCCAGGAGTTGAAGTCGTAGGGACGGACGTCCATGGCCTTTTTCTCCGTGTTGTAGTAGCGTTGGAAGCAGTTTGGTACGATGACGGGGAGGCTGTGGGAGGAGAGGTCCTGGATGAGGGAGCGGGGGGTCTCGATGATGTCGGCGTCGAGCCAGAGGACCCAGGAGGTGCTGGGGCCGAGGGTCGTGAAGAGGAGGGAGTTGCGGGCGCGGCTCATGGACTCGCGCCGGGCTTTCTGGGCGGACATCTTGTGCCGCTCTTTTTCGTCCTGCGACTGCAGCGGCGGGTCGAAGTCCTGGCGGAGGATGCTGATGCTGGCGAAGCGGTTCTTGATCGGGCCGGACTGCGTCTTGCTGATGGCTGCTTCGAGGGAGGCGACTGCGGAGTTGCCTTCGGCGGTGTGCGGCGCGATGAAGCCCAGCGAGATGAGCTCGTGCGGGTAGTCGAGGCGGACGAGGTTGTCCCAGAAGGCTTCGTAGAAGCGGGCTAGTGGGGTGAGGATGAGGACGCGCTCGCGCTGGCCGGCGGAGTCGCTTGTGGTCGTGAGGGAGTTGAGGTCGTATTCGACGACGGGGGGCGGGGCGCTCTGGCCGTCATCGCGGATGGGCTGGGCCTTGTGGAAGGGTTTGGTGGGCGGGGAGAGGGGGTTCTGGGCGGCGTCTTGGACTCGTCGTTGCGACGAGGAGCTGGAGGTGTCGGTGAGGGGCGCGGCGTGGACGGAGTCGGCCAAGGGTGGGGAGGCAGAGGGGGAGATGAGGAAGATCAGGAAGCCGAAGGCGAGGAGGGCCGCGAGGAGCAGCGTTATTGGACTGGTTCGTCGCATCGAGCGTGCGACGGCCATCGCGGCCGTTTCGATGGTCGACGGGGGTCGAAATGAGAGCTGTGATGCTTGTTGCAGTGGGAGACCGAGTACGTGGTCGATCGGGATCTGGGCGCCGATCGGCGGTCTTGAGTCGTGGTCTAGGCGACGATTGTAAACCAGCCAGTCGACTTGATGACTCTATGGGTCGGGACGCAACATCGCTCGGTACTAGAAGGACTTGTAAAGTAAGGGGACAAGGTGTTCAGACGGAGAGACAGAGGAAGCAGAGAGGATGATTGATCGACGGTCCAAAAAGAAAAACGAGAAAAGGGCCCCAAGATGAAACAACGGACCGACAGGAAGCTGTCCGGAAAAAGACAGCAAAGACCGTCAACCCTTGCAGCGCGTTTGGACGAATGGAGCGAGTGAAAGTGGAGAGACGAGAAGAAGGGAAATGACGGGGCGAGAAAAAGGATGGGAGGAACCACGGCTGAATGCGGAAATGCCCCATTCACTTGTCGCAACCATGGATACAGTTCAACAGTATCATTCTATCTTACCATTCTTTCTTCTGGACCGTGTAGTAGTCTATCTGCGTTCTAGTATTCTTCTCGATCTATCAAAGTGGGTTCTGCGCCAAGCCGACTAAGGCAGCCACCGCATCACACCCTCAAATGCAACCAACGCCATCGCATTCGCCGGGAATGCCCTCAAAAAGCATGGCACGAATCCTCTCCAGTACCCTTTCAATCCCCGCTCCGTATATACAGCGGTCGCCGCATCTTTCCACCCCCGGAACTGTCGCTGTCCGTCGTTCAATCCCCCACCCATCGGGTCCGTCATCAGGCGCTGTTTCACCACGTCCGACGGGTATGAGGTGATCCAGAAGATCTGGGCCGAGACGCCTCCCGCCCAGAAGTTGATGGCTGGTGCCGACAGGTTGGTGCGCTCGCGCATCATCCGAGTCAGCACGTCGTATGAACCCCACCAGAAGAAGAAGAAGGAGCGGAATAAAATCGTGGCGGAGAGTCCGCGGTACAACCCGGATATTCCATGCGTGCCGAGCTACATCGTCAGCTCTCTCTCTCCTTTCTCTATGGATCAAGGAAAGACTTACCAGCTTCTTGGTACAGTCAATCGGCCCACTATACAACCGCCCTGCCTTATCCGCCGAATACTGGATCTGCAGTCTCGCCTTGACATGCTCCACGGGGGCCGCGATAAAGCTGACCGTCGTCCCAGCCATGATACCCGCGATTCCGTGTCCGAAACTAGGCAGTGTGCTCGGGTCCTTCTGGTATGCGGCGAACGGGGTGATGCGGCGGATTTCCGGTCTCGAAAAGACGTTCTCCAGGAGTAGTCGGCGGTACAGCGTGAGAGAGCCCAGCATACTATGTCGAGCGTAAGTCAGTCGTCAATCCTCCCCAATGAGGAAAGAAAGAAGATCGAATGGACGTACACCGAGTCCATCACCATCCATCCGACCAGCGGCGGCGTAGCACCCTTGTAAAATCCCGCGACTCCTTCCTTGCGCACCGTCTGCAGCACGCAGTCTACCGGGCCTCTGAAATGGCCATCTTTGCTTGTTTGTAGGCGCACTTTGACTGTATCGAATCTGCCATTCGTTAGATAGATCCATAAGAAACAAACAAATAAAAGAACATACGGATGCCCGACTAAACCAACACAAATCCATATTAGCCAGCCACCCAAAGCAAAAAACACTCCAAATACAACACAGGAGATAAACACCAGTGCGGAGGAGACATACCAGACAACTTCGCAATCCCAGAGAACACCCCCGCCACAAAACCCTTATAGTTCTTCTTCGACTCCGACGTGGGCGGCGGCGGCGCAGAGCCCTTCCTCTCTATCGTATCCACCACCTTAGACGACTCCATCGAAGCGACTCCTTCAATGCGCGAGGGGGTATGAGGCGGCGACGACGACATGGGTATCTGCCATAATAGCACAATTAGTACCTTTCTTCTTTCTCTCTCTCTCACACACTCATTTTCTCACCTGAAATTAGAAAATAAATAATAGAGTATAAACAACAACCAACGCTAAACCCAAGCAAATACAACAACCAAGGTATCCGCTCCGCAATCGCAGTGCGCACTCGTCGAGGAAGCTAACTCGCTAGCAGTGTATAGATCTTTTAACGGTCGGTCGGTCGCGAAACTCATGAGAGCAATTTCAACGCGTAAGAATGGATAAATAAGACAGCAGATGCACCTCCATGAATATATTAAGTAGGAGACAAGAAGAGGAGCTGGAAGAACGTGAGGGGAAGAAGTCGGAGAGAAATCTTGAGTGTTGATCTCGCGCCCCGCAAGTCCGAGGGCGGTCGGGGAGACCTGTGGGAACTCCGGGGGGGGGGGGGGGGTTTAGTCAGCTGGTGGTGTACACCGTGTTTTATACTTCTTATAATCTGTAGTGGTTCAATGTTTGTTTATATGCAAAATACATTGTGTAGCTTTGTTATGAAGTAAAGTATTGAATGGTGACCATTGGGCAGTTACTATATCAAGCTTATGCAGTGGAAGAACAGTCTGGATCTGTTCCCCTAGTTTGAATTCTAAATCACAACAACGGCAATAACCCCCCATCAATTAAAAAAAATAACACAATCACGGAAGGAAAGAGAAGAGCAGAGAAGGTGGAGAGGTCGTAGCATATCAGGCGTGCTGGGGTATAGATAGAAATGGAAGCAATCATAATACATCGACAAATTTTAGAGACCGTGGAGTCGAAAGCGGCGCGGCTCGGGGTAAGGACAACAAGAAGAAGATGAAAGGTTGGCAGTAGAGATGGTGTCCGGCGATGGTAATCACCGACCCTTGGGAGTCTTTCGCGCCTTCTGGCGAGTCCGCTCGTTCTCATGGGCGCGACGCCGCTCGAGAACATCCGACCCGGCTGGCTGGTTGCCCAAACATGGATCAGCACTGGCAACACCGGAGGGAAAGTAGCCTCCAGCGTCCTCCAGGACCAGCGGGGTCACGGGCCCCGGGCTGCAAAGGGGATCCAGGCGCGGAGCCGACGGACTGGGGGAGAGCGGTCGGGAGGGCGGCCGATAGGCCGAGACGCCCTCCATCATCTCTCGGTACTGGCGCACGGGATCTCGAGACCCCGCCGAGGGCGTACGGTAGGTATAGTGACGAGACTGGCTCGCTGACGAAAGCGGTGTGGTAATACCCTGCGAGCCGCTCGTGGGCGGGTAGACGGTAGGGTGGAACCGGGGAGGCTGTCCAGGGGAAAGGAGGGGACGGATTTGGAGGTCGATGAACCTCGGGGATGAGTCGGCTGGGGAGAAGAGGAGCGCCCGGAGGGGGTCATGGTGGGTGACACAACCGGGGAGTAGAAGGACGAGTTGTCGGCACGCATTCTGGACGTGTGACCACGGCGGACGCGATGACTGGATTGATCGCTGCGTCGGCGAGGGTGGGAGTCGCCGTTCCGGTCGGAGGACGGACGACGGTGGGCAAAGTAGTACCCTTTGTCAAAACGCCCGGTCAGCGGAGTGACGGGGAGATCGTCTTGGTGGGTGTGGTGGGATGGTTTGGGAATAGGAATCGGTCGGGAGACAGGACTGGCGAGGGTGAGGGAGTCCAAGGAGTCAATCGCTTCGGCCAGAGGGGAATCCGAACGGTGCGGTGACGGGGGGTTAAATGTGGAGGAGGTTGCCGTCAAGTCTTCCAAGGAAGACAGCGAAACGCGGGTGGGGCTACCGTGTCTGGCGATTAACGTCTCTAGTTGGTCCCTCGCGTGGGTATCCGATGACCGATACGATGGGGACCACGATGAGGGGAGAAAGTTGGCTAAGAGCACGCGATCAGCAAGAATCTCGGACCGAGAATGTCGTGACTAGCGAGGCATGCGAGACGTGTCAGGTGGGGGGAGGACAGTGCAGGAATGGTGCCAGCGAACGAGATTCACACAAATCATGGACGGGCAGCAGAGTAGATGAGAGGTCAGAGGCCAATCAGAGGGATGACCACTTGACCCTGAGGGAGAAGTTGGAAGACTCAGTTGGGAAGAATGAGGGGAAGCGGTAGTTGTGGGTATATGATTGGATCAAGGAGGGGATATTTTAAGAAAGCCAGTTAGATGGACAACTTACTGCTGAGGAGTGGTGGAGAATGAATGGAACTGTAAGAGGAGGGATAGAGAGAGGGCGAGGAGGAAGTGGAGGAGGCAGAGGAGTCTCGTGGAGATGTGGCTATGGACGAGGTTTTTATCCCTCCCATATCTCTTCCTTTTTTCCCCTTCATTTTTTCTTCCCTTGTCTCTGATTTTTTATTTATTATTTGCTTTGCCCCCGGGTGGAGATGCGCCCCGTAAAGTCAGGCCAGGAACGGCCCTGAGCGGATGCCTGAGCGGATGGCGTCGGTCCCTGTCAACCTGGGTTGCAAAATGGATCACGACCAATCAGGGAAAATGACGCAGCAGGGATTGGAGATGTTGGCCTCGTTTTGTTTTGGTCGAATAAACTGATCAATCGTAACCCCCAAACAACAAACACCAAATACCGAATCCAATAGAATACAATATCAAACAGAAGTAGCTCAATCCTGCTTTGCGCATTAGCGTTGCGGGGTAAAATGATTCAATACAATCAAATCAATAGAAGGAAAAGAAAGAAAAGGTTAAAAGGGCAAAACAAGCGGATACATGGCGTCATAGGCGGGAGACGCGGGTAAGAGTGGGGAAAGACAGTTACAGACGGTATGGAAACAAGGACAGACAAGAGAAATACCTGGGGCTCTGGAGAGACAGATTATGACGAGATAGAAGTAAGGGGACACACAAATAGGGAAACGGAAACAGAAGGAAAGAAATAGCAATAAACATATATAAGAACAAAAAAGAGGTGAGAAAGAAAGAGATTGTTGACTCACAATACAATCACAATCTCATGCGGCCCATGGAGGTCTTCTCGGCACCGACGGACACTAACCCTTAGTATGGAGTGTAGACGGTAGAGGTCTATAGGCTCCACTCAACAATGACGCACTTTGTCGGCTGGACGCGAACAAAGAACAATATAATCTTGTAATACAGAATGGACAATGGTTGGATGACTGCATCCGCCTCACGGGCACGCCCGTCACGATCGACTCGAGCCTAGGATCGGTTGGACGGTACGGGTACAGGATGCAAATATATGCATGCAAGGGCAAAACCAGGTAATGATCGGAGGGCCAGGAAAGAGTCTGTGCAACTTGACCCATCGACCAAGCCGAGAGGGTTTGGTGCACTCTTTAAATAAGATCGAGGAGAGAAGTGTATCCACCCGATGGAATCGGCTGACCTTGTCTGCAGAAGAGTCGACCCTCAGAAGATATCCAAAACTAGAGACAAGGTAATGGATCAAATAAATGGATGACCAGGGGGAAGTGATAGTGACGACTCCTCTGGACTCGATTGGGCGCAGTCAAGAGGCATCAATCATCCCCATCATGAATCACAGTAGCACTGCCACTAGTCTGCAACTCTCCCATGCAAGACATTTTTCCATTTCTTTTTGGGTGAGCCGATCGTCTGACTCGCCCACCTTCCCCACCATCATCCGTCTCACTGGCCAATGTGGCCTTTGGGGATGTCTTTTCCCCCAGTACAGGGCTGCCTAGTTCGCCCAATCGTCAGCATGGGATATTTACATCCACTGTCTATCATGGCACTGCAGTGAGCCAGGGTGTCCAGGCATCCATGGGTGAAAATAGAATCATTAGACGCGTGTCAAGCAGATATTCCAAGAAGGGGGGAGAATGATTAAGAGATAAAATAATCCAAAATAAATTCAACAACCACGGAGTAGTATACCCCTATTGATAGGTTTGTCGGACAGCTACTATGCTCTACCCATCGAACCATCCGAACGGATCATGTAAAGCATATGCTCCATGACGGAATCAAACCACATCACTCACATCACCCCCCATGCTGCTAAAGATCTAGCAGATATGCCGACGCTAAAGGACAGTTTCGTCAGACGCAACGTCGACCCCAGCCATTCATGGTGATCAAAACGTTGATCGGTCAGGCGTCACAGCACAGCCCACCAATCGATGTTCACAGACCCCCTGCCCCGGTCAAAACTCAAGAAGGGTGGGTAGCCAAAACTGTCGACGCCATCTATTGTGGTGTGGATGGGTGGATATACTTAGACTGGGTGCTTCATGTATTGCCTGTTTCGGCGCCCTCATCGTTATTGTCAACGGTGTCGTCGCTTTTCTGAATTCGCCACCGGGCGACTATCTTCCATACCTACGGATTATTTTCTATCCTATCCTCCAACGTCAACATGCGCCCGTGCGACAAGGCCGGATCCGACACGAGTCGCGTCCCTTGGCGCGGCTCTAGCGCTCGACTTCCAGCTCAGCTGCGGCGCGGTGCACAGTTGTGGCTGTTCGTAAAAATCCACCAGAGTAGAGTAAGCTAACCCCCATGACGACTTACTCCTGTGGCGGCGCAGGTAGTCTCCGCGTCTATCCATCCGGAGCCTGGTCATGGTCCAAGCTTTCATATCGCACGGCATTAACTACGCCCCAGAGCGGCAGGATCACCTGCAGTGTGATGACGGGGTGGATGTCAGGTCCGGGTGTATACATGCGCCAAAAGTCTCTGGTCTGGGCCATGGTGTTGGTTTCGCGTTCTGCGAAAGGGTGAGATAAGTCGCTATCTTAGGGTGGAGGGATGCTTGTCTCGGGAATTTACGTGGATGGACAGCAGGGAAAGATTAATCCCGCAATTGGAGTGATCAGGGGATGCAGTTTCTGTCTGATAGGGATGTTCTTTAAAGAGTCTAGACCACGCAGAAATAATCTCATCACACACCAGGTTTCAAGATTCAGAGTCAACACCCAATACTCTCATCAGTCCACTATCATGTCCCTACTGATGTCCCACCACATGTTTCGGCTCATACAACTCATCAATACTCCGAATCTCATCCTCCCCAAGCTCAAAGTCAATCGCCTGGACAGCCTCATCCACCCTCTCCTCCTTACTCATCCCCACAATCGGCGACGTAATAAACGGTTTCGACAGCGCCCAAGCAAGCGCAACAACAGCCATCGACACGCCCCGCGCCCTCGCAATCTCCTCAACCCGCTCATTAACCCTCCGATCCGCCTCTGTAATATGCCTCCCCATCAACTTACCATCCTGCCCCTCCCCCCGCGTCGTCCCCCCATACTCCCCCCACGGCCTGGTCAAAAACCCCTGCGCGACAGGACTCCACGGGATGCCGCCCATGCCGAACTGCGCACAAGCCGGAAACATCTCCCTCTCCTCCTCGCGATACATCGCATTATGCAGATTCTGCATACTCACAAACTCCGTCCACCCGTGCAGCCGCGCCGTATACTGATACTCCAGCAGCTGATGCGCCCACATCGAGCTCGCCCCAATATACCGCACCTTACCCGACTTGACCACATCATGCAGCGCCTCCATCGTCTCCCGCGGCGACGTATGCGGATCAAACCGGTGTATCTGCAGCAGATCCACATACGGCAGATCGAGCCGCTTCAGGCTCGCATCCACACTATCGAAGATATGCTTGCGACTCAAACCATACTGATTGACGTACCCCGTATTGTCACGGTCATGCTCCGCCATCCGAAGCGGCTTCTCGAACCCCCGTCCCACAGGAGCCCACACTTTGGTCGCGATCACTATGGCCTCCCGGTCCCAGTTGAATTCCTTGATCGCCTTGCCGAGGATGATCTCCGAGTCGCCGTTGGAGTACATGTTGGCTGTGTCGTAGAAGTTGAGACCGGACTTGTAGCAGTGGTTTAGGATGGGCAACGCGTCGGCTTCGCCGATTGCCCAGTCGAGTTGCTTGCCGGGGGTGCCGTAGCTCATGCAGCCGACGCAGATGGGAGATACGCGGAGGCCGCTTTTGCCGAGTTGGACGTACTTCATGTTTGTGGTGAGTGTAGTGTAGTATCTGGAGCGTGTATAGTGGGTTTTGATGGAGAATGTTTCAGTCGTGGACTGACTGATGGTGTGTCGTGATGCGTGCGGGGTTGGTGACGCTTTATAGGTAGGCATGTAGATATCGACTCGGAGTTAGTAACTGACGTTGCACGCTTATGTCCGTGTCATCATCTCTGCCTGTCTGTCATCCACTGATTTATCATCAACTTAGTGATCATCCACTGATTTAACTAATTTTTGCATTGCAGATCGAAATGTAGGAGTTAGTTACTGTATGTAGTACGAATGGGCGGGGTCAAGCACCTCATCAGTGGACATGGCCTAGTAGATTTCGCCTATTTCTTACGGCCTACAAGCTAGTCAGACGGGTAGCTGGTGATGGCGCATCATGTGAAGTAAACCCTACATTCGGAGTTGACATGTTCATTCCAGACCCCAAGCCGATATCAAGAATGACGGCGACGGGTTTTCTTTGAGAACGAAACTAGGGTGTAGTTCTGTTGGTTACCTATTGGAGATAGACCTTATCCATTGCTTCGGATCCCTCAATCAATCAACCCCAGACCCCTCTCTAAAAATACAAATACAAAGTGTGCAATATCCCCTTCTCCCCAGTTCAAGGCAGAGCACCAGTCTCTAGACACACCTAGACACAGTAAATCTAATGCCCATTCTCAACCAACTCAACAAACAGCCTCGAAAGCAACAACCGCTTCTTCGCCTCCGACGAACAACCCACCGTCAATCGACAACAACAATCCTCAGCGGTGCGGAGGTACTGCTCGCGAAACGCATTCCACAACTTTGGATCGTCTCTGCCCGGACGAGGATAAAACGGGTCGTTACGCAGAAAAGCCGTCGCCGCTTGCTCCATGCCCGCCGCGTTGATAGGGAGACTCCTGCACAGGTCGAAATCTAGAATCCACATGGTGTGGCTTCCAAGCACATTGGATATTATGTTGGAGGGGTTTTGTGTGCTTTGAGTGGTAGTAGTAGTAGAAGGAGAAGGAGGAGGCGGAGGAGCAAGCACAAACTCGACATCATTCGCGTCGATCTCACCCACCCAATGCAAAGTAGCCAGGGCGTTGGCCATCATCCGCGCGTAAAGCCGGATATCTCTAGCAGGAATGCCCAACTTCTCCATCTGGTCCACATGGAGGGGATAATTCCGCAGCGAGAAGAACGATCTCACTCGACGCCGGGGAGCAGGATCAGAACCAAGGGGTGTGGAACCATGCTGGCGAATGCGTCTTCGACCAAGGTACGGTCTGACGAGACAATCCTCGTTAGCCTTACTCTTTAGAATCTCCTCTCTAAGCTCCGCCGGACAGAATCTGCTAACGAGCAACTCCCTAGTATGCAGCGGGAATGGCGGAATGCGCTGCGACTGGAGGGTATTGCACGGGGCGTATCCCGGCGGGAAGCGGTGGAGGTTGTCTTTCCACCATTCTCGATCTTCCTCTGTATCGGGTCTGATAAAGCAATGGCAGTCTGAGACTTGGACTCGGAGATGGCTGTTTTTGATGGTTGTCTGGTTCAGGCTGTGTTGGACAATCTGGTGCATCTGGTAGTCGTTCTCTAGCGATCTGCCAGGGCCACCGTCTTCGCGCTTGAAGGCGGGCCCTGTAGTGCTGGATGCCCAAACCGTGCCGCAAAAGCCTTGGCCGATTTTGTGGAATTGGGCCATAGATGTGGTGACTTTGTGGTCGATGGTCATGGTGTTTGGAAGTGAGTGTTGTTATGGTGAGGTGAGAGGAATCCGCGGGTGAGGAATGATTGGTGAGGGATTGAGCTTTTTTGTTCATGACAAGGGAACTTTGATTCAAGATCGGAACTTTCACGATATAATTCTGGGAAGTCTAGAACTATGTAGAGCTACCTGATATTTGAGCTAATTCGTCAGTTGTTCACTTTTACTTTCCTTATATGGTTACTAGTGGTGCTGTCCCGGTATAGTTTCCTGCATTGACTCACATACATGATGATTATAGAAAAGTATATACTCATTCCCTAGTGAAGATAATGTTTCATGATGATGGATTTTGTATATATCCCATTATTCCTACTCCTGTGACTGATCTACATAACTGACTGACTTGCTCTCCTGAAGTAGTACAGTCACCACTGCAAATGATCATATCACATATCTCTCATGATAATGTTTAATCGGTCTCCCCTATTTGGTCTTCAAGTCAAGAAGAGATTTTACTTGATCATTTCAGAAAGATGGAGGTGACTTCGAGTAGTCAAATATATCATCGACTACAGACCATCTGGGTATGTTTTCTTGCCTATTCTACATTGTCCAGCTGTCCGTACTCATTTGCTAGGCTTTATTGACATTATTAACAATTCATCGTACCTATAAATTACCTCCCTGAGGGTTTGTTCCATCCCTTCTATGGTCTATCTTACTTTATGATTCGGGGAATCTGGAGATCATGTGTCCATCAATCTCATAGAGAGTAGACTGAATCCATGTCGATCTATGTTAGGATACACGGGACTCTGTGGCACCTAAAGCTATTCTAGGCTCAGCAGTCAATCTGACCCAACTCGAGACCTCACAAAGTAAAAGGGCAAAAGACATGACTCACAGTTGCATCAAATATTTGGTTCCCACCCTACCAAACAACCACTACACACACCCATCTATAGTAACGGTTTGTCTTGCAGTCAAAGCCCGGCGTCTCGAACACTCTACCGAGCGAGTCATTCAGCCAAAATGTGGCTGGCGGGAAAACCAACCACCAAACCAAGTGTGATATCTCGTAGGTAGGGTAGTATTCACCTATCCTCAATTCACAAACGACATCATTCTCTATCTGGCCTCAGCCCGTGAAACACCCAATGGAGGAAAATACCAAATACCCCTGTCGCTCCTACAGAAGACCTGGGAAGAAAACGACATAGTAAGTGGTCTGGACGCAGGTCCCTCCTGTGCCGCAGTACCCTCCTTCACAAACTATGTGGCTGAGCCATGGTAGGGTACTATTTACGGCACAATAGTGGCTCGTTCTGTCCCCTTCATAGAATTTCGGGGTTCTGGGGTCTAATCCTCTACCAGGGGCAGTTTGCAGTGTGGCTCAGCCCATGGATCGAATCACACCTTATGCTGTTGGCCCTATATGGACCTATTGTCTCTATTACCCCAGGCCTCAGCCACCGGGTCGTGAAGAATAAACATCACACCACCCGCGAAAACCCACTTATAAGGCTGACCCAGGAAATGGCGTGGAGTGGGACGCGTCGACGCGTCTGCATATATCACTTTATGTATATCACTATATGCTGGGAATATCAGCCATATCCAGCCTGACCCAAATACCGTTCGGCTTTTTGGTGCAATTGGTTCAGACTATACAATAACAAGTTTATGACTCGGATTATTCTACTATATACACATTGACCAAAACACCACATCTAAGCAACAGCCGAAAAGCCATTATCAACAGGCACGCAATTCCCGTTCATCAACCTGGCTCCAGGCCCACATGTCAACGAGAACACCACCTCCGCAACATCTCCCAGCGGACACATGGGGACCTGCATCGCCTGCATGAGCGCCCCAATGCGGTCCATGCCTTCGCGATTGACTCCGGCCATGAACGCCTCGGTGATGTTGGTTTCCATGCCGCCCATCATGAGTGCATTGCACCGAATGCCCTTGTTGCCGTACGAGACGGCTGTGTTCTTCGTGAGACCGACGAGGCCGTGTTTGCTGGCCGTGTATGCGGCGCCTGGACATTATTAGCACCTTCCCAATCAAAGCACAGCAACCTCGACATCTAGATAGGAGAGGGGGAGGGAAATATCATATCATACCAGCAACGCCGCCACCCCGCCCCGCCAACGAAACGATATTGACGATGTTCCCCTCGACCTTCTCCTGCGCGAGCATGTTTTGCACCGCCAGCTTGCTCAGCAGGAACGGTGCCGTCAGGTTCACGGCGATGACCTTGTCCCAGAGGTTCTCGTCGAGGTCGCCGACGGGGTCAAACCGGTCCATGATGCCGGCATTGTTAACGAGGATATCGACCTTGCCGAACGTGGCGACAATCTCGTCAAAGAGGGTCTGCACAGCCGCCGCCGAAGTGATATCCGCCTTGATCGCCTTGACCTTGCCCGCGCTGCTGCTGGCTGACAACTCCGTCTCTGTCTCCTGCAGTCTGGCCTCGTTGATGTCGCAGATGACGACGTTGGCGTTGGCAGCGAGGAACCGTGTGGCGATGGCCTTGCCGAGGCCGCCGGCGCCGCCGGTTACGAGACAGGTCTTTCCAGTGATATCGGTCATTGTATATTTTTTAAAGGTATAAATCTTCTTTTTTCGGGCTAGATGTTGCGAGTGACGGTGTTGGAGAGTAAAGGGGCCCAAATTGCGACAGCCCCTGGCCTTTTATATCAGCGCATTCATTCCGCCCCAGTCCAGACCGGTGGAATCGATCCATCCAGTACCGTACGACCTCCCATCTACCCACCGTTTTCTGCTAAATGTCCTGGCTTAATCTAGGAGTCCGTCAAAGTGGTTCGCGGTGGACCTATCACGGCTGGCAGGATGGGGCCGCGTGTTGCGTATTCCTTTCGTATTGCGTATAAGCGGGTCTCCTTGCCGATGCCTGAGGCAGAATGCCATGTTCGGCTAGGGCTCAGTTGATGGAATGGGACCAAAGCCCGTGTTGATGCCGTATAGCGATGCATCTATTTATATAACGGAAGCGAGGTGCTACTTTGCTTAGATTGTCTGCGGACATATCGAGTCTGGATCTTGTGTCGCTCCAGCTGACGAATACTGCACTGGAATGGATCGCACATTTGCTGGCGTTCTTTCGATCAAGAACTTGATCTTGTGGAGAACTGGGACGTCTAGAATACAATGTCTGTATGAGCGGGGAAGGAATGACAGTTCAATAGTGTCCCGGTATTGATCGATGCAAGGGGTCGGGTCTCTCATGTCCATTTTGATCATGTCGGTAAGGATCAGATAGTGCAGGCGCTTTGAAGCGAGGTTAGGCTGCGTGCTGGGGAATACTTTCAATGGGTTCGTCTCCATTCCAGCTGGCTTGATAGCCTGAGAATATCCTTCTGTCAGTTGTTGATCTCCTCTCCATCGCCGAAGCTGAGATAAGACCTAGCTGTTTCGTTGTCACGACCATCGCTTATCTCAATGTTACATGTTACCCACGAGCTGACTACATCATCCATCTTTATATGAGCGGTGGTAGTTGGGATGCTATTGATGCTTCCATACGTCAGTGGCCGGGGGGGGGGGGGGGGGGGGATATCGAACCATATCAAGGTCTGATGGACTTGAGTCAACACGGTAGATCCCCACCGCGCGCACGCCCTACAAATGACAGCGGGGAGAAGTGCCCCACAACGCATCCGAACAAATGAGAACGATATCGGAGCGGAACATGATAAAAGAAATAACGACAGTAGAGAAACAGAGCGAGAAGAGAAAACACGGCTTCCAAAGGGATCACTTATAGTCAACTTCACCTAAACCTCGCATTCCACACCATTTGGCACCCACGCACTCAGTGCCCTATACCGCCAATATGGACTCCAAACAACCAACCTTCACCCTCCGCACCCATACCCCATCCGACATCCCCTGGATAACAGCCCGCCACGGCGCCCTCTACGCCGAAGAACGCAACTGGGGGCAAGGCTTCTCCAACCTCGTCGACCAGATCGCCACCGATTTCCAGACTCACCACGACCCAGCTACCGAGCGCTGCTGGATCGCTGAAGACGACCACAGCAGCGACAAGCATGAAAGCCGCAACCTAGGCTGCATCATGCTTGTCCGCGAACCGGACCAGCCCTCCTCCGCGAAGCTGAGATTGCTACTCGTGGAGCCCCGCGCGCGGGGGAGAGGCGTGGGGAAGGCGCTCGTCCGCGCTTGCGTGGAATTTGCTCGGGAGATGGGGTATGCGAGGGTTGTGCTTTGGACGCAGAGGGTTCTTGAGTCGGCGAGGAGGCTGTATGCGGCGGAGGGGTTCTCGCTGGTGCGGGAGGAGGAGCATGAGGGGTTTGGGGAGAAGGTTTTAGGGGAGGAGTGGGTGCTTGTTCTATAGCTTCCTCATTTTTATTGCTTGATCTAAAGGCGTTGGGCTTCGAGTGTGAGTGCCAGTGGTATAGAACATGCTGATCTTTCTCCATCATGCTAGTGTCAAGTGGCCTCCGCTTCTTGATCAAAGGTTCTATCAAGTAGTACCAGCATGAAGTAAGTGGAGCAGGATGGCAGAACGATATCGATCAAGCACTTTGTGGATGATGCGCCGCGGCGAGGCTGATCCACAATTAATAGATCTAAATGCCAGCTCATGTATAGTTAAGCCCTGCGCTTGACCGATTGAACCTGCCATCCTTGCACACTATACAGTTGAATTACTGATGGCATACCTTCCCATTCTCATGACTGTCATGACGCGTATGTGGAAGGAGCACCTCATCATTGACTAGACATAATATATATCCGAATATCAACTGATCGTATCGATATCACCGATCTATACCACGAATATTCACTGTCGTTTGAAGGTCTACACGCCATTATTAATCCGGACTATTTTACTATCTACTATATACTATCAGCATAGACCATACATTAGCAGGATTCCACAAGGAGAGTTAGGGTCTACTTCGAGATTGATCACATCGTGATTATCCGCATACTTCAATTGTCTCCAACCACATTACGTCCGTCCATCCACCTAATAAAGCAAATGGACACTCGTGACGTTGGATATCCCTGGAAAACGCGGAACGTATTCATCAGGTTCAGTGACAAGTTTCTCGCTTTCCGTGGCGGGCTCTATGCGTCGGACCACCTCACCAATGCCGAGCTATCCAAGATGATTCGCATTGTGTACCACGCAGAGGGGGCCTTCTCTATCCATTCCGAGTCGACCGATATCGAGCTTCCAAACGATCAACAACCAATTCAGCATGATATTTACGTTCTGACGCCGCTGAGGGCCGGAGCTAGCGTCCACCCCACGGGTCAGCTAATCCTAGATCGAAAACTAGACAGCACGCCTAGAAACCAGGACTTCATTCAGCGCGTCAAAGACCGCGACCGCGGCCACTGCGCCATTTTGGGAATGCTCCAACCAAACCAACGGGGAGAATGGCCTACCACAAAGATGGCGTACATATTTCCCAGTGGTCAAGGCGACGTATTCTCCTTGCTGCCATTCCCCACTCCCCCGGAAGGAGTCCATTGTGCGCAAAACATCATCACCCTCGAAGAACCTGTCTACAATGCCTGGGAGGCTCGTCAGATTGCGATTGACCCGGATAACGGATATCGCATAATCAGCTTTCATCCCACCACGACACCTTGCCAAGGCTTTGCATTACATCCCGTGTGTCGAGATCCTGGAAATCCGTGGAGAGTCAACGATGACCTGCTCCGCTGGCACTTTCACCAGACAGTCATCTACAACTTGCGCGGTGATGGTAGAGATTTCCTCCGACACCCTGCCCCCTCGGATATAACAGCGGCAAACCCATTAATGTTACCATATGGCCAGCGAATAGATCAAGCTTGTGGATGTTCGTCTTGGCACGGTGGGACTGGGCCAAATGATAAACCTCCGGAGCCGGGGAATATGGTCTCGAAAACAACCAATGAGCCTGAACGGCCTAAGGGCATGGACGGGGGGTCGATGATGAAACCTGAGGAGAGGTCGAATCAACCCAGGCCGGTGAGTATACAGCCCAAAGAACCGACGAGGAAACCCGAAATGAGACCGAATCAACCCAAGCCGGCGAGTATACAACCCAAAGAACCGACAAGAGAACCTGGAATGAGGTTAAGTCAACCTAAGCCGGCGAGTATACAACTCAAAGAACCGACGAGGGAACCCGAAATGAGGCCGAATCAATCCAAGCCGGCAAGTATACAACACAAAAAATCGACGAATACCCCAGATGCCAATCCAGTCGCGGATACCGGCAATAATGCCAATGAGGGCAAGAAAGTTCGAACGAAAACACAGTGGCAAACATGGGATTGGAGCCGATCAACGAGTAGGAGATCTACAGATTTCAAGAGATTTCCTTGGGAATGAATACATTACTTTTAGGGCGTGACGAAGTGGATCTGAGGAGCTAATGGATACTGTCTGCTTCCAGTTGTGTATGGTTAGATGCCATCTTTACTCTTCAGGTGTCTTTACCCTATGTACCATGAGGATAAACGCAGTGGAAGTTCTCGAGCATATGTACTTGATTTTCTAGGACGGTCGATGGCCTACTCTTTCCGTTTCAATGCTCACCCTTTGCCACTTTTCACTCACTGAGTAGACCCGAGCACGCCCGGAGCAGCCAAAGGCAATCACTAAGCACAGGGTGAGCGAGAGACCAAGTGCCCTGAACAAGTAACCTCAATAAACTACACTCCATATAAGAATCACCCCCTTGCCCGCTTCTCCACTCACAGTCTACTCTTGCCCGCCACACTGCCCTAAAGCCTAGTACTACCATCAGGTCTCTTTTAAGATCCTCCCAGCCGCATTGATCGTCATTAGTGACAGCGTGGACGATCCCCGCGCCAAGCGGCTAAAGCTCAACAGCCTCGTCCACTACAACAGCGCGATTGCGTTCCTGTCGGCTGCTCTTAGGACCGATGCATCTGGGTTTGATCCGGATGAGCCAGAGGCTTGTCCCCGAGCTGCAGCGTCGGGGGATTGTCCGCCGCGAGTACGAAGGCACGACTCTTCGAGAGCATCTTGGTCTACCGAGGCCACAGAATCAGTTCTTCTCGTAGTGATAACGGGAGGATAGTATGGTGGTTAGATGGTAGAAGCTAGATAAGCACTTAGGGTACTAATTAGTCATGCGTATTGCCCAACGAACTAACTAGTTAACCGTTCATGGTTTGTGCCTCACCTGAAACTACTCCCAACCTCCACCTGCCTTTAGATCATAGACTGCCAGATAACCCACAATGACCAGCACCAGCACCAGCACCAGCACCAGCTCCAGCTCCAGCTCCAGCGCCCCCTGCCCCTGTCCACCCAAAATCAAACACCTCTCCTCCACCCTCCCTGTACAAGGCTCCTTTGACTTCAGCTTCCTCACCACCCTCACCCAGCCCTTCGACGACCTCTGCAAATCCATTGAGGACTGTAGAAGTCCCTGCCACAGCGCTAGCCACAGCTACAACCAGGACCTGAATGGCCCGCTCGTGGATCTCTCCGACGCCGTGCTCTCCCTCTGCCACGCAGCCTGCACCACCTACAGCCTCCTCGACGACGAGCTTGGTCCCACTGCGACCGCTTCTGGCAATGGCACCGCGACCGCCACGCCTGCGTCCCATGCAGCCTCCTCGCTGACATGTGCCAAATCCCCCATGGCGCTGGGGAAACTCACCCTCCAGGCCGAGGAGGAGACCCTCCTCGCGCGACAGGTGGTCTCCGGCGTGCTCACCAATTTGAGTGTCCTCCTGCGCGATGTGTATCTCCGTGGAAAGGAGATGGCCGGGGTGGACGTGGACCTGGGGATGGGTGCTTCGAGCATGGGGCCCGCGCTGTATGGTCGGGAGGGGGCCGGCCCTGTTAGTCGGTGTTTGTCGAGGGTGTTGGCGCTGCTGGGGAGATTGTTTTCGGAGTGATGGTCCTGATGAGGAATTTCTAATTCGTGTCCATGGGCACGATCGTCGCAATGGAAAAACCACCCGACGTGAATGTGAGGGGCACTGCCTGGTCTCGGTGGGTTTTTCCGGTTTTAGCAACTATGCCGTGGCGAAACACCGTCGCTTCGCAGATTCGCGCCCCTAGACAATACACATCGTTGATATGATTTTGCCTGATTAGAGAATGGGAGGGTATATATAAAGCTGTGAGACAGGATGCAGGTAGAGGCTAGAATAACGACAGGACCCAGGCTCGTCTTCCAACACTGCGATGGACTCTCTTTACATCTACGGATATGCATCAGTGGTGCTCCTCGTTGCCGTGGGCTATCTCGCTACAATTCGCCTGAGGATTGGAACCCGGCCCAAGGGTCTCCCTCCCGGCCCGGCCACGGAGCTGATATGGGGAAACCTCAAGCAGGTGCGTCCTTGTATTCATCTATCTCAAGTCATTCCTGACCAAGGATCCAGGTGAACATGCTGTTCCCGCAGTATCAATATACCAAATGGGCCAAGACGTACGGGCGGGTGTATACCGTCATGCTAGGCGATACGGCCCATGTGGTCGTGAGCGGTCTCCAGGAGGTCCGCGACATTTTCATCAAACAGGGCGCCAACTCCCAGGCCCGCCCGCCGTCTCGCTTTCAGTTGCTCATGCGCGACGGCTACTTTCCCGGGCTGATGAACGGGGAAAAGTGGCGCCACGCGCGGAAAATGTGGCAGACGGTCCTCAACGGCAGCGCCGCCAAGCAGTATCTGCCGTATCAGGAGCTGGAGACTCAGCAACTGCTATTCGATCTCCTCCAGGCGCCGAACGAATGGCGAGATCACATCGAGCGGTACAGTAATAGTGTGGCCATGACCATGGTGAACGGCCGGCGAATCGTCAGCTCAGCGGATGCTCGGGTCAAGGAGACCATCCAGGATCTATACGATTTGTCCGAGACCGGGGTCCGCGGTGCGTTTCTGGACTCTTGGCCATTCCTGTGGAAGATTCCCCAGTGGTTCCTTCCTGTATGTAAACAGGCGCGCGAAATTGCCGCCAAGCATCGCGATCTCATATGGCGCAACTACTCGGATGTCCAGGATCGCACGGTCAAGGGCGCTGCCCTTCCCTCTTTCAACAACGCAATTCAGGAGAAATTGAAGCAAGGGTGGCCCGGAGTATCGGAAATTGAAGGCGCGGAAATCGGCCATCATCTGCTGACAGGAACCACCGATACGACTGCGTCCAGTCTAGTCAACTGGGTTGCTGCGATGTGTCTCAACCCAGAGGCGCAAAAGAAAGCTCAGGAAGGTAAGATTTTCTCTGCATTATACAAAGTGTTGCAACGGACCATTACTCAATTCGTCCAGAGATCGACAGGGTTGTTGGTCCTGATCGTCTGCCCACGGACGATGACGCAGCGAGGTTGCCATACACCCAACAGGTCATCCAAGAGTAAGTTCCGATCTCTCCAAAAGCATGATCACCCGATGACGTCGAGAACTTCTTAGGAGCCAACGTTGGATCACTGCCGTTCCGCTCTCACTCCCCCGCGCCGCCAACGGACCGGTTCGCTGGAACGGCTACGAGATTGCGGAGGAGACGGGCCTGATCATGAACTCGTACGCGATCCACAATGACCCGTCGCTCTTCCCGGAACCACAAGAGTTTCGTCCAGAACGCTGGGAAGGAAAGCCCAACGCCAGCTACAACGGCGACGGGCAGCTCTTGTTCACATTTGGCGCCGGCCGTCGGATCTGTCCAGGGCAGCATCTGGCAGAGCGGAGCCTGTTCCTGGTGATCTCGCATTGGCTGTGGGGCTTCAACACGATGCAAGCGACCGATGAGCAGGGGAAGAGACTACCCATCGACAAGGATGACCTGCGGCCGGGATTTATTGTTTGCCTAAACCCATTCTCGGCACATATTGCACCTCGAAGCCCAAAGCATGCCCAGCTGATTCGGAAGACATGGACGGAGGAACTGGAAGTGTCCCTCGACCAGGACCAGCAGTGGAAGGCAACCCCTGAGGGTATTGCCAGATTGATCGACAGGGCAGGAAAATGAGCCAATGTTTCTGGTACAGGCCAAACGTTAGCGTTTTATGAACAAGGCAATGCAGAGACAGAGGAAAGCCATACATACAAGAAAGGAAAGCCGTACATACAAGAAATCATCACGTTCGAGACGCTCTTCCAATTCAAGATTGAGGAAGTGTAGGTAAACCGAGGTCGGAATATGTCGAATCGGAGTGAAGACTAGAAAGACGAAAAAAGGAGAAGGGGGAAGTACTACAGGGATTACTGCGCGCTCTTTCGCATTGAAGTAGACTGGAACATAACGGTCATGAATGCTGTATGGGTATCTCATTATGGCTCTTTTTTTTTTTTTTTTTTTTTTTTTTTCGTTAGTGGGTGAGCACGTCACTCCCACAGTTGAACCTGGCCACGAAGGTAGTCTAATCGCTGAAGAGACTCTGAAAGCACCAACTCGGCAGCACGGTAAATGCAGTCCCCGAGTCGCACATTAGTGGTACGTCGCACATCCTGAACTTTGACGGCAAACATTTTCATCCGCATGAGGATAAGCTGCTTGAGGAAGTACTGTTTGCTATCCTCATCTAGTTCGGTATTACCTACAACGAGTGGAATGCGGCAGGCGTGCGTCCGATCGCCGGCCCGGCTGCCAGTGGGGGGCAGTCGTGAAGTGCGTGCCCAGGTGCTGTATGTTCGCCGGCTGGAGCGCGCACTTTCGGTGTCCAGCAGGGTCTTCTCCTCGATGATCCAGTCAAGCATCTGGACCACGCGCTCCGTAATCACCGACATGAGGAGAGCAGAGGAGCGATTACTGACACACAGGTTGCAGCCCAAAACCCGGTCGAGAAGACCGCGCACGTGGCGCTCCACCTGCAGGATCACGTCGATGGAGGGTCGCGTGGGCTCGGGAAGCGACTGGCGCAAAAACAACAGCTGTTGAAGAAGCGTCGTGTAACATTTCGCTCCGCAGTCCCCATACCTGCTGCTTGTGTTCGAGGAGTCCACACTGAGCGAGGGCCGCTGATCGATGTCGAGCACATGCGCCTGATGTGGTAGAAGGGGGATACTATAATCGTGGAAGAGAAGGGATAAATCGCCGAACGCATCGGAGGAGGGAGGGGAGGCGGCAAGATAGCCGGTATGATGGGCGTCTGAGTTGTGATCTCTGCCGGCGGGATCCTTGCCGAGTGGCGGGGCTGCTAACAGGGCTTCGAACGAGGAATGAAAGACGCTGTCGATGAGATTGATGTTGTCCGCGGTAATGTCACCGGTCAGCAAGGGTGGTTCATCACCGCGGACATCGGCTGTGACGAGGTCCTGACCATTGACGGTTGAGCTAGTAGGCTCTCTGATGATTGTCCTGTTGATGTCGCTCCCAGAATTCACGGTAGGAAACCCAATCCCGACGAAGGTCGGCTTCTTTCTCGGTCGTCCTGTGCGACGTTGCGGGCTGTAGACGCAGGGTTGGCGATGACGGAGGCAGCGATGGCATGAGGGCTTGTGCTGGCTGCACTTGACTTTGGCTTCCTGGCAGAAATCACAGGACTTGCGCAGACGCTCCCAGCTTGCAGTCACCTCCGCCTGTGCACCGAGCGGCGATGGGGATGAATGAGTGGAAGGCATGGTCGGGGCGTGATAAGGTTGGTCTAGATGATGGTTATGTGATGATTGTCCGAGGGTGGAGAAGCGGGTGGGCAGGAGTGACTAAGCGGGGATTAGTCACGAGTTGGCGGCTCTCAATTGGGATGCCTGATAGCTGAGGCAGCATCACAGCCATTGTCCCAAGGACCTACTACGATATGCAGACAGTCGCGTTTTATATGCTTGAAGATGTTGTGCTACCTCGGCTACGGGACAAATTAAAGATCCCAGCTATATACTGGCCGGTGCCTCCCTTCTAGTTCATGCCAGTGGGTTTACCAACAACGTTCATACGAAGACACCGACGATAACTGGTGCTTGGTGGTGCCATTGGGACAATCCCCTCTCTGCAGGGGGCGCATGGTTTGTTCCATCATGGCCTGTTCAACCGGGCCAATTGAGACAGAGCAGACTATCAGGGATTCGGCAGCAAACATTTCAATCACCTTCGACCCTGTTAAACTGCCAGGGATTAGTCCGGGCCATGCAGGCTCTTTCATGCATAAGCGGCTGATGTAGGCAAGTTGAAGACTGAGACATCCGTGAAGGACGCCTCATCCGTGCAGGACGCCTCATCCGTCAGCAGCCTGGCCATGTGCTTGCGCTCAGATAACCTTGGCTATCCGTCGGTTTTCGTTCTTTCGATGGACGAGTTCCAGGATTGAACACAATAGAACCAGCAGACGGGTCTAGAGCCGCCAGAGGACATAGTGGATGGAGGTGGTGTTTCTGCTTCTTTGGCTTCATGCAAGAATACGTAATAGCAATCCTCACCGGTTTTGCAAGTATTGTCTCATTATCAAGAGTGGGAAGGGAGCATCACTGGTTGCGACTCGTTTCGGATGGCATCGGCACGATTGGTTCAACATGTTGTGGGATTAGCATCCTTGGCCTACTTGCCTTCAGGTTTGATTCAATTCTCGATTTTTCCGGGCTTCCTGTCCTCCGGATTTAATCCTTATCTAGCGTATATAACTTGCATATGCATGGCCTCTTCACCTTGCATCATTGATTGGGAGGTATATTGTTGACTGTATGTCAGGAGATAAACTGGACCGGACAGGCCTATTCAGACTGTGCTTTCCCCTTTCACTTTCTGGGTAGTCCAAGTCAACTGACGAACAGGGACTGGGCAAGACAGTGTGCTCACAGTTTAGAAACCTCCGTCCATTTGGTCGAGTGTCAGGATAGGTGCCACCGAAGGGCATAAGCAAAGGCCAACACCGCCCCTGGACCCAGTGCCACCGTTGCTGACAGCAGGCATGGAATGACGATCCAGAAAGACATGCTGACAACCGGCGCCAACAACAAAAATGCGTACGGAACGAACGCCGCCAGGAGTATCCAAATGTCGTATTGGAGGAACGTGTGGGCGGCCTGAGGGAGCGCGGCGATCACCGAAGGGGGCGGCGTCGCACTAGGGAGATAGAGCCGGCGAAAATCGTATCCGATATGGCTCCTGCGGATCTCGCCGCCCCGGGGCTGCCGGGCCGCAGCAATAGCCCCACCAAGCGCATAGAAATGACCCACTGCAGCTGCCAGGCCAGCCGCGACATAAGGAGCCGAGTCGGGGTGGACGCCCACAGACAGGGCCTCAAGCGGGAGGTGCTCCCCCACCCATTGCAGTAGCGCGAAGATGATGGGGGCGAAACGGTAGAGTGCGATTGCTCGCTGTTTTCGTGCGACGCTGCAGGGGATGAACGCCGGGAATAAGAAAGTGAAAGGCAGGAGTGAGCCCAGAAGGGCGCTGACCAGCAATGCTCCAGAGACCCGGGAATTGTCCACCGGACGAAGCGTGTCGAAACCGCGGCTCACGGACTCAAACAGGAGGTAGAGAGGATAGACGAAGGCGGCGCCGTAGAATTGATTGAAGATGTTCCATATCGTGGGAACTCTGTAGGCAGTCAGCCGGCTAGAGTCTCGTTCGATAACTCGCAGACTTACATCAAGGATAGACTGGATGAGGACGAAGACCGGCTGCTGACAAGGATACAGAGTGCAGTAGCCTGCATCGTCGAATGGATGTCCACCAGTAGCAGGCGGTGGACCGGGTCCGACCCATCCATTAGCCCATTATAGAAAATTACAGCGGACACGAGTTTTGCATCCAAAGTCGGAAAGGGTGAGAACCGACGGAGCAACGGAGTACCGTCTGCAAATCGGCTGGTTCTCCTGACTTCCTTGATGGCTGCCGTGGCATGGCGGAGCGAGACTGACCAGAGACAATAATATCCCAACCACGCTAGCCCGCCCCAGTAGCCAGTAGAAAAGAGCAATCGCCAGACGGGCAAGCCTTGGAGGAGGCGAAGGAGCGTCATCCTGACACGGGAGGCGATATCGTCTCACTGTATGGTCTTGGGGGGGGGGCTGAAGAAAATCCAAGCAGAGGAAAAATCGCAGGATAGAACCGGGCCAGAAACCAGTATGAGGAATCAGGATTCCTCGCCATGGGGACGACAACAGCTAATATGCTTGATCTGAATCCTTGGGCAGAATACCGGTCAGTTCTATACTGTCCGGGTTTTAAGCGAGAAGTTGATTATCAAGCAAGCACAGCTAACTAATCAACTGGTTAGTTAGTTAACTAGGTACTACATCAAACACACCGGCGCATGCATGCAGTCGGGTTGTTTTCCCTGGCAGCCTCTCGGGCTTAGTTAGGCAGATATTTCTCCCCGAGGATTAGCAACGATGTACATTATGTAATTATTCTTCTTCTTATTATTAATTTTTTTTTTTTTTTTCCCCTGGTTGTTTACTATTTCGCATGCTGGGTGGTTTCGTGGGAATGTCCAGCTGTAGCAGTAAGGAAGATAGTGTGAAGGCTCAGCTATCGAGTCTCTACTTCCCCCGCCGGTCAACTGGTCAGAAAGCAAGACACCCAATTTAAAGGATTTATTTTCCTCGTAGGACATACATACAGAGTACCTTATGCAACTTCCATGGAGAAGTTTTCTGTTGGTATCATTCATAGACAAGAAACGGTATTACGAAAACTTGAAGAGCAACATTCAACTTTACCAGACTCATCGGCTTATTGACTACCTAGCATTAGAATGCTCTACAGCCCTACTAGACCCTTCATGCACCTTGATTGCTCGATATTGGTTTCCAGACCCCAGGAGACCCAAGTCACACGACAAGATATAACATTGTTTAAACTCGGCAACTCTACTTACATCTACTAGAGAAGGTGGAAACTCGCGTGAAACTCCCCTAGCTTATAGCTATCGATGCTTGCGTGCCATTGGCAAAGGATCTAGGCTGCGCACACACCCGAAAACCCCCCAATGTCCGACACATATCCAACAGGTAGGGCGTAGATCAAGGTCATCCAGTACACCGTCCAGATATACCCTAGACCTCTGACAAATCCTTTTGCAGAAGCCACTTAGCAAATATGGTCGAAAATAAGCAAAAGAGACGCAACCACGAGAAAACTCACCGTTATCTTGAATCCCAGCTTTCCTGCCATAGTGCTTGATCAGATCTTCCAGGGTAATGATGGCCGCGTACGATGGCATCTGCCAAAACATTCCCCAGCCATAGCGCAAAGATGGAATCAACAGCGGACACGCGTAGTGTTGGACTCCGGATACCAAGAATCCCACGTACAGCTTCGTATACTTATAGACCAGAGTCCCTTTTTCCGAACCGAGGGCTTTGGCCACCACCTCGCCAGACCGTGTGAACATGGGACGGAACATCTGATGCCAGACCCTCCCCCAGAAATTCCGAACAGTGAATAGGTCGGCCGGGCTGCCGAAGAGGCCGGGCCAGCGATCCGGCGTGGACAGATACAGCCCGACGAAGAGCAGGGAAGCCTTGCGATATTCGCTGTCCAGCATGAGGCTGTCGCGAACCAACTGGACCCCAACGAGCAGATGCTGGTGAAGTATGGGCAATGCGCGGAAATCCACACTTGCCACTTTTGCCGGCCAGAACGCGCAGAATGCGTACTTCCGCACCACATCGGAGATGTACTGGTTCAGAAGGATTCTCCCTGCGTTTGTAACCAGGAATTCCCTACCAAGCTCTATCAGCAGCTGCACTTGGAAAAACACTCCAGGAAACAGACATACCACCGGGACTGAGTCTGCTCCGCGCCTCGTCCGAGATGCTGGTCAGCGAAATTCCAACCCTGGCCGCGCCAGCATGACCACAATTCCACGCTCCATTTGACTTTATTCAGGAACGCCGAGCCGTGTAGGGTTCCTCCGTCTGCGCTGGTGCTGCCAAGCCTCGTCGCGGTCTTGCTGTTCTGGTAGTAGTCGATTTCGGGAGTTCCAGTCAGGAACATGAGCGTCCATCGCACCGTGATGGAGATCATGAAGATCGCATCCATGAAGAAAGCTGGACCGGATACCCAGTGGGTGAGCACGTACAGCCATAGACTGGTAAAGGCTGTCATTCCGACGGTGACCCGCATGGGGCCTGGGGAAGGAATGGTGGTGAGGATGGCGACGGCCATGAAGGTTGGCGTCAATAACTTGGTGGCCCAGGCGGGCATCTCCTCGCGCGAAGAATACGCATCTTCCAGGTTCAGGAGAATGTCAAGCATGATAGCTGGTCAGTCGTCAAGCCTCGGAGCACTACCTGCTCTCAAGTGACCAAGAGAGTGGGAGTAGAATTTGACAGAGAGAAGGGCTTCCGTGCCTATGATCATGTTGACAGAGTTCTATCAATGGAATAAAATGGAAGTCGAGAGTGACTTGGCATCGGGGAGTGACCCTCACCAGACACGACACGACTTAGGGCTAAGGGAAACAGCCCGATCCTCGGGGGGTTCTTAGTCAGCACTCATCGGGGCGTTTTGGTCTCTCTTGCTGCTGAGAACAAGGAAGCAAGAGACGCTAATTGATTCATAAGCACTTTAATAATCGCCTTAATAATTACAAGAGTGGTAGCTAAGCAATGGTGGATCCCATCTCATGCTTGCGGTGTTGTATACAAGCCCTCTTTTTACCCCTTTCGGCGAACCAGCGCCAGCCCTAATCCCCCGTCAAGCACCCGAACATCGTCGCCCAACATGAAATCAGTCGACTGCAGTGAATCTCCCTGTCGTCTTGCTCTCAATGAAATTTTTAATCCAAGCTTCAGCGTTCCATGGCATTTGTCAGCGCAGTTAACTTCTGGAGACGCGGCGTGGCTCTTGTTGATCTCAACTTGACTCTTGTTGATCTCAACTTAAGTCAGGATTCTTCCTCGTGCAACGGGCTATTCTGTGCAATTTATTACTCTCGAGACTAGGACACCATTCAGTGTTTCTCCAGACCATACTTTCTCCAACAATGGCTGATCTCACCGATACGGAGACGCGGCCGTCAAACTTGGACACTGCACGAGACGCGGAAAAGCAAGAGAGTAGCAGTTCGAACAGCGACCAGAGCAAGGAGATTTCGACGAGTCCACGCAATGTCCACGGCTTCCTATGGGTGACAGTCGTTCTGGCCATCTACAGCTCTACCTTCCTCTTCGCCCTAGACAATACCATCGTCGCCAACATCCAGCCTGCCATCATCAAATCGCTGAACGGAGTGGACAAGCTGGCCTGGTCCGGCGTCGCATTCGTGATGGCCTCCAGCGCGACCGTCCTGACCTGGCTTCAAATCTTCAACCTGTTCAATATCAAGTGGATGTATATTTTCTCCATTGTGGTGTTCATGGCCGGCTCCGCCGTCTGCGGAGCGGCGCAGTCGATGAACACGCTCATCGGGGGCCGTGTGATCTGCGGCGTGGGCGGCGTGGGCCAGTACGTCGGCGTCATGAATTTCCTCCCTCGCTTGACGTCGATGCAAGAACGTCCGATGTATATCAGTGCAATGGGTCTGACATGGGGTGCGGGCACCGTCCTCGGCCCCATCATCGGCGGCGCGTTTACCGATAGTTCGGCGGGCTGGCGGTGGTCGTTCTACATCAATCTTTGTGTCGGCGGCCTGTTCACTCCGGTGTACATCTTCTTGCTGCCTTCGCTGCACCCGCAGCCCGTGGTGACCCCTGTGATCGAGCGGCTGAAGCAGATGGATCTTGTGGGCTCGCTCATTCTCATGGGTGCCTTTGCGGCGGGAGTCATCGGTGTCAACTTCGCCGGCGCCATGTATCCCTGGGACGCACCCGGCATCATCGTCGCACTCGTGCTCGGTGGAGTGTTGTTTATTGTCTTTGGCATCCAGCAAACCTTCTGCATTTTCACCACCGAAGAAACACGTCTCTTCCCCGTGGAGCTGGTCTCATGGCGCAAGCCGCTCCTGGCACTCCTCTTCATCTGCGGTTGCTGCACCGGAGTCTGCGTGACGGTCCCCACGTACATCATCCCCCTGTACTTCCAGTTCACTGCATCGGACGAAGCGCTCCAGTCGGGTGTCCGGCTACTCCCGTTTGTCTGCCTGCTCGTGTTCAGTTGCGTCGGAGGCGGATTCCTCACCTCCCGTTTGGGGTACTACATCCCCTGGTACATCATGGGAGGAGCTTTGTGTCTAGTGGGCTCCGCGCTGATGTACACAATCCAACCTCACAGCAGCGCGGGAGCGACCTACGGATACAGTGCGCTGATTGGTTTGGGATCCGGAATGTATCTCCAACTGGGTCATGCCGTGGCGCAGGCGAAAGTCAAGCCCGAAAAGGTTCCGGCCGCCGTTGCGTTCACCACCACGGCGCAGCTGAATGGATTGACCTTTGCCTTGGTCATCTCACAGTGTGTCTTTGTCAATGAGGCTGCGAAGCGTAAGTCACTCTTTCCCTCCGCATTATGAGCTGTGAACTCATGGGATTTGCTCCCTAGGAATTGCATGGGTCCTCCCACATGAGGCCCGTTCGACCATCATTGATGCCATATCCGGAACTGGCTCGACCTTCGTCCAAGACTTGGACCCGGCCACTAAGAGCAACGTTCTCTCTGCAATTGTCACGGCCATTGATCGGACTTATATCCTCTGTATTGTGGCTGGAGCGGTCACTCTGCTCGCGACATTCGGCATGAAATGGGAGCGGCTGTTCATTACCGCTGCGGCCGCTGCATGAGGAGGTTCAAGATACCCACGCACAGGGCCTGAAGAGCCAGCTAGATTTGGATTTTTTGTCTGTTCAATTCACTTCTCACCTTTGCTTAGTCCTCTCCCTTTCGTCATTTAACCTGGGGTTTGACAGAGTACAACGGTTTAGTTAGGTAGACTTTAATTATATCGTTTCCAATTGATATTCTCCGAATAATATGATTGTATGTATAGTACAACGTTCTAAGCAGTAGATCTTGCCGGCCAGCTAGACCGTCGAATGGCCCGGACGTAGAAGTTCAACGGCCGTATCACAATGAAGTCCGGATCATACTCGATAGCCTCGTCCGTAGCGTTCACAAACTCGTAGCGATAGACCAGCTCCGCCAACGCCACCTTCACTTCCTGCAACGCCACGTTGAACCCAATGCAACCACGCGCCCCCGCCGCAAAAGGCACATACAAGCTCCGGTGCCGATTGCTGACTCCCTCAGTCGCCCATCGGTCGGCGTCGAAACGATCCGCGTTCTCCCAGTATGCCGCGTGCCGGTGGAGGTGCGGGATGCTCGGGATGAGGATGGAGCCTTGCGGAAGCGCCCATCCGCCGGGGAGAACGACGTCTTTCTTGACGTTGCGGGCGGGCTGGAAGGATGGGCTGTGCATACGCTGCGTCTCCTTAACAAAGGCGTCGACGAACGGCATTGCCTGGATCTCATCGTAGCTCCAGTTCTTGTCAAGGGTGGCACCGTGGTTGACCAGCTCCTGGAGTAGACGGTCCTGTTGCCCGGGGTAGGTCACCAGAGAGTAGATGAGCCACGCTAGAAAGGAGGAGCTGGTGACGAAGCCCGCACCGACCAGCGCAAGCGTGTTGCTGAGGATGTATTCATGGCGGAGCTTGCAGCCGCGTTCGTCGGTGGCGCGCGCTAGGTAATCCACCAGACAGGAGGCATGGAGCGCAGCGGTCTGGATGGGGAGGTCGTCTGTCGTTCCGTTGTGGTTTCGGCAGGCCATAACAGCTTGCTCGATCAGACCGTAGAGCTCCTTTCGGGTGTTTTTCAGAGCGACCGGGTCACCTGTTAAACTTATCCGTTAGCAAAGGTTCATACATGGAAAATCTCGGTGGATTTTCGCATAGCGTTTGTGGATATACCAAACGGAAGGTATGAGTACCAGGCGCCTTTGGTTTGCACGCGGCGGTTGAGGGTCAAATACTGCTGAAGCAGGACGATGATTCGATGCATAGGACTGTCGACGGCGTCGAAATGGTGAAGGTCCACTCCCAGCACCAACTGACAGATGACCTGCGACGCGAGCTTTGCCGTCAGATGGTACACGTTGAGTGCCTCTCCGTTCTCGTCGAACGCGTCGAGAACCAGGAACGCCTTCTCCACCGATCGTTGCAGCAGCGGGGTGTAGTGTCGCACCGCCCGGGGGGTCATACTCGGAGGAATGAACCTGTGTGCCTCCTGCCATGCTGGCGAGTCCGTATCGCAGAGAAAGAGGGCCGTATCATCTCGGATCCCAAACAGAGGGTGGCTCGGAGCGGATGGGGCCTTGGTGAAGTACTCTCCGTCGCGAAAAGCGAGTGCAGTGATGTCCGGGTCGTTTGTCAGATAGGTCACTCGCCCTAAATTGTCTGTACCGATGACGCCGCCGTACTTATTGAAGAGCCGCTGGTGATTCCCCAGGTGGTCTGGATAGATTTCGAAATGATTGCCGAATCCCGGTACGCCCACCGGCTGTTGCGGTTCTCTGACAGGGTGACCGGCAATTGTGATCCCCACGGCCTCACAGACAAGCAATTGCTCAATATTCTCGATGTTCTCCAGGGCGGTATTCCCCTTGTGAAAGCGAATATCAGCCGGGCGGAGGATGTTGTACACCGCTGCAATCCCCGGACGCAAGTCTTCCAGCGCCGCGGGCTCACCGATCTCCAACTGACGGGTTGAACTCTCCGGACGGCCAACCAGGTGAAATGTCCTGAGAACCATGTTGCTGTGAGAAGAAGCAAGCTAGATGTGAGTGCGTGGTGTGCGCAGGTGCCCAGACACCGTCGGCGGCGCACAGTTATATCGAGCGTCACTTTCGATCGGACTGTTTTCCTTTGGGCAAATCTCCCGAGACACCCGAAAAGTCCTCTTGTTTTTATACCCACTGGAGTCGATGCCATCGAGAGAGCATCCGACCTTCCAGTGTTTTCCATTACATCGCTACTGCAAGCTTACAATGGGTGTCGAAACCGAATTGACCTGGGCCGATATCAAACGCCACAGTACCCCGCTGGACCTCTGGGTCACAATCGACGGGAAAGGTAAGAGAGAAGGGAAAAAAAACAAAAGAAAAGGGAAATTTTATTGATCGGATTGTTTAGTCTACGATGTGACTGAATATCAACAAGACCACCCTGGAGGAGAAGAGATTCTACGCGATTTTTCTGGACAAGATGCCACCGCTGCCTTTGTCGATGCCGGGCATTCCCACGATGCATACGAGAAATTGGAGTCACTGTTAATTGGCAGACTCGAGCAGAGCAATGTCGTGAAGCAGCGCCAGCAGCAGCGGACCGCAACAGTGGGACCAATCTCAGTGGTCCCGGGTAAGCAGAAGCAGCCAGACTCCCCTGCGCTCCCCGTCAAGATGGGCATTGTGGCCGGATCAGGAGGCGCATTATTGATCCTCGCTGCCTCCTATGCCGCAGTTCAAGGGTACTTTGCTGAAGGGCTTGCCTTATTGCGACCTACGTTTGCCCCGGGATCCATTCCAGCAAACGCCGGGAGAGGCTATCTGAACGGGATTTTGACGGCCATCGCCTGCCAGGGTGTGGCAGGAACACTGCTCGGGCTACACCTCAACAAAGCCCTCTTTCACCGGCATCGGGAATTAGAAGACTATCCCCGGGCCAGGAAACCTTCCATGCCCATCACCTCGCGGCGCGGATCGGTGGGTTTGCATCGAGACCAGACCACGATGCTGACACTAGCGTCGCGGCAATGCATCGGCGACTCGGGCAAGGAAAGTAGCAATCCTGTCTACCGAATCAGGCTCAAATTTCCCGACGCTACTGCAAGGCTGAACCTCAGCGTGGGCCAGCATATCAGAATATCCGCCGAAATCGACGGCAGATTGGTCCACCGCAGTTATACCCCGGTCTCGAGCGAGCATGAGCGCGGGATGGTTGATTTGATCGTCAAGGTTTACCCGCAGGGCCGCATGGGTAATTATCTTCAAGGACTTCCGCTCCAGTCGTCAGTTGCTGTCTGCGGGCCATTTGGCAATTATCGCCCGAATCCCGCATGGACAACCATTGGGTGTATCGCTGGGGGCACAGGGATCACCCCAATCTACCAAGTCCTTCGCGAATGGTGTCATAAGACTAGGGGGGAGCGGGCCGTTCTGCTCTACGGCAGCGAGAGACAGGAGGACATCCTTCTGCGAGACGAGCTGGATGCCCTTGTCGGCAGATACCCCGAGCGAGTCCAAGTGCATCACGTTCTAAGCCAACCTTCTCCCGGGTGGACGGGTCTGACGGGACGAGTGACTCGGGAGATGATGGAGGAGCTTCTGCCGCGACCAGCGTCTAACGCTGGGTTTTTGATTTGCGGGCCTGATGGAATGGTTCGAGCCATCCGGGGCCATCTTGAGGCTATTCAAGGGACCCGTGAAGATAAAGCAGGAGTATTTGTTTTCTAGTACCGGATTTGACAGAGATATCTGACAGGAAAGAGGCCGGCTTAACCACAATTGATGTGCATCACTCGGCATGTTTCTCAGTCTGGTAGTTTTGGTTAGATAACACAATGCAATAGCTCGGGAATATACGGATCTGTTTAAAGTATCCTACTCAGGACCCCTGGAATCGTCTCGAAAATCAACCAGACATCTTAGTGCTGGTCATCCAGATCCCTCTCGCCCTTTCACCCCCCCTAACTGCCTAACATGCCGAGAATCCTATGTCTACATGGCTATGGCACTTCTGCCGCCATCCTGCGACACCAGCTGGGACCCTTCATGGCTGCTGCCGACCCCAGCTATGAGTTTGTCTTCCTAGAGGGGGAGACGGAATGCCAGAAGGCTCAAGGTGACTTCCCTTTCCGTAGATATCCAACTGTTTCTGTGCCCTTGGAATAACCTGTTATCAGGTGTGGGCAATTTCGTCAAAGGCCCGTTCCTGTGCTACAATGGCAGCTTTGCACCGGCCGACATCCAACAATCCTGCGATCTCATCGACGACTTTGTCGAGGCCGAAGGCCCCTTTGATGGCATTCTAGGCTTCAGCCAGGGCGGTTCCGTAGCCCTGACATACCTCCTCCAACGCCAGCTCGACGGCCATCTGCCTTCCTTCCGGTTTGCCATTTTCCTGTCGACGGTGGTGGCTTTCTCCCCGGACGAGACATTCGGCAGCCACCTGCTCGCCAACCTCACGGATCGCGAGATCCGCCTTCTGGACTCCTACCCCACTGCGGACCTGTCCTCCCTGCATCCGCTGACCCGTGCCCTGTGCGAGACGACTGCAAGGACCTTCTACTCGGCCAAGACCGGAGGCTTTATCGCGCAGGACACCAAAGAGTCCATGTTTGCCCGTCGCGATGACCCAGCCCAGCCGCGTGTTTTCCATCCGGCTCTGGTGAAGGATCGCATTCCCATCCCCACTGTGCATATCACCGGGAAGAAAGACCAGGCGATGATGGTGAACCTGTCCGTCCTGGTGCAGGGCCTATGCGATCCCCGGTTGATCCGCTCGTTGACCCATTCCGGAGCCCATGATGTGCCTCGTCGTCCGGATGATGTGCGTGCAGCATGTGCTGCGGTGGACTGGGCGATCCAGCAGAGCCAGCAGCAATATATCTGGTAAGTCTGATGGCTGCTGCTCTTGTTGCTGTTCGGCGGATTGATCTAGAGAGACATACCAACCACGAGGCAGGCGTGCGGCACTTTAGAACCAGCATTAGAACACCCCGGATGGAAGATCTAGATAGAGCAGATGCAAGGAGCTATCAAGTTTGAGAAGTGTATAGTCTTATATGTTTGATTTCATGCAATGGGGGTATCTCAGAGGAATACATGACGTGGTAGATGTCAACTTTTGCTTAGACAAATAGATGACATTGTGTATTAGGAATATTTGATGGCAGTAGTAGTAGTAGTAGTATTCGTCTACCCTGAATAGCTGGAATAGTGCCTACTGTGCGAGTGTTCCCTACTCGCCCGAAATGAAGCTATTCAGACACATACAAAAGAGATATTATTAAACCAAGCGTTGGTCAACGTTTTGGTCTAGTGGTCTTGAGATTATCTCTCGAAAAAAAACCTATCTCAGCAAAATAGAACGCCTAACAACCTAGGTATCAGCCTCCACCGACGGTCTGACCGGCTGTTCTCGTCTCGGTGTAAGATCGGGACCCGACCGGCCCAATATCGTAGATTTTCCATTTCGGCTCTCTAATTCCTCCAAGCCATCGGATTTCAATTCTATTCGTGGCCTCTAGACCAGTTCCAGACCATCATTAGAGTTCCGAAAATGGTGCCGGCCGGGTTGAGTAAAGACAAAAGTGCCCGGCAACGAGACCTTGAGGGCCGCAGAGGGATGGTACAAGAGAACGCGATGTTCCAACCCTTTTCATATCTGTGAGCAGCATCATTCGCTTACCTGATTTCTTCCGTTTGACCGTCTGAGCCTAGAGGCAATACACTCGCTACCCGCCATGCCATCACCCGATTCTCAGAGATTTGGCGATGCCACGGAGCCGATTGCCATCGTTGGCATGGCCTGTCGGTTTCCTGGAGAGGCATCTACCTTGGACAGGTTTTGGGACATGATTGTCAATGGCCGGACGGGACACTCTGCAGTTCCCCCGGATCGCTTCGACGCGGAGGCCTGGTATCATCCGAGTCACGAACGGAAGGGAACAGTAAGTAGCTATCGCATGGTGCCCGTTAGATCCTCCAGAAGTTACTCACCTGAGCCATGACAGATTCAACCGCGGAGTGGATTCTTTCTGGAGGAGAGCTCCGCCGTCTTCGATGCCCCATTCTTCTCCATGACGGCAAACGAGGCCGCGGGCATGGACCCCATGCAGCGGAAGTCGCTGGAGATCGCGTACGAGGCATTTGAGAATGGTAAGTGAGAGGATAGTTGTAACTTCTGAGAGAAATCGAATACTGAGGCCTCTCGAATAGCTGGCATTCCTATCGGCACGTTACCTGGCTCGGCGACGGGCGTCTACACCGGTGTTATGACCAACGACTACGAATTGATGACCGCTGGCGATCCTATGCAGCTTCCACAGAACGCAGCATCGGGAACGAGTCGTGCTATGCTTTCCAATCGGATTTCCTGGTTCTTCGACCTGCGCGGCCCTAGCTTTGCCCTAGACACGGCTTGTTCGTCTAGCCTGTATGCATTGCATCTAGCCTGTCAGTCCTTGCGTACGGGGGAAAATCGCCAGGTAAGGCCTTGGAGTCTGGAGCGTAATGAATGAACAGAGACTAATGATTTGTAAACCAGGCCCTTGTCACCGGTGTGAATCTAATACTCGCGCCTAATTTTATCTCCCAGCTGTCCTCGATGCACATGCTGAGCCCTGATGGAGAGAGTCACTCTTTTGACTCTCGAGCCAACGGATACGCTCGGGGGGAGGCACTCGCAGCAGTCGTCGTCAAGACCCTCCACCAGGCCCTGGAAGACGGAGATACAATTCACGCGGTCATTCGCGGCAGTGGGGCGAACCAGGACGGCAAGACGGTGGGCATTACGATCCCGAACGGCGAGGCACAGGCGGATCTCATCCACACCACCTATGCCACGGCGGGACTGGACTTGAATCACACGGGATATTTCGAGGCGCATGGAACGGGCACCTCGGTTGGGGACCCGATTGAGCTGAGTGCCATCGGAGGAAGCTTCGGTGCACAGCGCAGTACTGACAACCCGCTGGTCGTGGGCAGCGTCAAGACTAACATCGGCCACACCGAGGGGGCTGCAGGCCTGGCGGGCGTCATCAAGGCGGTACTCGCCATCGAGCAAGGCGTAATCCCTCCGCTGCCCGATTTCAAAGAACTCAACCCCAAGCTTCGTCTTGACGAGTGGCGACTGGCATTGCCGCTCACGCCCACGCCATGGCCCACGGCTGGTCTCCGTCGAGCCAGCGTGAACTCGTTTGGTTTCGGTGGAGCCAATGCCCATGTCATCCTGGATGATGCGTATCATTATCTGCGATCACACGGGCTGAAGGGGATGCATCGGACTGTAGTGCCTGAGAAGGATGACTCGTCTGACTCTGGTCTGAGCATCCCATCGGATAGCAGCGACGCAGATGGAGAGGAGAGCACCAACCCTCCTGTCCCCAGGCTCTTTGTCTTCTCTACATACGATGGAGGTGGTATCCGACGGACGGAAGCATCGTGGGCCAGCTTCCTTGCGAAACACGTCTCGGACAACAGTAAACAACGACGGAATATGATCGTGGCTGATGACCTCGCATACACCCTGTCACAGCGCCGGACTGCCTTTGACTTCCGGAGCTTTGCAGTGGCGTCTACCCTGCCCGAGCTGGCGAGCAAGATTGAGCAGGATGGCCTTCCCCGACTCAACCGGGTCTCTCGCCACCTGAAACCTATTTTTGTCTTCACCGGCCAAGGCGCCCAGTGGCCCGCCATGGGACGCGAGCTGCTCTCCGATCCCATTTTCCGTGCCAGCATCGACCGCAGCAGGAATGTCCTGGAATCGGCGGGTTGCGAGTGGGACATCCTTGATCTTCTTTCTGACCCAGCCGATCGTCGCATCGACGGCCCTGCATTTTCTCAACCGGTGTGCACGATCGTACAGATCGCTCTGGTGGACCTCCTCCGATCCTGGGGGGTTCAGCCTGCAGCTACTGTGGGCCACTCCAGCGGCGAGGTTGCAGCTGCCTATGCAGCAAACCTACTCTCGCAGGCGGACGCTGTCCGCATCGGATACTGGCGTGGGTTTTACAGTGAGCAGGTCAAGGATCGGATGGGAGAGTGCAAGGGCGCGATGATGGCTGTGGGACTGTCCGAAACCCAAGCAGTCGCATACCTGGACAGAGTTCCTGAAGGAAGTGTCGTGGTGGCGTGCGTCAACAGCCCAGCCAGTGTCACCCTATCTGGTGACGAAAGCGCCATTGATCACTTAGAGACCGTACTCCACGGCGATGGCCATTTCGCACGCAAGCTCCGCGTTCAGGTGGCCTACCACTCTCCGCATATGCAGGTCGTTGCCGATGCCTTCGTTCAGGCATTAGGCAAGGTCCAGCCGCAAGCCTCGGACATTCCCATGTTCAGCTCGGTGACGGAGAAGCAAATCGATGACCCGTCGGTCCTTCAGGCATCATACTGGATGCAAAATCTGGTCTCTCCGGTTCGCTTCTCGGGAGCACTGACGAGTTTGCTCAGTCATACCTCAGGAGGGAATCCGCGCCGCCGTCGGGTGGCCACTACTGCGTGGAGTGCGCTGGTCGAGATTGGGCCCCATGAGGCGCTCAAGGGCCCCTGCCGCCAGATCATGTCGGCGTGGGACAGCAAATCCCCCGAAAGGATTCCATATATGTCTCTTCTCAGCCGCGGCAAGCACGCTATGGAAACTGCTCTGACAGCGGCCGGGATGCTCTGGGCCAGTGGTCACCCCGTTGATCTGCGGCGGGTTAACCAGTGTCGCGAGGGACTGCAGATGGTGGTTCCTGATCTGCCTCCCTACGCGTGGAACCACGAAAAGAGCTTTTGGCACGAGCCCGCCGCCTCTATGTCGGCACGGCTACGAAAGGAGCCCCGGAATGACCTCCTGGGAATGCCGGTGCCTCATCAGAATCCATTTGAACGAAGCTGGCGCAATTATCTGTCCGTCTCGGAGTGCCCTTGGCAAAGAGATCATATCATCACAGGCACGGTTCTGTATCCTGGTGCTGGACACTTGATCATGGCTTTCGAGGCGGCCCAGCGACTGGCCTCGCCGGACCGGGCACTGGCCGGAGTGGAATTCTGCGACGTGCATTTCGACAAGGGACTTGTCATCCCGTCCGGTGATCAAGCGGTGGAGACACTACTGGCGACTAGGCCTCACGAGAAGCTATCCGACTGGTATCATTACACGGTATACTCTGTCAATGAAGATTCATCCTGGACGAAGCACTCCTGGGGCACCTTCAGCCTGCACTACGACGGCGTCGTCAGCTCGGAGCAATGCCAGCGTTATCACCAGACATACAAAGCTCTACGCTCGCGTGCAGCCATCCCACTGGACATTCCATCTTTCTACGATCAGCTGCAATCCATCGGAACCGAGTATGGTCCTACCTTCCGCAATATGGTGGAGGGTGCGGCTGTACCAGGCGAGCACAGCAGTGTAGGGACCATCGCCATCCCGAACACCCGCGCTGTCATGCCCCACGAGTTCGAGTATCCCCACCTTATCCACCCAGCCACACTCGATGCCATCTTCCATCTGATCTTCGTGGCTATGAGCCAGGGCCAACCGCTCGCCGAGTCCGCCATTCCTACCAAGGTGGACCGTCTGTTCATCTCCGCGGATCTACCAACCGGTGCAGGAGCCGTTTACACCGGCTACTCGCACACAGAGTCCTTGTCTGGCCGGGATACGCAAGGTACCATTGTCGTCTCTGACGAAAGCTGGCCGTCGGGTCCGAAGATCATTGTGGAAGGAATGACGGTGACGGAAGTCTCGTCGGGGGCTTCCGGTCAGTCCAGCCCCGAGCAGTCCTCAGCCGGTCAAGGCCGCATTGCGACGTTGGATTGGAGGGAAGATCTAGACACGCTGGTCGGCCCCATGGCTATCGACTGTCTAGCTCGGAAGGCTACCAGTGCTCCGAACTCATTGATGGGCGAAAGTGATGCCGTGCGCCATCTCCATTCCTGGCTAGACTTGGCTTGCTTCAAGAACGCGGACTGGAAGGTCCTTGCGGTGGAGCCCACGACCTGGGGCGGCAGCAGTGTGCTTTTGGAGACCTTTGCAACCAAGACGGGTGCACGCTATCGGTTTGCCCAGACCGTGATTGCCGAGTCAAAGGCTGAGGCCACTCAACAGATTGAACAGAGGCTGTCGCAGGGTGGACTGGATGTGACATACACGACTGTGGATCTTTTTGCGGGAGCCGACGAAGAGACGGTGGCCCAGCTAGGTACATTCGATCTCATCCTCGCTCCCTACAGTTTAGCAAACCAGCTGCCGCATCTGGAGCCGCTGTTGCGCTCAGAGGGCAGGATGGCCTTGGTCTCTACAGGTACAAAGGACGATCATGACGAGTCTTCCTCGGGAGACGTGTTGCATACAACTGCCCTTCAAGAGACAATCCGATTCCGTTCTGGTCAGGACAACAGTGGTCTGTGGATTGCCAGCCTGGAATCCAAGCACGATCCAGCAAGCGACTTCAGCGAAATTGTGCTTCTGCAGCATGCGGATCCCGCTGCGTCTAGCAGAGCACTGGAGGAGCAGCTCACGACACGCCTTAGCGCACTCGGACATCGCGTCCGGACGACGACTCTCTCTGCGGCACAAACACTGTCTGGACACGTTGTGATCTCCCTCCTCGAGGCAGAGCGTTCGTTTGTAATCTCATGGACATCTGATGACTTTGAACAGTTCCGCCAGCTGACCAGTGCGCAATATCTCCTGTGGGTCACGCATGGCGGTCTCCTCGAGGCACAAGAGGCTTCCCTTGCCTACTCTCCATCTACTGGGCTTCTGCGCGCCGTGCGCGCCGAGAAGCCCCAGATTCGACTGCCCCATCTTGACCTCACTCCTGGCCTTGATGTAGGGTCGGAACAGGCAGTTGATCTAATCTTGAAGGTCTTCGGCTCCACCAGCAAGGCCCCCGTGAATGGGAAGAACTGCGAGATGGAGTATGCTGAGCTGAATGGCTTGTTGCATATCGGTCGTGCACAGGGCCATCACGGACTAGACCATGAGCTGGCACTGCATGCGGCCACTGTGATCAGTGTGCCCGGACCTTTATATCAGCCGGGTACGAGCCGAAAGCTCGAGGCATGCCGCGCTGGCGATGCGTCGAGTCTCCGGTGGATCCCGGACGAGCGCGACAGCCATACGTTAACTGATTTTGAGATAGAACTGCAGCCCACTCACATGGCTCTAGAGGATGGTATGGTCAAAGAGTTCTTGTCTGGTAAACAGCGCGCCCTGTTGCCGCCGGCCCTTGGGCGAACCGCCGTCGGAACCGTCACCGATGTTGGTCCACTGGTGTCAAGATTTGCGCCTGGAGACAGGGTGCTCACGCTGCATCCGGGCCCGTTTCACACGCATCTGCGCATGTCCGAGTCCCTGGTACACAAGCTTCCGGAATCACTCTCCCCCGGCGAAGCCGCTGTCGTACCCCTGGTCGCAGCGCACGCCTGGCATGTCCTTGTGGAGGTTGCGGCGTTCCGGGCCGGTCAGACGGTCTTCGTCAATGGATCGGGCGACATCCTAAGTCGGCTTCTTGTCCAGCTGGTCCAGTCGCTCAAGGGGGAAGTGTTTGTGTCGGTTTCCTCCGAGGAAGAGCGACATGCGCTTATGGAAAATCACCATATCCCGGCTAATCGCATCTTCAACCAGTTGAACCCGGCGTCGTGGACCTCCGATATTCTGGCAACAGCAGATGGCAATGGGCTGGATGTCATCATCAACAATACGACGGCGGGTTCCACAGTGCGGAGTTTGTCTGCTTCTGTCAAGAGTGGAGGACGCTTCGTGGATGTCACTCAGAAAGTTGTCCCGTCGATGCTGGATCCCACAGTGTTTGAGCGTGGCATCACTTTGTCCTTCCTGAACCTGACCACCCTGCCCGACAGCAAGCTGTTCAATCTTGTTGATAAGGCTCTTAATTTAGCTCGGATGGGACGTTTCAATCCGATGCCCTCTATCTCGTTGTCTTCTGTCTCTGAACTGCCACATGCTCTGACAGCACTAGTCCAACAAGAAGGATCGTCCCCGACTCCGATGGTCATTGAGTTCCCCCAGGACGCAACGGTTCCCTTGCTCCCATCCCCGCCACCACCGCTCCACCTCAAGCCCGAGGCGACATACATCCTTGCGGGGGGCCTAGGCGCTCTGGGTCTCACAATCGCGGACAACTTGTGCGCTCACGGTGCGCGACACCTGGTCTTCCTCAGTCGGTCTGGAGCGTCCAGTCTTCGACAGCAAGAGGCATTGCAAAACTTGCGTGAGCATGGATGTGCCGTAGACGTGGTGCGTTGCGACGTGACAGATGCAGAGCAGGTGAAGGCGCTCGCCGCACAAATCCAGGAGAAATCCTGGAAGGTGCAGGGTGTCGTACAACTTGCGATGGTTCTACGGGTAAGTCGTTCTGGCCTCCCCCTGAAGCGGTTGACACCAAGCTAACAACACCTGGGTGACCAGGACTCCATCTTCGAGAATATGACGTTCGACAAGTGGCTGACTGCAGTAAACCCGAAGGTCAAGGGCACCTGGAACCTGCACAGCTACCTGCCGCAGGAACTAGACTTCTTCATCATCCTCTCGTCCCTCTCGGGGATCATTGGAAACACCGCCCAGGCCAACTACTGCGCCGGAAATACGTACGAGGACGCTCTGGCGCATTACCGACGCAAGCTCGGTCTCGCTGCAACCACCCTTAACGTCGGCCTGGTCACGGACGCGAGCCATTTCAACGAGGACTCCACCATCGAGGACTATCTGCGGAAATACAGTCACTGGACCCCCGCTCAGGTAACCGACCGTGAACTCCAGAATACCTTGATCGCGGTTATGCGAGGACAGCTGGCAGAAGGCGAACCGGTGCCGGATCAGCTCCTTGTGGGACTCTCGGATCAGGTCCGCCGCGACGGCGAGAGCCTCAATCTTTGGCCTTTGGATCGCAAATTTGACCATCGCATTAGCCTTGCTGGTGTCACCACGACCGCTGAGGAAGATAGTCCCAGCCAGCAGCTACAGGACTCGCAGACGGCGAGCGAGGCCCAGGCGCTTGTCGAATGGGCGTTGCGGGTCAACGTTGCGAATGCGATGACCGCATCTCCGGATGATATCGACGTCGAGAAGCCGCTCTACTCCTTTGGCAGTATGTGCTTTCCGCTCCCTTTGTTGACCTTTATCCGTTTCCTGTAGACTAACGCTTCGCAGTTGACTCCCTCAAGGCAATCGAAGTGCGGAACTGGATCTTCAAGGAACTCAAGGCGGATATTTCGGTCTTCGAGGTTCTAAGTCCCATCTCCTTGAGCAGACTGGCAATGAAGATCGTATCGAAGAGTTCTTTGGTCAGTGTGGAGGTTGCAACGGAAGCAGCGGCGGAGGGATCGAGTTAGATTATCTATGATGCGACTTGTACTCATGATAGCCGTCCCAATTATCGTCTAGCGCTTGATAGTTATAGATATATGAACGTATGCCCCGAAGTTACCGGTTACGTGGTTTTATTAAGCAGGCTATTGACTAGCTACCAGGCCTATAGGTATAGGTTTAGCTAGCTCTTCTTCATTCGTGACTACCTAATAACTAATCCCGCCCTGAGTAGGACCTGAGTGCCCACTGAGCTTTGACCGGTGATGAGAAAATACTCAGTGAGCGACCCCCTGAGCGCCCTCATTAAAGCAGCATCATCCAAATGGGGAAAGTCTCGTTGATCCTAGAAAATCAAGTCTGTATAGTGACATACATACTAAGATATCTCCAAGGCCACACCCACCTCCCAATCAGCACGACCCAGTACAAGCAGCAGCAACCATCCCAAAAACCCTCTCAACATTATCTCCCGTTTTCGCGCTCACCTCGAGAAACTGATACCCCCGCTCCTCAGCAGCCTTACTCCCGTCCTCAAAAGACACCTCCCGCAGATTCTCCAAATCCGCCTTACACCCTACCAAGAGCACAGGCACTGACAGACCAGTCTCTTGCGCATGACTCTCCACTCGCCAGAGCGCCTCATGCATTGATTCGCGCCAGGTGACGTCGTAGATGGCAACGAGAACGTTCGCGTCGCGCGTAAACGAGGGTACGAGCTGCCAGTAGCGGTGCTGGCCGCATGTGTCCCATATGAGAGTGTTGATAGCTGGCTTTTGGATCTTCTTCCATTCGCCTTCTCCGTTGACGACGATATATGGGATTTTCTGCGTCATGCTCTTGTTAGTTCTGCGTGTCTGGAATGAAGGGATCTGGGAGGTCTACGTACTGCAAAGACATAGTCGACGGACGTTGTGGGGGCTGTATCCTCGTTGAAGGGGTGACGTTGGAAGCGCCTCTGAAGGGAGGTTTTGCCGACTGTTTGTTGGCGTTAGCATTGGTAGTTGTATATTATATGGATTATCTTTAGGAAAAAGCAGTAGTAGTATTACTACTGTGAAGATGGCGTACCTCGTTCCCCACCTATGAGAAGCACCCTGCTCGTCAGGTGGTTAGTAGGCAGTCGGAATCATCATATTATGTATGTATGTGACGTACTTGTAGAGCTCGTCATAACTAGGTGGCGGGGGGTTGTCTTGTGATGGAGTTGCGCCCATGATGACGTGCTTTTGTCTTTAGTAGTAGGATAAACTGGGATTGATTTCTAGTTCTGGTTACTGCCATACTACATACCTGCACCTACTGGTACTTTATAGTACGAAGAGAAGGTGCCATTGGACGAGATAATGAAGTCGTGAAGATAAAGAGTTGAAGATCACCTGACTAGGGCTGTGTAGTCATTCTAGAGTTTCCATTGTCGTGTCTACGGAACGAAACCATATCCTTGACAACCGTTCTAGTCAAATCTCACCAAGGTCATTGAACGTTTCGTACTATTCTTGTGATAATGAAGGAATGTCTAAGGCCAGGATAATAATAGAGCATGGCTTATCTTAGTAAGATGTTTACATTACTCGTCATCAATGTCGTGGCTGTCAACTGATATCAGATGCAGATACTTGGAAATACTCAATCTCGCTCACCAGTACACATCTTGCTTGCGCCCTACATAATCGGCTCATACATTCCGATCGGATTGAGTGATTCAATGGACAAGGATCAAATCTTGACTCTGTCAATGAGAGTACCAAAACACGACATAGGCATCCATGTTTAGCACCCTCCTAGTTACACACGTGCAACACGTTCATTGTCCTCGACTGACTGTGGAGTCGGAATCCTGTTGGATCCGGCCTGCCGAAGGATTTCAATAGCACCGATCAGCCGGGATGCCTTGTTCACACTCAACGCGAGTGATTGGACGTCGCTGATGTGTCCACTCCCTTTGTATAGATCGCATGTTCCCTATTGGTGGTTCGATGCACTGGCCCTGTCTGGATTTCAATGAGCTTATGTCAACGCTCAAGACTTTATTCATGAACACCGCCCCCAATGACTCTGCTTCCATGCAACTAGGTCATAGGGTGTATCCAAAAAAAGATACTGGGCTGGATCGACAGATTACATCAACTCACGAATGGCCCGTTTGTGTTTCTATTTCCATGGAGGAAATGCACCGCTAATCATACAGAAGATTTACCGATTTAGGGCTAGTCCTTGAAAGTTGACGACTCGACGAATCGACAGAGTAACTACCGTGAACTCCGCTCGGGGAGATCGACGGCATTAAGGCCTAGTTCGGCAATAACTATGTATATGGTCCATTACGTGGGAGCCACCCCGCTGTGGGGATCTGCAGTGTAATCTTGCTTTCGAATCAGCCAGCATTTTCAATTCCTGGGCAGTTTCAGATGTCGTCTTTTCACTTGCTATATACCACCGTTAGCGGTATATGTGATCTATCTGATACGAAAAAAATTTGGAGGCAGACGAAGTCCCCTCGCGCCTAGAATCCCGGACGATATCAAAGTTTTCGAGACGAGACGGCAATTTCCATGGATCGGATGAACCGGACTTCCATCGGACCAGACTGAAATGGTCAGGGGGCCCAATCGCGCATGGCCTCGCCGACACCGTTCCATGGATGGGTCACTAAATGTAGAAACATGGCATTGAAATCACTATACATTGTGGCGTGGATTGCAGACATTCAGGAACGATTGGCAACGTGCTAGTGACAGACCCATTTATTACGCCAATCAAAGACTGTCCCCATTGAGGCCCATCCTGTCCTACTCCATGACAGCGTTGTATTCGTCCCCCTGCCGCCAATCACCAATAAGCCCATCTGTGCAGGGCCGCTTTCATAGGCGTGAACGTCAAATGAAGCGGCGGGCCGATGCCTTCAACCCCGAGTCTCCACCGCGACAGTGGGCCACGCCTTCGCCTTACTGATCACTGTTCTCCACAGTCACAGGCACAATGACCCTGGTCCTGGCCTGATGCCTGGTCCTTGGCCTTATAAAAGATGCCCATTTAAAGGTAGGACATGCCCCATCCTTGGCTGTTTCATCAACCTCAAAATCCACGATTGTCTTTTTCTTCCACCTCCTCAACCCCACATAAAACACACCAAAACAAAGCCAAACAACCATGAAATTCATGAACGCCCTCCTCCGCGCCCTCGGCGCTGCCTCCCTCGCCGGGCTCGCCCTCTCCAGCCCAGTGGAGCTCGTCCGCGCCGACCAGCGCCCCATCTACGCAATCGCGCACCGCGTCCTCCGCAACACAGCCGTCTCAGCCGCGCTCTCCCACGGCGCCAACGCCATCGAGATCGACCTCCGAGCATGGACAAAGGAGTGGTGGGCGGACCACGACGGCGGCGCCGACACCGCAGGCGCCACAGCGCGCGAGATCTTCACCTTCATCGCCGACCAGCGCAAGCAAGGCTCGGACATCAGCTTCGTCTGGCTGGACATCAAGAACCCCGACGACTGCGAGGCAGGACAAGGGTGCTCGATCGAGGGACTGCGGGACCTTGTGCGCGAGACGCTCGAGCCAGCTGGTGTGCGCGCGCTGTACGGCTTCTTCGGCACGGAGGACTCGCGCGGGTTCCAGGTTATGCAGGACAGCCTGAACGCCAACGAGGCGGTTGTGCTCTCCGGCGAGGCAGACGAGGTGCAGGCGCTCTACGGCGCGACGCAGATCAGCGCTGCGCAGCGCGTCATGGACTACGGCGACGTGCACCTGGACAACGGGTTCGGCGACTGCACCGAGGCGTCGTGGAATACTTGCACGGAGCTGAGGCAGGGCGCTGAGAGCCGCGACCAGGGAAAGCTGGGTAAGGTGCTGGGGTGGACGAGCACCGACATCGACACGGAGCGCGTGGGTCAGCTGCTTGGCACGGCGAACGTCGACGGCATCATCTTCGGGTTCCAGAATGCGGACTATGCTGATGATGAGGTGCCCAGGGCTGCTGGGAAGGATATCATCGATTTTGTTACGAAGAACTCGGGTTCCATGCGCATGGCTAAGGGGACTGATGTACCTTGGTAAATGGGTTTATGGATTCTGTACGGTTAGATGATTAAATTAGGATATGTCACATTAGGTGGTATTTTGAATTGGACATCGGTATCCTTTCTGCCTTCAACTGCTTTGCTTCTTTCATTTTCTTTTCTATTTGATAGAGGCCTGAGACCAGATGAAGAAAATGTACTCCGTAGATAGTCAAGAGTCAAAGATGATTCCAACCTTGATGACAAAAATCAAAAATAACAAGAAGCGATGAAGAAAACTAACAAAGTAACCACAAGAAAAAAAAAAGAGACAAAAAAGAACAAAGAGAACCATGAAAAGGTACTCTACGTGTAACAGAAAAAGAAAAAGAATGACCAGTGCCAGGTTCGAACTGGCGACCTTTTCGGTGTTAACGAAACGATATGACCAACTAATCCAACCGGCCAACTTGATTTTAGAATTCTGATTTTGAAATATATTCCACGCCCAGGACGCTATCCACTACACGTTCTGATCGACGTATGAAAACCACCATATTTGCAAATATGTGAACCGGAACAAAGAAGCGTCCTTTCTAACAGAGCAAAAACAAACCCTATAATCATGAAAAAGGACCCAAGTCTTTCAGTAGTGCGACGAAACGCTGCTACTGTTACATCAAACCCGAGTAGAGAACAAAGACCGTCCAGCAAATACTGGCGCTTCAATAGGTTCTGTCTATCTTTTATAGCCCCGGAGACATGAATATCTTGATTTTCTTTGAGTAAGATGGATAAAAAGTATGTGTGCTTTGAGGGCCTGCTTGCGATCAAAGGCTCTCAGGTCCTCAATGTGGATACTCTCCATCAGGTCATCCAAAAGAGCCAGAACTATTGCATTCTGTGTTGGCTAGCAGTAAAGCCCAGAGTCGTTCCCGATACTCTTACTCGTGAGCTGAATCTCTCGATGTGCTGTAAGATGGGATAAATAATTCAGTTATGATGTATGTATGCTACTTTATCATTCAGATCATTATACTTCTCAATAGACTGCCCGGGTGCGAGTTGCTCTATATCGCTTTTATAACACTGTCTTGTGTCTTGGAGGTGGATTGTTCTCACACAACAGGCGTTCCCACCATCAGAGAAAGCAGAGAATGAGCCACCTCGGCCGCAGCAAGCGTGGTCGTCTCCGCCGCGGTGTCGTAAGCCGGTGCAACTTCGACCACATCGGCCCCAATTACAGGAAGCCCTTGCAGGGCATCTAGAATGGAGAGTAGCTCACGAGTAGTGAAGCCACCCGGCTCAGCAGTGCCGGTTGCTAGTCACTCCTGTTAGCTTACCATGTAGAGTCCGGAGTGCATGATGTCAAGTTCAATGCTCAACCTACCGGGTGCATAGGCCGGATCTAGGACGTCGATGTCGACGGAGATGTAAACCCTACTATTTTGAACCCTGGATTTGATCTGCTCCACCACTCCGTCGACTCCTAGACGGTCCAGGTCTCGGGCTTTGATAATTTCGAAGCCGCAGCGGATGTCGTTGCGGTAGTCGCCGCGTGGGCGTACTACGGGGGCGCGGATGCCGACATGGATGGAGTTGTTGCTGATTAGTCCCTGGAGCACATTAGTGTATTTCTGCGGGTCGTCAATCTACGCAGGAAATACCTCTTCGTGGGCGAGATGAAGAAAGGTTCCGTGGTTGACACCACTGACTAATTAGTAGGGCAATACTAAACATGATGTATACGCTTACGCATAGTGAGATATTCCTCCTCCTGTGTCCATGTTAGCGACAGTACCTGTATCGTGAGACAGGGTCACGCACCCAATACCCACGGGTCCCATGTATCTAATATCCATTAGTAAACCATACTTTGGAGATCATCGCATGCAACTAACCAATATGGCTGTCAAAATGAATCACCGAAACAGGTCCCCAGTGGTGATTTGTCGATCTCAGTGCGGACAGTGTCGTGGTATGATCCCCTCCAAGTGTGATGATCCGGGGAGTCTTGCCATGCCCAGTCGCATTGGTTGGACGAGACGAGACAACCTGCGCAATGAGCATCTAGGACAAGAACCATATATTCGACGAGGAGGGGAAATGTACCTTGTGCGCTAAATCAAGCTGCTGCAACGCAAACGTATTATCCAACCATGTCAGCGGAGCATCACCGCAGTCCACCACCTTGGCCCAATCCTGAAAGGCGTTCAAACCAGTGTAGACACTCCAGCCTCCCAGTCTCCGACTACCCAGTCGGATGCCGCTAGGTCCAAACCTAGCGCCGGGACGACCTGTCACTGCCTGTTCCGCATTAGCTGGCTTGCGACAGCAATCCCCCAAAGCCGTTAATGGGGTAAGACATGCCGTATCGAATGGAGCCCCAAGAAACGCGATATCATAAGGCGTAGACTCAGCCTCAGCATCCACGAAGCAATTGACATAAGGCATGTGCGCAAAGGTAGTCAAGCCTGAGAATTGGCTGCCCGTGGTGATGTCAATCGGATCGTCATGGACGAGGGGAAATTGGCCCGTCGGACCGTGAACAGCTGCGACCGGAGGGAGGACAATTTCCCGAGCGACGACAGAGGAGACGAGGAATAGACTGAATAAGAACATCTCGAATGTCATACTTGACGATTTGTTCGTACGGACAAACCAGGCCATGGCGCGGTTAAGTACGAGGCTAGCTCCTTCACCTCCGCATCGATAACCTTATCGATCGCCGTCACCAAAAGAGTAATTGCACGCGACCTCTCCGTTTGCGGGGTCTGTCTCAGTGATTATTCCATCAACCCTCGGAGTTGAAGCCACGATTGAACCCATCGAGTTTGATTCGATAAGGATGACGAAGCCTGAGAAGGAATGGGGTGATTGAGAAGTGAGCATCGGGGCTGCTGTGCTACAGACCAGGCGGCCTCAGGCCAATCTCCGTCTCCGCACCCCACTTTCCACTTTTTTTTTTGGGACTCATAACCACCGCCTTCGTCCCCATCGCATCCAGCATATAACTCACGACTTCACCCCCTAGAACAAACCAATTGACTTGCAAAATGGTATATCCCAACATTGCCCCCCAAATCTCAAAGGCGCACCCCCTAACCATCAATCCAGCCGCACGCCGACGCATCCTACTTCGGCGACGCCAGCGCCTCCGACTTCGGCACCGCCAATGCCTCCAAATCCGAAGTCTACGCCCAAGTCGTGGACCAGGCCCGCGGTCTGGTAACAGGACAACGCAACTGGGTATGTCTCGTGTCTCCTCATACAGCACAACCTGCTATACTAGATCCCATAATTCAATGAACTAACACTCAACCAACAGATCAGGTACGATACTCCCACCCACGCCCGCCACATCCCATTCCTCCTCACCTCCACCCCAAAACGGTAACGATAGACCAACAAACTAACTGGGGGAAACAATAAAAGTAACTTCTCCAATGTCGCCTCCCTCCTCTGGCACGCCTACGCCGCCCTCCCCGCGCCCTCCTCAGCCGTAAACTGGGCCGGCTTCTACATCCGCCAGGACAAGTTCCCCAAGCTGGGCAGCAGTGGCAACGACCAAACCACCAATACTACCACCCCCGCGAAGCCCACCCTCCTCCTCGGCCCCTTCCAGGGCAGACCCGCGTGCCAGGAGATCCGGTTCGGGCGAGGCGTGTGTGGCACCGCGGCTGAGAAGCGCGAGACGCTCGTCGTGCCGGACGTGATGAGCTTCCCGGGCCATATTGCTTGTGATGCGAGTAGTCGGAGTGAGATTGTGGTGCCTATTCTTTCTGGGGGGGAGGTGAGTCTCTATTTTATTATCAGTTTACGAGTGTGGGAGAGTAAGTGTGATTGCTGATTTTTGGTAGACGGTCGCGATTATCGATATCGACTGCACGGAGCCGGACGGGTTCGACGACGTTGATCGGAAATATCTTGAGGAATTGGCTGGTTTGCTGGCTGAGTGTTGCGATTGGTAAGGTAAGGTGTTGAGTTTATATCAACATCTACCTATATATGTACTATCGTCAGGTTAGAAGGTTAATTGGTGTTTGCATGCCTTCTTATCAAATAATACTAAAAAGAATAGGGGATTATATCCGAGGATAAACGCTGTCAGACAGACAGCGATAATAAATTGCAAATTGAGCAATAACATATATGACCCTATCAAATATCTCCGAACCCAGCATCACGTTCCAGCCCAAATCAACGAATCTGTCAATAAATAAATTGCAAATCTCCCATGAAAAAAAGAAGTAACCGAATATAATATGACACCGCTAATTCCATCCGAAGCCCGAAATAGGAAAATACTCTATGCCGAGGAAATGACCGTCATGTGAGAAATGAAAACCCCCAAATCCAAACGCCATCTGGTATCGATATATGTATGCTTGTGTAGGTGTAGTTGTAGTTGTAGTATAGTTGCGGAACCGGCGTCATCCGGTGGTTGGTGTATCAAAGCGAGTGGGAGAAAAATAAAGTAAAAAAAGTGAGAAAAAAGAGCAAAAAGAGAAGGAAAAAGTCCGCTGCAGAACGCATGCCAGCTACATGCTCAGCAAGCTCATCTGCCTCTTCATAGGGCTCACGGAGCCGGAATCGCCATCCTCGCTGGGTCCGAGTCCGCTGTCGGTGCCATTAAGGCCCTCATCGGTGTCGATGTCCCAGTCTTCTTCGTCTTCCTCTTCGTCGGCTGCGTCGGCGGCAGCGGCGTCACCCTCGCCGTGCCAGCTCTTCTGGATGGCGCCGCGGGTGTTCCAGCGCAGGGCGCGCTGGACGCTCTGGAACCATTCGCCGCCGCCGGAGACCACCGTGGGGAAGGGGTACTGGCTTGCTTCGACGGTGACGTAGTCGCCCTTGCGTAGCTCCACGCGGCCTTTGCCGTCGAAGGAGCAGTAGGCGGTGGAACGTGAGCCGGCAGGGACGGCGATGCGGAGGAGGAGGGAGTCAGAGAGGACCATTGGGCGGAAGGATAGTGTGTGGGGGCAGATGGGGGTAAGGAGGATGCCGGGGATGGAGGGGTGGATTAGAGATCCGCCTGCGGAGAGGGAGTATGCAGTGGATCCTGTGATTGTTAGGACTGGGGGTCTTATTGGCTTGTTTTATGGTGGGTGAAGGGGCACATACCTGTTGGGGTAGAGAAGATGCACCCGTCCGCTTGGACTACGGTGAGGAGATCGTTGTCCGCGTATAGCTCGAGGTTTGAGACGTACGGCGACGGCCCGCGGTCGATTACGAGCTCGTTCAGCACTTCGAACTGTTCTCCTTCCTCCACGGCGTCGGGGGCTGCTCCTCTGCGGCGATCTTTGCGGAAGACGGTGCACGTGAATCGCATACGCAGATTGACTCTCATGCCGACGTCTCCCATCACAGCATTCAAGTGCTCTTTGTAGTTCTCGAATTCGAAGTTGGTCAGAAAACCCAGGCTGCCCAACGAGAAGCAGAGAATGGGCGGAACCACCCGCTGAAAGAGCCACGACGTGAAGAGCACCGTTCCATCTCCTCCTAAAGTCAGGACAAGGTCGAATTTCTCCGGAGTCGACCAGCAGAGATCCGGCGTCCAGTACTGCAGCATCTGCTCATACCGCGAGTTCTGCCGCAGCAGTCCCGCCGCATCAAACCGTTTAGAATTCCGCAGTTTGGAATCAACGTACACGTTGACCCCCACATCGTTGCCGTACCTCGGCGTGGATAGAAGCCACAGGGCGAGTTCACGCGTTAGGTGGACCAGGCTATTATCGCGCGCCTTGGTCACGATCATAACGTTCCGGACGGCGCGCCGGATGGGCCTCCGCTGCAACTGCTTGGACACCTCGCGGACACCTGTTGCAGTTTGGACCAGTCGCGAATGAGATAACCACTCATCATCTGCGATTTCCTCCAAAACCTTCTGGATATTCACCGCGTCGTCGAACCGTTTGTGGAAAAAGCAAGGAGACTGTATGACATATCGTGCGGTCGCAGAAACATGGTCGGCGCATTTCCCGCTCGGCTGGAGGCTGGTGAGCGCTGCAGACAATTTCTGCGAGGATGAATCCATGTCGTCGGGAGGGCTGGAGGAGTTGCTATTGGCACGGAGTCCCAGGGACGCCGCTAGGGACACGTTCGGATTATGGTTGTTCAACATCGAGGGCCGCGACGCTAGCGCTTTCATGATGGTCTGTCGGGGGATCGAGTCACTGGACAGGGCGTTGCGGCTATGCCCGACCAGCGCGGATGTGGATCGGAGAGCGAGGAATGGGGATGACGATGGCTGTGCGCCCGCGGTGTCGTCAAGTGCGACGGTCTGCGACGTCACGATGGTGCTTCGGGGTGTTGCTGGAGGGTCTCCAACATGAATCTCGTTGTGTGTCTGCGACGGGTCTATATGGTTTGCATAATCACGAAGGAGCGACGCCCCGACCGTCGACGTGCAATCAGGAGAGGACTGTGATGGCGGGGCAGTGGCAGACGACGACGATGAGGAGGACGAGCAGGACGGTGGAGCCGACGCGACAGTATCGGTCGAGAGATCAAGCGCCGGTGGTCTATGGTTCACAGGGTCATGGTGGGAACGCGACGATGCCATGGGCAGGTGAAAAGCAAATCAGGGCACCCCTGATGAATCGGTTCGATTAAAACACGTCGCAAGTATGCGGTAAAATAGGCTTCTGGAATGGAGGGAAAACAGGGAAAAAAAGACAAGCGGGGAGAAAGTTGGTTTGAGAAGCGGACCGTAAGCCGAGCTCGGATGTAACGGGGTTTGGGCGGACCACTTTGCTCCCCTGGATCATTCCAAGGAAGTGTTCAACTGGTACCTCTTTCTCGAGTCCAACGCTCAAACCTCCACTCGTCTTACTCAGGGTCAGTGGAGACAGTAGTCAGCTCCAACCCACTTCCACCAAGCCCTTGACTGGCTGTTACGATTTTCGATCGGCTTCCATGGTTTCTGCGATCAAAGTCATGATGAAAGATCGAGGAAGATCTCCGCACTGAACAGGGTGGAAGACGAAGGAACAGGTACCAACTCCACAGATGGTACACTGAGATGAGAGAATGCGATCGCAAGCTTCAGGTAGCCACTCACAGCAACTGGAATTCGGTTTTTATACGTTGCGACCCCTTTTCCTCCCTTCATGGCGTAATTCAAGGGTCACTATTGTAAACCCACCGGATTCCACATCTACACATCACGGCGTCATCCTGCAAGGGGGTCCCGTTGCATCTACTCCGTAGGGACAGGATACTCCATACTCTGGGTGTCAAATCACAGGAGTTTCCTTCGGTTCTAGTCTCATTTTTGCCTGTTCCCTCGTTTCCTCTGCGTCTTTCTCAGGTCAATCAGATCACAGTGACGTTTCTTCCGTTGCTGCCTCAGCATGACGGCTCACAACCACATAAGAAACACGGAATAAAACTGGACTGATTTGGCTTGCATTTGATTTTCTTTTTTTTTTTTGTATTCAGTTCATTAACAGGCTATCGTTCTATTGGTCAACCGGCCAGCGTCCTGCTACCGGATTGGACGATCTTACGCGCATTGTCGGTGCATTTTGCTCAGACTTGTCCGACTGCAGTAGTGTATTCACCAGTCATCCATGATTTAACCGAAGGGGAAAAAAAAGACGCCTCAGAAAACTTAGGGCGTCTCCATTGGTTTGGTGATGTATCCACTGTCGGACTGGGAAGTAGGTTCCAGAATATGCCGTGGACATCCCAAAATACAAGGCACTAGAGCATGTGCCGTGAGATGCCTGTACTGCCAAGGGTGCCCCAAGTGTGACAAACTATTGGCTGTGCCCGCACCACCTGCAAGCAAGAAAGACTGCATAACAGTCGCTCTTCGGATCATGGCGGTCAGCATGTATGCGTAGAAACCGCCGAAGGGGGCCCTATGGTCGCAGATTCGATCGTATGGGAAATCCCGTCACACCGCATCAATGCTCCAGGCATAGTCGCGGTGGACCTGGTCTTCGACCGCCTCGCGGATCGTTCCCTCGAGAGGCTGTCCGTCCACGTCCACGCTCATGGTGACATCTCCGTCGGATCCGTAAGACGCCGTCCCGCGGCAGATGGCCAAAGCGCGTTCCCGCACGTTGTCCCAGGTATCAAGGTCAAACGCTCCTTGGCTCTCGTTCAGTAGGAGATGGCCCTTGGATGAGAAAGCCAGCACGTGGACCGACGCTGCCGAGCTGGCAACTTCAGCGGTCGGTTCGCGAAGAATGTCCCCGGTGGAGGTTACGGCGAGGGAAGTGGCGGAAAACGTCATGGACATCGGCACGGAAGCAGAGAGAAGGGCCAATAAAGATGTATTCAAGAGCGCAGGGAGTAATGTGAGATACTGTTGGGAAGCGCTGCGATTAGTCCACTGTCCGCCGGGGTAGCTCAAGGGTTTTGTCCTTACCGAATCTCCTCTCCGTGCAGATTGGCCCCCAACAATCGCGAGTGTTATGACGACGCCTCGCCTCGGATATCCTTTCTCTCGCCCCAAGATCAACCTAGAGATCATGGTCTTGATGATGCCCTCCACGTATCGTTCACCAACTCCGGCGGGCGCGGTTCCGGGCTTGACGAATACCTCCACGGTCGCTTCTTCGGGTTTCAAAGCATCCCGGCGTCCAGGAAGCTCAACCGGGGCGTTGACAGACCCCAAGATGTTCGATCCGGTCGAGGGACACTGGTAGGAAGCCGAACCATCGGCTCGGCTGAGGGGCGTTAGAGTAACATTCGGGCCCACCATCTTGATGAGAATCCGGAAGTCGGTGGGAAGGTGAGATAAATGAATCAGTCGACACGGGTGCGCGGGCAGGAAGCGACGTCAATTAGAGAGTGGATAGAGAAGTTGAAATTGATGGAGAATGAATCTTGTCGCCAGTTCCGCTGGGAAATTTTTGGGCGGCCGGACAGTGCGGGCCGCTTCCTTATTGGCGGTGGCAGTTCCACTACCACTACCATCAATCATGATGCTTCCTGTCGCCCATGTTGATTGCGGAATCCTCATTATAAAGGTTACATGTTCAAGATATAGTTGTAGAGTTTTTCGAACGAGATGCACATAATTGTCTGTCAACTATCATCTGAAAAAGTGGTAATGTTCGCGTACAGTAGGGGAAGATGTCAGGCTCCTTTGTAAGTATACGAATACATATATATCTTTGATGACAATGAGAGTTAATCACAATGCCAACACCTGTTCCTCGCTTGAGATCAGATATATATTTGCTAATATCCAAGAGATTAACTATTATACGGCCTATGAATGGGGTTAGATCAAAGTGGATCGCTGGTGAAATGGGTAGTCGGTCAAGTAAAGGTAGCCTCCCGCCTATCGCTGTATATCAGAGTATTGTGATTATGCGTCGTGCATGTCGTTATGAGTGGCTTCCAGAAATGAGACAAAGTAGGAGGTACTGGAAAATTTTTGATTCTCCCTCTACATTTCGCTAAGCTCAGTATATACCTCAGATATCGTGCACTGGAAGGGAAGGCCAGTGGCATCCCAAATCCACGAAAGGCGTACTATATGTGACTGGTCTAGGTTAACCAAGAATCCGTTGAACCAGCTAGACAGAATGAGGTAGATCGACTTCCATACTCCATAATTGAAACATCCCTGTGATACTGCAGCAGGTCCAAGAATGCTCAGCCACGTTGCCGAGAAGGACTGGTCTACACTACGTAATCGAAAGTACTACAACGGTCACTATCAGATCGAAGCCCAGCCTTGTGGCAATAGTCAACTGTGAGATTTCACACAACCTAGTAGCAGTGATAGAACCAATAAGCAGTGACTTGGCCCCTGGGACCTATCTAGTTACTTTTCTGGATTCCAAAAACAGGCAAAAGATGCTGGACGGAAGATGACGGCAGCTCACGTGGACAAAGAGACCGCCGGGGTTAACCTGGGCGTCAAAGCATCAACCCGGTGAATGGCGTCCACTAACCCACTCTCCATCCAATCCAATGGGATCCAGTCCGACTTCCAAGCCATTAGCGTCCCCAGTCTCAGCGCATCAATCACCGTTCTTCCACTGGCTATGGTGACAGGGAATTCAGTCGGCCAAGATAGAGATATCGTCATGTCCCAGTGGTATTCATGGTCTAGAATACCTAGTAGTCGTTGGCTGCCCCTCACGCCCCTCGGTTGGCCCTGTTTGGCTTCCCCTCGTCGATGTTCCACCTGATTCCAGACGGATACCTACTTGGCTATTATAAGAGGAGGACCCTACCCAGGTTTTGTTTCCTGGTCATCAATATTTCGTCCTGAATCACGTTGCTTTGCTGGTGCTTATATCGGAATACCAAAGCCTTCTTTCCAGCAACGTCCCTTTTCATCACAACGTTAATTGAATGGGCATAGAAAGCTCTCCACCTGATGTCGAGGAATCGACGGAACCCCCTATATGTCCTTATTCGAAGGAACATTATCCAGGGAAAGACACACCGCCTATTGATGTAGAAGGAAAAGATAGCTTGGAGATAGGGCAAACGGGACTGATCCCAACAGAACCCTCTTGTGGTGCCAAGGAGCTACACGCAGAAGATTCACGTCTACATTTGAGTCTCCAGGACCCCTCACAAGATGCTCACGTCATCGATCTCGATGCCCTGGCGGCAGCTCTCAACGTCGATATCAAGTAAGATTTGGTTCCTGAGCGGAAGGGATTATTGCACAATAGAAACTAATAAGGTGATTAGCAATGGCCTGCTCAGTGAGGAAGCTGAAGCTCGCCTCCTGCGAGATGGACCTAATAGGTTCCGCGAGATGGAGGGTGTATCGGCATGGAAGATCTTGTTGAGGCAAGTTTCCAACAGTTTGACCTTAGTATGATATTCGCCCACAGTCCACTGTGCTGCTGCACTGTGGTATCTTAATCCTATGTTAACTGGGAAGAAAAGGTCTTGGTCATTACAATGGCAGTCTCGTTTGGTATCGATGATTATATTGAAGGAGGCGTCATAGCCGCCGTGATCCTTCTCAACATCGTCGTCGGGTAAGCATGCACTTGCCCTTTACATTTACTGAGATGGTGTCTCATTGTATGTCAGATTTGTGCAAGATTACCGTGCAGAGAAGACAATCCTCTCGCTCCATCGACTTTCGGCACCGCTGTGCAACGTTTTGCGTAATGGACGAGTGGTCTCGATCAAGGCCGAGTCGCTCGTTGTTGGGGACATCGTCAAACTGACAGTGGGCGATATCGTCCCAGCAGACATTCGATTACTCGATGGGATGAATGTCTTCACGGACGAGGCTTTGTTGACAGGCGAATCTCTCCCGGTCATGAAAACCCCGCAAGCGACACTGACCTCAAGAGATATTCCTATTGGGGATAGAACCAACATGGCATACTCAGGATCCAATATCACTCAAGGGCGAGCAGAAGGGGTAGTTATCGCAACAGGCATGGCGACTGAGATGGGCAAAATCGCCCAGCTCCTCCAAGACAAAGACCCCAATGAGAACTTAGGGCTATTAGCACGTACTGTCGGAAACTTGAAAAATACGGGCAAGAATCTACTAGGGCTTGTGGGTACACCGTTACAGGTCAAGCTCAGCAAGTTCGCCCTGCTTCTGTTTGCCCTCGCTATTATCCTCGCTATCATTGTCTTCTCCGTCAGCGAGTGGGACGTCCAGGGCGAGGTTCTCATCTACGGTATATGCGTGGCAGTTGCCGTAGTGCCGGAGTCCTTGATCGCTGTTCTCACTATCACGATAGCGGTAGGGACCAAAGCAATGGCCCGGGGCAATGTCATTGTGCGGAAGCTGCAATGTCTGGAAGCTGTTGGTGGTGTCACCAATATCTGTTCTGATAAGACCGGGACATTGACCCAGGGGAAAATGATTGCACGTTCTGCGTGGATTCCAGGTGCGGGTACGCTGACAGTTGACCAAACGACGGACCCAGTCGACCCTACTAGTGGTGTGGTTCAAATGGACGAAATCGACTGGGAACCCGAGACTGTCCAAGGAAACCATGCGCTCAACACATTCTTAACTGCTATTTCCCTATGCAACCTATCCATCGTACACAGCGGTGTGTGTTCTGTATCAGAGACAGAAATAACTGGTGCCACCGAGAGTACCTGGACAGCCGTCGGAGAGCCCACAGAAATTGCTCTTCACGTTCTTGCAATGCGCTTTGGTTTTGGGAAGCCAGACGTGTTGAGAACACGGGATGTTTTGCTTCATACCGAGTACCCATTCGACTCTTCGATCAAGAAAATGACTGTGGTCTACACTAACCCAAAAGCACGAACCCTCGAGGTGTACACAAAGGGGGCACCCGAGGCAGTGATATCTTCATTCAATATCAGCGAGAAAGAAAAGACTCTGATCCAAGAGACCGCAGACAGAATGGCCGGAGAGGGCCTCCGTGTTCTGTGCATAGGGTACAAGATGGCCCCCATTGACGACAAATCTCAAGTATGTCCACGTAATGCTGCCGAATCAAACTTGACATTCGGCGGTCTAGTGGGATTATATGACCCCCCACGAGTCGAAACCGCCGCTGCTGTCCGAAGGTGTCAAATGGCCGGTATAACGGTGCATATGCTGACCGGAGACCACATTCGGACGGCAACAGCCATCGCATCTGAAGTCGGTATTCTTGATGCTATCATCAATGCCAAATCGAGCCGACTCGTTATGGCGGCGAAGGATTTTGATCGCTTATCTGATGAAGAGATCGACTCCATTGAGCAGCTCCCTCTGGTGATTGCACGGTGCAGCCCCACTACGAAGGTACGCATGGTAGACGCGATGCATCGACGAAAGGCGTTCTGCGTCATGACTGGTGATGGAGTCAATGACTCGCCGGCTTTGAAGCGCGCGGATGTAGGGATAGCAATGGGGAAGAATGGCAGTGACGTTGCCAAAGAAGCTGCCGATATGGTCTTGACCGACGACAACTTCTCATCCATCGTTAAAGCGGTGGAGGAAGGTAGACGACTTTTTGACAACATTCAAAAGGTACAACAAGCCAGTTCAGAATTCCAAGCTCTATTGTTTGAAGTCCATCTCTTCGTGCATGTTTTAAGCTGACATCACGAAACCACATAGTTCCTCATGCACCTTCTAATTTCCAATATTGCTCAAGTGATACTCCTTCTCATTGCACTTGCATTCAAAGACAACCACGGAAACTCCGTGTTTCCTCTGTCGCCTCTGGAAATATTATGGGCCAACTTGATCACTTCATCATTCCTAGCCTTGGGGCTCGGTCTCGAGGAAGCACAGCCCGACATTATGTATCGCCCACCCCACGATCTGAAAGTGGGAGTCTTCACCCGAGAGCTCATCACAGACAAGATGATTTACGGTACTTTCATGGGAACCCTGTGTCTCGTAGCCTATGTCTGCGTCATCTACGGCGCAGGATCAGGATCTGCTAGTATGGGAATCAATTGCAACGAAGGGTACAACGAAACGTGTGACACAGTGTTCCGGGCACGCGCCACGACCTATGCCACACTAACCTACTTACTTCTGGTAACAGCATGGGAAGTCAAGCACTTCTCGCGCTCCCTGTTCAACCTAGACCCCAGCATGCCGCCTGGGCCCCTGACCGTGTTTACCGCAATCTGGCGCAACCGGTTTCTCTTCTGGGCAGTGGTCGCAGGCTTCGTGATTGCCTTTCCGGTCATCTATCTGCCTTTCGTGAACCGCATCGTGTTCAAACACCAGAGCATCTACTGGGAATGGGGAATTGTATTTGGATGTGTGCTCGTCTATCTGGTGCTGATTGAAATATGGAAGGCTATCAAGCGAAGGTTCAGAATCGGGAGTGGAAGACATGGGACGTTGACTATGGAAGACGCGGAAATGAGGGCTGGGCTTGGGTCCCCGACGTCTCTGTCTATGAGCGCCAACGCGAGTGTGGATGCCAGCGTGGAGATGAAGTAGATGGTGGGTTATCGGGGAGTGAAGGGAAGGACTTGAATTGAGGGGATAATCTTCAACGATAGGTCGGATTGTCTGCACCCACAGGGGCGGACGTTGTTGCAGGTGTTCAACACACCTTTTGTTCTGCGATTTCTAAGACTGAACTCGGTCATTTGTTCGGATATATCTAGCTTATTGAGTCCGATCTGCAAATGGCATATTTGATGACTATTTTGACCTTCGGTATTCCCTCTGCTTAGTCTTGAAGATATGGACTGCCCACGACGAATCTCACCTGGGCCGTAGTTATCACCGTCATCTTACGAACTAGTACGTTTGCGGAGCTGGAACAGGCTAGCACTATATTCACTGGCCATATTGGCGATATATTTCGTCTTCGAAATATTGTACATCTTGTCCACTGGTTCTCGTGTCACTCAGACACACTGGACTGCTTGGAATAATCAAAATGGGCCTGATACCTTCTCAAATACATCCTGCATTTAGAAAGATAAGGAAGCGAACCGAACGATTACGTGGTACCTAAATTCATCAGACAAGATAGTCTGACCTTTGCTTACGGGTTACCGAGACAACTGCGCGTGGCGCCACGCACTCTAGCAGGTTCTAAAGCACGGTTAGATCTGTGTTGCTTACCTGCAGCGGCGGCGGGGTTACTTTCACTGCGACTTTCACTGCTAGCGGACGTTCCCTCATCATGGCCGGCATCTTCATCTGCCGTGGGCAACAACTATCTCAACTTCAATTCACCAGCGCGCGACAATCAAGATGAAAATCCTATGTCTCCATGGAAGAGGCACCAGCGGTGCTATCTTCAAGTCTCAGACCTGTTCGTCACACCACCCTTACCAGCCCACGATCCTACTACCACAACCAGATACTAATTGACTTACCCCCAGCCGCAATCCGCGCCCGCCTCAAAGACACCAACATCCAATTCGACTTCCTCGACGGCCTCCACAGCAGCCCCCCAGCGCCCGGAATCGACCTCTTTTACGAACCCCCCTACTTCACCTACTGGAAAGACGACACCGCGGCCGAAATGCGCCAAACCAGCACGTGGCTCAAAGCTTACATCGCCCAGCACGGACCCTACGACGCGGTTCTCACCTTCTCGCAAGGCTGCGCCCTAGCCACCAGCGCGCTCCTCCTGCACGAAGCCGAAGAACCGCACGCGCCCCCGCCGTTCAAAGCAGCGATCTTCATCTGCGGCGGGTCCCCGCTGCCGATCATGGAGAGCGTGGGGTATGAGATTTCAGCGCGCGCGTGGGATCTAGATCGGCGGACGAGGAAGGCGCTGGCGGCGCAGGCGGACTCGGCGTCGATTTTGGAGCGGGGGTCGGAGAGGTGGAGTGGGGGTGGGGATGTTTTGGAGGGGATATCGGTGGATGAGGTGAGGGGGGAGATTGGGGGTGGGCCGGTGAAGATTGGGATTCCGACGGTTCATGTGTATGGGAAGAAGGATCCGCGGTTTGTGGCGAGTTTGCAGTTGGCGGAGACTTGTGTGGCTGAGCGACGGAGGGTGTATGATCATGGTGGGGGACATGAGATTCCGAGGCTTGAGGCTGTGAGTACCACTATTGCGGGTTTGATACGGTGGGCGTTGAAGGAGGGCGGGGCGTTGGAGGGGTAGTAGGTTGGACCTTTCGTGGGTGCAGGGGTAGGCGCGTGTTTTGGGTGGTGCCTATTTAGGTTCCATTGTTACCATGCTACTCTTCAGTCTGATGCCAATCAGGACGCAGTGGGAATTGATTGGGATGACGCCTTTTGATATCGACAGGATAAGATTGGAGAGGAATAACCAATGGTAGGATATTCTCTTCAAGCCACGATAGGATATCAGCAACGGGAATACGACGGACCTTAGCTCAGTATGAACGGCTTTGCCACATTAGGCCACAGGCAGGGTGTCATAGAGTAGCACTTATATTAACTACGTCAGTGACCCCGCCTTGGCTGGCTAAAGTGGTGGATATCGTGTTGATCTCTCACCTCGATCAGATATAAATGAGATCGCGCATCCCTTTCCTAGCTGTTAGGAATACTCGTCACTGTCGCAACATACCACATCATACATCTATCCATATTCCTTCACGCTCAGCAATATCCACAAGTATGTCAGGCGAACTCGAGAAGTGGAAGCAGACCCTGGTGGGGAAGAAATACGTCGAAGGCGGGGCATCGGCGGAGTCCGATAACGTGAGTTCATACTCTTTTCCCCAGTAACTGTCAGTGTGTGTACATCTCCTAACAGTAGTTGTGATATAGACATTCAGCGAAGCCACACTGCCTGAGAAGAAACGTATCGTCAACCCGGGCATGTTTCTCACGATGGACTTTCAGAAGGACAGGTGAGTGCACCAGCTTGGTCTATTGATAAGAGGGTGGCCCACGGAGACTGATCTATGCTCGATATAGACTGAATGTACATCTTGATGATAATAAAGTTTGTACCAAAGTTACTATGGGTTGAATGTGGTGTTTCCATGGGTAAATCGACTTGAGCAGTGCACTGTTTTAGGGTTTGATAGCTGGATTGGCAATGTTGCTTTGTATGTATTAGTATAGAAATTTCTCACGATTTTCTATGATATTGTACGGTTGAGAGATGATGGTAAATGCTTGATGCCAATCACGTGTACTGTAATAGCCTTGTCAATTAGCCAGCCTTGTCTTTTTATTTCTCTTGCCCTCCACTCTCATCTGCTCTCGTTGGCCATTCTTCTGGGGAGATAGCGGCCGCGTATGTCTACGATTACCAACCAGATGGTATTTCACCTCGCTAACGGGTTAAAACAGATATGCAGCGGGGGCTATATCAAAGAATTCTGCCTTGAAGGTTTCGTACTACAGGGGCCTTCTAGCTGGCAGACTGGGTGAAACCAGTAAATACAAAGGGTCGATGCTTGCCGTTGGGCTCTCCGAAGCAGACATTCGATATTGTTTAGACAAGGTTGAAGCATCATTTGGATGTCTACGACTAGTCGTTGCTTGTGTCAATAGCCCCAAGAGCCTTACACTATCTGGGGAGGCTGAGCAAATCGAAGCATTACATGGGCTTCTTGAAGAGGACCAGATATTTTCAAGGAAGTTGATGGTTAAAGTCGCATATCACTCATTCCAGATGCAAGAGATAGCAAGTGCTTACGAAGCCGCCATTGGGAACTTGGAGATACCGCACCAGCAAACAGGGACACTCATGTTCTCTTCAGTCACGGGGTCATTGATTCATCCAGAGGAGCTAGCTACCTCGGGTTACTGGGTCAGGAATATGGTATCCCCGGTTCTGTTCAGCTATGCACTGAAAGCAAAGGCTATCGCTTCCGGAAGACCGGGCGGCTAGATTTGCTTGGGATCCCGGATGTCGATGGAAATCCGATGGAAGCGCATTGGAGGAATATCATCCGGATATCAGAAATGCCCTGGGTTCAAGACCACAGGATCAATAACGCAATTTTGTATCCCGCTGCGGGAATGGTGGTTATGGCGATTGAGGCAATTAAACAACTTGCTGATCCAGACCGAAGTATCGCCGGCTTTACCGTCAAAGATTGCAAGTTTATTTCGCCGATACATATCCCCACTCACTCCGATGGGGTCGAGACAAATATCCATGTTAAGCGAGTAAAGGATGGCAAATCTGACAGCTCAGGCTGGCATGACTTTCGGATCTGCTGCTACGACAAGGACACCTGGGTCGAGAACTGCACTGGTTCTATCCAAGTGAGCTATGAGTCCAACGAGTCAGGGATGAACACAAATGGTCGCGAGAATGCGGAATGGCACGCCTCTCTTATGAGGGCTTACCATGAGGCCGCGCGGTCATGTGCTGCGTCTGTTGATACAAAGAAGTTCTACGAGGAATTGATTGAATATGGATATCAGTACGGTCCAGCTTTTGCCGCCATTACAGCTTTAACTCGGAACAATGCTAGCAGCCAACACCTCGTCTCTAAGATTCGCACATTTGTTGGAACTAGCGCAAAGGACTCGCAAGTCGTGCAGCCCCACACAATCCATCCTACCACGCTAGACGCTGTCATTCACATGATGACCGCAATGGTCATGAAAGTTGCAGGCCAGGAAGAATCCGTCGCTGTACCTACCCAGATAGAAAAACTCTGGATATCTAATACGGGAGGGCTGAGCTATCCACATGCACACGCGATTAAGGCTTATGCCAACTCGGATGGATCAACCGTGACCGATTCTCGGTACTCGATGATTGCGTTTGATGAAGGCCTCACCAAGTCCCTGCTTAACTTAGAAGGGTTAAGGGTTACTAATATTGCAAATTCAATCGAGCGGAATTCTGAAGGTGATTTCCTTGCGGATAATCTCTGCCACCATGTTGAATGGAAGCCGGACATGGACCTTTTAAACAACGCCGAGACGAATGTTTTCTGCTCGAGCACTGAGCTACACAGCGATGAGCCTGTTGATGCCTTTACAGAACTCGATTTTCTTGTCTCGACCTATGTGAACAAAGTCCCTGCATCTGCTTTAGAAAAAGCGAAGATGATCGGCTCGCCGCATATGACAAAGTATGCGGAGTGGATAGCTAGACAGCAGGATATCTTGAGTTCTGAGCAGCCCGCTTTCAACTCACAAGAGTGGAAGGTCCGCTTGGAAGATGCATCCTTTATAAACGGCCTTCATGAGCGCATTGAAAATGGAAGTAAAAGAGGTCTCCTGACGAGCATTGTCTGTAAAAACCTAATGCAGTTCATCTCTGGCGAGAACGGCCCAGTTAGTGTTCTTTTTGAAGGAAATTTACTTCAAGACACATATTCCGAGATGGCAAGTATCCCCTATCATCAGACTACTTCTGGAAAACAATTGTTGACAGTAGACAACAGGTCTTTGATCTTCCAAAAATAGGGCAAATGGCAAAGTACATCGATGCACTTGCTCACAAAGACCCAGCAATGAAGTTCATAGAACTCGGCGCGGGAAGTGGAGCAATGACCGACTTCTGTATGAGGACACTGACTACAGACGATAGTGGCCAAACAAAGCCATCTCGTTACAGGCAATGGGACTTCACAGATCCATCGAGCTCCTTCTTACCCCAAGCGCAAGATCTATTTGCAGCCCAAGGCGAGAGAATGCGGTTCATGACCCTTGACATTGAGCAGGACCCAGCGATCCAAGGATTTGAATGTGGCACGTACGATGTTGTTGTTGCGTTTCTAGTGAGTCTCAATTATGTGAAGGTGTTTATGAAAGGGTTCTGATTCGTGAACACAGGTCATCCATGCCACTGAGAACTTGGCTGTTAGTCTCAAGAATGCTCGGAAGTTATTGAGGCCGTGAGTCGTTACTTTAACAAAGTTTGGGTAAAACACACCATTCTAACGAAAATACAGGGGCGGAAGATTTCTCTTATTTGAGATCACTAGGCCTGATGCAATTCGAACCACATTCGTCTTTGGACTTTTCGATGGATGGTGGCGAGGTAGGCCTATCCGCACGATTCTTTGAGCTCCAAAATCGAAGATATGCTGATTCACTCAGGCCAAGAAACATATCGCACGATGAACCCTTGCGTAGATGAAGCAAAATGGGACGAGCTGCTCAAAGAAGCTGGTTATTCAGGTTGTGACGTCGTCGTCACCGATTACAATGACGAGCGGTGCCATGAATGCAGTATGATTGTTTCGACTGCTGTTATTGATGAGCCAACGCGCCCAAGTCACCCTGCAATAAATATCATACTAAACCCTCTGAGCACAGTCCAGCTGAAATTGGCTGCCAGGCTTTCCAAGCTACTTCAAAATGCTGGAATCGATAACATCACGCAACTTACATTCCAGGATTGCTTGTCTAACAAAGTGACACCTGACGCGTTGAGCATCTGTCTACTCGAAACCCAAGATGAGTTTCTATATGATATAGATGAACTTGATTTTATTAACTTCCGTGACTTACTGACGCATACGAGAAGTCTGCTCTGGGTCGATGGAGGAGGCGGTCATCAGCCAAACCCCAAGTTCCGACTGATCGATGGACTCTTTCGGGTCATCAGTGATGAAAACCAGAATACCAGATTGACTATATTGTCTCTTGAGCCTATATCTACTGCAGAGCATCAAGCAGAACAGATTCTCAAAATAGTCACCTCTATTATGGGAGACATGGACAAGCACCTCGATACTGAGTATGTTGAGATAGATGGAATGCTTCACGTTGGACGCTTGGTGCATGCAAGTTCTCTAAATCAGGAGGTTGCTACAAAGAAGCTTCCCCAGCAAACAGAGACGCGGACTTTTGGCGGGGACCTTCCCCTACGGCTCGAAGTCGGTACTCCAGGTTTGCTCAATACACTGCACTTTGTCGAAGACAAAAGGATGCAGGCGCCTCTGAAGCCGAATGAAATTGAAATTAGATCCAAGGCAGTGGGGCTGAACTTCCGCGATGTACTGATCGCGCTGGGAAGACTGAATAGCAATACCCTCGGCGGCGAGTTTGCCGGTGAGGTGACGCGCGTTGGGGACGAGTGCCACAAGTTCAAACCTGGTGACCGAGTGGTGGTATACCATCCCAGCCACTACGCAAACTACGTCCGGGTGCGCGAGGATATGGCGGTTATAAAGATCCCCGGAGATTGGCTTTCGTTTGTGGATGCCGCTGCAATGCCAGTGACGTATGGCACGGCTTGGTTGACACTCAATCGAATTGCACAACTCCAGCGGGGGGAATCGGTGCTTATCCATTCCGGCGCTGGGGGTACCGGACAGACAGCCATTCGAATTGCCCAGTACCTCGGGGCTACCATCTTCACTACTGTCTCCAGCGAGAGCAAAAAGCAGTTTCTCATGGACCAGTACAATATTCCCGGCGAACACATCTTCTCAAGTCGAAATACGTTGTTTGCGAAGGGTATTCGCCGTTTGACCGGCAACAAAGGGGTGGATGTCGTGCTGAACTCGTTGGCATCCGACGAGTTCATTGCCTCGTGGGAATCAATCGCACCCTACGGCCTTTTTGTGGAGATCGGTAAAAACGACATCCTTTCTAATTCAAAGCTTCCTATGGGACAGTTCGAAAAGAATGTCAGCTTCTCGGCGTTTGACCTAGTCGCGATGAGCGTGGACCGGCCGCAACTGGTCATTTCTGCCTTGGAGGAAGTATTTGATCTCATAGAAGGAAGAAAGCTTCCAGTTCCTCAGTCTGCACAGATTTACGAAGTGGGCGAGATCGAGCAAGCATTCCGGCAGATGCAAAGCGGGAAGAATATGGGCAAGGCAGTGATAGAATTGAGAGACGATGATCAGGTAGAGGTGGGTTCACACACGATACAGTCTTCCAGTGAGCCTTACTAACTTGTGTAGGCTGTTATGGACACCAAGCCAACATACGCCTTCGATCCTAATGCAACCTACGTGATTTCTGGTGGTCTAGGTGGTCTTGGCCGGAGCATCACGCGATGGTTGGTCGACCGCGGAGCCCGTAATCTGATCCTACTTTCTCGATCGGGTGATAAGAACCCATATGCCAGGGACTTTGTCGCCGAATTGCAAGAACAGGGCACAAGTGCAGTGACTCCCGCGTGTAACATCGCAGATCGTGCATCTTTGGCAGCTGTACTAGAGTCTTGCACCGCGGACATGCCGCCAATCAAAGGATGTATCCAAGCGTCTATGGTTGTCAGCGTGCGTATCTCGTTCCTCTAATGCCATAACTACGCTGACCGGTATAGAACTCCCACTTCGAGCAACTCACACTCGACTCATGGCGTGCATCCACAGCCCCCAAAGCCCAAGGGTCATGGAACTTGCACGAACTGCTACCACGAGGCCTCGATTTCTTCGTCCTCATGTCATCCGTTGCAGGTATCAGCGGGGCTCGGGGAGAATCCGGCTACGCAGCGGGGAATACCTTCAAAGACGGTCTCGCGCGATACCGCATCGAAATCGGCGAGAAAGCAGTCGCACTGGACCTGGGACTGTTCCTCTCAGCAGGGTTCTTCAAAGAGAACGAAGAAGCCCGCAAAAGGTTCCTAGCGAACACTGTCCTACACCCCATCACCGAGTCAGACCTACACGCACTACTCGACATCTACTGCAACCCATCCCTCACGTACATACCCATCGAAAATAGCCAAGCCGTCGTCGGCATCCAGCCCAAAGTCCGCGAAATGGGCATGAACACAACCGAATGGATGCAGCGGCCCTTGTTTCGACACCTAGCAGCACACGAGCCATCATCCTCTAGCACAACAAATCCCACTAGCAACACCAACTTCGCTGCAGTGTTCGCAACCGCGAAGTCCCTCGACGAAGTAACCGCCATCCTAAAGCAGGAGATGCGATCCAAGCTCTCGCGCATGCTATCCATATCTAGCGACGAGATCGACCTCGACAAGCCGATCCACCAGTACGGCGTGGACTCTTTAGCCGCCGTGGAGCTGCGGAATTGGTTCGGCCGGGAGCTGCGCGCGGATATCGCGATTTTCGATATCCTGGGCGGAGCTAGCATTGCGTCTGTTGTGGCGCTCGCTGTGGGGAAGAGCGATTATCACCGGGGTTGATTTTCTTTTATGCAGTGAGCTCATTATGTCTAGTGTCTGCATATTCGTGGAGTGATCATTGATTGTAGAAATGATGGGTATTATGATGGCCCTAATAGTAAATTGTAACGAGATGGTGAATCATGGAGTCGGACTCTTTTTATAACTGATTTATCGACACATTGTCATCGAGATGCCGTCATAGACTACTACCAAGACATTATTAGGAATTATCAGGCAGGTGCCTAATAATAGGTTTCTATTTCATGCCTACTCCACCTTGATAGACACAGCAGATATGACGATCTTCTTATTAGAAGTCTACAGTATATCATAACTCATTCTACATTCCATGCCTCCCAGAACTCCCCCACATGACTCCCCAGACAGCATATGACGATATCCATACGCAAGAAACACCATATTCATTCAGGCTGAAGAAAAAGATTCAAATTAAAAATAGCAAAAAAAAAAGGCAGGCACGCATGATCCGTCCTTGCCGCATGAGCATCCACGTAGATGCCTCCTACCTAAATAGGTAGTAATTCTAGCTAGTAAATGTCACCAATAGGCAGGTACTTACGCCAGCAGAAATGGAATGGAATGTCTCAGATCTCGATCGTTATTTTCTTTCTATACTTTTCTTATTAATCTGTCCCCTTTTCGAACTGCCATCCACCATTTCATTGTGTGTGTATCTTGGTTTAATTTTATATATTTCTGTGTTTTTTTGTTGGAGTTTCGTACCGTCTACCGAGTGGGATGAGTTCAACTTTTTGTACTACGAATAAAGAGAATTTCCCCTGTTTTTGGATCTCTCTAGATAGATAGAAAGGTGAGGAAGACATAGGATAGCAGTAACTAATGCAATTCATCTAACTGACTTTCTGATATAAATAATAGATAAACATGAGATAGCAAGAGCTATGGTATCAGCGAGCAAACTGTACATACAACACCATTCATATAACAACAACACCTACTCAAAGGGCAAAAAAGGAAAGAAAGAAAGGAAAGGAGAAGGAGGAAGGAAGGAAGCAAAGAAGGAGGTTTAAAAAATCTACCACGAAAACGTCTCCTCATACAAATCCACCGTCGACTGCCCCTGCTTACTCCTCACCGTCCTCCGCACATCATCACCCATCCCACCAGGCCCACAAACACTAACGGCCATCGCGCCGACCTGCTGCGCCGTCTCATCCTCCACGATCTCGCCGAAACAAGGCTTTCCCAGTGTGATGGTGAGCGGCACTGTGGGCGGGACGGCTTGCGCCCAGGGACTTGTGTCGGATGTGTTGTCTTTTTCGTCGTCGAGGGAGGAGGAGGCGTCTTTCGTGGTGAGGAAGATGTGGATGGAGAGGGTGAAGTCGAGGTCGAGGAATTCGAAGTAGGAGTGCTCTTTTTGGTCGGTGGGGACTTGGATTACGGGGTGGTTGAGGAGGAAGGTCATCCAGGGTTGTATCCAGGTTAGATGTTCTGTTTTGCTGTTAGTTAGGGCTCTGGGGCTGATTGTTGTATGGGGTATAGGAGGGGATTGCAAGGATACCTGGACTTCGCACAACCCAGACTAGGCTCACGCGCCGGACGGCGATAGCTCGCGCTGCGATGCCGTTGATGAACTCGTGTATATATGACATTGGGTGCGTGATTCCGATGCCGCCTGCTATGAGTAGAACAGTTCCATACGAGGAGAGGGAATGCAGTCCGCCTAGCATTCAAGTCAGTGCTGGGGTTCGTTCGTAGTTTTTCCAGGTACAGATAGGGAAGTCATACCGAAAGGCCCCTCAGCCAGCGCAGTAGCGCTAAACCGGCCCTCTTCCGCTTTGTTAACCTTCCCAAGCAACTTATTCGTAAATCCCTCACGTCGCTTGATCAAGAAAGACATGGTCGTCCGCTCCGGTGGGTCCAATAACACACTGAACGAGTCTCCGGAAGTGCGCTTTTCGTCAGTGCTCACCGGCTCGGACGAAGTCCATGCTACTGAAAACGGATGGGACGTCCATAGTCCCAGCGACGGGATGTAGAGATACATGTACTGGCCAGCTCGGAAAGTCCACGAGCGCGCCATGACCACGTCAACGCGGGCAACGTCGCCAGGAAGAAGCTCCACAGTTGCCGTGGTCCGGCGTTTGCTGAAATTGCGCCAGATGACGATGCCGAATCGTCCGGCTCTCTGTTTTCGTCAGTACGTTTCAAATCTAGTCGTGAGAAGAGAGATGCTAGAGGAGCTCACATCTAACCCCCATAAGATCAACGTCACCAGCAGGACCTTCTGCATGGCCAGATTCTGCAGGTGATACCACAACGCCACGAACGCCAAGATCGCTAATATGATGTGGAAATGCAGGAACGCCTCGTACCAGGCGTGGCGTACCGGAGACAGCGATTGGAAGAAGATCACGACAAACGATATAAGAGCCTTGTCTGACTGTGAGAAATGGGCATATCCAACAGCAGCGTGTCACTTACAATCAATCCACATATGTAGAATGGTTTGGACCACAACATATGCGTGACCTCAGCCATGGTCACTGTCTCGTCAGTATGCAAGCGCGAAATATGAGAACATATAAGAATGGAGAAGGAAAACTCACTTTCTTTGGCTTCCCCCGCCACCACGCAACTCATATGTACAATTGCGCCGACGATCATGACCCGTCCAACCCACCGGTGCAACAAGTTGAACGTATCGAACGGCACCCCCAGCAGCCAGATTAGAGGATTGTTCCGGCCGGCGGTCAGCACCAGCGCTGGGGAGTTTATGACAGCCAGATGGCCCGCCGCATATTTAAGCTGGAACATCTTCTCCTTGTAGATCTGCCACCAGTCGATGAGAGCGATGAAGAATATGAGGTTCAACGCTACGTATCCCGCCAACAAAGCCGTCTCAAGTCGCAGCGGTAGAGCGCCCATGTGAAACCGGCCCAGCAGTCGAAATTCGCGGCCGTGGCGCGTGGACAGCAGCGGTGCGTAGAAGACATGCTTCTTGAGGCTGGCGACCAGTGGGTTGGGCCGGACGAATCGCGCTTGGTCGTTCTTCTGCAGGGCCTCTTTCAGTCGGCATCGTTGGTGATATTGTATGCAGGCGCGGCCGATACAGAATAGCACGAGGACTCCGCAGAGGCAGTAGAGCGGGACGCCCAGAGCTGGGTTCACCGGAGGGTGGTCGGCTTTAGTGTGTACCTGCCCCGATGGCAGAAGATCGACTCCCATTTTCTTGAAGCTGAGAAGTGCGTCGAACTCCGCATGCGACAGGGAGGTCGAACGAGAATCAGCAGGCTGCTGCACATCAGATCTCTCCGTTCAGCGACAATAGCTCAGTAAGTCGACCGAAAAATCCCCCAGTATATCGTCGTGCAGGCGTCGGGCCACGATAGTTGATGGTTTTGTCGAGTATATGATGCAGGGCAAAGAAGCTGGTAGGGCTGCGGGTCTGCCTTTTGACAGACTTGGACGATGCCGTCATCCATCCTTCTAGCAGCCCGACACAGGCTGTCACTTCTCATTTACGGGAATTGGACTGGGCCGGCTTCATGTTAGGTTTTTCCCGCTGTTCCTTGTGATGAGAGCGGAGCCAAGAGATCGGCTGCAACCAACAGGAATGTGGTGGCAGAGTGAAGAATGTAAGCGTGCACCCAGACAGCGTTTCACAGGGCCTTCCAGACGGCACCACGGCTATCCACATCTCGTCTGTCTGGAACCCCCCAGGTTCATGATACAATCGAGTGCAACTCTCGGATAGCCTTTCGACCCATAGCCATTATTTGACGTTGTTAACCCACCCAGGCAAACGCCGACTGAGGACACCGGGGTACAACAAAAGAAAGTATCGCCGGAAACGGCATAACAACCCTTTTGCCTCCCATCCGGAGCTGCTCGGTCGGTAGGAATGCTTCTTCGCCCCACAGCAGTCACCCGCAGACAACCTTGATCTTGTGGGCTTCACTCTTGTTTCACAGTGACGTTTGAACAGAGGATATATATATCAATTCGCAGAAAATTGGAGATTCTCGTCATACGATATCAGCCAGGCGGCCGATTTCTCCTCGCAGAGAGAGCATTATCAATCAGCCTATTCACCCACGCCAGATACAGCATACCAAGAGCAAAGAAACCCGGATCACTCGCCCCTCAGTAGGAACCAGTTGCTGAACCGTTTGCCTAATTGAGCGTGTTGCCAAAATGAGGCTCCACAGGGCTTGCGAAAGCCAGTGGGAGACGGCATATGAACGTGTCGGAGATGCCGAGCGATCGATATCGTCACAATGGGGAGTAAGATGTCAAATGTCAAGGGCCAGTGCAACGTCGACGTGATAAAGTTTTTTAGATGCCTGGTTCATCTGAGACAATGGACTATCTGGTTTTTTTGTATTCTGCGTAACTGCCGAAGGTCAATTACAGACGTCAGACCTCTGGCATATCCGCAGTACCTTCCAGAAACGGTGAAACACTGCCATGGGGCTGGGTGGTGTCCCGGGGACGTCCGAGTCCACACCAGCCACGAGGCGCAGGTGAGAATAGTGGCACAGTAGAACAGGAAGAAGATCAGATTGAATTGAAACAAGAAGGCCATGGGTGTTTGCGCCGTGGTCTAGACCCTGCGGCCGGAATGGTCGCTGCATGCAGTAGTCAACGTGGAGCATTGTTCATGAATTGGGAGAGGCTCAAACAAAGGCTGCTGTTCCTGTCAGTTGTGATACCACCTTGCTCAGTAAGCAACTCAAGGACCAGATTCAAGGGCGCAGTTTTAGGCATGATTTAAATGTGACAACGAGCAAGACAATACGAGATTCCAACGTGAAGAAACTATCAAGACCTCATTCATAAAATTGGAGGGAAGATACAAATCTGGGCAACACCACCAGCCTGAACGCCTAAGATAACAGCACACCAGGATAGGAAGACAACGATTCCCCATAACTATCCCGCCCTCGCCCCCGAGCAAATTATTAGTCCTCCATGGATAGCGAGTCTAGACCGTCTCTGATATAATGTATGGAATGTGAAGAAATTTCACCGCGATAGGAAGAGATCTCTATGAGGCGATACCACCTACCACCTTCGGGCTTATTGTAGGGTCTTCAGTGCCGAGACTCCCATAGCCAGTGTCATCGCTAGCGGAGTATCCTAAGCTGGAGCGACGGTGGGAATGGCCCTGCATCGCATTTTCCTTTTCTGCCACGCGGACTTTGGCGCGTCGAGTGGCCTTTCTTTTCTTCTTGTCCCTGCTCCGCTTGCTCTTCGTTCGCGTGTTTTGGATACACATATAGCTAGCAACGTCAACTCCCGCGCTGACACACAGCTCCGTGCATTCGGTCTCAATGATCTTCACGAGCTTGGGTGTGAACCCGTAGAAGGCCGGGTTATATGCGTTACGAGCCCAGTACATAAGTTCAGATGCCACGCGGCCGAGGTGGGGGATGGCTTGGCAAGATTCGTGTGAACGAGGTAGCACCCCGGTCACGGCTTCGTCGCCAGAGCTAGCCTCGGACGACAACGGGGTGGAGATCCTAGACGAGGTGGTAGACCCTGACGATTCGGAGGAGGAAAGATAATCCGTGTCGGAGCCGAGCACGTGGAGGAGGTGGTAGACCGCACCGAATCCAAGCAAGGTTAGCTCGACGGGATCCAGGGGCAGGCGGTTGAATCTAGAAACCGCCCTTTGCATGGTAAACGAGGACGGCAGGGAGGTATCACCAGTGGTTCGGGCGGTGAAGATGGCGGCGATCATCGCGCAGCGGACGGCAATGGAGATCTCCTCCCGCACAGACACGGGAAGTGACGAGTCGAGGAAGTTCGATGACGTGTTGTGGATGTTTTTTCTGTTGTCCTTGGGCAAAGCTGCCAGGACAGCGCCGATGTTGGCTACGCGATGCTGCTCGAAGAACACGGCCATCATGGCAAGAGCCCGCGTATGGGCGGCGGACGGCTGCGGTGCCACCTCAAGGGCGAGTTTGATCTTGTTCTTGAACCGATCGCGGCTTTCCTTGGCCTCAGGCCCACCCGAGCTAGCCTCGAAGTAGTTCAATAGAGCGCGCTGCAACAGATGACTGGACCACCAGGCAGCCAGGGCATCCAGAGAGGACTGGATAGCGGGGTCTTCTTCCACCACGTCCAACAACGCCTCGTCGTCATCGATTCCTTCCTGGGTGGGTCGGTTCCAGGTAAGGTTGGCCGCCCGCTCGATTATGCTGTCGGTCATGACCTCCTCGCTGTCTATCTTCAACAGGGCGGCTAGATAACCCGGCAGGGCATCGGGGTGGTCACCGGGAAGCACATCGTTCATCCGGCGGGCCAGGTCCCACTGATACCGTGCGAGGCTGCGAGCCACGTCATTGGATATGTGGAAGGTCCAGGAACCTGGGTCCCCGACCCGCCACATCAAGATTCGACAATGCAACGCTTTCAGCATCATCCGCATGGGACTCCGGGGCAAGGTTCCAGCGGCGAAGATGGTCAGAACCAATCGGCTCTTACTGACCTCGGCATCACCACCGGCCAGCTGCGCATCGATGGCGATGTCCCACGTCTTGACCCGGCCCCTCTCGTCCTCCTCGGTGACCCCGGTCGCCCATGAGTAGAGATTCCACCCCATCAGGCACCGGAGGACGTATTCAAAACATCTCGACGTCACGACATACCATTCGTGGAAGAAGCGGTGGCGAGGAACCCCCACTTGCTGGATACTCGTCAGCCACGCCTGTCGTCGGAAGTTGGTCGAAGACAGCCGGGTCGTCTCTGGCTTGGACGACGTCAACGGCGAGGCATCTGGGCCTGAGTTGAACAGATACACAAAAACGACAAACGCACTCCCAACGACCAGCACGGCGAGAAGGAGGAAATGGGCGATCGCTCGGACATGCCACGAATGCCAGGACGTTCGGACCACGGCTTCCCAATACGCCAGCGAGGGTGGCTGCATGTTGTAAAGCCAGTTCATAGGGAGGGCGAACAGGCCCTTCGCCGTCGAGTCCGTTTCTTTCTGGGAACTCATGCCCTCGACGACCATCAGCCCAGCGAGCGCCCCAAGCATGTACTTGTTGGGATAGTGGGACCGTCGACGACCGCCACCGCTCTGTGTGCTATTGGTCCTGGAGCTGGGGTATTGGATGTATGATTGAGAAAATGCATTATCAGCAGGGGCCTCCGCACGCATTCGCTTGAAAGCGTCGGGAACTTTCATCATTCCTTCGGGCGGGTGCGAAGAAGCACTTGGAGAATGCTCGCGGGGCGAGTCTTCGGCGTGGGAGAAAACGCTTGGGGACGAGCTGGCACCCGACTCGGTCGATACCGTACAGTTGCTCGGGGATGATACAGAGGCCGCAGACGTCATGCTCTGGTCGTTGGCCTTGTCGACCTGGCGGAGTCGATTTTTCAGGGCGACATTTTCCTCTTCCAACCGCCTGTTGCGAATCTCCAGGTGTCGGATGTACTCGGTGGCTTTGGACAGAATCGAGGCCTTATTTAATTTGTTTGCTGGTGTGACTCCGTCTCCGTCGTCGTCATCCACCAACGCTCCACTACCTTTCGACGCCCGCAAACTGGGGACGCTGTCTCTCAGCTCGGAAATCTTGTCATTCAAATTGGCGCGGTATCTCTTCTCGATGACATTGTGGGCTCGCTTTTTGGCTGGCATCTTTTTGCCATTCGGTAGCACGCCGCTCACGGTCGATCCGTCATCGTCGCTCCCGGTCTTGCGTTTACGAGTTGCACCTTCTGACAGTAGGGGCGAACCGATCGTGGACGGGATCCTGGTTCCGTCATTGAGGGTCGTCTCTGGGGGACCAGCCCCCTGATCACGTCCCAGCAGGGCGTCGAACGGCGGATTTGTGAAATCCAGCGATAGATCTGGAGAGAACTCTGCGGATGCAAAGATATCGAAATTTGGGGGGGCGGGGCAGTCGTTGTTACTTTGCGGGGTGAAGGGGAGGTCTAGGGGCGATTTGGTGGGCGGGACCTTGACTTCCTGAGTTCCTGGGTCGTCCCATCTCATCCACTGAGTCCAATCTTGGACGGTGTCGTCGGCGGTGGATTGGGGAAAGCCTGCGGTGTCCGATTGCGACTTTCTCCTACCCGACCCCTGGAGGGGGGAGAATAGCTGGAAGTCGCTACCCATGTCGGGCGCAGCCATACTATCCAACGACGTAGGTCTGGACCATCAGTCGAAACGATGTTGTGCGATGTCGAGGTCAACTCCAAACAAGAAGACGGTGATTCGGTCCGGAGCGATCGTGTCTAGCAAAATCAATCACAGGTCCTGTAGAAGGCGAAGCCAAGATGGGTATTGGTGTTGATGTTGATGATGGATTGAGGTTGACGATGTTTATCAGATGCGAGAGATGCATACCTGACGTGGAAAAGCAAGTCGGGACCCGGTAATGTGCGGGTTTAAGTTCCAATGCAGTTGAAGATCAGCCAGAACCCATACGCGCTAACACGCCTAAGTCCAACTGTGGAGACGAATGGGGCGTATGGCGAGCCGCCAGCGACTACTGGATGATGTTTCTGGGGTGGCGAGAAGAATTGAGGCGATTGTCTATCATCAACAACCATTAGAATGAACAAAAAGTAGTGTAGTAAAGTAAGAAGAAGACAGTTGGAGTCCGGCATAGCTGATGTTTTTCCGCCCCTCCAAATCCAAAAGGTCTTATCACACCGTTGGGCTAAAGGTTGAGTACGCGGCCAGGAACAAGGCGCCATGGTTCGCGCTGGTTCACATGGGATGGGGACGGGAGGAACCCACAGTTGATTGATCAATTGATTGATGGATAGAATGATTTGATAGGAACAGGTTATACTCTTGCACAGCGCCTGAGATGGAGTATCCAATGAACGATCATGACAGGGTTGATGATATGTGTTTGAAACAGCGAGAGAGCAACATGGTGAACAGGAGAAGACCGACAAACCGGGCAATCAATCAGCCCACCCTGTATAATCGATTTCTAGGTTGACAAGAAAGACCTGGCAGATGGAAACCTCAGGTTCCAGTCTTGGCGTGGCATGATCGCGGGATGCGGTGCTTCCGGCAAGCCGACTAGTGGTATTGTAGTTCCAGGGCGGTAATATATGGGTCTGAGTATCCAATGGGCGGTCGTATTCTCACGTGAAACTGTACGGGATGGCTGTCATGCTGTATCGATACGCCTGGCCCCCCTCAGGCAGGATGACATCACAACACTCGCTGCTGAAACAATGCTGACCTTTCTATCTTGGGAAGCAGATCTGGCCTCGACCAGGTATGGTGAATCCTGGGGGGAAATTCTAGACTGCATCCTGAGGGTTCACGGCACATACTCCGTAGCCATCAGGCTGATCTACTCCCACACTCCTCGCAGTCCCCACACATCCACACTCACCCGACTCCCGGCCTCCAGTCCCCTCGCAGAAACATCCAGTATATCTAGCGGTGAGGTCGGAAAGAACGACATGGTCCCACTGCGGCTCCCATCCTCCACGAAGACCTCGAAAACAGAGTGATCGACAACCGCGGAGAAGCGGAATGAACTCGTCTCGACAGACACGGCCGTATGAAACTCAGACGTATAGTTCCCGTTATCCTGGCTGGTAAAGAGATGCGTCCCAGCACGACTGATCCAGAAGCGGTTCTGGTTCAAGCGCAGTCCTCCATCGAGGGATTCCCCCGACGTCGAGGAACTAATCCTGAAAACGACCTCTCCGACCGGGCTCAGGGGGTTGATTTCCTCGATCGCCACCTCCAAGTAGACAGCCTTCGACGAAACATGGGAGAAGTCTACTGTCGTGCCATTATCCCCAGATTGTAGATCCCAACTCCCGAGCTGGGCCCCTCTCACAGGGGCGAGACCATCAGCAGGGCTATGGGTCACGACCCAGGACCCGTCGACCTGGGTCAGCGTGTGCGTCCTCGGCAACGTCGCAGCACTCCTCCAGCCCTCTCTCTTTCCCGTCGGAACCTCCTCCGTATAATCCCAGTTGCTCGCCCAGCCAATCGACACGGGGGGTTGTCCAGCGGGGATGCCCGAAAACCACTGCGCGGCGTAGTTATCCTTCGCGAAATCGTACAGCGGCGCGTGCGGCGTCTCGGACTCGAAATGGGTGCCGTTGAAGTCGCCCACCACGTAGAATGTGCCTGACCCGCCCAGTGGTGCCCCGGGGTTGACTGAGATGAATAGCACATGTTTCTTTCCCTTGTGCGCGAGAGCTTGGTTAACGGGGAATTCGACCAGATTCGGACACTCGAATTCCACCCCCGGCAGGCCAGCCTGCGTGAAATTCGAAGCATGTTCCCATTCTCTCAGATTCGACGAGGTGTAAAACCCAATGACCCGGTCCGCCGCATACGCGATAACCATAACCCATCGCTGCGTGCCATGATGCCATGTCACCTGGGGGTCTCGAAAGTCCTTCGACGTGCTATCGATAACAGGGTTATCCGCATACTTAGTAAACGTGTATCCTCCATCCGTGGAATAGGCGATATGCTGAGTCTCCTTGTCAGGGGCGTCAACAGTGTAGATAGCCACAACGCCATCCTCCTGGTCTGGGAAGAACCCCGACGTGTTATCAGCGTCGACCACAGCCGAGCCGGAAAATATATACTCGTCAGACTCTGAGGGAGAGATGGCGATGGGCTGGTTAGTCCAATGGTACAGGTCTGGGCTCGTGGCATGACCCCAGTGTTGGTTTCCGGCGACTGGCTCGGAGGGATTGTCTGTGGGTGTCAGCTTGTGCGCATAATATATGTGCGCGTAATATAGCAGTGGTAGTATACGTACACTGGTAGTACAAGTGGTATGTTCCGCTGCGGTCATCGTAGAACAGGCCATTGGGGTCGTTCATGAAGTTGACAGGGGGGGAGAAGTGCACTTGAGGCCGTAATGGCCCTGTATAATCCGCTGCCTGGGCGGCTGCCACGAAACACATAATCCACGGCGAAATTCGCATTTTGAATATGCAGTTTTTGGGACGTATACCTTCCTTGGTTATCCAGGAAAGCGATCCATGGGGAAGGTATATATACTTGACTTGCTCGCAAACCCGGAACCACCATCGGAAAGCCAACAAACACCCCCACAAATCTCAGCAGCAGAGATAAACTTTCTACCCCGTGTAGAATTTTCTCCACGATGTCGCGATCTGAAAACCCCGCGACCGGGGTTGGTTCTAACTCTCGGTGGTTCTTCGGGTATTTCTCCGCGTGTGGAGAAGAAAGTATACGCTTGCGGAGATCCCAGTGTTATCTCGGCCGTTTGCCGAATACAGTCGATATGGAGTACCTATATTCATAATTGAATATATTTAATTGGATATCTTAGAAGTAGGACATTAACTATACTAGAATTGAACTGGTTTCATGCTAGATGATCCAGGTATTTAGTAGGTAAAAGCTAATTTGTTGTGTTTACATATATATATATGAATACATAGAGTAGCATGCGGATATATATAATAAGTATAATTCTACCCTCAACGAAGGGACAAATGAAACAGCGAATCCTTGGCAATATTGATTAACTTTATAAAAAGTAAACCACGGTCAGAAGATAGATCCTAATATCCAGATGCAGTAGAATACTCAACCCTACTTTTCAGTCAGGTGGACAAGGTACTTGCATCCACCCTCACCATAGATAATGGAAAACACCAAGTGATACTACTTAATACTTCGATAGATGACGACGCAATATACATCACCCCCCCGACGCATTTCCAGAGCGATACAACCAAACCCCCTACTCATCGAGTAGACTAGAATCCTATGGAAAAAAAGGAACGAAAAGAACACTGGGGGTATAAAGATGTGTATTACTGATTCAAAAAGACTGCCCCGCTAACAGTATCTACAACTCCTTCTCCACCCCAAACAACGCATCCATCCCCGCCCTCACCCCCTTCTTAACCCCCTCCGTCGGCTCCTCATACGGGGCCCGCGGCCTCAACTTCTCCTCCGCACCCTCAATCCCCGCCAACGGCCCCACATAAACAGCAGCCGCATACTTCGTCGACGCAATCCCACTCTTAATCGGGCTCTCCGCCAGCGCTGCCTTCCTCTGCAACTCAAGCGCCTCCTTAACCCTGCCCTCCTCATATAGCGCAAACACACGCGCCGCGGTGCGCGGGAAGACATTCGCAAACGCGGCAATGCAGCCCGCCGAGCCGGCCGCGAGCCCGCCGACCAAAAAGTCCGACTGGCCGCCGTACACGGCGAATTCGCTCCGGTCGAACGTAGCAGCTAGACGGGTGATTTTGCCGACGGAGCCGCACGTTAGCTTGACGCCGACGACGTTAGATAGGCCGTCGCCGCGGCGGGCTTTGTCCTCTTGCACGATGGCGGTTATAATCTCCGAGTCCATGTCTACCCCGTTGCACACGCCCGGGAAGTTGTACAATACAACAGGGAGGGGGGATTTGGCTGCTACTTCTGCAAAGAAACGCTTCACGACAGCCGGGGTAGTCGCCTTGCCGAAGTAAGCGGGGGGCAGGATGAGGAGGTAGTTTGCGCCCGCTGCAGCGGCGTCTGCGGCGAGTTCGAGCGTCTGCTTGGTGGAGTGGGCGCCGGCGCCGGCCATGAGGGGGAAGTTGGGGCCGACTGCATCGCGGGCGGCGGCTATGACTTGGGTGCGTTCTTCGCGGGTGAGGAGGAAGGCTTCGGAGTTGGTGCCGTGGATGACGAGGCCGGTGAGGCCGGTTTTGGAGAGGTAGGCGAAGTATTTCTTTTGAGAGGGGAGGTCGAGAGTGTCGGTTTTGGGGTCGAAGAAGGTTACTGCGGGGCACCAGACGCCTGGTTGGGGGATGCGGGGGATGGGGGTTGCTTCGGAGCCCATGGTTCTGTCTTTGGGGGTTTTTTGCGCCGTTGGTTGGATAAAGGTATTGGGTATGTATGATAAATGAACCTTAGTAGAGAAAGGCTTATAATGTTTCTTCTTTTACAGCAGCATACACATTATATAGTTCGGGCAGGGCGGGGCAACAACGAAGGAAAAGAAGCCGCTCGGGACGCTGGACCGAAAAGGGTCTTGCGCATCGGACGTGCCCCGATTGGGGATTTCGGACTGAGAACCCGAGGTAATCATTCTAATATCAAATAGATATGGTCATCACTTGAGACTGTGCATTGCTATCACTAAAGCTAACCTGTAACACAGAGCACCCAGCACCACCCGAACCAGCCAACCTCCATAAGGTCGTCAATGCTGCACAGTATTAGCACACGTCTACAGCTCGAGAGAAGCACATACCGTGATATCCTCCCATTTCTCCCAACCCCGTCCACGCACCTCCGCCAGCTCCTCAGTCGTGTACTGGCGGCCGGTGGTGAAGTAGCCCGCGTTGATCTTCGCGTCGATTTCGACCCGCGAGTCGTCTGGGATCATATCTTCCGGGATAGGCACGCGTTCGATGATGGGAATCCCAGACTGCACAATGGCGTCGTGCTTCATGTTGGACATGGACAGCATGCGGTCGATCTTCTTGATGCCCAACCAGTGCAGGATGTCGGGCATCAGCGCTTGGAAGCGCATCTGTGAGGGTCAGCGGTCAAAAATCCTATAATCACAGCCGAAAGGGAGCTGAAGTGGGACTATACATCTCTCACGCCCGCAATATTCTCCGTCCGCGTGAAGTACTTGTCTGCAGTGTCGCCGCCGCGCTTGCGAGCGTTGTACACCAGGTACTTGATCACCTCGCCCAAGGCGCGCCCCTCCTTCCGGAAGTAGATCACAACGCCGCTCCCTCCATTCTGCGCTTCGCGAATAGCCTCGCGGATCCCAAACGCCAAATACGGCCGACACGTGCAGATATCCGACTGAAAGACATCGCTGCCATTGCACTCGTCATGGATCCGCACCGCCAGCTTGACATTTTCGTCCGACACGCGCTCCGGCGGCCCAAAGATGTACACCGTTAGGCCACCGATCGGCGGAAGAAACACCTTGAGATCAGGCCGGGTGATCAGCTCCGGATAACTGCCCCCAGTATGCTCAAACAGCGTCCGCCGCAGTGTCCCCTCATCGACGCCAAACCGATCCGCCACACCAGGAAGATACCACACCGGCTCAACAGCCACCTTCGTGACACGCACATCCCCACCAGAGTTCACCACGATCGTCCCATCAACGTCGAGCTTCCCCTCCCGCACCGCTTCACCTATCTCCGCCAGCTTCATATTCGCCCTTGTCACAGCCATCGTCGGCCTGATATCCCACCCGGCATCGAGCTGCTCCCGGAACTGATTGACAACATCATGCCCATAGGGATCCATCGCCACGATCTTCGTCTTGTCCGCCCAAGCCGGCTGCCAGGCAAAGTTAAAGGTCGGCTCGCTGTTGCGGAAGTCCGGGCGGAAATCAGGCTCCAGGTCGCCGGCGGCGATGGCGAGCGCATTGTAGATACTGTAGCTGCCGCCGTGGGCGCCCATCGCATTGCGCCGCTTCAGGAGGGCATTGCTGCGGGAGACGATGACGGGGCCCCTCGCTTGGGCATCTTTGGCGCCCCAGGTGAGTGGAACGGGGTCGATGCCGCTTTGTCCGGGGTAAGTCGTTAACTATCACATTGGCACCGTGTTATTATGCTATTATCCAAACCACCCCTCAAATAGAACTCACCACAATATGCTTGCTATACCGCGACGCAGACGAAGCAGCGGGAGATTGAACCGCAGCAGTCGGGGCCTCCGCCATACTACCATCGGTCGGGGTATCTTTCTCCACCATTTTGACGATAGAAAGCTAGTAAGCCCGAGTACCGACTCAACAATAGTAGTAGTATCGAAAATGAAATATGAAAGAAAGAAGGGATCAAGACGAGAATATACTCCGTACAAAGCGAGGAAATAGAGGCGGCGGGGCACAAAGGTAATAATACTGCAGTGACAGCAGCTGCATGTGACCTCATGGCAGCAATCGTGCCCAAGGGAGGTGAGGCGGGCGCGGTCAACCAGAGCCATTCATTCTCACCGTCAACTGTGGTCCTCCCTATCAGTTGGGCTTTGTCTGGGAGTCTACTGGAGATAGGTGATAGAATAAGGCACAAGTCGATACGATCATCACACTCAGTGTGGCAATTCATATCCTCATAGCTATACGATTACGGATCCATTCATCCTTTGTTAAAGTGGAGAAACCATTTCACCCCCAGGTACACACAGCTTGCCTATGAGGTAATCCGTCCCATCTCCCGAGTCTCCGTAATAGGATTCATGGGACGCACCAATAATTGAATGCGTGTCTAGACTTGGCACTGACAGCTCAGCCCAGCTACCTCAGCTACCCAGGTGGATCTGACTAAGGCAAGTACATTGAAACTGGTATCTAACAATAAGTATCTCGAGTGACTTTTTGTCGAAAAAGTGAAATCTCATAAAGTCTTCATGCGTAAAAAAAACTGGATCGTCGTCGCGAAACTCTGCGTCTTCCCCTCCCAAGCCCCACCCCCCGGTGGGAGGGATTCCAATCGTTGAGAACAATACACATGCACGCTCCACATGATGCGATTCGGTCGGAATGATCTATCTTATCGCCCGAAGGTTCCCTGGGCCCGGGTCGTTTTGATGGTCTTCTTGATGATGTCTTCCACCTCGTCCCAGTCTTTGGTGTCGATGCGCTGGATGGTGGTGTTGAAATATTGTTGGATCTGGTTGAGCATGTTCCATTCGTCGCGGCTGGAGACGAAGGAGATGGAAACACCCACACGGCCGAAACGTCCGGTACGGCCGATACGGTGGAGGTAGGTCTGGAAGTCGGCCTGGCGTTCACGGCGTCCGGGTTGATGGATCTCGGGGATGTCCTGTAGAGAGAAGTGTTAGGTTGACTTCCGTGTCGAGTCGTTGGATGGAGTCTTACGTAGTTGATGACCATGGAGACCGTGGACACGTCAATTCCTCGGGCCAGCACGTTTGTCGTAATGAGCACCTTGGCTTGGCCGGCTCGGAACTGATCGATGACAGCGTCACGCTGCGAACCCTCGATACCACCGGTCAAGGAGGCAACGGTGTGGCCTTCGGCGACCATGCGCTTCTCGATTTCTTGCGCAGACGCACGAGTCTGATACGGGTCAGAAACACGACATACGTGGGTGGGGTTAGGGATCAAACCTTGACGAAAATGATCGAAGAGCCGACGGTAAGCAACCCGTAAAGCTGGACAAGGTTGCGATATTTGTCCTCATCGTCGGAGCAGTCGAGGTACAGCTGTTTGATGCCCTCGACTGTGAGTTCTTCGTGCTGGAGCGTGATCTCGTTCGCGTCAGGGGCGAATTTCGAGGCGTATTGGTGGACGTGCTCGGGGAATGTGGCGGAGAAGAGGACGACTTGGATGGTGCGTGGTAAGAGGCTAGAGGCGCTTAGTCTACCAATCCCCACACGAAGATGGACGCAACTTACCCCTTGACACGAATACACTGGTCGCCCAAGCCCTGCTGGTCGAGCATGTTATCGGCCTCATCCAGCACTAGAACCTTCAGCCCGCTGGCCACCATGATGCGCTTCTTAATCATATCCATGACGGTCCCGGGGGTACCGACGACAACGGAGCACTCAAGCTTCCGCGGGCGGCTATCACTGTCCGCAGGCACCGCGGTGCCGATAATGAGGTTTTCGAGGAATTGTCCCATGACCTGGATGACCCCGACGATCTGGCGCGCCAGTTCGCGAGTCGGGGCCAAGATCAGAGCCTGGGGTGTCTTTTGCGCTTTCTCCGAAGTAAGGTCCAAGCGGCTAAGGATATTCAGAACGAATGCAGCGGTCTTTCCGGTACCAGACTGCGACTGGCCGACCAGGTTCTTGGGGGGGTTGCTCAGGAGCAGCGGCAGGGCACGTTCTTGGATCTTCGAAGGCTTGCGGAAGTTCATCGCCGACAGTCCCTTCAGGATGCGAGGGTCGCTGTTCATCGCGGTTACGTCAGATGGCTGTTGAGTGGGAGCCTCGTAGGTGACTCACATTCCAAGGTCCTCGAAGTTCTTAACGGAAAAGAGAGGGTTGTTGGGATCCGCCTGGAGATCGCTCAGTTTGACTTCGACCGTATAGTCCGGTTCCTGCAGGTCAGACCCGCCGAGTTCGGCAGGGGCGCCATCGGTCTGGTCGGCCTCGCCGGACTTCTCAGCATTGTCTGTTTGTTGGACGATTAGCGATTTGCGATGCGAAAGGGATCGAAGGCGCAATCGATCCATGACCGGACGTTCGTACCTGCGGGCCGGGCTTCGGGTTGAGCTTCAGGCTTGGTTTCAGGCTGGGCTTCAGGCTGGGTTTCCTCGGGCTTGGAGATGCGGTCGGCAAGAGAGCCTGCCGCAGGAGCCTCCGATGCTTGCTCCGATGCCATCGTAGAAGGGTTGACGCGGGAAAAGGCGTGGCGTTATGATTGGTAGAGGATTGAAGGCGTAAGAGGGCGTCAAGATAGGAGGAGACGACGCGGGGTAACCAATCTCTCGCAGCTGCAGCGGGGTTTCCGTAAGGAGGTAGGAGGATACGAAAGTAAGCAATTGAAAATAAATCTAGCCCAATAAAGAGCACTCGAATATGCCACTCTTCAGAAGAAGCGACCTGGGAATTAACAGATAGTGGAGAGGGAAGTAGAAGGTGAATAGGATAATCAAAGATGACGATGGAAAAACCAGGCAAAGACTGACCGCCCACGCTGTTTAGGGGCGCTAGTCCTGTTCGGGCATCCTGCCGCGTGGATAAAATGTAGCTCAATGCGGCAGGCGGTAGAGTACTTTACAAAAACATGTAAACCAAATACATAGCTTGTGACGTAATGACTGAACTTTCAGTACGGTACACAATTACCGTACTTTCTTTGCCGATAAATACATCACAAGTCCTAAGTTAGTATTATAATTACGTCTGTAAGGATCATGCGATCTGACATCTCCCTGTTTGGTACTGTCATGCCTGCGACCGGCCGAAACCATCCTTGCTATCCAGGAGCATCATCTTCCCCGCTCCCGCATGTTGATTGATACATAGGTGGTCCTGCTGGTTGTTTGTCCGCCATAATCTTACATTTGGCGCGCTGTCTCCCCTCTCAAGTCGCATCGCATAAGTCAATTCTGTCGCACAAGCTGACCGGATCCGACCAAGCGCACCCACGTGGGAGGTAAGTGAATGGAATTGTCCCTGCCTGGATCTCCCCTTATCCGCCTGTCTCACCTCCCCGAGCACCGACTGATGCGCCGTGGCCTCAGGTACCCCACCCGATCATGGCCACGCAAGATGCGCCTCCTCACTTTGGAGCCGAACTCAAGGTAGGTCTTCTGGATTGTTTGGTGTGTTACTACAGCTAACCGCATGCGCTTGGCAGGATGCCTTTAAACCCGTCAATCACTGGGTATGTCCATCCACCACACGACACCTGGAGGAACTGTCGCATATCAGGGGTTATGCTCATAACTAGCTGTATAGGTCTCGCATGGGATATCATGGCTGGACGAAATCCAACAATTCTACCGCGAACGCAGCGCCATTGAGAAGGAATATGCAGCCAAGCTGACGGGTCTCTGCAAAAAATACTCCGATCGCAAAGCGAAGAAGATCAGCACCTTGAGCGTCGGCGACACGCCAACTATGACCCCTGGCTCCCTCGAAAGCGCTTCCCTCACGACATGGACCACCCAATTGACGGCGGTTGAAGCCCACGCGGCGGAACGCGACCAGTACGCTACGGATCTGGTGGTGCAGGTGGCAGAGCCCATGAAACAATCAGCCACGCAGTACGAGGAGCTGCGGAAGTGTCATGTCGATTTCTACGGGAAGCTTGAGAAGGAGCGCGACGCGTCGTACAGCGATCTCAAAAAAATGAAGGGCAAGTATGACGGCGCGTGCCAAGAAGTCGAGGCCCGGCGGAAGAAGATGGAGAGCTCGTTCGACCACAACAAGCCTAAGTCGCAGGCTGCATATCAGCAGCAGATCCTCGAAATGAATAATGTCAAGGTCGGTAACTGGGTCTATCGTACGCCGTGTCGCATGCTAACGGTATCAGAACACGTACCTGATCACCATCAACGTGACCAACAAGTTGAAGGAGCGCTTCTACCACGAATACGTCCCGGAGCTTCTTGATGTATGTCTCTGGTTCACTTCCTTCGATGCCGCGCTAATATCTGATAGGGTCTACAAGACTTGAATGAGACTAGGGTCACAAAGCTCAACTCTCTATGGTCACTCGCGGTGCAACTTGACAAGACGTATCTGTCGCGTAGTATGGAACACATGTCGAAATTACTCATGGAGATCCCGCGGAATCTTCCGCACCTCGATTCGCTCATGTTCGTGCGACACAACGCCACGCAATCAACGGAGCCACCCAACCTCACCTTTGAGCCCAGCCCTGTCTGGCACGACGACGATGCGCTAATTACAGACGAGTCCGCCAAGGTGTTTCTGCGCAACCTCCTCAGCAAGAGCAAAACACAAGTGCGCGACTTACGAGTCGAAGCGGACGAGAAACGACGCGACGTGGATGGCGTGCGACGAGTCCGACAGAACGTCCAGCAAGGAAAAGACACGCGGAGCGAAGTGGAGGTGGTCCGATCCATCTTCTTATTACAGGGTACATTGCACGACGTGGAGCGGAAGAAGCTGACGGTAGAGGTGGAGACCGCAACCATCATGTCAGCTGTGGGCGATCTTTCGCTCGGAGCCAGGAACCACAATTTCAAATCGCAAACGTTCAAGATCCCGACGAATTGCGATCTGTGCGGGGAACGGATATGGGGCCTATCAGCCAAGGGATTCGACTGCCGGGATTGCGGGTACACATGTCACAGCAAATGCGAGATGAAGGTACCGGCGGAATGCCCAGGCGAGCTGAGCAAGGAAGATCGGAAGAAGGCCAAGGCCGAGCGACAAGAGCACGCCAGTGCCACGCCGGTCGTCGACCTCGAATCACCAAGCACATCCTCCGTGGCGCCGTCTCTCACGCGACAGAACACGATGAACTCGCTCAGCTCAGGCTACGCCGCCAGCGCCCAACGCTCGATGTCCAACGTAGGAGCCCTAACCCCGGGCGAACCCGCATCGCCAGTCCCGGCACCAATCCAGGAGACCAAACCTCCAGCCGCCAAGCGAGGGCGCGTTCTCGCCCCGCCCCCTACGCAGTATATTCCTCCACCCCCGGTTGTGGATTCACCGGGGCCTACCCAACGCGGGAAAATGGTATACGATTACCAAGCGGGCGGACCCGACGAGGTTAGCGTCCAAGAAGGCGAAAACATCTCTATAATCGAGCCAGACGGTACGCTCACTCTCCCCCACTCACCTACAACATACTAACAGACACAGACGGATCCGGATGGATCAAAGTCCGCGTCGGATCGCAAGAAGGCCTCGTACCGGCCTCCTACGTAGAAGTCGCACCCATGTCATCCCCCATGCCCGCACCCCACCTCGACCGGCCCGACTCAATCTACTCAAACTCATCCGCCTCCCTAGCAAGCAGCGCAATGGGCAAAAAGGTCGGACCAGCGGTAGCCCCACGGCGAGGGGCCAAGAAGCTCAAATACGTGGAAGCACTGTACGACTACGAAGCGCGCAGCGACATGGAGTGGAGCATGACGGAGGGAGACCGGTTCGTGCTGATCAACCGGGACACGGGCGACGGATGGGCGGACGTCGAGCGCGGCGGGGCGACCAAGAGTGTGCCCGCCAACTACATCCAGGAGGTATAGTCGTGAAGTGTAGGTAGTTGCAGTGGTACATTGGGAATTGTTTTGCATCAGGCATGGGGGAGCATTGGAGCACTGGTCTGTTTGGGGGTTTCAGTCGGATCATCCTGTGCATGGTTGATTGGCGTGTCGTCTGCTATCTGCAGTAGGCGTCCATGTCGCATTGCCTCGACAGAGGCTTGTCTATAGAAATGGAGTGAAAATATCATTACGGCAAAGCCTATATCTCAGCCAGCCAAGTAAAATTAAAACGAAGACAAAAGGAACCCCCACAAAACCAAACAGTCAAAAACCCAATCTCGAACAAGAATAATAACCCCCCCCCCCCCCCCCCCCCCCCCCCCACCACTTCCCCCTTCCCAAGTGAGAAAAAAAAAAAAAAAAAAAAAAGAAAGATACCCAAACCAAACTAAGAACAGCGCACCCGATCCAACCAAGAAGAACACTCAATCTCCGGCTGTGCCACCTCAATACTCCAAAACACATTACCATTCTGAACCAACTGGACCAAGAGCCTCCCTTTCTTCGTAATAGTCGCGTGTATCTTGTAATAGAAATCATTGTACTTGACCCCCGCCGAGTTCTTCCGAGGGGTGAACTCGGGCGATTTCAGCCTCCCGGCGATGTCAACGACGCAGTCCACGAGTATTCTACCCTGCGGCACGGTGTCTGGGGGGGTTGGTAGATAGGTAGTGGTTAGCTTTGTTGAAACTGGGGTGGGTATTCAACAACAAGAAGAGAAAAAAAAAATAAAATAAGATAAGAAGAGGAGCATGAGAATGGAGAAAGAAAGAAAGAAAGAGGAGGCTCACCTGCTGATCCCAGCCTCGTAGGGGGATGTGTCCCCCGGCAGGCATGAACCGAAACATGCATTTTCATGGGTCTGTTTTTTTTCCAAGTGTGGTGCAGTTTCCTTCCGTTCGACGCTCCGACTGTGTAAGAGGCGTCCTGCAGCAAGTATCAGTATAAAGTGTATCAGCAACGCTGTACGTACATGTGTGCGCGCGGCACTTGTGTTGTGTTGGGGGGGTGGTGAGGACGAACTTTCTCAAGCAGCCATTTAAGCTGATTACTAGCGTACCAGCGCTCCTTGAGGGGGTCCCAAAACTTGTCCTTTTTGCTGTGGATTTTCGCGTCGAAGGGTACTGTGACTCTGATGCCGTAGTGGTTTCCGGCGACCTGGGTAGGCTTCTTTGGCGGGGGCGGTTTGACAATCTCTTTGCTGGTGGGGACAATGTCCTTTTTTTCGGCGACGATGGTTGTCGTCTCGGAAAAGCTATCGTCGTAGGCCTTGGACTTTTCTTTGAGCTCGGGGGGTGTTTGGGAGCTGTGTGGGGAGGAGGGTTGTCAATATATGTATGCGTATGCGTATGCGTACACTTTGCTTCCCGGGTGATATGTGATATGGAACAAAATTGAAACAACAGTACAACACAATACAAAAGCGCAAAGGTAAGAAATGGAATCGAGAAAGAGGAAACACGTACGAGGAGTCCTTCTTGCGCCTGAGGTATCATTGTTTGCCCCGAGTTAGGGCTTATAGTTAGTAACTGACTGACTGACAGGCGACTGGTGTCGGGATATAGGCTTATACATACCTCCACATGGTTGAGACTTTCTCGCAGATGGTCACCATTGCTTCGGATTTTTGCGTGGGTGGTTTTCTGAGTAAGGAAGTAGCTGTATCTGACTGGTGGGTGAGTCTGGCTGAGTGAGTGGGTCTGATAGAGTGTCAGAGTGGGTGATCTGGGGATGGTGAGTGAAGCAGTGGGCGTTCAACCTTAAATAGCACATATTCAAGAGAGGGGCACCATCGTCAGTGTGTCATCATCAACTGTTGCTCCTGGTATTCCGGAAGCCATAGGTAACGATGACGGGGGAGTGAGGGTTAATCTTGAACTGTCCAGTCGGACTACTTCTCCGCTCGTTGTGTTGATGGTTCGGCGTTGGGAGGGTGAACTATTGGATGTTGGTCATGATAGGCTTTTAGAAGATTCATCGCCTATGGTATGTATCATATGGTTTTAAGATGCTATCTAATGGCTACTTGACATTATTATGATTGTCAGTTCCACGTGGGATTTATCCATCTTTACTATCATACGGAATACAATCAGTCAAAACTGATAACAGTCTATTGGCGTCGAAAACACCATACAGCCGATCTCCTTGGAAACGCACACGGCTATATTCGGCGAGCTACCTCGAGATCCCCATGGAACGAACGTTCTCTAAGTTTATAGCATTGAGCGGTGTCATTATGAGATCCTGTATGATTTATAGAAATCGATATAACAGATATTTAGAAGCAAGCTCCGAAAACCCAGGGATAGAACTAGGCCAAGAGCAATGCAAACAAACAGATATAGATATATCTTTAGTTAGAATGGATCTCAATGCTATAAAACACAGGATATCAAACGTCTCAACAAAAGCACTACAAACCCATCGAACAAGGTAAACACCGTACTGCAAAGTGGACCGCCCTCCCCACACTAACGACCAAATGAGAACATGATCCATTGCATGGACCGTGAGCTGTCGATCAGTCGATCTTGAAACTCATCATACTCCACTTGCTTATGTCTTACATAGTATAGACCGTCGACGGTAGAGCCTCCAACCAGCTCCATTGCAATCTCATCCCATCTGAGATAGAATTTGGAATTCATTTCCCCGCTTCTGTCCCTGGAACATGTCGTCATAACAAACCGTGCACACTGTCCAGTCAGGTACGCTTTTTTCTTCATTTGGAATAAAGTAAGGGCTTTATACTGTGCGTGGTGAATATTACTTTGCTTTGCTTTCTTGTACTACGGATTGATAGTATAGAGTGTGGTGTCTGTTCTTCTTGTGTTGAGGGTTTATTCTTTCATATAATTAGACTTTTAGGTAGTAGCCATTTTCAAATTAGTAGCTGTCAATCAGCATTCCTGACTTGTCAATGATAATGTGGGGAATGGTATGCGAGTTGAAGTTTCTCACTATATTTATTCTTTTCATTATATCAAGCGATGCAAAGAACCTAATAGACCATAATAAATGCCCAAAACAAACAACCACTCATTGCACCGTTTTCACACCATATATACAAACCAACCGCAACATATAAAAAGAAATAGAAGTATATACACCACCCAAACCAAACAAAAACATGCAACACCAATTCAAATAACCCACCATCATGTTCATCATCATCATAATCACCAAACCAATCATCACTCATAACTCCCTTTTCTCGTCATCCTTTTCTCCCACCATTCCCCCCAAATCTGAACAAGACTACCATACAGTAATCTAAACAGACCCCTCCCCCAACCACCCCCAATCTCCCCCCAGTGCCCCAACATCAACATCCCCATCCAGCACCAACTCCCCAAACGCATCCGCATCAACCTCCCCCAGCCCATCGAATCCCATCATCCCGGCTTCACCGTCCGCCAACGCCACCATACCCGGGAGATCAGCCAGCGAGCACAACGGCGCCCCACTAGCCGCCGACGACATGAGGTAGCTGAGGTCTGCGCCGGTCGACGCGGGGAGCATCCTGCTAGCCGGGTCGTCGGACATCATCGAGTGTTGGTGGTTCGCGGGTGACAGATGTTGCTGTAGATGAAGGTGCGGGGGAAGGCTGTTGTTGGGGGATGGCGATTGCGTGGTTGGGGGTCGCGGGGCGATGGGGACGAGATGGGTGGGCGAGGACCTGGAGCTTACGCGGGCGGGAGGGGTGGTTGACGTGTGGGATAGAGAGTCGGATCGTTGCTGATAATATTAGTATATTTCAAGTCTATTTCAATTGTTCAATTGTTTCAACCGATACCGATTGATTCATATTCAATTGATTTTCAATTGAAGGAATGAAGAAGAAAAGAAATACCTTTTCCGCACGCCTGAGCCGAGCATGATCATCTGGCGTCGGACAGGGCGTGAGGTTACAGACGGCGCACGTCGAAAACGGGCGGCCTTTTCTGTTGATCTTCGTCAATGGTCTATCTTCATTCCGAATCCGTCCTTGTTAGTCTCCAGTATATATCAGAGAAATCAAGAAGCCAAAAGAATAATGGCAAATAGTGAAGAAAAGAAAGAAGAGAGGAAATACCATGATGTTTACACGTCGTCACCCGATGACCACGCACGCAAGCTTCACAGGCCCACTTTTCACCGTCGATGAGCATACCTAGGATACTCGATACCCGGAGTCCAAGGGGCCCCCATGATGGGGATTTATACCCCGAGTGAGGGACGCACGAGAGGGGAAAGACAGCATCGTCATTGAACCGCGGTGGGATTTGGAAAAAATTTTGAAAATTTTCCCTTCCTAAAAATTGGAAAAATTGAATATTCCGATTTGGTGACGGCCGGACATACAGGGGAGAAGGAGAATAGTTTACACAGCCACACGGGAGGCTAGAATGATCTGGTCGGGGAGGGGGATTTGGTGGTGATGCGGCATTTTCCATGTGGTTTCATTTGGTGCTGGTTTAGTCGGGCAAATCCCTCATACTTGATTGATTAGCTTTATGGGTTGTTTTCGACGTGGGGCTGGATTGCTGGTCGGTAATCTTGCTGCCTGGTGGGCCTAGTATGTACTTTCAGTACCAAGGGTTGGTTTCTATAAGGTAGAGATCCCTCTTCTTACAACTTTTATATGGAAAAGAAATAAGGAGAAAAAGCACTGACTGTGGCTGGTGAAGCTTAGCTATACTTTATTACTTAGGATATACAACTAGGCAGTAGGTAGCAGTATAGACGACAGACAGCTACATACAAAGCTCAAGCTAAACAAAGAGAGCATCCTAAACCAAAAACTCACGAAAAATCCGATCGTGTGCAAAATGGAGGTGGCTGAGCAGCTTGACAGATTGACAGCTTGACACCTGCAACCCTAACCATACCAAGTCGGGTTACCATCGCCACATGCTGCACCTTGCAATAAACAACCGATGAATTGGCACGGCTGAAAGAGACCCCTATCCAGATCAGGCAGGTGGTGAAGACCAGCTCCTTCCCAACAGCTAAGTAACGAGCTAACTTCTTACCTAAAACCTCTGTCCGCGGTGCGATGACCAAAGTCCCGTCGTCATTCCAGGTGATTGCGGGATTAATCTAGCCAACCGTTTGATCCTCGGTTACGAGATTCTTCTTTCTACCGTGTGTTGGACGGGATCCTCGATTCAGGATGGTGTCTTTTTCTGGTTTCTCTTTGTCATGCTATTATAGTCATATATTTCCCTTCTTATCATCTATAATATTGAATATGTAAAATATCACTGTGTCATACCAAGCTTGAGCGACATCGCTAGTGACGGGTGGGGCCACCGGGTGGACTGTGCGTTTGCTGCTTATGCTGTCTGGTGGCTTGATAGCTGCGAGGTCGTTGATTCCTTCTTTTTCAGGTATACCCCGGGCTCTTCCTGTTTTCTCTTTCTTTCTTTCTTTCCCTTTCTCTTTCTCTTTTGCGTCCTTTACCCCTGTCTCGCCTTTATCCATCAATTCCATACTATCAAGATCAATCCACCAAAAGTGAAAACCACCTACTTCGACCCCAACGCACCAGCAACTTCCAAAGACAGGTATAGGTTTCTCCAGCGCAGCCACACTCTATCTACTCCATCGATCAATAAACCCAACACCACCACCAGGAACCCTCTAAAAAAAACCCCTATATTTGCCACACGAACTCCTCACCAGCACCATCGGCTAGCTACATAGAAAAGAATGTCACACAAGGTGGACACACCCGTAACCACACAGTGAATCCAGCTAGCTATCTACTGCATCCACAGTACGAGGTCAATATTAGGCTGCAGACGCTACGTGGGCGCAAGGACAGGTTGCGCATAGTAGTATAGATATGGGGCAAAGGATACGACTCGGCTGCAAAAGATATCTAGACACTTCTGAGCTCCGTGGGTACCTTTTTATAGCTATCTTTACCTTGCGATAATATACCGGGGCGTCTGGGTATTTAAAATATGGAGAAATCGACCCTGACGAGATTGTGATCTTTTACACTACTGAGTAGTATGGTAGGCACGGCTCGGAGTGGGAGATAACTGTCAGTCGATCTCTAGGATGGTTGTGGGGAAGTGGTCAATCGGGGATTTACCCTCTTTTAACGAGGGTACGGCCCATAAAAACGGTCAGATATTAATGGTATTGACGAAGATTGAAGATATGAGAATGTTGCGAATAGTCTCAAGATTGCAAAAAAACATGGGGTCAGAACCATGATTTACGCGAGGGACTACACTGCAAGTCAGCTGATGTTGGCTGACTGCTTGTCTCACAATGCAACAGATGGTAAGTTGGATACGTAGACTACGAAAATCACCCACAGATGATTTTGTGTAGGAGGGAGGAGACTATAGCGTGAAGCGTAGGGGAAGAAATCATTTGTATTTAAAGAAAAATAAGGTTATTACATATAGTATTCAGGGGTTGATCATGATCATCACGCTCATCACGCACATCATATGTGGACTGTGGAGGATAGACATTATAAAACGTCCCGAGGGGTTCATGTTTGAAGATCCCCTCGATCTGAACTGACTCAGTTCGATCCGTGTGGGTCTATCATGTCATACCATCTATATACATTTACATTTACATGAGTATCAAGTGATCGATGCTACGATCTAGGAATCATGGGAAAGTACTGTATACTAGCGAACTAGCAACGTATCAATTAACTGTACAAATATGCTATTTCACCCCGCCAGCATTGGAGACAAGCCAGCTAGGGACGGGCCGACAAACAGATCCACAAACTACCATAAACAACACCATTGAAAAAAGAAACGCTTAAAGCAGGACAAGACCGGCACCGACAAGGGTCGACACCAGGGTAACCGCGCCCACGAAGAAAGGAGCCACAGTCAGGCTGGGCACCTTCAGACCAGCGGCAGCACCGGGGGAGGCGCTGCCGGAGGCGCCGGAGCCGGAGCTGGAGCCGGAGCCGGGCTCGGCATCGCCCTTCGAGGGGGTACCCGCGTCCTGGCTTCCGTCGCCCTTGAAGCCGTCGCCCTTGCCGGCGCCGTCCTTCATGTACTTCTTGGCGGGCTCGGGGATGGCGGGGAGCTTGTCGTCGCCGACGTCCCAGTTGGGGCCGTCCTTGGCGGGGCATGGGTTGGAGCCACCGGTCTTGTTGAAGCCGCCGTCGCCCTTGATATCAGACTTCTCGAGGGCCTTCTTGAGGGCGTCGAAGTCGGACAGGTCCTTGACCTTGTCGCCGATCTTGACGAGGCCGTAGTTGCTGTCTTCCTGGGAGTACTCGTAGACCAGACCGCCGGAGTAGACGCCGGTCATCTTCTCGGAGTAGAGGGCCTCGACCTCGCCGAAGTCGCGCTTGTTGGTGTTGCAGCCGTACTCGGACAGGAAGAGGGGCAGGCCGTAGCCGGTGAAGTTCTCGACCTTCTGGTCCCAGCCGGACTTGGTGAAGGACGAGGGGTCGCACCAGGAGTAGTCGTTGAAGGCGAAGAAGTCGCTGCGCTCGTCCTCGGTACCGCAGTTCATGTACTGGGCCATCTGCAGACGGTTGGTGTTGATATCGGCGGCGGAGTAGCCGACGGGGATGGAGCGGAGGTTACGCTCGCGGAGGTACTGGCGCAGATCACGGGTGACGGCCTTGACGTAGGGGGCGGCAGACGACGAGGGACCGTCGTTGATGACCTCGTTACCGGAGAAGAAGGCCAGGGTGTTCTTGTACTTGGCGAACTTCTCGACGGTGGCGAAGATGTACTGCAGGTAGACGTCGTTGTAGGACTCCTTGGGCTTCTTGCGGTTGATGGAGTACTTGGGGGTGTTGACGTCGAGCACCAGGTAGATGCCAGCATCTGCCAGGGCTTCCATGCACTCGTCGTGGTCGGCCGAGTTGTCGACGGAGTAAACACGAATGGTGTTCAGGCCGAGGTCCTTGAACTTCACGATGTCGCGCTTGCAGCCATCGGTATCGGCGATGGGGTCCGCCAGGTCCGACGAGCCACCGGGCTGGTAGTCGACACCACGGATGTAGAAACGATCATCACCCTTGAAGAAGGCATTACCCTTGACAGTGATGGGGGTCACGTCGTCACGAGCCTGGAGGGGAGTGGAGGGGACGGCCAGGACGGAGGAGGCTCCGAGGGCCAAAGCCGTCGCAACGGCAGAGGTCTTCATGATTAGAGTGGGACCGATAAAATCTTCGAATGACTGATTTGGAGAGAGTAGAGGTAGAAATTAAAAGGTAGTAATAAACTGGGGTTCGATAGAAGTGATTAAGTAGTCTGAACGAGTGACTGAGAAGATGGCAAAACAGGATCAAAAGGAAGGAAAGGAGAGACAGAGTCGCAAGGACAAGAAGGGGAGGATGGAGAGAGCAGAACGAGAGGGAGGAAAGAGAAGGGAAAGAAAGAATGAAAGCGTGAATGCAGGACGTGGCGCACTTAAAACGCTGTATTTCCTCCGGTATTTCCCTGCCCTTTTTCCTCCCTTCCCCTTGATTGTCTTGGTATTCTTGGTAAACAAAGGGACTTTCCCAGGGGACTCGTCATCTTGCTTGGAAGTATCACCAGAATGGATCTCCTCTTTTCGGGCAACAGATCGACGCCAGGGTTAGGTGGCCAATCTATCGGCAACGTCGTGGCTCGAGGTGGATTCCGTTTAACCCAATGAGAGGTTCGATACGGGGAGGAATGCAGCGATTGTCCATTTGGAGTCATTTGAGCGAAGGACCAGAGCTGGGGGGGTGGGGAATGGTTGGGCCAGACAGTTGTCTGGGGTGTGGGTATTGTTTTACTGTTCGTTTGCTGTCTATCCGTACTATTCATATCTCTCCACCAGTCCCAATATCATCCACCGCTCACTACTCAGTACCAGGAGAGCATTATGGTCAATTTATTGTCAAGAAAGAACCCCACCAGCTAACGAGTGGAAACCACAGTGAGCTATTAAAGGATGGGGGATCCATGTTCCATCTTGGTCCTTCTTGATCCTTCTTGGTACCTGCCGATCCCTTCCCTCCCCTCCTCGATTGAGATTGCTGCCTTTTGCCACGGTGTACCAGCATTCCACTTGACCGGATTGGGTTTGCAGACGCGTCGAAGCAACATTGTGCATTGTGCATCGTACATCGTACATCGTACACACACATCACACATAGTACCAAGTTTCTCCTGTCCGACATGGGACATGGATTATATATAGATCGAACCATACGGCCCAGACGTGGCGAAACATTCTACCAATGAAGACAAGATCTGATGGTGTTTCAACTACGACAAAGCCAGCACATCCAATCCCATCCATGTCTCTCGACTCTTGGCGTGCCCTTTCATCTCTCCCCTTAGCCCTTCCCTTGCCCTTGCCGGTCCCTTCTCGACAATAGGAAAATGAATCGGACTCGCTAAAAATAGGACCCGACCGAGTCGCATCCATGGGCCGCGTTGCTGGCCAGCCACCGTGCGACCCATCACAACCACAACAAATGGACAGTCACATTTTCAATTCAGCTTCTAGGCTACCGAGTATAAATCCATAAACCCATCAATCAATCTTCGAAATTCCTGTTCTGCGCCGATCTTTTTAAGTCTCCTAAACTGGTAAAGTCTGTAAATTAGGGGGTGCCCTACCATCACTGGAGTCCGACTAGAACCCGTACCATCCCTAATTTAGTAAGACCTGACCCACCGGGGGCCTCAAGCGCTTGCCCTCATTTACCCATTGAATTAGTCCTCCAAACGCAGGATTCCACACACCTATAGTTTAGTGATCCTCTTGTCAGCCACATTTCATCCAGTCTCCTAATAATCAATTTGAAAACTCCATGCCAGTAGGTCCAAATAAGCCTTGTACTAAACCCGCCCGCCCATGTTGCCTGTTCCTTGGTGTGTGGCCAGAAGCAACCCATTGATTTCTTTCTTCTCGTCTAGGGTGTGGGTCCGCCTAGACCGAGACTAACTCCTTGCCCGAGTAGTGTCTCTAACTGACTAGTTGCTCGCTGCCTCGTACGTTGTCAGTTGTAACCCTAGAGAAGTAGTACGATCTACAAACCACCACATGCTCAAACGACTCCCCCTCACTGGGTGCTGCTCCCGTGTCACTGTCCACGACTCCATATGCACTGGGCATACTTCGTACTCTCCACACTCCGTATCTCGTTCCCCAATGTCTAGACGGTATTTCTGTGCTCCGCGAGGACGATGACGAGGGCCAAGCCAAGACTCCTCGCCCGCCATCCCACTTACGCCTACGCACCCGAGTCTCATAGAGAAAATTCCATCAACCAGTCTAGCACCCTAAAGGATCTATACCAGCTTTCCTGAAAATATTGTCGGAGGACTAGAAGACCCGATGTCTGTCGCTTGGTCCCCAGGGCGTGTTCATCCATCTATCCATCCATCTCGTATCTACGTTGACCGCTTTGTCGACCAGTAACTGTAACTATTTCCATTCCATTTGACCCTTCGTAGCGGCCTGGTTCCGTCTACTCCGGAGTATATCTATTGATATCTGAGGATTGTAGCACCGTCAGTAGTTGCAAGGATGGGTTCACGGGGATGGTGCATGTGTTGGCACTATACTTTCGATACTAGGTATCTCATGCTAGCTATATTCTCCTGGGTTATAGCCATGTTCTGTCGGTGCTATATATATATATACATGGGTAGACCCTGTCGCACCATCCAAGTTCATACATCTACCTAGTAAACGACGCCGTGGCTATACTCTAGTCAAGAAAGTTCAGAAACTCCAAACAAGCAATAACCTATATATAAAAAGAAGGCACAGTCTACCCGCCAATCGTGCAATCCCTGCCCCACCCACTGATATGATCCCAATTCACAACCAGCAAGCGTCCACCACGCTCTCGTCCCTCCCGCTCCAGCCGCCTCAGCAGGTCCATCTCCTGCGGTGTCAAAACCCGCCCATCCGCCCGCCGCTCCCACGCCGCCTGCGTCACGACGGGCGCCAGATCCTGCGCGATGTGCGCCTCGTCGCGGCCGCCGACACACAGCCGCCGCGGGCCGTCCTCGCGCGCAAAAAGCCAGCGCGCCTCGGCGACCTCGTAGCGTCGCTCCAGCAGCCAGATGATCGGCCATGTGAGGAGCCACAGCGGCAGGATCACGCAGAGGTAGTAGATGAAGGCAGTGTTGCGCAGCTGGTTGATCCAGTGCGGGGAGTAGACGACGAACGAGCGGTTTGTTAGTTCTACTGATATGTGGATGTTGCCTTGGTAGTTGAGCGTGCGCAGATGGGACGTAAGTGCCGAGCGCACCGCGGAGGCGTCGAAGCCGTCAATGCGCCGTTTGAATGTGAACCTAACTCCTCAGCATCGATTCAATCAATCAATAGGCGAGGTCTTCACGCCAATGGCAAGGGGTAGAAGGAGAGAACCTACGATTTGACCCCCGCCGCGTCCCAACAGAACCGCTCACACCAGCCCATCAGACCTGGCCCCCCAGGCATGTCATCATCATTATCATCATCATCCCCAGTCACCAACCGAACGGTGTCGTCTTCCCCGCGTCCCTCCTCAACAGAGACGCCCCTCCCCCGTTTCTTCTCCCGCCTCCGAGCACAGCCCGTCCGCGACCGGATCCGTCCCCCGCGGAAAGCCAGCGTCCCATCGCCGTCGCGCACAACGCGCAGCTCCTGCCACCGATCGTCCGGCTCGTCGGCACTCGCGAGGATATAGGGCGTCAAATCGACGCTAAAGTCAAAGTCGAGGACTGCGTGGTTTTCATTCTCTTTGCGGTCTGGCCGCGAGCGGATCTCGTTGTGCGTCCCGCGCACGATCAGATGCGGGCGTGGCGGCTGGCGCGCCTGTGTCGCCACCAGGTCGTGCAGAGTGCAGGCGTCTTGGCTTAGGGTCGGGGAGAGGGTTGCGGTGATGGCTCTGCGAGTCGATGCTTGCAGACTGTGGTAGGGGTTTGCGTCTGGGATAGGAGAGTCGGCGGGTGGTGATGGTAGTGACAGCGGTGGTGATGAGCCTTTAAAGTGGGTGTGCTCTGGCATAGGTTCTTGGCTGGGACTGGAAGAGCTGGCGGTTGCTTGGTCGTAGGATGGAGGGGGGTCGGTGGGGTGGCCCATTTTGGAGTATGGTATCTTTCTTTCTTTCTTTCTTTCTTTTTTCCTTTTTGTTAAAATACGGCCCTATGGAGTGTCATGATAGTGTGATGGGAATGCGCAGTCGGAGACAATGCTGGAACACAAACTATAGAGTCGATGTGGGTCGCGATTCCTTCTGCCTAGTCACATGACGTCAGCGATAAGATAAGATAAGACAACTGGTCAACAATCGAGTGCTTTGCTATGGCATCGTGTGTTCACGGCAAATATTGTTTTCGGCCTCGAAAGATACTCTCCCAGGAGAGATGATAGAAGACAGTTCTACCTATTCGTCACATTAGCCATGTTTAACAAAAAGTCGAGAGAAAACTAAATCAAAGCGACACCAACCACTTTCACATGCAACTCTTTCAGAAGTGTTATGGCACGAAGCATGCAACTCCAACGTACTCGGATATACAAAGCACCACCAAGCAGTCATGTAAATTTTCAATAGCCAGCGAGGACAGTCATACAATAAGACACGCTTTGTGCCCCAGAAGAAAACCCATTGAGTGACGCAAGGGGTGAAGCAATATGGTATCGTCTAGGGATGGCCTGGGATTTGCACCAAGCCAGTCCCAAGGGGATTGAACTCGCCCGCAGGCAGCAGATGTCGCAAGGTTCATAAGGCAGGATGGCTGACTTTGGTCGATGTTTTAATATCAGTGGTATTGTTTATCGTGTACTGGAATATAATTGAAGTTAAACATTGAAGGACAGAACAGACTTAAGGAAGGATCAAAGTTAAAAGAAACCCCGTTACTTCCTGCCGATATAGGAAGATTAGGTGAATCATGCCAAAATAAGCAGTGGCTACAACAGCGACTAACCAAGCCCTATCCTAGACCTGAATGAGTTCACAATCTCTTAATAATATCACTAATTCAGTATGATAGGACATGGTTATGTCATTACAATATCATGGCATTGTTGGCGCTGGACAAGCACAGTGATGTACTATATAGTAAGCTCGTCACCATAGAGCTCACTACAGTTCCATAGATCATAACACATACCATGTTAAACGGCTTTCTACTATTCCCATATTTCTACTATGCCCATAAAGGCGGGTTACTGAGGCTTTCGCCCACTACCTAGTGTTGGGATATCCGGCATATTAAGCCCGACCAAAATGCCGATTCGGTATTTTAGTACAGTAGCTGTCATCTTGTCGCTTATTCCGGCGCGGCCCGTCATCTCAGGCCCCGAGTACACAATGTCATTAATTAGTATCTACGAAGGCTCAGATACAGGGTTGAGTTGTCTCTCGCCCATGATGCGACTACCAAGCCAAGCTCCAGGAACCAGTGTACGTCCAAATCCCTATCGATGTCCTAATAAATCTACTAACAGAGCGAAAGGCCTTGTGAGCTTGTATCTCAAATTCTTTGCTATCATGGGGGAAGCCTTTGGCGTCAGGGAATACGGAGCATCTTCCACTTCTCTGGGGATGTTTAGGGCTTGCGATAAATTATTACGAGATTCGATACATCTGGTCCTACTTGTGAATCCTCACGGGTCTACTCCGAGGAAATTCAGGATACATCTGCACGAGCTCTGTTCAGGTACTGGGAACAGATCCCGCTCGCGCCGTGCCCCCCCCCCCCCCCCCATCGGGGACTTGCAGGACCTTGATGACAATCTGCAGAACATGCTCGCCGTCTGGAGTCATGAACCGGCGGCTTGGCCGCCCTCAAACTCCCCTCCTGGCATGGGGGAAGTAGTGAGTGCCGGGCCGCGCTCTGTGCCCTTTGCAGTGGACAAAGGGTGGGAGCACGCCCTCCCGCGCAAGCTTGAGTACGCCTTTGAGACGAAGACCAAGAGTGAGTGGGAATATGCGCGTTGTACGTGTGTTCACCACGCTGACATAGTATTTCAGGCTTTTCAGCTAAGCCGGGTCGTTGGATTCTGGTGGGTTGGTGGTGGGTTGATGGTTGTTTTGTGGTATTCTTTTTTGCTCTTTTTTTTTTTCTTTCTTTTTCTTTTGGTCAGTAGATTGATAAGACGCCCTCCCCAGATGTTTTAAGGTCAGCGGGTTGTCATTAGTGTAGTAATGAATAACCACCCGTTTCTTTCGTTCGCGCAGGGCGAATGAGCTTGTAGGCAAGGCAAAGGACCTAGTTATGAGAAAGCTACAATATATGTAATTTAGATCGCACTCCAGAACAAACCTTCACTGATCACAACACACTTCATCAAGGCCTGAGCACGGTTGAGGACTTCCATCTCCAACCCCCCCACTATCAATCTAAATCTCGCAACTGGTTTTCCTTTTTCCATTCTCTTAGATCAAATGTACCCTCTCGTAGCTCCTCGTGCCGTCCATCCCACATGGAAGTAACCCCTTCGACAGTTTTGACAGTCTCATCATCATCATCCAAAAGCTGTATCAGACATGCTCTTAGACGATACTTGTCTGTTTCATACTCCGCAAGCCGATCAAGCTGCGTCCGTGAAAAGATCTCACACGCCATACCATCAACCGAACAAAGCGGCTCTCCATCAACAAGAGCAGGGTAAGGCCCCCACAACTTAGTCTCATATCCTACAACTTTAGCACGGCGCATTACGGGCTCTGGCCTTGACAATTTTAAGACTCGACAAAGCGTCTGTGGATCCATCAATGTTCCGTACAGAAAGCAGTACCCTCTTTGGAAGAAGGCTCGACGCCGATCGTCTCCAGGAGGATATTCAGACCCTGGTTGATGCTGCCTTGACGCCTCTTCCGTGCCATTATCCTCAAGGTATTTGGGAAACATCGGCATTGCGTGGGTATGTAGATGCTGTCCTCCACGGCTAGAGGTCAGGATGGCGATAATGCTGCGTGTTTTGCTATCCCTGAGCTGCAGTACTATAGTGAGGAGAGGGGGGGAAATATGGGTTGCGAGAAGTGTTGAAAGAATTACCACTTATGACACGGTGCTTCGTAAGTAACCTTATATTCAGTGTGACATACGGTACTTCCTCCTTGCTGCCTGAGGCATTTGCATACTGCATGCATTATTGCATGCCTCTTCTACCTAAGAAGAAGGTTTTTCCACCACCTGTAGCGGAATCTAAGGGAATATAAGAACATGAGGCATTTGTAGTAATTTAATCTCTCGTAATGAATCTTGCTCCAACATTGGGATTATTTGTGCAAGATAAAGAGCACAGAAATTTTGCTTCCTTTTTTATAACTCGTGCAACGTGGGACTCGGCTGGCATAGTCCCAGTTCCAACACAATATATACATGGCATCACCAACAAACATACACCCCTAGTATCAACGTCATCCCCTGAAGCACAAGAATTAAATCACTCCTGTCTAATCTTCCCATCCCGCGACTTCAACTTATCAGTCCCATGCGCCCAGTCCAAAAGCCCCAGCACTCCATAGTTCAAGTTGAACTTCTCATGATGCGAATCATGCATCTTAGCGCGTCCACCGAAGAAATCAAACCCGCTATGCACAGTGGCCGTCTCGACCAGCTCCAGCGCCACAAACGCCCAGAACGTCAGGATATGCGAGTGCAGGATCTGTCCCGGCAGCGAGACGGGCAGCACATTAGCGACGATGTGTTCAATTGGGTGGGCGAATTGCGCGGCGAGCGCGATGGGCGCCACGAAGCGGTGGTGCTGCTTGTGGATGGGCGCGTAGAACCTAGGCGTGTGCAAAAGGCGATGGCTGTAATAGAACATGACTTCGCGCATGAGGAGGCAGAGGACGATGTCTCTTGCCATCTCAGGGAGCGTGGGGAGCGAGGTTGAGATGCGGAAAGAGGAGTCTCCGCGCTTGACAAGGTGGAGGAGGGCCAGGTGAAAGCTGGTGGAGATGGCCTGGTTGCGGGCGACTACTTTGAAGCAGTGCATGATTTCCGGGGTGGTTGGCTGCTTGGGGGGTGGTTGGAGCTTGTGGCGCGCGGCGAAGGCGGGGAGGAGAATGTCGACGGCGAGGTAGAGGAGAGCTGTGAGCCAGAAAAAGACCGCTTGGATGAGGAGCGTGCCGCCGAATTCGATGGTGGCGGGTGAGTAGGTCTCCACCACTTGTGCCCATGCCTTTTCCATTTTTGCGGTGTTGATGTTGGGGGGGTCTGGATCTGGGTACCAAAACTGAGAGGATCGGATGGGTTTAGGAGATCGTGCGCTTGTTATATACGATCGGGGTTGTGCGGAGTCAGGATTCATATGTGTGGGGATAATCTAACCTCGGTAATTGTGTCGATCAGCTAGTGCCCCGCGCTAGATGCTGTACCTAGATACGATCTTGGCCATGGGTCTCATTGCAGGCTCCTAGCGTCACATACATGCAACGATCTTTAGGGGGATTTGTTTATAGCTCGATATCATGCATGGAAGCATTGGTATTACACGCTCAGCCTCAGTTCCGTCCACGGGTTCACCCTGGACTTGGCGCTATGATCATACTGTAATTTCGTCAGTATTCTTATATAATAAGTCTGGTAGGGTGTATTTCACCAGACATTGAGTGGCCGAGAACAAGCCGAGTAAATATCAAAACTTTTGACTTTCCTCACATGTGATAATGAAATATGAGTTGGATGTATGTCCGGAGGAACTCTCCAATTCACTGAAAATATGACTAAAGGCATTCACACCCTCATTCTCATTTGTCAGACAGTGCCCAACTGTATTCATTACTATCCACATCACTCGGAACAGAAAAGTACTATTGACCAGATTATCTAGAAAAAGTTTAGGTCAGTAGTAGCTTGACTAGGTGATTAGATTTTCATTTCATCTAATTGATCTTACAAGATTTTATTGATAGGAGTCAAACATATACTCTTCTAGCAATATCACTTGATCTAGGTTGGCAGTGTACTAGATGAGTGGCCTTTCTTGTTTCTCTATATAATTTCCTGGTTCGGGAGGTTCGATCCGATGAGGCGAGTTGGGTAGAATGCAGTGGAGAGTTGGGTAAAAGGCCAGAGTAATAAAATCGCTGTGCCTTTGGAACGGCCCTAATAAACATGTAATATTCCAAAACAACTAGATAGTCAAAGCTATAGAAAAATCAACCTGTCAGTATTCCTTCCAGATACTAATACTATCTGGTAGACTATGAGACGATTATAGGGTTATGGGAACCTCCAGTAAGCGAGGCCTTAACAATGATCCTAGCCGTCTTAGAAAAGGTTTGTATTCTTCAAAGCCCCTGAAGCCGCGGCTTCTTCCTACTTACCAAGAAGCTTTAATTGAAGGGAAATTGATGAGACGATTATTTCCGCCCTAAATGAGATACTAGGAGGTAAACAATTTCTCACCTTCTCCTTCGTTCCATCACTTTACAAATTCCGGTAGTCCACACCCCACAGCGAGTCTGCAACGCGATATGTCTAGGCTTATACTGCAACAATTTCTCTTCTATAAAATTGCAGTAATGAGACAAACAAAAATAATAACATGTTGAGGGGCTTCATGTGGCTCTCTTACACATAGCTGAGAGGTAGCTTTTTTTGACTTTTCCCAATATCCTACTCGTGAGAGTAGACCTAGTGCATGTTATAATAGATCAAATTGGACTCGTGAAATCTCAGAAAGCACATTCAAGCTATGCGAGAGACCTACTTGAAATAAACCATGTCCACCCCAACAAGAGTGATATCGCAGTTTCCATGTGTAGGTGCGGATATATTAGTCCGCTTCAAGGCTAAGAAAGGAAGCGCCAACTCATCCAAACCAATACTACTACCACCTATTGCACTGTGTTGCATGCCGCTCGGAAAGTATGTACCAATCGATATAGTACTCTGTTGTTCTCTCTCCAGACTTCGTGGCCGTATCCGTGAGCGCCATGTGGGTTGCTGCCTAAAAGATATCATCTTCACGTTCACAGAACCCCAGATCCAACTCAACGGCTGAGCCACCTAGCAGTACATACTGGCTCAGTATCTTTACCAATCAGCTTTGTTTGAAAAGTTAGTGATCTGCAAGGGAGGGTATTAGAAATATCCATTGGATATGAAGAGCCCGCGCGGACTGTGCCGCAGTGAGCGAGCCGCCCACTGGGGGGAGGTATGTACGTGCCGCTAGCCTGACGTGGCACGCTGCATTGCTATTTAGAGTGATCGCTACCCTCCATATCGATCAAATGATAGCTTCTCTGAATGTCCATGCCTCTCGACTTTTTGTTGTGTCTTCATTCTATGTGACTGGGCTCCCACTGGATTGTTTCCACAGTTGCGACGATGGTAGACATTGATGATTTGAAACAGAAGTATGAGGAGATATGCTCGGTGGAGAAGAGTAAAGACGATATCATTCAGGTATGTAGCTCTTGAATGGGAGACTCGGGTTGATAATCTTAATATTAACTAAATGATCGGCTAGTGTCTCTTCTCTTGTGTTCAATCTCTCCATGACGAGCTACAAAAGGAGAAAGATGGCGTCGACAATGACAAGCGGCATATCGCCTTACTCAATAATGAAAATAGAAGGATTGAGACTGAGCTTAACTGTATGCGTCGAGAGCAGGTACGTGATCTTTGCTCGGCCCTTTCTAGCGCATCAGATTAGAGGAAATATTGACATTGATATATAGGCTAGACTGAGTTATGTTTCTGTGCTGGTTGATGGCGACGGCATGAATGTAGGTTGGCCCACAGACCAAACTATTTTCTCGCTTGCTAATTATATTTCCATCTCAGTTTCGTGAACAATACGTTCAGGGTGGGCAGATAGGGGGCCATGAAGCCGCTCGGAGATTGATTCAGGCTGTTGAAGCACACCTTCACGACGTTGACCCCGAAGCCCCCTCCAACATCCGCTACAGGGTTTATGTGTATGCGAACGTGGAAGGCCTGACCAACGCCTATCGTGACGCTGGTATACTTCCTGCTAATGATAGCCTCACTCCATTTATCCACGGATTCAACAAAGCAGATGAGCTGTGTAACATTGTGGACGCTGGAAACGGGAAGGAATGCTCCGATGTTAAACTACGAGGTGCGTGCTCAAGATCAGCCATAGTGAACCCGAAAGACCAAAGCTCACAGAATCCTCCGATATTTACAGCTCATTTTGAGCAAAACATCATTGACATCCACTGTCGGCGGATTGTCTTTTGTGCCTCTGCAGACAACGGCTACGCGCGCATCCTTGGCCCCCACCGCGGGTCGAAACACATTTCGTTGGTCAAGGGACCACCATTTGCACACGAGATGAAGGAGTTAGCCGCCGACTTTGAAACCACCTCGTTTGATGAAGTCTTCCTATCAAACAAGCTTAAACCCACTAGGAGAGTGTCGTTCAGCTCTCAGGTCCAGCACACCCTCATCACGCCGCCACAGACACCAACGCCCAACTATGCGTCGGCGGCAAAATTGACCCCTACGCCATCACCCTCAACCAATAGCACAAAGCCCCTAGCACCAAGGCCTCGTCGAGTCAATCCGCCAGTATGCGTGAATGCAAGAGGCCAGCGGATCGATAGACCAGTCCAGTATTCCTCGAAGGGGAATGTCGATTCCCTGAAGCGAAAGAAAATGTGTAATAAGTATCACCTCCTAGGATCATGCCCATTCGGTGATAAGTGCACGCACAAACACGGCCCAGCTTTGAAACCACAGGAACTTACTGATCTGGAATATCTGGCCCGGCTGTCCCCCTGCTACGATGATCTGTATTGTCGGGATGTGGACTGTATCGCTGGACACCGCTGTCCGCGAGACATCTGCTCTGGGCCCAACTGCAAGTTTCCCGATAGTATGCATCTTGTTGACACGACTATTGTGACGAATGTTTAACGGTATTGAATGAAGAATCAGTCCTATGTGTTTCCATGTTGTTTGGCTTTCATGCTCCTTTTTTACTTGTTTGCTCTGAGTTGTTTCCTTTACTTGCTTTTATTTATGTGCTTTCAACATTTTGACTCGACGCTATTCCCATATAAGTCTGTACCCAAGCAAGGGAACTATATATACGCTTGCATTGCAGTAGAACTTCCTACAGTAGTAGCACCCCTATGGTGAGAACTTCTATATTGACCGTTACAAAGCTATGTTGTCTGTACCTCACCCCATGCAAAAGCCTCGTCACTGGGCAAGTGGTGATGAAACAATGGCCAATCCAGCAACCACCGTCATCTGACCCATATTGTCGACTGTTTCCGTTATAGAGCACTCCCCATTTGAGTTGATCCTGGGCTATATTACTACCGCACTCCGGTGGACGACACATACCGGCTTCGTGTGTATCAAATGATCGTCTAACTAAGAAAAGAGCGTGTGAGGGCAGGTCTGGCCCACGTCCACCCTGTGGAAATAAGCTATGGAAACAATCAAACAGCTATGGAAACAGTTCAAACAATGATGAAACTGATCATATTTTAGTCGGATGAAAAGATTACCAGAAGGTCACAAGCATAAAATGAAAACTGTGTGGGACAGAACTGCATACGCTGCAGGTCAGCTGACCGTTTATCTGATTGCCAGCCACTGCTCTTCCACACACGGTCACACCTGACCTGTCTCGCGTCAAGCGTCTGCCACCTGCCAAACGGTTTTCTTGGTATACTCTTTCTCTCACTCAAAGTGAGCCACCAAAGCTAGATTGAACTGAACAGCAAGATCACAATGGGAACTCGAGGCCTTGAGATAGTGCGCTTCCGCGGGCGTTACTACATTCGCTATAACCGATTCGACAGCTACTTCGAAGGTCTCGGCGCCCAAATTGTCGCGAGCATCCCCGCCAACCCCGAGGAATACCATAGTATGCCGTGAGAAACAGTCCGTGTTTTACATTATACTGACAATTTACAGAATGGCTTGAGTCGATGCGAGCCGAGTATGCGGCCAGGGAAACTGCCCTTGAAAGTCATGTCTACGAGATTCGCGATGGCTTTGAACCCGACTATTCACAGTTTCGCGAGTTTGAGACGCTTCCTTCCGAGATCCCCCGGCTGGATGACTTTGCTGAGTACATATACATCATAAACCTCGACCAGGAAGTCCTTACCATGAACCACAGCATACACTGGAAGCTGGGGGATATCCCGCGCCAGGGCGAACTGTGGCTTCGCGCCATTGCAGACAGCATCTATCAATACAAGCTCACCATCTCCCTCGACCTCTGCCCTGAAAAGCATATGGCCTCACCGGCTTTGGCAATTCCTGAGCGGAACAGGACGATTGAATATGACTGTTGCCTCGTAACCCCGAGGACAGGCCTCGCGGAGGCGCGAAAAACATTTCTCGCACACCTTTCGGCTAACGTGCTCATTCAATACAAGGACGCGATCATCAATTTTGGGATGGAGTGGAGCCCGGACTCGTTTCCCTTTCGCGAGTTGGCGTTTGCTCTTGTCTCAATTGCGTCCGGTCAGGCCAGGTTTTATTCTTTTCCTGCTCGGCTGTGTAACCCTCGAACTTGCCAATCATGGGACTGTAAATCGGACCATTTATACAAGTCCCCTGGATGGCTCGACGAGAAGTGGGTCGGTGATAGCGCTCCGTTGCTAGAATTTGGCTCCCCGTCTCATCGACCGGGAGAGCCTCCAGGGGCGTCGCCCATGGAGACGATATACTGGTTTGAGGATGTACTAGTCAGCCTTGCACTGGTTCTTGATGGCGAGGCCATCACGAAGGCTGTTACTTGGGGCATCGAGCAGGGACGAGCCAACTTCCAGATCGTCGTTCTATCGCTCTTTGAAGTGGCCTTTGCGGAGGTCTCCTGTGATGATGACAAAAAGCCTATTGTTAAAACCAGTGACGCGGTCCATCTCTCGCCACTGCGTGCAGATTATTGTGCGAGCACACATCCGCGCACGCGACCAGAGCTGAAGCCAGGGATGAAGATCCAGCATCAGCGCGGTGAGCGCATCATGCAATCAAACTGCACAGGGACAAGACACAGACTCCAGAGCCAGTTCCCCGGGCTCGCGGCGCTCGTCAACTTTTTCGAAGTTGCCGCAAACCGCCGCGCAGAATCAAAATCAGGAGGCATTCTCCCACCGGAGCTTTATGACCGGATTCTGGATTTTGTCGACTATGATACATGGAAGACCTGCTTACTAGTATCGACAGTGTTTCGTTCCTGGTGTCTCCGCAAGTACAGGCTTGACGATCGAATAAGGATTGTGGGAGGTCCTTTTGTGAGGGTGCAAAAGTATCACGAAGAACGTCGGGCGTCCTTCAACTTCGAAAACATCCAAACGGGCAAGATCCTTCCGATGATGTGGCTTCCACATCATATCTGGATGGAAGAGTATAACTGGATTCCAGTCATCGGCAGTGACCGAAGAGCACTCATGTTGGACGTATCCCTCCAGTTTGAGCCGGCGGGGGATGTGCCAGTGGAGGCCGACAGCGATGATGAATAGGCATGAAGTCTTCTGTCATATGACGCTGGAGTAGGCTGGAAGAAGTCTGAGTCAGTCAGTCCGCTAATTTAAATTATTCAATGTGCCATCGGCACTGATAAAACGATATTCGCGCGTGCCTGACACTCTGGGAATATATCAACTACCGCTACTACTCAATAGTGCCTAGGTATTATTATGGTTCCCATCCTCAAGGACATGAGTCACCATGTCAGCTCAAGGTACCACCACATCTTCCAGTGAGAGAACCAAACCCCTAAAATACCCCAAGGAACAGAGCGTAGTAGCCCGCTGGATCATCCAGGTACGAAAACAAAATGAGACGATGTCACGACGATCAATATTTGTAAAATATATAGTTTTATTCTATGCATTGCAAGGACCTCATTGGTAGCCATTGGACAAAAATCAAGAATAAGGCGCGTATATCCATGTCGCTCGGCAGTCGGGATCCCCCGTTCTGAGTGGTCAATTTGGGAGCAACATCTCGTATCCAAAGTAGCTACTGGACCACCTACTGAGGGAACACAAATGAGTCAACTTATAAAGCATTACCCCTCCTCAAATTCGGAGTGTCCTGAAATAGTCTCCTCATCTTATCTATTGAGTACCAATATACCAAAACTCAAACCACCCATCATCTACGTCCACAACCATGTCCACCAAAACCCAGCAAAACAACCAAGCCATCTACTTCCGCAGCCTTCACAACCCTAACAACCCGCTCGTCCTAACCAATATCCACGACGCAGCAACAGCCTCTCTCATCGCCAATCACCCCTCCACCAAAGCCATCGCAACAGGAAGCTACGCAGTCGCCGCATCTCAAGGCATCCCCGATGACGACCTATCTCTTCCGCAAAACCTAGCGACAATCCGCTCCATCGCCTCTGTACTCAAGCGCAACGAACTGCCCTTCCACGAAGACCAAACGGATACATCTCTCAGAATCCCTCTAACGGTCGATATCCAAGACGGCTATGACGATGTCGCTCATACTATCAAAGAGATAATCAAACTTGGCGTCGTAGGCTGCAATCTTGAAGATCTTGACACCAAGACAGGCCAGATCCGCTCTCTTCCGGACGCCGTGCAGCGGATTCAAACTGCGGTGCGGGCTGCTAATGAGTCAGGCGTTCCTGGCTTTGTGGTTAATGCGAGGACAGATGTCCTTGGGTCTCTGGAAAACGGGACTATTGAAGATGCTATTGAGCGGGGCAAGGCGTACTTGAATGCTGAGGCTTGCACGGTGTTTGTTTGGGGTGGTGCGGGGGGTAGGGGTGTATCCAGGGGCGAAGTTGAGAGATTGGTAGAGGCGTTTGATGGCAGATTGAACGTGAAGGTTAACTTGAGGGAGGGGTTTCTGACAGTGGGTGAATTGAGAAAGATGGGCATGGCGAGGATGAGTCTTGGGCCGGAGCTGTATCGGCATGCGATGAAAGCGTTTCAGGAAAGGGCTGATGCGGTTTTGAGAGATTGTATGTAGCTCTAAAGATAGAAGGGTTTCAACATGAGTTTGTCTCAAACCTTGAACCACCCTACTAAGCTTTTCAACATTACTTCGACTACAAGAACAAATCAAAACAAAAACAAAAAAAAAAAAGAAAACATACAACAGCCGGGATTCGCATGTGGTCACCCACCATACTACTAACCGGCCGGCGTGTGGCTTACATGCGGTCAGTAGTCGGGTGGGTGCACCTAAAGGGTGCGAGCTGGTGCGCAATCTTGGCGCTCGCGCGATTAGCGCCAGTGCACTATAGACAGGTGCGATTCTGTATAAACACTCACACCCCTGGTGTGATATTCCTTTCAAGGTGCTAAGTGACCCACCTAGCGAGGAATTTGTGCAGCTCTATTGGCCTTTCGCCCCTCCTTGTGAAACAGTCCAACACCTTAGCGTATGCACTTCGCCACGGTCCATAATAGGGAGCAAGATTATCTGTATCTACCAATAGCGAGACGTAGAGCTTCCATTGGCTAGTACTGTTTCTGTCAGATCCACGTGATTTCAGACTAGTATCAGCAGGCAACCCAAATTCAATGAGCTCCGTTCAAGGGACAAGAGATCGGTTACTTCTATATACCGAGCCTTGCAACATGGAAATCGCATCCTTGCTCGATGTCACTGATAGTTGTGACAGGAACTTGTCCCTGAGTCCCCGGGGTGCGGCACCAAGTACTACAGCGAACAATAAGATACTAGACTGCAGCCCTTCGAATCACAAAGATCACCAGAATCCAGCAGAGATTTCCTCTCACCAGTTTCTACTACAGCCACTTTCATCACGTGAATCTAGCCAGAGAAGATGTTCGAAGGATAAGCAATTACGGGGCGTTTATTCTATAACAGGAATACGGAAACATAGGGAATGGAGAATTATGTGTTAGAAAAGTCTATCAAAACATATCAGTATAACAAAAGCTTAATAATTATGGAAGTAACTGACATATTAGGCAGGTGAGAGATTAGGAATTCAAGTTGCACCCTCTGCAGTGCGCCTCGTAAATGGAGGAGAAGATATGCCTTATACATAGCATATCAGTGATGCCTTTATCAAACCTCTCTTTGAGAAACCCATGAGCAAGCACTCCGTGGGCGCATATATGGAGCTCCACGCGAACGTTGGGCGTTCCTTCTGGGCTGTTCACTCTTCTAATACCAGAAGGGATTCAGAAAGCTCGGCCGCCCATCAACCTCACTCGGATACATCTTCCCCAAATCAGGACTTAGGGGCCCAGGACAGAAGTATGAAGCCTACAGTTCATAAGCAGCTGCAAGACCTGCGAGCTGATACGACGAGATTACTGGAGCGCCTGGAACAGGCTAAGGCAAGGACTCAGAATCAGACATGGGCCGATGCTGAGTCTCAGACGGAGATAATCAAGTCAATAGTCCAAGATGCGCAGACGATGATTAAGATGCACCAACGGCTGCTGCCAAGCTAGGTCCCAGGGGAACATTTTCCGACGGCAGTTGTATGCACGAAACACTCGAAATCGACCGGCTGATTGATCATGACTACAAGCAATCTGACGGCAAAGCCGATTAGCACATTCAGACGCCACATGGCTGCTTTACTGGCTCGGAGTGCAACAGCTGCGGTAGTCTTCAAGCAGATGTATTTAGACCAAGTAACATCAAAAGCGCGGTTTACCAGCGAGACGACTTTATTGAGCTAAAACCCGGAGAGGAAATATACTATGAATCGATGCCTTCAAAATAAGCAATGTCTCTCAACAAAGGAGATATTATCCCACCAAATACATGCTCCTGAAAATTGATATCCTCCTGGCATATGCTGATGCCTGACCCCAGAAGACACTTGTGAACAACATGCGCATAGTTCGAGCCGCTCTCATGTGACACCATTTCTATGAGCTTGAGTGCAGTGCCGATCTTAGTCACATCCTCATCTTCACCTATTCCATCCAGCATGCCCAAGGTACCAATCGATTTCCCAAGCGAAAGCTCCACTAGAGTGCGTCCAAGAGGCACTAGTACATCTGTCCTCACAGTAGAATCATGCAGCAAGTTCGACTTCTCTGAGCCCGCCGAGCCATGTAATGGCCACGAGAAAAACAGAGAGTCCAGAAAGATTCTGTCTTCGTCGTCACGGGCCAGGCCGATGTCGGAAGTATTCCAACGAGGCTTCAGCCAGCTCCCACAAAGTTGCATAACGCCACAAGCAAGACCAGCAGCGATACGCATTCGGTCACGCCGGCTGATTTGGCACAAAGCTTGTCGCAATGACTGCCGGGGCTGCCGCTCTTTCAGGCAAGTTACTGCATACAGGGCATACCACCCTGTCTCGTCGAGACCTGTGGGAAAATAACCAATCGCACATCGCTTCACATTGTCCGCAATTGAGACGGAAAGAGACGAGCACAGATCCTGAGTCAATGTTATAGAAGGAACTGTTTCGATCGGCTCCCACTCAACTTCTCTCCAGTTCCACGGCTGTGAGGATTGGGTACTTTCCTCCTGGGAAAATATCATCCGAAACCTTGCAAAAGCATGGGTGTCGGCATCTCCCACAGCAAACTTGAGGGGATTGGACTGCAACTGGAAATGAACAACATGGTGCTCTTTGCAGCTGCATTTCCAAAAACTACCGCCGACGATTCCTTTAAAAAGTTCACAAGTATGGTTTCGTGCCGTCTTATACTTATGGAAGAGCTCATCCCAAGGTCGCCGCGACTCCTGGGCCCGTTCACGAATATTTGATGGTTCAGCAAGGCTCTTTAGTATTGTATTGGCGTCATCAATTTTCGCCAACAGATCGTCGTATAGAGGGCCCATGATGAGTATCTTTACCCTCCAGGCCTTTCTTGTACCAGTGGGGCAGTTCTCCTTACGACATCAATTAGCCTTGAATTATACATTTCGTTCACGACAGCTACCTTTGTGTGTGCTTTGTCAATACCAAGTCTTTCCGATAGCTCGTCCAAGAGTCTCAAAAGATCTGACATTGTTCCCACAAAAGGACCATAGCTTCGGCCTAACTTATTGCGAAGCTTCTCCTGTAGAGAAGAATCCTTCCAATCTTCGCCTCGAGGGTCTGAGATGAGCCTGGAAACTTTGTCATTATCCTCTACAACATCCTTCAATACCTGTTCCAAGGTATTTAGTAAGATGGCGTGCTGTGCACCAAGTTTGGTCGAATAATTGGCAAACACCCTCCGGTAGCGTTTCAATAGCTTGATTTTCTCAATACCCCTGATGTATCCTTCAAGCTGATTTACCAGAAGCGGAAGAATGGCCAGAGCTAGACTGGCAACTTCGATACCTGTTGCCATATTGGGTGGAAACGATGATTGAAAGAGGACGACGATGCTGCGCTTAAGGGTAAGGCTAGTAAAGGGTCAATGCTACGGATGTTTGTTTATCCATTGCGACTAACCCCTCATTTCCACGTCCACGCTTGCTATAGAAAGAGAATGCCATCGAAAGGTCGAGGTCCATTCATACTGAGGCCTTCCCTCTCTTTGACTTCGCGCTGATTAAGTCGACCATGACAGCAATTTCAGAACTGTTGGAGAGAAGCATAACTGACCTTCGCGAACTGGTCAGATCGGGTGCTCTTTCGCGCCATCAGGAAGAAGTTCCAATAGAAAAATGGGAAGATGAGTTAGGTCGGCTCCGAGTATGGGCGGGGAATACAGGAGCATACGAAGCTGGGCAGTTATCCTTGGAGTACCGTTTGAGTGGGTCTCTGCACCTTTATCGCTCGACTGTCAAACTCGTGGAAACATTGCAGGAGCTGGTCATGGATCTCAATGAGACCTTAAATGAGCACGATTCCAATAACAGCTCAGATGAAGGGAAATACGAGGGATTCTCGGATATGCTGTCTAATCCAATTGAAGATAGCACGGAGATACAACACATCTACGAAAGTTTGGTGGAGACAATCAGTTATCTCAACAGAATGTCTGACGCGATCCTTAGGACGTGTCCAATACCTAGTCGCCAGGATGTTGTTACTGCTGGTGTCCTAGACGAATATAAACAGCTGGTCCAGGATACGCACGTCGTGCATACGATGGGGGAGCCGATAAGTCTTGCTTCAGGGCTTTTAACTCTGGCCACCTTCGCTCTTCAGTCCAGCGTTACGCTCTACGATACAATCGAAAGATTCAAATCTCATCCGAAGCGCGTATGCGATCTTAAAGAGGAATTGAAGGCGCTAAGTGAGGTTCTGGGTTCCCTTATTAAATTAGTGAACGCTGATACCGACTCGGACCTCGCGGCGTTGGAACTTCCTTTGCTACGGTGTGGTAATGCTTGCAAAGAATTCGAAAGGGAGCTATTAAAATGGTCGTTAAGATCGAGTGACGGGCGGACGAGCCTTCGAGATTGGGCTCGCCTGAGGTACATGGGAGATGATATCGATGGGTTTAGGCGACTTATGGCTGGATATAATTTAACGTTCAACGTCGCCCTCGCAGATGCAAATCTGTAAGTTTGGTTCATGCCCTGCCGCATACCAACCACCTATCACTCTGGCGATATTAACCTTTTCAGTCGAAAATCCAGCGCGACAGCCGAAAGCCTTGCATCCTATCAGACTTTGATCGAGACTGCCCAGGCTGAGCTTAAAGTGCATCTGGAAGTCATTGATAGCAAATTTGAGACTGTGCTGCGGCGAAATATACCAGAATCTGACGCGGATAATGCAGAATTACGAGCGATGCAAGATGAGAGACTAAACACTGAGAAGTGCCTTCAGATCTGCACGCAGTCATCCGAATATCTCAGTCAGATTCAAGCCATCCCGGAAAACTCTCACGGTTTTCCTGGATCTGATGGACCCTCTAGCTTCTCAGAGAGTCTGACCAATAAGAGCCTCCAGGCATGCAAACGCAATCTCGGCCTTACGACTGCGAAGTTAGAGAACCATATGGAAGATCTCATGAACCAACTGTTGGCTAAATCAAAGCGAGAAATAACCTCAGATGACGATTGGGACTTGGCAAGGCTGCGCGATGAATGGGATACAGCCCGTCAGTGTATTGACATCTGCTCAAAAGCAGACAACCGCCTTAAGGAAAATATCAGCACCATTGAGAACTATGCTACCGGTGATGCTGCACAGTTGATGGTGTCGACTGCTGGGGACATCGTTCGTGGTAGGCAGGTCGGTGGCCATCTTAGCGACGCATCCGTGGAACAGCTGTCGCGGGACATAGCAGCCATCAATCTTCGGCGTGTTCCAAGCGTGGACAAAACGCCATAAAAAGACGTCATATGGTCCTGACAGTGAAACGGGAAGCCAACCGGCTTCGGAATTCAAGGACCGCTATGGATGGGGCTTTAAGCTCACCCCCGAAACTTCCTCTAGCACGTTTGATCGACTCTGATCGTGTTGTGTTGCTTGTACCGGAAATTCAGGGGGCGCTTTGTTTTCGACATACATTTCGTGATAATCTAGCTCAACGAAGCATTCAATACAATACAGCAGCTACCTTCCGAGTGTTGCGAGACGTATAGTTTGACTGATGTCGATGTCACCATGTCTACCTCCCTTTGTCGCGCCTATCCAATTGTCGTACTGTTACCACCCTACGCATGATCGAACAATTCTGGCTATATTTCAGGATGGAAGTAAGGTGCTACATAGGGCCGGGGTCTGGAGTCCGCAGTTCCTAAGCATCTACAAGCGCCGCGAGTCGATATGGCAGGATTGTTGGGGCAATGATGATGGCGATGTACTTGTCACAATCCAACCAGTGGTTGCTTTATCACGCCACAGTGAGCGAAATCACGGTACGCCCAAAAAGCAGCGAAGCAAACGAGATAAGGCGTTTGAAAACTTGCACACTTGCTTGCATTCTGATCATAGCACAAGCTGGCTGATACGGGCCTTCTACGCGCCGGAATACCACATGATGCAGATTAAGACCTTGAACATCCTTGTTTTAAGAAAAGCTAACAATTACCGCCTGTCCTGATGACGCGGGTTCCAAGAGCCATACAAGGTTCTCTCGCCTATGACAGCTAGGACCGACAGCTTGTGAATCCACGGTTATAGCCGCCGACTGGAGCTTGACCATTCTTTGGTTTTCTTGTCGCGCCACTAATGGATATCGAATAACTGGCTATCATCCTCGAAAAAGCAGGCACCTATCAAGGCCCTTAATTTAGCGCCAGGATCTAAATTGATCTCTTTGCGAAAAAAAAATGCCACCAACGATATATCAGATCTTTGTATGACGTGCGGGGTTGCTGTTGTCTAAGCGCTACAGTATTTTAAATATTTTTTAAAAAATTAAATACCCTTTCTCTTATAGGTTTTAAAGAGATTAATTAAAATAATTAGATTAATAAATAGTTAACCTGATTAGAATCTTAATTATATTAACTTAAATAAATAAGATACAATAAATAAGATACAAGTGTCTCGATACCAAGAATAGTTAAAATAATTAACTATTACTATTTTTTCTATACCACAGTCAGGTACAAATAAAGGGTCTAACCTGACTGTGTACCAGCGGTCAGGTTAAGATGAGGGTCCTTAACCTGGCCTACCCTGGCCGTTGCCCACTCTACCCAGTACGGGATGCTCTCGAATCCAATTTTTTGGCCTGTTAATTATGGTCAGCCAGGTTGACGCTAAGATAGACTGTCATACTCAAAACCTACATCGTCTTATCGTCACGGTAGCGCCAACCTTTCAAAAATTCAGGGTCTATGACTACCCAGCGCTTGATCGAACCATTCCGGCTCCATTTCAAGTTGAAAGTAAGGTGCTACATAGCAAGAATTAGCATTAAAAGATAGGGAGGATTGAGCCGATCAGGAATGTATTATTACCCCGTAATAGAGGCACTCGTTCGTATCGCGATAGGAACTTGACTTGACAATTGCACCTGCTCGTGATGCTGAGCCAGCAAAAAGACTCAGTGCAGAAGCTGTCTGGACTCTAGCTCGTTCATGCTTATAATCATGATCATCATCCCCGAAAAGCCGGCGGAGCAGGTAGTCAATATCCTTGGCTGTGACCAGAAACCGCTCCCTTGTTTTGGTAAGCAGTTTATACTTTCGCGTGAGTACGCTTCGTACGAACTAAGTCTATATCAGCAGAGAGTACCTATATTATCAAAGGAGGGTGGCCATACGTTGTAAGCGTCTTTCTTCACCTCAAGTTGTAATGTTCTGGACGTCTTTTGCTCCCAACATGAGATGATCGTAGCAAGCTGATTGATTACTGATGACTGAGCGGGAAATCTACCCGGTCGCGTTGTAGTATAGTTCTCGGCGAAATTTTTCAGGACTTGAGGAGACGGGTCCGGCTCATCCTTGGAGAAATTCTTCTCCGCTGGCTCATCACGGGCAAACCTCCAACTTTAGGGTGAAAGAGGTAAGAAGCTGCCAGTTAAATATATATACAAGTTAAGGGGTTAACTCACAGTACCCAGTTCTTAGCCGCTTGACCATGTCTTTCGTACGTCGTGGGTGCCAGTTCCTTTAGGCAGGTGACATTCTCCGTGGATTCCTGTTCGTGCTGATAATCTAGGGTGAACCCACGGGAAGCCGCGAGGCGTTGTTGTTTCTCCGCCTGTTGCTTTAGATCCTCGTCGATCATCATCATGTGATATCACGTGCTCGAGATAAAGAAAGAATCGCGATTCTCAGTCTTGTTGCAAAAGAATAGGGTACAGTAAAACGGACGTGGCGCCCTGGCTATTTATCACTCCTTCAAGTCATTCCGGCCTGCATGGCAGCCTTCGCCTGCCTGGATGATCCCAAGCACCACTGGTGCGATGCAGTACCTGAAAAGGGGAAAGGCATCGCACCAGTGGTGTTAACGTTGCACCCCTGGTGTTAGAAGGTATAGAGATCGCACCCCTATCACTCGCACCCAGCCTACGGCTTGGTTTCAGAGTAAAATTGGAGCCTAGGGCTTTTTGAGAATTGACCGTGCGGTTGCAAGAGGGCTTAAGTACGGCTGAGCGGACGGGAAGCCCTGTTCTCCACACCCTATGGTCGTATGTACTTGATAATACTATAATAGAGATAATTGTAGTGCTTTAGATGAATTCTATGTTTATAATAGACCTAGTAGACAAAAATATCTCGAGAAAATAAACATAAGCTATTGATAATCAGCAGTAATTTACTATCCTTCAAGTATTATTGTCTAATATTATGCTCTCTTGATAGGTTGGCTATGCTCCTTGTTTAAACTTTTGGCATCCTCTGCTCTCTTTGGCGAACTGTCTAGCAGTGCGTAGAGCTTTAGCTTTGACTGACTTTATCAGAGTCAAGTATCTTGGGAATAGGGACATTTGTCTCGCTCAGAAATTGTACTGTTATAACCTTGCTGTGTAATGCAAGCTTGTAGGTCTGGTGATAACAAAGTGGTAATCAAGTTTTGATTAGTTTGAGCTAGCTGATCCTATGATCAGACTAGGTTTCAATACAGTATCTTTGCTGTCTATTGTCAGGAAAAGGCGTTGTCGCTCATACCCAAAGGCCTGGGGCGTTGAGTACGGACAAGCACTATATAAAGTGGTCGGTTTAAGAAGAAGTGCAGCATTATTTGAGTTATCAAGTATTATTATCATTCTTCGCCCAGCATCCTGAGTACATTAGGTCAAATTAAGTTATGCTCAGGTATTGAGGGGTTGTCTCGCCTATCTTAGCACGAGCTATATTCTCGAGGCGCATTTTATCCTGCCTCTCTGCCTCAATCGTCCTGACAGTGTTAATGAACTTCATCGGCATTGACTGCCATGCATCTTCCACAGTTAGTTGGCCCAGTTGAATCCGCTGCCGATTTGAACAGACTCTTCGCCGGGTTCCCGGTGGGAGTGGTATGTCATACAGGTCGACAAAGAACATATTACCCGGCGACAGCTGAGGAAAAGTATCCGGGAAAAAAGCAGTGAGCCAGTCAACAAAATAGTGATACTGCGTGAAGAGGTACCCATGAATACACCTGTTGTGACCAGGATTCAATGTGGATTCGACGATGCAATTGATTAGAGCTGAATGTAAAAAGTTAGCATGGGATTATAGAAATATTAAGGCTGGGCAGGGTTGAATGGAAGGAAAATTTAGGACAGCAAACATACCATCTAGGTAAAATACTCGCGTTGGAAACCGGCATCGCGTAGTGGGATGTAGAAATGTGTTTCTCGATAAACTCGCTTCTGAAAGATCCATATGCCAGAAACTGGAGGGAACGAGAGGTACTTCAGTGGAGAGTGAAGGTGCGCGAGGCAGCTTTAAACTGTATCCTGGCCAGCCTGGAGGAGCAATGGCCGCGTCCCGGTCCACATAGACTTCGGCTCCTTGGACTTGCTCTAGTCCTTGTTGTAGCATAACAGTGAGAGCATCGTCAAGTTACTCATCTGCAATCACAAGATAAAGATGACAAATGACCAGGGGATGGCCGAGGGCCCTGAGGATGGCGTCGCCAGCGATACAGTGTTTGATACCCCGATCCTCGAGACATTCAGATAGGTGATAATGACGCCACGATGAGAATTCTTGCAACGGTTTTTCGGTTTCGAAATCTGCCATATTTCGGGCTTGAAGAAGGGTGATTGGTGGGGACAGGCTTGGTAAACGATGGTCAGATCGTGAGAGGTGGATGGTAAAAGAAATGATGAGTTATGAGGTCGAAGAAGGTGAGGAAATTGTTTAGTAAGCCGAGGATCATTCGGATTAAGGTTATGGGTCCCGTGGATGAGACACATACTAGATCAATACTAACCAACCATACTCCAAGTAAATAACCATCTCATACCCCATCTATACTTCTCCGCTGAATATTACTTCACCCTACCTTTTTAACTTGTTTTCTAAGCCTTAGGTAAACTTATGATTATGCAGTCCTTGGTCCTTAATGTCCGCTAACCAGTTTTAACTTGGCATAGTACCATAATAATGTCGGTCGACTCAGATGAGTCTGACAAGATCCTGAAATGCGTCCGAGCGCTACAGGAGACTTTCCCAGCCGATTTCGTATTATTTGGTGGTGCAGCTGTACAATTTCATGGCCACGAAAGGGTTACATATGACGTAGACATCTTGGTCCGGCCCAAGACTGTCATCGACTCCCTCAAGTCAGTTCAAGGCTTCGAGGGGATGGCAGGGAAGCTCTCGTACCGATCAGTTCTAATCAATCTTCTTACTACAATCGACGACCGCTTTGTATATACCCAAACTGGAGGAGCACATCCGATGCGTGAATGGTGTTCGGACACTGAAATATGATTTTGCTCTCGCAGTCAAGATTAGGTGCTTCTATCTTCGCCCAGAAGATTCGGCAGGCGCCCAAAAGCAGAAAGCTGATCTGATGGATGCTGTCTTCTGGGCGAAGTTGCTTGAAAAGTCTGGAGAGATGATCTCAGACATTTGTGCAGCACAGTTTAAGATCGGTTGCTATCATGCTCTCTTGATCCGACTAAACCTGAAGCCAGACCCCTTCCAGAAGCTGCTGGACGTAGGCCTTGAGCGGCTTGTCATTCCATGGGAGGATAACACGCTAGAGCAGAAGGAGTATTACTCTCTACTTGCTACTGAAGGAACTGATCCGTTGACCACCCCTCTGGACAATGAGCTATACGAGGAGTTTCTTATTGGCGATGAGCCAATCACTGATTGAGATGATTGTATTTTTGAGATGGAAGAGAAAAACGCAGCTCTTTATGTCGATCTCAATGCGTTTCAAGTCTCTTTAATTACCTCAAATGAGTCCATCAGGTAGAGGTTGAGAAAAACGGCTTAGCTTTCTTAGAAGATAGCCGGTTGCACTGTTAGCGTCATGATACCTCACTGCATATCCTTAATACGTCTCTGCATTTGAAGCCTTCGGAGTTACCCCAAATAAGTGATCAAATGGGATGAAGAAGGTGAGCTTCATACCGGTACATTCCTAGCTCATGATCCAGGGGAAGCGATGGCCTAGTTACTGACTGAACGCGCTAGTCGTGGGCTTTGGATGATGAACTACAGGGGGAACGCAGTTGGCGGTCAATAGTCGACCCACAATACTCGCAGACTAGCTTCACCTCACAATCAAGGCTGTATGCGACAGCCAGCACGACGCAAGGGCGCCATGCTGGCGGGATGACGAGTGGGTACTACCGTGGCCCTACAGTCTACGTTCTAGAATTTGAACTTCGGACCAAGTCCAGTCTAGCCCAATAAATGGAGCTTTTCCCAGCATGCAACGATTCAGGGAGAATTGTTCACTTTCTTATATTGCGACACATACTAATCGGCCGGGGTGTGGCTTAAGTGCAGCTGAGTCGATGAGAAGCACTGTTTTCTTTGACATGTAAGATTGGAATAGGATTATAATGATTTTCTATAAAGAGTTGAAGTGAGTTAGTATAATCTTATAAAATTTATAAAATTTATATCTTATATACAATGATATAGAAAAAGAAATTACTACAATAATGTAGTTATTATTACAATGCCCCGGCATGGCTAACGGTGCAGATATGCAGGAGCCATATGCCGTATCTCGCTCCAAGATACCTAATATAGCCACCCCTTCAAGTACCCCTCACCGAGGTCCTAGTTGAGTGGCATCTAAATGATTCAGCCTTATTTAGTCCAGGGTAGGTAAGGCCCTTTGTCTATGGCGACCACCCAAGCGCGATCGTGTACCATGGAACCAAGATGAACGCGTTGTTGAGTAGACAGGATATTCCAGATCCTTTCAACTTGACCCCCCCAGCTTCACAGAAGACTTGGCGCGTAGGCGCTCGCCATACCGATAGAACAGAAGCGGCCCTGGAACGAATGCAAGCGCAAGTAGCCCCAGCAATGTATTCCCCCACCCATAATTCAGGCTATGGTAAATGGGGGCCCCCGCGAGTGGCAAGAAGGTACTCGAAACGTAGCGTAGAAGATTATTGGCGCCCAGAGCGGAGGCAGCCGCCTGGGACCCAAAAACATCGACTAGGTACAGTTGCGCGGGCATCTAGGCAATCAGATTATCAGCACTAGCACGATTGGTGGGGTTCTGTCAAAACCTACAATCACGAAAAAAGCCCCAAACCCCATGAAGACTGTGCCAATGATAGGCACGATCCAATGAACCTTGTAGTATGCCGTCCAGCCGTAGATGATCAAGCCAAGCCCGACAAAAGGACTGAACCAAATCATTAGGAGCAGTCGGTATTCTGGTCGAGCCTGTTGCACCCCATCAGCTTTCATGCGTGCCGCTTGGACCCGCCCATTCAGCACGTTGAAGAGGAACATGCTAGCGACCAATGCAACACCTAGGCCTAGGTAGACGAGTCCGGATATGGACGTGCTGAAGCCGTATTGGCCCTCGAACACGCTAGGAAATGTTGTAAAAAGCAGGAACATCACTCCAAACACCAATGCCACGTAGAGGGATATGACGAGTAGGATAGGCGATTGAAAAAGAAGCATAGTCGGCCAGATTAGAACTCGAACGAGGACCTGACTTGGTAAGAGTGAAGTATTCGCATGCTTGGAACGTAAATGCAGTTTGCCAGTAGTAGCACGCAGACGGGCAGCTTTGCGCTCCAAAATGACCTTGGGATGTGTTTCGCGCATGACCATTAGTGCCGTGACTCCGGCGACTCCTCCTAGAATAGCTAGCAGCCAGAACGTCCAACGCCAGCCTGGGCCTGCCGCGACAAAGCCCCCAATCACTGGGCCGAGAACCTAGGCGAAATCTTAGCCAATGCTTGTGAGGGACTGAAGGCCTGGAGCGATTAGTGACATACTGGTCCCGCCAGAGGCCCCATACTAAATAAAGCCATTGCCGCGGCTCGCTTTTGGATGGTCGTAATGTCCGCAATCGTCCTTCCGCCAAGAGCCATCGGGGTACCGCCAGCGCAGCCGGAGAGGAAACGAAAGACGAGAAACTGCGCTAGGCTCCGGCTGAGCGCATTGCCAAGGATAAAGGCCACAAACATGACATTTGCTCCGTGGTAAATGGGCACACGTCCGTAGATTTCGCTGAGGGGTGAGATGAACATGGGTCCAATGGCAATACCCAGGACATACAGTGTGACAGCGAGGGTACTGGCAACATTGGAAGCGATATTCAAGTCGGCTTCGATTTCCTTGATCCCCGGGGCACACATTGTGGGTGCCATGTTCCTGCAGAGTACTTAGCTAAATTGCAGCCACAGAGTTCCATCGACTAAAGCCTACGTGATAAGAGCCAAGATAGAGATGATGACCACATGCGCCCACCTCTTAGACCCTGGCCAGTTGCGAGGGTTGGTGGGGTCGTCATCCCCATCCCAGTCAACGATTTCGGTCTCTGGAAAAACACTGTCTTCTATGCTGCCTTTCTCCAGTTGTCTTGGTATCATGTTGGTGCTGTCACAAGTGTTGATGTCCGAGAGTATGAATATGAACGAAGCCAAACAAGGTGCCAATCCTTCGCCAGCTAAGAATGGCCATCGATGCGTTTAAAACAGATGAAATTGGCCGGAGATAGGGCACTAGGCGGTTGGAATCATCCGCAAGATAGGAGAATCGGAAATGTCGCGGAAGAGACATCCTCTCCTCCGCGGTATGCTTTGCCAACCCCAGAGTATAGGAGTGGAGAAGCGGAGGGTCGGAGGGTCGGGTCGGACGATCGCAGGAGATCCGTGGATCCGCCGAGTGGGTCACAATACGAACGAGCGCCGTGTATTCACATGGTGTCTGAGTAGATTTCACAAGGGACATGAGAAGAGAAGACCTTCATTAGAGTGGTAAGCGTTGTCATGAAGTTTTTGCATTTGCCCAAAAGCGAAATATCACGAGAAAATTGCGCTACGACGAAATAGGCAGACCCTATGCCTCAGGCAGCACACCCGGATATCAGGCACCCCATCTCTGTTTCTCCTGAATGATTCAATCATCCAGACGTGAAGTCATTCCCTTTCCAGTCTACCATTAAAATTTGCCACCCTATGGATCCCTCCCAGTCCGCACAGAAAAGTGACACTACAACTCCATCGCAGCCGCTTTTCAATCCCAGTCGGCGAAGGGAAAAGCCCCAGCTGTCGTGTAATCCGTGCAGGCGTCGAAAGTAAGCCCTCTACCAAGCCCTTCGTATAGCATGTGGCACTAAACCTTGTCCAGGTCACGATGCGACCGCAAGAGGCCATGCTCTTTATGCTCTATACGCGGTCAAACATGTACATACTCGGAGAACAGTTTAACTGTCGCCGGTCCATCAGGGACAGCTCCGACAGCGCCATCAAACACTCATGATCGTTTAGTCCAACTGGAACGTCTCGTCATGTCTGTCATGTCTAATTCAACAGCGGTCGCTAACATGCAAGCCAACACGGATGTACGACAATTGGCGCCAACTCCGACAGATACAATGCCGGAGGATACTCCCATAGATGAGCGTTCCGAGTGTGGCAGCATGAAAATCAGCGCATCAGAGTTTCGCTACATCGGCGGGGACCACTGGGTTGCCATTTTAGAAGGCATAGCCGATATTAAAGACCATGTGGATCGAGAAGAACAATTACGGCTGGCAGAGAGTCCAGGTCAGATCGCGGATGATCCCGAGGATATTAATGGTGACTCAAGTACTTCGGGTCGAGATGGCGCGTTTCTCTTGTATGGACGTTCCCGCCCGACATCTCGAGATGATATTCTGTCTGCGCTCCCTCCGAGATACGCAGTCGATCGCTATATCTCCCGCTACTTTAATTACCTAGATCTCGTCTCAGCCGGTAAGTCCCGTCGACGGTTTTTACTTGTTGTGAATTGATGGCTCATATACTTCGGTCACATCCAGCCGCTGTCCATGGACCCGTTTTCTTGCGAGAGGCAAGTACCAGAGCTTGATCCTATCATCCTATACTTTGAGGATCCAGTACTGATAGGCCGTAGTACGAGGCCTTCTGGGCCGACCCCTCAGCCGTCCCGATAATATGGGTCGGGCTGCTTTTCAGCATGATATGTCTTGCATGTCTGGCATCAAATCAGCCTGATAACCCCGACACTGAGCTACTATCCCTGCGGATTGATCTCTACCGCGAAAAGACCGTTCAATGTTTGATCATGGGCGAATATACGAAATCGGGTCCATACGTACTGGAAACCGTGATCAATTATATCTACGCAGAATTCGGTGTGTGTACCGATGCAAAAAGAGATATGTGGTACCTCCTGGCTATGGAGGTCAATCTTGCGATGCGCACGGGTTACCACCGTGATCCTAGCCACTTTCCCGGAATCTCACCTTTCCAGGGTGAAATGCGGCGGCGAGTCTGGGCAACTGTGCTCATGAGCGATATCATGATTTCGAACCAAATGGGGATGCCGCGGATGATCTCGGATTGGAAGTGTGATACTACTGAGCCAAGGAATCTGAATGATGCCGATTTTGATGAAGACACCAAGGAACTGCCATCTCCACGACCAGAAACCGAACTTACAACCGCCCTGGGGATTATCGCTCGCAGACGGATGTTGAAGGCCCTCGGCATTATTGCGGATCTCACAAGCAGGGTCAAGCCTTGCTCCTATGAAGAGGTTATGCAGGTGGATCGTATCCTGCATGATGCCGCTGCTAGCATCCCAGCACCCCTGAAGTGGAAGCCGATGGCGGCGAGTGTGACTGATTGGCCACAGGTCATTATCGCTCGTTTATTCATCAGACATATGTTCTACAAGGGCCAGATCATGCTACATCAGCGGTTCTTGAGTATGCAGTCTTCGTCTGGCAAGGAGGACGGCTTTGATTACTCGCGGCAAGCATGCATTGATGCATCGATGGGTACTCTCGAACTTCAAAATGTGCTTGACGAGGAAACTTGCACCGGAGGTCAATTGCACGAGATGCGATGGCGAGTCACCTCGGTGATGAACCATCAGTTTCTTACGGCAGCAATGATCCTATGCTCCTTACTGCATAATGGACGAGCCAGGGAGAGGAAAGATGAAATTCGACGTGCGCTTCAACGCGCCAGAGAGATCTGGATGCGTAGGAGCTCCGCTTCAAACGAAGCCAAGCGAGCTGCAGATACTGTTGGTATCGTCCTTTCCAGGATGGGGGGTGGTGGGAGAAGCGACCCCGACCTTAATGCAGATGTGGGCGATAGCCTGACTGTACCTGACGCGAGCGGCGACTCTAGTTTGGTGCCAGATAACCCTATACCGGGCAAGATGAGTTTCCATGACCGTGGGTCTCACACCATTATTGGCATACCTAGCTAACGGTTAGTAGCTGACCAGTTCATCATGCCAGGTATCCTGGGAGATATCATTCCACCTGTTCTAGAGGATCAAAATATGAGCTACAATGCCTATAGTACTGACCCTACCAATGACTGGATGTTCATGCACTGGGATAATCCTGAAGGGATATACCACGGTTGACGCCACGCTGCATGGATGTCAGTCAGCCAGCTTAACAGATGTTTTAGGGGCAAAGGTGCATGTCTACTGATAATTTTGACTCAATGAATAATACACGTGCAGCGTACTATGTGCACTTAGCCTGGTCATTGGCTATATATGGTATTCTTCTCGGCTTGCTCAAGTCGGCCACCTCTGTAACCCATACCAAATCATCATTTTTGGCCTCCGATATCTCACCAAATCTTATACACTATAATTTACGTTCATATATTAAAATATCCAAACCTTATAGGGACTTGTGGCCTTTTCCTTCGGCTGGTTTCATTGACTATGACTGTTGTCCATTCTATATTGAATTTCTGTACTCGACACAATTGAAATTCCAGCCCTAGCTCATCTCAGATTATCAATCTGCCATCGAATCCTATACAAACTGAAATGCCGTCGATCTACAGTTATTCAAAACTATGTATCTAGTAGAGGAAGGATACAACTCAAAGAGCAAAACATGAGTCAAGTCAGAATCCTCACCTGAAGCTTATGTATATATGGCTCGCGTGGTCACGGCTATTTCTAAACTCTGATGACTACCTTGCCCATATGCTTGGCAGCATAGAGATGGTCAAAGGCAGCCTTTGAGTCTTCGAAGTTAAATATGGTTTTATCCATTACAGGCTTCAGCTGAACTGCCTTTTCTTCCAAAAAATTGCATAAAGCCTGAAATTCGGGTTTGGAGCCGGGGGTAATTCCCCTAAGTGACAAGATTAGTACATGAAACAAGCATCTTAACTAGGAATGAGAAACAAACCTCAATGTCGCACTCTTCAATAGCACAGGTCCAAGTACGTCTGGTTGATTATCTAGGTTAAACCCACCCAGGAAGCCGACGAAGGAAATAACACCTCTCCGGGCGAGGGAAGAGAGGCTCTGTGCGATAGCAGTAGGGCCGACATTGTCAACAACAACATCCACACCTCGTCCATTGGTCAGACGGCGCGCTTCCTCCTCCCAATTAGGGTGAGTTTTGTAATTGATAGTTTTCACTTGTCCTGGCTTGCCCAGAGCCCGCACTGTTTCCAGCTTTTCATCAGACGAGGATGTAATGATAGGCTGGATGCCAGCTGCCAGGCAGATCAAGAGCGCAAACATGCTAACGCCCCCGGTTCCTTTGTGTTGAGATTTAGCTTGCTTTGTGTTCCCCTGTGAGCATCATATAGGACTTACCTTGGAGCAGCGCAGAGCCACTAGATCGTGGCATGTCAAGTGCTTTCCATGCAGTTGTTCCCGCGCAGTTAATGCAGGCTGCCTACGAGATAGCAGAAAATCAGCACATATCCCATCCTAGCTCTATTCAGATAGTGAACGCACCTCCTCCCAAGAAAGGTGCTTCGGTAAATGAACCAACACCTTCTGGTCAAAAACTGCGTATTGGCGTAGTACACCATCGGCGTCGCCGCCAAGAGCCTCCATCTCATCCTCAGTCCCGGTGATGCTCTTCAGATCAAAAAGAGGTGCAACGCGATCCCCTGGGTTGAAATCTTTGACTTCGGAACCAACAGTGATAACTTCTGCAGCGCAGTCGGAGGCGGGGATACCACGGTCAATCACCTGGACCGGATACTTCCCATGCATCATGGCAACATCTCTGTAGTTGAGGGAAACAGCATGGATCCGGATCACAACATGATTAGGTTGAAGATCAGATGGCAGCTTCTCTTCCGTCATCTCTACCGATGAGCCGTCGGCAGTGCGACGGAATGCTTTGTAGGACTCGGGGATCGGCATGATGGCGGGACTGTGGGGATGAGTGATTTCGTTGTTTTTTGTTTAACTGGCAGAAACGAAACCAAAGACCGGCCAAGTAATATAGCAGGTAATATTGGAACAGAAGACTTGGTCACTAAATAGGAGTTTCCTGAATGGATCTTATATAAATAATTAGCATGTCCTGGAGTCTTATAGTTAGTAGTTAGGTCATGACGCCGCAATTATTAAGCATTATTAATTGAACGGATTCGATTATCTAAACCAGCGAACTGACAAAATATATATATTTTCGTAATCGCATTTTTCTGCGTTGACTGGTATGAGGGAAGCGTAATCACGTTTGATGCGTTGACTAGTATTCAGATTGATCGAGGGTTTCAGGGTGCTCGCATCAATGCTTGGTGTAAGATTGGGGCGTTGGGAACGGAGACGTCTCGCAGCCTTGGGGTTCATGCGGTTTCTTTCCCACTGGGGTACACTAGTGCCCAAATAGAGTCAACTCATCAGCCCAGTTGCTGACGAGGGTTGAACTGGGACAATCACCACAGATCAGCCAACTTGCAAAGACTCCACTGCTAATCGTAAGCTAAAATACTCTCAGCACAGTAACAGAGACAGAAAAGACTCGAGCAACTCTCACATTATCCAACCAACCACCATAAACACCGAGGTTGTCTGCTCTCATTTCCTTTCATGTAAACTATTTACACCCGCTTACAGCAATAATCCACAAAGACATACTGCAACGGCCCCTTGGACCAATTCCCCGCCGAAATCTTATAACAGTTGCTGAAGTTCCCCCCGGTGGTAGTCACCCGCGACGGGGCATCGCCGCTGCACTTGACATTGTACCCGGACGGCCAACCGCCATGGCAATATCCTTGCAGCGACCCAGTCGCAATATAATGGCAGTTGTTGGCGTATATGACGCCCTCGGCGCCGCTGCACTGCGAGCCGCTTTCCGGAGTTCCGATTTGGCAGATGGTGTTGGTGCCTATGCCGACTTCGCCGTCGGCGCAGATTGCATGGGTTCCAAGTGGAAGGGCAGCGAGGAAGAGAGCGATTATGGGGTAGAACTTCATCGTGGTGACTGTTGATTGAGTACAGTGTCAGTCGTCGGCGTGATTGGGATGACTTGTTGGAAGGAGGGTGTTCCCGGAGAATGGAGAAGGTGGTTCTTGTTGCAGGTGAAAACGAATGGGCATCACTCTGATTACATACCCTCACTGCAATAGTTTGGGTTTTGGTGTCTTTACAGGTGTCTCTTCCAATAAGCGAGGAGGCAGCTGCAAGTTCGTGATGGACGTCTCTCACAACACACGAATCCAACCGGAAGAGTGTGACATTTTGGGAAAGTAAATCCCTCAAGGCAGTTGTCGATGCTTAGTTGAAGCGTCACCGAGTGTGGTGACTCGAACTCAGCCTGCGCATCTGTTCACAGTCTAAATAACGAGTGACTTGGTTGGGCAGCACACTGTAGTCTTCATGTGATTTCCTCTGTCCTCTCAGATGGTCATATCATGAGTACTGCCTCGTCCACGATCGAGATGAAGAAATCATATAGAATCTTGGGTAAGCTTGTTTTGCCAAGAATAGAGGGTAGATAGTACCGTGATAGGGCTGACGCTAAATACGCCACATTTATAGTGCCGAGAAGTCATTTGACTATTGAGAGATCGACATGGCTCAATGTATTCTATCCAATAGTCGCACTATCAGGATGATCTGGATCTATCACCTGCTGACAGGGTAAAGGTGTGCTCCTTAGATCCCGGATATAGCTCCTATGTCTATCACATAAGTTAGCTTTCTAATACCTGAGAGAGCAGTGGTAAACTAGCTACAAGATTTTTGGTTAGAGATACTTATTAATTAATCAATAATCTGTTTGTAAATCAATGTTTGAAACTAGGTGAGTACTTACGTGCCTTCTTATCAAAAGCAGAGTAAAGACTTCCATGATTTCAAAACAACCAAAGTAGGTGAATTATGACTCTATGACTTTTCATCCATGAAGCAACAAGCTACAGAACTTGGTTGAAAACCAGCAACCTTGAGCGGTTACCCATCTCACTATGATAACAAAATATGGTTATACACGGCCAAGCAGACATCAAGACACCAATCGATGGTTGTTGTTGGATATCAAGGCTGTGTGAACACCTTTCCCAAACACTACTCTGCTAGAAGTAATAAGTATGCCTCACCTACACCAACGACACAAATCTATCAACAAAGGAAAAGAAAGATTTATTCAAACCAAGCCGGGTGGAAGTTCCCCCCATCCTTGGAAGAAGAGAAGCAATTCAAACAAAGGAAATATCATATACCACGAGCCCCCCGAAACAAAAAGCCTAAACGTGTTGTCGCGCCTTCACAGGAAGAGGCGGCATCTGACTTTCCCCAGGCCTCCGCTCATCATACGAGACTGTCACCTCGTTCACCTGATGAATGTTGTGGTCGCTATAGCCATTTGGGTAATTCAGCATTTGTCTTGTATCCGCGTCATCCGACCGCTCGTCCGCCTCTAGATCTGTCCTGGTATCGTTCATGGACTTGCCCTGCACGGTCGTCGTGACTAGGCTGTCGAGGGTGTATGTCGGGCGTTTGCGTCCGGTGAGCTTACTACGGCCGACGCTTGACTTGCCGGACGCGGGTAGGTCGCTGTAGCCGGAGTCGTCCTGGAAGGAGTCGTTGCCGCGGAGGTAACGGTAGAGGGGTCGGAGGGCGGGGATGCTGACGCAGATCATGGTCGTGGTCATTTCGGAGTTCGTCCAGATGACGGAGTCGGTCGTCGCGTCTATAATCGCTCGTTAGTTGTCGTTTCGCTTTGCGTCGACTGGTGGTGTGGTTGGGGACGTTACTTACAGAGGTAGTCGGTTGAGTCGGCGAGGGCGTAGAGCCCTGTCGTTCGAATGATGCCACAGACGCCGGCGCTGGGGACGATGTCAGTACATGAAACGTAGAGAAGGAATTACAACTGGGACTCCACGGAACTCACAATATACCCAGACTCAAAGACAGACAAATAGTGATCTTCTCCTTCTTCTTCATGTTCAGGTTCCACAGCGCGACCCATGGGAACAGCGCCAGCACGAAATCCAGCACCGCGGACCAGGCTGTTTCCCCGTTAGATCAGCTACTAAAAGGAGAGGAGATACAAAATTAAACATACCGCACATGACAGTCGCGATGACCGTCAAGTTGAGGGAGCATCCCTTTTTAGGGACACGCGGGTCCCAGATTGACTCAACCGGCGTGCACTGCACAAAGACGGTGATAGAAAGCAGGATACTCAGGGTCATGATGGAGATGTTCCAGAACCACAGAAAAGCCTTGTGCCTAGAGGAGGTCAGCCACTCTCGAACAAACTAACTGTCTTGGTTCTCTTGAAACCCGGGTGTAAATATCTGCGAAGGGCGCCGTGCGTACCATGTTTTAACAAGAATGCGCATCAGGAACGCAGCGACGGCACATTTACTGAGACCCATGGCAAGTGAGACAACACTCTGCCCGGCCAGCAGAAACATCATGCCGCGCGAAAACTCATCCGGTGACAGCTTGTCGTAGTGCGTTCCCATTCCCGTCATCGCCGCGGCCGTGCACAGCGCTGCAAACGCGACCATCAGTGACTACCCCATTGCCAGTTAGTATTTTTCCATTTGACTCAGGGTGTTTATGGGAGCATAAGAGTGAGAAGGGGAGAAATATACCCAGGAAATGATCAGAAGGAGGTCATCAACCCCGAGACTGCGTCGGATTACAGTCCGCGTATAGATTCGCAGCCCGAGCACAACAAAACACATGCCCACTTCCAACCAGAGGACGCCGACCAGCGTGGGACCCTTGTCACGGAGAGGCATTGTTGGGAACGGGCAGGGTCAGTGACTCCCGAGTTAAAGACGGCTGATAGAACCCAAGAGTACTCTCCACGACTCTTCCCAGCGGAGGGATCGAGGTATTCTATAGCCAACGCACTTTTGACCCCATGTGACGAGTGGCAGGGGGAAGCGAGGAGCAGGGGGGCCAACAGAAGGGGCCAGGCAGAGGTCTTAGTTTCCGGGAATGCTTATTTTGACAGCAGTGATCGCGGTACTTCTGGCATCTTTTCATAGATCAATTTCTCCAACGGGAATGAATATCTTCGATCCTTCACAAAACCCGCGCCAACGCTGCCCTATACCCGAGAACAAGGTCTGGCGTTGCTGGGGAGTAAGCGCTTAGGGCAAGATGGCAGGGATCTATCAAGGTAGTTTACAAAAATCGGGACACATCTAACAGCTAGTGCAGGTTTTCGGGAGACCAGTCGAGTTTTGGTCATTATTTCATGCTCGGGGAGCATGCTCCGGGCCCAAACGAAACGAATCAATCAATAAATAGCAAGAAACATTAGTACCATCGCGGGTCGGTAGTCGCCATAACGGTTCCGAGACCCAGACACCATACTCCATGGAGCGACAGGATCTCTAGACTCGGCCCCTAAAATGCCTTGACAGGCCTCACTTTCCCAACTCAGGAGGGCATGGCTGCTGTCAAACAAGCTTAGCCAGAGTCTAGCACCACCGATCTTCGCAACCCCTATCGTCAACGGCTTTACCGCTGTCAACCGAGCTCGGTCCACAGATAGACCAGCAGAATCGATGCGCTACACACCTCTCCTCGCCTAACAATACCATTGACCGCCCCCTGTCTCCCGCCGTGACACTCATTGCAAAGGTGAATAGTAGAAGCAACAGGATGCACCCCAATGTTTTACACCAACTCCTCCGAAACGTCTTGGGTCAGCCCCCTGCCGCTCAGATATATTGGAGGGACCCACAGATAGACATTGTGGGATTCTGTACTTTCCTACAGAGTGGTATCAGGACCTACAAGCCCAAGACACCCATACTAACAGTATAAGCTATCATAATCTACAAATGGAATGTATCCATTTTCCCAGACATGATCTGAGGCAGTGAGTACTCCAAGGGAGGGAACTACAGCATCACGCCCGGGTCATCACATGTGCCAAGACGTCAGACGTCTGATTAGGGATGCCAGACCGAACAAGTGAGCGAAAAAGAGAGACAGAAAGGGGAAGGTTGTCCGGCGTCAAGGTGGGCTAGCACGACCAACGTCCCGAACGGATCGGCAGGGCCCGTCGTCTTGGCAGATTTTGGAGTCCATCAAAAATTACCGCGACAAGCGGCCCGTTTAAGACAAGACTTAAGACATACAAGGCGAGATCTGCCCAGGAGCTAACGGGGATCCACCCATACCCGCGCTAGTCTCCGAATTGGACCTGTCAATAACTCCAGGGTCCATGGGATAGTGGGGGCTGTCAAAAGTCCCAAGTGAAATCTCTGCCTGTGTTAGTTTTGTAGGGTTGAACAAGGTGACTGGGCTGGACTTGGGATTTCTGAGAAAGAATGAAGAATAATACAAATAAAAGGATGAAAAATGTTTATGCCAATCAAATGTGCGATGATATATTAAAAGCTATAATAATATGTGTTGATACAAATCTAACATAGGTTAAATAAAACAAAGAAAATATATGCGTGTCTGGCCGCTTCTGGCCCCCTTTTCTCCTTACCACCTAGTCTTTAGGTCGAGCTGGCCCCAGCTCTGACAGACCTCCTTCAAGCCTCAGTCGTAGACTCGGGAGTCGAACCCTCGGTCGACAGAGCGTCTTGCAGATCCACTTCGACGGAGTCGCCGAACTTGACGTTGATCTCCTCCAGACTGAGTCCCATAGTCTGTTACGCAGGTTAGTCAAACGATACTCTCTTTTCAAGATTTGCAGGGAGGAAGGGGGGGGCATACCTCAGGGAAGTAGATATGGATCATGATGCTCGTCACAACAGTCACAGCCACAAAGACCATGAAGTACTTCCATCCGATGTTTTTCAAGGCCAGCGTGATGGGCGCACTGTAGGCGACGGCATTGGCGAAGAAACTGGCGAAGGCGATGGTGGATCCTTCGCTGCGCAGATGGGTCGGCCAGATCTCGGAGCTGTAGACGTACGCCGTGCACTCGATGGTGGAGGTGAAGTAGGCGCCGAAGATGAAGTACAGCGCTACGGACGCGTTGATGCCCGGCTTGTCGGTTCCGCCTAGATAGTACTTCTGCAAGGCAGCCATGATACTGAGGATGGTGGCACTGCCGAGACCGCCAGCCACTGTGATTGAAGTCGTTAGCGCTAGACCTTATTGGGAGGGGACGGGGAAGAGTTAAAATGGCACATACCCAAGAGCTTAACACGTCCCACGCGGTCCAAAAGGAGAACGTTGATGCCACAGCCGATGATGGCACACAGCGTCCAGACGACACCCAGACCCAGTTGCATGGTGGTGCCAAAGCCAAGGCCACCCATCAGGGTGGGGACAAGGTTCGCGATAGCGGTGATACCAGTTGCTTGACCCATGGTCCACAACAGGATAGAGCAGAGAGCCCGCTTCCGGTGGGACGCCGTGCGGATAATGTGCATATAGCCACTGGGGGAGTTCTTCTCAACCTCAACCTGTGCCTTAATCTGGCGAGCCTCGGCGTGGGCAAAGGTTGCCCGTTGGTCATCCTTGGTCTGGTGCAGGTATTCCAGGATACGGATGGCCTCCTCATCGCGGCCCTGCTCCATCAGCCAGCGCGGGGACTCGGGGATGAAGTACAGGGACACCAGATAGATCACTCCGACGGCGGTAAGGACGATAAACACCAATCTCCACTGCACCTCGGCCGTAACAAAGCTGAATGCAAGAGCGCAAATAGCTGCCATGATGTATGCGGTGACGACGCCCACTCCATGCAGACCGACGAGCATCCCGCGCGTGTGCGGCGGGGAGACCTCGCTCATGTACACGGGGGTGTTGGCGAAGATCATGCCCGAGCCGATACCACAGATAACACGGAAAACGATGAACATTTCGACATTGACGGCACCCGCCTGCAGAGCACCCGAAATAATGACGATAACTGCGGAGATTGCGTTGGCAATCCGACGTCCAAATTTGTTGGCCAGGGGTGCCTGGATAATGGATCCCACAAAGGCGCCTCCGAGAAACCTTTGCACTCAGTCAGTACGCAATCCACGGAAGGTGTTAAGAACGGAGTCATCTACCCTGCAAGCATACCATCCTGGCGAGACGTAACGTCAGGTGTGGTCAGGAACTTGGCAATAAAAGTCGGCTGAGATAGCGAGCCCGAAAGAGCATTGGCCGCAAAGCCGTAGACGAAACCACCCAGACAAGCAGTAGCCACAACCTGTAGACAATGAGATCAAGCCAGCCCAGAAGCACCGCTGTCGAAACCTACCAGAATATTAATCAAACTGGTCTGCGGCGCGTCCGCCCCTCGCAAGCTGCGAGTCTCAACGATAGAGCGGCTCTTTTCTTGAGATTTGCCCATTTTGATCCTAGTAAACTGGGATTGACAGGTACAAAACGGGTCAAGAGAAAGGATGGAAAAGCATGCATAAGTGTAAACAGAAGATGAGGGACCCTAAGACCTTTCATCCTCTAACCGCCACCCCTATCCGAGCTAAGGGGTAAAATCGACAAGCAAATCCTTCTGCATAGTCTGGTGGATGTTCGATATTCATCACTCACAGGGTTTGTGCATGAGCGAGCAAAGCCACTGTTGGCCCTAGTCTGGGGCCCTCTTTCCCAAGCACCGACAAGGCAACAATGCACCTACAATTTGGTAAAGTAGCTCGCTCCAACGGGTTAGCCAATGGACATCGTCATCTGATAATCCTGCCCTAATTGACCAAGCATGGGATCGGCGTATGCAATGGCCGACAGGGGAAGGAAAGTAACAGGCCGGGTGGAAGTCGATGGTCCAAATCCCGGCGACAATCTTCCTCATGACTCGTCTCATCTACAAGTGCTGGAACAATCGTATTGTGGTCGGTCAATAGGCCACCGTCGCGCGTGACGGGCAATCACAGCCCAATGGGGCTTCATAGTCGGTGCAAGGATGAAATGTGGATAACCCTAGTGCTGGCCCCACCTCGGCAGGAGTGTCGGGGGGTGGAGCCATAAACCATGGAACCGTGTCCAAGTGGAACAATAGCCATTGTGGGTCTTTGACGGCGGGTGGTGGTCGTTGGCGTGTGAATCTCCCTGGAGATACTAAGTGACCCCGCTGTCAAAATTGTGGAAACCAGCATGGCCCCCAATACCTTCGTGCTGATCAATGCCCGTACCGAAATGCAAAGGGGTGCCGGACATAAATTCGTGGTCGCTGCAGTAGGATCAAAAAGACTTGCATCAATCAACCAGTCCATTGACCCTTGTCACTCTCCGGCCGCTTTAGCTCCATTTTCGACACATCAAGATCATCTACCCTACGATTTCCGCCAATCATGAACGTACAGGAGGCACCGATCTTCCCCGTCCTGGAGGGTAAGGTCGCTATCGTGACTGGCGCCGCCCAAGGGATGGGTAAGGCCACCGCCTCGGTATTCGTGCGAGCCGGGGCGAAGGTAGTCATCGCGGACGTCAAGGCGGAAGAGGGCGCGCAGGTCGCAAAGGAGCTTTCTGAGCTCGGGGAGGTTCGCTTTGTGCAGACGGACATCTCCAAGTCTGAGGACGTACAGAGGCTGGTAGCTGAGACCGTCAGCGCGTTCGGGAAACTCGATGTGGCGATCAACAACGCCGCCATGACCCCCGACAAGACAGCCCTCCTCGAGTTTGATGAGGATTACTGGGGTCGGCTGATGGATGTGAATCTCACAGGGACCGCCCTCTGCTGCAAGTACCAGATGCAGCAGATGAAGAAGCAAGGCCATGGTGGTTCCATCGTTAACATTGCTTCTATCAATGCCTACTCCCCACAGCCTAACATGCCTGCGTATACGGCGGCTAAGCATGCGCTGCTGGGGTTGACCAAGCACGCGGCGACGGAGGGTGGCCCCTCTGGCATCCGAGTCAACGCCATTGCCCCTGGGGCTATTTTTGTAAGTGTCCCTGCTACGCCAAGATGGGCTTGGGCTGTAACTAACCGGTAGCAGAGCGAGATGTCTGCCAAAGCGCTGGAGATTATGGGAACAACACATGATGAGTTTGCGCCCAAAGTGAGCAGTCTGAACCGGTTCGGACAGGCCCACGAGGTAGCACATGGGTCATTGTGGTTGGCTTCCCCCGGTTCTTCATACGTAACGGGTATCAGTCTCCCTATTGACGGCGGGTTTCTGTCTAAATGGTAGATTAGGTCATTTGGCTCACGCGGATGTTTTATAATAGCTTTAGTTTCACGGTTAGCAGCATGTTAGCTATTAGCCACTGGGGCCCTTGTGGGTCGTAATCAACCTAGCTTCTACCGCTTGCATGGCACCATGGCCTGGGGTTCCACCCCCATCAGAAGCTAAACCAATGACACCTTGGCGTGAAGATTGCGAGACGTTGATGTAGGGGGCTACGCGTGACCTGATTAAAGGAAGTTGAAGACCCAGCAAGCTCAGCAGTGAGGGCAGCATTATCCTTGTCACACCATCTCCACCTGTAACGACTCAATTCCTACATCACCATGGGCAGCATCGCACCCCGCATCTACGAAGGCAAAGTTGCCATTGTAACGGGCTCAGCCCGAGGTCTGTTCACCATCCATCCCCTGTTCGCAAGTTGTCCCCCCCCGACTGACCTTTCCTTCCCCAGGCATTGGGTCCGCCATCGCCCGTAATCTCGCTAGCAAGGGAAGCAATGTGGTGATCAACTACGCCACTGAAGCCTCAGACGCCCCTGCCGCGGCCCTAGCGGCAGAGCTAAAGCAGGCACATTCGATCCGTGCCCTTCCCCTGCGGGCAGACATCACATCGCGCAGCGAATGCGAGCGTCTTGTTTCCACAACCAAGAAGCACTTCCGCAATCCCCATACCGACGCTTTTCAAATCGACATCCTGATCCACAATGCGGCGATCGTTTACGTCGGGCCTGTTGAGACCGTTGACGAGACAGAGTTCCAGCGCATCTATGAAGTGAACGTTCTCGGCCCCATCTTGCTCACGGGGGCATGCAAGCCCTACCTGCCAACGGATCGCTCCGGGCGTATTGTAATGCTGTCCAGCATCAACTCAAAGGTTGGCACGGCGTACACGACGCTCTACGCTGGAACCAAGGGCGCCGTGGAGGCCATGACGCGGGTCTGGTGTCGCGAGCTTTCTGAGCGAGCTACCGTTAACTCCATCAACCCAGGCCCTGTTATGACGGCTATGTATCTCAACGCGTCGGACGAAATCAAGCAGAGCTTGGCCCTGTGGAACCCGTTGACTCCACTCGTCCCGGTTCGCGAAACAGATAGCCCGGAAGTGAGGGCGCTTGGGGAGAAGTTTGGCGGCAGGGCCGCTTATGCGGAGGAAATTGCGGGTCTGGTGGCCACGATTTGTAACCCCGAGTTTGGCTGGTGTACGGGGAGTATCATTTCTGCAAATGGTGGGCTATCGTTTAGTGTCTGAGCGACGATGTGGGTTTCGAAAATTGAAGCTTCTATAATTTTCGTCCCAATAAACCATTGTATCATGTGGACCATCCAATTCCTAAATGTATACTGGGGTGACTGAGCACACTCCACTAGCGACAGTTTTGACTCGCCTTACTACAGAGAGCGCAGCTGATCGATTAGCATGTCGTCAAGAGGGCTCAACGAATAAGTGGACTTGATAAAGATGATAGACCTGTAGTGGTTGTGTTAAAGTCGCATGACAAACGAAGCAACCCGACGGTCCTCGGGCGATTGATGGTCTGGCGGTATTCTCATCTTGATCTTTCAGGCATCTAGCATTGACAACCTCGAAATGTATTCTTTTCGAAATATTTGTTGTCAATGAGGATGATGTGCAATCAAAATTCCTATTTCAAAGGTATTGACAGTAACCAGTACCACGCTGAACTATTCTACCCCCACTTTAGCGGAAGATATATATCACAAACCGGAAAAAACGAAGCTGACACCACAACGGTTTCCACGTCTTAGGCTTCGACTCAAATTCTCGCATATATGTTTGCACTTTTAAATGTCAAACTTCAGATTTTTTTTTCTCTTACAATCCAATCGAAATTCATCTCATGCATACGCAGCTGGCCTTGCTAATGTGATATGTCAAGTGCCATGGAATAGCAAGGCGGTGATCGACACACGAGGCAGCCCAATAAGAAGCGGTAGAGCACAGTCTCACGGTCAAGTTATCTCTTGAATACTGCAGTAATGTCAAAAGTCCAGTCACTGTGGAACTATTGCCAAATTGGATTGAGCATGACGAGCCTAAGGTGGGAACCTCGGGGTCTGTCGACTATGATATCCAACAAACAGTGTTCCATCATGCTAAGTACAACTAGCGAACGATTTCTACCACTATTGACATGTTACAATTGATAGTCTCTCGCTAAGAGAGCCAGAATCCATCAAATTTCGGTATAGACTAGCTTGAAGCAATCGTGTCGGCGCGGGCCTACTCTGTACGGGATGCTGTTCGTTTCGAGCCTGACGACCTCGCACGGCTTGGAAGGATAGTTACGGGCATGGCCACCGACAACTGCTGAAGACTTTAGTTTAGCCAGTAATACGTCCGATATAGTCAGTGTCAATGATATTGACCATGCTTGAATGCGATCAACTCATGCGCGGAAACAGGGAGTGGTGGAACCAGAGGTCCTTTGAAGTCCGGGGAAACCGCCCCTGATGTGCAAGCTGACCAGCCGAGAATCTCCTGAGCCTGGACCTTGCGTGGTTTAGGTAGGAAATAAAAACACTCCACGATGTGTCTAAGCGCAACGGGCTATAACTGATAACAGGAGGATCATAAGATAAAAGCCAGATAGATTGAAAATCAACCTGATCTTATGCGAAATAGATTCCGTATGTGAAGCTCTATTTTCTACCTTGACGAGTCCTGGTTCACAATCTTTGGGAATCAGAGGGTGTAGGGTCCTGATTTCTGTCTGAGAGCAAGAGGATATATATATACAAGATGAAATTCGAAATCGGTCTTTGATCATTCTTAGTCTTAAAACTACAGTGAAACTATAGAGACACAAAATAAATTGCGTATCCGAGGCTTGATCATTTACCATGTCGAGCTTCGATGCACAACACGTTCGACCCCATCGTTATACGTATTGTTTCAACACAAAGGGGGAAAGAAAGACTCTCAACGGGTAGGAATGAAGCATTATGTATGTCTTGAGATGCAAGTTATCTGTATATCAAATTACTTCATATACATGAGAATGAGTTTCCGAATTGCTGTGGTCGGCGTACCGCTCTGCGAATTGGAATATAACCCACAGCCCACCAGACCGGGACCAGATCCGTATTTCAGGCTAGCTGGGTAACCGGACTTGCGAACGGTGGTGTCAATGAATCCTACTACTGTTGGTCCTACTACTATACCAGATGGTTAATTGTTTCTGGAAATGATTCCGTGGCTATGAATTGATTTAGTTATAATTCAGATAGAGTCAATGATGATTTCTTTCACCAACTCCGGCGCGAGATAGTCGTTGACCCCCACCCCCACCCCCTCCCCCAGAGAGTGGTGTTTCCCAGCTGAATGTCTCCTTACTCTGCTAGGAGCGACTTCAAGACATCAGCAGGCGTCCGCTTTGGAGCAGAAAGCTCCAGGAACTCCTTGCTGCTTGTAGAAGCCGAGCACTTCCCTTCCCACGCTGTTTCAAGGGCTCGCTTGATCGAGTAAATGACGTTCTTGGATTGCTTGGTTGCCGCATATTGGTACTCATACAGCATGTCGATGAAAGAGACGTCTTTGTAACTAACGTCTTTGACGGGAACACCAATGTGTTGCTCAATCATGCCGAGGATCTGCTTTCCAGTGATATCCTCGGGTCCATTTAGAACGTATTTGGCCTTGTTGTGCATGGAAGTATCATCTTGAGACAGGAGATGAGCTGCAAAGATACCAACCTCGTCGGGGTCGATGATCCCGACAGGTGCATCCTCCGACAGCATCAGACGAAGGCGATCCTGCTCCCCGGTCTTGCGGTACTTCTTGATTATTTCCACAGCAGGCGACAAGATAAGCGGCGAGAAGACATTTGGCTGAAGAGATGTCCATTGCAAGTTGTTGAACTCGGGCGAGTCGAGGAGAGCTTCGATGGCCCAGTGCTGCCGTGGATAGTAGGCAGGACAATCCGGGCGCACATTCGCAGCCGTCGTCGAGATCCGCACGACATACTTGACGCCGGCGTTGAGGGCATTGAGATGGAAAGTCGACTCCTCGGCGAACTGGTTAGGCGCATTATGAGATGCAATGAAAGCTCGAGTAACTTGGTGCTCGCGGAGCCAGTCGACGGTAATCTCCACCCAATTTTGCTCGATCACTTCAACGCCGGGTAGTTTGGCAAGCTCCTGTGCCACCGGACTAGTCGAGGAGCGAGTGAGAGCAATGATGCGGTATCCCGACAGCGTGCTGGTTGATTGAAGCAATTTTGGAAGCGTCTGAGTAACCGCTCGGCCGGTGTTGCCGGTGGCACCGACGATTAGGATGGAAGGAGTCATGGTTTCAAGGTATGTAGTTCAAGTTGCGGATTGTTTAGATATGGGGGCCTCTGTTAGATACTATACCCGGCTACTATCTTGATTGATCATGGATAGTATTTAGTTAGTTGGTTAACTAGTTACCAAAGAATGATTGATAAGGTGATCATAGCTCGTGAAGTTCTATGGCAAACTGCCGGCCTCCCGCTAAAGATACCAATGACGTTTACACATGGTTAGATCGTTTCCAATATTCTTTGCTGGTCATTATACGCTACAAAAACTCTACCATATTTTATCATTGAGTCTGCTCTCCAAATACCCTTGCGCAATTTTCTTGATTTGTAGCGCATGAAATCGTGCCCGGGGTTCCCTGTTAGCTTCCAAGTGGTGGGATCCTGGTGGGATACCGGTGGGATGATAGTGGGATACCAGTGGGATTCCGGTGGGATGATGGTGGGATGATGGTGGGATGATGGTGGGATGATGGTGGGATAATGGTGGGATGCCGGTGGGACATGGTGGGATCCCGGTGGGATAATAGTGGGATCCCGGTGGGATGATAGTGGGATGCCGGTGGGATGCCGGTGGGAGGGCAAAGAAGCCTCTTGGCAGCCCGAACACCCACGTAAGCTCAGCGAAGCCCACTCTTACAACCACTATACAGTTCCATTTCTAGGCCACTCTTGTATGGCCGCTAGGACGCGCCCTGCCAATGGAAGGCCTTGCCAGCGAGGCCGAGTTCGTCCAGAGACCTACAGACCCACCCACATCCGACGCGTTTCGGTGTCAATTTCCTGGCTGCAACGCTAGATACCGACATAAGGAGCATCTGAACCGCCACGAAAGGTCGAAACACATCGCGCAGCAGGCTTTTATTTGTTCGGAATGTGGTCGCGAATTCCAACGAAGGTATCTACATGTTGATACCCTCTTACAGCACCAATCAACCCTAACGGTAGAATATGAAAATTAGTGATACTCTTCGCCGTCACATACGAAAGCAGCACAAAACAACAGAGCTTCTAACTCCCGCACGCCGAGCCTGTGCGGGCTGCCATACAGGCAAGACTCGATGTGAAGGGGGCGTACCATGCGAGGAATGCGTTCGTCGCAAGATTCAGTGTTCTTCCCGGGACCATGCTTGTATTGAAGAGGAGCAACAAACCCGATCATCAACCCCACCTTCACCATCTCTTAGCCATGTACAGTCAGAGTCATATCACCCGGATAGGAGAAAGCAGTGGATTGATCGTTATTTTGAGACATTCCATCCGTGTTGGCCTTTCATCCATAGAGGCTCATTCAATATGCGCCACGAAACCCCGTTACTTCTACAATCAATGACAGCCATTGGCATGTGGACATCAAGGGAGCAGTCTGCACAGTCTGCAGCAGTGGAGCTCCATGATAAACTTGACGTTGCTATTCGAGATCAAAGAGTATGTCAGACCACCCACATTATGATGTATCTGGTTACTAACGTGGAAATTTTAGGACAAATGGGATGCTACAGAGGTAGAGTCCGCGTGTAGCGCCTGCTTCTGGCCAATAGCCACATACCAGGCCATCTTACTACACATTATCTTCTCTGTTATCATAAAGGCTGGCGAAGTGATTCCCCTCGACTTGAAGACACCTATCTCCGCTTCCGATTTAACATTACTCGATTCACTTGTTGCCAGCTGCCGAAGACTAGGAATGTTCTATTACCCGAACATGCTCGCCAAGTATACGGAAGCTGACCTGCCCTCGTTTGTCTGGGTGGGCATTGAGGAAGTGAAACGATTTAACATAGCTCTTTATAAGCTTTCTCGGAGATTGTGCAGCTCTACTTTGGAGAACATGCCTCTGCTGCATGCAGATGAACTCCAATTTCCTCTGCCGGTCAATGAGCCCCTGTGGAATTCTGTCAAACGAGACGAATGGGAAGCTAATACGAAAGAGGAGAATACGGTCTCCCTAAAAGATGATTGTCAGGCGAAGTGGATTTCAAGATTTGCTGATATATTACAGCCGTTGTTGTAGCAGGCTTCATACATTTAGCTCTCGCCGCCCGTTGGATTTCAGATCAGATGATACAATGTGATATATCCGATCGGCCCTGCATAGGACTGGCAGGCAACCCGGGGGTAGCCTATCTATGAAGTCTCATATAGCACGTCACATAGGCTATATACATAGACAAAGTAGATGACCACAAGTGCCTCCCATTCACGAATTCCTTTACCAAAACTTCCCCTAATCCTCCTATGTTCCAGCCCCCATTACCCTGAAACCCGACGCAAATACCCCAATTCAGGCCTTGGTCGTATCACAGCAGCACTTCTGGGCGAACTTACTGCAGCCGTCGCCCGTCATATGAGAGAACTTGTAAGGGTCGCAGTACTGCTCGCATTTGCCAGCCCAGAACTTGCTGCACGAGCTCGGTTTGTGGCAAGTGCCAGATCGCGCGGCGAGGTTGCCGTCGAGGTTTGCTGCGGGGTTGGCGAGCACGCTGGCCGCAGCGGTAGCGAGGACGATGAGGAAGTTGGTCTTCATTGTGGGTTGTAGTGGGGTGAAGAGGGATGTGGATTATAGTTTGTGTTTGTGTTGGTTTTGGCCTTGAGTGCTTCGTGACTGCGCAAAGGAGGCGATCTGCTTTGGCTTTTGTACCTCACTGTGCTTTGACCTCTAACTTGAACATACATGGGTGTTAAACTTTTTTGACAACGTCGCTCGTATTCAGTGGGACGAGGTAAGATGAGGATCAACGATATGCCCGTCCCAGTGGTGAATATATCGATATCGCGTTCCCGCTTCTAGATGTATACTATGTTGATCAAATTATCCGAACAAAGACTGATTCGGTACCGAAGAATCTATCAATTCACTAGCCCGGATATCTTTTCCAGAAGGAGCAAAGCGACTGTTGGGGGCCAAACTACGATGTCTTAGTTCAATGGATACGAGGTCCAATTTGACGATCACTTCGTATTCACCACTCTGTCTTGTTGTATTTCTTCTTGATTCTAATGAGCGTTCGGAGTAGTCCCGGCTACTCTATGCATTTATTTTCTCAGAATAACAGACTGGGTTAGCCCCAGATCAACTTCTCAATCACACTGTCCTGAGTAAACTCCGCATCGTTATCGTCCAACTTCTCGTTCCCCTCCCGATACCTCCATCTTTGCCCCATGACCTCCTTGAAAGACCTCACATCAACATTTCCCTCCTTGATATATTCCGAGAAGGGCCAGACAGCCTGAACACCCTCAAGGGGCCTCAACTTAGCATCAAGATCCGGCGCAACAAACAAGACAGCGCTGAGCCGACGGACCCCCGGGGTCCGGCGAACGCGGTGTCTGGCAGCACGGATACGCCCCCCGCTCAAAACAACAGCGCACCACCCCGTCAGAAAGACCGTGGCGTCTCCGGGGACAGGGTGCCATGTGCCCGGGGCGTCGGCATCTTCGAGCTCAAGACCCGCTGTGCCATCCTGGAAGATAATGCTGAAGGTTCCATAATCAGTGTGGGCACCACAGCCGTTGGAGCACTCTGGGTCCGCTGTATCCGGATTGTAGTCGCACAGACGGAAATTCAGGTTACCGTCTTGGTGGGCGGCAGCAAGATCGGTACCGGCAACAAGGCCGAGGCAGGAGAGGATGGAGGGAACGTAGTCGGCGCGGAGGGTGTTGAAGAAGGTGAGAATGGAGTCTAGACCGTGGGTGGCTATACTTTCGTGGAGGGGAGGGGGAATAAGAGAGGCACGATTGGACGATAGATCGATGGTGAATTTCTGATCCGAGGACTTGTTGTGACGGGCTGCTGTCTTGAAGACGCCCCGGTGGGGATAAGTTGCGTTGAGCATCGTGGCATCTTCCGGGTGAGAGCGCAGATAGTCGAAGAGGCTGTGGATGGCAAGGAATGGTGCCTGGGCGTCTAGCTTGATGGATAAAGCGGGGGAGTTGGGGGGCAGACGGGAGATGGTGTCGACAGGCGACTGTTAGTGTACGACCTGGGGATTTTCCAGGCTCGTCAAGGCATGCTTCGGGGCAACGTTGGCGGTGGCCATGACTGCACTGTAGTTTGATGAAGATGGACGGAGGGTGAAGAAGAGGATCCGATCAGGTACAATGAGCAGAGTTCAACCATGGAGATGGTATATGCCAGTGACGTCATAGAGTTAGAGCCCACCACTCACATAATAGGTAGGTACCAATTCATCAACCAATGAAATACCTGTACTATTGTTTTATATATGATGTCTTCCTTCAAATATCTAATGAAGATTATCAATTGATCACTATTTCAGGTCACCATGATTTGGACATAATTACCATTCTATATTTACTTCTCTCATATATGTTCCATAGAACCAATCAAGCCCTAGTAAGAAAGTACTCAATAAGAGTTTACTTTACCGCAGATCGCGCAAGCACCTGATCAATTAGCCTCCTGATAGCCTCCACATTGCTGACCATCTCTCTTGCCCTCTCAAGCAAAGCCCGACTATAGCAATCTTAAAGGCTTGTACAGCACGGTCCGTGACAAGGCTAGGGGCATCAAAAGCAGGGCCATTATCAGCCTTTGCACATGCCAGCCTTGATGACGCCAAAATTTGGTGGAGAAGGTCATCTGAAGGTTCCCGACTATGACAGTATCTTGCTCGAGATAAGTGGAAATGGGTCTTTCAACGAACGTCGCGAAATTTAACCGCATCTCGTCCATATGGATGGTATCTGTATTTGATCTGCCTTCCAACCGTGTATCTCCGGACCCCGTTTCTCCATTCAGGATCTCGACATGTTGCACCCGTACGGCAGGGAAGGGGAAACTCTCAGCCGCTGAACCAGAATACCAAATGATCATACTGTTCGGGCTTGATATGACTGATATCCCAACAGAAGTTCCTAGATGGAACTGCGTCAACCATTCTACCGAGCCGCCAAACGTCAAAAGTGGCTTTTTTTTTGTCGACTGAGACCATTATGCATGTTTTGACGGTCGTTCCGGGGGTTTCTAATCATTCTCTCGTATCAATCGCCAGCCGCGGCGTATATTCTAATGCCCAGACTTAGAGGACGACAGTCAAATCGTCGGTGGAATAAGGCGCCCAGCGGGCATCTAGCTCGTTTGCTAGCGACCCACAACAGTCATGGATGACGCCCGTAAAAGAATTCATCAAAAAACACCCATTGCGAATAATTGTTATCAAGTATAGATTTGAAACAATCCCGTGAGCGTCTCATGAGCAAATCAGGGCATCTTGATCGTCCATAGTTCGGTCAGAGAACTATATTAGACCTTTGCCTACACCAGGGGTTTATTACGACCTGGCAAAAGCAATTGAAATTTCTTTGCACTGACGCCCTAAAACTCCAGAACTGCACAGCCGGTATATTAATAGGTAGTTTTTGGGGCGGGGGGGGGGGGGGGGGGCAAGGAAACTTACATACCCGTCATGACCCTCTGATCCGCTGGGGTGCGGGAACCTGGTACTACTACCCTGAATGAACTCCAGGAGTAGAGCTAGTGACTACCGCATGTCAGCACATGCCTGCCGCATCCCTACATGAAACTCACCGAAAAGGGGACATCAACATGCCGAGAAAACGGCGAAAAGCCGAGCGTCGGGGCGTCTCGGGGTCCTGCGCGGGGCCCGGTAGAGGGAGTCCACCTGCCGCAAGGCAGCATGGTTCTCATCCACGGGTGCGCTGGCCACGTGGGAACTTGTAGAGCCCTCTTTCTCTTGTTCTTCCTTCCATAAGATCGATATGGGGGATAAAGAGAATTACAAGTCCGGGTATCTTGATGTCATCAAAAGAGAAGTTTGAGATGAAGATGCCATCGTGTTGGGTAAGGCTGCGGGGAGGCTTCCTTCGCTGAAAGGTCCATCGCGAGAAGGTGCACCTTTCCCCCGCGATGATCTCTTAGATGGAGATGACGGTCCGAATGCAACAAGTCTTGCAAGTGATATGCGTAGAGATACGGAATGAAAATTAGTTAAAACGATGATAGATCATGATATTTGGCCCTACGAAAAAGGATCCTGAAGGTTGCAAGATTCATACAAATACAAATGGTCCAATGTGTGGGAAAAGGACTAGAAACACTACAGGTCAGCTAACCCATTGCAATCACTCCGAACTATACACTGACCACTTGGTGTTGAAGAGTGATGGTTTGTTGTCAGGGAGTGACAGAAGGAAACTTGTCTCCGGTGATTGGAGGCAATTTGGAGCTTCTTCTACGAGCTCGGACGTCAAGAGCGCGTACTGTTATTCTGTATGGGTCGCTCAACGTAGAGTGTTAAATAGGGTAAACGTCATACATACTAATCCAACTCAAGGACGGATCCGGTTTCTTCATTCTCCCAATTATCCTTCCTCTCAATCCCAAACTCGCCCTTGAGATCCTAGCGCAGCTCTACTTGCACCTCAAACAGGACCAGAAGGACTCCCACGCCGGCCAACGCGATTCCCACTTGCCATGTCCGCTTCAAGACATCGGTGAATGCTGCCATTACCTGGTTCCGTAACTCCTGTCGGCAGTGACAGCATAAAAGCCTGCGTCGCATGCTCGTACGTCCGGACCAAGAGAGATGCGCATTGCATAGTGAGAAAATAGCTCATGATCACCCATATGTATTTCTCTCTACCACCTAGCTCAGCTGTGATATGCGCGAGTGCTGTCGAGACGACGGTGGACTCCATTGCCGTCAGTAGGCCCGAAACGCTCAGAGCCGCCATAATGAGCCAGAATTTCAGACCACGCTGCTGCGAGAGAGGCATGGCGAGCTTCTCGACATGGTCGTCCTTGCTAGCGGACTCGTTGCGCAATGATTGCGAAGAGACATTGGAGTATTTGCAGCACCAATTGAGACCAGGGGAGTTGAGGAAAGAAATGGAGAAAGGGCAAAGAGATTGAAATTATAGGGGGGATTTATTATTGTGAAAGAATGTACAAGATGATGGAACTGACTTATAATAGTGGAAGGGTGATCTAGTCGGCCGAAGCTCAATTAGGGCTAATGAACGTCACCGAACGTCGCCGGATCACCGAACGCAGTTCGCCAAACGTCCTCAGCATGTCCAGTCTATTACACTCCAAATCACCAAAAAATGGGCTTACTTCCAAAAAAGGTGGTTAGTCTTCAGCATAGAGCTCAACAGAGTACATTGCTGGGAAACCAGTACATTTACAAACTGGAACCCCGATTCGTCTGTGCCCTCTGCACGGCCATCTGCCGATCCAAAAAGTCCACCACTCTTGGAACCATCGTATCCCACGTACCCACCTTGGCCGTAAACTCCCATCGCCGGGTGACTCAGAAATCCAAATTATCTTTTGTGTCTCCGTTCACTATGGGCAGCGTACTGCGTGCCGGATTGGCGTAGATGGTATCTGGGACATCCGTCACGAAAGCCGGACAACGGATTCCACCCAGCCGATCCCGGTCATCACCATCGTCCAGTGTAAAGCGCTGAGAAGCACTCAGGGTATAACCGGGTGTGCTAACCTCCCCAATCGACATACAGAGGCGGAGTTCCTAAGCCGTCGCAAAATCCATGCGCATATGGCTCCAACACGACCAGTCAAAGAAGGCCTCGGGTAGCCAGCCCAGCCGTTTATCCACAGCCTGAAATACCATCCCGGCATGCGCGTCGCGGATAGGTTCCAGACCCCACCGTCTCACCCAAGTGCAAGTCGAGCGCTCCCTAGCCCAAGTCGTACGGTGATATCTACTACGGCGATGACAACTGCCCGTACGACAGTGACTCGCAGCAGATTCGGGACTCGAACGGCAGGGCCCAGTGCTGCGCTGAGAGCGAGGGCCTTGACGGGGTTCAAATCCTTATGTTGCTGGGGCGGAGCGCCAGAGTTCTTAGACTCGTGAATTGGAGTCCGAGGGGGGAAGTGAGGGTAGATGTCTTTGGTGGATGATTGCGCATTTTTTCGCTCTTTTTCTTTTTTTATGCTGTGAAGCTGTTCCGAGTATACGTAAATATATATATGGAGTTCTGGTATATAACAGCATAATTTAGAAAGACAAATTGCGTTAATCATTTGCTTTAATTGACTGCATCACAGTATATAGACGGCCGGGAATGGGCTCGAGGACTCGGTTCTGAACTTTTCACCTGCTCATTATACTACACTACACATCTGGAGTATAAATAATTCACTATGCGTCTCAAGCTGGACGCTTTCCACTAGAAGACCTAACCCAGTTGTCCATTTTAAATCTAGAACGCGACTTTGTTCAACAACCCACGTATACAACTAGCGTACCGGTATGTGTTAAATGTCTATCTATCTATTCTTAGTAACTGGAAGCTAGACCTAAGAAGCAACTGAGACACATAGCCTAGGGTTGTGTCCTCCACTACTCACCACAATAGATGGAGATAAACCCCTTATGGTAAGTTTGTAATGGAGAATGTGTCGTTGTATAGATAATTGGGTAGGATACTACCAAGGTGCGATCGATATTTACTTTATACATTGATTCAGATATATGTAGCTGCATTGAGGATTCTTTCTCCCTACGATAGTAGGGTTGTTTGGATATGGTTGGGATTGGGTGTATATTTGCAAACAGTCGAATTATCCAAGTGTGGTACTGGTGCTGTGTATCCGTTTTATGCAAGAAGTATTCATGACATGACAATGCGCAACTTGTGGGTGTAGCAGGAAGGAGCGTTGGGCATGATCTTGCCATTGCAATTGACAATACTGCACCTTCCCCATAGCTTTCAGTCCAACAAGAGGTGTTTATACCGACGGGTGACTATCTCCAAGACACTGTCTGTCCACATCAACACCATAGCACCAGAGCAGCAGAGCACCAGAGCATAGTCTATCTCATAATCACACACAACCATAACCAGAATCCCGTCTTCAGTAATTACCAAAGTAAGCCCCTCCCTCCCCCATCAGACCTTCTACTAATCCTCATAGATGCATTCCATCAACCTCACCATCCTCTTCTTCCTCCTTTCCCTCCTCCACCTCGCCCACGGCAACCAAACCAAGCTCTTCACCCGAGGCCCCGCCTTCACCAACTACCCCAAGCCCACCTTCAACATCACCAGCCCAGACCTAGGCAAATCCGGCTCCCCCATCCCCATCGACTACTCCGCCGACGGCGCCGGCCTCTTTCCCTCTCTAAGCTGGCGCGCCCCCGCCACCCCAATCGAAGAATACGTCCTCATCAGCGAAGACCCCGACGCACCGCTGGCGGAACCCGTCGTACACGGCATCTACTTCGGCATCCCGCCCGTCTTCACGGGCGTCAACCACGCCGACTTTTTCGTGGACGAGTCGAAGCACGACGCGTTCCGGCTGACGGGCGGGTTCAAGTACGGCGAGAACCGCGGCGAGGGGGTGTATCTGGCGCCGGCGCCGCTGCCGGGCCATGGACGGCATCGGTACTTCTTTCAGCTGGTGGCGCTTAGTGGGAGGGTGGATCAGCGGTTGTTGAGCGATTTGGCGACGAGGGAGGAGATTGTGAGGGGGGTGGAGGGAAGGTTGTTGGTTGGGGGAGTGGGTGGGGGTTATGGAGAGGGAGTGACATTCATTGACTCTTTTTTTACTATGTGGTATGAGGGGTGTTTTACTCTGTACGGAATACTATGGGTGTTGTTGGTTAACCTGGTGTTATTCTGGGTGTATATGTTATTGTCTAGGTTTAGGACTATTCTGTTAGTTTGGTGGTGTATCCGCTATGTGTCTTGAATCAACGGCGGATAAGTGGCTGTGGATATCCACTGGTCGTATTCTGCTACGCCATAAATAGAATGTCTCACTCAGTAGTAGAGAATTGGTGAGTATAGAGTATGAGTATGAGTATGAGTATGAGTATTGAGGGTAATCCAGACAGAGAATTTATCAACAAAGACGTGAGGAATGTATGAAAAGAAAGAATGACAACCCTTCCTATACTGTCGCTACGTAATAACGGCTCCTATTGTGGCTAGTTGGTAGTAACCTGGTAACCTGGTAGTACCTAGTAGTAAACTAGTGTAGTAGAACTAGGACGGAACTAGTCCGGTCGATCCACGGAACGCCATCCAACCTATCAGAAAAGCAGCCGAGGTCGATCCAGCTCGATCCATGAAAAGGACCGAAAGGAACCGTCGAGATGGCCGAATGCGGAGACTTCGGATGATCGGGTTGTATGTTGATTCCTTGTTTTTTTCTTGTTTTTTCTTGTTTTTTTTTTTTTTTTGGTTGTTGTTCCCCTGAATGGTTGTGTTCCTGGAATTTACTAAAGGGTACCTAGGTAAACAAGGAGGTGGAATCAATGTAGAGAATTGGGGGATGATTATTGTTATTATTGGGGGATATGGAATGTTGAAACAATAATCATCAATAGATTATAACCTATCAAGTGGAACAGTAACCCAACGATGCAGCCGTGAAGGTGACAACAGTTTCAGGCAAGCCATGGCTGCCTCCCAGGAAAGTCACAGCTGGATCCAAACAGGCCCGAACTAGTGGGTGGATCGCCCTCTCACTAGTCAGGATTCCATCATCATATCGTTCTTCCCAGACCAGGATTCTTTCACTTGGCTTTTTCCCTAATTTTTGTTAGGCTCTTCCTTCTTCCTGGTTTGTCGTCTAATTTTATCCCGGTTGATCGGCTTCTTCTTCCTTCCATTGGATCTGATTTGGGTGTGACGAGTATCTTCTCGGTGGATCGGTCGAGCTACGATCGCTCCGATCGTCCAGTAGCTTCTGCCCAGGCAACAAATCCTCCTTCTTTCTTCTTGCTTATTTCTTCTTTCTTCTTTCCTCCTTCCTCTTTCCTACTTTTCTGCACTTACTACCTCTCTTTCCCTGCGCCTCTTTGTTCGTTAGCTTTGTGGCTCAACGGTCAAACTCAACTCTCACACTCAACTCCTCCACCTCGCTGCCTCTTCTTCTTCCCAACTCATCTCCATCACATTAACATCACTCATCTGCATCATACTCAAACTATCATCATGAAGTCTCTTTTCAACCTTCTGGTTCTCTCGCTGGTCGCGACCTCGACCGTGGCCGCCCCCGCCCAGTCGTCCAACGACCTCACCGACCAGGTCGCTGCCCACTCGGTCGACGAGAAAAATGCCGAAAAGGCCGCCCGTCTGTTTGAAAGATTCCGCGATGCCGCCCGCCGCATGGGCGATGACAAGACCAAGTCCCCGCGGGAGGATACCTCGCTCGAAGCCCACATGAACCTCAAGCGCGACGGGGCCAACAGCTCCGCTGCCCCGGCCACAGAGCCCAGTTCCGCCTCCCAGGGCACGGCCACGACCGGTGCCGAACCGACGACCAGCTCGACCGTCGAGAGTGAACCCACCACCTCTGACGCTCCGCCCCCGCCCTCCTCCACCCAGGAGTCGTCCAAGGAGCCAGCCCCAACCCACGACTCAACCACCACCCACGACTCGACCACGGCCCAGGATTCCACCACGGCCCAGGATCCCACCACTTCGAGCAGCAGCTCCAGCTCTGAAAACGCGCCGGCCTCCACCACCGCTCACCACTCCACCACCGCCGACACCACCAAGACCACCAAGACCTCCCACTCCAACGGTCCCTCCACCGCGGCTCCCACCACCACCTCGGAGTCTACCTCGGAGACTACCTCCTCCTCCGAGGAAACCCCCTACACCTCCACCTTCAAGAGCACCACCACCCTGCCCAACGGCGAGCAGACCACCGTCACCGCCGTCACCGTCGTCCATCCCACCCAGAACCGCGCCGCGGCCACCACTGGCCCGGCACCTGGCTTGCAGACGGGCGATTCGGCAGCTGGGCGGGTGGATTTCCATCCTGAGCTGTTTTTGATGGGTGCTGCTGCGGTGGCCATGGTGTTGTAATTGAATATTTTTCCTTTCTCTTTACTTCTTTGACTTGATGGAGTTCCCTGGTCTCTGGTTTATTCGCATAAGGCGGTTTTATGTTCTTACGGTCCTTACGCATAGCATCTGCGGTGTCACTCTCTGATCGGCGATTGTTTTCTGTCTTTATCGGCTTTTAAAAGCGTGGGTATTATAATCTGAATACATATTTATCAGCAGATTTACCTATTGTAATGTATAATAGTCTGAATTGACCTTGCGTGTATAAAAGACATACACACATATTGCACGTAGAAACATCGCATGTATGGACATTGCAGTAAGCACTGCAGGGTATGTATAAGATAAAAATATAAACAGTCATAAATATCAACAGCCAGGATCACCCACCACCACATCATCAACCCCTCTCACCCCCTCCCAAAAACCAAAGCATACAATATGCCATAATAAGATAACCCAGAAAACAAACAATCCCAAAAGATAGATCACGAAACCCACCTCTCCTCCCCAGTCCAATACCTCACAATACTCTCCCACCCAGCCACATCCCCATCCCTCAACAGCGCCGCAACGTCCACGTTGAGCGGCGAATCCGGCCGCGGGTCCGTCAGCAGGTGTTGGATTGCCGAGAGTGTCGTGGATAGCGTGTAGACGGGACTCCAGTGCTCCGTTGTGAGCAGCGTGAGGCAGATCTCGCCCGTCGTGAAGGAGATGTTCGGGTGGGAGATGCGCGTTACGAATGTTATCTTTGGTGGGGAGAGGGGGTAGTTGGGGGGGAGGGTGATGCGGAGTTGCCAGAGGCCGCCTGTGGATTTGGTTTCAATTTGTTAGTGGATGGGTTGGATACTAGGTTGGGGGGGGAGGATGAGGGGATGAGGCCGGGGGGGGGAGAGGAAGAGGAGGGCATACCTTCATATGGCGTCCCAGGTACACCCTTTAAGACAGCCTCCCAGTGTAAAAGGTCGTCGTCGTTGGTTGGGCCCAGGTGGAGGAGTGCGGAGTTGGGATTGTTGGTGTAGTCTTTTAGCTCGCGGAGGAGGCGTTGGGTTGTGGAGTGGGGGATGGCCATTCTTTCTTTTCTCTTTCTCTTTAATCTTTATATTGTCGATTTTAGACTTCCGGGTGGGTGGTGGTGAGGTGAGGTTGAACAGAGAGAGAGATGAGATGAGATGAGATGAGAGAGATGAGATGGAGTGTAGATAAATGAGAGGCTGGAAGATGAAGGTGGAAGTGTCGCGAAATCCGACCGAGGCTCATTGTTGTGGGTCCGTCTCTGTGTCGGTCTGGGGTATCCGACTCGACTCCGACTCCGACTTCCGTCCGCAAATTCGTCGATCTGCGCTACGATAAGTTGTTCATGTGAAACCAACCATTGCTGCTTTTATTTGATATTACATTGTTTGAATACTACCTCACGGTATATGTCAATATGCGCACGTCTCGTACTTCCCAAGACACCGCCAAACTGGTGCAGGCTCTGTCGCCCCCTGCCCGGACTCGCAGCGCCTTACGCAGCTTTGCACTCGGTGCGCCTGTTCCTGCAGGACGATTTGACCACGCTTTGAGTGACGATGAGTCATCGCTTTCGTCGGTCAATACTGTTGATATTGAAGATATTGTGGAACCGCCGGCTAAGAAGCGAAAAGCCGCGGTGGACTCGGCCGCGAAGGCTGCCAAGGTGGTGACTGCGGGTGATGGGCAGGGTCGTCTGAGTCGTCGAAGTACCCGGACTGTCGTCAAGAGTGAACCGGACGAAGCGAAGTCGCAGCAAATTGGTAGGACTACCATCAAGGATGAACCGGAAACGAAGGTCCAGAAAGCCCGTCGCACTCCAGCCCGCAAACTCAAGTCGCCCGATGGCTCCTATCATATGGAACCTCCTTCCAACTGGGAGACCATCTATTCCACCGTCAAGAAGATGAGGGAGGAGAATCCCACTGCCCCGGTCGACACCATGGGCTGCGCCGAGCTGTACTGGCGGGCGTCGTCCCCTCGAGACCGCCGATATCACATCTTGACTGCTTTGATGCTTTCCTCCCAGACTAAAGACACCGTCACGGCTGTCGCTATGCATCGGTTGCACACTGAGCTTGGCCAAGATTCAGCGGAAGTGACCGTCAAGTCCGAAGATTCAGACGAAGTGAAAGTCAAGTCCGAATACCCGGACGAACTAGCAGTCAAGCCCGAAGACAGCAAAGACAGCAAAGACAGCACTCTCAACCTAAAGAACATCCTCGCTGTCCCTCCCGAGCGGCTCAACCAGCTCATCGGGACCGTCGGCTTCCACAATAACAAAACCAAGTATATCAAAGCCACCGCCCTCATCCTCCGCGACCAGCACAATTCCGACATCCCGTCCACCCCAGAAGGCCTGATGAAGCTGCCCGGCGTCGGCCCGAAAATGGCCTATCTCTGCATGAGCGCCGCCTGGGGCAAGCACCTGGGTATCGGCGTCGATGTCCACGTCCACCGCATCACGAACCTCTGGGGATGGCACAAGACTAAGAACCCCGAAGAAACGCGTATGGCGCTGGAGTCGTGGCTCCCTCATGACAAGTGGCATGAAATCAACAAATTGTTGGTGGGTTTGGGGCAAACGGTTTGCTTGCCGGTTGGTCGCCGTTGTGGCGAGTGTGATCTGGCAGGGACTAAGCTGTGCAAGAGTGAAGTCAAAGGGCCAGTGACAAAGGGGAAGAAGACAAGAGTGAAGACGGATGATGAAGCTACCATCACTGTCAAAATTGAGGGGGAAACGTGATCGGACACCCCAGGCACTCGCACGCCCAAACAGGAAGTCTGTTATCCCCGTGCACACTCCTCCACACTCCTTTAAAATGACTTCACCTTCATCCATCTTCCATCCATCCTACATTCGCTTTCTGCATCTCCATCGGGTCTTGTCTCTGTCCATCATTTATCAGCCTGTATGTAGGGTCCCTTCAACTATACCATCATCTAGCACGCGTCCTCAACCTGCAGTCACACCTCTGGTAATTCAGTCACCTGTATTCACTCAAGACGTCTTCCCCATTTGGACACACACTGACACGTCTACGTGTCAACAAGCACAGCTCCCCTACTGGCATCTCGTATGGACACCGATAGCGAGGAAGAGGCCGACCTTGCCGCCTTCCTCCATCTCGAAGACCTTCGACGAGAGAAAGAAGACCCTAACTGGGGAAGCATGCCGGCTCGCTCACGCCCCAAGCCTCGCCCTGTCCCCCTGGGTCCAGCAGCAGAGGCGCCCGTATCGACAAACGCGTCCGGCAGCGTGGTCCGCCCGGAGACTACCCGCATAACCTTCCTAGACCTACCCGAGCACGTCCAGATCCGTATCTTCCGATACGCCTGGCTGCTGCGGCCCTGTCTCCTCGATCTGCGGTATGAAAAGCATAGAACCGTCTGTCAGACTGGCAACATCCAGTGTAACCGATTCCATGGATTTCTGCCCCCCGGCCGGATGCCCTGGCTGATAGTGAGGCACATTGATTGCCGCCACCCCAGGCTACCTACCCAGCTGTTCGCGGTGTCCCGTGCCATGCGAGAGCAAGCTGGTGCCATCTTTTTCAGAAGGAACCGGTTCAACATCAAGCTTGACACCGTAGCCCAGTTCCGTCTCTTCCGTTCTGCAATGGAATGGGGTGTCCATCACATTCGCAGTCTGCATGTCGACATGGGCCCGGCCTACAACCGGTACCTGGGGCTGGGGATTGGAATACATAGTCGGGTGATGAAGACCTGGACGAAATTCTGCCGAGCGGCCGCGGAAGGCATGCCTAGCCTTCGACTCTTCAGCCTCAAGTGCAGGGTCCGAGAGTTCGAGGTCGCCTGCAAGATGATGGTCGCGATGGATCCGTTTCCGCTCCTGTTCAATTGCGCGATCCACATGATGACTTCGGTCGATGACGATATTCGCCGTGTTATCAAGAGAGCCGCCTGGAGAGTGACCGGCAACTTGCCTGACAACATGCCTGTCTTCCCATATTTGCGTCTCCCTAAGGAAATCCAGCTGATGGTCCTAGAGAACTTGCTCACCGATCGCTCGGATCCCTATCTAGCGGTCGCCGACAGCGAAGACGGCATCGTTACCTTCCAGGACCGTCGCAACGACCGCCGTATTGTCTTCCCGTTGACCTGCTGCGAGAACTGCTCCCCCGTCGGGGCCATGTGCTTTTGCCACTCGCGTCAGACGTCTTTCTCCACAAGCTGCACATGCTTCTCCTCGCCGCTGCCGTATTTTCTGGTCAGTCGGGGCTTCTACGAGGACGCTCGCCGGATATTTTTCAGCAAGAATCACTTCGCCTTTCTGGAGGAGGACCCGGAGTTCATGATGCGCCTTTGGCATTACATTCCCACGCCGTCCTTCATGCACATCCGACAGCTGTCGTTTAAATTCCCACTCAGCTACCGGATGCCATACCGACCGGGCAAGCTCGTGGACCATTCCACTCTGCTGCCCTGGCTGATTCTGCTCCGTTTCATCCGCGAACACTTTGACCTGCCGCGTCTGTCGCTCACTATTGTCGACCTGGGCACCAAGAACGCCTTTGCAGGCAACACAACCGAATACCGCATCAAGTTCATGCGCAAGCTGCTCAAGTCGTTTGTAGAGCTGCGAGGACTGCGCGACTTTCGCGTTTACCTCGCCGACGATCGCATGTACGAGCATATCGCGGAGGGAGCCGTCCTCGGTCGTAGGAGCAGATTCCGACACGATTTTCCTTTCGTGGTTTGACTTTCTTGACTTTTTCTATTTTTTCTAACCCCCCCTGCCCCTTATTTGTTTCCCACGTTCATCAACGATTGGTGATATCTCATGGAATCTTACAGCTGTTCCTGTCATTTGTTTTTATTTTCTTCCGTCCATACCGTGTTTGACCTTGCTCTTGGAGAGTTACTGCTTGGCTTGGTCACAGGATGGTTCTAACTATGTGTTAGTATGCTGCTTAGTACTGGGACGGCGCTGTTTTTACAATTACTCTCCACTGTAGTTAGCCAATACAAATCTCCGTAAATGAATATTCTATCAGATGTCAGTTCCTGTATGATATGCTATAAGTATAACTGTAGACGAGATATAGGGGATATAACAGATATTAAGATAGATGATATGAAAAAACCTCATAGAGGCAGGTATCATTAGGTATCATTAGCCATCATATAACCAAATGCAGCATGCCACAAAGATGTTTAACAAAGAAACCAGAAAAACAAATCCCAAGACCATAATAATAATAGTCTTCCATGCACACACACACACACAGTGCACATTAAACCAAACCAGCAACCATCATCCCAAGAGCAACAACAGTCGACCAAACACCCCCTCCCTCAACAGCGACAACAGCCGCTCCACTCTCCTTATCCCCATCCTTATCACCCCCACCATCCCCGCCCTTCTCCCCCCTCCCATCCTTCTTCTTCCGCCCCTCCTCATCCTTCCCCCTCCGAACCCGCTCATCAGCAGGCGGACTCACGCTCGACCTCCCCCCACCAAAGATATTAAAATCGTGCGGGCCCTCCTTCTCCCAGAGATAGCCCAGCGCGCAGTCCGCGAACATAACCTTCGGCTGCGACGCGTAGAACTTGTCGAAGCGGGCGTCGAGCGCCGCGGAGAGGCCCTTCACTGCGCCGCCTGGGTGCAGCTGCTGCCAGGGGTGGCGGCAGGAGTCGCCGTTGCAGGATTTTAGCACCAGGGTGAGGGCGTTGAGGCGGTGCATGGCTTGTTCGAGGGGGCGGGAGAGGAATTTGTGTTGGTCGGGTTTTGCGCCCAGGTTTTGGGTTTGGAGGGGGTCGGCCTGGGGAGGGTTTGTTAGCTTTGCTTTCTCTTGCTTTTTTGAAAAGGAAAGGAGGAAGGAAGGGGAGGGTACCTTTAGGTCGTAGAATTCTACGTCTCCCGTACACCATACGGAGTAGTAGAGGCTGTAGTCGTCGGAGAGGAGGCGCACTGCTTTGTAGGTGTTGTCGCGGTAGGAGTTTCCGGCTCGGGAGGATTCGTTGCTCATCCAGCCGTAGATTCCTTCGGGGACGGCCTGTCACAATTAGTATTATTCACGGGGATTTATCGGGTGTGTAGGTGATAGATGTGGTGATAGAGGTGGTGGTAAAGCAAGTAGATAATGAAGAGGAATGAAAAAGGATACGTACCGTCCCCCAGTACTCAACAGCAACGTGCTCATTCTTATCAGCAGCCTTGCTGGCCTTCACCGTCGTCGGGATCGCACTCCCATCCAGTCCGTCTTTCTTGGCTCCGGCGAGTTTCAGGAACGTCGGTGCCAGGTCGGTATGGCTGGTGATGACGTCGAGGGTCTCGCCTTCGGGGATACCGGGTCCGCGGACGATGAGGGGGACGTTGATGTCGGTTTCTACATTATTAGCATGTTTCCAAGTATAAACAGACGAAGGAAAAGAGAAAGGGGAGAATACCATATCCGCAGTTCTTCCCCGGCTGCATCGCATGCTGTCCAGCGTGGTACCCATTATCCGTCGAATAGAAGATATAAGTGTTATCGAGCTCGCCAGCCTTGTCCAGCCGATCGATCAACGCGCCGATCATCTCGTCGACAGACTGCAGCGCGCGCAGCCGACACCGCTGGAACTCGTCGATGTAGTCCAGCACGTGCGGCTTGATGGGCTCCAGCTGGCCCACCCAAGCCGGGCCGTCCTCAATCGCACGGTTGAAGCTCTTATCCCGCGGGATGCGGTAATCCTTGAACAGGTTCGCGTGGCGATCAGGGTACTCCGGCTCGCCGAACCAGGCCGCCTTGGTCGAGGGATCGAAGCTGCCGTTCGAGTGCGGCGCGTTCGGCGCCACGGTTAGCATCCAGGGGCGACCGTCCTCGCTCTTCAGCGCGTCGTCGAGGAACCCCAGCGCCTTCTTGCGGATGACGTCTGTCGAGTACTGGCCGGAGTAGTCGACGGGGGGCTCGGCGTTGCGCGTCATGCGCGCCGCGTGGTAGCGGTACGTCCAGGGGTCCAGCAACAGGTCGGACCCGTTGAACCCGCGCGGGTAAGGCTTGTTGTAGTTCTCCTCCGTGTGGGAGTTCCACAGCTTGCCGACGTAGTACGTGTCGTAGCCGGCGTCTTGCATCCACAGCGGCAGGTAGTTGTCGTTCCAGCCGGCGCTGACGACCCGTGGATACCCGCCGTAGGGGGGCTCGACGTTGGTGACGTTTGTGTTGTGCGGCATGCGGCCGGTCCAGAGGTTGGCGCGCGAGGGACAACATAGCGCGACGGAGCAGAAATGTTTGGGGTAGGTGCTGCCTTTTTTGACGAGTTTTTCCTATACAATGTATTAGTGGATTGTGAGAAGCGCGAGCAGGAGAGAACGAAAGTACCTGGAGCTCGGGCATGTGCTCCAACCCCCCAATGGCTTCCTTGCCTTGGTCATCGGTCAGGATGAACAGAATATTGGGCTGCTTTGCTGCGACGCCAAGGCCGAGCAGGCTCAGAACGAACTGGGCGGCCGTGAACTTCATCGTGTGTTGTTGCTCAGATGGAGTGCACTCAATTCCAAGCCGTCAATCCGGTGCTCAGCCAGGGTCACATCCCCAATAAATAAAGATTGTCATCGCCCCCGTTCCACCCGACCCGGATTTGTATCATTTCTCCACCCCATTTGCACACCGTCGATCTCATCGGCGCCTAGGCGACTAGCGGGGGGGGCTAATCTACGCGGCGAAGACCCCCGATCGTCCATCCAACAGGTGTCTAGAAATTGCCCGCGTTTGGCAATACCCCATCGAACTAGAGAAAACAGGGTGGAATTGCACAATCGAACCGCGGATGATGCCAGACGCACGCATGGAAACTACGCGACCATGGTGGGTCGCCATCCCGTCTCCATCTTTCCTGGCATTCCGGTTGAAGAAAAGGGAAAAAAGAAAAAAAGGTGGCACCGCATCCGTCGCGTTACCTGGCTCGTGTATCCATACAGGGGTTGGCCAATATGACTGTCCCTAATTATTATTATTGGAGGCAGTATTTGAACTTTCTTTTTTTGGGAAGAGGGTCTTGATGACGGTCGAACCAGAAAACATCTGCTCGGGCCCTAACCCTAATCCTTCAAGTCTAAATGTCGATCATCACGACAACTCACTCCACTCTGGACTCATGCCTTCCAAGCTTGTGGAGCTCTCCGGTCAGTCAGTATGATCCAATGTGACTGGATGGATGAGAAGCTTGACGTGTGTTATCTCAGTCCTTTTGTCATGATATCATTGTTCGGTAACCTTTGTCAACAGACAGACAAGATGCAGTCGGAGAGATGCGGTATCACCCGAGGCAGAAAACTAAACTCTCACCAAATCAGGTTGCTCGAGTCAGATGGGGCTGTGCTGAATCAGGGCGGCGTTTAAATGGGGTTTAATAACCAGCAACAACCCCTGAATGGGCCCAGTCGGTTATATGTAAATGATCCAACAAAAACAAGCAGGGAAAAACAAAAATAAAATAAGCAAAGAAAGATACCAGATAAAAGAATAAAAAGAATAAAAAGAATAAAAAATGATCTACACGGCAATGACAACCTTCCCAAAATGACTCCCACTCTCTAAAAACCGCATCGCCTCCTTCGCCTCCCCAAACCCAAACACGCGATTCACGACCGGCCGGATCTCCCGCGCCTCGTAGAAGCGCAGCATCTCCTCGAACCGGTCCTTGGGGCCGTTGATGATCCCCTTGAGAGTGACATTGCGGCGCAGCGCCAGCAGGTTCGTGTTCAGACGGGTCCCCTCGGTGTCCATCTTGCCGGAGACGTAGCCAATACAGTCGATGAGGCCACCGAATGCCACGCAGTCGAAGCTCTGTCCGAGCGTCTGCGCTCCGCCCGTCTCGAGGATGACGTCCGCGCCGTGGTTGCCCGTCGCGGCCATGACGGCTGGGGCCCACTCGGGGGTGCTGCGGTAGTTGATGGTGTGGTCTGCGCCGAGAGCACGGGCTTGCTTGAGTTTGTCATCCGATGAGGATGTCACAATCACTGTGTTAATCAGTATACGCCCTCACATACACCCTTACAAAACAAGAAGATCGCTAGGGAGTACAAACCTTTCATGCCAGAAGCCTTCCCAATCTGCAGACCCGCGATAGCAACACCACCCGTACCCTGCACCAAGAGATACTCGCCCTCACCATCGGGCTGACCCATAGGTCGCATACCATTGATAGACATCCAAGCGGTGACAGCCGCAATAGGCAGCGTGCAGGCCTCATTGTCAGTCAGGTAAGCCGGGGCACGCACCAGCGCGGAGGCAGGAAAGACACGGTGGGTAGCCAAGACGCCGTCCAGCGGCAGGCCCATGCTGCCACTGAGCTCTTTCTCAGTGATCTGGCCGGTCTGGTGGTCGGGGCAGAAGGTCGACAGCACGCGGTCACCGACCTTCCAGCTGGAGACGGCGGGGCCGACCGCCGTGATGACCCCGCACATGTCCGAGCAGGGGACGATGGCGGCTTGACTGACAGATTTGTGGTGGGTGTATTCCCCGTTGGTGACTATCATCTTAGCTTCGAACTATCTGGTACAGGGTGAGACATACCTTCTACATCGCGGTAGTTGAGCGAGACGGCGTGGATCTCAACGAGGACTTCGTCGGTGCCTGGGGTGGGCATGGGGATTTCGGTCAGCTGGAGGGAGTCAATGCCCTCGAGGGGGGTTTTCCACTGCTTGATTGACATCTTCTTCGTCTTTTTCTACTTTGTTCTTTCTTTGTTCCGTTTTGTTCTTTCTTTTTTCCGTTGTTTGATAGATTGTGGATGTAGAATCCCGGTGTGGATGATGTACAAATTTGGCCTCACATATGGACATGGATTTATAAGCTTCATTACTAATCATGAGGCTCGCCTATACTAGAGTTGCTATTGTGTATCACTATTTGAGTGTATGTTCATACAGTATATACGAGATATCATCTCTGATGTAGTATAATAGAAGTGTATATATGAGCTCAAGACATACAACACTGGTAGAGATACAACCCATGGAACGCACACTTAATCTACCACCAAACAGCAATATATACTGCCCCATCCGCCCAATATAATCGCGTAACTACTGCCAAACTGATATAGTACAAGGACTGAGCAGCGAGAAGTAAGAGGTAGGTTTAAAAAAAGGCAAGCTAAAGAATAAACCAAGAAATAAAAAATAAAAAATAATCCAAATTAAAATATCAGCACATACCCGCATCATCACCAACAAGTAACAAGGCTGTGTCTCCCATCCCGCATACGTCAAACAGACAATGCATAAGCCTGAAGCCATAAATGGAGAATATTCCCCGAGTCCTCATGCAGCTATCAATTGGGCCCCTCGTAGATATTTTGGTCAATAAGCAGTTTAACTATATAGACGCCGAGGCTGATTCATACTTGCAGATCCTAAACAGCCTAATCAACGCCACACTACGCTACACCTATTTCTTACCTACTCCGTATATACCGACTACTGTGTATAAACCCTGCAGTATATGTACAGCCTTACGCCAACCCCGCGCGGGGTCCTCGGCCTTCCGCAAGCCATCGTGTCCGTAAATAGTACGATATCAAAAGATACGAAGGACAATCCAACCTTGGTTTATTATTCGTGGCTGTTACCTATTCTGTAGCCTCTTGATTATGTTGTATCTACTAAGCTGAGGTGAGCGGAGTAGAACTAAAGAAAGAAAGCACAGTGTACATATATAATACTCCATAGTAGCCTCGGCAAAACGGTAGACAGACAGTCCCTCAACACTTGGTTACAATTGACCGTTCTTCCAAGTAAAGTGAAAAATCCTCCCGCCCATCACCCGAAGATCATCAATGTCACTATACTTACATCCTAGTACCTACATATTGGTGCAGTGTGTACGGTGTACCCAGCATCAACTGACCATCATCTCATCCCTCCGCCCGCTGGCGTGCTTGCTTGCGTGCTTAACCGCTTTAGTCGCGTGTAGTTAGCTCATTAGCTTAAGCAGCCAGCTTGCTAGCTTGAATCTAGATTAACTCTGGACATGAACCTGCAGGTGTAAGTTGCGGTGTGGGTGGTTTTACTCCTGCTTGCTCGTTTAATTGTCTGTTTTTATATATGACAACTCGAATAGCTCCGAGTTTGGAAGGAGATGCATGCATGGATGGTTAATATGAAGCGGGTGAGTGCGGTGTGGGTGATGTGATGCGGGGATACCCTTCACACACGTACTAGATAATATAAGAAAAAAGGTCGAAAAAGCGAAATCCTCGACAAGATGTGGAAATAGAAAGGTAGGATCACTATGAGAGATGGGTAGGGGATCTGAAGAATATATTTGTACAACACGTAAGAATAGGATACATTACTTTGAGATAGTGGTTAGTTGATTCTACTTGAACGCTGTCCTATTACATACATATGTATTTATCTGCTGTACTAGATAGATCAAATCTGGCAAGTGTGCTTTTGGAGATATTATTTCACCATTGTTACAGAGTTCAAATAGTAGACTTACACTATCCACCTTACTACCTTGATAGATCGGGGAGCAAAACTATAACTGGATATTTGACCGTACCCGAGCAAATGCTGACAAGTGATGATTCTGCTCTAGTTTGAACATTCTGAATAGTCAAAGACACTCGCATTAGCTAGTCATTGAACCTGCTTTCTGTGGATAATGTGTGAATCTACAGGCAAAAACTAGTATACACGTACGACTTCAATTGCAATCATATATCGGACCATATACAGTCCTACAGGATCAGATCCAACGATATACCACTAGTATAGTACACCCACCAATACAGCAAAATATCCATCCACGTCAACATGGACAGTAAAACAAAGAACGAAACAAAATAGGTCTGAATCGCTAGACGCACACACAAGACATAGTTATGGATCAACATGGATCAACATGACAAAGCCACACAAACAAGTGCAATCAAGTGCAATCAATCAAAAATATAAACAAGAAGAAGAAAGGTTGGGTATATGGCAGCCGGTCCAATGCAAACATAACAACAAATCAAGGGATAAAAGAAGAAAGCGGTTATATGATGAGTCCTGCCACACTTTCTACACCCAGCCCGCTCAACGAGCGTTGCATGCATGCCCCCATAAGCCAGTCAGTCGGTTAATCAGTGAAGCGGTTCGGATAGGTTAGGTTGGTTATTTGGGAGTGGTAATCATATCATCATCAGTCGGGTGGTGCGTCGTTCGGGGAAGCGACGAGCGCCCGGTGGTGGCATCAGAGGGGAGTTCGGCCGTCCGTACGGTCCGTCGAATGATCCCGGGGGAGGGCGCAGGCCGCGGCCGCGTCCGGGAGGTCCTCCTCGGCCTGGGGGGAACCCACCGCGAGGAGGCCCGTAGCCGGGCGGGGGCGGGCCGTAGCCGCGGCCGGGGGCCCGGGGGGCCGGGAGGCGCCAGCGGGGAGGACGGCATTGTTGGGCGACGGAAGCGGTGCGGGGAGACGGAGGCTGCTGCGCGACGGGAGTCGCGCTCGCAGTAGGCCAGGCCGTTCCACTCGAAGTATTCGCCCTTGAGGATGACGTTGCAGGTGCGGCAGGTGAGACAGTCGGGGTGGAAGCGGACGCGGTCGACGGGGCCCATGCCGCGGCGTTCGATCGTCTCGAGGAACTGGCCCTCGATGCCCTGGTGGCAGGTTTGGCACATGGAGCCGTTGCGCTCGTGGTAGTGCTGGGAGCAGAAGGGGAGGTCGTTGAGGACGTAAAAGTCCATTGTTTGGAAGGGCACCTTGCAGTCGAAGCAGACGAAGCAGTTGCGGTGGTACCGGCCGGTGAGGCGGCCGTCTTTGGAGGAGATGGATTTCCCCATGATGGTCTCGCTACAGCCCTTGCATCGGCCCTTGGGGCGGGGGGTCGGCGAGACCCCCGGGAGCGGTTCCGTGGCTGACCGCGTGATGCCGCTGTTGGCGCCCGGTGAGAGGCTCCCGTCCGTCTCGCGCGACTGCTCCCGCCGCAGCGCCAGACTGCCCTGGCCGAGGGCCGGGTCCGTCGGCGAATCGGGGACCATCTTGGCGCCGGCGGGGATCTTGGGCGGTTCCAAGTCCGTTGGGCTTTCGTGGATCTGCCCTAGCGGCGTACCCTGCGTCTGTAGCTCTTCCAGCACCGGTCCCAGTCGGCCTTGGTCGGAGGGCTTTCGCCGCGACAGACTGGCTTCGGACGGGAGACTAGACAGAGACGTGCCGCTCCGGCTCTCGGAGGGTGACACGTCCGACGAGGCCGTGGAACTGGCCACGGCATGGTTGCTTTCGAGGCCCAGCGCCCGCGCAAAGTTGGACATGGACAGGCCGCTGTCGCTGGTGGCGTCGGAACCTTTCCGCTGGGCCGTGTGGGGATCGTTCGGGCTGTCCGGGTGGGTGGGCTGGAGATAGCCCGACTCGGCAGCTTTATACGCTCGGTAGTCGGCCGGCATGTCGGCCGGAGACTTGGAGCGAGGATCCGACTCGTCGGGCAGATCATGCGGGGCCCCGTGCATGCTGTGCGAGGGGCTCCGGAAGAACAGCTCGTCGGAGCGACGAGAAGTGCTCGACCGCTCTGAACCCGGATTCGACGCGACCCGCAATGGGCTGGGGCGATGTCGGTCGGGCTCCAACCGGTCACCGAGGCGCTCGCCCCCGTGGTCTGGGCCCAGGTCGAAGCTGCCCACGCTGTCGCCCCGACTGTCATGTCTCGCGGAGTTTCCGGACATGCTCGAGTCCGAAAAGGCCGACTCGTGCAGGGCATTGCGGATGGCATCCGTGGGGATGGGCGGGACGTCCTCGTAGCGGTACGGCTGCGCAACACTGCTAAACGAGGCGATTCGGCTGGAGTAGGTGGTCAACCGCTTGTCACTGATGTCGCCGTAGCGGGAGCTCGCGAAGGACGTGCGATAACTACTCTTGCTGTCGATGGAGGGTCCGGATCGGTGGGACACGCCCATGGGGGGCCCATGACCATGATCCTTGGGCACGGGAAGCGGCGGAAGGTCATCCTCCTCGAGGGGCAGATTGGCACTCCGTGGCGGATCGTGGGCGGCGGACGGGGTAGGCATTGCATTGAGATAGTGCAGCGGGGGAACGGGAGGGGCGGAATTGGCATCTTTGAGATCGCTGGTCCCCGGGCGCCGGAGGGACATGGACCGCGGCATGGGGAAGTCATTCAACGAGGCGCCCAAGCCAAAATCCGGGGAATCCGGGGAGTCGGGCAGCGGTGGGCGCGTGAACGACCGCTGCGCCGCGGCAGTTGAGAGTGGCGCGGGGGTCAGGCTGTCATCATTCACGCCCCCGTCCACCTGCATAAACGGCCGGTCTAGAGGAAACATCAGCTATGAGATCCGGGGATTTGTATCCAGACGGGAGGGGTCTGATCATACTGGCTGCAGCCGGGTCGATGCGGGGGGGAGGTCCCGTTCTAGGGACTTTCGCCGCCCAGGCATCCTCCTTTGGCGGGGGCGGCGGTGGTTCGAGCCCTGCAAGGAAGTCAGCGCCTGTCAGAACATAGAGAAAAGAAAGAAAAAGAAAAAGAAAAGGGAGCATACCAGCAGGCGGACAGATGTGGTCCCCCATGGACATGATCTCAACGTTCAAGCCGCAATTGGAGCATTTGATGGTGGGCAGCAGGCCCGCATCCATTGCCATGGCCATGATGCGGACGCGAGGTTCTCAACGGGGAGTTACTCATAAGTCAATCGGAGAGAGGAAGAATGAAGAAGGTGACGAGAGAAGGGGAGAACGAGTGAGTGATGAAGGGAAGGCCTCCTCGCGTCCCCGGCGCAGTCACCCCAGATTTTTGGCCCTGACCGAGGCGATATCCGATGGATTTGGCTGGGCGAGGAGAATGATTGGTGACTAGAAGGAATCAATAGGAAATGAGGCAGGCTAAGGATAAATAATAGTCATGGAATGCGACATTGGAGTCAAAATAAACCCGCACATATAAATAAAAAATAAATAGAAACCACTAAATCAATCAATCAAGAACAACCAAATCAACAAACCCAAACAATGACAACTACCCGCAGAAGAAGAAGAATGATAAAACAGAAGAAGAGGAAGAAGAAGAAGAAGCAAGCAGCAGCAGCAGCATCAGCAGCAGCAGCAACAAGAAGGGTCCATGCAGGAGAGAGAGAGAGAAGTGAAAGAAGTGGGGAAGAAAAGGAACCAATTGTCTCTCTCCAACCCACACTAGGGAACGAACTAGCTCCCCTCGTGCATCCACCGATCCTGCGCTGAAGTGCCCCTCTGGGTTTGGCGTCTCACGCTATTCTTAGGCTTGACCCGGATTGAGCTTAGTGGGGTTGTGCCCCGGGGGAATAGGCTTGCTTAAGGACCCCAATCAGTGATGGTCAAGGGCAACACGCGGTCCTCGAATGAACTTCACTCCGGTACTATCTGGGTCCGTTTTTTTTTTCTTGCTTTTTAATATATTTTAATTGACTCTTTTCTGGTTTGTCTCTCCTAATCCATCCTAATGCTTCTGTTTCATCAACTAGATAGGGGAGATTTTAATTTATGTTTCTCTCTATAGAAAATTCTAGCATCGGAGAAAGCCACATTGGACTAGCGAGAGACAGAAGAAAAAAATAGAACGAACGATTTTGGCCCTTCCCCTTTTACCGACTGGGATGATTTTAGTGATCTTACTGTGTCTCCATCCTTTCGTACTGCTGACGCTCCCTCCACAACAATCATCCTACCCCTGAACCATACTCCTTCTGCAGATCATCCTCAGGGGCTGACTCTTCCTGTTGCGTTCGCTTCCACTGTCCCTCCCACTCCGCACGTCGTTCTTGGGGCTGACGGGCGAAGTCTGCCTTGCCCCCAAGATGATACAATGGAAAGGTGTCTTTCTTTTTCCTTTTCTTTCTGCTATAGTTTCTGGATGGTTGGCGATAAGAATAACCGGACAATATGCTGATCCGATTCATTGTTATTTTTGGGCGGGATAATCGTATCTGACCGTCGATGATCCCCTCCATGTTGTACTCATCCCGTGTAAATCAAACAGGGAACTAACCCGGAGGGAGAAGGATCATCCTCCCATTGTATTCTGTCTCAATGTCCACCCATCTTTACCATTTTCACGGTCATCCTCGTAGTGTGTAACCCAGTCCGTGCTCTCTATTGTATCGGACATTGGACAAGCAAGGTGCCCGTCGATCTGCCAGTCATGTTCCTGACTCTCAACTAGATAACGATGACTAGAAATTGTTCACCCTGACTGTCAGTGTCAGCTTACCCTCGGTCAAACCGGAGTGGTTTGTCCCCACGGAACTAGCAACCATCCCAGAGGACGACAGTTACGGGGCCGATGGATCATCATATGGGTCGGGCTGTTAGATCGTGGCTCGGTCGGGGTACGCAAGCTGCGTTACCATTTCCACCCCGTCATCGCTGATGGGTTCCTCGGACGAACTGGCTGGAAAGGAAGAACTGGAGTTATTCATGTGTTCTTCATCTATTTGTTGTTTTATCCGAACCCAGGCCCGTCCCTAGCGAGCGGGATGGGATTAACATTCTAGCGTGGTGTTGATCTGTGCGTGTCGAAGAATATATAGAGGAGATAACCTATCCACTGAGTCGGCTATATTCTCTACCATGTCGTCTTTGACAATGAGAATTGGCGGAATAATCGTTAATACCTTGGGATTCGAAAACACACCGTTGCCTAAACCCATGCCAGATACGGACAAACAAACACTGCAAACCCACTGACTACCACACTAGTGATTAGGCGGAGAATCACCATGGATCCATCATGGATGGTTCGAACTAATTCCTCCTCCGCTCACCGCGATGTCTGGTATTTTCTTGGTTTTATTTGGGCTGGAATGACAGTATACAGACACGTTTACATTTATTATGGTGCACATTAATACAGAATGTAGGACAAATACATCAGTCTATAAACTAAACCGTTGGATTCGAGAATGACAAACGATATTTACCTGATGTGCGGCCCACTCCAGCAGCTAAGCGATACGCGCAGACCACCTACTGCCCCGAGTCCACAGGGTAGTTCGCATTATCTCCCTTGGGGTTTTCTGTTAGCGGGGTAAAAAACGAAGAACACCGGGATCAAAAGGACAGATGGTTTCTTCCAGAACATGGACTGAAAGTACCCGCGTTTGCCCCCATGGACCTCGCCTGGATCACTCATGGCCCACTCTTGTCAATTAACTGGGTCAGGTGGTGACAGTTGGGCCTGCATGATATCCAGTGTGGGATCCACCGGTGTTGGGAATCCATTGACCCGGCGCTGGCACGTTCATGGGGAAACAGACTGATCTGATACTTAGATATTATTCTGTACCAAGACAGGAGTTCTCTACCATTATGATGATCAGGTGGTATCTGATCACTGATACCGATCTATATAACTGTCCAATCTAATGATGATCGAGGGGAAGAGGGGTATGATAAGGTACCACTATCAAACCAATATAGGGCTTTCGGACCTCGTCCGGTACAGTATTCAACCCTACAGACCGCCAGTTCTCGCTTCACAGCTCTAGTGTCAATCTAGCCATCAATTCCCAGCAAGTGAATGGATGAATGGATTAGATTTGAAAGGAATAGGCTAGTCTCGACCACTTGTTCCCCCTCTTAGTCAGTGACTGTGCTGGCGGCCGGGTTCGGATGTCGTCCGTGACTAAGCCGGGGGTCTCCTACTTAATCCCCCCTCCATCCTCTCCTGTTTTCATCTTTCTCACCACCACTCTTCCAATTCTTCCAATTGTTCGAATTCCAAAGCTTGGCCAGTTTCGTCTGACACTTTGATCACACTCCTTGAGCGTGGTCTGTCAAAAACCGCCAAAATTTTCTCCACACTTCTCAACTCGTGAGTTCCCCATGTCCCCTTCCGGTCCCTTCCTACTCTGTCCGAGTCGATCAGATAGAGGCCACCAGTCCTTCATTCGATCTCAAATCCTTTCATACACTCGAGTCAAATGTACACTGCTAACTGGAACAGCCGGCACCACCCGTTCAACGGCCGCCGCTCATCCAACCGGGGAGGGGCGCCAGATTACTCGCTCTACGTACAGTAAATCATTTCACATCCCACCACTCAATCAATTACAATGGCTCCCCACGCCAGTGCGGATGTTGCGGCCAATGGCGCCGTGAACGGGTCTGCCTCTTCCTCTTCTCCGTTGTTCACTGTCAACTCGCCCAATGTGGTCTACACCGACAAGGAGATCAGAAGCCAGTATGCCTACCATACCACTGATATCACCCGGACCGCCGACAACAAGCTGGTGGCCACTCCCAAGGCCACCGACTACCACTTCAAGGTCGACCGCAAGGTTGGCAAGGTCGGTGTCATGATGGTCGGTTGGGGCGGGAACAATGGTTCCACCGTCACTGCCGGTCTCATTGCCAACCGCCGCCAGCTGTCCTGGGAGACTCGCGAGAAGATGCAGTCCGCCAACTACTATGGCTCCATGGTCATGGGCTCCACCATCAAGCTAGGCACTGACGCCAAGACGGGCGAGGAGATCAACGTCCCGTTCCATGACATGCTACCCATGGTCCACCCCAATGATCTGGCCGTCGGTGGCTGGGACATCAGCGCCATGAACCTGGCTGCGGCCATGGACCGTGCTCAGGTCCTGGAGCCTGCTCTCAAGCAGTCAGTCCGCAAGGAGATGGCCGAGATGAAGCCCCTGCCTTCCATCTACTACCCGGACTTCATCGCCTCGAACCAGGAGGACCGTGCCGACAACGTCCTTGAGGGTGACAAGGCATGCTGGGCCCATGTGGAGAAGATCCAGAAGGACATTCGGTATGTTTATACTTCCTGTTGATGAGAGAGACAATAGCTAATTAGTGCAGTGACTTCAAAGCTCAGAACGGCCTGGACAAGGTCATTGTCATGTGGACCGCCAACACGGAGCGCTACGCTGACATCGTCCCCGGCGTCAATGACACCGCCGACAACCTGCTGAACGCCATCAAGACCGGCCACCTCGAGGTTGCTCCCTCGACCGTCTTCGCCGTGGCCTGTATCCTGGACCAGGTGCCCTTCATCAACGGCTCGCCCCAGAACACCTTCGTGCCCGGCGCCCTCCAGCTCGCCGAGCAGCGCAAGGCCTTCATCGGCGGCGACGACTTCAAGTCGGGCCAGACCAAGATGAAGTCCGCGCTGGTGGACTTCCTGATCAACGCGGGCATCAAGCTCACCTCGATCGCCAGTTACAACCACCTGGGCAACAACGACGGCAAGAACCTGAGCTCGCAGAAGCAGTTCCGCTCCAAGGAGATCTCCAAGTCCAACGTCGTCGACGACATGGTCGCCGCCAACCATCTCCTCTACGAGAAGGACGAGCACCCGGACCACACCGTCGTCATCAAGTACATGCCGGCCGTGGGCGACAACAAGCGCGCGCTCGACGAGTACTACGCCGAGATCTTCATGGGCGGCCACCAGACCATCAGCCTGTTCAACATCTGCGAGGACTCGCTGCTGGCGTCGCCGCTCATCATCGACCTGGTCCTCATCACCGAGGTCATGACCCGCATCACCTGGAAGGAGGATGCCACGGCTGACTACAAGGGCTTCCACAGCGTGCTCAGCGTGCTGAGCTACATGCTCAAGGCGCCTCTGACGCCCCCCGGTACTCCGGTCGTCAACTCGCTCAACAAGCAGCGCTGCGCTCTGACCAACATCTTCCGTGCTTGTGTCGGTCTGCAGCCTGAGTCGGAGATGACCCTCGAGCACAAGCTGATGTAATGCGCCTAGCGTAGTTGTGGTCTTTGACCTATCGTCTCACCCAAGTCGTTCTTTAACAAATTGAATGCGTTGATTTACTTGCAATTCACTGTCCATCTATACTATATAATAGACTCCAACGTAGTACCCACTCAGTAAAAACCCACTCAAAACCGGGGTATACAGCACACCCATCGCCCTTAACGCTCCTAACAATCCACCACCCTCAATACTCTCTTCAACCAACTCGATGAAACCCACCCCACCCCATCCCGTCCCCATAAATAATATCCTCCCCCGTCAACCAAACCCAACCACCCCACCGCATACCAGTGACGCTGCCCTAATTCACCAGCTAAGGCCTTACCTTATCCAGTGACCAAACTTACTCTCCTCCACCTTGATTCCCCTCTTCTCCTCCTTTCCCGATCTCTTGATACTATACCCCCAAGATACATTCAGATAAAAATGCAAAGCAGCAAGACATAGAGAGGCAAGGCATATGATATCAGGTGCTGAAGGGGAAAGTAATAATAAATGGACTGGGGGGTGGGAGGAAGGAAACCAGAAGGTGGGGAGGGGACGAGAGAGGGTCATTTCACTCTCTTTGTTCTTTCTTTCTTTTTTTTTACATTTTCTTTGTCTCTTTCTTGCTTTCTTTGTTCGTTTGTTTGGATTTGTTTTGGTTGGTTGGTTGGTTGGGTTGGAGTTTGCTTACAAGGTTGCTGCATGCTTGCTTGCTTGCCGAGATACATACTTGCGCGTTTGCTGCAGTGGTCGGAGGGTGTCGATGCTAGGTAAGAGAGTACTTTATGATTCATGTAAGTAAGTATTGCTATGCAAATAGTACTCACTATATGAAGGAAGGAAGACTTAATAGATAGGATAGGATACCTAACAGGGACAGATCTATGATACTCAAGCGGTCATGTCATTGCATTCCTTTGCTCCGGTTGATACAGTTGTATTTGTAGATTGATTAACCGAGCTACTATACTATACTGACTACCTTGTGGTCAAGGACCTTGTGAGCATACACCTCCATATATATATAAGGCATATCCCCCACGCAGTACCATCAAGAACCCGCCTTACATCAATCAATTGGTATCAACATCATCTGGCTTACTATAGTATACTAAACAAATCCACATAAATTACTCATTTCATTGACAACATCACTTTTTCCTTTCTTTCATTTTCGCCCGTTGGGTCCAACTACGACATATCAACAACACACCGCACACAGTCGCCAGCCTTCATCTGCTCAAACGCAGTGTTGATCTGCGACAGCGGCTCGCGGTGCGTGATGAACTCGTCCACCTTCAGCTCGCCCTTCAGGTAGTCGTCGACCAGGTCGGGCAGCTGGGTGCGGCCCTTGATGCCGCCGAAGGCGCAGCCCTTCCACACGCGGCCGGTGACGAGTTGGAATGCTATTGAACATTCATTAGCTTTTGCAATAGAACAGGTTTGAAGAGAGGGAAACTGGGAGGGTAAGGAACATACGACGAGTGGAAATCTCCTGGCCGGCAGCAGCAACACCGATAATGATGCTCTCGCCCCAACCCTTGTGGCAGGCTTCGAGGGCCGCGCGCATGACGCCCACGTTACCCGTGCAGTCAAAGGTGTAGTCGCATCCGCCGTCGGTCATATCAATCAGCTGCTCCTGGATGGTCTTGCCGTCCAGCTTGGTAGGGTTGACGAAGTCGGTAGCGCCGAACTTGCGCGCCCACGCCTCCTTGCCGTCGTTGACGTCCACGGCGATGATCTTGCCCGCGCGGTTGCGCACGGCTCCCTGGATGACGGAGAGACCGACGCAGCCGGCGCCGAAGATCGCCACGTTGGCGCCCTCCTCCACCTTGGCGGTCACCGTTGCGGCGCCGTAGCCCGTCGTGATGCCGCAGCCCAGCAGACACGACCGGTCCGTCGAGATCTTGGGGGTCACCGCCACGACGGAGATGTCTGCGACGACTGTGTACTGCGAGAAGGTCGACGTGCCCATGAAGTGCAGCAGGTCCTTGCCGCGCGCCTTGAAGCGCGAGCTGCCATCGGGCATGACGCCCTTGCCTTGGGTCGCGCGGATCTTGCCGCACAGGTTTGTCTTGCCGGACTTGCAGAACTTGCATTCGCGGCATTCGGGGGTGCTGGGCGGGTTAGCTCACTGTCTGTAGGTATCTTATTGCCGGGGGGATAGATTTGAACGCACTAGAGAGCAACGACATAGTCACCCGGCTTGACGGAGGTGACGCCCTCGCCGACGGACTCGACGACACCGGCGCCCTCGTGTCCCAGGACGACGGGGAACGCGCCCTCGGGGTCCTTGCCGGACAGGGTGTATGCGTCTGGATGGTCAGTCTCTAGAATTCATCGATGACGAAAGAGGAAACATACCCGTGTGGCAGACACCGGTGTGGTGGATCTGGATGCGCACTTCGTGGGCCTTGGGCGGCGCCACCTCGACGTCCTCGACGGAGAGGGGTTCGCCGGCGCCCCACGCGATGGCGGCCTATACTGGGGTCAATATGCTGGCCGGGATGTGATTCGTAGTCATGACATGTGAGGCTTACTTTACAGGTGATGGTCTAGGATTGGTTTGTTAGCTTGTGATTCCATGTCGATTGATATTGGTGGGGGAGGAGAGGGGCATACTTGTCCGACAGTGCTAGCCATTGTGATGATTTGAGAGAGGGAATATGGGAGAGAAGAAAAGAACAGACGAAGAAAGGAGGGAGAAAAAAAGGAAAAACTAGGCACGGATGAATGGAGGGGAAATCAATGCTTTAAACGGGCGAGATCGGGGGAGGGTAGTGGAGATTTTGTGGTGAGGGGATCCAGAATAACGGACTGACGTGACGAGAGAGGGGGTGGGGTGAGGGGCTGCTGGGAACTTAGTAGTGGACCTCCTCATGCTGCCCCCGGTGATGACCACTTTCCCCTCATTCATACAGTATTTCTACTGTGTACTGCTCCTAGTCATTAACGGAGTGTATTATATGATTGTCATATTCTCCGCACGGAGATTCTCCTCATCTGTTCATTTTTTTTCATAGTACCTTGCTATTGCTGCTGCTGCCACTACTTCACTACTGTAGAAGCTGATACAGGTCAATGATATCCGTAGCGTAGCAGAACCGTATAGGATGGTAACCAAAGTATAATCCACATGATAACTCAAGTAATAACCCAAATCATATCTCTTTAATACTCTATACAGACATGATGTTCAATTCTTCACCCTTCTAGAAACCAGCTTATCTCCATCTTCTGCACTCGCCCGAATAGGCAAAGTTTTCCGGGTGGTCCGTGCATCATGACGACAAGAGGTTTCCTTTGCCGGATGGAGTCGCTTCAGTATGGTGTGGGTTAACAGATTGATCTTACCGCCAATTGTTGGCATTCTCGGTTGAATTATTCATCTTGAGATCTTAGACTTGGTATGGATAATTGGTTATTGTGGAATTTATCATCGTTCATATCCGAGGTGATGTCCCAGGGCGGTCTGCCATTGCTATTGCTGCCATCTGTCATGACCTGCTTGGTATTGAATAGAGGGTATGATTGATATTGAATAGAGGGTATGAAGAGGGGATAGTAGTGCGCTTTCAAATATGAACACACCAACAGATATTTCTCAATAGCTCATTACTACGATAGCTAATAGCTACTATACAGACCACGTCACTCCCAGACGTGACCCAACGCCCACTCATATTACATATCCGCACGTATTACATATTTTCCAACCCCAATCCAACACATCGTCCAAACCATCACGGCAGAAAAACAAAGACAAACGCGAGATAGACAGCGTCAGACAGTACAGGAGAGTCTCATTCAAATCAAATCTATAGTGTACACATGAGAACCGGTCCCAACCCGAAAATATAGCACAGAACCCAAACAGGAAACCAGTGGCAGGAAGCCACTTATTTTCCACCCCCTTGCATCATGGCCGCATTCTGTTCCTGGAAGCGCTCATTCAGGCGCTGCGAGCTCTTCAGGTACTTGTCGACGCAGCGCATCACGCAGCCCTCCTCGCGGTTGATGAGGGACTTGGTTGTGAAGTCGTTGACGCAGTCGTCGAAGCAGCGCTGGACGAGCTTGGAGTACATCTGATGGCAAAATGGTCAGTGGTGGAGGTTGGAGGCAATGCGGTGTGGATCGGGATGGGGTTCGTGGATGGATGGGTTCATGACGACGACGGGACAAGGAGACCTGTCGTTGAGGGATGCCCCTTTTGTTTCTTGATCTTCTTCTCGTATTCTTTTTTGGTCTCCTTGTTTCGTAGACGATCCCCAATCGAGGCAGGTAGGTCCGTTCGATCGAGGTGTTATGGATGACATACCGTCATGAATTCCTTCATCTGCTTGCGCTCCATGCGAGACGCGAGCTCGCGCTGCTCGGAACCAGAAAGACTGCAACAGTTAGTCTCCAGTCGTACATCTGATAAACACACTGAGCTTACCCGTCCATTGTGATGTGTTGATAGGGGGGAAGAAGGGGTTGAAGAAGAAGAGTAGTGTTAATGATGACCGAGTATAGGATTCCTCGTTTGGGACGGAGCGCGGAGCTTGGCCGCAGGCTCTGACCACACGTGAGGTCACCTGATATACATCACATGACTACATGTGATTCAACATCAACACGTGATCATTCAATATCACGTGATAAAACGAGAACAGCGGATCACCTGACGCAGCCACTGGATGCTCCCGTCTCGCCCAAACCGGCAACGTCAGCCTCCGATCATTCTCCAACTGGGATTATTCAGGCGGAATAAAAAAAGAACAGCCGCCACCGGACCATCGCAGTATTACGTCCCCAGACAAGAACCATGGATGATCCAGTTTGGGTCGATGGATGCATTTCGCCCTCAGGGTCCAATCAACGCTCCCGGCTCGGTCAAACCCCTCTCGCGCTGTGTCCATGTCTCCATGGACATTGAATATGGTTTTAATGTTGAGGACGTGAAACTGCAGATCGACGGTGGCCACGCCTCTTTACATGGACAGGCATTGAGGGCGATCCGTCTGATTGGAGGACGGACGGTAGGACCTCTGCCAAAAGGTTCAGGATGATGGGATCACCGGGTCCATTCTGGTGATATTCCGCCGTATGGATCGGGACGGGGTCATGTTGGTTTTTTTTTTTTTTTTTTTTTTTTTTCCTTTTTCTTAGTTTATCTTCTGGTGACTCGGTCTCTTTTGGAGGCGTTGACTTGTATTCGCATGTGTCTAGATTTTTAATCTAATATTGATTATGGAGTAGTGTCAAAAGGCACACAGATGTCAAAAAGGCCTAGTGGGATACACCATCTCACAAACTAGCGTAGTGGTGAAATTAGATTAATATCGAGACTGGTCCAGACAGGAGAGAAACCCTGGAACCCTGGGTCTGGGTCGTTATTCTGTCGATTCTTGATCGAGTATGATCGTCTCCTTAGGGCTGTCTGGAGTGCAGTCCTCGAGGATATGGAGATACGTATCCATTCATATCCATCCATGACGACTAGGTAGGATTAATTAATTGATTCATTTATCACCAGGGGGGCTGTGGAAGGGTAAGTAGTATTCCCCTCCAATTAGCAATTCACCAGGAGGGCAATCCAATCAGAAACCAACCGGGGGAAGTATCCATTTGGTGAACTGACATGGTTATTGTTCGGGGGTCCAAAGTGCCTTGAGAGGGAAAGGAAGTCAGTCAACTCTGGCTGTCAGCCTGTGTTCTATTCGGCCTGAGGATCCAACCATCACCCTTTCTCCCCCTCCTCGTCCTCTCTCTCTCTCTTCTTCTTCTTCTTTTACTTCTACTTCTACTTCATCTTCCTCCTTCTTCTCCCCTCCTTTCATTCTTCATCTCTGTTTCCATCCCTCGTACTCCCCACTTTCTTTCTCCTGTCTACCCTGTCTTTGGTTTTCCTCTCCCTTACGATCCTCCTTTCATTTCCCCCATTTCCATCGCTCATCCATTTCGTCCGGATTTACTCGTTCTTCGTTGCCCTCCCTTTCATCCTGCCTTCTGTCCATCCACCACGCTCGTGTTTTCGTTCTGGTTCGTTGCCAAATCGCCTCTCCGAAAGGCCGACGGTAAAGGCTGCCGCGGTCTGACTGATCGGTCCCTCGTGCTATTTTGGGATCACGGTCCCCCAGCCCCGGAATTTCGCTGCGACACGAGGGCGGTGAACATTTAGCGGTCTCGTCGCTTCAAGCGTCGCTCTTTATATCTTATCGACCCGCGCATTCCCTCCGACCGTCTTTCTTCATTTCGCATCTGGTCATCATGGTCACCAATAAGTCGCCGCCTGGTGTTGACCCGTTACATTCGCTTCCCCCCACCGCGGCCGCCCCCCAAGCGCTTGCGACCTCTCCTCCGTCCAAACGGGACCTGACATCGTGGTGGAGGCAGTTTAAACGCAATACTCGGAAGGAAGAGCCGAAAGGTATGTGTTCTGGCGATGGGATAGGTCGTTGGATGCGACAGGGTCAATCAGTGCTGAGTGTTGTCGCAGAAAAACCACAAGGCATCTTTGGCGTCCCGTTGAACGTCAGCATCAAATATGCCAATGTCGCCATCTCCCTGACCAACGATAACGGCGAAAGCTTTATCTACGGTTACGTGCCGATCGTCATCGCGAAGTGTGGGGTTTTCCTCAAGGAAAAAGGTACGCTTGAACCCCCCCATCCCCCCCCCCCCGTAAAGAGACGGCGCTGACCATAGTAGCAACGGACGTCGAGGGCATATTCCGGCTGAATGGATCGGCCAAGCGCATCAAAGACCTCCAGGAGATCTTTGATTCTCCCGAACGGTACGGGAAAGGGCTAGATTGGACTGGATACACGGTACACGATGCGGCGAATGTCTTGCGACGATACCTCAACCAGCTGCCCGAGCCGATTGTCCCGCTCGGCTTCTACGAGCGCTTTCGCCAGCCGCTCCGTGCGTATCAGCAGCACATCCAGGAAAACGGACCCGCGACCGAGTCAGATAACGTCGATCATGCCAAGGCGGTCGCCGCCTACCAAGAGTTGATCCGCGAGCTGCCCCCGCTGAACAAGCAACTTCTGCTCTACATCCTCGACCTTCTCGCCGTCTTTGCCTCTAAGTCGGAACAGAATCGCATGACGTCCGGAAATCTGTCCGCCATCTTCCAACCGGGCCTCCTGTCGCACCCCCAGCACGATATGTCCCCGGACGAGTACAAGCTCAGCCAGGACGTGTTGATCTTCCTCATCGAGAATCAGGACCACTTCCTCTTTGGCATGAATGGCACGGCCGCCGACGAGCAGACGATGAAGGAGGTCGAAGGCGGTCTCGTCCGCGGTCCGACCACCCACTCGGGCGTGCGACGGTCCGTCTCCAACGCCAGCGGCGGCAGCTTCCGAAAGTACGAAAGCCTGCGCCGCAACGTGTCGGTGTCGTCCAAGACCTCGCGCACCTCCAACCAGAGCCCGAGCCCGGCCACTCCCACATCCCTGGGCCCCGCCGCGGTGCACCGCAGCAACACGTTGCCCTCCAAGATGGCGCCGGCCATTCCGCCGTCACGGATCGGCCGTGTCGTCGAGAACACGGGCACCGACTCCCCCGAGCCCACGTCGGCACAACACTCGCGATCGCCCAGTCAAACCCCACCCGCAACCGTGCAAGAAAGCCCGGAGCCGCCCAAACCGCAGGACGTGACCGAATCAGGCACGGGGCTCGTGTACCTCCACTCCGCTACCCACGGTCCTACGCGCAAGGCGCCGGACCCGACGCCGGAGAAACCCCACGAACGTCCGGGGAATCTGCAGGAGAACATCCAGGAGAGCAGTGATGAGAAACCGCCGGACATGCTGTCCCCCCCCACGTCGCCCCCGGCCGCCGCCACGCCCACTCGAGAACGCAAGCTCTCCGCCCTCTTCTCCAAGTCACCCCCGAGTGACCGGGAACCGCGGCAGCCGAATCGGTTGAAGAAGCGGCGGATTCCCGGGAGCGCCAGCGAAAGCGCCCAGAGCTCGTCGCAGTCCCTGCAGGCAGCCACGTCCGATGTTGCTCTGGCGTCTCAAACCTCCCGCGTGTCTGACCCTCCGGACGCCGGGGGGACCACTCCGAGACAGCCCACCACGATCGACGAACGGGGTGAGGACAAGTCCGAGAAGCCGTCGCAGAGCGAAGGCCAGCCCACGACGGACACGTCGCTGCGGCCGTACGGGTCTCGGACGCCGTCGATGAACTCGCGCACCTCCTTCACCGACTATTCGGATATGGACCCTACGGATGACGCGTCGCGGGATCGCAAGGAGGCTCGACCGAGCTGGCGCTTCCCGCGGTCGGCGAAGCGCAGCAGCGAGCAGGTGGGGCTAGGGCTCGGGTCTCCGCCGCTGATCGCGTCGAACCCGGGGGCCGAGCACAGTACGAGCTCGTTCGGCAGCTGGCACCACTCGAGCCGCAGCTCCCCGACAGACATGCAACAGTTTGCCAACGACCCGTCGTATCAGCCGCTGAGCCTGGATGCCGAGGTGCACAGCAGCAGCAAGGAGGCGCCCGAGCCCGAACGACGGAGCCTGTTCGGCAAATTCAAAGCTAAGGTGGCGCAGGTGCGAGACGGCGGCAAGGATTCGGACCGCGATCGCACGCGCAGCCCACAATCAGATCTCGACAAGAGCCAGACCCTGTCACCCGTAGGGAAGGACCGGATTCGACCGGCCCCGATCGACATGAACAACCCGTCTGAGGGCGTGAGCCCGGTTTCATCCTCCGGTATGCCTCCCGCCATCCCAGAGGAGCCACGGACGCCGGAGAAGCCCACCGCCACGTCCGATGCCCCCGGTCCGGCGGTGCGGGAGACGACGCCCCCAGTTGAAACCGCGCCAGCCGCACCGACTCCTCCACAGGGCCCCGTGCCGGCCGCTGCCACCACAGAACCGGTAGAGGTCCCGCCCACCGAGGGGGTCCGTCCGGCGTCCCCAACCTCAAAGCCCACCGGGACACCCAGCGTTCCGCTGCCGACGGCGGAATCGCACAAGGACAAGAGCGACGACACGACGTATGAGTTTTTGGGAAATTAGACGCTGGGATGTGAATAATGTAGCCCTACTCCATGTGCCATGAGTGATGTATATTTTTGGTCGTGTATCATACTTGATACTTATGTTGGTAAATATTGATTTATGTTACACTTGTCTTGTAGTTGAGATGGTCTTGGGGCAGTTGTAAATGTAGTGTAGACTGGTGACACCATGGTGTATCAGACCTGCGTGATGCTACATTGGCTTGCAATGTGTCTATACATCTCTCAATATTGTAGTTATGTTCATTCTACGTAGACATAGACGGTCCCTCCCAGTCTACCCCTCTGGTCTAGGATCGTGGCGCAAGACCTATCTATCTATCTATCTATATCTACATCTATATATCTTGAGGGCAAAAATGGGTCCAGCATATAGTGCGACTGAAAGTTAGCACGCCTGCCTCATCTTCACAATTGGACCAAAACCACCAATTGGCGACTGATAGGGCCTTGATAACCAACACTTGATAAGTCCCTATTGAATAGCGAGACTGGAAGCAATCGGCCACCATCCATATTAGCTGACTATTGGTGTTTTCCCGCCCACATTGTCATATTGACGGTTCATGTTTCCGCATCTATTCGCACGGCTTCACAGCCACGGAAATCGCCAATGTGATTGAAGTTTTTGACTGTCTTCGTCGTTTCTTCGGCAATTCATAGAGGTAGGTAGTAGACAATGGTTTTACGACTAGGCAGCAAGTATATCATGCTCACGAAACCGCATGTCTTCCCGAGAAGCAAACAGCCACGAAATGGGTCACGTGGTGTCGATCGGTCCTCAAACCCGGAGAACGAAGGAGATGGGTCACAAATGATAGAGGCGGGCCACGCTGAGATCCATATAAATTGAGGTATTCCTGCTGCGAGTTTTCGGGGCTCCACATGGTCTGGTAGGACTTGGTGCTCGATTAGACGACATGAGCGCCTCGGATGAGCCAATCCATGTTATTGACCCCGAGGGCGAGGTGATCATATATTTGCGGCGACCGGACCGTCCGTTTGCCCCCTGGGACTATAATGGGAATAGGGGTGCTGGGTCTCCCACGGAGGTGGTTCGAACTGGTGGGAGCAACACGACCGTGTCAGCGAGGGACGACCGTTCAGGGTCCCAGCCACGCAAGAAGATCAAGATAGGTATGTCGAGAACAAAACAGAATCCCCTTTTGAGCCCGAGAAAGTTGACTTCGTCGCCTGCGGTAGAGAATACCGAGTCCAACAACTCAGTTGACGAGGTATACTCGATCGATTCTTCCCGTGGACAGGTTGGCAGAGACTCTGGCCCCCAGACTGTTCGGGCTGCAAAGCACGTTGAGAAGAGATGCCATCGCATTCAGGTCTCTGCAAAGCAGCTCAAGCTTCTTTCGCCCGTGTTCAAAGAAGCGCTTAGCTGTCTCCTGGCGAGTGGAGTAGGGGTCGAGATCACTACCGGCCCGTTTGATCTCGAGCCCTTCCTGCTCTTGATGAAGATCTTCCACTGCCAGCCCCAAAACTTTCCCCAACGAGTGAGTCTGGAGGTGCTTGCCCAGCTCGCCGTGATGGCAGATCACTACCAATGCAGAGCATGGATTCAGTTCTTCGCCGATCGATGGATCAGGGACATGGACCCCGGCTTCCCCACGGCTTATTGCCGCGATGCGATGCTCTGGGTGTGGGTGTCGTGGTTTTTCAAACTCCCAGCTGAATTTGAAAAGTCGACGGCTTTGGTGGTCGACCAGAGTGACCGGCTGGTGACCCGTCTTGGGCTGCCCATCCCGGCAGTAGTGATTGGTAAGACCTCCAGGATTCTGAGGTGTAAGAGTGTTGTGGTAACCGTCCCGCAGATCTAATCAATAGAACCCGAAGTCTGGCAATCTACAGAATGATCGAGCAAATGAATTTGAGACGTGACTATTTCTTAACCGGGGCTCGCGGATGCTCCTATGAGTGTAGTTCCATAATGCTTGGAGCTCTGACGAGGAACATGCACGCCATCGATCTATATCCCGAACAGCCGGGCGACCCTTATACAGGCATGAGTCGCAACAAGCTGATTGAGAAAGTGAGATCCTTCACCGTGTCACGATATTGTTCCACATCCCGGGTCCAGCACAAGTGTGGGATGAAGCCGTTCCCAGAAATCATCAAGAAAGCAGGGGCTGTTAAGGGAATCGACTTGGACATGTTCAAGCTTGGATAGGGACCGGTTCGTGGGCTGTTGTATGAGACCAGTGCACATTTGCAAGGAATAAAGTATCAGGAGTAAGATACATAGAGGCATTCAAATGTAGGCCTATTGAAGTTTCATTGTATTGTATTCGACAAGCTGTATCAGAACAGGTACCTTCACCCCTGAATGGAATTGCTGAATCTACGAGTTGTAAACAACAATATACAAGACGGGATAATAGTCCATGGTCGACACCTCAGGCAGTCAGCTGTCAATATCACAAACGTAACAAACTCCACAAACACAAACATAACCAACAAACCAAGCAAACACATCCGGCGCATCCACTGCATCCGACGGAGCTTCTTCTTCTCCCCATCAGGACAGACAACACACGACCAGAACAATCCCACAAAGTCGGGCACAGCCCATCCAGGGACCGACAACACCAGAAACACCAGCAGCAAAAATGCCTCAATCCGCCTCCGCCACCTCCTCCGTGGCCGCAAGCCCCCCCGCAACCCCAACAACCTCCTCCTCATCCACAGGAGGGGGTCCTCTAGGAGGGCCAGCACCGCCCAAGACCGCACCGCCGACGCCCATCCAGCCCACGCAATTCGCGCGGGTCTACGCATCCGCCCACCCGCTACTTCTCCTTGGACTGCTCGCATGGCGCTTCCCGGCTCTGGTCGCCGACCCGGTCGCGGAAATGACGAGTGTCGTGCCGTTTCTCGCTGCGCTGCAGACTTTCTTCGTTATGACGGTACTTCCTCCCGCCGGATCCGCGCCTGCCACTTTGACCCCGGCAACAACGACAGTCGGTAAAGAGGACCGTCTGGAAGAAAAGGAGAAAGAGTCTGCTGTGCCGCGGTCGGAAATCATCAAGCCGAATAAGGGTCCCTATCGTCGCAAGGCGCCCTTTGCTTCGTCTTCGTCGTCTGCGTCGCCTGTTTTGGCTGTTGGGAGAGCTTTAACCACCCGATTGACCGTTTGTCCCCCTTCTCTCCCCATCCAACAAAACAAATCAACAAAGAAACAAGCTAATAAACATATAAAGCCAACCCTAATCAGCCTCTTCCTCACAACCTTCCTCGCCACGCCGGCCCTCGCCCTCCTCCTCGTCCTCTTCGGCGCCCCCCTGACAACCCACAACGCGCAAACCCTCCTCTGCGCCGCCCACATGGCCGTCCTGACGTCTATCCCGCTCGTCTACGTCCACGGCGTCGACAGCACCGTCTGGAAGGACGTGTGGGGGTTCGCTCGCCCGGGCGATCTCGTCTGGGGCGGGGCGTTGGGCGCTTGTGTGGGTGCTTGGTTGGGTGCGGTGCCTATTCCGCTTGATTGGTATTTCTCTCTATTCCTTCCTTTGGGTTTATTTTGTTCCCAATGTACCACCACTGGTGATGCATACATCTATGCTATAAGTAAAAGCTAATAGAGACTTGAATGCAGGGACCGCCCATGGCAAGCCTTCCCGATCACCATCCTCGTCGGCGCATACCTCGGCTACGCGGTGGGGTGTCTCCTCGGCCGGACGTGTCTGTTCGGGAGCGTGATTGATTTGTCGGAGTCGGGGGGTGCCGCTGATGGGGATGTTGACGCGGAGGTCAAGAAGAATGAGTAGATCATTGATCTCCCCTCCATTCCCTTCATTCATTTCTTCCATGCATCCATCCGCTTTACAGGGTGTATGTATGTCTACGCCTTTTGTTCCATATATTCCCTTTTATTATATTATATTATACTAGATACCCTTGTTTGTGCGATGAGGGACGGTATCTATCTGTACTGTACTTCTTCTTTTCTTTTCTTCTTCTTTTCTTCTTCTTTTCTTCTTCTTGTTTTGTGGTGTGTAGAATAAATATGAATATGTATGTAATTGATAATCTGAATGTGGTATCATACTATGTATATATCAAATACCAAGTAGAATATAGTAGAATAGAATAGGCAGAATGGATATAATGAATGAATGAAGAATGGAGAATAGAATAGAACGGAGCAACCAGTGCCGAGAATATAAAAGATCATTATGTCATCATATCCTTTGTTTTTGTCCTCCCCTCGGATACCCTTCTTGGTCTCGACCAAGGTAGGACATATCTCATCTGGAGATCAACCAGATAGTAGAGTAGGACGGATCAGATCAATCCCCCCGTATCCACGTTCCGCGCAGAATGCCACCGCTTATACGGCGGATTGTCCCAGTCGGCGCCAGAATCCCTTGGGGAAGTAGAAGAGAAGCGCTGTTCCGTGCGCGCGGGCGAGGTGCTCTGTGAGTGGAGGGCTCGCTCGCGCATCCGCAGGAACTCGCTGGACTCGGCGCTGTGGATGGGGTACATCGTGCCTGGGGTGGCGGTGCTGGTGGTACTGCTGGGCACGGAGCCGCGGGCGTTGGGCATGCCCTGGTTGAGCTGCAGCTGGTGGACGTCTTGGCGGAGGGTGGAGAGCTCTGATTCGAGGGCGCGGCGGGCGTTTTGCTCGCGGCGGAGGAGGAGAACGAGGGCGCTGTACTGCTCGATGGAGATGCCTTGGGAATTAGGGAGCGGGGAGGTGGTTGAGGAGGGGGCGCGGTGGGTCGGCGCGCGCGGGTGTCTGCTGTCGGATGTGGTGGGTTTGATGGTTGCGGTGCTGAGGGGGCGGTCTTGGGGGGTAGTGGTGGGAGTGGTGCTGTTGGTTGGGATGGGGGACCGCTGCTGGTTCCGGGGGCGACGTGCTTCGAGGTGGATGGTCTGCGCGAGTGGGCATGTCGACTACGCGGAGTGGAGCGCGCCCTGTCTGTGGATGACGGCGTCGGGGAGGTTTGCATGCGCGCGATGGCGAACTCGAGGTCGATGAGCTTGACTTCGATGGTGGCGACCCGTTGGTCGACGGAGAGGTCGGGGTCGTGTTGCATGGCGCTGATGAGCGTGCCGGCGCACGGCACTATGATGCTGTTCCGGTTGTCGTTGGTGTTGTTGTCATCGTCGTCGTCGTCGTGCGCGTCCGCGGGCGGCTGCGACTCGTCGGTATCGTAGACGGAGGGCGCGGTGGATTCCTCCGGGGCGCTGGCGTGGGTGGTCCCCGTGGGCGGGCGGTAGGAGAGTTCGCTGTCGGAGACGGTTGTCCCGACGTACTCGGCAGAGGCGACGCTGCGGCGTCGCCACTGGATGGGGTCCATGCGGTGGCCCGCGGCCACGGCGCGCAGGGCGTCGGCGCTGCGCGAGCGGCGCCGGGTGCGCAGGAGGTCGCGCCGGCGGTCCCGGGCGGGGTCACCGGGCGGTGCGAGCGAGCTGTTGGGGCGGTAGTGGCTGGGCTCGGAGGCGAGCGCGTCGAGGGTGGCGCGCGCTTCCTCGTCCGAGAAGGCCAGACTGGGCAGCGTGGCGCGACGACGACGGGGCGGGCGCGCCTGCAGGTGGTAGAAGTCGTCGGGTTGCGGGGTCTCGTTCTCCTCCTTCAACGGGCTCCCCCGCCGGACGTTCACCGATCGGGGCAGGGAATGGCCCATCCGCTCCGTCGGGTTACTGTACCGGAATCCGCCTGGACGCGGACCGGGGCCGGCGGACTGGAAGTCGTCGGTGTTGCTGCGTCGTTTCCGGGTGAAGATCTTGCGCATGACGGTCTTGATGGTGCTGCCGGTGCGGCGGTGGGCGGAGGATCCGTGGGCCACCATGGGCATGGCATCCTGGGAGTAGAAGGTGGCGGAGACCCGCTGACTGTTGCGGAAGTTGTTCAGGATCATGGAGGACTCGGAGGGGCGGATGGGGACGAGCTGTTTGGAGCTCATGGGCGGTAAAGCGGTATCGAGAGGATCCGCGGAGGGCTCCGTCGGCGGGGTGGGAAGGGAGGGAGTCCTCCCGGTGCTGACGCTTCCGGACATGTTGTGATCCATGGGGTAGGGGATACAGGACATAGCTGGCGGACTTTATAGAACGACCGCGGAGGAGCTGGGTGTGACGAGTATCAGATATCGGGCGGATCATAAACCTGGCTGGTGGGGGTTAGCACTGGAAATTTCACGGCAATGCAGGCAACGGATACGGACCGCAGCGAGGGTCATCACTGATCGGGATCGAGCAGAAGACCGCATGTAGATGACCGTCGGGTTGAGGATGTGCAGAAGTCGAGGACAAACGGTGTGAGTGCGCGCGAGATCATGAGAGCGTACGACAGATCAGATAGCTTATAGGTAAGGAGAAAAAGAAGGACTCCAATGGCGAGGCATCAGGAAGGGAGAAGAAAGAAGTGAAGAGAAACGCAGGATCCACCAGGATAAAAATAGGAGTGTGGCTGAAGTGTGATCAGCTTAAGAAAAGAGAAACGAGAGAAAACAAAGAAGAGAATGGAGATAAAAAGAATGAACGAGAGTGGGAGCCAACTGGGGCTAGACTGAAGGAAGAAAGAGCGAAAGAGCGAAAGAACGAAGGAAGGATGAGAAGGAAGAAGTAAGAAAGAAGTGAGAAGTAAAAGAGGTCAGAAAGAAGAGAGAGAAAGGGATTGGAGAGAGAGAAGATGCAGACGGACTAAGCGTTAGTGATGGTGGGCCTGGTGGGGGATGAAGACAGCGTCTGTGCCCGTTTCAGCGTGTCAGGGGTTCTTCTTCTTCTTTTCTTTATAATGGATTTACTTAGAAGAGAGGTACAGGAGAAAGAAGAGTATAGAGTATGGAATATAAACAATGTGATTCTTCTGATCCATGGTTGACCGTCTATTAATAGTGGTTCCCCTATCTTAGTAGTATTTTTGATATCCAGATCTCTATTGATATTTATCATATTGGATTCCACCATACACAATTATATACTATACTATACCCTGTTACTATAATCTACTGCAAATAGATTTTACCTTCCAGAAGAATGCCATAGTAGATACTAATCCTGCACAGTTCCCCTCTAATTACCAACTACTGCACCGCCATCTGTCCATATCCACCTCCACTCTCCCTATGCCCAGCAATCCTGTCAGTCTCCCTCTGCATAAACAGGCCCATTCCTGTCAGTCTCATCTCGCCTATTCGACCAGCGCATCCATCAGTGAACTGACCATGGCGGTCTCTTTCTCAAATCAGTAACTCCCCCGGGCCCCCCTCCACGCCCCAACCCGAGCCACGCCAAGCCCTTCGTCGTCTCCACTTCCCAATCTGCCCCTGGCCCTGATAGCTCTGATATGCTGGGCAGGTAATTGTCATCGATTAAGGCTCCATCCCGCCAATGACAACAGCCATCCGCTGGTCCACAATCAGCGGAAACCTGGAAAACCACAGCGCGCCCCCGCTCCCCAAGGCAAGGATCGTCTAGCTCTAGCCTCTAGGCTCAGGCAGAGGCCATTCCATTCCCGCTCGCGACGCTGACCACTTTGATCATGGTCGTGAATGCGAGGATAACAAGATAGAGGTGTGGGTGGTTCGGAAGTGTGCCACGTTGCGCGCCAAACGCTCTGCCCGCCGGGTGTCTTTCTTTCCACCCCGCAGCCATCGGACAATTCTGAAACGGCGGGTCGGCCAGTTCCGTCTTCTTTCTTTCTTCTTTATCTTTATTTTTTCCTTTTTCTGGTTTGGTTTGGGTGGTAGGTTCCTTGCCCCGCATTGACACGGTCGGGGAGGTTTGGTATACACTATCTACGCTTGGCTCCTGGTTCTCATCACGACCACCCATTCGATCGATCGGACAGGGGACCATGGAATATGGAACACGGTTGAGGAGTTGTCCCGTGCGGACCAAACGGCTGTCTTGTCTCAAGGAGAACCGTCTGGCGTCAAGCGCTGGCCTCGGGGTCCATCGTCTCAGATCGGTCGCCGACCCCGCGTGGTTATAATGTGATGCCATGCGAGACGGCTGAATTGCGGCGCCTCACAGTAGTTCACCCGCGTCAGGATACCTAAGATCCGAGTGCTCTTCCAGAAACGCCATCCAGTGCTTGAGAAAGCTGCTGCCCCTGCAAGAATAACATGATGTTTCAACACGGGCCCGACCCAGTGACAGCTCGGGGAGGAATGGAATGTGGGGGCATAAGAACTTACTGGCTGATGGTTTCAGAGTCGCCACACAGACACAGATGCCGTTTGGGTCGCGTCATGGCCACTGTCCTCGTAAGCGATCGTTCGGGGACCGGTTAGAGAGGGACATACCATTCAGCCGACGTTTCTCCGCCAAAAACCCCACTTCCTTATCGCCATTGCTGCGCACTAGACTGACGACGACCGCCTCTTTCTCGCGGCCCTGGAACCCATCGACACTCCCCAGTTCCAGCCCCGGGAACTTGTCCCGCAGCATCTTCGACAGCACCGCTAATTGGCCATTGTATGGCGTAATCACGGCGACGTCCTCGGGCCGCACACCCGCCTGGATGAGGTTCTCCACGTGCCTGGCGACGATCAACGCCTCCATCTCGTTGCTCTTGCTCTCGCCGAGTAGATTGCCCTTCTTCTGGATTCCGTCGTCCTCGGGCTTTTCAGGGAAGTCCCCGCCCTGCGTGTCCCAGAACACCACGGGCTCTTTGGTGTCGTCCGTCTCCTCCACGTCATACGGGAGGTCTTTGAGGAGGCGTGATTGGACAGACTCCGCGGCCATGAGCTTCCCCTCGTACAGCTCATCGGACGGAAAGCGCATGATACGCTCGTGCATGCGATACTGCGTCGTCAGCATGCGCTTGATGCTCGCGCCGTGGATCTTCAGCAGGCGATCGAACAGGGTCGTTTCAAGGGACACGTTGGGCAGCTTTGTCTGTATGTCGCCGTCGGTCGTGTCGCCTTTGGTCTCGGAGGGTTTCGGGGCGGACTTGACCGTCGGGGGCAGTTGCAGGTGGTCGCCCGCGAGCACCACCCGCGACGCACCCAGCAGCGGGATCCAGCACTGCGCCTCCAGCGCCTGACTGGCCTCGTCGATGATGACCACGTCGAACTTCTGGTTTTTGACCTGGTGCCCGCCGGCGCCATGCAGCGTCGCCAGCACGACGCTACTCTCGCGGACGAGGTTGTCCACACACTTGGACTCGCGCTCGCGGTACTCCTTCCGCAACTCCTTCAGATCGCTGTAGATAGCCCGTCGCTCCCGCGCCGCCCGCGTCTTGCGGATACTCGCCTGCTTCTGGTCGATCTCGGTGCGGACATCACGCACAATGGCAGCCGCCTCGGACGTGTGGGTCAACACCTCCAGCGAGTGGTCCAGCACGGACGGCAGCAGACGCGCTGGATGACCGACGCGGACGACGGGGACCTTCTTGGGCGCCAGCCTTTCAACAATGTTATCCACGGAGATGTTCGACGGGCCGCACACGAGCACCCGCTGTCCTCGCCGCACCATCTGCAGAATAAGCTCGATCAAAGTGTGCGTTTTGCCTGTCCCAGGGGGGCCGTGGATGAGCGCGATGTCCCTCGACGCGAGCGCGAACCGGATCGCTTCTTTCTGGGAGTCGTTCAGCGAGGGGTCTTGGAACTCTATGTCGCCGATAGCTTCGTAGTCGGGTTGTAGAGGCGTCGTATGGCCGAACGCGACGCGCATAAAGTGGGTGTGATCCGAGTCGGTCATTTTCGCCATCTTCTCCATAGTCTGGTTCATTCTGTTCCCGTCAGTCTCTCTCCACCAAAAAGTGCCAGGGATACACCAACCGTCGATACGTAACATCATTCGCAAGTTTAACCCTGCAATCAAACCGCCATCAGCCACTCCCCATAAAACCGAAGAATAAGACAAAACACACAACCAAACCTTCTTCCCCCACAACTCCTCAACAACCTCATCATCCTCCTTCGCCTTTCCCCCACCCCCGCGTTGCCCAAAGGCCACCCAGACACTCTTCTCCCCAACAACGCGCGTAATCACCCCCTCCAGCGCCTTCTCTTTCAAACCCTCCTTCTCCTTCTCCTTCCCACCCTTCTTCACCCCACCAGAAGAACCAGACCCAACCTCACTCGCCCGCACCACATCCCCAACCCTCATCCCATGCGTCCCCAGCAGCGCCTCGCCCTTCTCACCCGCCGCAGCCGTCGCCGGGTCCGCGACGAACTCGCCGACCACGCGGCCGCCCATGCCCGTGCGGCATTGCGAGAGGATTAGTCCTGTGAGGGCATAGCCGGTTGCTTGGAGGGTGCGGCGGGTGGAGGGCGAGGCGGAGGCGGCTGTTGTGGCGAGCTTGGAGGAGGAGACTTCTGCTTGGTGTTCGGCGAGGAGGAGGGTTTGTTGGGTTTCGGCGAAGGGGGGGATGGGGAGGGGAGGCATTTATCTAGGTTGTTTGTTTTTCTTTTGGAATTGTTGGTGGTATGATGATGTTGAAATTGGGTAGGTTAGTATATGGGGAGTAGAATGGAGTATCCGTTGGGTTGTGGGAGTGGTCGTAGGAGTTGGAGAAGAGCTGCGGTGTTGAGTGAGGGAGCTGTGGGAAGCTCGGAGTTAAAGTGGGGGGTTGTGGGGTTATTTCCGGTGGAGCCTGAGGTGTCTATCTATGTGCTGTGCTTGTCTGCGGAGTCCCATTTCTCATCAGCTTGTGGAGGCATAGTTACTTGGAACAATCTAACATTATCGATGCTAGGACAGCATGGTTTACTTAATAACAATAATAGACTCCAATAATCATATGTAACCTCCACTCCATACCCACCATCATCTACCAGCCAAGACCAAATTGAACCCCCCCTTCGTCTCACAATCAACCCATCTCCCAGCAGCCCTAAGCATCACCATCCCGCGGTGTAAACTCCACCAAGCAGCACGGCAAATCCGGCATCTGGATGAACATCTCCCTGACGCGCGGCTCCTTCGACACGAGCTTCATGTCGAACATGCGGAAGAGGTATGTCATGACGATGATGGTTTCGGCGTAGGCGAGACTATGTTCATTAGCCATCATTCACAATATCAACAATGACAATTTAAGTAACGGATAACCGTATCCAACAATGATAGAGACAAAAGGAGTCATACTTCATCCCAATACACGACCGCGTGCCCTTACTAAACGGCACAAAGTACTGATCCATATCTTTGCCGCCAGGCTGTAGCCATCTATCTGGGTTGAAGACGCTGGCGTCGGGGCCCCAGATGGAGGTCGAGAGGTGCATTGTGTAGGCGGACATGCCTACGATGGTCTATTTGGTGTGAGCGTTGTTTGGGAATGTAGAGTGTCGAGGTGTACTCACACCCGGAGGGACGATCTTTCCTTCAACTTGGAAGGGAGTACCACTTGGTACAATCCGGGGTAGGACGCCCGGGACGGGGGTGCCTAGGCGGAGGGCTTCTTTGACGCAGGCGAACTAGTTGGTCCTTAGCATGGTCCCTCTCAAACCCTACCGACAGGGCGCATCAAAGAGAGGAGGAAAGGCCAGGGGAGAATCAAATACCAAATACTCATCCTTCTCCAGCTCAACATAACTCGGTATGCTCTCCAAATCCGGCAACGCCCTCCTAGCAGCCTCCTCAATCCTCCTCTTAACATCCTCCCGCCTCAGCACATGAAACAACACCGTCGTCAGCGTCCAAGCCGTCGTATCCGACCCCGCAACAATCATATCCATAGACTCGTATCGGGTACGCCACTCAGGCAAGCCCTGCAGCGCATCAAACACAATCGGATGGGGTTTGCTGTGCTGGGCGGTTCCACCCGCGCCGGCTGCCTGGGCGCTGTAGGCGCGCGCGCAGGACTCGGCAAAGACGAAGATCTCGTGTAGCACGGCGGCGGTGGGGTCGATCTTTGCGAAGACAGAGAGAGGGATGATGCGTGAGAGACGCCGGCGCAGGAAGCCGCCGTAGTAGTTTTTAATGGGCAGGTCGATGCTTTCATCGAAGGCGGAGAGAAAGCGGGCGGCGAAGGAGGTTTCGCTCGATTGCATCACGTTGCGGGATTCGCCGAAGGCGAATTCGCTGATTATGTCTACTGTGAGGCCTCTGGGTTTTTCTTGGTCAGTATGGATGTGTGGTAGAAGAGTCGTTTTGTACAAAGAAAGGAGGGTACCGGAGAGCGTAGTTCATTTCAATGGGTCCATTCTTGCTCAAACGAGTAATCTTCTCGGTCATCAAACGCAGCTTCTCGTGGATGATAGGCTCAAGCTTAGTGACCCCGACGCGGGAGAACATCGGACTAAGACGCTTGCGCAGCTCGCGGTGGAGAGCGGGATCGCATTCTGTAAAAAGAGAGTGCGGCGTGTTGTATGTGCCGTAATAGTCGGCATCCTTGGGGAAGGGCGCTGTCTGGTTATAGATGACTTTGTAGGCGTCGGGATCAGTAATGTGGAGCTGGTTGGGAGCGACGCGGAGGGCAGTCGTTTCTATCCTGTTAGCTGTGCATCTGGTCGACAGAAGAACACATACTGTATCGATCATGCTGGACAGCCAGGGTCCGCTCGGCGAACCCGCTGGGGGCTATGTCGGAGAACCATCCCTCCGAGATCTTGGCCTTCCAGGGCCCTGAAAACCGTGCCAGCGGGTGAAAATACACTCGATAGATAGCTTCGACGAGGCAGTAGGCAGTGTACGCTGCTACGGTGGTTATCACCAGCTCCCACGGATTGGTCTGCAAAGCTGCCGTGGAGATCATCTCGTTGCAGGGGGCATATAAAATGCCAATACTCAACCAAGGACCGATAAATTGGAAAGTCGACCATGACTGCAAGAAGCCAGTGGTGGGAGCTTTTTATAACCCACCACTCAATGAGTGAGCAGTGGAAAGCGCGGAGTTAAAAGTGGTAATAGTCAGATGGTGTGACGCAACACAGCCCATGTCGTCCAGCTTTTGAGGCCCGTGGAATTTCAATTCCAGCTGGGTCAGACCACAGAAGAAACACATGTGTCAGCAGAGCTTATTGACAAAGTCAACTGCGATTGTCTTGTGAATGATCAATGGGCCGTCTGTGGTGGGGGAAGGGCTAGCTTGCAGATGGCTTGTATAGCCTCGTGGACGGCCTCTTCTAGTTGGATTAGAGGCTACCAAGGGCGGTATTTGCAAGCAGGGGGCTTTCTGTCCTCCCCACCGAGTAAACACATCAGCCAATGCTGACATTGAGGAATGGAGGACTCGGGAGCTGTGTGTCCTAGGATTCATTGATCCTCGTATATGCCAATCGGGAACCAGATGCAGTGTAACCTTGGCAGAGACGGCACAAAGCGAGCAGAGTTCGGTAGTTCTCACGAATCCCACATTGGAAGTTTTTTACAAGTACCAACCAAATAATGCTGGAGTATAGAAGCGCCGCAGAAAGTCGCAGGCTTAGTCATGACACGAACTCTTCCTCATATAGACGATGATGGCTCCAAACTGGGCTGTGACATGAAAAGGACAGAGGGGTGTGCCGGCTCATAAATTCAACGAAGATATAGATTCGTCCAGTATGAAGATAGCAGCGGGATACAGGACTTGTAGGTTCAATGCCTGGAGAGAGGACAATAATGCCCATTGGAATAGGATGTGGTCAATCGTCTTTATCTCAAGAAAGATAAACATTATGAATACTACATTCAGTGAAGTATCTGTCATTTATGGCAGTGCACCTGGCAACCTACCATAAACCGTACTCTAGCTAACCAACTCAAAAGCAAAATTCCACCATCACTTCACATAACAATATAAATCAAGAAACAAATAATTATAATCAAGGAATCAAACAAACCACCGAAAGTCCTCACTCGCAGGCCCATCACGCAACCTATCCGTCGGTACGTCTTGTGCGCGCACCACGATCCCCTGGCGACGATTCCGGCGGGCATTATCCTGCCACATGAACAGACCCAACGAGGCAGCGAGAGTAGCTCCAACAGCCCCAAATACACCCACCGTGATCAAGGCAGGCATGTACTTGGGACGGTCCTGCTCGCGGAAAACATTGCTACTAACAAGACCCATGAGGTTCGCCAGCGGGACACCAACACTCGTCAATAGGACGCGACGGCCCTCGTGGGCAATATTGTTATTGTACCACGTACTGAGCAGAACGGAGGGCGCGGACGTGCCCCAGGTCATCATGAAGGTGGCGAAATACGCGAGGGGCAGCTGGGCGTGGACGTCCCCTATGCCGAGGTAGATCATGAAGCCGGTGAAGGTAAAGAGGAAGCCGAGCACAATAAAAGGGGCGCGCAGACGCGCGAAGTCCGAGCAAAATGCGAGTGCGAGGAGCACCACCGCCCCCGTGACGTTCGGTGCGACTGTGTACAGGTTCGTTTTGACGGTGGAATAGCCCAGACGCTGGATGATCTGCGGGAGGAACAGCGAGACGCCTTGAAGGGGCACGCCGAGGCAGATTTCGATGGAGAGGAAGGCGAATGTTGTCGGCTGCTTGAAGATGGCGAGCGATTCGCGGAGGGAGAACTTCTCGTTGACGACGGCGCTGGAGTCGACTTGGATGCGGTGAAAGGCGAGCGCTTTCTCTTCCGGCGAGAGGAAGTTGGCTTCGGCGGCGGAGAGCGGTAGGTACCAGTAGGCGAAGATTGCAAAGACCACGGTGACGCCGCCCTCGATGATAAATAGATAGCGCCAATTGTGTAAATGGGAGCCCTTAAACTGGAAGACGCCGAAGGCGATCAAGCCGGAGAAAGCGTAGGCAATGTTGGACGCTGCGTAAAAGATGGCGAGGCGGCGCGCCAGCTCGCCGCGGCGGTAGAAGGTCGTCAGGTAGTAGATGACGAGCGGGAACAGAGCGGCCTCGGACATTCCCAGGAACCAGCGCAGGGCAAAGATGCCACCGAAGTCTTGCGCCGCTGCGCATAGCAGCGTAAACGAGCCGAAGCAGAACATCAGGATGGGAAGCACGCGGGCGGGGCTGAAGCGTTTGCCGAGCATCGCGATGGGGGGTGCAAATATGACATAGGGCACGAAGAAGATGGAGACGATGAGGTTGTACTGATTAGGCTTGAAATGGAGATCTTCGCTGAGACCATCGGTTTGCGCATTGCTCAGATTGCTCTTGTCCAAGGCACTGCAGAGGTCTGGGTGGTGTCAGTCTCGGCTTGTACGTGAGTGGTCGGCGCCCAGAGGGTTCACATACACATAATGGCCAGAACGGGGAGAATGCGCACGTCGAACTTGAGACACAGCTTCGTCTCTGCTTTCGAGTCGACCGGTTGGACGACATCCGGAACGACCCCGGGAATGTCCAACTTGTCGCTGGCATCATCCTGCAGGGAATCCGCGACTGGCGACTTTGTATGAACAACGCTATCCGAGTCTTGATGGTCCTTCATATTATGCCAGGAGATTGAATTGTAGATCGAGGCGGGAAGGGGGGGAGAATGAGAGGAGAAAAGGGAGATAGAACAGACGCAAGGGATGAAGATGGAATCTGGACAGGACATTCAATCCTTCAACGACTCCAAGATAAGACGAACCCCCAACCTCGATCAGGTTGCATTCTTATCTCGAACCAGCAAACCCCCACGCTATGTTCTCCGCACCGTGAGGAGACCTACCCCGGCGATCGCCATGCGTCGGCTCTTATCGAGTCTGAGCCGTCTCTGGTTGGTCTGTCAAGCTGATAGGACAGCATATTAGTTGGATTGATCGGTTTGGCCCGTTAAGAACCAAGTTAGGTATCTTGACGATGACACTTAGAGTTCTTAGGGTTGTGGGGTTATCCCCGAAACGGCATAATGACCATCTGGATCAGGGAATGGCCCCCAAGAACGGAACTACCACCCGATGCCTTAGAATCCTACCCTAATCATGATATGAACGGTTTACTACACATTTCGTCGCCGCGCTGCCTCGGCTTGGATCTCCTCCTCCGCCGTTTCCTTCCACGACGCATCCCATCGCGACAGGGCCGGTCGCCCTTCAACCACATCTTCACTACCCCATTTCATGCGGGCCTGGTCCAGCGCACGGTCGGTCTCCCCATCGGGACAGACAATATAGAAGCGGCCCTTATCCAGTTCTTTCCGTAGCTCGTCCGCCACCTGACTGGGATACCAAGCGCCCGCCATCTTTTGGACTTCGTGTTCGGCGGTCGGCCCAACATTGCCCATCATTCCGGTCCACGTCCACCCGGGGATCACCAGATGCACTGCGATGTGTGCTGTGGATGGATCGGACCGCAGGTCGTGCGCCAAGTGCTCCGCCAGGCTTTTGACCGCTGCCTTGGACGCATTGTAGGCCGGGTTGCCGCCGCCCGGAGGGTTCGTAATGCCTTGTTTGGAGCCAGTGATGACGAGCGACCGCGCCGAGCCTGGCGCGAGCATCAGTGGTAGGATAGCGTTGATACCGTTGAGAATACCAACGACGTTGGTGTCGAGGGTCTGACGGTTAACTGTATGTCGGTGACTCTAGACAGGGCAGCGGCAAACCTTGTGCCAGTATTCGACGTCCATCCAGGGCTTCAGCTTGCCGTCGGCTGTGCTCTGTGGTCGGTAGCCTTTCCCGGCATTCAACACGACCAGGTCGAGGCCCGTGGGGAAGGTCGATTGGATTTGTGTTGCCGCCTCAGTCCATTTGGTACGGTCGGCAACGTCAAAGGCGTAGCTGGCCGTCTGGAGCGATGGGTCTATCGCAGCCAGCGCGTCTCGTGCCTTGGTGAGGTTGGCTGCGTCGATGTCCACGAGGGCGAGATGCATACCCTGCCGACGACAGAGCTGGGCGATGGCGAACCCCACCCCGGAGGCAGCGCCGGTGATGAGAGCGGTCTTCTGAGCTTGGATCACAGACATTTTTTTCAATCTGACAGAATTGTGTAAAACAAATGAAGAACGCGAGAGAATCGAGAGAATAACAGTGCAGCTGTGGATCTCGTTCCCCGCATCGGAGATAACGGGGTTAAGCTTCAGGCAAACATCTCCTGCCCCAGGCAGCACACTATACCGTCCACAGCTTCAAACAGAGAGATCAGACCGGCAATTGAGAAAGCATGGCAGCAGGCTGTGACTACTTTGCATGCCCAGTGGACGATCCTCCGCAATATCCCCCGGCCCCTGAAACAAAACGGGATTGTATTCTGCCGACGATGCAGCGGCGTATTCCTGCTGGCATTTACCCATTTAACCGACAGAGGGGATGCACTCCTTTACTGAAAAGATAAAAAGTGAAAACCACCGCTCGAGCTCTCGGGAGATGTGAGAAGAGACCTACAGACTTCTGCCGCCATAGAAACTTGTCGTAGCCAAGATGATCCCCAGGTTCACGTTCTTTGCGGCCGGGCTCGTCCTGCAGACCGGCATCTGCTCTGGCATGCCGGCCGCTACCATCGAACAGGATAGTCACCACTGGGTCAGCATCTGGGCCTCTATGCCACAGATGGCTGAGCCGGCCAACTTACCCCCGACACCATTTGTATGTTGAATTACACCTGCGCGTCTCACAGCTAACAGGTGCAGAACTCGACCGAGTCCGTCTTCAACAATTCAACCCTCCGCCAGACCATCCGACTGACGCAGCCTGCGAAGGAGATCCGCCTGCGATTGTCGAATGCGTTTGGATTGACAGACCTGGATATCACTGGGGTCACGGTCAGCCTCACGGCAGATCAAAAGCTTGGGTCCGGGGCTATTCAGCGTGGGACAACCAAGAAAGTCCTCTTCGATGGTAGCCGCGGCACGACCATCCCCAACGGCGCACTCGCCGTCTCCGATCCTATTTCTGTACCCAAAGGAGGAACGACTTTGGCAGTCGATATCTACCTCCAAAATGGACAGCAAGGCGGGGCGATCACCTCCCACCCTGGTAGCCGGACGACCTCATGGATGAGCTTTGGAGACTGGACAGGCGTCACTAATATGACTGACCCCACAGTGGCAAGCGTCGCACATTGGTAAAGACCCCCTTTCAAGACCCCTCAGTGTCACTAACGTAGACAGGTATTTCATCAGCAGCGTGGAAGCCCTGCTACCGCGCACAGCGCGCAGCTGCGTCCTCGTCGGAGACAGCATAACCGACGGCCGTGGGAGCGACACCGACGCCAACAACCGGTACATACCCTTCTTCCCTTCTCTCACTCTGTTTATGACACCTCTAACACAACAAAACAGATGGCCCGACCGACTCCAAAAACGCCTACGCCAGGACCCATCCACCGCCCAGCTCTCCCTCCTCAACCAAGCCGCCGGCGGAAACCGCATCCTAGCCGACGGGCTCGGCCCCAACGTCCTCAGCCGACTCGACCGCGACGTCCTCGGCCATTCCGGCGTCCAATGCGCCGTCCTCTTCGAAGGCGTCAACGACATCGGCGTCGCCCCCACAGATCCCGCAACGCAGGAAGCCCTCGGCACCCACCTGATCACCGCATACAGACAGATCACGACGCGGCTCCACGCGGCCGGCATCCCCGTCATCGGGGCGACGATCACACCATTTTCTGCGCCGGCGGAGGACGCGGATACCCAGCCTTATTCGGATCCTGAGAGGGAGCTCACGCGACAGCGTGTGAATGCGTGGATCCGTGACAGTGGGGCGTTTGATGCTGTGGTGGACTTTGATGAGATGGTGCGGGATCCGAAGGCGCCGGAGAGGTTGTTGGGGAAGTTCGACTCGGGTGATTATTTGCATTTGAATGGGGTGGGGTATCAGGCTATGGCGGATGGGTTTCCGATTGGGGTTTTTGAGAAGGTGATTCGTTGAGTGCTTGTGTCTGATGATTCGGGTTCCATCGTATACTTATAGTACTTATGGAATATTCGAAATGTATATACTGGACGGTTAATCTAATGGGTGTCTCGATATACAGTAGTCGTTGACCACTCCGTTGTATCATTTGTGATAATGCTGCGAATTGATAGGGACATTGATAAAACCTATAAGCATTAGGAGGGGAAAAGTGATACATTATAGAAGAGGAATTCCCAGATCAATTTGCACCTCGCATTTCAGCCAGCAACTTCTGCCTTCCAGTATCAAAGCTTCCTAGATAATCTCACCCCCCCCCCCCCCCCCCCCCCCCCCAGCATGTCCTTATCGTATGATAGTTTCACGCAACGCACGCACAAGCTCCTCCGTATTAAACACGCCCCAAATGTGCATAAGAAACAGCTGTAGGCGACAGCATTTCCGTGGACAAGCCCAAAGATCTGTCAAGCGGGGCAACACGCACATGGAAATCGCCTGATTTGCATATCGTAACAGCCAACTAATGCACCACATCTCGATCCTCATGCACCTACACAAATCAAGCAGGGAATGTGATTCGAGCAAGGGATAAGATCACGCTGATGTACAAGATCAGATCTTCACAACGTCTACGGTGTGTGCAACCCGTCCCTAAAACCGAACCAATGGCATCCACCGCTGACACGCGCTGCTGACATTGCTATTGATGGAGGTGCAGGCAAGAGACATGGTTGTGTTAATTAAATTATATTAAAGTTGCCGATCGCCCACGTCATGGCTCGGTGACGTCATTACCAGTGTCTCCCCGCTGGTCCTGTATAAAACCGTGGCCGGTGTTTACGAGTTGCCTAACTCTGGATTGATATTCTGGTAGGACGGACGACAGCGCAGGCTTTTAATTTTGGGTGTGTATACTCCATTGCATTGACTCTGACGAGGACAAACATTAACCACTCTCTACTCGGCTAGGATCTACTCGACTAGCAGCAACCCCACCCTCTCATCCAACACCTCCCACCACCTCTCGAGGAAGAAAGAAAAGAAAAGAAAAGAAGAAAAATGCCAGGATCCATCCACGAACGCATCCGCGAGGACCTCATCGCCTGCGAGCGACGTCTCTGGACGGCACTCACATCCGCCGATCCGGCGCCGGAGATCGAAAAGATGTGCAACGACCAAGCGACCTTCATGTTCCCCAACACATCCATCCTCGTGCACAGCGAGGGGAGTTCAGCGCTGGCCAAGACGCTCGCACCGCCGTTCCACCATTTCGACCGCTACGAGCTTACCGAGGTGCGCGTGCACGTCATCGACTTGATGGCTGGGACTATCACATACCGCATTAACGCGGTCCAGAGTAATCGGGAGTTTCGGGCGACGGGGTCGTCGACGTGGAGTCAGGGGTCGGATGGGGAGTGGCGGATTGTGAATCATCAGGAGACTTTGGTTTGATTTTGGGATTGTTTTGGGGTTGGGATTGGTTTTTCTTTGCTTTCAGCTGGCTATGTGGTACGAGTTATGGCTTTTTAATTATACTTTTTTGGGGCGAATTGCGCATACAGAGTGTACCAGTATAGGGTATTTCTTGTAATAGGGTTCAAGTCTCTCCATAATGATACTATTGAATAGGCAAACAATGTGGCTGAAAGGGGAGGTCTTCAACATCACGCATGATGTTACGAAACATGCCGTGGGAATCCGAGATCGAAAGACATTTAGGTGTAACATATCTTGACCTGCCTTAGCAGAATCTGGATTTAACCACATATATAGCCAATTTGCTTGTATGTTGTACTGGAAAAGGAGGCCTCCAATTTCTCAACCGTGCTCTGTGAGTGGATAGCCGAATATCATAAATATATAGAAGAGGGAAAAAATAAAAACGGCCTTCTTCAATTAGTTTAGATTGAAGTAAATATTGTTGTCTGTTGATATATATATCGAAGTATATTCTCGACTATCTGTATCTATATCTATATATCCAATGATGCAGACCCCGTGTATAATATCCAGGTATAACTCGTGGCTCTGCATGACACTTAAGACTAGTAATTTTTGATAAACTAAACAAGCCAATATATTGTTTTATATGATCTATGAGAATCTGTCCAACATACATTACCCAATGAAGTCAGTGTACAGGAGCTGTGCGACATTCACTGCAGTCTGTCTTTGGTTTATCACAGCCACCACTTGATGATGACTGCATTTTGCATCAATACCGAAGTTCAATATGACTAGATAGTCAAGTTTTCAGATATCACCCCCGTCGTGGACACACTACGTAGCATCACGTGCCCGGTCGGGACAGGATCGCTCCGATCATGGCAAACGTCTTCAGCTCCTTATTCCCCCCGTAACCCAATGGGATAGTAAATTCATCCGCAATTGGCCATAATTCGTATTCGAGGTTTCTTTTAACGTCCACCCGTCCAATAAGAAAAAATCGCCAACAGCCCATGCTATGCATGTACTCGAGCTGAAAGGGATCGACTCACCTTGTGGGGCAAGTGGCTAAGTGCTGCACCCCCGCCGGAGATCACCCCGAGGCTCCCCCGGTTTATCACCATGATTTTTCTCTGCCAACATACCTGAGCGTCAACTCGTGCCAGTCTTCCCCCCTGTATCTAGTAGCCTGTCATGAGTTTCAGCACCGCTCATGAGCCCATATGGGGCTACCAATGGCGGTCATCTCCCGTCTTCATCGTGGCCGCCATGGCCATGGCCCTGTTTACCGGTGAGCCACACGTTTGGCACATTGTCGCTGGACATATCTGACAGCCAATCCTCCGGTCTATAGATGTCTTTCTCTATGCTTTTCTCGTCCCGATTCTGCCCTACGTTCTTGAGAACCGCCTGGGGTTAGACGTCTCCCTGACCCAGCGCTTAAGCTTCTCCCTCCTCGCCGAGAGCGCCATCGCGTCGTTAGTGTGCAGTCCGTTCATCGGTCACTATGCGGATGGCATGCGGTCTAAAAAGGGCTTGCTTCTGGCCTCATTGGCCGTGGCGCTTTTTGGGACGGTAGTCCTGGCTTTAGCCACTTCGCGTATGTTTCTCTATCATCTCTTCCCGCAGACAATGGTGCCTGACGTATTTAGAATTCACTCTCTTCGCCGGTCGTCTCATCCAGGCCATTGCAAGTGCGTTTATCTGGGTCGTAGGCTATGCCACTATCGCAGACAACGTGCAGCCGGAGCATCTGGGAAAGACATATGGGGTAATCTCGTTAGTCGTAGCGGCTGGCACTTCGGCTGGTCCTATGGTGGCGGGGATCCTCTTCGAGGTGGGAGGCTACTGGTTGGCATGGTCGAGTGCATTCGCGATCATCCTAGTGGACATAGTGCTACGTATGCTTATGATGGAACGACCGAAACAGACTGCAGGTGTGTGCTGTCCCTCTGCAATTCCGTTATCAGTAGGGCTGACGACGTGGTAGGGTCACCCGGTGCTTTTCACGACGGCTCCAACCCCGAAAATGACCCTCTTTTGGGAGAACACCGGCCGATGGGGGAGAAAACCGGGTGGGCGTTCTACGCATATATCCTCCAGCATCGCCGCTTCGTAGCGGGCGTCATCAGCTACCTGACCTTTGCGGCGCTGATATCCAGCTTCGACACCACGCTCCCATTGCATGTGCGTGATGTATTCGGCTGGGGAAGCATGCTGTCAGGAATGATGTTCTTTGCGCTACAAGGCCCGGGGATTATTCTCAGCCCGCTGTGCGGCTGGCTGAAGGACCGTGTCGGCACACGGTGGCCGACCACGGTCGGCTTTTTGGCATTGACCCCGGTCATGTGGCTTCTGGGGACACCGGGCGACGACCGATTCCCCTGGGCGAACGGTGGACAGACGGGACAAGTCATCTACACGGTCTGCGTGACCATGGTAGGCGCTTTGACGTGTCTCCTCAACGGAGCAGGGACAATCGAGGCGACTGGTATGAAACCCCCTATGTCATTATTTCTTTCCTTTCGACGCGACTCATCCACCTGTAGTGACCGTCGACGAGATCGAAGCCAAGCATCCTGGCATTTTCGGCCCCAACGGAGGCTATTCGCGAGCCTTGTCGCTGGCCAGTATGAGCTGGACGGCTGGCTCTTTCGTGGGGCCGATCCTCTCGGGATTTCTGGTGGAGCAGATCGGATACTATGAAATGAGCTGTGTCATGGGTTGGTTGACCGTCTCCCCGACTGCACTGCATCTGCTAATTGTCGCAGCGGGACTGTGCGCCGTGACCGGCGTCTTCACATTTTTCAACCTTGATAACAAGGTGCACTTCGAGCGTGTAGGCGGACAAAGTGTAGAGTAGTGATTTCGATATTGGGTTATAGAAAAGTAGAGACAGGGTTGATTGTCGACTGCGATGTTGACGCTCTTCACCTATTGAACTACTATATCCAAAATTTAATCTGACGGAAAATCAACATCAGTCCAGGGTTGAACATGATATCAAGAACCATACTACAGACTGTTGTAGCCAAAGTTTTCCTCGCACTCCATCAATTGGTCCTATAACTCAGTTGGTTAGAGTGTAGAGCTAATAACTCTAAAGTCGTGAGTTCGAGCCTCACTGGGACCACATTTCTTTTTTTCGTTCTTCGAAGATGATCGAGCAATCTCCTCCTTCCGTCCCTACTTTTTCTTTTTCCCCCCTATATGACGATCCAAATAACTCGCTAATCGGCGTAAGACTACACAGACGTCATGGTGCTTGATGCCAAGAAAACAATCCCATCTCAGACTAGCACCTCATGTCTCTCCTGCCTTCTTCTTTTTTCTTCCGGCTAACATCCGACAGGCGGAGAATGGAACACGCAGTCTTGTCCTCACATTCAAATTTACCCACCCCGCATGGTCGACTCAGTACCCACCCACTGGCAGAGAAGTTGCACTGGTTAACAGCGATCGGCGATCCTCTAACGCCGGCGGCGACGGAGCTCGACCTAATGGTCCCTGCTTGCCTGCTTCCATTCGCAAACTTCCAACCGGAGCGGACTCCGCACCTAGCCCGGTCCAGATCGCCTTGCTTAGAATGGTCAATGGACATGTCATGATCTCTTCGAGGGAGCAGATCGCCGAGGCGATGATCGCTTGTTTGTTCAGAGCAAACTACACGCATCAAACAGAGCCGAGAGGAGGCGTGCGTATTCGTCGCCGTATATGATCCGTCAGGTCGAGGACACTGCACGACCTCGTATTAGGCTGCAGATTCCAATGGACTGGTCACCTTGCCAAATTGGCGGCGTTCAACCGTGGTTGACGAGTCTCCCTAAGGGGGGAGATCAATCCCCTAGCACACATGGCATAGTGTCTTTAATCTGAAACATGGTGGCTCCAGTGCCGAATCATGCAGCAATGATCATCGTGTCTCCTTTTGAGATGCATCTGCCTTGGTTTTTTACGAGCCTAGACCGAGCTGCAGGTGATTGCTCTCGCGGAGTTGACTCCTCATGAAGAGTGGATCTCGACCCTGAGACTTGCTGTGAGCGGAGAGCTTGTCCAAAAGCTGCGGGTGACGGAGAATTGAAGCGATGGGGGAAATCTCAACAACTGCTGGACAGGGTAGCAGATGCAATGTGCTAGTCGACTTAGTAGGCCACCATGATCAACTTAGTCAAGTCCGGGTCCAATTAATTAACCGTTAACCCAAGCTGGTCTAGAGAATACTACCAAGTCAGTCTGCAGTTGCATCGGTTGGGACAATTCCATCACCCATTGCATCTGGTTGGCGGCAGAACGTCCCAGGGAATTTCTTCCAGAATCTTTCAGCCTCGGCAATCGTCGCCCTGGCCAGGAAAATCCGCCAGTTATGCAGTGGCGCATCCATGGTTCGCAATGCCGACCCTGAAGTCTCAACGGTCGCCAGGCGGACCCACCATACTGTCTTAATCTGACACCACGCCTATTACAGGCCCAGTCACAGTGGAGCTTGTTAATCACAGTGTGCTGAATTGGGAGTGAGTGCCGTGGAAAAATTTCTCTGAGACTACCAAGTCAATGCAGTCGGGCCCATTGGATGGGTCTCGTATTGGACATGCATGTTGACACGGGGGTCTGCAACCTACAGAGTACATAGTCCGGCGGGGAGGGCGGTTGATGGATCCGGAATGATCGCGAAAACCCTATCTCTGCAAGTGTCTCTCCACAGCTGAGTTCTCTCGATCTTTCCTTACCTCCCCCTTCTTCCAGTCTATGCATCTCTTATAGGGAGAAGGATCCCCCGCTATTTCCGATGAAGCACAGCCATGGAAGATGATAATCAACTGGTCCCGCAATTGGTGGGCAAGACGTGGATGTGGCTCCCGGCAGAGCGGAGGACGCCTTCCACGAGGACACCTTCCACAACGGGCTCTTCAACCCCCAAAGGCGAAGCGCCGCGAAGGATCTTGATCGTCGGCGCGGGAATCGCCGGCATCGCCTCGGCGTTGTCCATCTCCCAGGAGCTGGGCCCCTACGTCCCAGACCTCCAAATTACTATCTACGAGCGCAACGATGTGCTCTCCACCTCGGGTGGTGCCATCAACCTGACCCCAGTGGCCCAGCGACACCTCGACCGGCTCGGCGTCCTAGATGAGCTCAATCGCCAAGGCTCCGCAGGCGGCGCCGATGTCGACTGCATCGAGCTGTTCTCGAGCCGGTCCGGTCGATCACTGGGCGCGATCGACTTCACAGACCGGCGCGGGAACAGCTTCGGCGGCTACAAAGGCCGACGCGTGATGCGCATTGTGCTGTCACTCGCTATGCTCTCGGTGGTCGAACGCACTAAGAACATCAGCATCGAGTTCGGCAAGAAATTGGTGCGCGGCGAGAATTTGGAAGACGGTGGCAAACTGCACTTCGAAGACGGCACGACCGCACAGGGCGACCTCGTGCTGGGCTGCGACGGAGTGCACTCAGCGACACGCACCCGCTGGGTGGCGCCTGACTGTCATTCACAATACACGGGCATCTCCTTCCTCCAGAGCATCGTCGACACCGACGCTCTGCAGTCGAAGGTCCACTTCAACGCTTCAGCCATGAACATCTCACGCCACGGCTCCCTCCTCACCAGCTACTGCGACCGCGATCGTGAACAGATCTTCCTAGCCGCGATCGTGCAGTTTGACGAGCAGCTGCTCTCCGACTACCGTCTCGACAACGGGCAGGACTGGCACACCCGCTCCGCCATCAAGCGCGCTCTAGCCGAGGAGATGCGCATCCGCTTCGGCAAGTCTGCTCTGCCCTGCATCCGCGAGCTGGCCTGCACCCACGCCGACTGGATCCTGTATCCGGTATACCAGGTACCACCGAATGGGAAGTGGCATACCGACCGGGCTATACTGCTTGGGGACGCCGCACACGCCGTATGTCTTATATCCCGCCTCCCATCCTTCCCAGTTTATTATATTCCACGAAGTGAACTAACAAACGTAGATGCCTCCACGCGACGAATCCGCCGCCTACGCCCTCGATGACGCCATCCTCTTCTCCCGCACACTCGCCCGCCACCGATACGAGCATCCGCGCGCCGCCTTCCGGGCATACGAGTCATTACGACGCGACACAGTACAGAGCGCCTTCAAAGCATCACGACGCATGTGGGACAAAAACCGCGACATGGGCATGCTGGAGGGTCGACTGAAGGAGTGGACGCTGCCGTTCCATCTCCGGCACTCGCGGGACGAGCGCCAGGCGGCATGGGAGTATGACGCTTCGGCGATTAAGATCCCTGATGGGGAGGGAACGAGTGCGTCCTCTTCTGGTGATGAGGTGTATTCACCTACTGGGGAGAGGCTGTATACTGTGGAGAAGGAGTTGAAAAGGATGGGTATTTAATTGTTTATTATTTTAACTTTTTCTGGGAGATTGTTCTCGGTTTGTTGCTTTTGTCCGTTTCTTTTCTCATGTGGTTATTGACCCCTACCCCAACACACTCACATACTCCCTTTCTATCTCTTTCCTATGTGGAACGACATGTATTTTTTACGCGTGTATATTATACTGCTATACCATGATTGCATTGCTACTTCAAGCCAGCCACTATCCAGAACTCACCCCCATCGAATCCCCCCAGGACACTATATACACACATGTAGGGATAATACCCAAAATCAAGCCCCAATATCAAGCCTTAAAATTTCAGAGTCTGCCCCGCAACACCAACAACCGCCTCCTTAACCTTAGCCGACCCAAGCAAGGTATACTCATACGGCACCTCCGTAAGCGTCCCCTCAGGCGCCGCATTCTCAGCACCCCCAAAATCATTATCCCTCTCAACAGCGAAGCCCTCATCGGTCTCATAGAGCGGCTTCTTAGTGTCGACGAAGACGTTGCTCTCGACGAGCAGCTGCGCGCCCAGCCGCGTGTTGATGCCGTCGTTGACGGCCTCGAAGTAGCTGTTGTAGACGTGGCCCGTGCCGAAGCGGAAGGACGGGGCGCGCGAGTTGATGTTCGCCCAGTGGTTGTTGGCGTAGGTGATGCGCAGGTGGCCGGTGTCTTCTTCTTCGTTGCTGTTGCTGTGCCCGACGAGGGAGGCCTTCCAGTGGTCGTGGATGTGGCTGTTGCTGACGGTGACGTAGTCGGCGGCGTGGGTGAACTGAGGAGTGGGTTAGTATAATATATAGAGAAAGATGGAGATTTTGATATGGTGTATTGGGGTCATACGTCAATCAGCCCGTCGTAGTAGTCCTTGTCGTGGTCCCTGTCGGACGACAGATCGCAGTGGTCGATCCACACGTTGGTCGAAATCTCTGCTTCTTGTTAGAAATCTGTATCCCACCAACCACTGTACAGCCAAACAAGACAGCAAAAACAGGAAGAGAAAAACATACGAACACCAATCCCATCGCCGTTATCAGCGAGCACATTGCGCACGCCCAAGTTCCGAATGATAACATTCTTCTTCTCCTTGACGAGCAGACCGAATCCGTCGAGCACAGCGCTGTCGTCCTGGCCGAGAATGCTCGTGTTGCTGCCGACTTTGACCTGGTCGGCAGCTTCCTTGATCGTGCCGGACACGACGACCACCTTGGGCTCGTCGTTGGTCACGGCTTCGGTGAAGGCCGCGTAGTCGGAGACGGTGGTTGTAGTGCCGCCTGCACCGCCGGTGGTGCCGCCGTTGAGGGAGGCGAAGCCGAATGCTTTCTATTAGGGGTTAGCATATTTCTCAACTGCCATCTGTGCATGTAGTCTTTTATGCAGGCGGGATGAGAGGGAGACAAACGTCATCAGCGGAGGCGCGCTTCTCGATGGTTGCGGTGGGGACTGCCAGAGCCTGTTGAGACAGGAGGGCAGCCAGGGCGAGAACAAGCTTATTGTGCATGGTGGCTGTTCTGAACAAATGTCTTATAAATGATGATTGAGTAGAATAGTGAGGATTGGACCGTTTGAAAGAAGACTGCTGCTGGATAATCGAATAACTCCTGCCAGCACAGGGCCTTTATATAGGTTTCTCCTCAACACCATACGTCTGTATCCATACTTCCCTAGACGGTGTTGCTCTCCTGACAATCAATCTCTCGGAACTCTATCCCTAGTCCACATTTGAGGAGCACATTCAATAGGTGGAGAAGTTTCCCCCATACAGCCCCCGAAGCAGCAAAGTCGCTTTCGGCAGACGACCGAGAAATTCCGCGAATGGCCTCATCCCGAGGATCCGGCCCAAGAATAGCCTTGTCTCAGCTACTCGTCTCAAGAACTTGTAACATGCTATGACAGGAACGTGGTCGAGACAGGAGAACTTCCACTAATGAGACCGGTTGTTTGAGATGGGCCGCGACACCCCTGCTAGCTCTTCATGTGGAGACTTGATCTGCTTGAGATAGATCGCTGAGACATAGTCGTGACGAATGTCGGCCCTGTCATGGTTCAACCTGGAATAGATGTTAGAGGTGGGATAATTTGGGCCGAGATTTGCCCACGCGGCTAGATATTGTTTAGGAGTGTATAGGGCTTAGATCGTCGTGGCAATGACCTTACCTTTCTTCAGGGATGCATCAAGTGGCCAATTAAACTTTCTTAAGGAGAATAAAGTCAGTCGTGCTGGATAACCCACCAGTCAGCTTGACATGACTTCCTGAGAGTTAGTGATGGGTGATATCAATCCCATCCTGGGATCATATACTGGGGTAGCAGGGGTCGAGATGTGTGATTGGTGGCATATTGATCCACCCCCAGATTTTGATCCCCGTGACAGCTTCTAGCTTAACAGGAAGCAAGTAGTAAAAATACTAGATTAATCCCTCCAGTGAAGTAGACAGTGGACCGTGAGAGTGATACAAGCCGGGTTGTGTTCTTCCAGCTGTGCTAGTGACTCCTACTTGACTGAACATATCCATGGAGTATATTGATTTCCAAAATTTTGACTTGGTCAATTAAGGAGTCTATACTTCAACAAGGATTCTTGCATATCTCATACTATCTTAATCAAACACCTTGGATAAACCTGCACTTCCCCTCCTGCTTCTCGACGGCGCCATTCTTCTACCCTTTCCATCTCAGCCCTCATTGCAGACCTCAACTCGTCTAGATGCATCTGACCGAAGAACTCCTTGAACTTGAACTCTGCCTTAGGCCCATACAAACACAGATGAAGGTAGTTCGCCTGGGTGTGGAAACTGGATTGCAAACTCTCGGACTCAGGCTGGAACCAGAGCGGAATAGCTTTTTCTGGGGCGCGATACAAACCGTCCGGTCCTAGCAATGTTTCTCCATATGTAACAAGCCTTTTATACATCTCGAGACATACGCCAGACCCCTCAAAGATATAATGATGATTTTGAAGATGGTGCACCGAGATTGGCGTCCCAAAAATACCAATCCGTATGAAGGCGTCGCTGTTGCTGCTACAGCGTCGGAGAACGAGTGCATGGATACGAAGATCATGATCAGTCTGTGACACCATCAATGGATGCACGAACAGCTCGTCTCCGACATTGACTTTATCAGGTCCTTCGTCAAACCAGGCGTAGTCCCTATCCGGGTAGTGGTGCACCCGCGGGTTCTGATCAACCACTATACCAGCGCTCCTCATTGTTGCTGGTAGCAAGTGCCCGGAAAGAACGGCGTAGCCAGAGCTCACGCCGGTGAAAACATTGCCTGTGGAATCAACGGGGGTGCAGACTGCATCTTCGAGGCGGCAGAGAGCGTGCAGGTAGTTCGTATCTTGGTAAGTTTTAGGCAAGTCACTCCGAGCCCAGGACCAGGAGGGTATGCCGGCGTCGATGCGCGACGAGTAACCAGCTCTATGGGGTTTTGCCTCCCAGAGCATGTCTTGGATAAATGTCTCTCTCCACGCACCGGCAAGATAGCCGATGGGCTTCTTTCCCTTTAATTGTTTAGAAAATCTCGTGGCAACACCGGCTATGGCTGGTAATGTGTCCTTGTTTAGAGTGAGCTCAAGCTGCGTAAAGTCGCTCACCACTTTGCGCCACAGGGATGGAACCAATTCTCTAGAGATATTTGCGCCGTAAACCGGCGTGAAGGCATGTTTGCAGCTAGAATCAATCCACTGATAGCCTGACTCGGAACTATTTGCGTCTCGACACTCAAAGACGAGCTCCAGCGGCGTGAAGTACAGCATGCGGCGAGAGAGGATGCGTTCTTGATATATCCAAGCACGCTTTATTAGCGGAGAGCTAACTTCCGGGCCTGACTTTTCTACAACCGATTGACGATGGTCATACTCAAAGAATGATGGATCCGAGAATCGACGAAGTGCAGGATGTTGTTCTTCATGCTCTTTCCCCTCGACGAGGGACTCCGAAATCGTCTTGCAAAATAGACCACCCTTGCTGTCTGAAGATGAAGCTGCAGCCAGTGTTAGATCTGCATTCTCATAGATACTGGCCATGTGTCCGGCCTCCCTCAGCCAGTCCTCGTTGTCATCTTGCACAATACAGAGCGAGTCAATCCAGAGAAACCGGTATCCTAGCTTTCGCGTGAAAACGACCGCATCTTGGAATGTCTTTGGCAAAGTTTGGTACGAGATGCCCTGCTCAAATTCGGACAGTGTTTCGACGGTCGCTTCTAGAGGCCTCAATCCTCCATCTGAGCCCCAGCGATGACTGAGACAGACGTATGCTTCTGGCTCCCTATGCGTCACATAGAGCCTCGTATCGGACGTCAACGGACTGACTCTGTTACCCAGGTCCAGGACCCTTGTTGGAAGACCCCAGTCCCGCTCTTCTAAGTTGCAACTCAAATGGTTTTCCCGGCAGTGGTTCAGATTTGAGCGGGTGAATCGGAGAGCTTCATCACTCCCCGTGTCTCCACATCGGGAGGGCCGTCGGAGAATGCTGTTCCACGTAGAATGCGAGCCTGTCTCCGTAGCTTTGACCGTCAGTGAAGTCCTCGCGCTCTTAGTGATTTGCAAGCAAAACTCACTTTCCGTCGCGACGAATGGCAGAAATACTTCATATTTTGGCGAGGATATCTTATACTCCCATTCTCGGTTAGGATTATCCTCGCTGGGCCCCGTACTGGCGACAATCTTTAGGTCAGAATTATCATGTGCTCTCTCCCAGTCTCCCGGTTGAGTATGGATTGGATGTAGCATTGTCAGTGTTATCGAGAGACCTGACCGTTGCTCGCTATCGAGAAACTCAACAACAACGTTTCTAAAGCCCACGCCAAACTCTTCTTTGATCCTGTCTGCGGCGCTGAAAATCAAAGCACATCCTGCACAGCCTGTTGATGACAAGCTCTCTGAAAGACGCTTGAGAGTCAGGGAGTGTTCGGACTCCGCCCCAAACAGTCCACCAACAGAACGCCATTGACGACGGAGATACTCTCTGTTCAAGTCAAGGCATACGGGGCAGTCGGCCACGGAGTCGTGGAATATCTTATTCATATCGACCGCCATTGCGCGTGGGCTATTTCGCTATCAATGCTAAGGAGACCGTCCATATAATCCACGACGTCGACTTCTGCCCCTAGCAAGCTCAACGAACAGGCAACCCCGCTCAGCCTTGTCACCCACTCGCAAACCCAAGTGGGGCAGAAAACGTCAGCCTCAAGACGTCTACTGTTGGTCGGTCACTGTGAGCCACTTGATTTCAATGGATTCGACCGTCTCATAATAAATCATGTCTATACCGTCAAACTCCACAGGACCCTCGTCACAGGGAGACCTCAAGCATTCTTTAGAAGCGCTCGCGAAATTCAACACCACATCTGCCCATGAAGACATCAACACAGCCATCGAACACGCAAAAGCTTCCGTCGAGGACCCGTCCAGACAAGGAGGGGACAAAGCAGGGGCTCTCTGCGTTCTCGCTTCCTGCTACCAGCAACGATATCAGGCCTCTAATGGTGGCTTTAATGACTTAGACGAAGCCGTGAATGCGATAAAAGCTGCTGTGAATATCACCATCCGTCAACCGCATGTGGCAGGCGCACAGGTGTACTTTATAAATCTAGAGCGCATCCTCTGCTTTCGATATCGTGAGAGGAAAGGAAAAATGCCAATCGAAGATTCCATCGAAATCGTCGCCCCAATGCTCGATCTCATCCAGACAGGTAGCCCGGGTCATGCGTTTCTGCTGAAGATCCTGTCTGCCTTGCACAGTGCTGGGTACGAGCATACAAAGGACTCAAAATACCTAGATGAAGCAATCGGTGTGGCACAGCGTGCAGTTTCCGACGCGCCAGTAGAGCACCCTCTCGGAAGGGCCCTACGTACGGAATTGGCCCAATCACTCGACAAGCGGTTCGAAAAAACGCAGCTCATCTCAGATCTAGACAGCTTCATCGGTATCTTTGAATCGTTACTCGCTGTCTCAGACAGTGATGGAGAAAAGTTCGAGCCCGCCCACGAGCTCGCGGCTGCATTCGAACGCCGCTATAAGCTGACGAGCTCCCCAGAAGATATAGCAAAAGCGGTTGAATATGGAACCAGTGCTGTGGAATTCGCACCGACGACGCCCCTAAAAGGCCATCCAATTTCTGCGAGGGACATAGCATATCATAATTTGCGGATACACGCCAAAGCATACTTCAGCAAGACAGGCAATGTACCGCAACCCAAAAATGGTGTCCTCGAAAGGGGCCACATTGTCCAGATGCTTGTCAAAAAGAACGCGAAGGATAAGGCGCAACAGCTATTAGGTGTCGCCCGCGCCTTTCAGAGGCTCTATGAAACGACCAACGCCATTCCCGACATCGAAGAGGCGCTTCGTCTTACGATGGCCGCGATGCAGGAAACGGATGACTCGCATGCGGAGTGGGAAGCCATGCAGGATAGTTTCAGGGTTCAGTTCCGACTATGGTCGGAACATACGGGCAAGATGTCTGATTTCGATACAGTTGTCATGGCCTTTGAGCGGAACGGTGGCACCTACATCCCACCTGGTCTTGTGGGAGATCTGGAGTTGAAGGTCCCATATATGATATATGGTGGTGAGCTGCCTGTAGAATAGAGTAGTTTCTGTTTAGAACAAAGCCAACACCTAGTCCCCTGGAGGAATACAATTTTCTCTTTACAGGACAAGAAATTCCAATAATTTTACTCCTAGAGACACTTGGGGCAAAGTGAAAAATTCCTATATTTCTGGTCGTAAACAAATGCTTCCAACCAAATATATATAGAATTTGTTCGAGACTGTTGAATTTTGATAACTCCTTAACGTAAACCGAGACTTGATATATTAAAACCATTCAACACTTATGATACCAATGTCTAGATTTCTATATTAGTAAAGCGCTAATCTGACCCTAGTAATGAATACACTGTCATGGCATGATCCCGAAATGGCAATATCAAAATCGGATCCACAGCCGAGGATGACACCATCCGAAAAGTGTTTCGGCCAACCCCGCAATTCCACTCTCGCCACAACAACCCAGCAGACATGTCAGAGACCTTCACCTCCATCCCATTCATTGACTTCGGTCAGTTGCAGGACCCCGAAACCAAGCCACAGGCACTCGAGAAGCTGCGCGATGCCATCTTCGTGGTGGGGTTCCTGTACCTGACCAATCATGGCCTCGAGGTATGGGACCTTTCCGTATACCCGCTGAACCGCCCAAAACAACAACTTGGAATCAAAATCAGATCTAAATGATATGCAATAAATGAATGCATGATGCAAATTGATACTGACCGAAACAGGACTTGGTGCGGCGCGCGCACGCCGAACTTCCGGACCTGTTTGCGCTGCCTGACGATGTCAAAAACAGAGTGAACATGGTCAACTCGCCCTCATTTCTGGGATACACGCGTCTCGGTGCAGAGACCACGGCTGCGAAAACTGACCTGCGCGAGGTACCCCTTCTCCTTCCCCCCGTCATCGAAAAACAAAACTAACCAAACATCAGCAATTCGACTTCGGCACCCCCGGCATGAAGCCCTGGTCCGAGAAAGACGACCCCCTCTGGCAGCGCCTCGAAGGCGACAACCAGTACCCGGATCACCCAGGCGCGCAGGCCCTAGTCGAAGAGTACATGGCTAGGTCAGCCGAGCTATCGCAGAAGTTCATGGAGTGCGTGTCAGAGTGTCTGTCTCTGCCGCCAACGACCTTCGCGTCGTTCAAGGGCGAAATGGACCGCCTCAAGTTCATCAAATACCCGCAGGCGGCGCCGGGCTCGCAGGGTGTGGGGCCCCATAAGGACTCGTCGGGTCTGTTCACGTTCCTGTCCCAGGATGACACGGGTGGTTTGCAGGTGTTGAATAAGAATGGGGAGTGGATTGATGCGCCGCCTGTTGAGGGGAGCTTGGTGGTAAATATTCAGCAGGGGCTGGAGGCGATCACGGGGGGTGTTTGCGCGGCGACGACGCATCGTGTTGTGGTGTGTTTTTTCCCCCACTGCTCGTTTGGATTGGTAAATGAAGCTAATGTGGCACAGGCACCGACCACAAAAACAAGACACAGCATCGCTTTCTTCTTGGCTGTGCGCATGGACCTGACTACCGAGGAGCTGCGGGAGTCTGCCGCTCATATTGTCAAGCGCATTCCGGCGTCGGATGATAAGAAGAAGCAGGCGGTTGACGTGCCGAGCGAGTTTCTGTCGCCTTTGTATTCATGTGTTAGTACTCTGTGCCCTTTTTTTCTTCGAATAGTATTGCTAACGGCTGTATAGTTCGGGGAGGCATACATGAGGAACCGCATCCTGAGCCATCCTGATGTTGGCCAGAGATGGTATCCGGAGCTGTATGAGAAGTATTCGCGGCAGAAGCTTCAGTAGACAGAAGGCTGTACGATGGCGGAATTCTCATCAATGGCATCTTATATAAGGGTCTCCTGTTCATTATCTTTGACCAATGTTAAATATAAGCAAATGCATTTACCCTCACTATCCCTGAATTATACAGTATCAATCTCATATGCAAAATAAACATCATCTCCCTTATCCCTACCATGTGTTCTCCCACCACAACTTCTCCCTTGACAGGCTAGTCCTCCAACATACCACATACATCTCAACGCAAATACACAAACAATCACTTAGACGAAGACCCCGCACAATTATCACTACACTTCAATCCGTACTTCATATCGGGAGACTTCCTCTCGCCACATGAACACGAAATTAATTGCGACGAGCCGACATGGCCACAGGCATAGGTCACCTGTTGAAAGCACATTGTTTGCCAGTTGAACGGAGGAAATGGAATTTTTTTTGTATCTGGAAAAGTTATGTTAGTGCTCGTAAAGTATTTATACGTCGGCATCTTCTTAAGACAACTTGCCTTGATCTGTGGGATGGTTGACAAATAGATAGCCAAAAGCCTTAAATTTGAGTTCTGGCACGAGAGGCGCAAGACTCAAGGACACCCCGGGGAGATAGTCAATTTATGCGATCTCGACCGCTTGAGCCTCTTGACTACAGTACTACCGTTCCCTACCATTCCATGCCCATCTGAGCTCAGCTTACGGGTTATCTCTTTGAGCAAAGCTTGGCAACCATGGTCAGATAGCGCGGCTGGCCGCGTCGTGCCGACGCCCGTGGAGGCTATTCGCCAGCCCGTCCGTGCACCGCCATGCCAACGTGGAGTTGCGTAGTTGGCCGATAATGCATCTACACGGTTGGGCTGGGCCTTATCTTATCACGTGGACTAGCAGGCTGGCATACTGGCGTGAAACTGAGGCAGATTATACTTCTACGGGCTTATTGGTGGCGTTTGTGTCAGTGCGGGTTTTGTAGACGGAGTTGGCTGAGCCGTGTGGCTTGGTTATGACACATGCGTTAAAGATGGGATAGGGTGTTGGTTTGTTGGATAGGATTTAGGCCTTGGTGCGATCTGAATCTCAATTGATCCTGCGATATACATTGATTCGAGATTATTCTAGGCTGCTGATCAGTTCGTTCTACTAGAGTTGTTTAGTAGGGCAGAACAAGATAGTATCTGACGTTCGCTAGACTAGAATATCAGTATGCTGTATGCAAGGACGCTATTATCCATACCAAGTGAGTGCAAGATGAAGACGCAACAATCAACGGGGAAACAAAGACGGAGAGACAGAAGACTGCATCGGCAACAGAAACTATAAAAACGCTGTCTACATAGCCAGGCATATGCAAACCAAGCAGATCTCATGGCCCGATCTAAGCCTCTAACCCACCACTCGACTGAATCAGCTCTATCAAGTGATCCGCCACCTCATTCCCCACAAGGTCGTACCCATGGGGCGTCAAATGCAACCCATCATCCCACATCTTCTCTTTGAATTCCTCGGAGGATGCATGGTACGGGATCTTGGCGTGGAGGTCAAACGCGTGGCTGCCATCTAGTCAGAATACAGTAAATGATATCAAGAGCCCGTCATATAAGAGACAATAGAAAAAAAGAATGCAATCCAGGAAAATAAGAAATCCTCACAATCGCTCCGCCTCATGGGCCAAGATGCGCGCGTTCAGATCCGCGCGCTTCGAATCCAGCGCTGCGTTCTTGGCGGCGCATTCCGGTATCGTCAGTGCTAGCACTTTCGACCCACCGGTGAGAGCTACGTTCCAGGCGTCCTGCAGCGCGGGGTAGATGCGTTCGGGTGCGTAACCGTATCCCAAGTCGCTGTGCCGTAGGGGTCAAAAAAGGATCAGCATGCTGACAGGGGAGTGGGGAGGATTAGAAGGGAGGAGGTATGTAAAGGGTGTCTGACTTTGTGCCGCCTAGGACGATCACCCAGTCATAGTGTCGCTCGCCACCTTGTCAGGTCAGTAGTGCGACGAACAGGTGGGGGCCATTATTGGAGTAGAGTAGTAGAGCAGTAAAGTAGTAGAATAGTGGAATAAAAGAGTAGTATATAGATAGTATTAGATCAGTAACGAAGATAGACATACACTTTTCCTGGATGCGGGGCAAGAAACGCCCTGGAGGCCCGATAGCCAGATCACCCGGCAACCCCTCGGCATTCACCAGGAAGGTGTGTGATGGAAAAGCAGCCTTTAACCGGGATTCGAGCTTCCATGCGTAAGGATGGTAGTCCAGACCGAACTGGTAGTACCCCGCTGTCAGGGAGTTGCCGAAGCAGAGGATCGACACGCGTTTGGTCATGGTTCAGGGTGGTTGTTGATGTTGGATTAAGGTTGTGTTTTTGGGTGTTTTTGGTTTCCCTTTTCCGTCCTCAGGCTCGTCTTTCTCCCCGTGGTTTTTCCGCCTTTCCGACCGGACCACGCCAGCCAGCCAGCCACTCTTGGTTTCGTCACTTGCCTGAACACTGGCCAGGGAGAAGTTCAACTGCCAAATTGCTACTATCAGTATTGATTTGCTCAATAACGTGTACTCCATCTATCCTTAACTTGCGCCATCCATAATAATCCCTTGATTATCACCAGTATCTGCCCCGCACTTCCGGTCCCGCCGGTGAATCCGTTGCCAGTTTCACCTCGTACATCACGTATATATTGCAAACAACCAATCGGAACACTCCAATACAGGATTCTCTCAGCTCAGCTCACCAAGAGACAACATGCCGGGTCAAGAACCCAAAACCCCCAGGGTGATCTCGCGATGCCCGTTGGTAGGTCAGCCCTTCCGATGTTGTCATACCACGTGACTCACAGCCACCCAGGACGGCAAAGATGCCGAATGGAAACGACTCGTCAAAATCACATACGCGGACCCGAATGGGGTACCACGGACGTGGGAGGCCGCCGAGATGCAGGTAGTCTGCCCTTAATTGCACTATCATCGCGTGAGCAGGAATTGATCTAGTGGACGACAGACTCGGCCGAAAGACAGCATCATCGACGGAGTCAGCATCGTGTCCGTGTTGAATAAGCCGGCCGGACCAGAACTGCTCCTGTTAAAGCAATACCGGCCCACGCTCGACAAGGTCGCGATCGAGCTACCAGGCGGGCTGATCGATGCGGGGGAAACGCCGGAGCAGTGTGCCGTCCGGGAGCTGAAGGAGGAAACCGGGTATGTTGGGGTTTTTGACAGCCGGACTGGTGTGTTGTTCAACTGTGAGTATTGTATTCTCTGTCCGATGATGGAAGTCATTCTGACTGTTGGCAGCGCCTGGACTCAGTAACAACTGTTTCAACCTCGCATATGTCAATGTGGATCTCTCCCTGCCGGAGAATCAACACCCTGTTCCTGAGCGGGAAGAAGACGAATTTATCGAGTGCTTCAGCCTGCCGCTTAAGTCTCTCTTTTCAGAGATAAAGCGGTTAGAGGGTGAAGGGCACGCGATAGAGACACGGGTCGTTGCTCTGGCCGAGGGGATTGAAATGGCCCGGAGATGGGCATTGTAAACTTGTCTCACATTAATCAAGATAATTACTATAATAAATGCAAGATAGAGTCTTCTCGACCGAGGATTACACCAAATTCCTATTTGCATCTGATACTAATTACAGCTTCCCCTGTCCCGCACTGCCCGGAACACTACCCTGAGCCTCCGTAAAAGCAGACGCGGCGGCAACATTCTTCCCTTCGAAGTTAACCAAAAGGTCGGCATCACTAGAGCTGAACTCCCCCGAGCTCTCGAACCCATTCACCTCGCACACGCGACCCAGAGTCGCGCTGCAGGCCTGGTTCGCCGCATCATCAGGCGACGTGAAGAGCTGGCTACCATTGGATTCCATGATGGTCGGGATATCCTCGAAGTAGTTTCCCTCGGCGAGAATATTGCTGCCGGAGCCGATCTCAAAAGAGTGTCCGGAGGAATCTTTCCAGTAGTTGTTTACCTGGAGTATTTTTAGTATGTTAGTGTATTTGTGGTGGGTCAAAGGAGGTGCCAAAAAGAAAGGGGGAGGGAGGGTGGAGAAGGGGCTATACCGCATGCAGAAGGGTGTTGCCGTCAATCTTAGGGCTACGTCCACTCATATGGTAGATGTAGTTCCCTTTGAGGGTAACCATGTCGTTGGATCCGGCGAGGTAGATGCCCCAGTAGTGATAGCCGTCGCAGGTGGCTGAATACTCAGACTCGCCATTGAAGTATGAGTTTGAAACGGTAACGCGGTTGGAGGCCTCGGTGCCGAGGACTAGGTGTTGGCGACCGATTCGGGCAGTCTAGTTTGATGGTTAGATTTTTTCAGTTCTAGAGAACAGAATCAAGAAACATACAGTGACGTGGTCAATCCAGACCATGTCGCAGTCGTTGAGCGTGATGGCATCTCCGCCCCAGACGTATTTGGGGTTGATGTCGGTGATAGCGATGTTCCTGTTGCCATCAGCATCATGCTTTCTCCCTTTCCTGCTCCTCTTGGGACTCCGATGCTCCATACTGGATGATGATATTGCTTGCGCCACTGACAATTCGCAATCCCTTTCCTTTGATCACACCGCTAGTCCCAGAGCCGACAAGAGATTTGTCAGATGCTACCGTGATTCCGAGCAGACCGGCGTTGTCACTTCCCAGACATAATCAGCACAGGTTCCAATGAAACAATGACATAACGGAGTACTCTGGAAGACATACTATGAGACATCAACCGAAGGCGCATCGGACTCGTAGTTAGAGCACCAATCGTTCTGGTTAATAGCCAGTTGACACCCCTCGTCTGTTCCCCATGGGGCGCAGCCTGTACCAGAAGTGGTGTCTTCAGTGCCGGTGAAATCGAATCTATAAGACGTGAGTCTCACACTCTTTGTTGAGGCGGGCTGACATACTCCTTCTCCAATACAATCACACGCGGTGAACTGTCTCCCAGATACGAGACGAGCTCGTCGGTGGTGCTGGGGTAGACAGCAGCGGCATCGCCACCGCCGGTGACGCCCTTGGCAAACCCTTCAGCGGCGCCCGTTACACCGGCGGCACTTACGCCGCTGATGAAGGCTATTATAAGGTTGAGTGTAATATGCATGATGGGTATTGTCCAGTTGCTGAACATGAATGACTAGGTTGTATGGGGTCTTCGAACTTATATCCTCAGCCTCGCAGTCTCTCGGCTTAATTGAGATACTAGATTCAAACTCGGCATTCGGAATGGGTCCGTCCTCGGTTGACTATTACCCGAAACTTGGATAATAGGGTTTATATCTGGAGATATGTTCATTGGTGGATTTAATATTCTACCAACTTGAAACAGCGGGATTGGATGTATGGAGAACATGTCTCATGGCTCCGTTTCGTAACTTGGGGAAACCTGGGAAAATGATGTAACAGACTTTTATTTCTCATACAATAATATTCGATCATGGTTGTTGGACTCAAATGCGTATAGGACTTGATGTGGCATTCCCGAGGGTCTAGTCGGCGTAGTGAATCTAAAAGGAAATATCGGTGATCCGATTCCACCAGTGGGATCAACAAGGTTGGATCTTTTGTGATCGATACTATAAGTGGACTAGAAGCTGCTCCTAGTCTCTGCAGCAAGTTGCAGACTACTCCGTCGCTCCTGGTGCCAGTTGACTTCGTAAGTTGTAAGGGGAGGTAGTGATACTCTTTCGGACATCCTCTTGATAGTAGTAGATCTAGACACATCTATTTCTCTTAAATAGTCCTTTTTGCGCACTACTCCTTCTCTTCCTGCTCCTGTTCACTTACTCCTTTATCTCCAATTTTTTTCTTCTCTTTTTTGTTCTCTATTCTTCGTTTTTACCCCTTTTCCTTCCTTACAATGGAAAAGATTGGGAAAGGCAAAATGTGATAAGCATGCGACCTGGCCAACCACAGGATTATGGAACCGTCAAGTCGACCGGAAATAAACCGAAAATAAGGTACAACAAGGATATCCAATTCGGTAAATGACACCGCCATTTCGATCCACCCAAAAGGGCGCTATGTGAAGCCGGTGATGATGCCAAGATTTGGCCCCGCCAACAGTCCTTCATCCCGCGCTGTGTTGGCCTTTTCCTACTACCCCTAAACAACACCCCTGTCAGCACTAAACATGGCTTCAATCAACGAATCTGCCCTTCAAACCCTCAAGGGCTCGCTCAAAAATTCGACCATATACACACCCGATTCAGATGGTTACCAGGATGCCATCCGCCGATGGTCCGACACGGGAATTAAGCAGGCGGTCATTATTGCCCCGCACCTTCTCCAACTCGAATGATGCATACTGACAGCTCAACAGGGCGTGGTAGCTCAGCCTACCGAAGCAGCAGACGTGCGCACAGCGCTCCTCTGGGCGCAGGAACACGGCGTAGATCTCGCCGTCAAAGGAGGCGGGCACTCCGTGGCGGGAACTAGTTCCAGCGCCGGCGGCCTGGTGATCGACCTGTCGCGCATGAACACGGTCACCGTCGATGTCGCTAACAAAACCGTTAGCGTTGGCGGCGGAGCCGTCTGGAAAGACGTTGACGAGAAAGCCGCCAAATACGGCCTGGCAGCAGTCGGCGGCACGGTCAACCACACCGGCGTTGGCGGCCTGACGCTGGGTGGCGGCTACGGCTGGCTGAGCGGCGAACACGGCCTGACAATCGACAATCTCCTTGCAGCGACGGTGGTTCTCGCTGATGGGACCACGGTGCGCGCGTCAGCCACCGAGCATGAGGATCTGTACTGGGCGTTGCGCGGGGCGGGATACAACTTTGGCGTCGTCACCGAGTTCGTGTTCCAGGCACATGACCAGCCCAACCCCATCTGGGCGGGCATCGTCGCGTTCCCGCCGGAGAAGCTCGAAGCTGTCATTGAGTCCCTCAACGCCACGCTCCAGAATCCGGACCCCCGATCGGGCGCCATGTGCATCTTTGCTCAACCGCCCGGTGCCCCGGGCCCGATGGTCAACGTACTGGCCTTCTACAACGGGACCCGCGAGGAGGGAGAGCGGCACTTTGCGCAACTTCTCTCCCTCGAGCCCGTTGTCAACACCATCGACGTGATCCCGTACGACCAGCTCAACTCGCTGCAGAACCCGATGGCCACGTACGGCGGGCGGAAATCGTTCAAGGGCGTGTACTTCCAGCCGCCGCTGGACACAAAGTTCATCCGCGGGGTGTTCGAGGAGTTTTGCGCTCTGAACGCCGCTCATGACGATCTGGTTCCGGCTATCTTGCTTGAGTTCTACGACATGCGCAAGACGTGCAGTGTGCCGCTGGCGTCGACTGCCTTTGCTAACCGCATGCCCTCGCTAAACGGACTGCTCAACCTGCGGTGGAACGACGAGAGCAAGGATGGGTTCTACCGCGGCTGGGCCCGTGAGCTGCAGGCGAAGTTCAAGGCGCAGTTCGATGCCCAGGTGGGGGCTGGCACGGGCGACGTGCCGCAGTATATTAACTACGCTGAACGTGAGTGTTTTCCTGCCGAATACTAAGAGATAATACTGATTTCACTAGCGGGCGACGTGGTGGTGAACAATATCTACGGCGAGAATCTTCCCCGTCTACAGAAGGTCAAGGCGCAGTACGATCCTACCAATGTCTTCAGCAAGATGCACCCTATTGTGAAGCGGGCTTGATCGCCAGGGGCGCAACTTCGTTATGTACATAGCATTGAAAGTATAGTGTTTGTCCGGAATAGGATATGTACAGCTTCCATGAGCATAATATGGTTGATCTTTATCGCCTGAGTAGTTCTCATTTGTCTCATCCACGTCTGTTACCAAGCATATAGCGACATAAAAAAGTTTTGAATGGGCAAATTGTACTCTTTTATATCTACGGCGTTGTCGAGCTACTGGCAGACAAGTGCACGTGTGACCAGTAACCCTAATGCTAGCCACGTGGGTCGACCAACTACTACCAAACAGTGTTCAAGAATTCTGTTACAAAAACAGATCACATTAGCGACAGCAAGGACAAAATTAAGCCCACTATATCCTGTCACTAACCCTAACAAAAAGTGACACCACAGCAAGCCATAAGATTCACAAGAAAAAAATGAATCAAATCATTCGGCCTGCCACATATTGCCCTCCGCACGCTCATACGGCACCCACGACTGCCGGAAATACCTCTGCTCAACAGTCTGAGTATAATCCATATCATCCACACAATACCCACCCCCACCAGGGCCAATATGCGGACAATGCTCCGTAGGCCGGAAAGAAACCATATGCTCATGGACCTCACGACAGAACAGCGTATTCCGGCGCAGCTCATACGGCTTGCCAAAGCGGATCTCCTTAGTCAGGAAATTGAAGCACTCCTCATGGCTGCCGTACTGCTTGTTCTCGCCCAAGCAGCTGTCCTCGTGTGTCTTGCAGATCTTCTGCGCGAGCATATCCGCGATCTTGGCTTGGATCTGCTCCGGGTCTGATATGTGGAGCATCCTACCTGCGTCTTCGACGAGCGTCTGGAAGAAGTAGTCGAACCATCGGAACGTGGCGTCGTACTGGATGATCTTACGGTCCGGGTCGAACGCGAACCATGTGTCGAGTGTGACGGGGTAGATGACGCCGCCGAAAGAGGTCATGTTGAAGGTTATGACTGCTGTTGAGGCTGCGATGTTCTGGTTGCCCACGAACTGCGTGACGCTGTAGTTGAGGGGCGCGCCGAAGAGCCCGAACCGCTCGGGCTGCGAGAAGATGCCGAAGACGTACTCGTTGTTGAGCTCGCGGCCGTCAAAGGTGCCGGTTATGTCAACGCGGCCTTGGACCTGCAGATTAAAAGCTTAGTAGGGGCTTTGGGAGAGTTCATGGTTTTGGAGGAGGTACATTTTCGGCAAAGACAGAGTTGTCTGTCGCGTTGATCTGCTTTGTGTTGGCTGGGTAGAGAAAACTGTCAAGGAAGTTGTGCTGCATTGACCAGAGGTCTTCGAAAGTGAAGTTTGGCGGAGAGGGTACAGCGAACCCGAGCACTGCTGGGAGGCATGCTGCGAGAATCAACGGGGAATACATATTTGCTTAACAGGATAAAGTTCAATCAAGAAAAACCAATCTTAAATTTAGGGACAACACCCAGGAGGCCAGGACTCAGACTTATAAACCGCCTCAGCTCGCCCCATCACCTGTCCCGTTTGCTCGAAACAGCCATAAGCCCATATCCGGAGACTTCAGCTGCATTTGAAATGTGGCGGGTCATTGGGGATGGTGGTGCTTCGGACCCCACTAATATTGATTCTCGTGGGACATACCGGGTGCGTCAGTCGTGAGAGAACGGACTTCCTACTATACCTGATCCGACATTGTTGGGCTCTCCTTGCATGCTCATTGCTTGGTATGTGCATTCCAGACAGCCACATTCCAGACGCCATCACCTGCCACTTGCATGATAGCTGATCAAGCGCATGGTGACCCCTTGCATTTGGCAATAATATGTGGTCAAGTTCTAAAGTCATTGGTGTTTGTGTCCCCCCACGACCCACCATGTCATATCATATGCAGTCTCTAAGCAGGACCAGCGGGACCTAGGTACAAGAAGAAAGTCACATAATGTAGACCAAATAGCGTACTGGGATGAATCGTCAATTTACATTCTGTACTGCACAATCCTACTATGCATACTTCATACTCAATTCCATCCATAATGTAGAGAAAATAGTCTACCTTCCAAAATATGAATAGAATCCACCATGGCTGTGAACAACTCGGTGATGATATGACGGAAATTTCCAGCTAATAACAGTTACATGAAGTAACCACTTTTAGTCAGCTGTACTTTGCGGGAGTACCTTAGGATCTCGAAGCATTGACCCGTCATACCTGGCATTACCTGTGCCCATGTCTTGGGAAAGTGGGCCTATAAACCAGGCAAAATCCCCACTGTCTTCTATACCTCCTTCTTCGAGCTAAGCACATTAAAAAGGAAAAGTACAATACAGCACAAAATGCTTTGTACAGGCCGTCGACGATCTCAATGTGAGGTGCAATAGCTACGCCAGCTTGGTCTCCAGTATGTTTGAAGCTATACAACAGCCGACTATCCGATACCACACACGAACCTAAGTAGACAAAGAACTAATGTAAGCATTTCAAATCCGAGTATATACTGTTAGCCATCTAGTCGAGGGCGGGGCTCTTGTAAACCATGATCCCATTTAATTTGTTGGGGAGAAGCCATATACATCATATACTGGATTTGCGAGAAACAGTTTGAGATTACGCATTTCCAGGACCAACGAACGTTACACAATATAGAAGAATGTTTCAAAAGATCGAATTCATAATCATCGCAAGGAACAAAACAAAAACCACGAGCTAGACCCCATTGGTAAACCCACTCCCCCCAGCCTCGGTATCAATTGTCACTGAATCCATCAACCCACAGATCTCAAACAATTTCTTAGGGCCCAGTCCATCCGGAGTCCCCACCACCCCGTCAGTCTTCAAACGCTGCAACGCTGCCCTAATACCCAAATAAGCCGGCGCAAGGGACGCAAACGAGAAAATCATAATTCTGAAACCCATCGCCTGGGCCTCCTGCGTCGTGATCACGGGGCCCGCGCCATTCTCCACCATGTTCAACAGCAACGGCCAAGGGGCGAGGTCTTCCACCGCCTGCTGTGCCTGTTCCTTGGAGGTGAAGCCCTCGAGAAGGCCTACGTCGGCGCCGAGTTCGCGGGCGGCTTTGAGACGCCGAATGCACTCGTCGTAGCCGTGCTGCTGGAGTGCGTCCGTGCGTGCGATCAGCACGATGTCTGAGCGTAGGCGGTCTTTGGTTAGCTTGGCGGCGCGTATGCGCGTCAAGTACTCCTCGATGTCGACGACCTTCTTGCCGGCTAGATGCCCACAACGCTTGTTCTGAATCTGGTCTTCAATGTGGAAGCCTGCGACGCCGGCTTGAATGTACTGCTGGACGGACTTGGAGACCATGAGGGGACCTGGCTCGGTTAGAATCTCTTTTTTCTATGGGGGGGGGGGGGATTTGTCTAGAGATAGATGGGGTGCTTGGTACCTCCATATCCCGTGTCCATGTCCGCTATCAGTGGAGGACCGTACGGATCCAGGTTGGCTATCATCTCCGCGTTGGTCCTCATGTCGTGAAGCTGGGCTAGACCTAGGTCCGCCATGCCCAGGCGAGATGCCGTAGTCCCAGCTCCTGTCTGTCAGGGGTTCAGTATGGGTTGTTGTGGCAAGGAAGTGCTCAGACATACCATGTATAGGGCCTTGAAGCCCAGATCCATGGCAATACGGGCCGACAGCCCGTCGTACACACCAGGGCAGACGATCAGTTCACTCGTGTCCCGGAGCTGACGACGGAGCTTACTGGCGCCAGCTAGCAGGTGCATAGAGACAGAAGGCTCGTGCCTGGTGCCGTTGACTTCGTAAAAGCCGTCTTTTTCCACCGTGATGGTGATGGCCAAGTTGGGTGCCACTTCGGTCTTCATCTTCAGTGTCTGTAATGAGCTTGTGAAAAGAATGGAAGATGATGGGAGAAGTTGCATCACTGAAGGGGTTCCGAAGGCCCTATTTATACCCCTTTTCTCTTGCTCATGTCTTCTTGGGTAGTATCCGTCCGTGACTCTCAGTAATGGTCATATCTCTGATCATTCAGCCGCGGAGCGATTCGATATCCTGCCAATATAATTTAATCACGCCATTATTTACCAATGGCTTCCGTTGTTCACCCTCCGATAACCATGTGTTTGATTGTCTTGTATACCCCGGCACATTAGCTGCGCCGAGACGCAGCTACTATATTCGAAGTTGTGGCTTCCACGGGGACCCCGTGTTCGAGTGGCCGTTTCACGACCCCCACGGCCCCCACGGCTCTGGCATCATTTTCCTCTCCCTCATGACTCAAGTCCAGAATTAACCAAAGCCGGGTTGTATCAATAGTGTTCAGATGTTGTAATGTCATCTACAATCAGCAGCCGAACGCTCACGGAGTAGAAGTTCGCAGCATGCAGTGCCATCACCGTGATTAAGCGCTACGTTACATGCGGTATAACTCTGGCTGGATTCCCCAGTCAAGGTAGTTCAATGGCCAGGGACAGACCTAGAGACATTTTTTCGGCGCTTACCTCGCACTGCAGCATGGCTCAGCCTCTGTCCATTTTCTTGGCCCGCAGGACAAGAAAATGCCGAGCCCTCGCGGAGACCGCCAAGAGTGTCAGAAACAAGTCATAATCGTCTTAGAAAGGGCTTCCTGCGATGGAGAAGGCCCGCTTCTTTTGCATTGTGTGAATCTTGGCTTTGCGGGGAACGCGAACGGAGATAACCGACGCAGGCAATAATAACCTCCGTGCCTGGTTTGAATGTGAAATAAGATCTGTATCAATTGACCTAAAGGCGAGTTCCCGCCAGGCGTCAACGTGAGCTGACCCGGAAAGGTCCCCGCCGGCGAGGTTGGTCCATTTCGTGTGACACGGGATTCACAAGCTCGGCGGGATCAAGTCTTTCCATGCTGCCTTCGAGGTAGCACAGCCATCCCAAACGCCATGTGAGCCATTGGATGCTGCTGCGGGCATGTGTACATCAGGATGTCGGAGGACGGCTGGTCCGAGCCTTGTCATTTACAGGGCCAAGACCCTTGGCACTGCTCGCTCTTCTTTTTGGCTTGTCTCCACGCTCAGCTTGACAATCTAGTCACGGGCCGTCCCGGACGAATGTGAATGGTGAGCTTCGGAGAACGCCCTGATCGACAAGGAGAGGAAATTTCTGCTTTCGACCGATTGGTCTGTCCTTATCAGTGCAGAATTCACGAGGTCTAATGCTGTCTTGGCTCTTGCAAACGTTGTATCCAGGCTTCTTGGCGGTGGCTATATTGTCTCAGGCAATTGAACCGGTAGTAGAGGGTTAAAACCTTCTTCCCACCTCATATTCGCTGTATAGTCTGGGTGCATCATCTCCTCCTATTATCCATTTTTCCAAACTGCACTGTATTCTCATCCGCGCTGCTCGACTTCTTTCATTTGAGAATGGCCACTCATAGAAAAGGTGGAAAGCTCTCCTCTTTTCTCCGCACAGAAATCCATGCCCGCCACGCGGACATCCCTCTTTTTGCCTGCTGTCTCAGCTCAGGCCTGATAGACAGCACCATCTACAACGGTAAGTACATGTCGAGGAAGGAGGTGGGTGGGAGGTTGCGACGCCAAGCTAAATAAATTAATCTCAGCTTATACCACCTTCGTCTCGATGCAAACCGGTAAGGTTCCATGCGATTTCCCTCCGATTTTCCCTCCGATTTCCCGCGCGCCGATCCCGCTGACGAAATGGCGGGGTTCAAAACGCAGGAAACACTATCTTCGTTGGCCTAGGCGCTTCCAATCAGAACCCTAGACCATATGGCTGGGCACGCTCGCTAACTTCCATTGGCTGTTTCGTGATCGGGTCGTTCTTCTTCGCAAGACTCCACCGACTTCTTGGTGCCAAGCAGAGACTAACCCTAATTGTCTCCTTCTTTCTTCAAGCCCTTATGGTAGTGATCACGGCAGGCCTCGTCCAAGGTGGTGTCATAGCCGGCGCACCCCCTGGGAGCTCGCTGCATAATGCTGAAACGCAGTGGACACATGAAGTGCCCATTGTCCTGCTGAGTATTCAGTCGGCGGGGCAGATCGTCGCCAGTCGGTCACTGGGTTTTAACGAGATCCCCACTGTTGTTATTACTAGTCTTTTGTGTGATCTGATGTCTGATCCAAAATTGTTTTTGCTGCGGAATGAGAAACGCGATAGGAGGGTCGTCGCGTTTGTGCTTACTCTGGTTGGTGCCATTGCGGGAGGTTGGATCACCAAGGCAACGGGGAACATATATGGGGTATTGTGGTTGGGAGCGGGGATCAAGTTGTCTATCTCTGCAGCTTGGGTGTTTTGGTCCAAGATTTGAGTGGGAAAGAGATGGAGGTTTACAATGCAAGAGATGGAGGTGGGTGAATCTGCCGGCGACTCGTGACTCGTGGCTCGTATTGCTCTTTGTAATTCCACTCACTGCTCGTTATGCCCACGCTTTACTGCCGCCTTAGCTTGGTCCTTGGACTAGGGCTAAGATGGACATATCAGATATGCATGGAGATATATGCAGGACGGGCCAATCTCAATTCCTATAAATATTCCCCAACGTTGCCCAAGACTACGCCGTTCACCCTGTATGGAATCTTTGTTTCTTTCTCATTCTACCTATTCTACAGAAAACTTCATCCCAACCTCTTCTCCATCTCTACTCCCAACCATATTACTTCCTTGTTTAAGCGGTTCCCCATGTTAAAGCTTATATGTAAATAGACCTTCCAACAACAGTATTCCTTGAACTAGATAGAATAGCAACTAGTGAGATAAATCAAATCCAATTTAAGAGTTAAACTAGAACAAGAAATTTGTAACTTTGACGGAATCAACCAAAGAAATTAAGTACTTTTCGGTGGCTTTTAGCCAAATCCATACGTCTCTTTCCATCTCTCACATTAGGTACGTCGTAGGATATGATAAGCCCGGGTGCAACCAGAATGTCGCCATACCATCATTGCATACTGAGATGGCTATATTAAAATCGACACTGCATTCTTGTCGGTCTTCAACACTGAGTAATCGATGTCCTCGTAGTCGTCTTTTTCCTTTGAGTACTTCTCGAACTCATCATCGCTATAGTAGAGTGCTTGGTAGAAATCATTGAGCACAGCTGCGAGCTTTGGGTTCGGGGGGTGTGAAGTAGCACAGGTCCACGCCGAATGAACACACGCCATCAGCGTCTGCTCTTCTTGTGGTGGGAAGCTGAGGAGGTATGGGACATGGGAAGAAAGAAGCCACTCATGTGGACGGTTCATAGGGAGAGCCTTGACAAGATCTGTCTCGGTGTACTGGAGGAGATCCTCTAGCGAGTTTGGAGGCTTCTCGAAAAGACAGGACGGCTTGTTGATCACAAAATCCTGGTAGTAGTCTTGCAGGTAATTGACAGCGCTATGCTGAGGCGACGCGATGTGGATACACATGGTCACGCAGTCGACGAGCTCCGCGAACGTGGTAATACTGGGGAATTCTCGCAAGTCAGCGCCATCTGGAGATCGCATTTCTTTACACCATTCCTGGATACAGGCGTCTTTCTTGACACGGGTATCAGCATCCGCTTCTGGGTAGGCCAGTGAAAGCCGTGCCTCCACATAGTCCCTGATCTTTTTCCACATGCTGTTGATGCATCTGGCGTAGGCATAGTTGTGAAACTTTGGGGAGTCCAGATCCTCTGGAGGGAATCCCCGTCTGCGGAGATCCCTTGGTACATAACTATTTTGAAAGTCAAAGGTCCTGTACTCGTCCCTGATGAACGCAAGGGCTTCGTCTTGTTTGAATCCGATGATCTGAAGAATGACGGAGGGGACGAGGGTGCCTCGTGCAGCCCCGTTGAGTGCCAGGGTCTTCTTCCAGTGCAGATGAAGGATCTCAAAGACAGGGTGATCGGAATCGAATTGTCTGTTGGCAGAAACAATTATCGACTCTTCAATCAGATGAGTACGGGTAAGGTGCACGGTGACTTCATGCCGAAACCAGTCACTACATTGCACACATGTCTTGGCTATATCGGGACCAAAAAGTCAGCACGCAGCATAGAAGACATATTTGGTGCGAGGTCTTACCGTATCTCCAAGGCCAGTCAGTTTTTTCATGATCTTCGGTTGTCTCATCCTTTCGATCCTGCAGTTCGCTTCCCGACCGGATATTCGTGCGCTTGAATAGTTCCCGGTTGTAGATTGTCACGGATTTCTCGAGACTACCTCGCCAATCGATGACGATAGCTAGCGGGTAAAGCTGGCCATTTTCATTGAGAAAGAAAAGACACACCGATGCGCAACCGTAACGATAGCTTTTCTCATTATTATTGTTGGCTTCGCCCTCACATTTGATGTCAGCAGCCGACTCCATACCAGCAGCCTTGCGAAAGTAGCTGTAATCCTGCACGTAAAAGGACTCTCGGCAGCTGGTACTGAGTTTGGCGATGGTCTCCCTAGCGACTGCATCATCTGGTGTCTTTGCAGCTCGGATGAAGTGATCTATCCAATCATTGGAAGTCCGTTCAATTGTTGTGGGGTTTGTCCCTGTGAATTGCTGTTGAGAAAACCGGGCGTCACTGTACCAGTCTTTTAAATCGCCCACGTTTGACCGATCGAATATATCTTTGAAATACCAGTTTTCCCTAGCGTTCTTCTGGTATTTTTCCACCTCCGCTATCGTGTTCCCTTTATAGGGCTCGCCCGTGATGTACGTTGGCACAACGCCTTTCATGATCAACAACAACGTCGGTAAGCTCCACAAGTCAAAGAGGCTCCATGGCCCAAGGTCTGATCGATTGTCCCAGTCTTCCTCGTCGTTCTCTGCCCAGTCCCTATTCAGGCCAAGGTTTATATGAGGCGGATAAGAGTCATCTTTACTCTTTGTGAACACAAAGAACTTTTGCTTGTATTCCTTGGTCATATTTACTGGGATCGAAGGCTCGAGCTGGGCCATATCCGTGAAGGCCATGTAACTACCCAGCAGATTAGCAACATTCGACGAGCAAGATCAAAGCTTTGACGCAAGTACCGCTGTTCTATGAGATCGTAGACCTTAGTCAAGGCCAGCCGGGTCCCCCGATATGTCCCTTTCTCAATCCTGGTAGGCACCTTTTTTTGCGCGAGCGCCCAAATTTAACTTTCTGGGTTCATCGCAAAGGCCTTCCGCTGGGGGGGGTCCAACGTGGTCATCTTTGGCAAAAGGTTCAACTTTGCCAATTCACTGACGAGTGCACCCGCGTCTAGGTCGTTGGCAACAACTTCTCTGGGGTCCTTGGGCCATTTTCTCGGAGTGTCGGGATTATCAGGCCCCGCCTCGAGTGCGGAGAGGTTTCGAACCATGACTGTTGGGATAGAAGCGTAATGATTGACAAATTTTGGCACAATTCAGATAGCTGCTAACCACTCAGTTGATTAAAGAAGAGAGTGACATGGGACTCAAGAGACTTAAGTATGCCAGATTCCGCATGGAAAGAGTGGATCTTATCAGTCCTGTTATTGCCTCCTGATGCCATGGCTGTGTCTGGAACTGTACTAACAATTGATGCAATTTACTACGCTGCTGTCGTATCTCACATTACCTGTACCCTTGGTCAACATGAGCTCGTTGCTACGGCAGATTACTACCGTTCCTAAACATCTGGAGTACTTGAGTACACGTCCGTGGATCATGTTTGGAACACCCTGGATATGTCACGCACCGTGACTAGCAACTCTGGACTGAAGAGATAACCGATGCAACTCGAAATCATGCATTTGGCAATGTGTTTGGCTCGTGCTACTGCCAAGGCAATGCAAACGCCGCACGCGGGCATTCTAGTGCGTGTGCGTTGTCGTATATCTAGCGGTAGAACCAGAAAATGAATTCATCAACACAACTTTCCGCGACGTTCCGCATAGCCCAACGTACTCGCAAGCGAGGCCTAGTCATACCACAAATTTCGCACTTATTTCGAAGACAGGGAGTTGACGCCGCCCACGATTGACTCCTAGACTATTGAACTCATTGACATAGTGGTCTGGGAGCAATCGTGCGTACTCGGAAATGCCTCCTATCTACGACATGCAACACCTTTTCCGAAAACTAGTAGAAGACGACTTCTCACGAGAGAGGTATGTATAATATAAGATCTATCTAAATGGTAAATACATGAACATACATTCCGTACCCATGATATTACCTAGCCCGCAACCAGAATGTTGCCAAATTTTTAACACCCATTGGTCCGGAAACGACCCACGGGCCGAACCGCACCGCAAAGTTTACTTTGACATTCAGCAGCAGCATGCAAATTGTATTAGGATATAATTTTTGTTGTATTCTCAATATCCAGAAAAGCCAGGGTAAAATAATGTTTTTACAGAAAATTCCATAAGTGGCTAGATACCTCTTTAATAAAGACCCGATGAACGAAATGCCTACACCTCAATTACAGCCCCAGTCCAACGCATCCTAATCTTTACTGGCCTTGTTGGTTTTTGAATGATCTGTCTGTCACCTCCATCTACTTAGGTAGTCATGTATCCGATGACCGTCTAGCCAATTCCCCTTGGTTTCCCTCCAGTCTTTCCATGACCTTCTTAACCAAGGTGTCGGTCTCGAGATTTGTTCCCAGCACAGTCTGACTGAATAAGCTATCATTGAGATTGTTGGCGACAATGGCCCGAACTAGCCCCTGGTTCTTGTAAATATCTCCTGGCTCGTAGACAGCCCGAGGGAAACGCTCATCATTACACCAATCTTTGGCTAGGGCATCAAGCCTTTCAAATTTGTTGAAGTTTGCTTTGACCCACACATCCACGGCGCTCTGGAGCCTTTTCATGATGCTCGATGCCTCATCATCGTTGATCGGGGAGTCATAGTAGTCCATTGCTCGAATCTGCTCGCTAAGGGCGGCTATTTGACGTTCGTGCTTTGTGGCCGTGTCTGCTGCCTCTTTATGGCATTCCAGAAGCTGTTTTTCGTGCTGGTGAGCCCTCTCTTCCGCGCGAAGTTTGTCAAGTGAGATTTGGCTAATTCTTTTTTCCATTAAATTGATAACCTAAACACGTCTGCGTTAGCTATTTGATTCAATATGTAACAAAGTCCAATCCGCGTCACTCACTCTATGAAGTCGGTCGTTTAAATCTTCCAGCTCCCCTATGTCTGCGGTGCTCAAGCCTTTGCCCATTAGCTAGGAAGATCAAGGAATAGTGAACCTTACATGTCTGTGTATCTCTCATGGCTACCACCTGGGGGGTTTCCCAGTTGAACCCTGTATTTTCTGTGTCTGTAGCTATGGTTTCACTTAACATTGCGGTTGCGGTTATGGCTTTATCTGCTGTTGCAGTTGCAGTTGTGGTTGCGGTTTTGGGTACAGCAGTCCTTTCTAGCGAGATGTTATCCCACTCCTGATGGTGACTATCTTTGGTTTGTGGGATGCGAAGGTACTTGCTTGTAGCATAAGTCATGGTTTTCTTAGCTTTTCTGAAACCACCTGCGAAATCCTCCATTATGACCGTGGTTTGTTGCACTGGCCTGACTCAATTTCAGGATAATAATGACGTTACAAATGCGAGTGACCTGATCAAAATTTTCTTATTCAGGATCGGAATATACTGCCGATAGACTTTTCTTGTAATTATGACTTGTATCTATCGTCATAACTACTATAATATGGTGCAATACTGATGCTCGTCGGTGATACTCATTATGCCGTCAAGGAAGGGCCGGGAGCTTGAGTTTGAATCACTAAAACACCTCCGTTTTCTCTTCCTGCCTTTTCTTTCTGCTTTTTGCATATCGCTCTCTGCTATCCCCCGTGTATTGTATTCTGATCCTTCACAAGATGCCTCGTCTTATCTTAGGCCTTGATTTCGGTACCACTTTTAGCGGGTAGGTCTATCCTTCCTCTCAAACAACTTCTCCTAACGCCTTTGGCCCATTATAGAATTTCCTGGACCCTTGAATCTTCTAGCGAGATAGAGGTAATTTCTACATGGCCAAAAAGCGGAAACAGTGAGCCCTCCATGTATCACCTTCTTGAACTTTCCCCTTCCTAACTAGAACAAGAAACACCCGGGAAGGTGCCCACCACGCTAGCCTACCAGGAAAACAGGACCCTTTGGGGTTATCAGACTGCATCCCTACACCCTGATACAGTCTTCCATGGCTTCAAGCTTCTGTTAGATCCGTCTCAGCATGACCAGTACCAGCCTGCAATCCGTTCTCAGTCTCTTCTGAAAAAGTACGACAAGACCGCTGTCGATGTCGCGGGAGACTACTTGAAATGCTTGGTGGCTCATGCGAAGACTGTTCTGCAGCGAAGACTGGGGGCTGCTTTTGAGTGTATGGAGCTGCACTACGTCTTGACGGTTCCTGCTGTCTGGTCGGATAAAGCGAAAGACGCGACTCGGGTGGCCGGTGTGAAGGCCGGTATCCCCGTTTCGGATATCACCATGATATCTGAGCCTGATGCAGCCGCTATGTACTGTCTAGACACCCTTCAGCCGGAAGCGATAAAGGTCAGTCCTATCGATCAATTCTCCAAGTCTACTCCAGGCCCAGTTGTAACGTACATTACGCTCTAGGAAGGTGACGTTGCTGTTGTGTGTGATGCTGGCGGAGGCACCGTGGTTCGTACCTATCCTTACCATCCCGCTTCCACAATATAGCTAATGGTACTTAGGACTTGATTTCATACCGCGTATCTAGACTCTACCCTTTGGTTCTAAAAGAGGAGACTCAGGGCACAGGTAAGTCGACCCCGCAGAGACTCTCAAAAAACCCAGTCTAACAGCTGAAGGTGGCATTTGTGGATCGGCATGCTTGGATTCACGATTTGATGAGCTGTTGCAGGAACATCTGGGCGAGACCTACGCAGAAATTCCGTCAATCTCACTGGATACGGCACGATCCTACTGGGATAATGATATAAAGCCTAGCTTTGGCACCCGCCTATATGACGACTTTGATGATAATGATGGGTCGGATGTCACGGCTAAAGACGAGAGCGAGGATGATGATGGCGACGGTGCGACCGTTGTGCCTTACATCGTCCCTCTCCCAGGGGTCCAAGATGACCAAGCTATCTTCCTTAAGAATAACTTTCTCTATCTTGACTGGTATGTGACAGTCTCCAGCCTTCTGGGCCTCGCCTCCTTACTAAATGCTCAACCACATCAGGAACCAAATTCAAGAAATCTTTGACCCAGTCGTCGATGACGTGGAGAGACTGGTCCGAGGGCAAGTGGAAAGTGTCGCCAAGAATGGCAAAACCCCCAAGGTAAGTATCCATCCTATCGGACTAGGTGATGGTGTCCTCGTTTGCTACTCGGTGCTCATCTATTGTTTTGCTCAAGCCATTCTTCTGGTGGGAGGCTTCGGATCATCTGAATACCTTTTTAGAAAGTTGAAGAAAGCGTTCCCCAATATATTGGTCATGCAGCCACCAAATGCGTAAGTACGGCTCCCATACCTTTCTCGAACTATTGACTAAAACAAATCAACAGTTGGACAGCGGTAGTGCGGTAAGACTTCCATATTATACGGAGATGTTTCAGCCAAATCTAACAAAATATCAGTGGTGCAGTGTCTCACGGGATTGGCTCAAATCCAGTATCAGAACGGATCGCTCGTCGCCACTATGGTATCCGTGTCTCGATTCACTATGATCCGTCTCGTCACCATGAATCCACCCGATATTGGGACTCGTTGAGAGAAGAATGGATGGTTACTGATGCTATGGCATGGTACATAAAAAAGGTGCGCAAAAATATCGGAGTGGGTGATACAGGCATCCCACTAACAGACCATTCTAGGGAAGTGCCATATCGGAGGATTCCCCCATCAGCCTTACTTGGTCTTCGAATTTCTTAGTTGATCGCGAAAGCAAGGGTACCCAAATCTCGTTGTATGTTGACCACCAAGACGATGCCCCCGGATTCCTATCAAGCAGTGAGTATTCTTGCGAATTTTCTTGTATACCTCTGATAGACAACTAACGCCACAGAAGACACTTTCAAGGTTTGCACTGTGGATGTTGACCTGGGTCAAATCCCTAGTAAACTATTCGAGAGAAAGACCAACTCTCAAGGCAAATCCTATTACAAGGTAAAGTATGATATACGCATGACACCCAAGTCTGCCACTATACTATTCGAATTGGTGTTTAACGGGGCTACATATGGATCCCTGCAGGCTAAGTACTGACGTGCGAACTAAATTGTAAGGTGGGGTGATGTTATTTGCTTTCCAATAATAGCTGACAAGTGTGTTGCCAAATTGATATAAACACTTTCAGAATAATCGCTAGTACCCATGATATCTTGTTTATCATCCGGGAAGCTCTATGTAGACCCGCATCAAGTCCTGTCTTGATCCACTGGGTAGACCTTATATGTAGATCCACATTCTAGGACTCGGTAGTAGGTGCCTACGCAGGATAGTGGGCGTTGGTAAATACTAACAAGGGACTAATGTCTGATTGTTTACTTATGGTCTCTCACCTCTTTATTTCCCTTTCACGTCATACTATGTTTGATACTTGCTTCGGTATACCTACGGCAAACCACAAAGCAGCAACTCCCCGTCAATATGAAAGTCCCTTTCTAAAGTCCATTTTACATATTCATTTCCATATTTACAGTATTGTTCGATGCTATGTTCAATACTATACAAATCCTCATCACTCAAATATACATGAGGCCAATTGTTTTACCCTTCTCTGTAGTGATTTAGTCGCCGTGGGTCCATTGATACGCCCAAGCCAAAGACCACCCTCAAAAACAACACATCATTAACTCCCATAACTCCACACCCAAACTTTTTATATCAAACGTCTCGCTCCAGAACACCAGTCCCTTCGTTTGGGTTCGGCGCCACCCTCTGGCCGATAATAACAACAAGAACGGCAATCTAGCCCACGTCCCCAGCGTTAGCGCCTTCCAACATACCCGCGATGAACAGGAGAAAACTCACCAAAGACAGATCCACCCCCGCAGCAACCCTCGCCCTCCACTTCGGCCGCAACCGAAACGGCAACCGCTGCCCCTCCGTCAGCTCGCGGGAGTCCGTAACGCGTTGAATGATAGCTATGTTCCGGCCTCCCAGAACGACAACATGGACCATATTGTCCAGATCGTGGTCCTTCACCTCGAGCTTCACCTCAGGTCCGTTCACCCCGCAGTCGACCCCCGCATTTTTGAAAGTGATTTCCGCCCGGGGGGCGCGGATCTCGACGCGTAATCGCGCATGCAGGATGCTGTGTCTGGTGCCGGGGAGTCGCAGGTCCAGGCGCGACGAGTCGTACCAGGACCCGCGCAGCTCGAAGAGCGGGAGCCCTGTTGTGTCGAAGAAGGTGCGCCGCTGGCTGAGGGACCAGGGGCGGCCCCGGACTGTGAAGACTGTTACGCCCTCGTAGGCGACGGTGTAGTCGAGGGTGTGCCAGGGTTCTGGGGCCGTTTGGACCGTCAGCTCTGTTTCTCTGGGAGCGATGCGCTCCGGGCGGATAGCGATTGGGTATGGTGGGGGGGCGAGGTGGATTGGCGGGGAGGGACGATGCAGGGACATGGTTCAAGATGGGCGGTTTGGGTGTCGTCTGTCTGGAGACTTGGGTGGCTTCTTTCGCCGGCCATACTTTGGCTGCGGCGGTATAAGGGGAGAGGAATAACAGTGAGTTGTGGGCCCTTTTTTCCTGTCATAAGAGCAGCAGCAGCAGTAGTAGTAATAGTAGTCACTTCCTCTCTCAGGGTTCTCTCTTTCTCCCTCTCACACTCTTGGTTGCTCTCACCACGCATGTGTATCCTGCACACGCCCCTCATCCTTCTACTGACTTTTACTATTTACCTTCGAGATGAGCCCCCCTGACCCCTCTCACAGCCCGACGCATCGCCGACATCAAGCCAAGGCATAAATGGGGGCCGCCTTGCGCGGGCCCCGCCAAAGCCCTGGTGTTGGTTCTCCCTGGGGGCCTGATTGGCCCACAGCGGGTTAGGGCTTCCGCTAACGCGTGCAACCGTGAACATGTCCAGGGTTCCAGCGGGTCTGCCCTTATAGTGTATAGTTCCTGGACGATCACCGGTTTCTGCGGCCTTGAAACCGTTTCAGTTATAGCTTTTCACATTTTGCTTGTGTGGGGTAATGCATATCTTATGTGGCGGTCTCGCTATTGTTTCAGCGGGGATTTCGGTTATGTGCATTTAGTACTACTTTAAGTATTTGGTCAGTAGAGTACTAGATTAGTTGGCTCCTTGGGGAGAGGATCTTGGGTGATGGAGACAGCACAGCCTTCCAGGGCGTTCTTGTAAGCGAACGTGAGGCCTATTCGGAGTCAGTCTATTGGGAGGTATTTTTGGTTTTGTCGTGGATGAATCCTCCCGCAGATGGTTTGGTCGAAATAGTGTGGATTTCTGGGTCCGTCCGTTGAGGCTTGGCCATGGATACCGCTCTTTTGGTGGAAATAGAAGGATGGGTCATGCTGACAGTTGTTCTATCACATTCGGCTTATTGGACGATCGAAAAGACTTCGTCTGTTCCAGAAACGTCATCGAATTATAGAGATGTGGATTTATCGGCGAGGGCGAGGGCGTTGGTCCCAACAGTCCCTCCCACGCCGATATATAGTCAACTATTGAACGATCCCAGAACTAACCGAATCTAGTGTTTATGGCGTACAGCATTCTTTTCCAGGGGTTCGAGCCCTTCCTCTCCTAGACGAAGCTACCAATAAGTGGCATATTTGCTTTTTCCTTTCGTCACCTTCACGAACTCATCTGCGATCACCTTATCGGTAACCTCCGATGGGTGCAGCTCGTCGTACCACATGAACTGCTCTGGATGGGGCAGAATCTCGCAGTTCTGACCCTTTACGTCACAGTGCTTGTTGTATCCGGTCACGTTGACCGCCGAGCCCTGCCCAAAGAAGTCCTCCGGGTGGTTGTACGCATCGCTCAGCTTTTCCCATCCGTCAGCTTTCTCATTCGATATCCAGATTTGGAGTGGAGATGAAAGCGAATACTAACCAAGGCGTATACATCCATGGTCGCCAGCTTGGCACCAGGATACCTTTTCGCAATAACCGCCTCGTACGCCGTCTTGTACTCAAACACCTCATTCGCAGTAGCCACCTGGTCCCACATCCGATAGCTAACAGCGGTCTTATTATCCGGCTTCTCGGGCCAGAATGAATTCGGTCCCGTGCCACCATGCTCGGGCGTCGCATACATTGGCGCCAATTGCAGCGGCGTGAGGTTCATCAGCACGAAGTAGCGGCCTCCATTCGCGTGGACCGCATCCAGCGCCTGGTAGACACACTCGATGTAGTCGGGGACTGTCTTGCCGGCAATCTGCGAATCGGTGATGAACGCGTAGTTGCCGAGGTCGTTGGTGCCGATCCAGATAGCGTAGACCGTCTCGTCGGCGGGGATATCGAGGAACTTTTTGCCGGACGGCGGGACCTTGTATTTGCTGTCTGCGAGGAAGGCAGGGACTTCGTACTCCAGTACGGAGGGGAAGGGGGCCTCGATGGCGGCGAATGTGCGCGGGCTGATCTTGTTCGAACAGACTGCGCCGCTAACGGCGTAGTTGTAGCGGTTGGCGTGCGTCTTTTGCGCGACGTAGTAGCCCCAGTTGTAGCCTCCGGAGGCGGATTGGTTATTCTTTCCAGCATTGAGTCAGTGGGTGGTCTTCTTTCTCTTTTTTCCTGTTGGATGGGCGTCCTTACGACTGGCTGTACCCATCCTGCAGGCGGTGTCTCGCCCTTGTGCTCGATGATCCAATTCAGCCTCGAATCATCCGTGTAACTGTCCCCAAATGTGACCAGACTTTTCAGGTTTCGGGGGCCCCATTTCTTTGCTGAACCAGCTAGCCCTACGTCTATTAGGAGGGCCAAGCCCAATAACAGTGATACTTGACGCATGGTAGCAGTGATTAGAGGTTGGTTTTTTGCAGGTAGCATAAAACTAGAGACGTGCGGAGTTTATAAATGCGGAGACAATGTTTGGCGCCGGTCTCTTGCCTGGGAATTCAGGGCCTAGGCGCATGGGACACGGAGATGCGGGGGTGCGGGTGAAAATGGATAAATGGCTAAATTTCGAGGCTAGGATTTGCTCCTCCGCATGTCCATTTGTCTAGGACAATATACTCCTATATTAGTGGCTTCTGTACCCAAGAATTTATCCGCCAGTGTTATTGGTAGATACAGGAAGGGAAGGTAAACTAGGGCTTGGTCCCGACAAAGTGTTCGAATTGTAGAAACCCCTACCTAAGGTTGTACGTTGTCTTGCGTCACCCGCAGCGCATGCACACCCCCTTGCAACCATTCTAATGGTGCCACAAAGGCCATCTGACTCCAGGAGAACTCCTTGTTCTTTCCTCCAAATACGAACACTTCGAATCGGCCGGTGAAGTTCCCGTTCACCCACACGCGACTTCCTCCGGTGACGTCGGTCCGAATAGTGATTTGGCTCTTTAAGGGAACAGTGACCGGCTCGTGGGATGAAGAGGTCTGGTTTGCCCATATTCTACCCAGTTCGATGGGGTCGAATCCGTCGTTTTCAGCTACGGAGCGGAGGGGATATGGCCATCCATCGGAGATAAACGTCAAAGAACCTGAGGGTGACAATTCGAGGGTAACGTCGCTGGAGGAAAGGGTGAATGGTCCCGAAACAACCATGTCCAACATGTAATTCATTCCCTTGCTTCCGTACCCCAGACTAACCCTGTCTGTGGCTTTCTGATTGGTTGTTTTCCAGTTGACAAAGCCATTGTTTCGCTCGGCTGTCTTTTTAACCCGGCGATCCAGGTTCTGCGCCACGGCTGCGGATGTCAGAAGATCCACTGAAGCCGATAGGCCTGACTCTTCAAGAAGAGGCCCACGGTTCCCGGACCAAGCACGGGCGGCCACTACGGGGATCCCGTCTCGAATTGCATAGAATGACTCCAGTTGCGTCGTCGCATCTGGTCCGTTGTCATTCCACGCGGCTAGTATTGCCCCTTTTGGTAGTTTGCTCGGCTGTTCCGTAACATTGACCGGGTTGAACAGCTCGGGCGTCCATTGCCAGCCCGATTGGTCGGCAAAATTGAGGACTCGCGTGTTGTTGAAGAGTTGGGGGTATGGAGCCGGTGTGATTGGTACGTGGGAGTTTTTAAGCGACATGTAAGCCCACCAGTCTTCCGAATTGATGACGTCGTAGCCTTGGTTCGATAGTAGCACCGGATCTGACTGTCCGTACTGCCAGTGCTGTATGATGATGTCTTTCGAGATAGGTTTATCGGAGGGCTCGTATGTTCCCCAGATGCGAACCCTCTTTCCGGACTTTTCGTCCACGAAGCGTGCCATTTCGTTCACGAAGTCGACGTAGTCGTCTGCCAGTGTTGAATCGTATTCGTCGGCGCCAATGTGGACTTCCTTGCTTTGGAACCAGGGAAGAAACTCTTCCCATATCTGCTTGACTGTTGGAAGTGTCTCTGGATGTGTAAGGTTCAAGAGATCCTTCTGGTCCAACGCCAACTGAGGCTTCCACTTCGTCACAAATAAGCAGTGCCCAGGTGCTTCAATCTCCGGTATCACTGTCACACCTCGCTGGGCACAATGCTCTTGCAGATCCTCAAAGTCAGCCCGAGAAAGAGTCTCATTTGCTCGCTGAACAATCGGATGCAAGTCGGGATTTTCAGGATGCAGCGCAAACTGGGCGTAAACATCATTCCAGGTCTCATTGTGGCCACGACTAAGCGGGTAGTTGTCACTTGTGTGATAGTGGAACTCGGACATCTTGAAGAACGAGGCGTAGGTGCATAGTTCTTTCAGAAATGCAGGCGAATACCACTTTCTACCTGCATCGAGTAGAAACCCTCTGGTGGGCACTGAGGGTACATCGATCACGTGGCCCTGCGGAATTGGCCGTCTTCCAGCGATGATTATCTGCTGCAGGAGTGTCCGCGTTGCCCACCACATTCCCCGGGCGCCAGACCCTTTAATGACAACGCGGTTGGCTTGCACTTCCAATTCGTAGCCCTCTTCTGTGGCATCACCGTTCTCGTACGCCCAGTTGCTTCGCTGCGATCTTTCGAGGAAGATTCCCGCCTTGTCGCGCGGTAGTTCATCCACAGTGTGAAGGCTCCATCTTTCTCCCGTGACCTCTTCTATGTCGTCGCGGAATGTCCTCGCGAACTCGGCCGCCGAGGGCGGAATCAACGTTAGCCCAGTCTGGTCTCGATGCGAAGCAAAAGTATTCGAAATATAGATGTCACGTGCTGCCCTGGCAGGATCAAATCCACCAAACGGCTGATCATGTTCTTCCCATCGCACGGGTGGAAGAGTCTGCAGAGCAGACACAGCTGCTATCAAGCTCCACGCCAAAATCGCTCGCATAATGAATCATATACGGGATGGATATGGTAAAAGGGAATCGAATCTCACCCCCGTGGCGAATCAAGGAGGATAGCAGAGGAATTTAAACATATTCCACAGAGACAAACAATGTATGTTTTTGCCGCAAGGGGACGCTCTTCGCTATCCACCATGTGGGTTACATGCATTGCGTGGGTTACACTGCGAGATGTTTATGTTTATCTGATGAATGCCGATCGCCTAGGGTACAGTCGCATTGTTGATCTCGCTAATACGAAATTATTGCTACCTACTTTACTTTGATCTTGTGTTTAAGTCCAGTCACTAATCGCCAAGTCTTTGATGAAGTGTGGGGTACCATTTCGCCCAGGTTTTCCGGTATGTCTGGGTTAGCCCAGCCCCTCATTTGGTATGCAGAATCAGGCTGTTACGAAATGGTAGTGTTACAGCCGCTGCTGGCTGGGGGTAGTCAGCGGGTAGCACTGGGTACTTTAGTAGGTTCCTACAGACTTAGTGTTCTTTAGTAGCCAGAAGTGCGTTGTCATTGTCGTGGTTGATTTCCAAATTCGGCATTATTTTGTGAAGTCCAAACTATATAGTTCCGCGCCGTGGTATATTGGACCAGCCTCATAACAAAGCGTCGGCAAAACATTTTACCAAGAAAGGACATGAAAGAGACAAATAACACCTCGAATCTAGAGAAACTTGTAGCATAAATATTATAGATGGTTTATATGTATAATTCATCAGTTATAAGATCCATTCCATCAGGTACATGTTTGCACTGTTTGTCTCCCGAAAGCCCTGCGGCCAATGACTCAGCGCCAGTTGCGGGCCTTCATTATTCTCTGCTACATTTCTGAGGTCATATCGACAACTCTTCCGACCCCACCATAGTGTTTATCGCACTCGACTTGATCATGCCGCACGCGATTCCCGTCGTTGCAACCGGGTGCCAGGCCCTGATCCTCTGCGGTCCAGGTGTCTCCTTGAACACCTTCACATCCAACCCGGAAGAGTACCCAAAATGCCTCATCCCGATCGCCAATCGGCCGATGCTCTTCTACCCTCTGGATTTCTGCAAGAGGTCAGGAATTACAGGTTGGTTAGCGTCAAGAACTGACTCAATGCTTGAGTGAAACTAATGGTTTTAGATATCACCTTGATTACCCCTCCCTCCTCTGTCGCTCCCCTCCAAGCCGCTTTACAACAAAATCCCTACCTTACATCGCTTCCCTCGCCCTCGCCGACGGTCCTGGCCCCCAAGGATGCGGAAATGACAACGGGGACTGCTGAGCTCCTCCGCTTGCCTGAGGTGCAGGCGTGCATCAAGACCGATTTCCTCCTTCTACCATGCGACCTTGTTTGCGAGATCCCGGGTACGTCGCTACTAGAGGCATGGATGGTGTCGACCACGCCGGGGAGTTCTGTGATTCAAGAAGATCGCAATGCCCACGGTCTAGGCGGCGGGCAAGGAGGCGCCCGAGGCGGACTGGCCGTGTACTATGAAACCCGGGGCTTGGAAGACAGCGTCAAGGGTGAGGTCACAGACTTCACGGCGATCACGCCACTCGCGCAAGACGAAACACCCGCAACGTCGCGGTATAATCTGTCCAAGCTGGTCATGTCGATGCCGATGGGCACTGTGAAGGAGCAAATGGAAGAGGACAAGGGCTTCCTTGTCCGCCATACGTTGGTGGAGAAGCACTCTTCGGTGAAGATGCTCACGAGCTATCGCGATGCGCACCTCTACATCTTCCCCTACTGGGTGAAGGATCTCGCGCGCCATCAAGAAAGGCTCGAATCCGTCAGTGAAGATCTCGTCGGATACTGGGCTAAGGCGAAGTGGCAGCGGGGGCTCGGCGACAAGCTCGGCATAACCCATGTCTTGGGCGGGCGGAATGAGAGCGTCGACGAGAACAGAAGCAATGACGGGAACTCGCTGGAGGAGGAGATTGATCTCCGGGCCATGAGCACCACCGCAGCACCAACTGTCATAGATCCCCGCGGTCCTTCGCCGTCGGTGGAAGTTCCACCCATTCTAGCACACATGGAGAAAGGATCTTCGCTAGTCCGGCGAGTCGACAGCCCCGCTGTCCTATTGTCGACTTCGCTCCGTCTAGCTAAGCTCGAATCCATCGAAGAGGCCGGCCGGGTAGCTGCCTCCCCCTTCGCCCACAACCAAAAAGTCGCCTATCCCGAAGGCGTCGCCCAGCGCAGCATGGTCACCAAGGCGGACTGCCTCCTGGCATCCAACGTGACCGTTGAGGAACGATGCGTCATCAAGGAGTCTTGTATTGGCACGAACGCGAAGATCTGCAGCGGCGCTCGACTGACGCGATGCGTTGTCTTTGACAACGCCATTGTCGGCGAGCGTTGCGTGCTGACTGGGTGTATCATCGGGCGATACAGCAAGATTGGGCGGGAGTCCGTACTCAAGGACTGCGAGGTCCAGGACGGAAACATCATCCCCGATGAAACGGATGCCAAGAACGAGCAGTTCATGGTCTTTGAGGGTTTCGATGAAGAGCAAGATGACGACATGGGTGGCTCGGACAATTCCGAGGATGATGAAGATGAATCTACTTGAGTTAAATACAAAGCAATATGAGCATCATTACGATAGACCGTTTATGCATTGGGATTAGCGTCTAGAGCCCTTAATACAGTCCTATTCTGGAGGACAGTCTAGAGAATATGGCACCAGGTTCAGGAGGACCCATCTCGTAGGTCCTGGAAATTCAATCTGATGGCCTCGCCGTACTATAAACTCGGCAGAAGTAGGGTTATACTCCCAGGTCCCGTGCCTTTTCGTAGCCTGCCAAAGCAGGCACCGATAACACGGACCGGACTATTGGATTGTAGATAACTGCCATGACTATCTAGTATCTACTACTAAATTATGATACCGATTAACAAACAGATGATTCTCTTAATCGAGATATACACAATAACCCAACCATACCCATAACGCCATCGCTATCTATATTTTTCATATGCATACAAAACCCAAACACCATCATATACAGTATTGATGAAAGCCCAACAGTCAAGCACCTCCCCCATTGATAACCCTAACCAACCCAATCGCCGCCCCAGCCGCAACACCACCCACAAAACACATCTGCACCCCACCCTTAACAGCAGCAACAACATTATCAACCCCCGTCCACCCCCTCACCACCCCAGTCTTAACGTACCCAAACGCCAACAGCGTAACCCCCATCACCGCAATACTCCAATACAGCGCCACGATCACCGCATCGGCAACAAAGTACGGAATCAGCGGGATGAACCCGCCCACAAAGTACCCCACGGCGAGCGTAATCGCCGACATCCACGCCTGGTTGCAGTCCGGCCGCGCTTCCTTGTGGTGGAAGTCGAGGAGGAAGTCGAGGTGCCTCTCGGGTGATGCGCGCAGTGAGGTGATGATCTGCTCGATTATGTCGTCTGTTATGCCGTGCGTGGCGAATATGTCGTGGATTATGGTGGCTGTTTCGGAGGGGGAGGTCTCGATGAGGGATTGGGTGTCGCGGACGGTGGCGTTGTAGGATTCGCTGCACTTCGCATTAGTATCTTGTATTGTCTATTTTGGAGAGGGGATTGGGTCTATGAATGATGGATGGTCTTACAGTTCGCTTTTCGCCCCAACATACCCCCCCAACCCCATAGAGATCGCCCCGCAGCCAACTCGGCCAATCCACCCAACACGACGACCTTGGTGTCGCCCAGCGCGGAGAGACCCGCGCTCAGTGCAAACGGCACCGTCAATCCGTCCGACAAGCCCAGAATCGCATCGGAGACAATGCGCGGGTTGATCCTCGATCGCGAACTGCGACTACTGGCCGTTTCGGCATCGGAGGTATGCCCATCGTCGTCGCGAAAGGTGCGATACGAGCGCTGGGCTTCGAGCTCGGGGAGGTCGTCGTGGGCTGGTGGCTCGGACAGGAGGGCTTTGGCTGGGCTTATTAGTATACATATACATATATAAAGTTGGCCCATGAGTGGGTGGCGGAGAACGAACCGGCACTTTGGCTCGAGTTGCTTCGAGCGTTTGGGAAGAGCTTTTGTTTGAGTAGGACGAGGACCATGGTGGGTGGATATGTCTGCACCAGATAGACGAGAGGAAAGAAGGTAGGGAAAAGGAAGAAGTCGAATAAATAAATCTCGAAAAGAAAGAAATACAGGTCAAAGAATCGACCTAGAAAGGAAGACTGTGTCGCCGTCTGACGTCAGTACCGGGCGTGGTCAGTTTCCGGGGTAGTAGATCTTCAAGCAGAGTGCTGATCTGATCTTATCGAGACAAGTAGACTGTTATCGAGAACGCGATGATCAACTGTCGTCTCTTCAAGAATTGAATTAGATATCAATCATTCGTACATCTACACTCGATCAGCTTTATCTTGATATGTTTCGCTCTCCCCTCGCCAGGACCGTTCTTTTATATCACTACCCCTCCATACACACAAACATACCGTCCCTCCCTCGTAATAAAAATTAGAGAAAAACCTTGCAGGTCTCAACCTCCCCACACCAACTCCTCCAATTACAGATTAAATAATGGTCAGCGCTGGACGATCCGCGCGCAGGCACCTCCCAGGTTTGAGAACGTCAACGCGTGATTGGTGCGCTGTTGGAGATGCTTACCATTACGAGGGCCGTGACTGGTCAAGATGCGGGCTGCGCGTAACGATTTTCTTGTGGGTTGCATGTAATCAGTGCTTTGTCCTTTATGATTGCTTCGGGGGATTCTCTTGTATGAGTTATGTCCGCGGATGAAATTGTCTATCGATGTTTGGGCCGGAGGAGGTCTGATAAGTGTGGCGATGTCCGCGGAGCTGATGGGAATGTCCGAGGGGGGTAGCCCTAACTCCGTCCGAGGGCCGGTCTTGAACTGGCCGTCTTGATGATAGATCTGATATATTGCGTACTAGAAGAGAAAAGATTCATTAATTGAATACTTGTCAGAATATCCATAATAGAATCTTGAAGAGGAACAAACGATCATCAAGTTGGTTCCACGCAATCAGCTACAGCTGGTCGCTTTCAAAATCCATTATACAATTCAGGTAACACTGCATTATGGTGGTTCAACAAATACTAGCAGTCTGTCTGTAATCATTCGACTGCACAACGCTCTTCTGTACGAGCTAATGGTTGATGCAAACCGAGATCATGCCATCGGCTTGAGTGCCGGTGTTCCACCGACTGTATAGGTACTAAGTTCTCGAACGGATCAGCAGATGTGTATTCGAGACATCAACTATTTCCTTTGGAGGACTAGCACAACACGATGTGTTTCAATAGGGTTCTCAAAGATGTCGGGTTCGAAGTATACTATTTAGTTTTAGGGACAGTGACAGCCATTAGTGGACTGTCACTGATATCCTAATGGTGGATTACGCACTTTCTTCAGGAGCAAGTCTTAATACTGCAGTATAGTTCTCATTCACGTCAACAATTAGGATCAGGTAAATATCAAATTAGTACTACTAACACACAGATTGTGAAGTACGATTTCTCCAAATTCCATTCGAAGGCTGTTCAAAAGCACATTCAATCTCCGATCAGAGCACAATAGCCAGGCCCAGAACACCAGCTACGCCAGCCAGGCCAGCGGCCAGAGCTCCAGTAGGCGCGGCGATACTCTCAGAGGTGGCAGAAGGCGATGAAGACTTGGAATCCGAGCCCGTGCTGGACCCAGAGCTAGAATCCTCCTTGGAGCTCGAGCTGGGGCCCGTCTCGGAAGAAGAAGAACCAGTAGTGGTGAAACCACCAGTGGGCTTACTGAGGGCATCAGTCTGATAAGCCGTGGAGATGTAGGTCTTGACGCTGTTAGGCAGCTCGTTGTACCAGTCCGGATAGTGGCCGTCATGGATGTCGTTAAAGACCGACGAGCGAGCATCTGGGTCTCCCATCTGAGAGTAGAAGGAGGGAGGGACGGCAGTCATGAGCACGGAGATGATCGAGCTGGGCGGCATCTTGAAATCCCCCGGCATTTCGGTGGGCATATCGGTGGGCATTTCGAACTCAGTTGCGGTTGCCATCTTGGCAAGGTCTGTGTTGGATTCGCTGGGGAATGTCAGTAACTCTTGGACAGAAAGTTCTGATTGCTGGTTGGGTTCTTACAGGCTTGCCATTGCCGCCGAGTATGCGTCATCTCCCGAACCTCTCTTCTCGAGCTTCGGCTCAGCAACGGCCGAAGCCACGACCGAGAGAAGGAAGCAAAGAGACTTGTACTGCATGGTGGGCGGATAGGATAGCGAACGGGAGATCAGGGCAGTAGATGATAGATGGTAGTAGATGAAAGACGGTAAGGAGTGGAGGTTGGTCAGATTCGAGAGATTTGTCTTTCGTATGAGAATGAATGTAAATGGAAAAGGAAGGAACGACCAGTCACCCTGTCCGTATCAGGGAGGCAATAGCCGGCTTAAATAACATGCTCAACTCTTGCATTTGGTAATGAGATTAAGAGGACTTTTTATTCATCACAATGATACTAATACTCATGAAAGTAACCTTCGTATTGGTACTCAGTCTATGCCATCCTGCGTCAGGGTCCAGAGAACTGTCCTAGATGTTCGTGATCTATGGCTTGTCCGCAGATCAATGAAAAACAGGGTCCAAGAATGGAATAGTGTTGGCTTTTGGACCCAGGGGCCCGTATTACAAAAATATGGTTTTGGTTGTTCAACTGAGTCGATGTCTTATTGATAGCATGGAGTAGACTAGTATTAGGGTTTGAGATAGTTGATCCACACCAAGTCACTTCCATCGGTTCCGACATAGAGAGCATGTAACGGAAAATATATTCAGATAGCGCTCCTAATATACTTGTAAAACCGCATACATTATACTACAGTTACCGAATTCATGTATAATAGATCTACTGAAGACCAACAGGACTTGTACCCCATGGATCTAGGATCGGTTCATCCAAGTGGAGCACCTCCCATCTTGCCCTAATTCCAATACGAGGCGCCACTAACTAGTCGCCCTTCGACTTCCTTTCACTTCACTCCGTCCTTGGTCTGAATCGAGGACTCAGCTTGCCATTATTCTGGTCTAGCATGATTTCTTGTGCTCAATTGACCCCTTTTCACTGTGTCACCCACGCCATCTTTGCAGCGCCCCGTGAGGCTTGCTTGCATTCTGCTAACAGCACAGGCTCGGTGTTTTGCCCACCGTGACGAAGACCCCTCTTGGGCATCATGGCCATACAGTCCCCCAATGCGAGCACCAACACCAAAAGCATCGGTGACACAAACCAACCACACCAATCATCATCCAAACCTCGATAATACAAACCACATCATCAAGACTGCCATCCAATCAACCCGGGCAGCGCGTCAACCCCATTCACCCACACTGATACTATCCCCGCCCCGCCCCGCCATTTTTGATGTTCCAAAACCTGAGGCACCCATCGCTTACCAACCAATAATAGCAACTCCCGCCCGACCAATGACAGACCCCAACAACATCCAATCCTCCTATATAGTTCACTGTAAGGTCTTACTTATTGCCTTCGGGCATTTGGTCAATTTGAAACGATACAGAGAAGATTAGCATGGCCCCTGCACTAAGGATGACACGCTCAATCAAAGAGAAGCTACCAGTTTTTTTTTGAACTCTTGAAAGCATATTTGAGGTGCGGTGCTTTTGGGGAGAAAGGCGTTTGGTGGAGGGTAGAGGTTCGAGTCGGGGATGGACCTCTTTTTCTTTTTATTTTTTGGCGGTCCCAACGCAGTTCCTTTCGTCGAGTTAGTTGGCTGACGTTGAGCTGCTGGCGTCAACTCTCCTTACTCGGTGACTACGTAGACGATAATACTAACGAGAACCTGCAAAGTATACACATTTACATTTATATGAATCGAATCTAAAACATATTCATGTCCCTAGTACTATAATACAAATATCCATCCACGTCCGTAACTCATCAACTCGTCACATAGATCTCAACCTCCATCGCAGGCGCCTGCTGGATTCCCAGGTCGGTATATTTAGGCACCTCCCTCACGCTTCGCGTATTCATCCTCCATCCGCTCCTCATACAATCGATCCGCTTCCTCCTTGCTCATCGACGGGTGGTTTGCCTGGCCACTGCGGGCGCTGTCGCCGCTGTTGCCGCTCTGAGGGTGGGTTTGGGAGGTGGGCGCGCCGGGGCGCGACTCCGTGTCGATGGTTTCGGTTTGGGGGTTGTAGACTGGGACGGGCATTTTGGTGGAGGTGGTTTGGATGGAATGTAGACAGACACTGATGTATGATGGGATTGATTTGTAGGTTTCAATTTGTCGTGGCTATGCTATAGGAGTCTGCGGATACTGCTTGTTTATATAGCTGGTGACTGTGGCGACATGGTAACACGTCATCGAGGAATAGCTACAAGGTGACTGCTATGGTGTGGGTCTCTGCTAGGCAGCGACGCCGGTTCCATGTTTCGAGCTAAAGGGCATGTTCGCAGTGGCCGCTTACAAGACTCTATATTTACTACTAAGATTACGCCTACTCTACAGTGGATCTCTTCTTCACCTTCAAGCATATAGCCCAAAGACCGATGAAAAGATAAAAGTATTCCACAAGTGGAAAGGTGCCAAAGAATACGCCTGTCAATGACCCGAAGGCCGTTGAACAGACTGTTCCGCCGCGCTGTGCAATGCAGGGACCAGACTGTGGTGGACCGCCTTCTTGATCGCAGCCACCCAAACAAGGTAAGTATGAAGAAAAGAAAGAAGAAAAAGTTGAAAAGGGTGGCGGGCGGTTCAAGCTTATATAGGTGTGGGTGGGGCTTACCGATGGCGCTAGTGGCAAGCGAGAGTTGGCGAGGGGCTATGATTGGTTGGATGTTTGGGTGGATTCTTGATTGGACTTTCTGCCTTGGTGCCTGGATGGGATGGCGGTGGTCTGGTTCAGATCACTGAGGCGTCCACCTTTTGCCTAGTCGGGACGCTTTCTGGTTGATACTATCATTGGGAGAGACTGTGTGGCTCTGGTCATGTTAAGGGCACACTTTGCAGTAAATACTCTGGAATAGATAAGTTGGCAATCTCGCCGAAGTCCGAATATATACATACTCATCATGTCAACGCCCTTGCTCAATTTAATTATTACACACACTACTATAACCCTGTACACTACTAATATTGACACTATCATGCAATGCCTCCATCGATAGATACTTATAACCGTATATCGATCCCTAAAACATGCGCAAATAGCCGCGCTACTGCAGGCACGTCCGTTCGAGCTACAGAGGATCTCGTCAACTGAAAGCGACCCTACTCGGCACTGAGAGCAAGACATGCGTCCACCGCCAAACCAACCCTAAATCAGATCAGTCTGTGTCTTCACGTGGGATGATAACCGAATACATACCTTCCCTCTTTCATCTTCACAACGTCGTCGATGACGTCACGGTCAAGGTTGGGGAACATGTTCGACAAGGTCTCCACCACATTAATGTGCTCGGCTCGCTGGATCCTCCGTGCCTCTGCATCCTCAGCGCTAGCTTGGCGGGCTGCAGTATCTTGGGCGTCGATATTCCGTGCTTGGGCTGCATTTCCACCCCGAGATTCTTCACCACTATTGCGCGGGGGCTGATACACGTTGGGATTAAGGCGTGCTGCTCCAGACTGGGCAGGTGCTACAGGCTGCGTTGGCCGTTCCTCTGGAGATTCTGGTTCGTCGGAGAAGATCTTCCCGATGGTGGTCAAGGGCTTTTGGATAGTGCGTAGGAGGCCCGCAACTGGTGCGTTGTCCTCCTCGCTGGACTGCGGGGCCCCTCTTCGGCCCCGAGGGGCCTCAGTCGAAGCTCGTGAGGGGGTTTGGGAAGTCTCGGCTGAGCGGCTGCTCGGTTTGCGCTCCAGGGATTCAGACTCGCGGTTTTGTTCGGCGATGGCGGAGACCGCGGCTTCGACATTTCGCTCAAACTCCTCATCGTCCACCGTGAGACTCGTGCGGTCAAGCCCCTCGATGAAGGAGATAGCGCCAGACTTGAAGCATACGGTCAGTGGTGATCTCTAACAATAGTTTCACGTGGCACTCACCAGCGACGATAGGTAATAGCCAGCCTCCCCTGTCAGTTTGTCCTGGTTGCGGAATCGAAGGATGTATTGTATATTAGAGACAAGGTGATTTGGGTTCGCCTTGAGAACCACGTAAATTAATAAGGGTATAAAAGAATCGGCCGATGTATCGCCCTTCTTTGTGTTTCTCAACAAACCTGATAAAGTCAGCGACCAGCCAGTTTGACCTCCAGCACTTCCTTCCACTCACCGAAAATGACCTTGCAGCAATTTAAGATACAAATGACCTTATCGCGAGGGGCCCGGTAGCCGTTGATTTTCAAAAGCTCTGCGTCATCGTTAGAGCTGATGTGCAAACTGACAAAGGTACTGACCTTGTTGAGCGAGATTCAAGAATCGATGCCCGCTGGCTCTCACTGGCAGAATGTCCAGATGCTCCTCCTTGACCCAGCTGTATATTCGCATCTTTTGAGCCAGCACATCATCTCGTTCGATGTCTTCCTGGTGCTGACCCCGTCTCCACGGGCCATGGAGCCTTTCCATCTCTCTTCGCTTACTCCTACTAGCGCTTCTGGGAATTGCTGGCGGACCTGGTATCGCCGGCGAGAAGGTCTGGGAATACAATCTATTCATTACGAGTTTCTCCATGCCCTCCTTGGCATTGTCAAACTCGCTGTCAGAAGTATGGCGCCAGACTTCACAGAGAGCCATCTTGTTGGTGATAAACGTCAGAAAGTCACTGATGATCTTAACTTGCTCGTGGACCATCCACGGCCGTTTCCCGAACTCGTGAAGGAAAGAGCGTAGGAATTTGGCCACCGGATCAGCCGTGCGATGCCGCAGTTGCTCGAGAAATCGATGAAAATCGAACGGTTGGTCGGGTTCAGGTTCTGGCAGCGGGGGAACCGTGGACGTGGAAGACCGCCGCGTCGACACCTCATCGGCAGGAGGAGACTTGGGTAAGTTCTTTGATATCGACGGGCGCTGCTTCTCGGGCAAATATGACGCTGCTTGAGCAGCATCGGAGCTCTGGGCGCTCTCGGCAGATGACTTGTGCTGATCCAAGCTTGAATGACGGGGAGGAAAGTGTGTAGCGCCACTGAGAAACTGCTCCGCCAGTTCTAACCGGGGCGACATGATCTGCTCCTGGCCATCGCCATGTAAAGAGTCCCGGAACTGCTCCATGATGTGCTGTATTTCAGGTTGCGAATCATCGTCCTGGCCACTCTCCGCTTTCTTGGCACCCTTCTCATCATTGCCTTTCCCGGGAACATCGGGTAATTCTTTCTCGGTCCACTCGGAGGAAGGTTTGGTCGGGGATTGCGGGGGCATTGCGGGCTGCGAGTTCGGGTTGAGATAGGCCTCGTCTTTTTCTGGTGGCGGAGGAGGAGCTTCGGAGACGGAAGGTGAAACCGGATCTGTTGTACCGGTCGAGATTGACAGTCCTTTCATGCGTCCCGGTAGCGATTCCTGCTTTGTTGGTTCGGGGGCAGGTGGTGCCGAGGCGGGAGACGAGGATTCTGCGACGGCATCGCGCGATTCGCTTGGAGACTCCATCTTTGTCTCGGTTTGTAGCGCATCCTGATTGTCCGCCGGGGATTTCACGTCTGATGCTGGTGTCACTTGCACCTCCGACTGATTCCCCTCATCGCGGGGGATCTGTTGCTGTATGTCCCCTTGTCCGCTGGGAGAATGGGGATCTGGAAGTCCTGAGGCAGACATATGCTACCCACAGGAGCGTCAAATATTATAAAAGGGTCACAGGAGTCGGCGAAATTCAGAGGGGAGCATGGAGCATGGTGAGGCTATGCACGGCGACAACAGGCGGGGGTCGGAATTGCGCGATATTCGGAGCGACAGAGTATTTCTCTGTATTGAGATCTCGACGTGAGACAGAACTCTCCTGTCGCAATAGAGGTAGTGAAATCGGTGGTGAAAAACGTAGAGATCAGAGCTCTAGCTGCGAGTAGATAACCTCAAACCGTGGAAACTATGGGGATCATTGGAGACGACGACGCCGAGTCCGGGTCCCGCAGTCCGACGGATCATCCTTCCCCCGGACCGGCCTCGATATCTTCGTTACCTCAGCACTTTCTTCTTATTTACTCCAACACTCGTTCTTCTTCGGAGGAGAAACTGCCACAACGTTCAACGGCTATGTGTGGCATTTTCTTCTCCCTCGGCGCATCCGAACCTGTATTGCCCAACCAGGAGACCTGCAGCTTATTACGGAACCGAGGACCGGACAGCTTCCAAGTCCATCAAGTCACACAAGATGCCAAATCTAGCACAAATGAATCAGTGGCTGTGCATCTGACTTTTGTTTCCACAGTGTTGTCTATGAGAGGCGACCATGTGGTGTCTCAACCGTTAGTGGATGCTGCGACGCAGTCTGTTCTCTGCTGGAATGGAGACGCTTGGAAAATAGCAGGGAATCCCATCCAGGGTAACGACACTGAGCTTATCTTCAAGCTCTTTCTGGAGGCAGTACAGCCTCGTCCAGGACAGACTGATTCGCAAGATGCGGTCTGTCGACTCCGGGACGTGATAAGTAGTGTCTCTGGACCATTTGCCTTCGTGTTCTATGATGCAGTAAACTCAAGGGTCTTCTTCAGCAGAGATTGTCTAGGAAGACGTTCTTTGCTTCAAGGTGTGGATGATGATGGAAATCTTAAAATATGCAGTATCTGTGATAGCAGTTCTACCGCCCATTTCGAGGAAGTGGGGTCGGATGGAGTGTATATGATTGACTTTACGCGTACTGTCCTGGATACGCCTGGGTTGAACGACAGCGGCGTATGTTTTAACATTGACAGCATACAGATTCTTCCATGGGGTTCTGCTTCGACCGGCCTGCTCGTATGTTATTCTTTTTCTTTTTCTTTCCTTTCCTTGTACGTGTGGCCCATATTAACGGTCAACTAGAGAAACCCAATCCCTCCAATGAACAAGACAATCCCGGAAGGGCCCCCGCCTCCATTAACCACAGACTCTGTCTGCATCACAACCCTCGAGCAGAAGCTCCTTCAAGCGCTCTCATTACGGGTGGAGAATGTCCGAGAGCCACCTACAATGAAACCAGAGGACAACGCGAAGATCGCAGTCCTGTTTTCCGGCGGCCTCGACTGCACATTGCTGGCCAGACTATGCCACGAGATCCTTCCAAGCAATGAAGCAATCGATCTGTTGAACGTCGCATTCGAGAATCCTCGTGTCGCCGCAGCCGCAGTAGCAGCAGCGAAAGGGAAAGCGCCGGCACCAGGCTCCGTGTACGAAAACTGCCCAGACCGGATGACCGGACGCTCCGCCCTTGCAGAGTTGCAAAAGGTCTGCCCAGACCGGCAATGGCGATTCGTGGCCATTGACGTACCCTACGCGGAGACAGTCGCACACCGTGAGACGGTGAAACGGCTGATGAGGCCCCACAACACCGAAATGGACTTGTCGATCTCGTGCGCCCTATACTTCGCCTCACGTGGACAAGGCACCGTTCTCGATCACGCGGACACAACCCCAGTACCATATACGTCACCCGCGCGGGTTCTCCTATCCGGACTCGGGGCGGACGAACTGTTCGCAGGGTACGGAAGACACGGCGTGGCGTTCTCACGAAGCGGGTTCGAAGGCCTCGTCGAGGAGATCGACCTCGATGTGAGTCGCCTCGGCAAACGCAACCTCGGCCGCGATAATCGCGTCATCGCACACTGGGGTCGCGAGGCGAGGTTTCCGTTTTTGGACGAAGAGTTCGTCTCGTGGGTCGTGCAACTCCCCGTGTGGGAGAAATGCGGATTCGGAATGCCTAATACGGAGACGGACACGTCCACTGCCCTCGATTGTGAAAAGCGGGCTCTTCGTCTGGTAGCCCAGCGACTGGGTATGCCGCAAGTGGCACGAGAGAAGAAACGAGCTATCCAGTTCGGGGCTCGTACAGCCAAGATGGAAAAAGGTAGAGTGAAAGGGACGGATTCACTGGATTGATCGAAAAAGAAAAAAAGACAATATCCATCCTTACAATTCTTACTACCCCACTGTCTACACAACAGTACATCTCCACACATCACATCCCATACCATACATACATAAACCCATCTCAACCCAAACCTCCACTCCACTCGCGATGATGACAAAACCAGATCAGATACTTCTGAATCCACCCCCCTCCATCGCACACCTCCCTCCCTCTCCACCTCCTCTCCTCTCTCATCCTCCGCCACCACCCCAACTCCCCCACTCCTCGCACCTCTCCTACTCCACCCACCACCGGCCATACATACAATCCAACCCAAACAGCCAAGACAACCAGCCTTTCTATCCAACGGATAAGAAACGCTCATTCACGCGGGTTACAAGCAAGCAACCAAGCAAGTAAGCAAGCAACCGCCTTGTCTTCACCCACCCACCTTCTTCTCTCCCCACTCTCCAACCTTGCACCCTTCTCCTCCCTGCATCGTCCATCGAAGCGGGAGGCGAGGCCAAGGCTGAAGAAGGAGGAAGAAAAGAAGCGGGAAGGAAGACAAGGATGGCTCCTTACCTACTCGCTCGCCTGTCCTGTATCCCACTCCACGTGTCTGAGTCTCCGGCATGAGTCGTCATCTTATTTGGCTGTTTGTTTGATTGTTTGCCATGTGCAGGTGATGGCCAAGAGCGGGAGAGGACCCGAGGAATGGGAAGAGAAAGGGTGGGTCTCGCGCACGGGTTGGTCGTGAGATTTGCGCGGTTGGTTGAAAGCAGTTGATGGGTTGGTGATGAGGCAGAGGGCAGGTTCAGAGGGGGTTTTTAATTTGGACGGTGAAGACTGTAAAGGCAAGTCTGAGCTTGTGTTGGGGGTTTTGGTGAAGATTAAACTACTCCTTTCTTTTTTTTCCCCTGAGGCTTTTATAGTGGTTATGTATAATATCTATGTTGGTTATGGGTGGGTTGTAGGTTCTTGATGTTTATTCTTTAGAAAGAAAGAAAGGAGGGTCTAGTGGATGCAGGCAGCAAGACATACATACCACTTACTACTCATGCATGTGTGAACTTCAGCATGAATTACTATCTACACACATACACATACAAATACATAACTACAAATACAACTACAACTACGGCGAAGTGAACGAAAGTCAAGTAAAGCAAAGTAATAAAGTATATAAAGCAATTCGACAATCAATTTAATAAACAAACTATAAAAACAATCTCATCGTGGCCACGAGTCAATCCCACCATAGTATAATATAGTAGGAGACATCAGAACCGACCATTAACCATACCATCCATAAGGATAACATTAACGAAATCCATACTGTGACGCTCACCAGGTAGTCATCACAGAATAGGCGATAAAGAAGTGAAGTGAAACAATTGAATACATCAATAGTAATAGAGACAAGACAACAGTAGAAGATAAAGAACAGGTAAGAATAAGAATAAGGAAACTTTTCTTGTCCTGTCGACATTATAGTCAACACGGGACAGGGGCCTCAACAAGGCCCCCGCCAACAGGACCAAATCAAACACAAAACAGGACCAGGCAGAAAGAATCAAGAACAGCCGTGTGGAGGTATCATAGCTTTTTTTTTTTTTTTTTTTTTTGAAGGTTTTGTGTTTTCTTTATGCCTTACTCTGGGCAAGGGCTTTCCAGTACTGCTCGCGCTGTTGGGCCTCCTCGAGAGACTTCTCCAGCTCGGCGATGCGCTTCTCCATCCCGCCCTGGCGCTCGAGCTTGCGAGCGCGCGACTTGCGAGCGGCTTCCGTGTTGCGAGCACGCTTCGCGGCGACCGGGTCGGCCGTGTCGAACTTGAGGGGAGAGAGGGGCTTGCGTTGACGGCCGTTGATGCCGGAGAGGGAGGAAGGCTTGGTGACCCGGTTGGGGGAGGCAGAGGGCGCAGGGGACGCGACGGATCGCACAGCCGGGGATGCCGGGGGGGCATCCGTGGTCGGCTGCGCGAGAGCCGCGACGACGTCCAGCGCGGCCGGGTCGAAGGCCTTGGAGTCAAAAGCGAGGGGGAAGCCATCTTGAGCCGGGAACAGCGAGTCCCACTCCTCATGGCCCGGGCCCAGCTCCATGTCCGTGGCGAACATGGGCGAGGTGTCCTGGCTGAAATAGCCAGGCGAGTCAAAGGAGGGGGTGCTGAGATCGGTGAAGGAGGCTGACGGCGGCGCCGAAGCGTCCATCAGCAGATCCTTGGGCGAGATGGTGCCCGTGGGGGCGCCATCCTTGGCCGGCAGGATGCCGGTGTGGAGCTGGTGAGGGGAAAGCATAGTGGAGTCGAAATCCTCGAAGTGCTCCGAGAAATCGAAGAGTTCAGGCATGTCTGGAGTATGTTAGTATGAGAGCGTATACAATATCCATGGTTTGTCTAGTAGGGGGATGCTTACCGTTGGCGATGTTCGGAACCGACATGATACGTCGAGAAGGCTGTTCTTGCTGATTCTGATAGGGGGAATTGACGGAACTGTCGTGGAAGAGAGGAACTGGGGGACGATTGGCGTGGATTACAGGCGCGGCGTTGGAAGCAACAGCAGCAGCGTGCAGACGCAACAGATGCTTGCGACTGGAGGGACTAGACCGAAGAGACGAGGACAGAGGGAAGCCGGTAGACTGCGGGGCCAGTCTGGTCACCTGAGGTACCTGAGTAGGCGAGGGGGAGAACTGCTGCTGGGGCAGACAGGTCGAGTGTCGTCGAGGGAGGTGCCCGGAACGGACCAGGTAGGATTGATAGGCGGCGAGTCTATGGGCGGCGTTCGCAGGGGATTGCGGACGAGGATCCCGAGCGTTCGATTGAGCAGGGAATAGCACAAAGTCCTCGGAGGGGCTGTTGTTGTTGTTGAGACTGTAATCTGGATTCTGCGGAGCCAAAGGCTGTGTGGGCGGGGGCGTTGGAGGCCATTGTTGCTGGAAGTGATCCGTGGTGGACGACGTAAAGTCGAACGGGGGAATGGAGTTCAGAGAACTTGAGCTACTCGAATCGAGGCTGAAGTTCAGAGGTCCTGGGACAGGAGACTCTGGGGGGGGTGGAAGAGGGGAGAAGTTAAAAGACGAGGTCCGAAGAGGATCTATCGTGTCTATCTCAGAGGAGAGAGACGAATTCTGTCCGCGGGGCGGATTTAGAATTGCATTTTGGCGGAGATCAAGAGAAAAGTCTGTAGAAAGCCAAGAATTTATGGTGAAAGTGATGGATTAAAGCCCGCAAGGGAGGTTGAAGTGAGTGATGGAGAGAAGAGTTGATGAGGTTGAATCGGTTGTGGGAGAAAAAGATGGAAGGAAGAAAAAGAAAGCCAGGCAGCGACGGGGGACTCAGGCACTTCTTAACCGGATGTGTGCGCCGGTGGGGCGGTGCAAACGGGCCAATCAGGGGGGGTCTGAGGGGCGCCTGGCGGGCTAGCCGGAAGGGGACTAGTCGGGCACAGCGCCGGTCAGCAGGTGTGAGTCATAGCTGTGCATGGTCTGATTGGTGGGAATACCGTATAGTGGGTCAGGCATTCCAGGCCACACTCGTATATCTCGACAGAATATATGGATTACGGGGTCACTTCAAGTCTACCTAGAGTTTCTAATATACAATCTCTCTACCTAAATGATAGCTCAACATTGACTACGTAAAGGAAGCACAAGGCAACAATAAACCAATTTCCACCTCATCCTAGTGTACAGTGTACCTCGTGAAGAAGAGGGGAAAGTCCGTTTCACCCACGGACAGGCCTCCCTCCGTCGAATCCTGCATACCCCGTCCTGTCCCAATTGACCAATCAACCGCCCTCAACCGGCCCAATTCCGAAATCCCAGGCATCACCGGCTTACTTTGCTGACAACTTTCAATTAAATACTATGTTTTTCACAGCCCCGGGCGGGCTCTCCGAACTCAGTGAGTGAGACTTTGTCGGGGTCTGAAAATGGCAATTACGTCCACTGTCCACTGCACCGTCCAGCCGCTGGTGGAATTCGACCTTGTGATTTGTGGAGTCGTCTGCGAGAGGGTATACTTTAAGCACTATTAAGGGGGCGCAGCACATTCACTCTGCAGAGCCTCATCTTTACTTTCTTGACTCCTTCATAGCCTGGTCCTAAGGACTGGCTACCTACTTAGCTACCTACCTAGGTAATTACTAATTACTCTAGGTATCTTCTACAAGAGAATACAACAGACCAGACAACAGTAAATAAGTAGAATAGAATAAATGAAATAAATCAATGAACCAACTCATGAAACCCAAAAACCAATCCACTACGATTGATAATCCAAGTCCAAGGTATCCAGGCGTCCATCACCTGCCCGATCCATTCCCCGACTCAATCCACACTATTCCTTTCCGGATACTAGTGTCATCAAAGGGCGTGCCATTCTTTCTTTTCTTTTTCTTTCTTTTTTCTTTTTTCCGTGTCCTTCTTCACGTCCTGCGTACTGTACCTTCTACCTCCTACCTACTACTACCGTCTAGACCATCTCATTCGACTATAGCTACACTAATTGAGTTTATCAATTACTCATATATCAATCGTGATAATGATAGTGATAATGATGACGACGACGATAAATCTACAGGCGTAGCAACCATACTACGGCTAAGCTAATCTCAGCCAAAAGACGAACCACGGGCCAGAAAGGGACCACGAAAAAATTGAAAACTTTACTTTGCCCTGTCGCGCCCATGTGATGGCTACTTCGGCGGGTTGGCCCGGTTGAAGGTACTATTCCTAGGCACTAGGTTGGATTGTGGCTTTTGTTTTTCCGAGATTTCGTAGACGGGTTACTTCCTACGATCGATCTTGTCAGATCTGGATCCAGGTCCATGCGCTCGATGGTCGCTCATTACACTGACTGGACTACACGACTACACACTACACACTACACAACTCGATACTCAGTACAAACATTCTATTACTATTACCTATGATGCTGTCCATGGATACATGGCTCATCAACGACATGCCCTGGCCGGGGCCAGCGGGAAGGATACAATCCTCCCCTCAGCGCGCCCTTCCTCCCATGCGGGTATCAACCAGAGAAGTGAAAAAAGCATCAAACGGTACAAAAAAAACACAAAACAAACAAAACAAGTGGTATCAATCTAGTTTGGTCGGCCCATGACGTGAACGCACCCGCGGCCCGGGACTGGGGATATCATAAAGGAACGAAACGCGACGCCAGACGCAAGGAAATAGTCCGGGCCGGAAACGACCGCCAAAGCAGCATAGGGTATCGTTGGCACCCTCCTGGCAATCGCTTGCGGAGCAAGGCCGCCAAAAGACGTGACAGTGGAAGACCGCGGTCTTCAAGCAGAGAAAAAAAAAATAAAAAGGAAAATAAAAAGAAAGAAAGATCAAAGAAGTATGTCAAACGAGTTTCATTTTAGGTTGTTTTTTTTTTTGGTTGGGTTTTTGCTTTTTTCTGGCGAGGTCACGCGTGACAAGAAACAGTTCGACGGTAGGAAGGGCTAGACAACAGCGTCATCCCACCACTTCTCATACTCGACGATGCGTCCCGAGGGAGCACTTCATGCGGCAGCCTGGACGGGGGTGGAGGTGGAAGAGACGTTGGCGGGCTTGGACTCCTCGGTGGCGGGGGCCTCAGCGGGCTTGGCAGCCTCCTCAGCGGGGGACTCCTCAACGGGAGCCTCCTTGGGAGCCTCAGGCTTGGCCTCGACCTCGGTGGCGGTAGCCTCCTTGTTCTCGGACTTGACGGCCTTGCTGGGCTTGCGGAAGAGACCGCCCAGCTTGTTGCCCTTGGGCTTGGCCTCAGCCTCGGCAGCCTCGTTGTCGGACTCGCCGGCCTTCTTCTTGCCGAAGTTGCCGAAGAAGGAAGTACGGCGCTTCTCCTTGGCAGCGCTGTCGGCACCAGGGGTCTGGGCGGGAGAGGCCTCCTTGGCGGCCTCGCCCTCGGCGGGAGCGGTGACGCTCTCGGGCTCGATGGGCTTGACGGCAGCCTCCTCAACGGGGTTGTCCAGCTGGGGGGCGGTGCTGGCGACAGCGGTGGACTCGGCAGGGGCGGTGGCCTCCTTCTCGGACTTCTCCTGAGAGGGGCTGCCGACCTTGCTGAAGAAGCCGCCGAAGAGGGAAGCACGCTTGGACTTCTGGGCGGCGGCGGGGGCCTCGACCTTCTCCTCCTTGGCCTCCTCCTTCTTCTCCTCGGTGGTCTCCTCCTTCTTCTCGGCGGTCTCAACAGGAGCGGCGGCTGCACCACGTTAGCATAGATCTAGAGCGGGAGTGATGTGGAGGTACATACCCTCAGCCTCGACGGCAGCGGCAGGCTCGGCGGGAGCGTCGGTGGCGGCCTCGACGGGCTTGGCCTCCTCCTTCTTCTCCTCGGCCTCCTTGGTCTCCTCCTTCTTGCCCAGCAGGGAGCCGAAGATGCTGGCGCGCTTGCGGGACTGGGAGCGGCTCTTGGTGGCCTTCTCCTTGGTCTCCTCAGCGGGAGCGGCCTCCTCCTTGGGCTCCTCCTTGGCGTCTTCCTTGGCTTCCTCCTTAGCCTCCTCCTTGGCTTCGGTGGGCTTCTCGGCGGGCTTGGCGGCAACGGCGGGCTTGGCTGTGGGATATTAGCATGATTCTGACATAAAGGGTAGATGGTAAAACATACTCAGCTTCTCGAGCTGGGCCTTGTAGCCCTCGCTCTCGACGATGGTCTCCTTCTCGGCCTTGGCCTCAGCGGCCTTGTTCTCGAGGGCGAGGAAGAAGCTGTCACGCTCGGCGGCGCTGGTGGCCTGGAGGGCGTGCTTCTGGCCGTTGACCTTGAAGACGATCTCGCTGCTGCCATCCTTGGCCAGATCGGTGACCTCGCCCTATATAACTGTCAGTATGTGCGCATGTCACATCATTCATGGTGAATCACGTACGAGGTTGAAGATGCCAGCGGGGGTGGCCTTGTCCTCAGCGCGCTTGGTGAAGAAGACGAGACCCTTGCCGGTCTGGGTGGCCCAAGCGACGATGGCGTTGGACACGGCGGGCTTCTCGTGCTGCTGGTACACGGAGAGCTGCTTGGCCTCGACGGCGTCGTCGCTGAACCAGAAGAAGCGCTTGGAGAAGCGCAGGCTCCTAAAACATAAGTCAGTCAACTGTTCCTATTGCAGTCGATATCCGCGTGACTGTTGGTGACGTACTTGACAAGACCGGGAGCCTTGTAGCCCAGAGTGGCCTCGGTGGCGGGAGTGACCTCCTCCTTCTTCTCCTCCTTCTTGTCCTCCTCCTTGGCCTCCTCGGCGGCACCCTCCTCCTTCTTCTCCTCAGCGGGAGCGGCCTCAGCGTTGTCGGCGGGGGCGTCCTTGGGGGCCTCCACGGCGGGAGTCTCGGTGGCCGGGCCTCGGCGGGGGTCTCAGTGGCGGGAGGAGCAGCCACGGGGGTCTCCTCAACAGGCTTCTGAACGTCGGACATGATGAATGCGGGTGATTAGGTAGTTAATTATAAAAGTGTTGATTAAAAAAGTGGTAAGGGTGAAGCGCAAGTAAAATGGCCTCGTTAATAAGTGTAGGGTATCTCTTAAAGGGGGTATCTCAACGAAAACAAGAGACTTCGGAGAAGAACTCGGGTATCACAACGAAAGAAGAGGGGGAGGGGGGGGAAAGAAGAGAAAGAAAGAACACAGGGAACGGTGGTGTGATGGATTGCAGAAAGGGTAGAGAACTGAGGGGAAGGAAAGAAGAAGAAGAAGAGAAGAGAAAAGAGAGAGCAGGAGGGAAGCAGCGGAAGAAAAAGGAAGGGAAGAAAAGCGGGCCTGAGAGAACAGGGGGGAAGCAGAGGAGAAAGGAAAAGGGTGTGAAAGTCCCAAGAGGGAAAGGAGCTGCAGGGCGGCCAGCCTAGACAGACTCTGGTGACTCCACTTGGTTTCTTAAGTATAGCTCTCCACTGGGTTGGTGACTCCTTTTTTATTTTTCGATTCTGTTCTTCTCTTACCAGGTCCAGAGTATTACCATCCTCCGTAGATACTACGGGGGAAATCGATCCCTATTTCTTTCATTAGCTACAACTCCACCTATCGCCTATGCAGGTGACGGACTCGGAACATGATCCTGCATCCAGTAACTAATAGTATCTTTGGCCGTAACGATCATGCTCTTCAACGTTTGGCCCGATGGGAAATTGGATCGTCCAATCGAAGTACAGATTATTCGAGTCAGGTTATATTATATTATCTCGACGACTCCGGAGACTCTAGTACTGTTAGTGACCCAGATTTCAAGGTTCTCCTGCATAGATTAACGGTTGTCCCTAATTATATCAGAGTATTATTTTATACGAGTATCAAAATACGGAGTACTCCCAATGGTCCCTATAAAATTCCCTATAGTACACCCTATCGTAAAGTCAATGCGAAACGAAAGAGAGAACTATATCAAGGCCATCGACCCGGAATCGGATAGTATCAATAAATTAATGATGACAGATTCTAACCGTGGTTGTGGGACAGCCCCTTTGACCCCCTGATGCGGGTGCTGGATCATGGATCATGGTCCATGAGCCATGGTCCATGAATCCATGGCTCCTCTTTTCCTCTTCCTCCTTTTCACCTGTCACTGTCTTCTCCTCTGGCTGTCCGATCTACTCCTACTGTATCAAACCCATCTATTTACCAAAGTCCTCTTTTATCAAAGGTGATCTCAACCAAGCAACAAGAGAACAAACAACTCTCTGACTTTTCTGGGTAGTAGCTACTCTGTACAGTAAATACTAAATACTAATACTAATACTAATACTAATACTAAATCCTAGGTAATAAGCTAACCCACTCCAGCATAGTATCCTCCAGTAATTTTAATTACAGGACATCGAGGGAAAGATGTGCAGACAATCATGATCCCAGCATGACCCTCCTCAACTAATCAAATCCCAGATTCAACTAGTCGGGATGACCCTCAATGACCTTTCCTGTTGAATGATGCCAACTCGTGACCGTCCAGGCTTCCTCCCCCGGCCAACCAGGGGGAGAGGACCCCCTCCTTCAGCATTCCAGTCCTCGATTGACATCCGTGATGGAATGTGTCGGGTGGATTGATAGGGTGACGTTTCTTCTGATTCTGATGGACTTACCTAAGTCTGTCCCTCGTTGAAAATGAAAAATCATAAATTGGCAGAAAACATCAAGAAAAAAACGATAAAAAAGGGAAAAATAGTATTCTCCACCCTAACGGTGGCAACCGATGAATAAGATAATACGATGGCCCAGCCCAGTTGACCTTGGGATCTGTCTTCGAAGAATAACTGTCACACCATTTGGATAGTTTTTTTTCTTTTTTTTTCCTGTTTCATAATCATGTTTGTGCTCACCAATCATACTGTGCAGGACGGTGTATGGAAAACAGAAAAAAACAACATACTATACATGAAATAATGAAAATAATAATAATAATAGCGCCCTGATACAGACCCCACTCACCCTACCCTCCCTCTCAATCCTGTAAACTACTGACTACCAGCTACTAGTCCGACTGGTGTCCTGCTAGTAGCCACGAACCAACCTAGTCCACCATCCTCCTCCTCCTCCTCCTGATTATGCCTTATTAGTCGAGATGGATTCTCCCCGAAGCAGCCTTATATTAGCTGGCGTTATCCTCCGCCGTTCACTCGACATGTCACATGACAGCGGTCTCGCTTGCATATCTCTACCTCCTATCTAGCTGCCTGGCTGCCTTGATCCGGATCTCACCAGTTGATACCTATTTAGAAGACAGGAATAGAAACTCCATCCTCGCATCCCAAACTGTTAACCCCATTGCATATGTGACTATCATATCATCTCCTAGGAAGGTTAGTAGATTAGTAGGTTACCATCACTACAGAAAGGATGAAAAGATGAAAAACCTGTTCCACTAGTCTCGTCCTTACCCTACTTTCCTAGCATAGGTAGAAAAATTCACCCTTTCATCATTCCGAGACCAGACTGGTCGGCCCCTGAACCAATCACACTACTGTCGATCCCCGTCCATCGGATGATCTTTTTTTTTTTTTTTTTTTTTTTTCCAATCTTGCCATTTTCCCAATTTTTTTCACCTTGGCCCGTGTTGATATTGCCTTCACTTGTTTTGTTTGCCTTGCGGGCGGATAATTCTGTTATTTCACAGGATGGTGCTATAGCCTCGTCTCGACTCCGCCGGTGGACTACCTACCTACCTACCTTACCTCCCAGGTAGACAGCTAATACACCGTAATCTATCAATTCCACCTCAAACAAAGCTAATAAAACCTCAAAGATAATATAATATAATATAAGATAACGCCGTAATGAAAATAAGGCAGAAGAAAGAAATTTTTCCAGCCCGCTAATTACAGCCCGCCCATCATGATTGGTTCTTATTACGATGCGCACGCCTTTACTTCTTCCGGGAGGAGAGACGGTTGAATCTTCGCTTGCTCGTTCCTAGGTTTCTGTGGTAGGGATCTAATAGTGACTAGTGAATCTGCTCGTTCGTTGGGTCGGCTGGTGGTCTTTGCTGTGCGGTAGTCTTGCTAGGTAGGGAGTAGTTGGCTATCGACTCGGTCTACCGGTAGATACCTAGGTAGTAGTAATAGGACTGAAGAATGTCGATGCAGGTCCCTGACCTCTGCAAGTTAACTCGGACAGTCAGTTAGATTAACGGTTCACCCGTCCCGCTGCAGATGATTTGGAATCGTCAGGTAGGGCTTGTCTGGATGGCGCCATTGCGAACCCTGATCATAGCCACTAACTAGCTGGTTCGTCTAGCTTTTACCCCTCCATCCGTAGTACGGATACCACTACCTACTACGGTCCCTAGATAGTGCTTCCTTCTGGTGACCTAGTACTGAGTAGGAGATGACGCGGTTGGTAATGTCCTTGTTAGGCATACTATAGATACTAGGTGGTATCTGTATGCGTAGATAGAAGATAAGTAGCAGGGTTGAACAAGATATCGAGCTAAGCTTGATAACGTATCACTGCCTGAGGTACGGTACCCTATCAGCCATCCCCCTCTCCCCCCATCATGTTCCTCAAAATACACCGTACCTCCATCCCACACTAGAGCCCTCTATATGTACGTATGTATATATACACGCATAAGTCCACATCACTCATCAATCAGAGCCATCCACCTGCGCGTGCCTCACTAGCTGCCTCGAGCTGCAGGGACGGACGCCGTGATCTTGTCTCGTGCGTGGACGGTGGTGGTGGCACGTGCGTTTTCTCACTATTACCTACTTTGCTTATCTATCCAGGGTGCTCAGCACTGACCTATCCATCTACCTGGCTACCTACCTATCTATCTGGAGGTGGAAGTATTTTGGTACTTCATACTCGGTAGAGTAGTAATAAGCTAGAGACGGTGGGTTATAGGTTTGTGCTATTATGTTTAGCAGGAATTCGGTCTACGTTTGTTGAGATTGGGTATATATATTTCGTGACTTGGTGGTGTGGTGGCGTAATTGTGACCATGATAATACTGTTGATATACTATATGGAGGGGATTGAGGTCCTTCCTCATATTTCTCGTGTGTAGTATGGGTATGGGTATATGTATTCGGTTTTAATAGCCAAATATCGTAGTAGTTAGTAAGATATAAATATAAGGTTGATATATCTATACACGCTAGACTGGCACAAGAATACTTGCTTTTTCAATAGATCTTACAAAGTATATATCATGCTAACTAATACCAACACTCGACTCTAGCGATGTTGATATATTATCTCCACTAATACTATCATGATTAAAACGTAGTAAATGCTATCTGAATGCCACACAATCATTCTCACATCAAGCATCTCAAATCATACACGCTCAACAATGCACCGCCAACAAGCAAATCATACATACTATCCTATCCACCCTCTGATATACATAAATTTCGAACCAACATGGAACAAATCAGGCCGCCATCGTAAGAACATGACTGTAACACCGTTAGCAACACCATCCCACAGCTCTATCCATGCGTATGAAGGACGCAGACGCAGGGTATCAATCACGCAGGGTATAAAGAAAAGGAAACTCACGAAGTAATACTATCCATCCTCTCCCTCGTCAACTTCAAACTAACAATCAACAACTCCCTCGCAAGCTCCGGCTCCCTCTCCCGCAACTGCCCCCACTTCTCAACACTCAAACACCACGCCACGCAGTCCTGCTCCGCCCGAACAGTCGCCGTCCGCCGCGTCTCGCTGAAAAACGGCAGTTCGCCGCACGGCCCCCCCGCGACGATCAGTTCGAAATACCGCCCCTGCGGCATCTCGTACTCTGCGCGCAGCATGCCTGACTCGAGGAGGTAGAAGGACCGCGGGACGTCGCCTTCTTCGAAGAGGATGCTGCCTGCGGCGTAGGTCTCGCGGGTGAAGAACGCGCACACGGGGAACCAGAAGTCTTCGTTGCGGGGGGTTAGGCCTTGGAAGGTTTGGAGGAGGAGCGGGAGGGGCTGGCGCATGGCGGACCATGCTGCGGGCGCGAAGGTCGCGGATTCGTCTTCGTGGAGTGTTGTCGTTGCTGCTTGTTGGAGGTAGCGGTGGCGCGGGGAGCTGACTATCCCCCCTCCGCCTGCTGCTGCTGCAGCTGTGCCCTCGGCGAGGGACAGGCTTTGTGGGTGAGATGTGGTTGGTACGGCGAGGGTGGAGGATGGGCCGCTGCGCTTTCGGAATAGAGATTCGCGGTAGCGGTAGAAGATCTTGAGGTAGTCGTTTTCGGAGAATTCGAGGGCGGAGTTGAGGTCTTCGAAGAGTTCGACGCCGTTGACGGGCTCGAAGAGGCCTACGTTTTGGAGGCTTCGCCCGACTTCGCCTTCGACGTCGAGGCCGGAGATGGACATTTGGACTTTGCGTTGACTGAGGATGCGGCTGATGCGTGTGAAGGCCTCTGCGGCGGAGAAGTCGAGGCCGACGACGCGGGAGAAGTCGAGGACGAGGAAGCGGATGGGCCGCTTGTTGAATGATTCTTCTTCGATGAGACCCCGTAGTTGGTTTTCGACGTCGACTATCGTGCCGAAGAAGAGGTACCCGCCGAGTTTGATGATGAGGGTTTGCTGCCCGGCTTCTCGGAGGAAGCGCTGCTGGATGGGCGGTCTTCGGACTGTTGAGCCGGCTACTCGTCCTGAGTATGTCGCTCGGATGGCGGACTTGCGGGAGGTTTGCAGAACGAAGCTCATGCAGGCTAGGATGATGCCGACGAAGATGCCTACCACGAAGTCCCATACGCCCATTGTCAAGACGATGATGACAACCTGTAACATCTGTTAGCTATAGAGATCAGAGGTGAAAGTTCTCTATATACCGTCATATATTCAAGCCGATGCAGTTTCCCCCACGTATCAACCAACGCCTCTTGCATCAGCTCAATGCCAAGCATAAAGATCAGGGCTCCCACGACCATGACCGGGATGAAGCCCACAATCACCGGCCCGATTACGAGGATCCCCATCGTGGCGCCTGCAAGCATGACACCGGCTAGACGGGAGTTTCCTCCACTGTCAATGAAAAGGAGACTGTTGGTGTAGACAAGATAATTCTTCGGATCGTTAGCAAAATACGAGATACCTCACTGAGATAGTTGCCTACCTGGATGCTGCCAGAAAACCCAGACAACGCATTGGTGACGCCGTGGGCGATGAGCTCACGGTCAACGTTCAGATTATCCTCGCCCGTGGAGATACCCAGAGCCGGCACATTGATAGGGACATGGAGGATGCCGAAAAAGGTGAGCGCAAGCATTGCCGGAATGGTCTCGACGAATGCAGACCAGTCCACGGCGGCAAAGTCTAAGACCGTTAGCCTGTATACTCGTTGAAGACGGTAGTGTTACTCACCATAAAGCGTGTAGAAATTATACCACGGCTTAGAGAATGACGGCGCATTGAACACCCATCCACTGTTGCGCAATGCTTCCATGGGTATCCCGGCGATGAGCTTGACTATGTAGAACGCAACACCCACGCCGACAAAGTAGCCTCCAACCAAAAAGTTAGAGCGCACGATTCGTTTCAAAACTAGTATCCCGACAGCGAGGAATAAAGGTATCACCCAAAGAGGCAGCGTATCCAGTTGGAACAGCTTCTGCAGCGTGGGCATGGTGAACTCAAGCGTCCCCGGCAGACGAGCAGATACCTCGATACCCGTCGCCATGAGGAAGAACCCTACACCACCAATGCACCCGATTAAAATATGCCGCGGGAAGAATCCAATGAGAGACCCCAGCCCACACGCCCCCATAAGGAAAAACACCAGACCAGTCATGATCGAACTGACAGCAAACGCCAAAATACTAGTCGCAATAACCGACTTCGGGTTCTCCTCGCCGACACTATGCAATATCGTAAAAGCCATCTGATGGAAAAACGGCACAACCTCAATCATCTCGCTCCCAATCCCACCGCGGAAAATAGACCCCCGCAGGAGAAAACCAGCTGCGCAATGATCGTGCTGACGTAGAACATCGAGATACCGTCTGATCCGAGGTCCGCGAAAATCGGCTCGCCCAGAGGAAAGAGAATCATGCCGTAGGACAGGGCGTCGAGGATGTTGAGTAGCAGGCCGAGGAACACGGACGGCAGTAGACTGGCAGGGTGGACTACTCCCTGCTCCCAGATCGTCCGTCTGTCCCAGGCTTTGGGGTTCGTCAATACCCGGAAACACTTTTTGGCTTTGAACCGCGCCGTATTCAACGGAGTCCGTTTTCGCTTTGTGGCGGACCCTTGGTTTTCAACGTCGTGCGCACTCCCATAGCTACGGACGGCTTTTGAAGGAGTGGAATGCAATAGAGAAGATCGTTCGGTGCTAGAGATCTGAGACTCTTCAAAATCAGGTACAGACGCATCCTCCATCTCAGATTCCTCCTCGCTTTCACTCGTCCTGCTTAGATCCGACGTCCGCTTTCGGTGACTAGATCGGACATCAGGCGACTCGTGCGAAGGCTTGCGAATCATTTCCGTGAGCACCGAAGAGCCAGGGGTGTGGAGCGTCGACGGTTCTGCGTCCAAGGGCTGCATCAGCCCCCGTGAGCCAATAGTTGTATCTTTCGGCGACACGGCGAGATCCAACTCTTGACTCCGTTGTTGACCGCGGCGGAATACGTCCAACGACGGCGGCAGGGTATTGCGCTCCGCGAGAGGGGAGGTTTCGTTCAGCGAAAGGGCAAGCGAGGCGAGCTCGGCTGTCTGTTCTCGAAGACCGCGGGACGAATAATGCGCTGGATCTGCCAGGACATTGTTTGTCAGTATGATGTCCAACGAGAGAGCTGTCATTTGATCGCACCATTTGCATTGTTGAAGGATCGATGATAGAACGACCGACTTGGTGTCCTGCAACTACCCCCAGAGACGAGCGGATCGACACCAAACGTGTGAGGAAGGCTGCCATTATGCGCCTGTTCGATCGGAGCCTCTGCGGGATCTGGAGACAAGCGGTCGACAGACGGACGAGGGGGAAGCCCGGACTCCCCAGACCCGCTGCTATTTCGTGTCCGGAAGACGCCCATCGGGGGCTATAGGCAGACTGGTGGTCCTGGCGTGATTATTTGACACAGATCAATTGATAGGGACGAGATTAGCCCTGGTAACAGAGTCCCCGCAGTGCGCGCGGTGTGGTCTTTGGCCGTTACTCGAGTGCGACTGATGATTCTGAATGACGCAATGCCTAAGATGGGCAATTGGGGGGATATCGCTGCCAAACCGGGGAGACGCAATGCAAAGCCATCCAGGAAACACACAAAAGATCAAAAGACAGATGGCATTCGAGAGAAAAAAACTAGGCCGGGGGGCCGGAAGACGAGGAAATTTGGGGCGTTATCAGGTTATTCGACCGACTAAAAAGTCTTATCAACGAAAGGTTATCGCCGGCCCACTCAGTGTGGTTTAGCGTTCGCGCAAGGCCGTTAATCAAGGCTAGCCAGGGTATTTCATGAGGGGTCAGAGCGCGAGGATAGAGAGAATGTTCGCGAATTCTTGTTCAAAGTTACAATTATCATTATGGTAAGACCTGTTTACCTGGGAATGCTTGAGATTGTCAGTGCAGGAAATGATCTGCAGTTGGCACTTATGGAGATGCTTCTTAGTCATCGACACGACAGAAGCCAACCTTGATCACGAGATCTATCGTTATCATAGAGGGGAAAGATGAGAGAAGATAGATAATTGAGCCAGAAAAGGCCAGGAGTATATTCTATTTCTATATGCGTGGGTATCATAAAACATAAACCAATGAACCATGCATCCTCATCCATAAACCATCAACTCAGCCGTTCCAGAAATCCCTGCGCAATCAACCGTTCGACGTCGCCCTGTCGTACGTACAGCTGACTATTCTTCGTCAAATTAATCGCCCTACAGTAGCAGCAGTAGTTAGCACAACACTCCAGCAATCAATTATCCACGGAAGGACGGGAGAAAGGAGGTCCGAAGCAAAATATATCCCCAAGATACAACATACCCATACTCAGTCTGAATCTCCCCTGCATCCTTCAACACCCGAACATCAATAAAAAGATCCCTCGGCGGCTCCAAACTCCCCGTCAGATCCACATCCGTCCACTGCCCCTTATAAGCAGCCAACATATCACTATACTGCCGAAAATACTCCTCCTCCTCGGGGCTCAGCGAGCTGTGCTGCCCCACCGCCTGCGCCGAGCTCATGCTCGTCGGGCCCGGCGCGTCGCCGCCCTCCTCCGCGGGCAGCTGCTGCTCCAGCACGTCGACGCCCGTCCAGCACAGCTCTTCCAGTTTCGCGGTCCGCACGCGGTGGTACGCGAGCAGGCAGCGCTTGTTGCGCCGCATGCTGAGGTGGTCGACGAGGAGGGCGCATGCTGTGGCGGGGTCGGCGGAGGGGTTGAAGCCTTCGGCTGAGAAGGAGTTGAGGAGGTGGGCGACGTGGCGGTCGAGATCGCGCACTTCGCGCGCGACGGCCCGGACGAGCTCGGTTTGGTAGGGTGGGAGGTGGGCTAGGGATTGGGTGCGTTTGGCATGTTGGACCTTGGGGGTGAGGGTTAGTTTTGGAAGGAATTTTTGGGGGGGGGGTTAGATTGGGTTTACCAGCTTGTTTCCGAGTTCGCCGTACATGGGGATGGGTTCGTGGGCTGTTTATTGCTCGCGAGATGGGTGATGATGCATTGACGGCTGGAATTGATGGTGCGGAGGTGCGATATGGATGGACAGGCAGGCCAGTCTATGGAGTTGAACAGATCAAGAGTATGGATTAAAGCACGCTTTAAAATAAAGTATAGAAAAGAAACCGAGTATATCAATAGTAATTAGACAAAGGCGGATCCATGACGGTTTCTTCTCCACGCGCTGACAACGCGCACGTGACGCGCCTCTTACCTAAGTCCGGACAACGGCCGCTGGCTTTCCAGCAGTATACTGTATGAACCCCAGCAGTATTAAACAACCGCTCCTCTTTCCCACCTTGATAAACCAACGGCAGGTTGCATACCTAACAACTCCCAACACAAACAGTCGCCTTATTTGCCGTTGCCGTGTGTGCTGATTTGGAATACCTGCAGCTTGCACCCAACATCTGTCGCATGTTGCCGATACAAACGGGTCCCTGCATAAACGATCCGGCGGTTCAAAAGGAGGCGACTGTTAGGTGCTACTTACTGCCCTGGTTGGGTTATACATTTGGAAAATGTCTGCCGTTTGAGTGGGTTTGGGGGAGAGCTTAAGGTTGGGTTGGGGTTGATGGTGTAAAGGCGATGGAAGGGTCAACTGCTAGGGTTGGATTATATATTACGGAGTACTTTGTAGACGGGAGTATAACTCGAGAATAGGTTGAAATCCCGTAAACTGACACATGGTAATGTTAATGATAATTTCTAAATGGATGATAGATGACAAATTCGCATGAAACAAGCACAATTCTATCTAAAAAAGTTCGACAAATGCCACACATGGTTTAAAATTAATCCAAATCACGATCCCGCCCGAGACAAGACAATCAGAAACAAGCAAAACGAAGTTGAACGTAGGGGTACTCTCAAACGGAAACATAAATGAGTAAACAAAATGAGTGAGGATCACATCAGACGCCAGGTAGCCTTGCTCCTTCCAACTCCGTTCCCACTGTATTCTCATAAAGGGAGAGAGGTAGAGAGAGAAAGCAAAAGATGAAAGATGAATAAAAAGAAGAAAAAAAATTGCCAACTTAGATGCAGGTGCATTGGAATCATTGTGCTCATCATCGTTATTGTGGTGGGTTGAGAATGGAGCAAGCGGTGAAACACAATGTTCTCAAGCCTGAGGGTTGACCCAGCGGTCAAACTCGCCCGTGGGAGAGTCCACCGCGAATTTGGAATCCCAGGGCTCGCCATCATCCAGCATATCGTAGGATGAGTGGGGGTGATAAGACACGGCATTGGACCCTAGCGAATTGGGTGCATTGGGAAGATAGCTGGCGCCTGGAGCCGGATCTGTCCAGATCCCGTACTGGGGGCTGCTGTAAACGTGACCGGCAGGAAGAGGATCACTGTGGTATCTCAACAGCTGGGGGTCCAACTGGCTAGTTGGGGGAGCACCGGGTGGGGGAGCGGTGGTCTGGGGTTGAAGAAGGTCATGGTGAACTGCTCCCGGCAGACCGGACAACGTGTTCGAAGTGTTGTATTGCAGCTCACTCAGGTCAGTTGTTCGGAATCGTACATCATCCTGGTGAGCGCCCACCAGACCGTGATGCATACCGGGGTGCCCGTAATGGGACGCCTCGGGAGCCGACATCATGGTGGAAGGTGGACGGGGAGGATGATGGGGGGGCCACCCCGAATTGAGGAATTGCATGGGTGTGGGCAGGCCATGATGCTCGACAACGTTCATCGGTGTCCCACAGCGGCTATGCCACATCCCAGAGTCGATATCCGAAGAAAGCATGGCCTGGCTTGAACTCAAGCTCGGGCTGGAACTCGGAGTGTCATCGTGGCCCATGCCCGGAGAAGTCTTGCAGGGCTTCTTGGTTGGCTTGCTCTTGTCCTTGGGCGAATATTTGTATCCGGGATGCGCCTTCTCGTGGTTGGCCTTTTCAATATTGGCGAGAGAGGCATACTTCTGCTTGATATCCCGAGGCTCCATCTTCCAACTTTGCCCCGCGACCTTCGAGACTTCCTGGTGATTGTTCTGCGAGAGCCATTCCTTGGTGCGCTCCGCATACGCTGAACGATAGAGGATGAAAGAGTTCATGGGTCTGGCAACCTTTCCCTTGCGAGTGGTCTGGCTTAGACGTGTTTCAATAGGACGATGCACCCACTCCTCCATGTCCCGAATCGGGATATGGCTCATGTCCTTGGTCAGTTCACTCAACGGAGCGTTGATGACTGGGGGGTCGGTCTTGCTCCTCTTGTGCCGGATCTTGGGCGACTTTGAGGACCGGGAGGCTCGAGACAGCTTGGACTTGGGGGTACTCTGTGCCCGGAGCCTTTGCGACGGAGACGACCAGTGCGATGGCGCCGAATCTAGACTGCCTGCAATCGACACTTCATCCGACGGGGGCGTGTTGACTTGAAACCCATGGGGTTGCATCTGCATAGAAATTAGTTAGATACGCCTGGGACTGGGAGGGATAGTCCCACGGGGGATCGCGTGCTGCTTACCTGTAATTGCACCGGGAGGCTGCGAGAGTAATCGCCGTTGGTAATGGTGTGCGAAGAGGGTGAGCTCCGGGGCTATCCCAAGGTTAATACATGCATGCCAAAAGGAAATTTGTCGATATCCAAGCACATACCACTGGGTGTGAGCCATTCGCGTCTAGGTTTCCCTGCGCGCCGGCGAACATGAAGAGATCCGACTGGTCGCACATGGTGCGGGCGATTCCACACGATTCCCGAGAGCTCTCTGGAGCTAGACTTTCATCACCTGACTGCGGCGGAGAGAGTGGTTGACGCTGAAGTTGTCTCAGACTCATTGCCAGACCCGAAGCTACCGCCCAGATCTAACGGATGTGGTAAGATTAGGGTCGGGCAAAGGAGGGGCTAGTGATCTCCTTTTTCCTTCCTGGTTCTTTTGCCAACTCTGCAGGGGGCGCGTCCGATTTAGAGATGAGCTGGCTGAGGGGTCACTTGGACTTAACGGTGGGTGGGGGAAATGACTGCGTTGTGGAAACTGTTTGCTAACCGGACAGGGTTCTCAGCAACGCGGATGGGGGAAGGAAGTCAGATGTCGGTGGATGGCAGAAGAAGAAGTAGATGTAATCGTCCAACTTTGCCGGTGAGGCTTTTCTGTTTCTTTTTTTTCCCTTCTATTTTGTTTTCGCAGAGACCCAGACTGTGGCAAAGAGGCTTCAACAAGAACAGAAGAGAAAGGGTTTGCTAGAGGAGTGAGACACCCCGTGTGTCTTGCTTGATGAATGGATGAATCGGTGAAAGGATAGTAGAAGGTAGAACAATTGATCAATCGATGGAAGGAAAGGTCTCAGCCGTGGGAGAGCAAGCGCCTTTATCAATCTGCAGAGATGGGAGAATGGAATAGGGATTCTTTGATATCAGAAATGTTCATTAGGGTAAACAAGAGGAGGAAACCCGACAGGATATAAGGCAGATCGGTGTTGCAGAGCGCCGTTCTAGATGGGGAGAACTACCATGGTATGCTAGAGAGCGAGACCCTGACTCAAGCCCGAAAAATAAACCAGGGAAAGAAAAAAAGTAAAAATACAATCAAATAATAAAAAAGAATAGAATAAAATAAGTAGACCAATTAATTTAAATGGGGGAGGAAAATAAAATAAAATAACCTGGGAATATAATCGAAAATCCAATAAAATAAAATGATTACCGCCAAAAGCGGCGGTGTTGGTTATTGACATGGATGAGCAACTCTCTCTACACTCTACACACACACACACACACAGAGAGAGAGAGAGAGATGGCGTGGTCTTTGTCCCACGGCGTTGGAAATGGAGGCAGACATGGCTGATCCTGTCATTCTCCAATCATTCTATCTGATTTTCTATTTATTATTTACTATTATTTATTATTCCCTTTTATTATTTTATGACTACCATTTTAATTCTTTCTTTTCTTTTTAGTTCCTTTCTTTCTCATGATGATCTTTCTTTCATCCATTTTATTTATTGGTTGACGGCTCATTATTCTATTTCATTTTCTACACTTCAATGGCTCTCTCTTTTTGCCTGAGAGAGGAGGCTGTCATCCACATTCCCCGGACCCAGACAACCTCATCCGTGGTCTGTTTTCTTCCACCCACATTGCCCCTCTTCTTTGTATCCAAAATGGAGCTAGAGGGGTGATTGAATGGTTTGAGATCTTCTAGACTGTAACCAGGCTTAGACAAATGCGGCCGCTTTTGATGAACCCATGGACATCCGGCGTACCCCGGGCAACTTCTCCCCGCTCCCCTCCAGATGGTGGTACAGTTGTCTATCCTTAGGGCATGCATCATGGTTTTGAAAGGGGGGACAAGACAAGACTGGAGAAGGCGGTGCTCGAGGATGGGGACGGTTCTTGCCCTGCGTTGTGGTTGCACAATATGGAGAAATGGAGATCCCCCTCCACCTTGAATATGGCGCAGCCTGTCTCATGGCTTCAGTGGTAGTATCTTTAGATCCCGATATCAACTAAGTCGATATCGGGAAGCTAGGGTCTGTGGTGAGTTTCCGCATCGGGTAGAGCCTGGTTCAGACGGTCTGGTTAGGACCGAATATGATCTATCCATGCTGGTTGATATGGTAGGATCTGGGACCCGAAGGATATGCTTTTGGTTGTCATCCGCATAGACCATCCGTGTCTCTTTATCGGCCGTCATCCACTTAATGCCCGTAGTGGGGGGATGGAGCCGAAGATCGATTGGAAAAAAGAATAGGAGAAAAAAAAAGGAGGAGGGTCGCGATCGTCATCACAGCGGTCGTCTCTCCCCTCAATTTCCATTCCCGTATTATGATCTTAGTGTTAGCCCCCAGACTCGAGAGGGGGGATCGATTACGGGTTGGTACGGGGCTCTGAATTGAGTAAAACGCTAAAAAAGAAGGCTCAATTATCCAATGTTGAACACACGAGGCAAACAGATCATCACACGGGGCTGAACCACATTTTCCCTCTCAGAGTTTATCGTTACATGGGAGAGAGACGAGAGAGGGAGGTTGTACATCTCCCCGCCTGCGCCCCATAGATCGGATGCGATCTCTCATCCATGGAATCCGCGTTTGAGTTCCACCTGTTGTCCGCGCTGCCATCCCTCTCTCCATGTGCACTCTACCTACATGGCGGCGCCGTTGACACCCTGGGACCCGGGCTGTGCGAACCGGACTTGACCAAGCCTCTCTAATTCGGAGTACCGTAGATCGTCATTACTAGTTGGCCAGGTCCTGGGTGTCTTGGTGTCTTGGTGTCTGGTGATTCGGGTGCAGACAGTTCTAGGCTTGGGCCTTGGAGCCAAACACCTCAGAGACGGGACGGCTCTCCATACTTTCCTCCCAGTTAGGGCTAGCTATGTGGGTCGCATCCAATGCTGATCACGATGGTTCGAACGGCCGGCCTCTTGATATACATTACTTCTCCTATTACTTTGCTATTTTGATTTTTTCCTATAATTACCTTTTATGTTATTATTTTTTTACTTATAATGATTTTTTTTATCATGCTTTTCTCCGCTTGAAAAAGAATACGATAGAAGAGAAAAGTCGAGAAAAGTAAAAAGCATTGACCTGGTCTGGCGTATGGATGGACATCATGAAACGAATGAATGACAATTACACAACGCCACTAGTATATGATTGGACGGACCAGAGACGGGGTAAAGTATCCGCCACGCAAAGACTGGCTCTAGCACATCACTGGGCGATCTAGTGTCATTTACGGCCAATCGCCCATCTAAGGACTGTAATTTATTACCAACGGTGACACGGAGTATCGGGCAGTACACTCACTCCCCGGCGATTTCAGGTCAAGAGATACCTCGACCATGTACCCAGGCCACTAATTGACTAACTAACTAACTACCTAGACTTACGCAGACCCAAGACGATCATCTGTCGCGAGAAAGTGGAGATCGTGGCCGAGGGAGAGATGAACGTGTCATTGGCGCGATTTATCGTAAGTTGGCTGGTAGGAACTCTATCCAAGTGAGTGCCATTTTACCAAATCGCCTGCTGTCTCCATCCTGGAGATGCTGATGCGATGGGCGTCTTGGCAAAGAGAACTGGCGTTTTCCCTCATCGTGTTAGGGTTCCTGTGTGTTGGTGTCTGTTCGGTCACGTGTGGGATAACAAAGACCCTCCATGTTCAAACTGTTTCCAGCATCATATCACTCCAGGCATTTGCCCCCTCCTCGGGATTGGGATTCTGCAAGGGACACTCAGGAACTCTTCAGGTTTTCCTCACCTGTTTCTTTATTCTCTGCTGAGAAATGCCATAAGCGGGTTTTCTCTAGCCGGGCGCACGTTCAGATGGTCAAACCTAAGGGGTGTTAGTTAAAACTCTACGCCTCTACACTGGAGAACCGCAGGCCCCTCCTGGATGTCCTGACTGGATCGACAGCCACTGACAGAGAGCGTGCGTCGCCCAACTAGGCTTGTGGGGAAAGTCAAGTGGGTGACGGCTCACGCGTCCTAGCCCTACAGCGATGGGATATTTCTCTCCCTTCAAAGAAGTTAGAATAGCGGCAGGACAAAGAAAGTAAAATCCAATGATTGGAGTTCTGTTCCTAGTCAGTTAGTTTCCATTTTGCCCCATCAGCCCTTTCCGCTCTTTGAAAACGTTTTGAAAGAGATGGACAGATTGAGGAACGGGGCACACGCTGGGTGGAAAATGGCGGCTGGCGGCCAGGTTTGACAGATTAGGGTTTGGGGGCGACATGGCTTGCGCAGGAACCGAAAGCAAGACGGCGTGCGTTTCTTTTATTATGTTTTCTTTTGGTTTTTGACTTTTGATTTTGATTTTTGATGTTTCTGATTTACTTTTTAAATTTCCTGGCTTTTTCTTTGTCTCACACGCAGAAGTCTGGAAGCCTAGTGGAACCAAAACAACAGCCTCCCTAGGAGGCTCTCTCTCGTCTTATCTTATCGATATGCAGAGTGTACCGTGTAGTAGACGTATCAACCGGGATGTCTCTGTTGGAGTTGGTCCAACGAGCTGCTGCCATTGCACAAGACAGCTGGATCCTGGGAAGGATCAAATTGCACTGCAGTATCTACCATCTACAATCCTTCCCGCCAGATAGACTAGATGACTCGCTACTGTGTGACGAGGATCTCCCGCATCATCTCAGTACTAGGGCACTATTGACTCTCTCCATTTCATCCCCACAGCCATTAGCATACGTCGAGATTCCCCACACCCATATCCCCATTCGGTATGTCGTGCCATGGTCGCCCAGAGATGCCCATCCCAGCCCGTGTCACCGGCTATAGGGGCGATGAACGATTGACACCAGGGATCCCCACCGCACAGTCCTCACTCCCCTGGCAGTCGAGCCACCTCCAAAACATTCTAGAAGCCCGCTAGATCGCCCGCCGAGCCACCAGCCTTTCCTGATCCGTCGGCACACGTACCACGGACCCCCTGTCCTTTGATTGAGATGATCACATCGTGTCTCACAGCCCTCCCTCCCCCCGCCTCCTCCAACCCTGGACTCGAAATGGTCGGCTGATGGGGGGGGGGGGGGGGGGGGGGAAGAGAAGGGATTCCTGTCAAGCTCATGGTCATAACGTCCCCCCCCCCCCACCTCTCTCCCGTCTACCCCCGGGAATTCTCGTTGTCTGTTTCATCCCATTCATTGATGCATACATTTCCCGGATCCGGCGTACCTAAGAATACTTCTATTGTCTGTTGACTGCGCATTGCTGGGCTCTCCCGTGTCGCATGTCTCATGGCGAAACGGTGGATGCCCAGTTTCATCGTGGTTTGAGGTTTATTTTTGGTTCAACAACAATAGCAGACTTCTCAATGAATGTATCTGAAGAAGCCCTCCTCAGCAGGGGCTCCTAGTCAAACATGGGTGCAGGTGCAGGTGCAGGTGCAGGCTGTAGGCACATCCTGACAGATACGGGTCCCCCGGGGCTGTGATCCCCGATTGCGGAGCCCATTTTCTTTCCAAATCAGGATTCGGACACGGGGGGGGGCACTAGTGTTGCTTCGAAGTCTCCGAGAAGATGGGGTATTGGACAGTCCAAAGTTCCGAGAAGGTCTCCCCTCCCCCCCTCCCTCCTCACCTTCCCTCCCCTCTGCGCCATGGCTTTCTGCAAGGATCAGAGTCTAGCAGAGGCTGTCAAACCTTCCAACAAGCCACGGGAGTTGTCTTGGTCCACCGCTCTTGTCTATCACGGGAACACATGGGGTGTAACTCCTTGAGATCCCTCCCCCCCTGAGGGTGATGACGTCCCTATTCCGTAACACTTGAGGGGGTACCCAGCGTCATACAATAGGATCAGTAGCCCAAGAATGGCACGACGTGAATGGGGTTTCCCCTCAGTTTACTTGAGAGCCCATCAAGCTAC